TGGTTTTTCTCGAGTTGCGGCGGGGACCTGGGGTATGTTCTCGACTTACGGCGGGGATGGCCCTTCAAAACACGAGTTTCTTCAGTGACGTCAGGACTCCTGTCTAGTAACGAGGGACACCTCAGGAATCTCTTCGAGGCTTGGCAGGGCAAAAGGGACGCTTCTCGAGGTGAGGCAGGGCACCCAAGGACCCTTTCCAGTAGCCACAGGGATTTTGGGATTCCTATCAGTATTCAAGAGGAGTCAGGCATCATCACCTTTTGAAGCAATGAACTCCGCGTGCCTCTCGAGGTGTCAGCGGGATGTGAGGCATTCCGTCAAAATGAGGCAGGGACCTAGGGCTTTCTCTAAGGTCTCCACAGGGGATTCAGACATCCCTTCATGTTGTGAGATGAAAGACGAGCCTGTATTCAAGCCACTGCAAGGAAATCCGGCCTCCTTTCAAGTTAGGGCTTCTCGCTGTATATTCCCCTTGAGGCAGCAAACTCGGGGTCCCTCCCACATACCTATTGCTGAGAGAAGCCTCCTCCTGAGGTGCTTCTGGGAAGTCGGCATACGTCTTGAGCCTAAGCCAGGGAATCAGCTCGCACCTCGAGACGATTTGGGGTACACGGAGCATTCCTCGAGTTGCTGTGCTGAAGTTGGTGTTCCTCTAGACTTGGGACAGTGTTCTCGGGGCATCTCTGGAGTTGCCTGAAGGAAGTTGAGCCACCGTTCGTGTTGAATGGGGAACGGGGAATGGCTCTGGAGTCAATGCAGGGGAATCGGGCCTCATCTCGAGTTGATTTGGGGCACATGGAGCTGCTTTGCGTTGCTGGGGTGACCTCAGGGTCCGTCTAGACTGTTGACAGTGTTCTTGGGGACTGTCTCGAGATCCATTAAGCAAGTCGAAGCTCCTGACTTGTTTGAATGGGATCACGGAATAGCTCTGCATGCACTGCAGGGGAATGGGGCCTCATCTCGCCTCTAGGGGGAAGTCTCATGGTTTTTCTCGAGTTGCGGCGGGGACCTGGGGTATGTTCTCGACTTACGGCGGGGATGGCCCTTCAAGACACGAGTTTCTTCAGTGACGTCAGGACTCCTGTCTAGTAACGAGGGACACCTCAGGAATCTCTTCGAGGCTTGGCAGGGCAAAAGGGACGCTTCTCGAGGTGAGGCAGGGCACCCAAGGACCCTTTCCAGTAGCCACAGGGATTTTGGGATTCCTATCAGTATTCAAGAGGAGTCAGGCATCGTCACCTTTTGAAGCAATGAACTCCGCGTGCCTCTCGAGGTGTCAGCGGGATGTGAGGCATTCCGTCAAAATGAGGCAGGGACCTAGGGCTTTCTCTAAGGTCTCCACAGGGGATTCAGACATCCCTTCATGTTGTGAGATGAAAGACGAGCCTGTATTCAAGCCACTGCAAGGAAATCCGGCCTCCTTTCAAGTTAGGGCTTCTCGCTGTATATTCCCCTTGAGGCAGCAAACTCGGGGTCCCTCCCACATACCTATTGCTGAGAGAAGCCTCCTCCTGAGGTGCTTCTGGGAAGTTGGCATACGTCTTGAGCCTAAGCCAGGGAATCAGCTCTCATTTCGAGACGATTTGGGGTACACGGAGCATTCCTCGAGTTGCTGTGCTGAAGTTGGTGTTCCTCTAGACTTGGGACAGTGTTCTCGGGGCATCTCTGGAGTTGCCTGAAGGAAGTCGAGTCACCGGTCGTGTTGAATGGGGAACGGGGAATGGCTCTGGAGTCAATGCAGGGGAATCGGGCCTCAACTCGAGTTGATTTGGGGCACATGGAGCTGCTTTGCATTGCTGGGGTGACCTCAGGGTCCGTCTAGACTGGTGACAGTGTTCTTGGGGACTGTCTCGAGATCCATTAAGCAAGTCGAAGCTCCTGACTTGTTTGAATGGGATCACGGAATAGCTCTGCATGCACTGCAGGGGAATGGGGCCCCATCTCGCCTCTAGGGGGAAGTCTCATGGTTTTTCTCGAGTTGCGGCGGGGACCTGGGGTATGTTCTCGACTTATGGCGGGGATGGCCCTTCAAGACACGAGTTTCTTCAGTGACGTCAGGACTCCTGTCTAGTAACGAGGGACACCTCAGGAATCTCTTCGAGGCTTGGCAGGGCAAAAGGGACGCTTCTCGAGGTGAGGCAGGGCACCCAAGGACCCTTTCCAGTAGCCACAGGGATTTTGGGATTCCTATCAGTATTCAAGAGGAGTCAGGCATCGTCACCTTTTGAAGCAATGAACTCCGCGTGCCTCTCGAGGTGTCAGCGGGATGTGAGGCATTCCGTCAAAATGAGGCAGGGACCTAGGGCTTTCTCTAAGGTCTCCACAGGGGATTCAGACATCCCTTCATGTTGTGAGATGAAAGACGAGCCTGTATTCAAGCCACTGCAAGGAAATCCGGCCTCCTTTCAAGTTAGGGCTTCTCGCTGTATATTCCCCTTGAGGCAGCAAACTCGGGGTCCCTCCCACATACCTATTGCTGAGAGAAGCCTCCTCCTGAGGTGCTTCTGGGAAGTTGGCATACGTCTTGAGCCTAAGCCAGGGAATCAGCTCTCATTTCGAGACGATTTGGGGTACACGGAGCATTCCTCGAGTTGCTGTGCTGAAGTTGGTGTTCCTCTAGACTTGGGACAGTGTTCTCGGGGCATCTCTGGAGTTGCCTGAAGGAAGTCGAGTCACCGGTCGTGTTGAATGGGGAACGGGGAATGGCTCTGGAGTCAATGCAGGGGAATCGGGCCTCAACTCGAGTTGATTTGGGGCACATGGAGCTGCTTTGCATTGCTGGGGTGACCTCAGGGTCCGTCTAGACTGGTGACAGTGTTCTTGGGGACTGTCTCGAGATCCATTAAGCAAGTCGAAGCTCCTGACTTGTTTGAATGGGATCACGGAATAGCTCTGCATGCACTGCAGGGGAATGGGGCCCCATCTCGCCTCTAGGGGGAAGTCTCATGGTTTTTCTCGAGTTGCGGCGGGGACCTGGGGTATGTTCTCGACTTATGGCGGGGATGGCCCTTCAAGACACGAGTTTCTTCAGTGACGTCAGGACTCCTGTCTAGTAACGAGGGACACCTCAGGAATCTCTTCGAGGCTTGGCAGGGCAAAAGGGACGCTTCTCGAGGTGAGGCAGGGCACCCAAGGACCCTTTCCAGTAGCCACAGGGATTTTGGGATTCCTATCAGTATTCAAGAGGAGTCAGGCATCGTCACCTTTTGAAGCAATGAACTCCGCGTGCCTCTCGAGGTGTCAGCGGGATGTGAGGCATTCCGTCAAAATGAGGCAGGGACCTAGGGCTTTCTCTAAGGTCTCCACAGGGGATTCAGACATCCCTTCATGTTGTGAGATGAAAGACGAGCCTGTATTCAAGCCACTGCAAGGAAATCCGGCCTCCTTTCAAGTTAGGGCTTCTCGCTGTATATTCCCCTTGAGGCAGCAAACTCGGGGTCCCTCCCACATACCTATTGCTGAGAGAAGCCTCCTCCTGAGGTGCTTCTGGGAAGTTGGCATACGTCTTGAGCCTAAGCCAGGGAATCAGCTCTCATTTCGAGACGATTTGGGGTACACGGAGCATTCCTCGAGTTGCTGTGCTGAAGTTGGTGTTCCTCTAGACTTGGGACAGTGTTCTCGGGGCATCTCTGGAGTTGCCTGAAGGAAGTCGAGTCACCGGTCGTGTTGAATGGGGAACGGGGAATGGCTCTGGAGTCAATGCAGGGGAATCGGGCCTCAACTCGAGTTGATTTGGGGCACATGGAGCTGCTTTGCATTGCTGGGGTGACCTCAGGGTCCGTCTAGACTGGTGACAGTGTTCTTGGGGACTGTCTCGAGATCCATTAAGCAAGTCGAAGCTCCTGACTTGTTTGAATGGGATCACGGAATAGCTCTGCATGCACTGCAGGGGAATGGGGCCCCATCTCGCCTCTAGGGGGAAGTCTCATGGTTTTTCTCGAGTTGCGGCGGGGACCTGGGGTATGTTCTCGACTTATGGCGGGGATGGCCCTTCAAGACACGAGTTTCTTCAGTGACGTCAGGACTCCTGTCTAGTAACGAGGGACACCTCAGGAATCTCTTCGAGGCTTGGCAGGGCAAAAGGGACGCTTCTCGAGGTGAGGCAGGGCACCCAAGGACCCTTTCCAGTAGCCACAGGGATTTTGGGATTCCTATCAGTATTCAAGAGGAGTCAGGCATCATCACCTTTTGAAGCAAGGAACTCCGCGTGCCTCTCGAGGTGTCAGCGCGATGTGAGGCATTCCGTCAAAATGAGGCAGGGACCTAGGGCTTTCTCTAAGGTCTCCACAGGGGATTCAGACATCCCTTCATGTTGTGAGATGAAAGACGAGCCTGTATTCAAGCCACTGCAAGGAAATCCGGCCTCCTTTCAAGTTAGGGCTTCTCGCTGTATATTCCCCTTGAGGCAGCAAACTCGGGGTCCCTCCCACATACCTATTGCTGAGAGAAGCCTCCTCCTGAGGTGCTTCTGGGAAGTTGGCATACGTCTTGAGCCTAAGCCAGGGAATCAGCTCGCACCTCGAGACTATTTGGGGTACACGGAGCATTCCTCGAGTTGCTGTGCTGAAGTTGGTGTTCCTCTAGACTTGGGACAGTGTTCTCGGGGCATCTCTGGAGTTGCCTGAAGGAAGTCGAGCCACCGGTCGTGTTGAATGGGGAATGGGGAATGGCTCTGGAGTCAATGCAGGGGAATCGGGCCTCATCTCGAGTTGATTTGGGGCACACAGAGCTGCTTTGCGTTGCTGGGGTGACCTCAGGGTCCGTCTAGACTGTTGACAGTGTTCTTGGGGACTGTCTCGAGATCCATTAAGCAAGTCGAAGCTCCTGACTTGTTTGAATGGGATCACGGAATAGCTCTGCATGCACTGCAGGGGAATGGGGCCTCATCTCGCCTCTAGGGGGAAGTCTCATGGTTTTTCTCGAGTTGCGGCGGGGACCTGGGGTATGTTCTCGACTTACGGCGGGGATGGCCCTTCAAAACACGAGTTTCTTCAGTGACGTCAGGACTCCTGTCTAGTAACGAGGGACACCTCAGGAATCTCTTCGAGGCTTGGCAGGGCAAAAGGGACGCTTCTCGAGGTGAGGCAGGGCACCCAAGGACCCTTTCCAGGAGCCACAGGGATTTTGGGATTCCTATCAGTATTCAAGAGGAGTCAGGCCTCGTCACCTTTTGAAGCAATGAACTCCGCGTGCCTCTCGAGGTGTCAGCGGGATGTGAGGCATTCCGTCAAAATGAGGCAGGGACCTAGGGCTTTCTCTAAGGTCTCCACAGGGGATTCAGACATCCCTTCATGTTGTGAGATGAAAGACGAGCCTGTATTCAAGCCACTGCAAGGAAATCCGGCCTCCTTTCAAGTTAGGGCTTCTCGCTGTATATTCCCCTTGAGGCAGCAAACTCGGGGTCCCTCCCACATACCTATTGCTGAGAGCAGCCTCCTCCTGAGGTGCTTCTGGGAAGTTGGCATACGTCTTGAGCCTAAGCCAGGGAATCAGCTCACACCTCGAGACTATTTGGGGTACACGGAGCATTCCTCGAGTTGCTGTGCTGAAGTTGGTGTTCCTCTAGACTTGGGACAGTGTTCTCGGGGCATCTCTGGAGTTGCCTGAAGGAAGTCGAGCCACCGGTCGTGTTGAATGGGGAACAGGGAATGGCTCTGGAGTCAATGCAGGGGAATCGGGCCTCGTCTCGAGTTGATTTGGGGCACACGGAGCTGCTTTGCGTTGCTGGGGTGACCTCAGGGTCCGTCTAGACTGTTGACAGTGTTCTTGGGGACTGTCTCGAGATCCATTAAGCAAGTCGGAGCTCCTGACTTGTTTGAATGGGATCACGGAATAGCTCTGCATGCACTGCAGGGGAATGGGGCCTCATCTCGCCTCTAGGGGGAAGTCTCATGGTTTTTCTCGAGTTGCGGCGGGGACCTGGGGTATGTTCTCGACTTACGGCGGGGATGGCCCTTCAAAACACGAGTTTCTTCAGTGACGTCAGGACTCCTGTCTAGTAACGAGGGACACCTCAGGAATCTCTTCGAGGCTTGGCAGGGCAAAAGGGACGCTTCTCGAGGTGAGGCAGGGCACCCAAGGACCCTTTCCAGTAGCCACAGGGATTTTGGGATTCCTATCAGTATTCAAGAGGAGTCAGGCATCATCACCTTTTGAAGCAATGAACTCCGCGTGCCTCTCGAGGTGTCAGCGGGATGTGAGGCATTCCGTCAAAATGAGGCAGGGACCTAGGGCTTTCTCTAAGGTCTCCACAGGGGATTCAGACATCCCTTCATGTTGTGAGATGAAAGACGAGCCTGTATTCAAGCCACTGCAAGGAAATCCGGCCTCCTTTCAAGTTAGGGCTTCTCGCTGTATATTCCCCTTGAGGCAGCAAACTCGGGGTCCCTCCCACATACCTATTGCTGAGAGAAGCCTCCTCCTGAGGTGCTTCTGGGAAGTCGGCATACGTCTTGAGCCTAAGCCAGGGAATCAGCTCGCACCTCGAGACGATTTGGGGTACACGGAGCATTCCTCGAGTTGCTGTGCTGAAGTTGGTGTTCCTCTAGACTTGGGACAGTGTTCTCGGGGCATCTCTGGAGTTGCCTGAAGGAAGTTGAGCCACCGTTCGTGTTGAATGGGGAACGGGGAATGGCTCTGGAGTCAATGCAGGGGAATCGGGCCTCATCTCGAGTTGATTTGGGGCACATGGAGCTGCTTTGCGTTGCTGGGGTGACCTCAGGGTCCGTCTAGACTGTTGACAGTGTTCTTGGGGACTGTCTCGAGATCCATTAAGCAAGTCGAAGCTCCTGACTTGTTTGAATGGGATCACGGAATAGCTCTGCATGCACTGCAGGGGAATGGGGCCTCATCTCGCCTCTAGGGGGAAGTCTCATGGTTTTTCTCGAGTTGCGGCGGGGACCTGGGGTATGTTCTCGACTTACGGCGGGGATGGCCCTTCAAGACACGAGTTTCTTCAGTGACGTCAGGACTCCTGTCTAGTAACGAGGGACACCTCAGGAATCTCTTCGAGGCTTGGCAGGGCAAAAGGGACGCTTCTCGAGGTGAGGCAGGGCACCCAAGGACCCTTTCCAGTAGCCACAGGGATTTTGGGATTCCTATCAGTATTCAAGAGGAGTCAGGCATCGTCACCTTTTGAAGCAATGAACTCCGCGTGCCTCTCGAGGTGTCAGCGGGATGTGAGGCATTCCGTCAAAATGAGGCAGGGACCTAGGGCTTTCTCTAAGGTCTCCACAGGGGATTCAGACATCCCTTCATGTTGTGAGATGAAAGACGAGCCTGTATTCAAGCCACTGCAAGGAAATCCGGCCTCCTTTCAAGTTAGGGCTTCTCGCTGTATATTCCCCTTGAGGCAGCAAACTCGGGGTCCCTCCCACATACCTATTGCTGAGAGAAGCCTCCTCCTGAGGTGCTTCTGGGAAGTTGGCATACGTCTTGAGCCTAAGCCAGGGAATCAGCTCTCATTTCGAGACGATTTGGGGTACACGGAGCATTCCTCGAGTTGCTGTGCTGAAGTTGGTGTTCCTCTAGACTTGGGACAGTGTTCTCGGGGCATCTCTGGAGTTGCCTGAAGGAAGTCGAGTCACCGGTCGTGTTGAATGGGGAACGGGGAATGGCTCTGGAGTCAATGCAGGGGAATCGGGCCTCAACTCGAGTTGATTTGGGGCACATGGAGCTGCTTTGCATTGCTGGGGTGACCTCAGGGTCCGTCTAGACTGGTGACAGTGTTCTTGGGGACTGTCTCGAGATCCATTAAGCAAGTCGAAGCTCCTGACTTGTTTGAATGGGATCACGGAATAGCTCTGCATGCACTGCAGGGGAATGGGGCCCCATCTCGCCTCTAGGGGGAAGTCTCATGGTTTTTCTCGAGTTGCGGCGGGGACCTGGGGTATGTTCTCGACTTATGGCGGGGATGGCCCTTCAAGACACGAGTTTCTTCAGTGACGTCAGGACTCCTGTCTAGTAACGAGGGACACCTCAGGAATCTCTTCGAGGCTTGGCAGGGCAAAAGGGACGCTTCTCGAGGTGAGGCAGGGCACCCAAGGACCCTTTCCAGTAGCCACAGGGATTTTGGGATTCCTATCAGTATTCAAGAGGAGTCAGGCATCGTCACCTTTTGAAGCAATGAACTCCGCGTGCCTCTCGAGGTGTCAGCGGGATGTGAGGCATTCCGTCAAAATGAGGCAGGGACCTAGGGCTTTCTCTAAGGTCTCCACAGGGGATTCAGACATCCCTTCATGTTGTGAGATGAAAGACGAGCCTGTATTCAAGCCACTGCAAGGAAATCCGGCCTCCTTTCAAGTTAGGGCTTCTCGCTGTATATTCCCCTTGAGGCAGCAAACTCGGGGTCCCTCCCACATACCTATTGCTGAGAGAAGCCTCCTCCTGAGGTGCTTCTGGGAAGTTGGCATACGTCTTGAGCCTAAGCCAGGGAATCAGCTCTCATTTCGAGACGATTTGGGGTACACGGAGCATTCCTCGAGTTGCTGTGCTGAAGTTGGTGTTCCTCTAGACTTGGGACAGTGTTCTCGGGGCATCTCTGGAGTTGCCTGAAGGAAGTCGAGTCACCGGTCGTGTTGAATGGGGAACGGGGAATGGCTCTGGAGTCAATGCAGGGGAATCGGGCCTCAACTCGAGTTGATTTGGGGCACATGGAGCTGCTTTGCATTGCTGGGGTGACCTCAGGGTCCGTCTAGACTGGTGACAGTGTTCTTGGGGACTGTCTCGAGATCCATTAAGCAAGTCGAAGCTCCTGACTTGTTTGAATGGGATCACGGAATAGCTCTGCATGCACTGCAGGGGAATGGGGCCCCATCTCGCCTCTAGGGGGAAGTCTCATGGTTTTTCTCGAGTTGCGGCGGGGACCTGGGGTATGTTCTCGACTTATGGCGGGGATGGCCCTTCAAGACACGAGTTTCTTCAGTGACGTCAGGACTCCTGTCTAGTAACGAGGGACACCTCAGGAATCTCTTCGAGGCTTGGCAGGGCAAAAGGGACGCTTCTCGAGGTGAGGCAGGGCACCCAAGGACCCTTTCCAGTAGCCACAGGGATTTTGGGATTCCTATCAGTATTCAAGAGGAGTCAGGCATCGTCACCTTTTGAAGCAATGAACTCCGCGTGCCTCTCGAGGTGTCAGCGGGATGTGAGGCATTCCGTCAAAATGAGGCAGGGACCTAGGGCTTTCTCTAAGGTCTCCACAGGGGATTCAGACATCCCTTCATGTTGTGAGATGAAAGACGAGCCTGTATTCAAGCCACTGCAAGGAAATCCGGCCTCCTTTCAAGTTAGGGCTTCTCGCTGTATATTCCCCTTGAGGCAGCAAACTCGGGGTCCCTCCCACATACCTATTGCTGAGAGAAGCCTCCTCCTGAGGTGCTTCTGGGAAGTTGGCATACGTCTTGAGCCTAAGCCAGGGAATCAGCTCTCATTTCGAGACGATTTGGGGTACACGGAGCATTCCTCGAGTTGCTGTGCTGAAGTTGGTGTTCCTCTAGACTTGGGACAGTGTTCTCGGGGCATCTCTGGAGTTGCCTGAAGGAAGTCGAGTCACCGGTCGTGTTGAATGGGGAACGGGGAATGGCTCTGGAGTCAATGCAGGGGAATCGGGCCTCAACTCGAGTTGATTTGGGGCACATGGAGCTGCTTTGCATTGCTGGGGTGACCTCAGGGTCCGTCTAGACTGGTGACAGTGTTCTTGGGGACTGTCTCGAGATCCATTAAGCAAGTCGAAGCTCCTGACTTGTTTGAATGGGATCACGGAATAGCTCTGCATGCACTGCAGGGGAATGGGGCCCCATCTCGCCTCTAGGGGGAAGTCTCATGGTTTTTCTCGAGTTGCGGCGGGGACCTGGGGTATGTTCTCGACTTATGGCGGGGATGGCCCTTCAAGACACGAGTTTCTTCAGTGACGTCAGGACTCCTGTCTAGTAACGAGGGACACCTCAGGAATCTCTTCGAGGCTTGGCAGGGCAAAAGGGACGCTTCTCGAGGTGAGGCAGGGCACCCAAGGACCCTTTCCAGTAGCCACAGGGATTTTGGGATTCCTATCAGTATTCAAGAGGAGTCAGGCATCATCACCTTTTGAAGCAAGGAACTCCGCGTGCCTCTCGAGGTGTCAGCGCGATGTGAGGCATTCCGTCAAAATGAGGCAGGGACCTAGGGCTTTCTCTAAGGTCTCCACAGGGGATTCAGACATCCCTTCATGTTGTGAGATGAAAGACGAGCCTGTATTCAAGCCACTGCAAGGAAATCCGGCCTCCTTTCAAGTTAGGGCTTCTCGCTGTATATTCCCCTTGAGGCAGCAAACTCGGGGTCCCTCCCACATACCTATTGCTGAGAGAAGCCTCCTCCTGAGGTGCTTCTGGGAAGTTGGCATACGTCTTGAGCCTAAGCCAGGGAATCAGCTCGCACCTCGAGACTATTTGGGGTACACGGAGCATTCCTCGAGTTGCTGTGCTGAAGTTGGTGTTCCTCTAGACTTGGGACAGTGTTCTCGGGGCATCTCTGGAGTTGCCTGAAGGAAGTCGAGCCACCGGTCGTGTTGAATGGGGAATGGGGAATGGCTCTGGAGTCAATGCAGGGGAATCGGGCCTCATCTCGAGTTGATTTGGGGCACACAGAGCTGCTTTGCGTTGCTGGGGTGACCTCAGGGTCCGTCTAGACTGTTGACAGTGTTCTTGGGGACTGTCTCGAGATCCATTAAGCAAGTCGAAGCTCCTGACTTGTTTGAATGGGATCACGGAATAGCTCTGCATGCACTGCAGGGGAATGGGGCCTCATCTCGCCTCTAGGGGGAAGTCTCATGGTTTTTCTCGAGTTGCGGCGGGGACCTGGGGTATGTTCTCGACTTACGGCGGGGATGGCCCTTCAAAACACGAGTTTCTTCAGTGACGTCAGGACTCCTGTCTAGTAACGAGGGACACCTCAGGAATCTCTTCGAGGCTTGGCAGGGCAAAAGGGACGCTTCTCGAGGTGAGGCAGGGCACCCAAGGACCCTTTCCAGTAGCAACAGGGATTTTGGGATTCCTATCAGTATTCAAGAGGAGTCAGGCATCGTCATCTTTTGAAGCAATGAACTCCGCATGCCTCTCGAGGTGTCAGCGCGATGTGAGGCATTCCGTCAAAATGAGGCAGGGACCTAGGGCTTTCTCTAAGGTCTCCACAGGGGATTCAGACATCCCTTCATGTTGTGAGATGAAAGACGAGCCTGTATTCAAGCCACTGCAAGGAAATCCGGCCTCCTTTCAAGTTAGGGCTTCTCGCTGTATATTCCCCTTGAGGCAGCAAACTCGGGGTCCCTCGCACATACCTATTGCTGAGAGAAGCCTCCTCCTGAGGTGCTTCTGGGAAGTTGGCATACGTCTTGAGCCTAAGCCAGGGAATCAGCTCTCATCTCGAGACGATTTGGGGTACACGGAGCATTCCTCGAGTTGCTGTGCTGAAGTTGGTGTTCCTCTAGACTTGGGACAGTGTTCTCGGGGCATCTCTGGAGTTGCCTGAAGGAAGTCGAGCCACCGGTCGTGTTGAATGGGGAACGGGGAATGGCTCTGGAGTCAATGCAGGGGAATCGGGCCTCATCTCGAGTTGATTTGGGGCACATGGAGCTGCTTCGCATTGCTGGGGTGACCTCAGGGTCCGTCTAGACTGGTGACAGTGTTCTTGGGGACTGTCTCGAGATCCATTAAGCAAGTCGAAGCTCCTGACTTGTTTGAATGGGATCACGGAATAGCTCTGCATGCACTGCAGGGGAATGGGGCCTCATCTCGCCCCTAGGGGGAAGTCTCATGGTTTTTCTCGAGTTGCGGCGGGGACCTGGGGTATGTTCTCGACTTACGGCGGGGATGGCCCTTCAAAACACGAGTTTATTCAGTGACGTCAGGACTCCTGTCTAGTAACGAGGGACACCTCAGGAATCTCTTCGAGGCTTGGCAGGGCAAAAGGGACGCTTCTCGAGGTGAGGCAGGGCACCCAAGGACCCTTTCCAGGAGCCACAGGGATTTTGGGATTCCTATCAGTATTCAAGAGGAGTCAGGCCTCGTCACCTTTTGAAGCAATGAACTCCGCGTGCCTCTCGAGGTGTCAGCGGGATGTGAGGCATTCCGTCAAAATGAGGCAGGGACCTAGGGCTTTCTCTAAGGTCTCCACAGGGGATTCAGACATCCCTTCATGTTGTGAGATGAAAGACGAGTCTGTATTCAAGCCACTGCAAGGAAATCCGGCCTCCTTTCAAGTTAGGGCTTCTCGCTGTATATTCCCCTTGAGGCAGCAAACTCGGGGTCCCTCCCACATACCTATTGCTGAGAGAAGCCTCCTCCTGAGGTGCTTCTGGGAAGTTGGCATACGTCTTGAGCCTAAGCCAGGGAATCAGCTCGCACCTCGAGACTATTTGGGGTACACGGAGCATTCCTCGAGTTGCTGTGCTGAAGTTGGTGTTCCTCTAGACTTGGGACAGTGTTCTCGGGGCATCTCTGGAGTTGCCTGAAGGAAGTCGAGCCACCGGTCGTGTTGAATGGGGAACGGGGAATGGCTCTGGAGTCAATGCAGGGGAATCGGGCCTCGTCTCGAGTTGATTTGGGGCACACGGAGCTGCTTTGCGTTGCTGGGGTGACCTCAGGGTCCGTCTAGACTGTTGACAGTGTTCTTGGGGACTGTCTCGAGATCCATTAAGCAAGTCGGAGCTCCTGACTTGTTTGAATGGGATCACGGAATAGCTCTGCATGCACTGCAGGGGAATGGGGCCTCATCTCGCCTCTAGGGGGAAGTCTCATGGTTTTTCTCGAGTTGCGGCGGGGACCTGGGTTATGTTCTCGACTTACGGCGGGGATGGCCCTTCAAAACACGAGTTTCTTCAGTGACGTCAGGACTCCTGTCTAGTAACGAGGGACACCTCAGGAATCTCTTCGAGGCTTGGCAGGGCAAAAGGGACGCTTCTCGAGGTGAGGCAGGGCACCCAAGGACCCTTTCCAGTAGCCACAGGGATTTTGGGATTCCTATCAGTATTCAAGAGGAGTCAGGCATCGTCACCTTTTGAAGCAATGAACTCCGCGTGCCTCTCGAGGTGTCAGCGGGATGTGAGGCATTCCGTCAAAATGAGGCAGGGACCTAGGGCTTTCTCTAAGGTCTCCACAGGGGATTCAGACATCCCTTCATGTTGTGAGATGAAAGACGAGCCTGTATTCAAGCCACTGCAAGGAAATCCGGCCTCCTTTCAAGTTAGGGCTTCTCGCTGTATATTCCCCTTGAGGCAGCAAACTCGGGGTCCCTCCCACATACCTATTGCTGAGAGCAGCCTCCTCCTGAGGTGCTTCTGGGAAGTTGGCATACGTCTTGAGCCTAAGCCAGGGAATCAGCTCTCATCTGGAGACGATTTGGGGTACACGGAGCATTCCTCGAGTTGCTGTGCTGAAGTTGGTGTTCCTCTAGACTTGGGACAGTGTTCTCGGGGCATCTCTGGAGTTGCCTGAAGGAAGTCGAGCCACCGGTCGTGTTGAATGGGGAACGGGGAATGTCTCTGGAGTCAATGCAGGGGAATCGGGCCTCATCTCGAGTTGATTTGGGGCACATGGAGCTGCTTTGCTTTGCTGGGGTGACCTCAGGGTCCGTCTAGACTGGTGACATTGTTCTTGGGGACTGTCTCGAGATCCATTAAGCAAGTCGAAGCTCCTGACTTGTTTGAATGGGATCACGGAATAGCTCTGCATGCACTGCAGGGGAATGGGGCCTCATCTCGCCTCTAGGGAGAAGTCTCATGGTTTTTCTCGAGTTGCGGCGGGGACCTGGGGTATGTTCTCGACTTACGGCGGGGATGGCCCTTCAAAACACGAGTTTCTTCAGTGACGTCAGGACTCCTGTCTAGTAACGAGGGACACCTCAGGAATCTCTTCGAGGCTTGGCAGGGCTAAAGGGATGCTTCTCGAGGTGAGGCAGGGCACCCAAGGACCCTTTCCAGTAGCCACAGGGATTTTGGGATTCCTATCAGTATTCAAGAGGAGTCAGGCATCGTCACCTTTTGAAGCAATGAACTCCGGGTGCCTCTCGAGGTGTCAGCGGGATGTGAGGCATTCCGTCAAAATGAGGCAGGGACCTAGGGCTTTCTCTAAGGTCTCCACAGGGGATTCAGACATCCCTTCATGTTGTGAGATGAAAGACGAGCCTGTATTCAAGCCACTGCAAGGAAATCCGGCCTCCTTTCAAGTTAGGGCTTCTCGCTGTATATTCCCCTTGAGGCAGCAAACTCGGGGTCCCTCCCACATACCTATTGCTGAGAGAAGCCTCCTCCTGAGGTGCTTCTGGGAAGTTGGCATACGTCTTGAGCCTACGCCAGGGAATCAGCTCGCATCTCGAGACGATTTGGGGTACACGGAGCATTCCTCGAGTTGCTGTGCTGAAGTTGGTGTTCCTCTAGACTTGGGACAGTGTTCTCGGGGCATCTCTGGAGTTGCCTGAAGGAAGTCGAGACACCGGTCGTGTTGAATGGGGAACGGGGAATGGCTCTGGAGTCAATGCAGGGGAATCGGGCCTCATCTCGAGTTGATTTGGGGCACATGGAGCTGCTTTGCGTTGCTGGGGTGACCTCAGGGTCCGTCTAGACTGGTGACAGTGTTCTTGGGGACTGTCTCGAGATCCATTAAGCAAGTCGAAGCTCCTGACTTGTTTGAATGGGATCACGGAATAGCTCTGCATGCACTGCAGGGGAATGGGGCCTCATCTCGCCTCTAGGGGGAAGTCTCATGGTTTTTCTCGAGTTGCGGCGGGGACCTGGGGTATGTTCTCGACTTACGGCGGGGATGGCCCTTCAAAACACGAGTTTCTTCAGTGACGTCAGGACTCCTGTCTAGTAACGAGGGACACCTCAGGAATCTCTTCGAGGCTTGGCAGGGCAAAAGGGACGCTTCTCGAGGTGAGGCAGGGCACCCAAGGACCCTTTCCAGTAGCCACAGGGATTTTGGGATTCCTATCAGTATTCAAGAGGAGTCAGGCATCGTCACCTTTTGAAGCAATGAACTCCGCGTGCCTCTCGAGGTGTCAGCGGGATGTGAGGCATTCCGTCAAAATGAGGCAGGGACCTAGGGCTTTCTCTAAGGTCTCCACAGGGGATTCAGACATCCCTTCATGTTGTGAGATGAAAGACGAGCCTGTATTCAAGCCACTGCAAGGAAATCCGGCCTCCTTTCAAGTTAGGGCTTCTCGCTGTATATTCCCCTTGAGGCAGCAAACTCGGGGTCCCTCCCACATACCTATTGCTGAGAGAAGCCTCCTCCTGAGGTGCTTCTGGGAAGTCGGCATACGTCTTGAGCCTAAGCCAGGGAATCAGCTCGCACCTCGAGATGATTTGGAGTACACGGAGCATTCCTCGAGTTGCTGTGCTGAAGTTGGTGTTCCTCTAGACTTGGGACAGTGTTCTCGGGGCATCTCTGGAGTTACCTGAAGGAAGTCGAACCACCGGTCGTGTTGAATGGGGAACGGGGAATGGCTCTGGAGTCAATGCAGGGGAATCGGGCCTCATCTCGAGTTGATTTGGGGCACATGGAGCTGCTTTGCGTTGCTGGGGTGACCTCAGGGTCCGTCTAGACTGGTGACAGTGTTCTTGGGGACTGTCTCGAGATCCATTAAGCAAGTCGAAGCTCCTGACTTGTTTGAATGGGATCACGGAATAGCTCTGCATGCACTGCAGGGGAATGGGGCCTCATCTCGCCTCTAGGGGGAAGTCTCATGGTTTTTCTCGAGTTGCGGCGGGGACCTGGGGTATGTTCTCGACTTACGGCGGGGAAGGCCCTTCAAAACACGAGTTTCTTCAGTGACGTCAGGACTCCTGTCTAGTAACGAGGGACACCTCAGGAATCTCTTCGAGGCTTGGCAGGGCAAAAGGGACGCTTCTCGAGGTGAGGCAGGGCACCCAAGGACCCTTTCCAGTAGCCACAGGGATTTTGGGATTCCTATTTGTATTCAAGAGGAGTCAGGCATCATCACCTTTTGAAGCAATGAACTCCGCGTGCCTCTCGAGGTGTCAGCGGGATGTGAGGCATTCCGTCAAAATGAGGCAGGGACCTAGGGCTTTCTCTAAGGTCTCCACAGGGGATTCAGACATCCCTTCATGTTGTGAGATGAAAGACGAGCCTGTATTCAAGCCACTGCAAGGAAATCCGGCCTCCTTTCAAGTTAGGGCTTCTCGCTTTATATTCCCCTTGAGGCAGCAAACTCGGGGTCCCTCCCACATACCTATTGCTGAGAGAAGACTCCTCCTGAGGTGCTTCTGGGAAGTTGGCATACGTCTTGAGCCTAAGCCAGGGAAACAGCTCGCATCTCGAGACGATTTGGGGTACACGGAGCCTTCCTCGAGTGGCTGTGCTGAAGTTGGTGTTCCTCTAGACTTGGGACAGTGTTCTCGGGGCATCTCTGGAGTTGCCTGAAGGAAGTCGAGCCACCGGTCGTGTTGAATGGGGAACGGGGAATGGCTCTGGAGTCAATGCAGGGGAATCGGGCCTCATCTCGAGTTGATTTGGGGCACATGGAGCTGCTTTGCGTTGCTGGGGTGACCTCAGGGTCCGTCTAGACTGGTGACAGTGTTCTTGGGGACTGTCTCGAGATCCATTAAGCAAGTCGAAGCTCCTGACTTGTTTGAATGGGATCACGGAATAGCTCTGCATGCACTGCAGGGGAATGGGGCCTCATCTCGCCTCTAGGGGGAAGTCTCATGGTTTTTCTCGAGTTGCGGCGGGGACCTGGGGTATGTTCTCGACTTACGGCGGGGATGGCCCTTCAAGACACGAGTTTCTTCAGTGACCTCAGGACTCGTGTCTAGTAATGAGGGACACCTCAGGAATCTCTTCGAGGCTTGGCAGGGCAAAAGGGACGCTTCTCGAGGTGAGGCAGGGCACCCAAGGACCCTTTCCAGTAGCCACAGGGATTTTGGGATTCCTATCAGTATTCAAGAGGAGTCAGGCATCGTCACCTTTTGAAGCAATGAACTCCGCGTGCCTCTCGAGGTGTCAGCGGGATGTGAGGCATTCCGTCAAAATGAGGCAGGGACCTAGGGCTTTCTCTAAGGTCTCCACAGGGGATTCAGACATCCCTTCATGTTGTGAGATGAAAGACGAGCCTGTATTCAAGCCACTGCAAGGAAATCCGGCCTCCTTTCAAGTTAGGGCTTCTCGCTGTATATTCCCCTTGAGGCAGCAAACTCGGGGTCCCTCCCACATACCTATTGCTGAGAGAAGCCTCCTCCTGAGGTGCTTCTGGGAAGTTGGCATACGTCTTGAGCCTAAGCCAGGGAATCAGCTCGCATCTCGAGACGATTTGGGGTACACGGAGCATTCCTCGAGTTGCTGTGCTGAAGTTGGTGTTCCTCTAGACTTGGGACAGTGTTCTCGGGGCATCTCTGGAGTTGCCTGAAGGAAGTCGAGCCACCGGTCGTGTTGAATGGGGAACGGGGAATGGCTCTGGAGTCAATGCAGGGGAATCGGGCCTCATCTCGAGTTGATTTGGGGCACATGGAGCTGCTTTGCGTTGCTGGGGTGACCTCAGGGTCCATCTAGACTGGTGACAGTGTTCTTGGGGACTGTCTCGAGATCCATTAAGCAAGTCGAAGCTCCTGACTTGTTTGAATGGGATCACGGAATAGCTCTGCATGCACTGCAGGGGAATGGGGCCTCATCTCGCCTCTAGGGGGAAGTCTCATGGTTTTTCTCGAGTTGCGGCGGGGACCTGGGGTATGTTCTCGACTTACGGCGGGGATGGCCCTTCAAAACACGAGTTTCTTCAGTGACGTCAGGACTCCTGTCTAGTATCGAGGGACAACTCAGGAATCTCTTCGAGGCTTGGCAGGGCAAAAGGGACGCTTCTCGAGGTGAGGCAGGGCACCCAAGGACCCTTTCCAGTAGCCACAGGGATTTTGGGATTCCTATCAGTATTCAAGAGGAGTCAGGCATCGTCACCTTTTGAAGCAATGAACTCCGCGTGCCTCTCGAGGTGTCAGCGGGATGTGAGGCATTCCGTCAAAATGAGGCAGGGACCTAGGGCTTTCTCTAAGGTCTCCACAGGGGATTCAGACATCCCTTCATGTTGTGAGATGAAAGACGAGCCTGTATTCAAGCCACTGCAAGGAAATCCGGCCTCCTTTCAAGTTAGGGCTTCTCGCTGTATATTCCCCTTGAGGCAGCAAACTCGGGGTCCCTCCCACATACCTATTGCTGAGAGAAGCCTCCTCCTGAGGTGCTTCTGGGAAGTTGGCATACGTCTTGAGCCTATGCCAGGGAATCAGCTCGCATCTCGAGACGATTTGGGGTACACGGAGCATTCCTCGAGTTGCTGTGCTGAAGTTGGTGTTCCTCTAGACTTGGGACAGTGTTCTCGGGGCATCTCTGGAGTTGCCTGAAGGAAGTCGAGCCACCGGTCGTGTTGAATGGGGAACGGGGAATGGCTCTGGAGTCAATGCAGGGGAATCGGGCCTCATCTCGAGTTGATTTGGGGCACATGGAGCTGCTTTGCGTTGCTGGGGTGACCTCAGGGTCCGTCTAGACTGGTGACAGTGTTCTTGGGGACTGTCTCGAGATCCATTAAGCAAGTCGAAGCTCCTGACTTGTTTGAATGGGATCACGGAATAGCTCTGCATGCACTGCAGGGGAATGGGGCCTCATCTCGCCTCTAGGGGGAAGTCTCATGATTTTTCTCGAGTTGCGGCGGGGACCTGGGGTAGGTTCTCGACTTACGGCGGGGATGGCCCTTCAAAACACGAGTTTCTTCAGTGACGTCAGGACTCCTGTCTAGTAACGAGGGACACCTCAGGAATCTCTTCGAGGCTTGGCAGGGCAAAAGGGACGCTTCTCGAGGTGAGGCAGGGCACCCAAGGACCCTTTCCAGTAGCCACAGGGATTTTGGGATTCCTATCAGTATTCAAGAGGAGTCAGGCATCGTCACCTTTTGAAGCAATGAACTCCGCGTGCCTCTCGAGGTGTCAGCGGGATGTGAGGCATTCCGTCAAAATGAGGCAGGGACCTAGGGCTTTCTCTAAGGTCTCCACAGGGGATTCAGACATCCCTTCATGTTGTGAGATGAAAGACGAGCCTGTATTCAAGCCACTGCAAGGAAATCCGGCCTCCTTTCAAGTTAGGGCTTCTCGCTGTATATTCCCCTTGAGGCAGCAAACTCGGGGTCCCTCGCACATACCTATTGCTGAGAGAAGCCTCCTCCTGAGGTGCTTCTGGGAAGTTGGCATACGTCTTGAGCCTAAGCCAGGGAATCAGCTCGCATCTCGAGACGATTTGGGGTACACGGAGCATTCCTCGATTTGCTGTGCTGAAGTTGGTGTTCCTCTAGACTTGGGACAGTGTTCTCGGGGCATCTCTGGAGTTGCCTGAAGGAAGTCGAGCCACCGGTCGTGTTGAATGGGGAACGGGGAATGGCTCTGGAGTCAATGCAGGGGAATCGGGCCTCATCTCGAGTTGATTTGGGGCACATGAAGCTGCTTTGCGTTGCTGGGGTGACCTCAGGGTCCGTCTAGACTGGTGACAGTGTTCTTGGGGACTGTCTCGAGATCCATTAAGCAAGTCGAAGCTCCTGACTTGTTTGAATGGGATCACGGAATAGCTCTGCATGCACTGCAGGGGAATGGGGCCTCATCTCGCCTCTAGGGGGAAGTCTCATGGTTTTTCTCGAGTTGCGGCGGGGACCTGGGGTATGTTCTCGACTTACGGCGGGGATGGCCCTTCAAAACACGAGTTTCTTCAGTGACGTCAGGACTCCTGTCTAGTAACGAGGGACACCTCAGGAATCTCTTCGAGGCTTGGCAGGGCAAAAGGGACGCTTCTCGAGGTGACGCAGGGCACCCAAGGACCCTTTCCAGTAGCCAGAGGGATTTTGGGATTCCTATCAGTATTCAAGAGGAGTCAGGCATCGTCACCTTTTGAAGCAACGAACTCCGCGTGCCTCTCGAGGTGTCAGCGCGATGTTAGGCATTCCGTCTAAATGAGGCAGGGACCTAGGGCTTTCTCTAAGGTCTCCACAGGGGATTCAGACATCCCTTCATGTTGTGAGATGAAAGACGAGCCTGTATTCAAGCCACTGCAAGGAAATCCGGCCTCCTTTCAAGTTAGGGCTTCTCGCTGTATATTCCCCTTGAGGCAGCAAACTCGGGGTCCCTCCCACATACCTATTGCTGAGAGAAGCCTCCTCCTGAGGTGCTTCTGGGAAGTCGGCATACGTCTTGAGCCTAAGCCAGGGAATCAGCTCGCACCTCGAGACGATTTGGAGTACACGGAGCATTCCTCGAGTTGCTGTGATGAAGTTGGTGTTCCTCTAGACTTGGGACAGTGTTCTCGGGGCATCTCTGGAGTTACCTGAAGGAAGTCGAACCACCGGTCGTGTTGAATGGGGAACGGGGAATGGCTCTGGAGTCAATGCAGGGGAATCGGGCCTCATCTCGAGTTGATTTGGGGCACATGGAGCTGCTTTGCGTTGCTGGGGTGACCTCAGGGTCCGTCTAGACTGGTGACAGTGTTCTTGGGGACTGTCTCGAGATCCATTAAGCAAGTCGAAGCTCCTGACTTGTTTGAATGGGATCACGGAATAGCTCTGCATGCACTGCAGGGGAATGGGGCCTCATCTCGCCTCTAGGGGGAAGTCTCATGGTTTTTCTCGAGTTGCGGCGGGGACCTGGGGTATGTTCTCGACTTACGGCGGGGAAGGCCTTTCAAAACACGAGTTTCTTCAGTGACGTCAGGACTCCTGTCTAGTAACGAGGGACACCTCAGGAATCTCTTCGTGGCTTGGCAGGGCAAAAGGGACGCTTCTCGAGGTGAGGCAGGGCACCCAAGGACCCTTTCCAGTAGCCACAGGGATTTTGGGATTCCTATTTGTATTCAAGAGGAGTCAGGCATCATCACCTTTTGAAGCAATGAACTCCGCGTGCCTCTCGAGGTGTCAGCGGGATGTGAGGCATTCCGTCAAAATGAGGCAGGGACCTAGGGCTTTCTCTAAGGTCTCCACAGGGGATTCAGACATCCCTTCATGTTGTGAGATGAAAGACGAGCCTGTATTCAAGCCACTGCAAGGAAATCCGGCCTCCTTTCAAGTTAGGGCTTCTCGCTTTATATTCCCCTTGAGGCAGCAAACTCGGGGTCCCTCCCACATACCTATTGCTGAGAGAAGCCTCCTCCTGAGGTGCTTCTGGGAAGTTGGCATACGTCTTGAGCCTAAGCCAGGGAATCAGCTCTCATCTCGAGACGATTTGGGGTACACGGAGCATTCCTCGAGTGGCTGTGCTGAAGTTGGTGTTCCTCTAGACTTGGGACAGTGTTCTCGGGGCATCTCTGGAGTTGCCTGAAGGAAGTCGAGCCACCGGTCGTGTTGAATGGGGAACGGGGAATGGCTCTGGAGTCAATGCAGGGGAATCGGGCCTCATCTCGAGTTGATTTGGGGCACATGGAGCTGCTTTGCGTTGCTGGGGTGACCTCAGGGTCCGTCTAGACTGGTGACAGTGTTCTTGGGGACTGTCTCGAGATCCATTAAGCAAGTCGAAGCTCCTGACTTGTTTGAATGGGATCACGGAATAGCTCTGCATGCACTGCAGGGGAATGGGGCCTCATCTCGCCTCTAGGGGGAAGTCTCATGGTTTTTCTCGAGTTGCGGCGGGGACCTGGGGTATGTTCTCGACTTACGGCGGGGATGGCCCTTCAAGACACGAGTTTCCTCAGTGACCTCAGGACTCGTGTCTAGTAAGGAGGGACACCTCAGGAATCTCTTCGAGGCTTGGCAGGGCAAAAGGGACGCTTCTCGAGGTGAGGCAGGGCACCCAAGGACCCTTTCCAGTAGCCACAGGGATTTTGGGATTCCTATCAGTATTCAAGAGGAGTCAGGCATCGTCACCTTTTGAAGCAATGAACTCCGCGTGCCTCTCGAGGTGTCAGCGGGATGTGAGGCATTCCGTCAAAATGAGGCAGGGACCTAGGGCTTTCTCTAAGGTCTCCACAGGGGATTCAGACATCCCTTCATGTTGTGAGATGAAAGACGAGCCTGTATTCAAGCCACTGCAAGGAAATCCGGCCTCCTTTCAAGTTAGGGCTTCTCGCTGTATATTCCCCTTGAGGCAGCAAACTCGGGGTCCCTCCCACATACCTATTGCTGAGAAAAGCCTCCTCCTGAGGTGCTTCTGGGAAGTTGGCATACGTCTTGAGCCTAAGCCAGGGAATCAGCTCGCATCTCGAGACGATTTGGGGTACACGGAGCATTCCTCGAGTTGCTGTGCTGAAGTTGGTGTTCCTCTAGACTTGGGACAGTGTTCTCGGGGCATCTCTGGAGTTGCCTGAAGGAAGTCGAGCCACCGGTCGTGTTGAATGGGGAACGGGGAATGGCTCTGGAGTCAATGCAGGGGAATCGGGCCTCATCTCGAGTTGATTTGGGGCACATGGAGCTGCTTTGCGTTGCTGGGGTGACCTCAGGGTCCGTCTAGACTGGTGACAGTGTTCTTGGGGACTGTCTCGAGATCCATTAAGCAAGTCGAAGCTCCTGACTTGTTTGAATGGGATCACGGAATAGCTCTGCATGCACTGCAGGGGAATGGGGCCTCATCTCGCCTCTAGGGGGAAGTCTCATGGTTTTTCTCGAGTTGCGGCGGGGACCTGGGGTATGTTCTCGACTTACGGCGGGGATGGCCCTTCAAAACACGAGTTTCTTCAGTGACGTCAGGACTCCTGTCTAGTAACGAGGGACAATTCAGGAATCTCTTCGAGGCTTGGCAGGGCAAAAGGGACGCTTCTCGAGGTGAGGCAGGGCACCCAAGGACCCTTTCCAGTAGCCACAGGGATTTTGGGATTCATATCAGTATTCAAGAGGAGTCAGGCATCGTCACCTTTTGAAGCAATGAACTCCGCGTGCCTCTCGAGGTGTCAGCGGGATGTGAGGCATTCCGTCAAAATGAGGCAGGGACCTAGGGCTTTCTCTAAGGTCTCCACAGGGGATTCAGACATCCCTTCATGTTGTGAGATGAAAGACGAGCCTGTATTCAAGCCACTGCAAGGAAATCCGGCCTCCTTTCAAGTTAGGTCTTCTCGCTGTATATTCCCCTTGAGGCAGCAAACTCGGGGTCCCTCGCACATACCTATTGCTGAGAGAAGCCTCCTCCTGAGGTGCTTCTGGGAAGTTGGCATACGTCTTGAGCCTAAGCCAGGGAATCAGCTCTCATCTTGAGACGATTTGGGGTACACGGAGCATTCCTCGAGTTGCTGTGCTGAAGTTGGTGTTCCTCTAGACTTGGGACAGTGTTCTCGGGGCATCTCTGGAGTTGCCTGAAGGAAGTCGAGCCACCGGTCGTGTTGAATGGGGAACGGGGAATGGCTCTGGAGTCAATGCACGGGAATCGGGCCTCATCTCGAGTTGATTTGGGGCACATGGAGCTGCTTTGCTTTGCTGGGGTGACCTCAGGGTCCGTCTAGACTGGTGACATTGTTCTTGGGGACTGTCTCGAGATCGATTAAGCAAGTCGAAGCTCCTGACTTGTTTGAATGGGATCACGGAATAGCTCTGCATGCACTGCAGGGGAATGGGGCCTCATCTCGCCTCTAGAGAGAAGTCTCATGGTTTTTCTCGAGTTGCGGCGGGGACCTGGGGTATGTTCTCGACTTACGGCGGGGATGGCCCTTCAAAACACGAGTTTCTTCAGTGACGTCAGGACTCCTGTCTAGTAACGAGGGACACCTCAGGAATCTCTTCGAGGCTTGGCAGGGCAAAAGGGATGCTTCTCGAGGTGAGGCAGGGCACCCAAGGACCCTTTCCAGTAGCCACAGGGATTTTGGGAATCCTATCAGTATTCAAGAGGAGTCAGGCATCGTCACCTTTTGAAGCAATGAACTCCGCGTGCCTCTCGAGGTGTCAGCGGGATGTGAGGCATTCCGTCAAAATGAGGCAGGGACCTAGGGCTTTCTCTAAGGTCTCCACAGGGGATTCAGACATCCCTTCATGTTGTGAGATGAAAGACGAGCCTGTATTCAAGCCACTGCAAGGAAATCCGGCCTCCTTTCAAGTTAGGGCTTCTCGCTGTATATTCCCCTTGAGGCAGCAAACTCGGGGTCCCTCCCACATACCTATTGCTGAGAGAAGCCTCCTCCTGAGGTGCTTCTGGGAAGTTGGCATACGTCTTGAGCCTATGCCAGGGAATCAGCTCGCATCTCGAGACGTTTTGGGGTACACGGAGCATTCCTCGAGTTGCTGTGCTGAAGTTGGTGTTCCTCTAGACTTGGGACAGTGTTCTCGGGGCATCTCTGGAGTTGCCTGAAGGAAGTCGAGCCACCGGTCGTGTTGAATGGGGAACGGGGAATGGCTCTGGAGTCAATGCAGGGGAATCGGGCCTCATCTCGAGTTGATTTGGGGCACATGGAGCTGCTTTGCGTTGCTGGGGTGACCTCAGGGTCCGTCTAGACTGGTGACAGTGTTCTTGGGGACTGTCTCGAGATCCATTAAGCAAGTCGAAGCTCCTGACTTGTTTGAATGGGATCACGGAATAGCTCTGCATGCACTGCAGGGGAATGGGGCCTCATCTCGCCTCTAGGGGGAAGTCTCATGATTTTTCTCGAGTTGCGGCGGGGACCTGGGGTAGGTTCTCGACTTACGGCGGGGATGGCCCTTCAAAACACGAGTTTCTTGAGTGACGTCAGGACTCCTGTCTAGTAACGAGGGACACCTCAGGAATCTCTTCGAGGCTTGGCAGGGCAAAAGGGACGCTTCTCGAGGTGAGGCAGGGCACCCAAGGACCCTTTCCAGTAGCCACAGGGATTTTGGGATTCCTATCAGTATTCAAGAGGAGTCAGGCATCGTCACCTTTTGAAGCAATGAACTCCGCGTGCCTCTCGAGGTGTCAGCGGGATGTGAGGCATTCCGTCAAAATGAGGCAGGGACCTAGGGCTTTCTCTAAGGTCTCCACAGGGGATTCAGACATCCCTTCATGTTGTGAGATGAAAGACGAGCCTGTATTCAAGCCACTGCAAGGAAATCCGGCCTCCTTTCAAGTTAGGGCTTCTCGCTGTATATTCCCCTTGAGGCAGCAAACTCGGGGTCCCTCCCACATACCTATTGCTGAGAAATGCCTCCTCCTGAGGTGCTTCTGGGAAGTTGGCATACGTCTTGAGCCTAAGCCAGGGAATCAGCTCGCATCTCGAGACGATTTGGGGTACACGGAGCATTCCTCGAGTTGCTGTGCTGAAGTTGGTGTTCCTCTAGACTTGGGACAGTGTTCTCGGGGCATCTCTGGAGTTGCCTGAAGGAAGTCGAGCCACCGGTCGTGTTGAATGGGGAACGGGGAATGGCTCTGGAGTCAATGCAGGGGAATCGGGCCTCATCTCGAGTTGATTTGGGGCACATGGAGCTGCTTTGCGTTGCTGGGGTGACCTCAGGGTCCGTCTAGACTGGTGACAGTGTTCTTGGGGACTGTCTCGAGATCCATTAAGCAAGTCGAAGCTCCTGACTTGTTTGAATGGGATCACGGAATAGCTCTGCATGCACTGCAGGGGAATGGGGCCTCATCTCGCCTCTAGGGGGAAGTCTCATGATTTTTCTCGAGTTGCGGCGGGGACCTGGGGTATGTTCTCGACTTACGGCGGGGATGGCCCTTCAAAACACGAGTTTCTTCAGTGACGTCAGGACTCCTGTCTAGTAACGAGGGACACCTCAGGAATCTCTTCGAGGCTTGGCAGGGCAAAAGGGACGCTTCTCGAGGTGAGGCAGGGCACCCAAGGACCCTTTCCAGTAGCCACAGGGATTTTGGGATTCCTATCAGTATTCAAGAGGAGTCAGGCATCGTCACCTTTTGAAGCAATGAACTCCGCGTGCCTCTCGAGGTGTCAGCGGGATGTGAGGCATTCCGTCAAAATGAGGCAGGGACCTAGGGCTTTCTCTAAGGTCTCCACAGGGGATTCAGACATCCCTTCATGTTGTGAGATGAAAGACGAGCCTGTATTCAAGCCACTGCAAGGAAATCCGGCCTCCTTTCAAGTTAGGGCTTCTCGCTGTATATTCCCCTTGAGGCAGCAAACTCGGGGTCCCTCGCACATACCTATTGCTGAGAGAAGCCTCCTCCTGAGGTGCTTCTGGGAAGTCGGCATACGTCTTGAGCCTAAGCCAGGGAATCAGCTCGCATCTCGAGACGATTTGGGGTACACGGAGCATTCCTCGAGTTGCTGTGCTGAAGTTGGTGTTCCTCTAGACTTGGGACAGTGTTCTCGGGGCATCTCTGGAGTTGCCTGAAGGAAGTCGAGCCACCGGTCGTGTTGAATGGGGAACGGGGAATGGCTCTGGAGTCAATGCAGGGGAATCGGGCCTCATCTCGAGTTGATTTGGGGCACATGGAGCTGCTTTGCGTTGCTGGGGTGACCTCAGGGTCCGTCTAGACTGGTGACAGTGTTCTTGGGGACTGTCTCGAGATCCATTAAGCAAGTCGAAGCTCCTGACTTGTTTGAATGGGATCACGGAATAGCTCTGCATGCACTGCAGGGGAGTGGGGCCTCATCTCGCCTCTAGGGGGAAGTCTCATGGTTTTTCTCGAGTTGCGGCGGGGACCTGGGGTATGTTCTCGACTTACGGCGGGGATGGCCCTTCAAAACACGAGTTTCTTCAGTGACATCAGGACTCCTGTCTAGTAACGAGGGACACCTCAGGAATCTCTTCGAGGCTTGGCAGGGCAAAAGGGACGCTTCTCGAGGTGAGGCAGGGCACCCAAGGACCCTTTCCAGTAGCCACAGGGATTTTGGGATTCCTATCAGTATTCAAGAGGAGTCAGGCATCGTCACCTTTTGAAGCAATGAACTCCGCGTGCCTCTCGAGGTGTCAGCGGGATGTGAGGCATTCCGTCAAAATGAGGCAGGGACCTAGGGCTTTCTCTAAGGTCTCCACAGGGGATTCAGACATCCCTTCATGTTGTGAGATGAAAGACGAGCCTGTATTCAAGCCACTGCAAGGAAATCCGGCCTCCTTTCAAGTTAGGGCTTCTCGCTGTATATTCCCCTTGAGGCAGCAAACTCGGGGTCCCTCCCACATACCTATTGCTGAGAGAAGCCTCCTCCTGAGGTGCTTCTGGGAAGTTGGCATACGTCTTGAGCCTAAGCCAGGGAATCAGCTCGCATCTCGAGACGATTTGGGGTACACGGAGCATTCCTCGAGTTGCTGTGCTGAAGTTGGTGTTCCTCTAGACTTGGGACAGTGTTCTCGGGGCATCTCTGGAGTTGCCTGAAGGAAGTCGAGCCACCGGTCGTGTTGAATGGGGAACGGGGAATGGCTCTGGAGTCAATGCAGGGGAATCGGGCCTCATCTCGAGTTGATTTGGGGCACATGGAGCTGCTTTGCGTTGCTGGGGTGACCTCAGGGTCCGTCTAGACTGGTGACAGTGTTCTTGGGGACTGTCTCGAGATCCATTAAGCAAGTCGAAGCTCCTGACTTGTTTGAATGGGATCACTTAATAGCTCTGCATGCACTGCAGGGGAATGGGGCCTCATCTCGCCTCTAGGGGGAAGTCTCATGGTTTTTCTCGAGTTGCGGCGGGGACCTGGGGTATGTTCTCGACTTACGGCGGGGATGGCCCTTCAAAACACGAGTTTCTTCAGTGACGTCAGGACTCCTGTCTAGTAACGAGAGACACCTCAGGAATCTCTTCGAGGCTTGGCAGGGCAAAAGGGACGCTTCTCGAGGTGAGGCAGGGCACCCAAGGACCCTTTCCAGTAGCCACAGGGATTTTGGGATTCCTATCAGTATTCAAGAGGAGTCAGGCATCGTCACCTTTTGAAGCAATGAACTCCGCGTGCCTCTCGAGGTGTCAGCGGGATGTGAGGCATTCCGTCAAAATGAGGCAGGGACCTAGGGCTTTCTCTAAGGTCTCCACAGGGGATTCAGACATCCCTTCATGTTGTGAGATGAAAGACGAGCCTGTATTCAAGCCACTGCAAGGAAATCCGGCCTCCTTTCAAGTTAGGGCTTCTCGCTGTATATTCCCCTTGAGGCAGCAAACTCGGGGTCCCTCCCACATACCTATTGCTGAGAGAAGCCTCCTCCTGAGGTGCTTCTGGGAAGTTGGCATACGTCTTGAGCCTAAGCCAGGGAATCAGCTCTCATCTTGAGACGATTTGGGGTACACGGAGCATTCCTCGAGTTGCTGTGCTGAAGTTGGTGTTCCTCTAGACTTGGGACAGTGTTCTCGGGGCATCTCTGGAGTTGCCTGAAAGAAGTCGAGCCACCGGTCGTGTTGAATGGGGAACGGGGAATGGCTCTGGAGTCAATGCACCGGAATCGGGCCTCATCTCGAGTTGATTTGGGGCACATGGAGCTGCTTTGCTTTGCTGGGGTGACCTCAGGGTCCGTCTAGACTGGTGACATTGTTCTTGGGGACTGTCTCGAGATCCATTAAGCAAGTCGAAGCTCCTGACTTGTTTGAATGGGATCACGGAATAGCTCTGCATGCACTGCAGGGGAAGGGGCCTCATCTCGCCTCTAGAGAGAAGTCTCATGGTTTTTCTCGAGTTGCGGCGGGGACCTGGGGTATGTTCTCGACTTACGGCGGGGATGGCCCTTCAAAACACGAGTTTCTTCAGTGACGTCAGGACTCCTGTCTAGTAACGAGGGAAACCTCAGGAATCTCTTCGAGGCTTGGCAGGGCAAAAGGGATGCTTCTCGAGGTGAGGCAGGGCACCCAAGGACCCTTTCCAGTAGCCACAGGGATTTTGGGAATCCTATCAGTATTCAAGAGGAGTCAGGCATCGTCACCTTTTGAAGCAATGAACTCCGCGTGCCTCTCGAGGTGTCAGCGGGATGTGAGGCATTCCGTCAAAATGAGGCAGGGACCTAGGGCTTTCTCTAAGGTCTCCACAGGGGATTCAGACATCCCTTCATGTTGTGAGATGAAAGACGAGCCTGTATTCAAGCCACTGCAAGGAAATCCGGCCTCCTTTCAAGTTAGGGCTTCTCGCTGTATATTCCCCTTGAGGCAGCAAACTCGGGGTCCCTCCCACATACCTATTGCTGAGAGAAGCCTCCTCCTGAGGTGCTTCTGGGAAGTTGGCATACGTCTTGAGCCTATGCCAGGGAATCAGCTCGCATCTCGAGACGATTTGGGGTACACGGAGCATTCCTCGAGTTGCTGTGCTGAAGTTGGTGTTCCTCTAGACTTGGGACAGTGTTCTCGGGGCATCTCTGGAGTTGCCTGAAGGAAGTCGAGCCACCGGTCGTGTTGAATGGGGAACGGGGAATGGCTCTGGAGTCAATGCAGGGGAATCGGGCCTCATCTCGAGTTGATTTGGGGCACATGGAGCTGCTTTGCGTTGCTGGGGTGACCTCAGGGTCCGTCTAGACTGGTGACAGTGTTCTTGGGGACTGTCTCGAGATCCATTAAGCAAGTCGAAGCTCCTGACTTGTTTGAATGGGATCACGGAATAGCTCTGCATGCACTGCAGGGGAATGGGGCCTCATCTCGCCTCTAGGGGGAAGTCTCATGATTTTTCTCGAGTTGCGGCGGGGACCTGGGGTAGGTTCTCGACTTACGGCGGGGATGGCCCTTCAAAACACGAGTTTCTTCAGTGACGTCAGGACTCCTGTCTAGTAACGAGGGACACCTCAGGAATCTCTTCGAGGCTTGGCAGGGCAAAAGGGACGCTTCTCGAGGTGAGGCAGGGCACCCAAGGACCCTTTCCAGTACCCACAGGGATTTTGGGATTCCTATCAGTATTCAAGAGGAGTCAGGCATCGTCACCTCTTGAAGCAATGAAGTCCGCGTGCCTCTCGAGGTGTCAGCGGGATGTGAGGCATTCCGTCAAAATGAGGCAGGGACCTAGGGCTTTCTCTAAGGTCTCCACAGGGGATTCAGACATCCCTTCATGTTGTGAGATGAAAGACGAGCCTGTATTCAAGCCACTGCAAGGAAATCCGGCCTCCTTTCAAGTTAGGGCTTCTCGCTGTATATTCCCCTTCAGGCAGCAAACTCGGGGTCCCTCCCACATACCTATTGCTGAGAGAAGCCTCCTCCTGAGGTGCTTCTGGGAAGTTGGCATACGTCTTGAGCCTAAGCCAGGGAATCAGCTCGCATCTCAAGACGATTTGGGGTACACGGAGCATTCCTCGAGTTGCTGTGCTGAAGTTGGTGTTCCTCTAGACTTGGGACAGTGTTCTCGGGGTATCTCTGGAGTTGCCTGAAAGAAGTCGAGCCACCGGTCGTGTTGAATGTGGAACGGGGAATGGCTCTGGAGTCAATGCAGGGGAATCGGGCCTGATCTCGAGTTGATTTGGGGCACATGGAGCTGCTTTGCGTTGCTGGGGTGACCTCAGGGTCCGTCTAGACTGGTGACAGTGTTCTTGGGGACTGTCTCGAGATCCATTAAGCAAGTCGAAGCTCCTGACTTGTTTGAATGGGATCACGGAATAGCTCTGCATGCACTGCAGGGGAATGGGGCCTCATCTCGCCTCTAGAGGGAAGTCTCATGGTTTTTCTCGAGTTGCGGCGGGGACCTGGGGTATGTTCTCGACTTACGGCGGGGATGGCCCTTCAAAACACGAGTTTCTTCAGTGACGTCAGGACTCCTGTCTAGTAACGAGGGACACCTCAGGAATCTCTTCGAGGCTTGGCAGGGCAAAAGGGATGCTTCTCGAGTTGAGGCAGGGCACCCAAGGACCCTTTCCAGTAGCCACAGGGATTTTGGGATTCCTATCAGTATTCAAGAGGAGTCAGGCATCGTCACCTTTTGAAGCAATGAACTCCGCGTGCCTCTCGAGGTGTCAGCGGGATGTGAGGCATTCCGTCAAAATGAGGCAGGGACCTAGGGCTTTCTCTAAGGTCTCCACAGGGGATTCAGACATCCCTTCATGTTGTGAGATGAAAGACGAGCCTGTATTCAAGCCACTGCAAGGAAATCCGGCCTCCTTTCAAGTTAGGGCTTCTCGCTGTATATTCAACTTGAGGCATCAAACTCGGGGTCCCTCCCACATACCTATTGCTGAGAGAAACCTCCTCCTGAGGTGCTTCTGGGAAGTTGGCATACGTCTTGAGCCTACGCCAGGGAATCAGCTCGCATCTCGAGACGATTTGGGGTACACAGAGCATTCCTCGAGTTGCTGTGCTGAAGTTGGTGTTCCTCTAGACTTGGGACAGTGTTCTCGGGGCATCTCTGGAGTTGCCTGAAGGAAGTCGAGCCACCGGTCGTGTTGAATGGGGAACGGGGAATGGCTCTGGAGTCAATGCACGGGAATCGGGCCTCATCTCGAGTTGATTTGGGGCACATGGAGCTGCTTTGCTTTGCTGGGGTGACCTCAGGGTCCGTCTAGACTGGTGACATTGTTCTTGGGGACTGTCTCGAGATCCATTAAGCAAGTCGAAGCTCCTGACTTGTTTGAATGGGATCACGGAATAGCTCTGCATGCACTGCAGGGGAATGGGGCCTCATCTCGCCTCTAGAGAGAAGTCTCATGGTTTTTCTCGAGTTGCGGCGGGGACCTGGGGTATGTTCTCGACTTACGGCGGGGATGGCCCTTCAAAACACGAGTTTCTTCAGTGACGTCAGGACTCCTGTCTAGTAACGAGGGAAACCTCAGGAATCTCTTCGAGGCTTGGCAGGGCAAAAGGGATGCTTCTCGAGGTGAGGCAGGGCACCCAAGGACCCTTTCCAGTAGCCACAGGGATTTTGGGAATCCTATCAGTATTCAAGAGGAGTCAGGCATCGTCACCTTTTGAAGCAATGAACTCCGCGTGCCTCTCGAGGTGTCAGCGGGATGTGAGGCATTCCGTCAAAATGAGGCAGGGACCTAGGGCTTTCTCTAAGGTCTCCACAGGGGATTCAGACATCCCTTCATGTTGTGAGATGAAAGACGAGCCTGTATTCAAGCCACTGCAAGGAAATCCGGCCTCCTTTCAAGTTAGGGCTTCTCGCTGTATATTCCCCTTCAGGCAGCAAACTCGGGGTCCCTCCCACATACCTATTGCTGAGAGAAGCCTCCTCCTGAGGTGCTTCTGGGAAGTTGGCATACGTCTTGAGCCTAAGCCAGGGAATCAGCTCGCATCTCGAGACGATTTGGGGTACACGGAGCATTCCTCGAGTTGCTGTGCTGAAGTTGGTGTTCCTCTAGACTTGGGACAGTGTTCTCGGGGTATCTCTGGAGTTGCCTGAAAGAAGTCGAGCCACCGGTCGTGTTGAATGTGGAACGGGGAATGGCTCTGGAGTCAATGCAGGGGAATCGGGCCTCATCTCGAGTTGATTTGGGGCACATGGAGCTGCTTTGCGTTGCTGGGGTGACCTCAGGGTCCGTCTAGACTGGTGACAGTGTTCTTGGGGACTGTCTCGAGATCCATTAAGCAAGTCGAAGCTCCTGACTTGTTTGAATGGGATCACGGAATAGCTCTGCATGCACTGCAGGGGAATGGGGCCTCATCTCGCCTCTAGGGGGAAGTCTCATGGTTTTTCTCGAGTTGCGGCGGGGACCTGGGGTATGTTCTCGACTTACGGCGGGGATGGCCCTTCAAAACACGAGTTTCTTCAGTGACGTCAGGACTCCTGTCTAGTAACGAGGGACACCTCAGGAATCTCTTCGAGGCTTGGCAGGGCAAAAGGGACGCTTCTCGAGGTGAGGCAGGGCACCCAAGGACCCTTTCCAGTAGCCACAGGGATTTTGGGATTCCTATCAGTATTCAAGAGGAGTCTGGCATCGTCACCTTTTGAAGCAATGAACTCCGCGTGCCTCTCGAGGTGTCAGCGCGATGTGAGGCATTCCGTCAAAATGAGGCAGGGACCTAGGGCTTTCTCTAAGGTCTCCACAGGGGATTCAGACATCCCTTCATGTTGTGAGATGAAAGACGAGCCTGTATTCAAGCCACTGCAAGGAAATCCGGCCTCCTTTCAAGTTAGGGCTTCTCGCTGTATATTCCCCTTGAGGCAGCAAACTCGGGGTCCCTCGCACATACCTATTGCTGAGAGAAGCCTCCTCCTGAGGTGCTTCTGGGAAGTTGGCATACGTCTTGAGCCTAAGCCAGGGAATCAGCTCTCATCTCGAGACGATTTGGGGTACACGGAGCATTCCTCGAGTTGCTGTGCTGAAGTTGGTGTTCCTCTAGACTTGGGACAGTGTTCTCGGGGCATCTCTGGAGTTGCCTGAAGGAAGTCGAGCCACCGGTCGTGTTGAATGGGGAACGGGGAATGGCTCTCCAGTCAATGCACGGGAATCGGGCCTCATCTCGAGTTGATTTGGGGCACATGGAGCTGCTTTGCTTTGCTGGGGTGACCTCAGGGTCCGTCTAGACTGGTGACAGTGTTCTTGGGGACTGTCTCGAGATCCATTAAGCAAGTCGAAGCTCCTGACTTGTTTGAATGGGATCACGGAATAGCTCTGCATGCACTGCAGGGGAATGGGGCCTCATCTCGCCTCTAGAGGGAAGTCTCATGGTTTTTCTCGAGTTGCGGCGGGGACCTGGGGTATGTTCTCGACTTACGGCGGGGATGGCCCTTCAAAACACGAGTTTCTTCAGTGACGTCAGGACTCCTGTCTAGTAACGAGGGACACCTCAGGAATCTCTTCGAGGCTTGGCAGGGCAAAAGGGATGCTTCTCGAGTTGAGGCAGGGCACCCAAGGACCCTTTCCAGTAGCCACAGGGATTTTGGGATTCCTATCAGTATTCAAGAGGAGTCAGGCATCGTCACCTTTTGAAGCAATGAACTCCGCGTGCCTCTCGAGGTGTCAGCGGGATGTGAGGCATTCCGTCAAAATGAGGCAGGGACCTAGGGCTTTCTCTAAGGTCTCCACAGGGGATTCAGACATCCCTTCATGTTGTGAGATGAAAGACGAGCCTGTATTCAAGCCACTGCAAGGAAATCCGGCCTCCTTTCAAGTTAGGGCTTCTCGCTGTATATTCAACTTGAGGCATCAAACTCGGGGTCCCTCCCACATACCTATTGCTGAGAGAAACCTCCTCCTGAGGTGCTTCTGGGAAGTTGGCATACGTCTTGAGCCTACGCCAGGGAATCAGCTCGCATCTCGAGACGATTTGGGGTACACGGAGCATTCCTCGAGTTGCTGTGCTGAAGTTGGTGTTCCTCTAGACTTGGGACAGTGTTCTCGGGGCATCTCTGGAGTTGCCTGAAGGAAGTCGAGCCACCGGTCGTGTTGAATGGGGAACGGGGAATGGCTCTGGAGTCAATGCAGGGGAATCGGGCCTCATCTCGAGTTGATTTGGGGCACATGGGGCTGCTTTGCGTTGCTGGGGTGACCTCATGGTCCGTCTAGACTGGTGACAGTGTTCTTGGGGACTGTCTCGAGATCCATTAAGCAAGTCGAAGCTCCTGACTTGTTTGAATGGGATCACGGAATAACTCTGCATGCACTGCAGGGGAATGGGGCCTCATCTCGCCTCTAGGGGGAAGTCTCATGGTTTTTCTCGAGTTGCGGCGGGGACCTGGGGTATGTTCTCGACTTACGGTGGGGATGGCCCTTCAAAACACGAGTTTCTTCAGTGACGTCAGGACTCCTGTCTAGTAATGAGGGACACCTCAGGAATCTCTTCGAGGCTTGGCAGGGCAAAAGGGACGCTTCTCGAGGTGAGGCAGGGCACCCAAGGACCCTTTCCAGTAGCCACAGGGATTTTGGGATTCCTATCAGTATTCAAGAGGAGTCAGGCATCGTCACCTTTTGAAGCAATGAACTCCGCGTGCCTCTCGAGGTGTCAGCGGGATGTGAGGCATTCCTTAAAAATGAGGCAGGGACCTAGGGCTTTCTCTAAGGTCTCCACAGGGGATTCAGACATCCCTTCATGTTGTGAGATGAAAGACGAGCCTGTATTCAAGCCACTGCAAGGAAATCCGGCCTCCTTTCAAGTTAGGGCTTCTCGCTGTATATTCCCCTTGAGGCAGCAAACTCGGGGTCCCTCCCACATACCTATTGCTGAGAGAAGCCTCCTCCTGAGGTGCTTCTGGGAAGTTGGCATACGTCTTGAGCCTAAGCCAGGGAATCAGCTCGCATCTCGAGACGATTTGGGGTACACGGAGCATTCCTCGAGTTGCTGTGCTGAAGTTGGTGTTCCTCTAGACTTGGGACAGTGTTCTCGGGGCATCTCTGGAGTTGCCTGAAGGAAGTCGAGCCACCGGTCGTGTTGAATGGGGAACGGGGAATGGCTCTGGAGTCAATGCAGGGGAATCGGGCCTCATCTCGAGTTGATTGGGGGCACATGGAGCTGCTTTGCATTGCTGGGGTGACCTCAGGGTCCGTCTAGTCTGGTGACAGTGTTCTTGGGGACTGTCTCGAGATCCATTAAGCAAGTCGAAGCTCCTGTCTTGTTTGAATGGGATCACGGAATAGCTCTGCATGCACTGCAGGGGAATGGGGCCTCATCTCGCCTCTAGGGGGAAGTCTCATGGTTTTTCTCGAGTTGCGGCGGGGACCTGGGGTATGTTCTCGACTTACGGCGGGGATGGCCCTTCAAAACACGAGTTTCTTCAGTGACGTCAGGACTCCTGTCTAGTAACGAGGGACACCTCAGGAATCTCTTCGAGGCTTGGCAGGGCAAAAGGGACGCTTCTCGAGGTGAGGCAGGGCACCCAAGGACCATTTCCAGTAGCCACAGGGATTTTGGGATTCCTATCAGTATTCAAGAGGAGTCAGGCATCGTCACCTTTTGAAGCAATGAACTCCGCGTGCCTCTCGAGGTGTCAGCGGGATGTGAGGCATTCCGTCAAAATGAGGCAGGGACCTAGGGCTTTCTCTAAGGTCTCCACAGGGGATTCAGACATCCCTTCATGTTGTGAGATGAAAGACGAGCCTGTATTCAAGCCACTGCAAGGAAATCCGGCCTCCTTTCAAGTTAGGGCTTCTCGCTGTATATTCCCCTTGAGGCAGCAAACTCGGGGTCCCTCCCACATACCTATTGCTGAGAGAAGCCTCCTCCTGAGGTGCTTCTGGGAAGTTGGCATACGTCTTGAGCCTAAGCCAGGGAATCAGCTCTCATCTCGAGACGATTTGGGGTACACGGAGCATTCCTCGAGTTGCTGTGCTGAAGTTGGTGTTCCTCTAGACTTGGGACAGTGTTCTCAGGGCATCTCTGGAGTTGCCTGAAGGAAGTCGAGCCACCGGTCGTGTTGAATGGGGAACGGGGAATGGCTCTGGAGTCAATGCAGGGGAATTGGGCCTCATCTCGAGTTGATTTGGGGCACATGGAGCTGCTTTGCTTTGCTGGGGTGACCTCAGGGTCCGTCTAGACTGGTGACATTGTTCTTGGGGACTGTCTCGAGATCCATTAAGCAAGTCGAAGCTCCTGACTTGTTTGAATGCGATCACGGAATAGCTCTGCATGCACTGCAGGGGAATGGGGCCTCATCTCGCCTCTAGAGGGAAGTCTCATGGTTTTTCTCGAGTTGTGGCGGGGACCTGGGGTATGTTCTCGACTTACGGCGGGGATGGCCCTTCAAAACACGAGTTTCTTCAGTGACGTCAGGACTCCTGTCTAGTAACGAGGGACACCTCAGGAATCTCTTCGAGGCATGGCAGGGCAAAAGGGACGCTTCTCGAGGTGAGGCAGGGCACCCAAGGACCCTTTCCAGTAGCCACAGGGATTTTGGGATTCCTATCAGTATTCAAGAGGAGTCAGGCATTGTCACCTTTTGAAGCAATGAACTCCGCGTGCCTCTCGAGGTGTCAGCGGGATGTGAGGCATTCCGTCAAAATGAGGCAGGGACCTAGGGCTTTCTCTAAGGTCTCCTCAGGGGATTCAGATATCCCTTCATGTTGTGAGATGAAAGACGATCCTGTATTCAAGCCACTGCAAGGAAATCCGGCCTCCTTTCAAGTTAGGGCTTCTCGCTGTATATTCCCCTTGAGGCAGCAAACTCGGGGTCCCTCCCACATACCTATTGCTGAGAGAAGCCTCCTCCTGAGGTGCTTCTGGGAAGTTGGCAAACGTCTTGATCCTAAGCCAGGGAATCAGCTCTCATCTCGAGACGATTTGGGGTACACGGAGCATTCCTCGAGTTGCTGTGCTGAAGTTGGTGTTCCTCTAGACTTGGGACAGTGTTCTCGGGGCATCTCTGGAGTTGCCTGAAGGAAGTCGAGCCACCGGTCGTGTTGAGTGGGGAACGGGGAATGGCTCTGGAGTCAATGCAGGGGAATCGGGCCTCATCTCGAGTTGATTTGGGGCACATGGAGCTGCTTTGCTTTGCTGGGGTGACCTCAGGGTCCGTCTAGACTGGTGACATTGTTCTTGGGGACTGTCTCGAGATCCATTAAGCAAGTCGAAGCTCCTGACTTGTTTGAATGGGATCACGGAATAGCTCTGCATGCACTGCAGGGGAATGGGGCCTCATCTCGCCTCTAGGGGGAAGTCTCATGGTTTTTCTCGAGTTGCGGCGGGGACCTGGGGTATGTTCTCGACTTACGGCGGGGATGGCCCTTCAAAACACGAGTTTCTTCAGTGACGTCAGGACTCCTGTCTAGTAACGAGGGACACCTCAGGAATCTCTTCGAGGCTTGGCAGGGCAAAAGGGACGCTTCTCGAGGTGAGGCAGGGCACCCAAGGACCCTTTTCAGTAGCCACAGGGATTTTGGGATTCCTATCAGTATTCAAGAGGAGTCAGGCATCGTCACCTTTTGAAGCAATGAACTCCGCGTGCCTCTCGAGGTGTCAGCGCGATGTGAGGCATTCCGTCAAAATGAGGCAGGGACCTAGGGCTTTCTCTAAGGTCTCCACAGGGGATTCAGACATCCCTTCATGTTGTGAGATGAAAGACGAGCCTGTATTCAAGCCACTGCAAGGAAATCCGGCCTCCTTTCAAGTTAGGGCTTCTCGCTGTATATTCCCCTTGAGGCAGCAAACTCGGGGTCCCTCCCACATACCTATTGCTGAGAGAAGCCTCCTCCTGAGGTGCTTCTGGGAAGTCGGCATACGTCTTGAGCCTAAGCCAGGGAATCAGCAAGCACCTCGAGACGATTTGGGGTACACGGAGCATTCCTCGAGTTGCTGTGCTGAAGTTGGTGTTCCTCTAGACTTGGGACAGTGTTCTCGGGGCATCTCTGGAGTTGCCTGAAGGAAGTTGAGCCACCGTTCGTGTTGAATGGGGAACGGGGAATGGCTCTGGAGTCAATGCAGGGGAATCGGGCCTCATCTCGAGTTGATTTGGGGCACATGGAGCTGCTTTGCGTTGCTGGGGTGACCTCAGGGTCCGTCTAGACTGTTGACAGTGTTCTTGGGTACTGTCTCGAGATCCATTAAGCAAGTCGAAGCTCCTGACTTGTTTGAAAGGGATCACGGAATAGCTCTGCATGCACTGCAGGGGAATGGGGCCTCATCTCGCCTCTAGGGGGAAGTCTCATGGTTTTTCTCGAGTTGCGGCGGGGACCTGGGGTATGTTCTCGACTTACGGCGGGGATGGCCCTTCAAAACACGAGTTTCTTCAGTGACGTCAGGACTCCTGTCTAGTAACGAGGGACACCTCAGGAATCTCTTCGAGGCTTGGCAGGGCAAAAGGGACGCTTCTCGAGGTGAGGCAGGGCACCCAAGGACCCTTTCCAGTAGCCACAGGGATTTTGGGATTCCTATCAGTATTCAAGAGGAGTCAGGCATTGTCACCTTTTGAAGCAATGAACTCCGCGTGCCTCTCGAGGTGTCAGCGGGATGTGAGGCATTCCGTCAAAATGAGGCAGGGACCTAGGGCTTTCTCTAAGGTCTCCTCAGGGGATTCAGATATCCCTTCATGTTGTGAGATGAAAGACGATCCTGTATTCAAGCCACTGCAAGGAAATCCGGCCTCCTTTCAAGTTAGGGCTTCTCGCTGTATATTCCCCTTGAGGCAGCAAACTCGGGGTCCCTCCCACATACCTATTGCTGAGAGAAGCCTCCTCCTGAGGTGCTTCTGGGAAGTTGGCAAACGTCTTGAGCCTAAGCCAGGGAATCAGCTCTCATCTCGAGACGATTTGGGGTACACGGAGCATTCCTCGAGTTGCTGTGCTGAAGTTGGTGTTCCTCTAGACTTGGGACAGTGTTCTCGGGGCATCTCTGGAGTTGCCTGAAGGAAGTCGAGCCACCGGTCGTGTTGAATGGGGAACGGGGAATGGCTCTGGAGTCAATGCAGGGGAATCGGGCCTCATCTCGAGTTGATTTGGGGCACATGGAGCTGCTTTGCTTTGCTGGGGTGACCTCAGGGTCCGTCTAGACTGGTGACATTGTTCTTGGGGACTGTCTCGAGATCCATTAAGCAAGTTGAAGCTCCTGACTTGTTTGAATGGGATCACGGAATAGCTCTGCATGCACTGCAGGGGAATGGGGCCTCATCTCGCCTCTAGGGGGAAGTCTCATGGTTTTTCTCGAGTTGCGGCGGGGACCTGGGGTATGTTCTCGACTTACGGCGGGGATGGCCCTTCAAAACACGAGTTTCTTCAGTGACGTCAGGACTCCTGTCTAGTAACGAGGGACACCTCAGGAATCTCTTCGAGGCTTGGCAGGGCAAAAGGGACGCTTCTCGAGGTGAGGCAGGGCACCCAAGGACCCTTTCCAGGAGCCACAGGGATTTTGGGATTCCTATCAGTATTCAAGAGGAGTCAGGCCTCGTCACCTTTTGAAGCAATGAACTCCGTGTGCCTCTCGAGGTGTCAGCGCGATGTGAGGCATTCCGTCAAAATGAGGCAGGGACCTAGGGCTTTCTCTAAGGTCTCCACAGGGGATTCAGACATCCCTTCATGTTGTGAGATGAAAGACGAGCCTGTATTCAAGCCACTGCAAGGAAATCCGGCCTCCTTTCAAGTTAGGGCTTCTCGCTGTATATTCCCCTTGAGGCAGCAAACTCGGGGTCCCTCCCACATACCTATTGCTGAGAGAAGCCTCCTCCTGAGGTGCTTCTGGGAAGTCGGCATACGTCTTGAGCCTAAGCCAGGGAGTCAGCTCGCACCTCGAGACGATTTGGGGTACACGGAGCATTCCTCGAGTTGCTGTGCTGAAGTTGGTGTTCCTCTAGACTTGGGACAGTGTTCTCGGGGCATCTCTGGAGTTGCCTGAAGGAAGTCGAGCCACCGGTCGTGTTGAATGGGGAACGGGGAATGGCTCTGGAGTCAATGCAGGGGAATCGGGCCTCATCTCGAGTTGATTTGGGGCACATGGAGCTGCTTTGCGTTGCTGGGGTGACCTCAGGGTCCGTCTAGACTGGTGACAGTGTTCTTGGGGACTGTCTCGAGATCCATTAAGCAAGTCGAAGCTCCTGACTTGTTTGAATGGGATCACGGAATAGCTCTGCATGCACTGCAGGGGAATGGGGCCTCATCTCGCCTCTAGGGGGAAGTCTCATGGTTTTTCTCGAGTTGCGGCGGGGACCTGGGGTATGTTCTCGACTTACGGCGGGGATGGCCCTTCAAAACACGAGTTTCTTCAGTGACGTCAGGACTCCTGTCTAGTAACGAGGGACACCTCAGGAATCTCTTCGAGGCTTGGCAGGGCAAAAGGGACGCTTCTCGAGGTGAGGCAGGGCACCCAAGGACCCTTTCCAGTAGCCACAGGGATTTTGGGATTCCTATCAGTATTCAAGAGGAGTCAGGCATCATCACCTTTTGAAGCAATGAACTCCGCGTGCCTCTCGAGGTGTCAGCGGGATGTGAGGCATTCCGTCAAAATGAGGCAGGGACCTAGGGCTTTCTCTAAGGTCTCCACAGGGGATTCAGATATCCCTTCATGTTGTGAGATGAAAGACGAGCCTGTATTCAAGCCACTGCAAGGAAATCCGGCCTCCTTTCAAGTTAGGGCTTCTCGCTGTATATTCCCCTTGAGGCAGCAAACTCGGGGTCCCTCCCACATACCTATTGCTGAGAGAAGCCTCCTCCTGAGGTGCTTCTGGGAAGTCGGCATACGTCTTGAGCCTAAGCCAGGGAATCAGCTCGCACCTCGAGACGATTTGGGGTACACGGAGCATTCCTCGAGTTGCTGTGCTGAAGTTGGTGTTCCTCTAGACTTGGGACAGTGTTCTCGGGGCATCTCTGGAGTTGCCTGAAGGAAGTTGAGCCACCGTTCGTGTTGAATGGGGAACGGGGAATGGCTCTGGAGTCAATGCAGGGGAATCGGGCCTCATCTCGAGTTGATTTGGGGCACATGGAGCTGCTTTGCGTTGCTGGGGTGACCTCAGGGTCCGTCTAGACTGTTGACAGTGTTCTTGGGGACTGTCTCGAGATCCATTAAGCAAGTCGAAGCTCCTGACTTGTTTGAATGGGATCACGGAATAGCTCTGCATGCACTGCAGGGGAATGGGGCCTCATCTCGCCTCTAGGGGGAAGTCTCATGGTTTTTCTCGAGTTGCGGCGGGGACCTGGGGTATGTTCTCGACTTACGGCGGGGATGGCCCTTCAAAACACGAGTTTCTTCAGTGACGTCAGGACTCCTGTCTAGTAACGAGGGACACCTCAGGAATCTCTTCGAGGCTTGGCAGGGCAAAAGGGACGCTTCTCGAGGTGAGGCAGGGCACCCAAGGACCCTTTCCAGTAGCCACAGGGATTTTGGGATTCCTATCAGTATTCAAGAGGAGTCAGGCATCGTCACCTTTTGAAGCAATGAACTCCGCGTGCCTCTCGAGGTGTCAGCGGGATGTGAGGCATTCCGTCAAAATGAGGCAGGGACCTAGGGCTTTCTCTAAGGTCTCCACAGGGGATTCAGACATCCCTTCATGTTGTGAGATGAAAGACGAGCCTGTATTCAAGCCACTGCAAGGAAATCCGGCCTCCTTTCAAGTTAGGGCTTCTCGCTGTATATTCCCCTTGAGGCAGCAAACTCGGGGTCCCTCCCACATACCTATTGCTGAGAGAAGCCTCCTCCTGAGGTGCTTCTGGGAAGTTGGCATACGTCTTGAGCCTATGCCAGGGAATCAGCTCTCATTTCGAGACGATTTGGGGTACACGGAGCATTCCTCGAGTTGCTGTGCTGAAGTTGGTGTTCCTCTAGACTTGGGACAGTGTTCTCGGGGCATCTCTGGAGTTGCCTGAAGGAAGTCGAGTCACCGGTCGTGTTCAATGGGGAACGGGGAATGGCTCTGGAGTCAATGCAGGGGAATCGGGCCTCATCTCGAGTTGATTTGGGGCACACGGAGCTGCTTTGCGTTGCTGGGGTGACCTCAGGGTCCGTCTAGACTGTTGACAGTGTTCTTGGGGACTGTCTCGAGATCCATTAAGCAAGTCGAAACTCCTGACTTGTTTGAATGGGATCACGGAATAGCTCTGCATGCACTGCAGGGGAATGGGGCCTCATCTCGCCTCTAGGGGGAAGTCTCATGGTTTTTCTCGAGTTGCGGCGGGGACCTGGGGTATGTTCTCGACTTACGGCGGGGATGGCCCTTCAAAACACGAGTTTCTTCAGTGACGTCAGGACTCCTGTCTAGTAACGAGGGACACCTCAGGAATCTCTTCGAGGCTTGGCAGGGCAAAAGGGACGCTTCTCGAGGTGAGGCAGGGCACCCAAGGACCCTTTCCAGTAGCAACAGGGATTTTGGGATTCCTATCAGTATTCAAGAGGAGTCAGGCATCGTCATCTTTTGAAGCAATGAACTCCGCATGCCTCTCGAGGTGTCAGCGCGATGTGAGGCATTCCGTCAAAATGAGGCAGGGACCTAGGGCTTTCTCTAAGGTCTCCACAGGGGATTCAGACATCCCTTCATGTTGTGAGATGAAAGACGAGCCTGTATTCAAGCCACTGCAAGGAAATCCGGCCTCCTTTCAAGTTAGGGCTTCTCGCTGTATATTCCCCTTGAGGCAGCAAACTCGGGGTCCCTCGCACATACCTATTGCTGAGAGAAGCCTCCTCCTGAGGTGCTTCTGGGAAGTTGGCATACGTCTTGAGCCTAAGCCAGGGAATCAGCTCTCATCTCGAGACGATTTGGGGTACACGGAGCATTCCTCGAGTTGCTGTGCTGAAGTTGGTGTTCCTCTAGACTTGGGACAGTGTTCTCGGGGCATCTCTGGAGTTGCCTGAAGGAAGTCGAGCCACCGGTCGTGTTGAATGGGGAACGGGGAATGGCTCTGGAGTCAATGCAGGGGAATCGGGCCTCATCTCGAGTTGATTTGGGGCACATGGAGCTGCTTCGCATTGCTGGGGTGACCTCAGGGTCCGTCTAGACTGGTGACAGTGTTCTTGGGGACTGTCTCGAGATCCATTAAGCAAGTCGAAGCTCCTGACTTGTTTGAATGGGATCACGGAATAGCTCTGCATGCACTGCAGGGGAATGGGGCCTCATCTCGCCTCTAGGGGGAAGTCTCATGGTTTTTCTCGAGTTGCGGCGGGGACTTGGGGTATGTTCTCGACTTATGGCGGGGATGGCCCTTCAAAACACGAGTTTATTCAGTGACGTCAGGACTCCTGTCTAGTAACGAGGGACACCTCAGGAATCTCTTCGAGGCTTGGCAGGGCAAAAGGGACGCTTCTCGAGGTGAGGCAGGGCACCCAAGGACCCTTTCCAGGAGCCACAGGGATTTTGGGATTCCTATCAGTATTCAAGAGGAGTCAGGCCTCGTCACCTTTTGAAGCAATGAACTCCGCGTGCCTCTCGAGGTGTCAGCGGGATGTGAGGCATTCCGTCAAAATGAGGCAGGGACCTAGGGCTTTCTCTAAGGTCTCCACAGGGGATTCAGACATCCCTTCATGTTGTGAGATGAAAGACGAGCCTGTATTCAAGCCACTGCAAGGAAATCCGGCCTCCTTTCAAGTTAGGGCTTCTCGCTGTATATTCCCCTTGAGGCAGCAAACTCGGGGTCCCTCCCACATACCTATTGCTGAGAGCAGCCTCCTCCTGAGGTGCTTCTGGGAAGTTGGCATACGTCTTGAGCCTAAGCCAGGGAATCAGCTCACACCTCGAGACTATTTGGGGTACACGGAGCATTCCTCGAGTTGCTGTGCTGAAGTTGGTGTTCCTCTAGACTTGGGACAGTGTTCTCGGGGCATCTCTGGAGTTGCCTGAAGGAAGTCGAGCCACCGGTCGTGTTGAATGGGGAACAGGGAATGGCTCTGGAGTCAATGCAGGGGAATCGGGCCTCGTCTCGAGTTGATTTGGGGCACACGGAGCTGCTTTGCGTTGCTGGGGTGACCTCAGGGTCCGTCTAGACTGTTGACAGTGTTCTTGGGGACTGTCTCGAGATCCATTAAGCAAGTCGGAGCTCCTGACTTGTTTGAATGGGATCACGGAATAGCTCTGCATGCACTGCAGGGGAATGGGGCCTCATCTCGCCTCTAGGGGGAAGTCTCATGGTTTTTCTCGAGTTGCGGCGGGGACCTGGGGTATGTTCTCGACTTACGGCGGGGATGGCCCTTCAAAACACGAGTTTCTTCAGTGACGTCAGGACTCCTGTCTAGTAACGAGGGACACCTCAGGAATCTCTTCGAGGCTTGGCAGGGCAAAAGGGACGCTTCTCGAGGTGAGGCAGGGCACCCAAGGACCCTTTCCAGTAGCCACAGGGATTTTGGGATTCCTATCAGTATTCAAGAGGAGTCAGGCATCATCACCTTTTGAAGCAATGAACTCCGCGTGCCTCTCGAGGTGTCAGCGGGATGTGAGGCATTCCGTCAAAATGAGGCAGGGACCTAGGGCTTTCTCTAAGGTCTCCACAGGGGATTCAGACATCCCTTCATGTTGTGAGATGAAAGACGAGCCTGTATTCAAGCCACTGCAAGGAAATCCGGCCTCCTTTCAAGTTAGGGCTTCTCGCTGTATATTCCCCTTGAGGCAGCAAACTCGGGGTCCCTCCCACATACCTATTGCTGAGAGAAGCCTCCTCCTGAGGTGCTTCTGGGAAGTCGGCATACGTCTTGAGCCTAAGCCAGGGAATCAGCTCGCACCTCGAGACGATTTGGGGTACACGGAGCATTCCTCGAGTTGCTGTGCTGAAGTTGGTGTTCCTCTAGACTTGGGACAGTGTTCTCGGGGCATCTCTGGAGTTGCCTGAAGGAAGTTGAGCCACCGTTCGTGTTGAATGGGGAACGGGGAATGGCTCTGGAGTCAATGCAGGGGAATCGGGCCTCATCTCGAGTTGATTTGGGGCACATGGAGCTGCTTTGCGTTGCTGGGGTGACCTCAGGGTCCGTCTAGACTGTTGACAGTGTTCTTGGGGACTGTCTCGAGATCCATTAAGCAAGTCGAAGCTCCTGACTTGTTTGAATGGGATCACGGAATAGCTCTGCATGCACTGCAGGGGAATGGGGCCTCATCTCGCCTCTAGGGGGAAGTCTCATGGTTTTTCTCGAGTTGCGGCGGGGACCTGGGGTATGTTCTCGACTTACGGCGGGGATGGCCCTTCAAGACACGAGTTTCTTCAGTGACGTCAGGACTCCTGTCTAGTAACGAGGGACACCTCAGGAATCTCTTCGAGGCTTGGCAGGGCAAAAGGGACGCTTCTCGAGGTGAGGCAGGGCACCCAAGGACCCTTTCCAGTAGCCACAGGGATTTTGGGATTCCTATCAGTATTCAAGAGGAGTCAGGCATCGTCACCTTTTGAAGCAATGAACTCCGCGTGCCTCTCGAGGTGTCAGCGGGATGTGAGGCATTCCGTCAAAATGAGGCAGGGACCTAGGGCTTTCTCTAAGGTCTCCACAGGGGATTCAGACATCCCTTCATGTTGTGAGATGAAAGACGAGCCTGTATTCAAGCCACTGCAAGGAAATCCGGCCTCCTTTCAAGTTAGGGCTTCTCGCTGTATATTCCCCTTGAGGCAGCAAACTCGGGGTCCCTCCCACATACCTATTGCTGAGAGAAGCCTCCTCCTGAGGTGCTTCTGGGAAGTTGGCATACGTCTTGAGCCTAAGCCAGGGAATCAGCTCTCATTTCGAGACGATTTGGGGTACACGGAGCATTCCTCGAGTTGCTGTGCTGAAGTTGGTGTTCCTCTAGACTTGGGACAGTGTTCTCGGGGCATCTCTGGAGTTGCCTGAAGGAAGTCGAGTCACCGGTCGTGTTGAATGGGGAACGGGGAATGGCTCTGGAGTCAATGCAGGGGAATCGGGCCTCAACTCGAGTTGATTTGGGGCACATGGAGCTGCTTTGCATTGCTGGGGTGACCTCAGGGTCCGTCTAGACTGGTGACAGTGTTCTTGGGGACTGTCTCGAGATCCATTAAGCAAGTCGAAGCTCCTGACTTGTTTGAATGGGATCACGGAATAGCTCTGCATGCACTGCAGGGGAATGGGGCCCCATCTCGCCTCTAGGGGGAAGTCTCATGGTTTTTCTCGAGTTGCGGCGGGGACCTGGGGTATGTTCTCGACTTATGGCGGGGATGGCCCTTCAAGACACGAGTTTCTTCAGTGACGTCAGGACTCCTGTCTAGTAACGAGGGACACCTCAGGAATCTCTTCGAGGCTTGGCAGGGCAAAAGGGACGCTTCTCGAGGTGAGGCAGGGCACCCAAGGACCCTTTCCAGTAGCCACAGGGATTTTGGGATTCCTATCAGTATTCAAGAGGAGTCAGGCATCGTCACCTTTTGAAGCAATGAACTCCGCGTGCCTCTCGAGGTGTCAGCGGGATGTGAGGCATTCCGTCAAAATGAGGCAGGGACCTAGGGCTTTCTCTAAGGTCTCCACAGGGGATTCAGACATCCCTTCATGTTGTGAGATGAAAGACGAGCCTGTATTCAAGCCACTGCAAGGAAATCCGGCCTCCTTTCAAGTTAGGGCTTCTCGCTGTATATTCCCCTTGAGGCAGCAAACTCGGGGTCCCTCCCACATACCTATTGCTGAGAGAAGCCTCCTCCTGAGGTGCTTCTGGGAAGTTGGCATACGTCTTGAGCCTAAGCCAGGGAATCAGCTCTCATTTCGAGACGATTTGGGGTACACGGAGCATTCCTCGAGTTGCTGTGCTGAAGTTGGTGTTCCTCTAGACTTGGGACAGTGTTCTCGGGGCATCTCTGGAGTTGCCTGAAGGAAGTCGAGTCACCGGTCGTGTTGAATGGGGAACGGGGAATGGCTCTGGAGTCAATGCAGGGGAATCGGGCCTCAACTCGAGTTGATTTGGGGCACATGGAGCTGCTTTGCATTGCTGGGGTGACCTCAGGGTCCGTCTAGACTGGTGACAGTGTTCTTGGGGACTGTCTCGAGATCCATTAAGCAAGTCGAAGCTCCTGACTTGTTTGAATGGGATCACGGAATAGCTCTGCATGCACTGCAGGGGAATGGGGCCCCATCTCGCCTCTAGGGGGAAGTCTCATGGTTTTTCTCGAGTTGCGGCGGGGACCTGGGGTATGTTCTCGACTTATGGCGGGGATGGCCCTTCAAGACACGAGTTTCTTCAGTGACGTCAGGACTCCTGTCTAGTAACGAGGGACACCTCAGGAATCTCTTCGAGGCTTGGCAGGGCAAAAGGGACGCTTCTCGAGGTGAGGCAGGGCACCCAAGGACCCTTTCCAGTAGCCACAGGGATTTTGGGATTCCTATCAGTATTCAAGAGGAGTCAGGCATCGTCACCTTTTGAAGCAATGAACTCCGCGTGCCTCTCGAGGTGTCAGCGGGATGTGAGGCATTCCGTCAAAATGAGGCAGGGACCTAGGGCTTTCTCTAAGGTCTCCACAGGGGATTCAGACATCCCTTCATGTTGTGAGATGAAAGACGAGCCTGTATTCAAGCCACTGCAAGGAAATCCGGCCTCCTTTCAAGTTAGGGCTTCTCGCTGTATATTCCCCTTGAGGCAGCAAACTCGGGGTCCCTCCCACATACCTATTGCTGAGAGAAGCCTCCTCCTGAGGTGCTTCTGGGAAGTTGGCATACGTCTTGAGCCTAAGCCAGGGAATCAGCTCTCATTTCGAGACGATTTGGGGTACACGGAGCATTCCTCGAGTTGCTGTGCTGAAGTTGGTGTTCCTCTAGACTTGGGACAGTGTTCTCGGGGCATCTCTGGAGTTGCCTGAAGGAAGTCGAGTCACCGGTCGTGTTGAATGGGGAACGGGGAATGGCTCTGGAGTCAATGCAGGGGAATCGGGCCTCAACTCGAGTTGATTTGGGGCACATGGAGCTGCTTTGCATTGCTGGGGTGACCTCAGGGTCCGTCTAGACTGGTGACAGTGTTCTTGGGGACTGTCTCGAGATCCATTAAGCAAGTCGAAGCTCCTGACTTGTTTGAATGGGATCACGGAATAGCTCTGCATGCACTGCAGGGGAATGGGGCCCCATCTCGCCTCTAGGGGGAAGTCTCATGGTTTTTCTCGAGTTGCGGCGGGGACCTGGGGTATGTTCTCGACTTATGGCGGGGATGGCCCTTCAAGACACGAGTTTCTTCAGTGACGTCAGGACTCCTGTCTAGTAACGAGGGACACCTCAGGAATCTCTTCGAGGCTTGGCAGGGCAAAAGGGACGCTTCTCGAGGTGAGGCAGGGCACCCAAGGACCCTTTCCAGTAGCCACAGGGATTTTGGGATTCCTATCAGTATTCAAGAGGAGTCAGGCATCATCACCTTTTGAAGCAAGGAACTCCGCGTGCCTCTCGAGGTGTCAGCGCGATGTGAGGCATTCCGTCAAAATGAGGCAGGGACCTAGGGCTTTCTCTAAGGTCTCCACAGGGGATTCAGACATCCCTTCATGTTGTGAGATGAAAGACGAGCCTGTATTCAAGCCACTGCAAGGAAATCCGGCCTCCTTTCAAGTTAGGGCTTCTCGCTGTATATTCCCCTTGAGGCAGCAAACTCGGGGTCCCTCCCACATACCTATTGCTGAGAGAAGCCTCCTCCTGAGGTGCTTCTGGGAAGTTGGCATACGTCTTGAGCCTAAGCCAGGGAATCAGCTCGCACCTCGAGACTATTTGGGGTACACGGAGCATTCCTCGAGTTGCTGTGCTGAAGTTGGTGTTCCTCTAGACTTGGGACAGTGTTCTCGGGGCATCTCTGGAGTTGCCTGAAGGAAGTCGAGCCACCGGTCGTGTTGAATGGGGAATGGGGAATGGCTCTGGAGTCAATGCAGGGGAATCGGGCCTCATCTCGAGTTGATTTGGGGCACACAGAGCTGCTTTGCGTTGCTGGGGTGACCTCAGGGTCCGTCTAGACTGTTGACAGTGTTCTTGGGGACTGTCTCGAGATCCATTAAGCAAGTCGAAGCTCCTGACTTGTTTGAATGGGATCACGGAATAGCTCTGCATGCACTGCAGGGGAATGGGGCCTCATCTCGCCTCTAGGGGGAAGTCTCATGGTTTTTCTCGAGTTGCGGCGGGGACCTGGGGTATGTTCTCGACTTACGGCGGGGATGGCCCTTCAAAACACGAGTTTCTTCAGTGACGTCAGGACTCCTGTCTAGTAACGAGGGACACCTCAGGAATCTCTTCGAGGCTTGGCAGGGCAAAAGGGACGCTTCTCGAGGTGAGGCAGGGCACCCAAGGACCCTTTCCAGTAGCAACAGGGATTTTGGGATTCCTATCAGTATTCAAGAGGAGTCAGGCATCGTCATCTTTTGAAGCAATGAACTCCGCATGCCTCTCGAGGTGTCAGCGCGATGTGAGGCATTCCGTCAAAATGAGGCAGGGACCTAGGGCTTTCTCTAAGGTCTCCACAGGGGATTCAGACATCCCTTCATGTTGTGAGATGAAAGACGAGCCTGTATTCAAGCCACTGCAAGGAAATCCGGCCTCCTTTCAAGTTAGGGCTTCTCGCTGTATATTCCCCTTGAGGCAGCAAACTCGGGGTCCCTCGCACATACCTATTGCTGAGAGAAGCCTCCTCCTGAGGTGCTTCTGGGAAGTTGGCATACGTCTTGAGCCTAAGCCAGGGAATCAGCTCTCATCTCGAGACGATTTGGGGTACACGGAGCATTCCTCGAGTTGCTGTGCTGAAGTTGGTGTTCCTCTAGACTTGGGACAGTGTTCTCGGGGCATCTCTGGAGTTGCCTGAAGGAAGTCGAGCCACCGGTCGTGTTGAATGGGGAACGGGGAATGGCTCTGGAGTCAATGCAGGGGAATCGGGCCTCATCTCGAGTTGATTTGGGGCACATGGAGCTGCTTCGCATTGCTGGGGTGACCTCAGGGTCCGTCTAGACTGGTGACAGTGTTCTTGGGGACTGTCTCGAGATCCATTAAGCAAGTCGAAGCTCCTGACTTGTTTGAATGGGATCACGGAATAGCTCTGCATGCACTGCAGGGGAATGGGGCCTCATCTCGCCCCTAGGGGGAAGTCTCATGGTTTTTCTCGAGTTGCGGCGGGGACCTGGGGTATGTTCTCGACTTACGGCGGGGATGGCCCTTCAAAACACGAGTTTATTCAGTGACGTCAGGACTCCTGTCTAGTAACGAGGGACACCTCAGGAATCTCTTCGAGGCTTGGCAGGGCAAAAGGGACGCTTCTCGAGGTGAGGCAGGGCACCCAAGGACCCTTTCCAGGAGCCACAGGGATTTTGGGATTCCTATCAGTATTCAAGAGGAGTCAGGCCTCGTCACCTTTTGAAGCAATGAACTCCGCGTGCCTCTCGAGGTGTCAGCGGGATGTGAGGCATTCCGTCAAAATGAGGCAGGGACCTAGGGCTTTCTCTAAGGTCTCCACAGGGGATTCAGACATCCCTTCATGTTGTGAGATGAAAAACGAGTCTGTATTCAAGCCACTGCAAGGAAATCCGGCCTCCTTTCAAGTTAGGGCTTCTCGCTGTATATTCCCCTTGAGGCAGCAAACTCGGGGTCCCTCCCACATACCTATTGCTGAGAGAAGCCTCCTCCTGAGGTGCTTCTGGGAAGTTGGCATACGTCTTGAGCCTAAGCCAGGGAATCAGCTCGCACCTCGAGACTATTTGGGGTACACGGAGCATTCCTCGAGTTGCTGTGCTGAAGTTGGTGTTCCTCTAGACTTGGGACAGTGTTCTCGGGGCATCTCTGGAGTTGCCTGAAGGAAGTCGAGCCACCGGTCGTGTTGAATGGGGAACGGGGAATGGCTCTGGAGTCAATGCAGGGGAATCGGGCCTCGTCTCGAGTTGATTTGGGGCACACGGAGCTGCTTTGCGTTGCTGGGGTGACCTCAGGGTCCGTCTAGACTGTTGACAGTGTTCTTGGGGACTGTCTCGAGATCCATTAAGCAAGTCGGAGCTCCTGACTTGTTTGAATGGGATCACGGAATAGCTCTGCATGCACTGCAGGGGAATGGGGCCTCATCTCGCCTCTAGGGGGAAGTCTCATGGTTTTTCTCGAGTTGCGGCGGGGACCTGGGTTATGTTCTCGACTTACGGCGGGGATGGCCCTTCAAAACACGAGTTTCTTCAGTGACGTCAGGACTCCTGTCTAGTAACGAGGGACACCTCAGGAATCTCTTCGAGGCTTGGCAGGGCAAAAGGGACGCTTCTCGAGGTGAGGCAGGGCACCCAAGGACCCTTTCCAGTAGCCACAGGGATTTTGGGATTCCTATCAGTATTCAAGAGGAGTCAGGCATCGTCACCTTTTGAAGCAATGAACTCCGCGTGCCTCTCGAGGTGTCAGCGGGATGTGAGGCATTCCGTCAAAATGAGGCAGGGACCTAGGGCTTTCTCTAAGGTCTCCACAGGGGATTCAGACATCCCTTCATGTTGTGAGATGAAAGACGAGCCTGTATTCAAGCCACTGCAAGGAAATCCGGCCTCCTTTCAAGTTAGGGCTTCTCGCTGTATATTCCCCTTGAGGCAGCAAACTCGGGGTCCCTCCCACATACCTATTGCTGAGAGCAGCCTCCTCCTGAGGTGCTTCTGGGAAGTTGGCATACGTCTTGAGCCTAAGCCAGGGAATCAGCTCTCATCTGGAGACGATTTGGGGTACACGGAGCATTCCTCGAGTTGCTGTGCTGAAGTTGGTGTTCCTCTAGACTTGGGACAGTGTTCTCGGGGCATCTCTGGAGTTGCCTGAAGGAAGTCGAGCCACCGGTCGTGTTGAATGGGGAACGGGGAATGTCTCTGGAGTCAATGCAGGGGAATCGGGCCTCATCTCGAGTTGATTTGGGGCACATGGAGCTGCTTTGCTTTGCTGGGGTGACCTCAGGGTCCGTCTAGACTGGTGACATTGTTCTTGGGGACTGTCTCGAGATCCATTAAGCAAGTCGAAGCTCCTGACTTGTTTGAATGGGATCACGGAATAGCTCTGCATGCACTGCAGGGGAATGGGGCCTCATCTCGCCTCTAGGGAGAAGTCTCATGGTTTTTCTCGAGTTGCGGCGGGGACCTGGGGTATGTTCTCGACTTACGGCGGGGATGGCCCTTCAAAACACGAGTTTCTTCAGTGACGTCAGGACTCCTGTCTAGTAACGAGGGACACCTCAGGAATCTCTTCGAGGCTTGGCAGGGCTAAAGGGATGCTTCTCGAGGTGAGGCAGGGCACCCAAGGACCCTTTCCAGTAGCCACAGGGATTTTGGGATTCCTATCAGTATTCAAGAGGAGTCAGGCATCGTCACCTTTTGAAGCAATGAACTCCGGGTGCCTCTCGAGGTGTCAGCGGGATGTGAGGCATTCCGTCAAAATGAGGCAGGGACCTAGGGCTTTCTCTAAGGTCTCCACAGGGGATTCAGACATCCCTTCATGTTGTGAGATGAAAGACGAGCCTGTATTCAAGCCACTGCAAGGAAATCCGGCCTCCTTTCAAGTTAGGGCTTCTCGCTGTATATTCCCCTTGAGGCAGCAAACTCGGGGTCCCTCCCACATACCTATTGCTGAGAGAAGCCTCCTCCTGAGGTGCTTCTGGGAAGTTGGCATACGTCTTGAGCCTACGCCAGGGAATCAGCTCGCATCTCGAGACGATTTGGGGTACACGGAGCATTCCTCGAGTTGCTGTGCTGAAGTTGGTGTTCCTCTAGACTTGGGACAGTGTTCTCGGGGCATCTCTGGAGTTGCCTGAAGGAAGTCGAGACACCGGTCGTGTTGAATGGGGAACGGGGAATGGCTCTGGAGTCAATGCAGGGGAATCGGGCCTCATCTCGAGTTGATTTGGGGCACATGGAGCTGCTTTGCGTTGCTGGGGTGACCTCAGGGTCCGTCTAGACTGGTGACAGTGTTCTTGGGGACTGTCTCGAGATCCATTAAGCAAGTCGAAGCTCCTGACTTGTTTGAATGGGATCACGGAATAGCTCTGCATGCACTGCAGGGGAATGGGGCCTCATCTCGCCTCTAGGGGGAAGTCTCATGGTTTTTCTCGAGTTGCGGCGGGGACCTGGGGTATGTTCTCGACTTACGGCGGGGATGGCCCTTCAAAACACGAGTTTCTTCAGTGACGTCAGGACTCCTGTCTAGTAACGAGGGACACCTCAGGAATCTCTTCGAGGCTTGGCAGGGCAAAAGGGACGCTTCTCGAGGTGAGGCAGGGCACCCAAGGACCCTTTCCAGTAGCCACAGGGATTTTGGGATTCCTATCAGTATTCAAGAGGAGTCAGGCATCGTCACCTTTTGAAGCAATGAACTCCGCGTGCCTCTCGAGGTGTCAGCGGGATGTGAGGCATTCCGTCAAAATGAGGCAGGGACCTAGGGCTTTCTCTAAGGTCTCCACAGGGGATTCAGACATCCCTTCATGTTGTGAGATGAAAGACGAGCCTGTATTCAAGCCACTGCAAGGAAATCCGGCCTCCTTTCAAGTTAGGGCTTCTCGCTGTATATTCCCCTTGAGGCAGCAAACTCGGGGTCCCTCCCACATACCTATTGCTGAGAGAAGCCTCCTCCTGAGGTGCTTCTGGGAAGTCGGCATACGTCTTGAGCCTAAGCCAGGGAATCAGCTCGCACCTCGAGATGATTTGGAGTACACGGAGCATTCCTCGAGTTGCTGTGCTGAAGTTGGTGTTCCTCTAGACTTGGGACAGTGTTCTCGGGGCATCTCTGGAGTTACCTGAAGGAAGTCGAACCACCGGTCGTGTTGAATGGGGAACGGGGAATGGCTCTGGAGTCAATGCAGGGGAATCGGGCCTCATCTCGAGTTGATTTGGGGCACATGGAGCTGCTTTGCGTTGCTGGGGTGACCTCAGGGTCCGTCTAGACTGGTGACAGTGTTCTTGGGGACTGTCTCGAGATCCATTAAGCAAGTCGAAGCTCCTGACTTGTTTGAATGGGATCACGGAATAGCTCTGCATGCACTGCAGGGGAATGGGGCCTCATCTCGCCTCTAGGGGGAAGTCTCATGGTTTTTCTCGAGTTGCGGCGGGGACCTGGGGTATGTTCTCGACTTACGGCGGGGAAGGCCCTTCAAAACACGAGTTTCTTCAGTGACGTCAGGACTCCTGTCTAGTAACGAGGGACACCTCAGGAATCTCTTCGAGGCTTGGCAGGGCAAAAGGGACGCTTCTCGAGGTGAGGCAGGGCACCCAAGGACCCTTTCCAGTAGCCACAGGGATTTTGGGATTCCTATTTGTATTCAAGAGGAGTCAGGCATCATCACCTTTTGAAGCAATGAACTCCGCGTGCCTCTCGAGGTGTCAGCGGGATGTGAGGCATTCCGTCAAAATGAGGCAGGGACCTAGGGCTTTCTCTAAGGTCTCCACAGGGGATTCAGACATCCCTTCATGTTGTGAGATGAAAGACGAGCCTGTATTCAAGCCACTGCAAGGAAATCCGGCCTCCTTTCAAGTTAGGGCTTCTCGCTTTATATTCCCCTTGAGGCAGCAAACTCGGGGTCCCTCCCACATACCTATTGCTGAGAGAAGCCTCCTCCTGAGGTGCTTCTGGGAAGTTGGCATACGTCTTGAGCCTAAGCCAGGGAAACAGCTCGCATCTCGAGACGATTTGGGGTACACGGAGCCTTCCTCGAGTGGCTGTGCTGAAGTTGGTGTTCCTCTAGACTTGGGACAGTGTTCTCGGGGCATCTCTGGAGTTGCCTGAAGGAAGTCGAGCCACCGGTCGTGTTGAATGGGGAACGGGGAATGGCTCTGGAGTCAATGCAGGGGAATCGGGCCTCATCTCGAGTTGATTTGGGGCACATGGAGCTGCTTTGCGTTGCTGGGGTGACCTCAGGGTCCGTCTAGACTGGTGACAGTGTTCTTGGGGACTGTCTCGAGATCCATTAAGCAAGTCGAAGCTCCTGACTTGTTTGAATGGGATCACGGAATAGCTCTGCATGCACTGCAGGGGAATGGGGCCTCATCTCGCCTCTAGGGGGAAGTCTCATGGTTTTTCTCGAGTTGCGGCGGGGACCTGGGGTATGTTCTCGACTTACGGCGGGGATGGCCCTTCAAGACACGAGTTTCTTCAGTGACCTCAGGACTCGTGTCTAGTAATGAGGGACACCTCAGGAATCTCTTCGAGGCTTGGCAGGGCAAAAGGGACGCTTCTCGAGGTGAGGCAGGGCACCCAAGGACCCTTTCCAGTAGCCACAGGGATTTTGGGATTCCTATCAGTATTCAAGAGGAGTCAGGCATCGTCACCTTTTGAAGCAATGAACTCCGCGTGCCTCTCGAGGTGTCAGCGGGATGTGAGGCATTCCGTCAAAATGAGGCAGGGACCTAGGGCTTTCTCTAAGGTCTCCACAGGGGATTCAGACATCCCTTCATGTTGTGAGATGAAAGACGAGCCTGTATTCAAGCCACTGCAAGGAAATCCGGCCTCCTTTCAAGTTAGGGCTTCTCGCTGTATATTCCCCTTGAGGCAGCAAACTCGGGGTCCCTCCCACATACCTATTGCTGAGAGAAGCCTCCTCCTGAGGTGCTTCTGGGAAGTTGGCATACGTCTTGAGCCTAAGCCAGGGAATCAGCTCGCATCTCGAGACGATTTGGGGTACACGGAGCATTCCTCGAGTTGCTGTGCTGAAGTTGGTGTTCCTCTAGACTTGGGACAGTGTTCTCGGGGCATCTCTGGAGTTGCCTGAAGGAAGTCGAGCCACCGGTCGTGTTGAATGGGGAACGGGGAATGGCTCTGGAGTCAATGCAGGGGAATCGGGCCTCATCTCGAGTTGATTTGGGGCACATGGAGCTGCTTTGCGTTGCTGGGGTGACCTCAGGGTCCATCTAGACTGGTGACAGTGTTCTTGGGGACTGTCTCGAGATCCATTAAGCAAGTCGAAGCTCCTGACTTGTTTGAATGGGATCACGGAATAGCTCTGCATGCACTGCAGGGGAATGGGGCCTCATCTCGCCTCTAGGGGGAAGTCTCATGGTTTTTCTCGAGTTGCGGCGGGGACCTGGGGTATGTTCTCGACTTACGGCGGGGATGGCCCTTCAAAACACGAGTTTCTTCAGTGACGTCAGGACTCCTGTCTAGTATCGAGGGACAACTCAGGAATCTCTTCGAGGCTTGGCAGGGCAAAAGGGACGCTTCTCGAGGTGAGGCAGGGCACCCAAGGACCCTTTCCAGTAGCCACAGGGATTTTGGGATTCCTATCAGTATTCAAGAGGAGTCAGGCATCGTCACCTTTTGAAGCAATGAACTCCGCGTGCCTCTCGAGGTGTCAGCGGGATGTGAGGCATTCCGTCAAAATGAGGCAGGGACCTAGGGCTTTCTCTAAGGTCTCCACAGGGGATTCAGACATCCCTTCATGTTGTGAGATGAAAGACGAGCCTGTATTCAAGCCACTGCAAGGAAATCCGGCCTCCTTTCAAGTTAGGGCTTCTCGCTGTATATTCCCCTTGAGGCAGCAAACTCGGGGTCCCTCCCACATACCTATTGCTGAGAGAAGCCTCCTCCTGAGGTGCTTCTGGGAAGTTGGCATACGTCTTGAGCCTATGCCAGGGAATCAGCTCGCATCTCGAGACGATTTGGGGTACACGGAGCATTCCTCGAGTTGCTGTGCTGAAGTTGGTGTTCCTCTAGACTTGGGACAGTGTTCTCGGGGCATCTCTGGAGTTGCCTGAAGGAAGTCGAGCCACCGGTCGTGTTGAATGGGGAACGGGGAATGGCTCTGGAGTCAATGCAGGGGAATCGGGCCTCATCTCGAGTTGATTTGGGGCACATGGAGCTGCTTTGCGTTGCTGGGGTGACCTCAGGGTCCGTCTAGACTGGTGACAGTGTTCTTGGGGACTGTCTCGAGATCCATTAAGCAAGTCGAAGCTCCTGACTTGTTTGAATGGGATCACGGAATAGCTCTGCATGCACTGCAGGGGAATGGGGCCTCATCTCGCCTCTAGGGGGAAGTCTCATGATTTTTCTCGAGTTGCGACGGGGACCTGGGGTAGGTTCTCGACTTACGGCGGGGATGGCCCTTCAAAACACGAGTTTCTTCAGTGACGTCAGGACTCCTGTCTAGTAACGAGGGACACCTCAGGAATCTCTTCGAGGCTTGGCAGGGCAAAAGGGACGCTTCTCGAGGTGAGGCAGGGCACCCAAGGACCCTTTCCAGTAGCCACAGGGATTTTGGGATTCCTATCAGTATTCAAGAGGAGTCAGGCATCGTCACCTTTTGAAGCAATGAACTCCGCGTGCCTCTCGAGGTGTCAGCGGGATGTGAGGCATTCCGTCAAAATGAGGCAGGGACCTAGGGCTTTCTCAAAGGTCTCCACAGGGGATTCAGACATCCCTTCATGTTGTGAGATGAAAGACGAGCCTGTATTCAAGCCACTGCAAGGAAATCCGGCCTCCTTTCAAGTTAGGGCTTCTCGCTGTATATTCCCCTTGAGGCAGCAAACTCGGGGTCCCTCGCACATACCTATTGCTGAGAGAAGCCTCCTCCTGAGGTGCTTCTGGGAAGTTGGCATACGTCTTGAGCCTAAGCCAGGGAATCAGCTCGCATCTCGAGACGATTTGGGGTACACGGAGCATTCCTCGATTTGCTGTGCTGAAGTTGGTGTTCCTCTAGACTTGGGACAGTGTTCTCGGGGCATCTCTGGAGTTGCCTGAAGGAAGTCGAGCCACCGGTCGTGTTGAATGGGGAACGGGGAATGGCTCTGGAGTCAATGCAGGGGAATCGGGCCTCATCTCGAGTTGATTTGGGGCACATGAAGCTGCTTTGCGTTGCTGGGGTGACCTCAGGGTCCGTCTAGACTGGTGACAGTGTTCTTGGGGACTGTCTCGAGATCCATTAAGCAAGTCGAAGCTCCTGACTTGTTTGAATGGGATCACGGAATAGCTCTGCATGCACTGCAGGGGAATGGGGCCTCATCTCGCCTCTAGGGGGAAGTCTCATGGTTTTTCTCGAGTTGCGGCGGGGACCTGGGGTATGTTCTCGACTTACGGCGGGGATGGCCCTTCAAAACACGAGTTTCTTCAGTGACGTCAGGACTCCTGTCTAGTAACGAGGGACACCTCAGGAATCTCTTCGAGGCTTGGCAGGGCAAAAGGGACGCTTCTCGAGGTGACGCAGGGCACCCAAGGACCCTTTCCAGTAGCCAGAGGGATTTTGGGATTCCTATCAGTATTCAAGAGGAGTCAGGCATCGTCACCTTTTGAAGCAACGAACTCCGCGTGCCTCTCGAGGTGTCAGCGCGATGTTAGGCATTCCGTCTAAATGAGGCAGGGACCTAGGGCTTTCTCTAAGGTCTCCACAGGGGATTCAGACATCCCTTCATGTTGTGAGATGAAAGACGAGCCTGTATTCAAGCCACTGCAAGGAAATCCGGCCTCCTTTCAAGTTAGGGCTTCTCGCTGTATATTCCCCTTGAGGCAGCAAACTCGGGGTCCCTCCCACATACCTATTGCTGAGAGAAGCCTCCTCCTGAGGTGCTTCTGGGAAGTCGGCATACGTCTTGAGCCTAAGCCAGGGAATCAGCTCGCACCTCGAGACGATTTGGAGTACACGGAGCATTCCTCGAGTTGCTGTGATGAAGTTGGTGTTCCTCTAGACTTGGGACAGTGTTCTCGGGGCATCTCTGGAGTTACCTGAAGGAAGTCGAACCACCGGTCGTGTTGAATGGGGAACGGGGAATGGCTCTGGAGTCAATGCAGGGGAATCGGGCCTCATCTCGAGTTGATTTGGGGCACATGGAGCTGCTTTGCGTTGCTGGGGTGACCTCAGGGTCCGTCTAGACTGGTGACAGTGTTCTTGGGGACTGTCTCGAGATCCATTAAGCAAGTCGAAGCTCCTGACTTGTTTGAATGGGATCACGGAATAGCTCTGCATGCACTGCAGGGGAATGGGGCCTCATCTCGCCTCTAGGGGGAAGTCTCATGGTTTTTCTCGAGTTGCGGCGGGGACCTGGGGTATGTTCTCGACTTACGGCGGGGAAGGCCTTTCAAAACACGAGTTTCTTCAGTGACGTCAGGACTCCTGTCTAGTAACGAGGGACACCTCAGGAATCTCTTCGTGGCTTGGCAGGGCAAAAGGGACGCTTCTCGAGGTGAGGCAGGGCACCCAAGGACCCTTTCCAGTAGCCACAGGGATTTTGGGATTCCTATTTGTATTCAAGAGGAGTCAGGCATCATCACCTTTTGAAGCAATGAACTCCGCGTGCCTCTCGAGGTGTCAGCGGGATGTGAGGCATTCCGTCAAAATGAGGCAGGGACCTAGGGCTTTCTCTAAGGTCTCCACAGGGGATTCAGACATCCCTTCATGTTGTGAGATGAAAGACGAGCCTGTATTCAAGCCACTGCAAGGAAATCCGGCCTCCTTTCAAGTTAGGGCTTCTCGCTTTATATTCCCCTTGAGGCAGCAAACTCGGGGTCCCTCCCACATACCTATTGCTGAGAGAAGCCTCCTCCTGAGGTGCTTCTGGGAAGTTGGCATACGTCTTGAGCCTAAGCCAGGGAATCAGCTCTCATCTCGAGACGATTTGGGGTACACGGAGCATTCCTCGAGTGGCTGTGCTGAAGTTGGTGTTCCTCTAGACTTGGGACAGTGTTCTCGGGGCATCTCTGGAGTTGCCTGAAGGAAGTCGAGCCACCGGTCGTGTTGAATGGGGAACGGGGAATGGCTCTGGAGTCAATGCAGGGGAATCGGGCCTCATCTCGAGTTGATTTGGGGCACATGGAGCTGCTTTGCGTTGCTGGGGTGACCTCAGGGTCCGTCTAGACTGGTGACAGTGTTCTTGGGGACTGTCTCGAGATCCATTAAGCAAGTCGAAGCTCCTGACTTGTTTGAATGGGATCACGGAATAGCTCTGCATGCACTGCAGGGGAATGGGGCCTCATCTCGCCTCTAGGGGGAAGTCTCATGGTTTTTCTCGAGTTGCGGCGGGGACCTGGGGTATGTTCTCGACTTACGGCGGGGATGGCCCTTCAAGACACGAGTTTCCTCAGTGACCTCAGGACTCGTGTCTAGTAAGGAGGGACACCTCAGGAATCTCTTCGAGGCTTGGCAGGGCAAAAGGGACGCTTCTCGAGGTGAGGCAGGGCACCCAAGGACCCTTTCCAGTAGCCACAGGGATTTTGGGATTCCTATCAGTATTCAAGAGGAGTCAGGCATCGTCACCTTTTGAAGCAATGAACTCCGCGTGCCTCTCGAGGTGTCAGCGGGATGTGAGGCATTCCGTCAAAATGAGGCAGGGACCTAGGGCTTTCTCTAAGGTCTCCACAGGGGATTCAGACATCCCTTCATGTTGTGAGATGAAAGACGAGCCTGTATTCAAGCCACTGCAAGGAAATCCGGCCTCCTTTCAAGTTAGGGCTTCTCGCTGTATATTCCCCTTGAGGCAGCAAACTCGGGGTCCCTCCCACATACCTATTGCTGAGAAAAGCCTCCTCCTGAGGTGCTTCTGGGAAGTTGGCATACGTCTTGAGCCTAAGCCAGGGAATCAGCTCGCATCTCGAGACGATTTGGGGTACACGGAGCATTCCTCGAGTTGCTGTGCTGAAGTTGGTGTTCCTCTAGACTTGGGACAGTGTTCTCGGGGCATCTCTGGAGTTGCCTGAAGGAAGTCGAGCCACCGGTCGTGTTGAATGGGGAACGGGGAATGGCTCTGGAGTCAATGCAGGGGAATCGGGCCTCATCTCGAGTTGATTTGGGGCACATGGAGCTGCTTTGCGTTGCTGGGGTGACCTCAGGGTCCGTCTAGACTGGTGACAGTGTTCTTGGGGACTGTCTCGAGATCCATTAAGCAAGTCGAAGCTCCTGACTTGTTTGAATGGGATCACGGAATAGCTCTGCATGCACTGCAGGGGAATGGGGCCTCATCTCGCCTCTAGGGGGAAGTCTCATGGTTTTTCTCGAGTTGCGGCGGGGACCTGGGGTATGTTCTCGACTTACGGCGGGGATGGCCCTTCAAAACACGAGTTTCTTCAGTGACGTCAGGACTCCTGTCTAGTAACGAGGGACAACTCAGGAATCTCTTCGAGGCTTGGCAGGGCAAAAGGGACGCTTCTCGAAGTGAGGCAGGGCACCCAAGGACCCTTTCCAGTAGCCACAGGGATTTTGGGATTCCTATCAGTATTCAAGAGGAGTCAGGCATCGTCACCTTTTGAAGCAATGAACTCCGCGTGCCTCTCGAGGTGTCAGCGGGATGTGAGGCATTCCGTCAAAATGAGGCAGGGACCTAGGGCTTTCTCTAAGGTCTCCACAGGGGATTCAGACATCCCTTCAAGTTGTGAGATGAAAGACGAGCCTGTATTCAAGCCACTGCAAGGAAATCCGGCCTCCTTTCAAGTTAGGTCTTCTCGCTGTATATTCCCCTTGAGGCAGCAAACTCGGGGTCCCTCGCACATACCTATTGCTGAGAGAAGCCTCCTCCTGAGGTGCTTCTGGGAAGTTGGCATACGTCTTGAGCCTAAGCCAGGGAATCAGCTCTCATCTTGAGACGATTTGGGGTACACGGAGCATTCCTCGAGTTGCTGTGCTGAAGTTGGTGTTCCTCTAGACTTGGGACAGTGTTCTCGGGGCATCTCTGGAGTTGCCTGAAGGAAGTCGAGCCACCGGTCGTGTTGAATGGGGAACGGGGAATGGCTCTGGAGTCAATGCACGGGAATCGGGCCTCATCTCGAGTTGATTTGGGGCACATGGAGCTGCTTTGCTTTGCTGGGGTGACCTCAGGGTCCGTCTAGACTGGTGACATTGTTCTTGGGGACTGTCTCGAGATCGATTAAGCAAGTCGAAGCTCCTGACTTGTTTGAATGGGATCACGGAATAGCTCTGCATGCACTGCAGGGGAATGGGGCCTCATCTCGCCTCTAGAGAGAAGTCTCATGGTTTTTCTCGAGTTGCGGCGGGGACCTGGGGTATGTTCTCGACTTACGGCGGGGATGGCCCTTCAAAACACGAGTTTCTTCAGTGACGTCAGGACTCCTGTCTAGTAACGAGGGACACCTCAGGAATCTCTTCGAGGCTTGGCAGGGCAAAAGGGATGCTTCTCGAGGTGAGGCAGGGCACCCAAGGACCCTTTCCAGTAGCCACAGGGATTTTGGGAATCCTATCAGTATTCAAGAGGAGTCAGGCATCGTCACCTTTTGAAGCAATGAACTCCGCGTGCCTCTCGAGGTGTCAGCGGGATGTGAGGCATTCCGTCAAAATGAGGCAGGGACCTAGGGCTTTCTCTAAGGTCTCCACAGGGGATTCAGACATCCCTTCATGTTGTGAGATGAAAGACGAGCCTGTATTCAAGCCACTGCAAGGAAATCCGGCCTCCTTTCAAGTTAGGGCTTCTCGCTGTATATTCCCCTTGAGGCAGCAAACTCGGGGTCCCTCCCACATACCTATTGCTGAGAGAAGCCTCCTCCTGAGGTGCTTCTGGGAAGTTGGCATACGTCTTGAGCCTATGCCAGGGAATCAGCTCGCATCTCGAGACGTTTTGGGGTACACGGAGCATTCCTCGAGTTGCTGTGCTGAAGTTGGTGTTCCTCTAGACTTGGGACAGTGTTCTCGGGGCATCTCTGGAGTTGCCTGAAGGAAGTCGAGCCACCGGTCGTGTTGAATGGGGAACGGGGAATGGCTCTGGAGTCAATGCAGGGGAATCGGGCCTCATCTCGAGTTGATTTGGGGCACATGGAGCTGCTTTGCGTTGCTGGGGTGACCTCAGGGTCCGTCTAGACTGGTGACAGTGTTCTTGGGGACTGTCTCGAGATCCATTAAGCAAGTCGAAGCTCCTGACTTGTTTGAATGGGATCACGGAATAGCTCTGCATGCACTGCAGGGGAATGGGGCCTCATCTCGCCTCTAGGGGGAAGTCTCATGATTTTTCTCGAGTTGCGGCGGGGACCTGGGGTAGGTTCTCGACTTACGGCGGGGATGGCCCTTCAAAACACGAGTTTCTTGAGTGACGTCAGGACTCCTGTCTAGTAACGAGGGACACCTCAGGAATCTATTCGAGGCTTGGCAGGGCAAAAGGGACGCTTCTCGAGGTGAGGCAGGGCACCCAAGGACCCTTTCCAGTAGCCACAGGGATTTTGGGATTCCTATCAGTATTCAAGAGGAGTCAGGCATCGTCACCTTTTGAAGCAATGAACTCCGCGTGCCTCTCGAGGTGTCAGCGGGATGTGAGGCATTCCGTCAAAATGAGGCAGGGACCTAGGGCTTTCTCTAAGGTCTCCACAGGGGATTCAGACATCCCTTCATGTTGTGAGATGAAAGACGAGCCTGTATTCAAGCCACTGCAAGGAAATCCGGCCTCCTTTCAAGTTAGGGCTTCTCGCTGTATATTCCCCTTGAGGCAGCAAACTCGGGGTCCCTCCCACATACCTATTGCTGAGAAATGCCTCCTCCTGAGGTGCTTCTGGGAAGTTGGCATACGTCTTGAGCCTAAGCCAGGGAATCAGCTCGCATCTCGAGACGATTTGGGGTACACGGAGCATTCCTCGAGTTGCTGTGCTGAAGTTGGTGTTCCTCTAGACTTGGGACAGTGTTCTCGGGGCATCTCTGGAGTTGCCTGAAGGAAGTCGAGCCACCGGTCGTGTTGAATGGGGAACGGGGAATGGCTCTGGAGTCAATGCAGGGGAATCGGGCCTCATCTCGAGTTGATTTGGGGCACATGGAGCTGCTTTGCGTTGCTGGGGTGACCTCAGGGTCCGTCTAGACTGGTGACAGTGTTCTTGGGGACTGTCTCGAGATCCATTAAGCAAGTCGAAGCTCCTGACTTGTTTGAATGGGATCACGGAATAGCTCTGCATGCACTGCAGGGGAATGGGGCCTCATCTCGCCTCTAGGGGGAAGTCTCATGGTTTTTCTCGAGTTGCGGCGGGGACCTGGGGTATGTTCTCGACTTACGGCGGGGATGGCCCTTCAAAACACGAGTTTCTTCAGTGACGTCAGGACTCCTGTCTAGTAACGAGGGACAACTCAGGAATCTCTTCGAGGCTTGGCAGGGCAAAAGGGACGCTTCTCGAGGTGAGGCAGGGCACCCAAGGACCCTTTCCAGTAGCCACAGGGATTTTGGGATTCCTATCAGTATTCAAGAGGAGTCAGGCATCGTCACCTTTTGAAGCAATGAACTCCGCGTGCCTCTCGAGGTGTCAGCGGGATGTGAGGCATTCCGTCAAAATGAGGCAGGGACCTAGGGCTTTCTCTAAGGTCTCCACAGGGGATTCAGACATCCCTTCATGTTGTGAGATGAAAGACGAGCCTGTATTCAAGCCACTGCAAGGAAATCCGGCCTCCTTTCAAGTTAGGTCTTCTCGCTGTATATTCCCCTTGAGGCAGCAAACTCGGGGTCCCTCGCACATACCTATTGCTGAGAGAAGCCTCCTCCTGAGGTGCTTCTGGGAAGTTGGCATACGTCTTGAGCCTAAGCCAGGGAATCAGCTCTCATCTTGAGACGATTTGGGGTACACGGAGCATTCCTCGAGTTGCTGTGCTGAAGTTGGTGTTCCTCTAGACTTGGGACAGTGTTCTCGGGGCATCTCTGGAGTTGCCTGAAGGAAGTCGAGCCACCGGTCGTGTTGAATGGGGAACGGGGAATGGCTCTGGAGTCAATGCACGGGAATCGGGCCTCATCTCGAGTTGATTTGGGGCACATGGAGCTGCTTTGCTTTGCTGGGGTGACCTCAGGGTCCGTCTAGACTGGTGACATTGTTCTTGGGGACTGTCTCGAGATCCATTAAGCAAGTCGAAGCTCCTGACTTGTTTGAATGGGATCACGGAATAGATCTGCATGCACTGCAGGGGAATGGGGCCTCATCTCGCCTCTAGAGAGAAGTCTCATGGTTTTTCTCGAGTTGCGGCGGGGACCTGGGGTATGTTCTCGACTTACGGCGGGGATGGCCCTTCAAAACACGAGTTTCTTCAGTGACGTCAGGACTCCTGTCTAGTAACGAGGGACACCTCAGGAATCTCTTCGAGGCTTGGCAGGGCAAAAGGGACGCTTCTCGAGGTGAGGCAGGGCACCCAAGGACCCTTTCCAGTAGCCACAGGGATTTTGGGATTCCTATCAGTATTCAAGAGGAGTCAGGCATCGTCACCTTTTGAAGCAATGAACTCCGCGTGCCTCTCGAGGTGTCAGCGGGATGTGAGGCATTCCGTCAAAATGAGGCAGGGACCTAGGGCTTTCTCTAAGGTCTCCACAGGGGATTCAGACATCCCTTCATGTTGTGAGATGAAAGACGAGCCTGTATTCAAGCCACTGCAAGGAAATCCGGCCTCCTTTCAAGTTAGGGCTTCTCGCTGTATATTCCCCTTGAGGCAGCAAACTCGGGGTCCCTCCCACATACCTATTGCTGAGAGAAGCCTCCTCCTGAGGTGCTTCTGGGAAGTTGGCATACGTCTTGAGCCTAAGCCAGGGAATCAGCTCGCATCTCGAGACGATTTGGGGTACACGGAGCATTCCTCGAGTTGCTGTGCTGAAGTTGGTGTTCCTCTAGACTTGGGACAGTGTTCTCGGGGCATCTCTGGAGTTGCCTGAAGGAAGTCGAGCCACCGGTCGTGTTGAATGGGGAACGGGGAATGGCTCTGGAGTCAATGCAGGGGAATCGGGCCTCATCTCGAGTTGATTTGGGGCACATGGAGCTGCTTTGCGTTGCTGGGGTGACCTCAGGGTCCGTCTAGACTGGTGACAGTGTTCTTGGGGACTGTCTCGAGATCCATTAAGCAAGTCGAAGCTCCTGACTTGTTTGAATGGGATCACTTAATAGCTCTGCATGCACTGCAGGGGAATGGGGCCTCATCTCGCCTCTAGGGGGAAGTCTCATGGTTTTTCTCGAGTTGCGGCGGGGACCTGGGGTATGTTCTCGACTTACGGCGGGGATGGCCCTTCAAAACACGAGTTTCTTCAGTGACGTCAGGACTCCTGTCTAGTAACGAGAGACACCTCAGGAATCTCTTCGAGGCTTGGCAGGGCAAAAGGGACGCTTCTCGAGGTGAGGCAGGGCACCCAAGGACCCTTTCCAGTAGCCACAGGGATTTTGGGATTCCTATCAGTATTCAAGAGGAGTCAGGCATCGTCACCTTTTGAAGCAATGAACTCCGCGTGCCTCTCGAGGTGTCAGCGGGATGTGAGGCATTCCGTCAAAATGAGGCAGGGACCTAGGGCTTTCTCTAAGGTCTCCACAGGGGATTCAGACATCCCTTCATGTTGTGAGATGAAAGACGAGCCTGTATTCAAGCCACTGCAAGGAAATCCGGCCTCCTTTCAAGTTAGGGCTTCTCGCTGTATATTCCCCTTGAGGCAGCAAACTCGGGGTCCCTCCCACATACCTATTGCTGAGAGAAGCCTCCTCCTGAGGTGCTTCTGGGAAGTTGGCATACGTCTTGAGCCTAAGCCAGGGAATCAGCTCTCATCTTGAGACGATTTGGGGTACACGGAGCATTCCTCGAGTTGCTGTGCTGAAGTTGGTGTTCCTCTAGACTTGGGACAGTGTTCTCGGGGCATCTCTGGAGTTGCCTGAAAGAAGTCGAGCCACCGGTCGTGTTGAATGGGGAACGGGGAATGGCTCTGGAGTCAATGCACCGGAATCGGGCCTCATCTCGAGTTGATTTGGGGCACATGGAGCTGCTTTGCTTTGCTGGGGTGACCTCAGGGTCCGTCTAGACTGGTGACATTGTTCTTGGGGACTGTCTCGAGATCCATTAAGCAAGTCGAAGCTCCTGACTTGTTTGAATGGGATCACGGAATAGCTCTGCATGCACTGCAGGGGAAGGGGCCTCATCTCGCCTCTAGAGAGAAGTCTCATGGTTTTTCTCGAGTTGCGGCGGGGACCTGGGGTATGTTCTCGACTTACGGCGGGGATGGCCCTTCAAAACACGAGTTTCTTCAGTGACGTCAGGACTCCTGTCTAGTAACGAGGGAAACCTCAGGAATCTCTTCGAGGCTTGGCAGGGCAAAAGGGATGCTTCTCGAGGTGAGGCAGGGCACCCAAGGACCCTTTCCAGTAGCCACAGGGATTTTGGGAATCCTATCAGTATTCAAGAGGAGTCAGGCATCGTCACCTTTTGAAGCAATGAACTCCGCGTGCCTCTCGAGGTGTCAGCGGGATGTGAGGCATTCCGTCAAAATGAGGCAGGGACCTAGGGCTTTCTCTAAGGTCTCCACAGGGGATTCAGACATCCCTTCATGTTGTGAGATGAAAGACGAGCCTGTATTCAAGCCACTGCAAGGAAATCCGGCCTCCTTTCAAGTTAGGGCTTCTCGCTGTATATTCCCCTTGAGGCAGCAAACTCGGGGTCCCTCCCACATACCTATTGCTGAGAGAAGCCTCCTCCTGAGGTGCTTCTGGGAAGTTGGCATACGTCTTGAGCCTATGCCAGGGAATCAGCTCGCATCTCGAGACGATTTGGGGTACACGGAGCATTCCTCGAGTTGCTGTGCTGAAGTTGGTGTTCCTCTAGACTTGGGACAGTGTTCTCGGGGCATCTCTGGAGTTGCCTGAAGGAAGTCGAGCCACCGGTCGTGTTGAATGGGGAACGGGGAATGGCTCTGGAGTCAATGCAGGGGAATCGGGCCTCATCTCGAGTTGATTTGGGGCACATGGAGCTGCTTTGCGTTGCTGGGGTGACCTCAGGGTCCGTCTAGACTGGTGACAGTGTTCTTGGGGACTGTCTCGAGATCCATTAAGCAAGTCGAAGCTCCTGACTTGTTTGAATGGGATCACGGAATAGCTCTGCATGCACTGCAGGGGAATGGGGCCTCATCTCGCCTCTAGGGGGAAGTCTCATGATTTTTCTCGAGTTGCGGCGGGGACCTGGGGTAGGTTCTCGACTTACGGCGGGGATGGCCCTTCAAAACACGAGTTTCTTCAGTGACGTCAGGACTCCTGTCTAGTAACGAGGGACACCTCAGGAATCTCTTCGAGGCTTGGCAGGGCAAAAGGGACGCTTCTCGAGGTGAGGCAGGGCACCCAAGGACCCTTTCCAGTACCCACAGGGATTTTGGGATTCCTATCAGTATTCAAGAGGAGTCAGGCATCGTCACCTCTTGAAGCAATGAAGTCCGCGTGCCTCTCGAGGTGTCAGCGCGATGTGAGGCATTCCGTCAAAATGAGGCAGGGACCTAGGGCTTTCTCTAAGGTCTCCACAGGGGATTCAGACATCCCTTCATGTTGTGAGATGAAAGACGAGCCTGTATTCAAGCCACTGCAAGGAAATCCGGCCTCCTTTCAAGTTAGGGCTTCTCGCTGTATATTCCCCTTCAGGCAGCAAACTCGGGGTCCCTCCCACATACCTATTGCTGAGAGAAGCCTCCTCCTGAGGTGCTTCTGGGAAGTTGGCATACGTCTTGAGCCTAAGCCAGGGAATCAGCTCGCATCTCAAGACGATTTGGGGTACACGGAGCATTCCTCGAGTTGCTGTGCTGAAGTTGGTGTTCCTCTAGACTTGGGACAGTGTTCTCGGGGTATCTCTGGAGTTGCCTGAAAGAAGTCGAGCCACCGGTCGTGTTGAATGTGGAACGGGGAATGGCTCTGGAGTCAATGCAGGGGAATCGGGCCTCATCTCGAGTTGATTTGGGGCACATGGAGCTGCTTTGCGTTGCTGGGGTGACCTCAGGGTCCGTCTAGACTGGTGACAGTGTTCTTGGGGACTGTCTCGAGATCCATTAAGCAAGTCGAAGCTCCTGACTTGTTTGAATGGGATCACGGAATAGCTCTGCATGCACTGCAGGGGAATGGGGCCTCATCTCGCCTCTAGAGGGAAGTCTCATGGTTTTTCTCGAGTTGCGGCGGGGACCTGGGGTATGTTCTCGACTTACGGCGGGGATGGCCCTTCAAAACACGAGTTTCTTCAGTGACGTCAGGACTCCTGTCTAGTAACGAGGGACACCTCAGGAATCTCTTCGAGGCTTGGCAGGGCAAAAGGGATGCTTCTCGAGTTGAGGCAGGGCACCCAAGGACCCTTTCCAGTAGCCACAGGGATTTTGGGATTCCTATCAGTATTCAAGAGGAGTCAGGCATCGTCACCTTTTGAAGCAATGAACTCCGCGTGCCTCTCGAGGTGTCAGCGGGATGTGAGGCATTCCGTCAAAATGAGGCAGGGACCTAGGGCTTTCTCTAAGGTCTCCACAGGGGATTCAGACATCCCTTCATGTTGTGAGATGAAAGACGAGCCTGTATTCAAGCCACTGCAAGGAAATCCGGCCTCCTTTCAAGTTAGGGCTTCTCGCTGTATATTCAACTTGAGGCATCAAACTCGGGGTCCCTCCCACATACCTATTGCTGAGAGAAACCTCCTCCTGAGGTGCTTCTGGGAAGTTGGCATACGTCTTGAGCCTACGCCAGGGAATCAGCTCGCATCTCGAGACGATTTGGGGTACACAGAGCATTCCTCGAGTTGCTGTGCTGAAGTTGGTGTTCCTCTAGACTTGGGACAGTGTTCTCGGGGCATCTCTGGAGTTGCCTGAAGGAAGTCGAGCCACCGGTCGTGTTGAATGGGGAACGGGGAATGGCTCTGGAGTCAATGCACGGGAATCGGGCCTCATCTCGAGTTGATTTGGGGCACATGGAGCTGCTTTGCTTTGCTGGGGTGACCTCAGGGTCCGTCTAGACTGGTGACATTGTTCTTGGGGACTGTCTCGAGATCCATTAAGCAAGTCGAAGCTCCTGACTTGTTTGAATGGGATCACGGAATAGCTCTGCATGCACTGCAGGGGAATGGGGCCTCATCTCGCCTCTAGAGAGAAGTCTCATGGTTTTTCTCGAGTTGCGGCGGGGACCTGGGGTATGTTCTCGACTTACGGCGGGGATGGCCCTTCAAAACACGAGTTTCTTCAGTGACGTCAGGACTCCTGTCTAGTAACGAGGGAAACCTCAGGAATCTCTTCGAGGCTTGGCAGGGCAAAAGGGATGCTTCTCGAGGTGAGGCAGGGCACCCAAGGACCCTTTCCAGTAGCCACAGGGATTTTGGGAATCCTATCAGTATTCAAGAGGAGTCAGGCATCGTCACCTTTTGAAGCAATGAACTCCGCGTGCCTCTCGAGGTGTCAGCGGGATGTGAGGCATTCCGTCAAAATGAGGCAGGGACCTAGGGCTTTCTCTAAGGTCTCCACAGGGGATTCAGACATCCCTTCATGTTGTGAGATGAAAGACGAGCCTGTATTCAAGCCACTGCAAGGAAATCCGGCCTCCTTTCAAGTTAGGGCTTCTCGCTGTATATTCCCCTTCAGGCAGCAAACTCGGGGTCCCTCCCACATACCTATTGCTGAGAGAAGCCTCCTCCTGAGGTGCTTCTGGGAAGTTGGCATACGTCTTGAGCCTAAGCCAGGGAATCAGCTCGCATCTCGAGACGATTTGGGGTACACGGAGCATTCCTCGAGTTGCTGTGCTGAAGTTGGTGTTCCTCTAGACTTGGGACAGTGTTCTCGGGGTATCTCTGGAGTTGCCTGAAAGAAGTCGAGCCACCGGTCGTGTTGAATGTGGAACGGGGAATGGCTCTGGAGTCAATGCAGGGGAATCGGGCCTCATCTCGAGTTGATTTGGGGCACATGGAGCTGCTTTGCGTTGCTGGGGTGACCTCAGGGTCCGTCTAGACTGGTGACAGTGTTCTTGGGGACTGTCTCGAGATCCATTAAGCAAGTCGAAGCTCCTGACTTGTTTGAATGGGATCACGGAATAGCTCTGCATGCACTGCAGGGGAATGGGGCCTCATCTCGCCTCTAGGGGGAAGTCTCATGGTTTTTCTCGAGTTGCGGCGGGGACCTGGGGTATGTTCTCGACTTACGGCGGGGATGGCCCTTCAAAACACGAGTTTCTTCAGTGACGTCAGGACTCCTGTCTAGTAACGAGGGACACCTCAGGAATCTCTTCGAGGCTTGGCAGGGCAAAAGGGACGCTTCTCGAGGTGAGGCAGGGCACCCAAGGACCCTTTCCAGTAGCCACAGGGATTTTGGGATTCCTATCAGTATTCAAGAGGAGTCAGGCATCGTCACCTTTTGAAGCAATGAACTCCGCGTGCCTCTCGAGGTGTCAGCGGGATGTGAGGCATTCCGTCAAAATGAGGCAGGGACCTAGGGCTTTCTCTAAGGTCTCCACAGGGGATTCAGACATCCCTTCATGTTGTGAGATGAAAGACGAGCCTGTATTCAAGCCACTGCAAGGAAATCCGGCCTCCTTTCAAGTTAGGGCTTCTCGCTGTATATTCAACTTGAGGCATCAAACTCGGGGTCCCTCCCACATACCTATTGCTGAGAGAAACCTCCTCCTGAGGTGCTTCTGGGAAGTTGGCATACGTCTTGAGCCTACGCCAGGGAATCAGCTCGCATCTCGAGACGATTTGGGGTACACGGAGCATTCCTCGAGTTGCTGTGCTGAAGTTGGTGTTCCTCTAGACTTGGGACAGTGTTCTCGGGGCATCTCTGGAGTTGCCTGAAGGAAGTCGAGCCACCGGTCGTGTTGAATGGGGAACGGGGAATGGCTCTGGAGTCAATGCAGGGGAATCGGGCCTCATCTCGAGTTGATTTGGGGCACATGGGGCTGCTTTGCGTTGCTGGGGTGACCTCATGGTCCGTCTAGACTGGTGACAGTGTTCTTGGGGACTGTCTCGAGATCCATTAAGCAAGTCGAAGCTCCTGACTTGTTTGAATGGGATCACGGAATAACTCTGCATGCACTGCAGGGGAATGGGGCCTCATCTCGCCTCTAGGGGGAAGTCTCATGGTTTTTCTCGAGTTGCGGCGGGGACCTGGGGTATGTTCTCGACTTACGGTGGGGATGGCCCTTCAAAACACGAGTTTCTTCAGTGACGTCAGGACTCCTGTCTAGTAATGAGGGACACCTCAGGAATCTCTTCGAGGCTTGGCAGGGCAAAAGGGACGCTTCTCGAGGTGAGGCAGGGCACCCAAGGACCCTTTCCAGTAGCCACAGGGATTTTGGGATTCCTATCAGTATTCAAGAGGAGTCAGGCATCGTCACCTTTTGAAGCAATGAACTCCGCGTGCCTCTCGAGGTGTCAGCGGGATGTGAGGCATTCCTTAAAAATGAGGCAGGGACCTAGGGCTTTCTCTAAGGTCTCCACAGGGGATTCAGACATCCCTTCATGTTGTGAGATGAAAGACGAGCCTGTATTCAAGCCACTGCAAGGAAATCCGGCCTCCTTTCAAGTTAGGGCTTCTCGCTGTATATTCCCCTTGAGGCAGCAAACTCGGGGTCCCTCCCACATACCTATTGCTGAGAGAAGCCTCCTCCTGAGGTGCTTCTGGGAAGTTGGCATACGTCTTGAGCCTAAGCCAGGGAATCAGCTCGCATCTCGAGACGATTTGGGGTACACGGAGCATTCCTCGAGTTGCTGTGCTGAAGTTGGTGTTCCTCTAGACTTGGGACAGTGTTCTCGGGGCATCTCTGGAGTTGCCTGAAGGAAGTCGAGCCACCGGTCGTGTTGAATGGGGAACGGGGAATGGCTCTGGAGTCAATGCAGGGGAATCGGGCCTCATCTCGAGTTGATTGGGGGCACATGGAGCTGCTTTGCATTGCTGGGGTGACCTCAGGGTCCGTCTAGTCTGGTGACAGTGTTCTTGGGGACTGTCTCGAGATCCATTAAGCAAGTCGAAGCTCCTGTCTTGTTTGAATGGGATCACGGAATAGCTCTGCATGCACTGAAGGGGAATGGGGCCTCATCTCGCCTCTAGGGGGAAGTCTCATGGTTTTTCTCGAGTTGCGGCGGGGACCTGGGGTATGTTCTCGACTTACGGCGGGGATGGCCCTTCAAAACACGAGTTTCTTCAGTGACGTCAGGACTCCTGTCTAGTAACGAGGGACACCTCAGGAATCTCTTCGAGGCTTGGCAGGGCAAAAGGGACGCTTCTCGAGGTGAGGCAGGGCACCCAAGGACCATTTCCAGTAGCCACAGGGATTTTGGGATTCCTATCAGTATTCAAGAGGAGTCAGGCATCGTCACCTTTTGAAGCAATGAACTCCGCGTGCCTCTCGAGGTGTCAGCGGGATGTGAGGCATTCCGTCAAAATGAGGCAGGGACCTAGGGCTTTCTCTAAGGTCTCCACAGGGGATTCAGACATCCCTTCATGTTGTGAGATGAAAGACGAGCCTGTATTCAAGCCACTGCAAGGAAATCCGGCCTCCTTTCAAGTTAGGGCTTCTCGCTGTATATTCCCCTTGAGGCAGCAAACTCGGGGTCCCTCCCACATACCTATTGCTGAGAGAAGCCTCCTCCTGAGGTGCTTCTGGGAAGTTGGCATACGTCTTGAGCCTAAGCCAGGGAATCAGCTCTCATCTCGAGACGATTTGGGGTACACGGAGCATTCCTCGAGTTGCTGTGCTGAAGTTGGTGTTCCTCTAGACTTGGGACAGTGTTCTCAGGGCATCTCTGGAGTTGCCTGAAGGAAGTCGAGCCACCGGTCGTGTTGAATGGGGAACGGGGAATGGCTCTGGAGTCAATGCAGGGGAATTGGGCCTCATCTCGAGTTGATTTGGGGCACATGGAGCTGCTTTGCTTTGCTGGGGTGACCTCAGGGTCCGTCTAGACTGGTGACATTGTTCTTGGGGACTGTCTCGAGATCCATTAAGCAAGTCGAAGCTCCTGACTTGTTTGAATGCGATCACGGAATAGCTCTGCATGCACTGCAGGGGAATGGGGCCTCATCTCGCCTCTAGAGGGAAGTCTCATGGTTTTTCTCGAGTTGTGGCGGGGACCTGGGGTATGTTCTCGACTTACGGCGGGGATGGCCCTTCAAAACACGAGTTTCTTCAGTGACGTCAGGACTCCTGTCTAGTAACGAGGGACACCTCAGGAATCTCTTCGAGGCTTGGCAGGGCAAAAGGGACGCTTCTCGAGGTGAGGCAGGGCACCCAAGGACCCTTTCCAGTAGCCACAGGGATTTTGGGATTCCTATCAGTATTCAAGAGGAGTCAGGCATTGTCACCTTTTGAAGCAATGAACTCCGCGTGCCTCTCGAGGTGTCAGCGGGATGTGAGGCATTCCGTCAAAATGAGGCAGGGACCTAGGGCTTTCTCTAAGGTCTCCTCAGGGGATTCAGATATCCCTTCATGTTGTGAGATGAAAGACGATCCTGTATTCAAGCCACTGCAAGGAAATCCGGCCTCCTTTCAAGTTAGGGCTTCTCGCTGTATATTCCCCTTGAGGCAGCAAACTCGGGGTCCCTCCCACATACCTATTGCTGAGAGAAGCCTCCTCCTGAGGTGCTTCTGGGAAGTTGGCAAACGTCTTGATCCTAAGCCAGGGAATCAGCTCTCATCTCGAGACGATTTGGGGTACACGGAGCATTCCTCGAGTTGCTGTGCTGAAGTTGGTGTTCCTCTAGACTTGGGACAGTGTTCTCGGGGCATCTCTGGAGTTGCCTGAAGGAAGTCGAGCCACCGGTCGTGTTGAGTGGGGAACGGGGAATGGCTCTGGAGTCAATGCAGGGGAATCGGGCCTCATCTCGAGTTGATTTGGGGCACATGGAGCTGCTTTGCTTTGCTGGGGTGACCTCAGGGTCCGTCTAGACTGGTGACATTGTTCTTGGGGACTGTCTCGAGATCCATTAAGCAAGTCGAAGCTCCTGACTTGTTTGAATGGGATCACGGAATAGCTCTGCATGCACTGCAGGGGAATGGGGCCTCATCTCGCCTCTAGGGGGAAGTCTCATGGTTTTTCTCGAGTTGCGGCGGGGACCTGGGGTATGTTCTCGACTTACGGCGGGGATGGCCCTTCAAAACACGAGTTTCTTCAGTGACGTCAGGACTCCTGTCTAGTAACGAGGGACACCTCAGGAATCTCTTCGAGGCTTGGCAGGGCAAAAGGGACGCTTCTCGAGGTGAGGCAGGGCACCCAAGGACCCTTTTCAGTAGCCACAGGGATTTTGGGATTCCTATCAGTATTCAAGAGGAGTCAGGCATCGTCACCTTTTGAAGCAATGAACTCCGCGTGCCTCTCGAGGTGTCAGCGCGATGTGAGGCATTCCGTCAAAATGAGGCAGGGACCTAGGGCTTTCTCTAAGGTCTCCACAGGGGATTCAGACATCCCTTCATGTTGTGAGATGAAAGACGAGCCTGTATTCAAGCCACTGCAAGGAAATCCGGCCTCCTTTCAAGTTAGGGCTTCTCGCTGTATATTCCCCTTGAGGCAGCAAACTCGGGGTCCCTCCCACATACCTATTGCTGAGAGAAGCCTCCTCCTGAGGTGCTTCTGGGAAGTCGGCATACGTCTTGAGCCTAAGCCAGGGAATCAGCAAGCACCTCGAGACGATTTGGGGTACACGGAGCATTCCTCGAGTTGCTGTGCTGAAGTTGGTGTTCCTCTAGACTTGGGACAGTGTTCTCGGGGCATCTCTGGAGTTGCCTGAAGGAAGTTGAGCCACCGTTCGTGTTGAATGGGGAACGGGGAATGGCTCTGGAGTCAATGCAGGGGAATCGGGCCTCATCTCGAGTTGATTTGGGGCACATGGAGCTGCTTTGCGTTGCTGGGGTGACCTCAGGGTCCGTCTAGACTGTTGACAGTGTTCTTGGGTACTGTCTCGAGATCCATTAAGCAAGTCGAAGCTCCTGACTTGTTTGAAAGGGATCACGGAATAGCTCTGCATGCACTGCAGGGGAATGGGGCCTCATCTCGCCTCTAGGGGGAAGTCTCATGGTTTTTCTCGAGTTGCGGCGGGGACCTGGGGTATGTTCACGACTTACGGCGGGGATGGCCCTTCAAAACACGAGTTTCTTCAGTGACGTCAGGACTCCTGTCTAGTAACGAGGGACACCTCAGGAATCTCTTCGAGGCTTGGCAGGGCAAAAGGGACGCTTCTCGAGGTGAGGCAGGGCACCCAAGGACCCTTTCCAGTAGCCACAGGGATTTTGGGATTCCTATCAGTATTCAAGAGGAGTCAGGCATTGTCACCTTTTGAAGCAATGAACTCCGCGTGCCTCTCGAGGTGTCAGCGGGATGTGAGGCATTCCGTCAAAATGAGGCAGGGACCTAGGGCTTTCTCTAAGGTCTCCTCAGGGGATTCAGATATCCCTTCATGTTGTGAGATGAAAGACGATCCTGTATTCAAGCCACTGCAAGGAAATCCGGCCTCCTTTCAAGTTAGGGCTTCTCGCTGTATATTCCCCTTGAGGCAGCAAACTCGGGGTCCCTCCCACATACCTATTGCTGAGAGAAGCCTCCTCCTGAGGTGCTTCTGGGAAGTTGGCAAACGTCTTGAGCCTAAGCCAGGGAATCAGCTCTCATCTCGAGACGATTTGGGGTAAACGGAGCATTCCTCGAGTTGCTGTGCTGAAGTTGGTGTTCCTCTAGACTTGGGACAGTGTTCTCGGGGCATCTCTGGAGTTGCCTGAAGGAAGTCGAGCCACCGGTCGTGTTGAATGGGGAACGGGGAATGGCTCTGGAGTCAATGCAGGGGAATCGGGCCTCATCTCGAGTTGATTTGGGGCACATGGAGCTGCTTTGCTTTGCTGGGGTGACCTCAGGGTCCGTCTAGACTGGTGACATTGTTCTTGGGGACTGTCTCGAGATCCATTAAGCAAGTTGAAGCTCCTGACTTGTTTGAATGGGATCACGGAATAGCTCTGCATGCACTGCAGGGGAATGGGGCCTCATCTCGCCTCTAGGGGGAAGTCTCATGGTTTTTCTCGAGTTGCGGCGGGGACCTGGGGTATGTTCTCGACTTACGGCGGGGATGGCCCTTCAAAACACGAGTTTCTTCAGTGACGTCAGGACTCCTGTCTAGTAACGAGGGACACCTCAGGAATCTCTTCGAGGCTTGGCAGGGCAAAAGGGACGCTTCTCGAGGTGAGGCAGGGCACCCAAGGACCCTTTCCAGGAGCCACAGGGATTTTGGGATTCCTATCAGTATTCAAGAGGAGTCAGGCCTCGTCACCTTTTGAAGCAATGAACTCCGTGTGCCTCTCGAGGTGTCAGCGCGATGTGAGGCATTCCGTCAAAATGAGGCAGGGACCTAGGGCTTTCTCTAAGGTCTCCACAGGGGATTCAGACATCCCTTCATGTTGTGAGATGAAAGACGAGCCTGTATTCAAGCCACTGCAAGGAAATCCGGCCTCCTTTCAAGTTAGGGCTTCTCGCTGTATATTCCCCTTGAGGCAGCAAACTCGGGGTCCCTCCCACATACCTATTGCTGAGAGAAGCCTCCTCCTGAGGTGCTTCTGGGAAGTTGGCATACGTCTTGAGCCTAAGCCAGGGAATCAGCTCGCACCTCGAGACGATTTGGGGTACACGGAGCATTCCTCGAGTTGCTGTGCTGAAGTTGGTGTTCCTCTAGACTTGGGACAGTGTTCTCGGGGCATCTCTGGAGTTGCCTGAAGGAAGTCGAGCCACCGGTCGTGTTGAATGGGGAACGGGGAATGGCTCTGGAGTCAATGCAGGGGAATCGGGCCTCATCTCGAGTTGATTTGGGGCACATGGAGCTGCTTTGCGTTGCTGGGGTGACCTCAGGGTCCGTCTAGACTGGTGACAGTGTTCTTGGGGACTGTCTCGAGATCCATTAAGCAAGTCGAAGCTCCTGACTTGTTTGAATGGGATCACGGAATAGCTCTGCATGCACTGCAGGGGAATGGGGCCTCATCTCGCCTCTAGGGGGAAGTCTCATGGTTTTTCTCGAGTTGCGGCGGGGACCTGGGGTATGTTCTCGACTTACGGCGGGGATGGCCCTTCAAAACACGAGTTTCTTCAGTGACGTCAGGACTCCTGTCTAGTAACGAGGGACACCTCAGGAATCTCTTCGAGGCTTGGCAGGGCAAAAGGGACGCTTCTCGAGGTGAGGCAGGGCACCCAAGGACCCTTTCCAGTAGCCACAGGGATTTTGGGATTCCTATCAGTATTCAAGAGGAGTCAGGCATCGTCACCTTTTGAAGCAATGAACTCCGCGTGCCTGTCGAGGTGTCAGCGGGATGTGAGGCATTCCGTCAAAATGAGGCAGGGACCTAGGGCTTTCTCTAAGGTCTCCACAGGGGATTCAGACATCCCTTCATGTTGTGAGATGAAAGACGAGCCTGTATTCAAGCCACTGCAAGGAAATCCGGCCTCCTTTCAAGTTAGGGCTTCTCGCTGTATATTCCCCTTGAGGCAGCAAACTCGGGGTCCCTCGCACATACCTATTGCTGAGAGAAGCCTCCTCCTGAGGTGCTTCTGGGAAGTTGGCATACGTCTTGAGCCTAAGCCAGGGAATCAGCTCGCATCTCGAGACGATTTGGGGTACACGGAGCATTCCTCGATTTGCTGTGCTGAAGTTGGTGTTCCTCTAGACTTGGGACAGTGTTCTCGGGGCATCTCTGGAGTTGCCTGAAGGAAGTCGAGCCACCGGTCGTGTTGAATGGGGAACGGGGAATGGCTCTGGAGTCAATGCAGGGGAATCGGGCCTCATCTCGAGTTGATTTGGGGCACATGGAGCTGCTTTGCGTTGCTGGGGTGACCTCAGGGTCCGTCTAGACTGGTGACAGTGTTCTTGGGGACTGTCTCGAGATCCATTAAGCAAGTCGAAGCTCCTGACTTGTTTGACTGGGATCACGGAATAGCTCTGCGTGCACTGCAGGGGAATGGGGCCTCATCTCGCCTCTAGGGGGAAGTCTCATGGTTTTTCTCGAGTTGCGGCGGGGACCTGGGGTATGTTCTCGACTTACGGCGGGGATGGCCCTTCAAAACACGAGTTTCTTCAGTGACGTCAGGACTCCTGTCTAGTAACGAGGGACACCTCAGGAATCTCTTCGAGGCTTGGCAGGGCAAAAGGGACGCTTCTCGAGGTGAGGCAGGGCACCCAAGGACCCTTTCCAGTAGCCAGAGGGATTTTGGGATTCCTATCAGTATTCAAGAGGAGTCAGGCATCGTCACCTTTTGAAGCAACGAACTCCGCGTGCCTCTCGAGGTGTCAGCGCGATGTTAGGCATTCCGTCTAAATGAGGCAGGGACCTAGGGCTTTCTCTAAGGTCTCCACAGGGGATTCAGACATCCCTTCATGTTGTGAGATGAAAGACGAGCCTGTATTCAAGCCACTGCAAGGAAATCCGGCCTCCTTTCAAGTTAGGGCTTCTCGCTGTATATTCCCCTTGAGGCAGCAAACTCGGGGTCCCTCCCACATACCTATTGCTGAGAGAAGCCTCCTCCTGAGGTGCTTCTGGGAAGTCGGCATACGTCTTGAGCCTAAGCCAGGGAATCAGCTCGCACCTCGAGACGATTTGGGGTACACGGAGCATTCCTCGAGTTGCTGTGCTGAAGTTGGTGTTCCTCTAGACTTTGGACAGTGTTCTCGGGGCATCTCTGGAGTTACCTGAAGGAAGTCGAACCACCGGTCGTGTTGAATGGGGAACGGGGAATGGCTCTGGAGTCAATGCAGGGGAATCGGGCCTCATCTCGAGTTGATTTGGGGCACATAGAGCTGCTTTGCGTTGCTGGGGTGACCTCAGGGTCCGTCTAGACTGGTGACAGTGTTCTTGGGGACTGTCTCGAGATCCATTAAGCAAGTCGAAGCTCCTAACTTGTTTGAATGGGATTACGGAATAGCTCTGCATGCACTGCAGGGGAATGGGGCCTCATCTCGCCTCTAGGGGGAAGTCTCATGGTTTTTCTCGAGTTGCGGCGGGGACCTGGAGTATGTTCTCGACTTACGGCGGGGAAGGCCCTTCAAAACACGAGTTTCTTCAGTGACGTCAGGACTCCTGTCTAGTAACGAGGGACACCTCAGGAATCCCTTCGTGGCTTGGCAGGGCAAAAGGGACGCTTCTCGAGGTGAGGCAGGGCACCCAAGGACCCTTTCCAGTAGCCACAGGGATTTTGGGATTCCTATTTGTATTCAAGAGGAGTCAGGCATCATCACCTTTTGAAGCAATGAACTCCGCGTGCCTCTCGAGGTGTCAGCGGGATGTGAGGCATTCCGTCAAAATGAGGCAGGGACCTAGGGCTTTCTCTAAGGTCTCCACAGGGGATTCAGACATCCCTTCATGTTGTGAGATGAAAGACGAGCCTGTATTCAAGCCACTGCAAGGAAATCCGGCCTCCTTTCAAGTTAGGGCTTCTCGCTGTATATTCCCCTTGAGGCAGCAAACTCGGGGTCCCTCCCACATACCTATTGCTGAGAGAAGCCTCCTCCTGAGGTGCTTCTGGGAAGTTGGCATACGTCTTGAGCCTAAGCCAGGGAATCAGCTCTCATCTCGAGACGATTTGGGGTACACGGAGCATTCCTCGAGTGGCTGTGCTGAAGTTGGTGTTCCTCTAGACTTGGGACAGTGTTCTCGGGGCATCTCTGGAGTTGCCTGAAGGAAGTCGAGCCACCGGTCGTGTTGAATGGGGAACGGGGAATGGCTCTGGAGTCAATGCAGGGGAATCGGGCCTCATCTCGAGTTGATTTGGGGCACATGGAGCTGCTTTGCGTTGCTGGGGTGACCTCAGGGTCCGTCTAGACTGGTGACAGTGTTCTTGGGGGCTGTCTCGAGATCCATTAAGCAAGTCGAAGCTCCTGACTTGTTTGAATGGGATCACGGAATAGCTCTGCATGCACTGCAGGGGAATGGGGCCTCATCTCGCCTCTAGGGGGAAGTCTCATGGTTTTTCTCGAGTTGCGGCGGGGACCTGGGGTATGTTCTCGACTTACGGCGGGGATGGCCCTTCAAGACACGAGTTTCTTCAGTGACCTCAGGACTCGTGTCTAGTAATGAGGGACACCTCAGGAATCTCTTCGAGGCTTGGCAGGGCATAAGGGACGCTTCTCGAGGTGAGGCAGGGCACCCAAGGACCCTTTCCAGTAGCCACAGGGATTTTGGGATTCCTATCAGTATTCAAGAGGAGTCAGGCATCGTCACCTTTTGAAGCAATGAACTCCGCGTGCCTCTCGAGGTGTCAGCGGGATGTGAGGCATTCCGTCAAAATGAGGCAGGGACCTAGGGCTTTCTCTAAGGTCTCCACAGGGGATTCAGACATCCCTTCATGTTGTGAGATGAAAGACGAGCCTGTATTCAAGCCACTGCAAGGAAATCCGGCCTCCTTTCAAGTTAGGGCTTCTCGCTGTATATTCCCCTTGAGGCAGCAAACTCGGGGTCCCTCCCACATACCTATTGCTGAGAGAAGCCTCCTCCTGAGGTGCTTTTGGGAAGTTGGCATACGTCTTGAGCCTAAGCCAGGGAATCAGCTCGCATCTCGAGACGATTTGGGGTACACGGAGCATTCCTCGAGTTGCTGTGCTGAAGTTGGTGTTCCTCTAGACTTGGGACAGTGTTCTCGGGGCATCTCTGGAGTTGCCTGAAGGAAGTCGAGCCACCGGTCGTGTTGAATGGGGAACGGGGAATGGCTCTGGAGTCAATGCAGGGGAATCGGGCCTCATCTCGAGTTGATTTGGGGCACATGGAGCTGCTTTGCGTTGCTGGGGTGACCTCAGGGTCCGTCTAGACTGGTGACAGTGTTCTTGGGGACTGTCTCGAGATCCATTAAGCAAGTCGAAGCTCCTGACTTGTTTGAATGGGATCACGGAATAGCTCTGCATGCACTGCAGGGGAATGGGGCCTCATCTCGCCTCTAGGGGGAAGTCTCATGGTTTTTCTCGAGTTGCGGCGGGGACCTGGGGTATGTTCTCGACTTACGGCGGGGATGGCCCTTCAAAACACGAGTTTCTTCAGTGACGTCAGGACTCCTGTCTAGTAACGAGAGACACCTCAGGAATCTCTTCGAGGCTTGGCAGGGCAAAAGGGACGCTTCTCGAGGTGAGGCAGGGCACCCAAGGACCCTTTCCAGTAGCCACAGGGATTTTGGGATTCCTATCAGTATTCAAGAGGAGTCAGGCATCGTCACCTTTTGAAGCAATGAACTCCGCGTGCCTCTCGAGGTGTCAGCGGGATGTGAGGCATTCCGTCAAAATGAGGCAGGGACCTAGGGCTTTCTCTAAGGTCTCCACAGGGGATTCAGACATCCCTTCATGTTGTGAGATGAAAGACGAGCCTGTATTCAAGCCACTGCAAGGAAATCCGGCCTCCTTTCAAGTTAGGGCTTCTCGCTGTATATTCCCCTTGAGGCAGCAAACTCGGGGTCCCTCGCACATACCTATTGCTGAGAGAAGCCTCCTCCTGAGGTGCTTCTGGGAAGTTGGCATACGTGTTGAGCCTAAGCCAGGAAATCAGCTCGCACCTCGAGACGATTTGGGGTACACGGAGCATTCCTCGAGTTGCTGTGCTGAAGTTGGTGTTCCTCTAGACTTGGGACAGTGTTCTCGGGGCATCTCTGGAGTTGCCTGAAGGAAGTCGAGCCACCGGTCGTGTTGAATGGGGAACGGGGAATGGCTCTGGAGTCAATGCAGGGGAATCGGGCCTCATCTCGAGTTGATTTGGGGCACATGGAGCTGCTTTGCGTTGCTGGGGTGACCTCAGGGTCCATCTAGACTGGTGACAGTGTTCTTGGGGACTGTCTCGAGATCCATTAAGCAAGTCGAAGCTCCTGACTTGTTTGAATGGGATCACGGAATAGCTCTGCATGCACTGCAGGGGAATGGGGCCTCATCTCGCCTCTAGGGGGAAGTCTCATGGTTTTTCTCGAGTTGCGGCGGGGACCTGGGGTATGTTCTCGACTTACGGCGGGGATGGCCCTTCAAAACACGAGTTTCTTCAGTGACGTCAGGACTCCTGTCTAGTAACGAGGGACAACTCAGGAATCTCTTCGAGGCTTGGCAGGGCAAAAGGGACGCTTCTCGAGGTGAGGCAGGGCACCCAAGGACCCTTTCCAGTAGCCACAGGGATTTTGGGATTCCTATCAGTATTCAAGAGGAGTCAGGCATCGTCACCTTTTGAAGCAATGAACTCCGCGTGCCTCTCGAGGTGTCAGCGGGATGTGAGGCATTCCGTCAAAATGAGGCAGGGACCTAGGGCTTTCTCTAAGGTCTCCACAGGGGATTCAGACATCCCTTCATGTTGTGAGATGAAAGACGAGCCTGTATTCAAGCCACTGCAAGGAAATCCGGCCTCCTTTCAAGTTAGGTCTTCTCGCTGTATATTCCCCTTGAGGCAGCAAACTCGGGGTCCCTCGCACATACCTATTGCTGAGAGAAGCCTCCTCCTGAGGTGCTTCTGGGAAGTTGGCATACGTCTTGAGCCTAAGCCAGGGAATCAGCTCTCATCTTGAGACGATTTGGGGTACACGGAGCATTCCTCGAGTTGCTGTGCTGAAGTTGGTGTTCCTCTAGACTTGGGACAGTGTTCTCGGGGCATCTCTGGAGTTGCCTGAAGGAAGTCGAGCCACCGGTCGTGTTGAATGGGGAACGGGGAATGGCTCTGGAGTCAATTCACGGGAATCGGGCCTCATCTCGAGTTGATTTGGGGCACATGGAGCTGCTTTGCTTTGCTGGGGTGACCTCAGGGTCCGTCTAGTCTGGTGACATTGTTCTTGGGGACTGTCTCGAGATCGATTAAGCAAGTCGAAGCTCCTGACTTGTTTGAATGGGATCACGGAATAGCTCTGCATGCACTGCAGGGGAATGGGGCCTCATCTCGCCTCTAGAGAGAAGTCTCATGGTTTTTCTCGAGTTGCGGCGGGGACCTGGGGTATGTTCTCGACTTACGGCGGGGATGGCCCTTCAAAACACGAGTTTCTTCAGTGACGTCAGGACTCCTGTCTAGTAACGAGGGACACCTCAGGAATCTCTTCGAGGCTTGGCAGGGCAAAAGGGATGCTTCTCGAGGTGAGGCAGGGCACCCAAGGACCCTTTCCAGTAGCCACAGGGATTTTGGGAATCCTATCAGTATTCAAGAGGAGTCAGGCATCGTCACCTTTTGAAGCAATGAACTCCGCGTGCCTCTCGAGGTGTCAGCGGGATGTGAGGCATTCCGTCAAAATGAGGCAGGGACCTAGGGCTTTCTCTAAGGTCTCCACAGGGGATTCAGACATCCCTTCATGTTGTGAGATGAAAGACGAGCCTGTATTCAAGCCACTGCAAGGAAATCCGGCCTCCTTTCAAGTTAGGGCTTCTCGCTGTATATTCCCCTTGAGGCAGCAAACTCGGGGTCCCTCCCACATACCTATTGCTGAGAGAAGCCTCCTCCTGAGGTGCTTCTGGGAAGTTGGCATACGTCTTGAGCCTATGCCAGGGAATCAGCTCGCATCTCGAGACGATTTGGGGTACACGGAGCATTCCTCGAGTTGCTGTGCTGAAGTTGGTGTTCCTCTAGACTTGGGACAGTGTTCTCGGGGCATCTCTGGAGTTGCCTGAAGGAAGTCGAGCCACCGGTCGTGTTGAATGGGGAACGGGGAATGGCTCTGGAGTCAATGCAGGGGAATCAGGCCTCATCTCGAGTTGATTTGGGGCACATGGAGCTGCTTTGCGTTGCTGGGGTGACCTCAGGGTCCGTCTAGACTGGTGACAGTGTTCTTGGGGACTGTCTCGAGATCCATTAAGCAAGTCGAAGCTCCTGACTTGTTTGAATGGGATCACGGAATAGCTCTGCATGCACTGCAGGGGAATGGGGCCTCATCTCGCCTCTAGGGGGAAGTCTCATGGTTTTTCTCGAGTTGCGGCGGGGACCTGGGGTATGTTCTCGACTTACGGCGGGGATGGCCCTTCAAAACACGAGTTTCTTCAGTGACGTCAGGACTCCTGTCTAGTAACGAGGGACACCTCAGGAATCTCTTCGAGGCTTGGCAGGGCAAAAGGGACGCTTCTCGAGGTGAGGCAGGGCACCCAAGTACCCTTTTCAGTAGCCACAGGGATTTTGGGATTCCTATCAGTATTCAAGAGGAGTCAGGCATCGTCACCTTTTGAAGCAATGAACTCCGCGTGCCTCTCGAGGTGTCAGCGCGATGTGAGGCATTCCGTCAAAATGAGGCAGGGACCTAGGGCTTTCTCTAAGGTCTCCACAGGGGATTCAGACATCCCTTCATGTTGTGAGATGAAAGACGAGCCTGTATTCAAGCCACTGCAAGGAAATCCGGCCTCCATTCAAGTTAGGGCTTCTCGCTGTATATTCCCCTTGAGGCAGCAAACTCGGGGTCCCTCCCACATACCTATTGCTGAGAGAAGCCTCCTCCTGAGGTGCTTCTGGGAAGTCGGCATACGTCTTGAGCCTAAGCCAGGGAATCAGCAAGCACCTCGAGACGATTTGTGGTACACGGAGCATTCCTCGAGTTGCTGTGCTGAAGTTGGTGTTCCTCTAGACTTGGGACAGTGTTCTCGGGGCATCTCTGGAGTTGCCTGAAGGAAGTTGAGCCACCGTTCGTGTTGAATGGGGAACGGGGAATGGCTCTGGAGTCAATGCAGGGGAATCGGGCCTCATCTCGAGTTGATTTGGGGCACATGGAGCTGCTTTGCGTTGCTGGGGTGACCTCAGGGTCCGTCTAGACTGTTGACAGTGTTCTTGGGTACTGTCTCTAGATCCATTAAGCAAGTCGAAGCTCCTGACTTGTTTGAATGGGATCACGGAATAGCTCTGCATGCACTGCAGGGGAATGGGGCCTCATCTCGCCTCTAGGGGGAAGTCTCATGGTTTTTCTCGAGTTGCGGCGGGGACCTAGGGTATGTTCTCGACTTACGGCGGGGATGGCCCTTCAAAACACGAGTTTCTTCAGTGACGTCAGGACTCCTGTCTAGTAACGAGGGACACCTCAGGAATCTCTTCGAGGCTTGGCAGGGCAAAAGGGACGCTTCTCGAGGTGAGGCAGGGCACCCAAGGACCCTTTCCAGTAGCCACAGGGATTTTGGGATTCCTATCAGTATTCAAGAGGAGTCAGGCATCGTCACCTTTTGAAGCAATGAACTCTGCGTGCCTCTCGAGGTGTCAGCGGGATGTGAGGCATTCCGTCAAAATGAGGCAGGGACCTAGGGCTTTCTCTAAGGTCTCCACAGGGGATTCAGACATCCCTTCATGTTGTGAGATGAAAGACGAGCCTGTATTCAAGCCACTGCAAGGAAATCCGGCCTCCTTTCAAGTTAGGGCTTCTCGCTGTATATTCCCCTTGAGGCAGCAAACTCGGGGTCCCTCCCACATACCTATTGCTGAGAGAAGCCTCCTCCTGAGGTGCTTCTGGGAAGTTGGCATACGTCTTGAGCCTAAGCCAGGGAATCAGCTCTCATCTCGAGACGATTTGGGGTACACGGAGCATTCCTCGAGTTGCTGTGCTGAAGTTGGTGTTCCTCTAGACTTGGGACAGTGTTCTCGGGGCATCTCTGGAGTTGCCTGAAGGAAGTCGAGCCACCGGTCGTGTTGAATGTGGAACGGGGAATGGCTCTGGAGTCAATGCAGGGGAATCGGGCCTCATCTCGAGTTGATTTGGGGCACATGGAGCTGCTTCGCATTGCTGGGGTGACCTCAGGGTCCGTCTAGACTGGTGACAGTGTTCTTGGGGACTGTCTCGAGATCCATTAAGCAAGTCGAAGCTCCTGACTTGTTTGAATGGGATCACGGAATAGCTCTGCATGCACTGCAGGGGAATGGGGCCTCATCTCGCCTCTAGGGGGAAGTCTCATGGTTTTTCTCGAGTTGCGGCGGGGACCTGGGGTATGTTCTCGACTTACGGCGGGGATGGCCCTTCAAAACACGAGTTTCTTCAGTGACGTCAGGACTCCTGTCTAGTAACGAGGGACACCTCAGGAATCTCTTCGAGGCTTGGCAGGGCAAAAGGGACGCTTCTCGAGGTGAGGCAGGGCACCCAAGGACCCTTTCCAGGAGCCACAGGGATTTTGGGATTCCTATCAGTATTCAAGAGGAGTCAGGCCTCGTCACCTTTTGAAGCAATGAACTCCGCGTGCCTCTCGAGGTGTCAGCGCGATGTGAGGCATTCCGTCAAAATGAGGCAGGGACCTAGGGCTTTCTCTAAGGTCTCCACAGGGGATTCAGACATCCCTTCATGTTGTGAGATGAAAGACGAGCCTGTATTCAAGCCACTGCAAGGAAATCCGGCCTCCTTTCAAGTTAGGGCTTCTCGCTGTATATTCCCCTTGAGGCAGCAAACTCGGGGTCCCTCCCACATACCTATTGCTGAGAGAAGCCTCCTCCTGAGGTGCTTCTGGGAAGTTGGCATACGTCTTGAGCCTAAGCCAGGGAATCAGCTCGCACCTCGAGACGATTTGGGGTACACGGAGCATTCCTCGAGTTGCTGTGCTGAAGTTGGTGTTCCTCTAGACTTGGGACAGTGTTCTCGGGGCATCTCTGGAGTTGCCTGAAGGAAGTCGAGCCACCGGTCGTGTTGAATGGGGAACGGGGAATGGCTCTGGAGTCAATGCAGGGGAATCGGGCCTCATCTCGAGTTGATTTGGGGCACATGGAGCTGCTTTGCGTTGCTGGGGTGACCTCAGGGTCCGTCTAGACTGGTGACAGTGTTCTTGGGGACTGTCTCGAGATCCATTAAGCAAGTCGAAGCTCCTGACTTGTTTGAATGGGATCACGGAATAGCTCTGAATGCACTGCAGGGGAATGGGGCCTCATCTCGCCTCTAGGGGGAAGTCTCATGGTTTTTCTCGAGTTGCGGCGGGGACCTGGGGTATGTTCTCGACTTACGGCGGGGATGGCCCTTCAAAACACGAGTTTCTTCAGTGACGTCAGGACTCCTGTCTAGTAACGAGGGTCACCTCAGGAATCTCTTCGAGGCTTGGCAGGGCAAAAGGGACGCTTCTCGAGGTGAGGCAGGGCACCCAAGGACCCTTTCCAGTAGCCACAGGGATTTTGGGATTCCTATCAGTATTCAAGAGGAGTCAGGCATCGTCACCTTTTGAAGCAATGAACTCCGCGTGCCTCTCGAGGTGTCAGCGGGATGTGAGGCATTCCGTCAAAATGAGGCAGGGACCTAGGGCTTTCTCTAAGGTCTCCACAGGGGATTCAGACATCCCTTCATGTTGTGAGATGAAAGACGAGCCTGTATTCAAGCCACTGCAAGGAAATCCGGCCTCCTTTCAAGTTAGGGCTTCTCGCTGTATATTCCCCTTGAGGCAGCAAACTCGGGGTCCCTCGCACATACCTATTGCTGAGAGAAGCCTCCTCCTGAGGTGCTTCTGGGAAGTTGGCATACGTCTTGAGCCTAAGCCAGGGAATCAGCTCGCATCTCGAGACGATTTGAGGTACACGGAGCATTCCTCGATTTGCTGTGCTGAAGTTGGTGTTCCTCTAGACTTGGGACAGTGTTCTCGGGGCATCTCTGGAGTTGCCTGAAGGAAGTCGAGCCACCGGTCGTGTTGAATGGGGAACGGGGAATGGCTCTGGAGTCAATGCAGGGGAATCGGGCCTCATCTCGAGTTGATTTGGGGCACATGGAGCTGCTTTGCGTTGCTGGGGTGACCTCAGGGTCCGTCTAGACTGGTGACAGTGTTCTTGGGGACTGTCTCGAGATCCATTAAGCAAGTCGAAGCTCCTGACTTGTTTGAATGGGATCACGGAATAGCTCTGCATGCACTGCAGGGGAATGGGGCCTCATCTCGCCTCTAGGGGGAAGTCTCATGGTTTTTCTCGAGTTGCGGCGGGGACCTGGGGTATGTTCTCGACTTACGGCGGGGATGGCCCTTCAAAACACGAGTTTCTTCAGTGACGTCAGGACTCCTGTCTAGTAACGAGGGACACCTCAGGAATCACTTCGAGGCTTGGCAGGGCAAAAGGGACGCTTCTCGAGGTGAGGCAGGGCACCCAAGGACCCTTTCCAGTAGCCAGAGGGATTTTGGGATTCCTATCAGTATTCAAGAGGAGTCAGGCATCGTCACCTTTTGAAGCAACGAACTCCGCGTGCCTCTCGAGGTGTCAGCGCGATGTTAGGCATTCCGTCTAAATGAGGCAGGGACCTAGGGCTTTCTCTAAGGTCTCCACAGGGGATTCAGACATCCCTTCATGTTGTGAGATGAAAGACGAGCCTGTATTCAAGCCACTGCAAGGAAATCCGGCCTCCTTTCAAGTTAGGGCTTCTCGCTGTATATTCCCCTTGAGGCAGCAAACTCGGGGTCCCTCCCACATACCTATTGCTGAGAGAAGCCTCCTCCTGAGGTGCTTCTGGGAAGTCGGCATACGTCTTGAGCCTAAGCCAGGGAATCAGCTCGCACCTCGAGACGATTTGGAGTACACGGAGCATTCCTCGAGTTGCTGTGCTGAAGTTGGTGTTCCTCTAGACTTGGGACAGTGTTCTCGGGGCATCTCTGGAGTTACCTGAAGGAAGTCGAACCACCGGTCGTGTTGAATGGGGAACGGGGAATGGCTCTGGAGTCAATGCAGGGGAATCGGGCCTCATCTCGAGTTGATTTGGGGCACATGGAGCTGCTTTGCGTTGCTGGGGTGACCTCAGGGTCCGTCTAGACTGGTGACAGTGTTCTTGGGGACTGTCTCGAGATCCATTAAGCAAGTCGAAGCTCCTAACTTGTTTGAATGGGATCACGGAATAGCTCTGCATGCACTGCAGGGGAATGGGGCCTCATCTCGCCTCTAGGGGGAAGTCTCATGGTTTTTCTCGAGTTGCGGCGGGGACCTGGAGTATGTTCTCGACTTACGGCGGGGAAGGCCCTTCAAAACACGAGTTTCTTCAGTGACGTCAGGACTCCTGTCTAGTAACGAGGGACACCTCAGGAATCTCTTCGTGGCTTGGCAGGGCAAAAGGGACGCTTCTCGAGGTGAGGCAGGGCACCCAAGGACCCTTTCCAGTAGCCACAGGGATTTTGGGATTCCTATTTGTATTCAAGAGGAGTCAGGCATCATCACCTTTTGAAGCAATGAACTCCGCGTGCCTCTCGAGGTGTCAGCGGGATGTGAGGCATTCCGTCAAAATGAATCAGGGACCTAGGGCTTTCTCTAAGGTCTCCACAGGGGATTCAGACATCCCTTCATGTTGTGAGATGAAAGACGAGCCTGTATTCAAGCCACTGCAAGGAAATCCGGCCTCCTTTCAAGTTAGGGCTTCTCGCTGTATATTCCCCTTGAGGCAGCAAACTCGGGGTCCCTCCCACATACCTATTGCTGAGAGAAGCCTCCTCCTGAGGTGCTTCTGGGAAGTTGGCATACGTCTTGAGCCTAAGCCAGGGAATCAGCTCTCATCTCGAGACGATTTGGGGTACACGGAGCATTCCTCGAGTTGCTGTGCTGAAGTTGGTGTTCCTCTAGACTTGGGACAGTGTTCTCGGGGCATCTCTGGAGTTGCCTGAAGGAAGTCGAGCCACCGGTCGTGTTGAATGGGGAACGGGGAATGGCTCTGGAGTCAATGCAGGGGAATCGGGCCTCATCTCGAGTTGATTTGGGGCACATGGAGCTGCTTTGCGTTGCTGGGGTGACCTCAGGGTCCGTCTAGACTGGTGACAGTGTTCTTGGGGACTGTCTCGAGATCCATTAAGCAAGTCGAAGCTCCTGACTTGTTTGAATGGGATCACGGAATAGCTCTGCATGCACTGCAGGGGAATGGGGCCTCATCTCGCCTCTAGGGGGAAGTCTCATGGTTTTTCTCGAGTTGCGGCGGGGACCTGGGGTATGTTCTCGACTTACGGCGGGGATGGCCCTTCAAGACACGAGTTTCTTCAGTGACCTCAGGACTCGTGTCTAGTAATGAGGGACACCTCAGGAATCTCTTCGAGGCTTGGCAGGGCAAAAGGGACGCTTCTCGAGGTGAGGCAGGGCACCCAAGGACCCTTTCCAGTAGCCACAGGGATTTTGGGATTCCTATCAGTATTCAAGAGGAGTCAGGCATCGTCACCTTTTGAAGCAATGAACTCCGCGTGCCTCTCGAGGTGTCAGCGGGATGTGAGGCATTCCGTCAAAATGAGGCAGGGACCTAGGGCTTTCTCTAAGGTCTCCACAGGGGATTCAGACATCCCTTCATGTTGTGAGATGAAAGACGAGCCTGTATTCAAGCCACTGCAAGGAAATCCGGCCTCCTTTCAAGTTAGGGCTTCTCGCTGTATATTCCCCTTGAGGCAGCAAACTCGGGGTCCCTCCCACATACCTATTGCTGAGAGAAGCCTCCTCCTGAGGTGCTTCTGGGAAGTTGGCATACGTCTTGAGCCTAAGCCAGGGAATCAGCTCGCATCTCGAGACGATTTGGGGTACACGGAGCATTCCTCGAGTTGCTGTGCTGAAGTTGGTGTTCCTCTAGACTTGGGACAGTGTTCTCGGGGCATCTCTGGAGTTGCCTGAAGGAAGTCGAGCCACCGGTCGTGTTGAATGGGGAACGGGGAATGGCTCTGGAGTCAATGCAGGGGAATCGGGCCTCATCTCGAGTTGATTTGGGGCACATGGAGCTGCTTTGCGTTGCTGGGGTGACCTCAGGGTCCGTCTAGACTGGTGACAGTGTTCTTGGGGACTGTCTCGAGATCCATTAAGCAAGTCGAAGCTCCTGACTTGTTTGAATGGGATCACGGAATAGCTCTGCATGCACTGCAGGGGAATGGGGCCTCATCTCGCCTCTAGGGGGAAGTCTCATGGTTTTTCTCGAGTTGCGGCGGGGACCTGGGGTATGTTCTCGACTTACGGCGGGGATGGCCCTTCAAAACACGAGTTTCTTCAGTGACGTCAGGACTCCTGTCTAGTAACGAGGGACACCTCAGGAATCTCTTCGAGGCTTGGCAGGGCAAAAGGGACGCTTCTCGAGGTGAGGCAGGGCACCCAAGGACCCTTTCCAGTAGCCACAGGGATTTTGGGATTCCTATCAGTATTCAAGAGGAGTCAGGCATCGTCACCTTTTGAAGCAATGAACTCCGCGTGCCTCTCGAGGTGTCAGCGGGATGTGAGGCATTCCGTCAAAATGAGGCAGGGACCTAGGGCTTTCTCTAAGGTCTCCACAGGGGATTCAGACATCCCTTCATGTTGTGAGATGAAAGACGAGCCTGTATTCAAGCCACTGCAAGGAAATCCGGCCTCCTTTCAAGTTAGGTCTTCTCGCTGTATATTCCCCTTGAGGCAGCAAACTCGGGGTCCCTCGCACATACCTATTGCTGAGAGAAGCCTCCTCCTGAGGGGCTTCTGGGAAGTTGGCATACGTCTTGAGCCTAAGCCAGGGAATCAGCTCTCATCTTGAGACGATTTGGGGTACACGGAGCATTCCTCGAGTTGCTGTGCTGAAGTTGGTGTTCCTCTAGACTTGGGACAGTGTTCTCGGGGCATCTCTGGAGTTGCCTGAAGGAAGTCGAGCCACCGGTCGTGTTGAATGGGGAACGGGGAATGGCTCTGGAGTCAATGCACGGGAATCGGGCCTCATCTCGAGTTGATTTGGGGCACATGGAGCTGCTTTGCTTTGCTGGGGTGACCTCAGGGTCCGTCTAGACTGGTGACATTGTTCTTGGGGACTGTCTCGAGATCCATTAAGCAAGTCGAAGCTCCTGACTTGTTTGAATGGGATCACGGAATAGCTCTGCATGCACTGCAGGGGAATGGGGCCTCATCTCGCCTCTAGAGAGAAGTCTCATGGTTTTTCTCGAGTTGCGGCGGGGACCTGGGGTATGTTCTCGACTTACGGCGGGGATGGCCCTTCAAAACACGAGTTTCTTCAGTGACGTCAGGACTCCTGTCTAGTAACGAGGGACACCTCAGGAATCTCTTCGAGGCTTGGCAGGGCAAAAGGGACGCTTCTCGAGGTGAGGCAGGGCACCCAAGGACCCTTTCCAGTAGCCACAGGGATTTTGGGATTCCTATCAGTATTCAAGAGGAGTCAGGCATCGTCACCTTTTGAAGCAATGAACTCCGCGTGCCTCTCGAGGTGTCAGCGGGATGTGAGGCATTCCGTCAAAATGAGGCAGGGACCTAGGGCTTTCTCTAAGGTCTCCACAGGGGATTCAGACATCCCTTCATGTTCTGAGATGAAAGACGAGCCTGTATTCAAGCCACTGCAAGGAAATCCGGCCTCCTTTCAAGTTAGGGCTTCTCGCTGTATATTCCCCTTGAGGCAGCAAACTCGGGGTCCCTCGCACATACCTATTGCTGAGAGAAGCCTCCTCCTGAGGTGCTTCTGGGTAGTTGGCATACGTCTTGAGCCTAAGCCAGGGAATCAGCTCTCATCTTGAGACGATTTGGGGTACACGGAGCATTCCTCGAGTTGCTGTGCTGAAGTTGGTGTTCCTCTAGACTTGGGACAGTGTTCTCGGGGCATCTCTGGAGTTGCCTGAAGGAAGTCGAGCCACCGGTCGTGTTGAATGGGGAACGGGGAATGGCTCTGGAGTCAATGCACGGGAATCGGGCCTCATCTCGAGTTGATTTGGGGCACATGGAGCTGCTTTGCGTTGCTGGGGTGACCTCAGGGTCCGTCTAGACTGGTGACAGTGTTCTTGGGGACTGTCTCGAGATCCATTAAGCAAGTCGAAGCTCCTGACTTGTTTGAATGGGATCACGGAATAGCTCTGCATGCACTGCAGGGGAATGGGGCCTCATCTCGCCTCTAGGGGGAAGTCTCATGATTTTTCTCGAGTTGCGGCGGGGACCTGGGGTAGGTTCTCGACTTACGGCGGGGATGGCCCTTCAAAACACGAGTTTCTTCAGTGACGTCAGGACTCCTGTCTAGTAACGAGGGACACCTCAGGAATCTCTTCGAGGCTTGGCAGGGCAAAAGGGACGCTTCTCGAGGTGAGGCAGGGCACCCAAGGACCCTTTCCAGTAGCCACAGGGATTTTGGGATTCCTATCAGTATTCAAGAGGAGTCAGGCATCGTCACCTTTTGAAGCAATGAACTCCGCGTGCCTCTCGAGGTGTCAGCGGGATGTGAGGCATTCCGTCAAAATGAGGCAGGGACCTAGGGCTTTCTCTAAGGTCTCCACAGGGGATTCAGACATCCCTTCATGTTGTGAGATGAAAGACGAGCCTGTATTCAAGCCACTGCAAGGAAATCCGGCCTCCTTTCAAGTTAGGGCTTCTCGCTGTATATTCCCCTTGAGGCAGCAAACTCGGGGTCCCTCCCACATACCTATTGCTGAGAGAAGCCTCCTCCTGAGGTGCTTCTGGGAAGTTGGCATACGTCTTGAGCCTAAGCCAGGGAATCAGCTCGCATCTCGAGACGATTTGGGGTACACGGAGCATTCCTCGAGTTGCTGTGCTGAAGTTGGTGTTCCTCTAGACTTGGGACAGTGTTCTCGGGGTATCTCTGGAGTTGCCTGAAAGAAGTCGAGCCACCGGTCGTGTTGAATGGGGAACGGGGAATGGCTCTGGAGTCAATGCAGGGGAATCGGGCCTCATCTCGAGTTGATTTGGGGCACATGGAGCTGCTTTGCGTTGCTGGGGTGACCTCAGGGTCCGTCTAGACTGGTGACAGTGTTCTTGGGGACTGTCTCGAGATCCATTAAGCAAGTCGAAGCTCCTGACTTGTTTGAATGGGATCACGGAATAGCTCTGCATGCACTGCAGGGGAATGGGGCCTCATCTCGCCTCTAGGTGGAAGTCTCATGGTTTTTCTCGAGTTGCGGCGGGGACCTGGGGTATGTTCTCGACTTACGGCGGGGATGGCCCTTCAAAACACGAGTTTCTTCAGTGACGTCAGGACTCCTGTCTAGTAACGAGGGACACCTCAGGAATCTCTTCGAGGCTTGGCAGGGCAAAAGGGACGCTTCTCGAGGTGAGGCAGGGCACCCAAGGACCCTTTCCAGTAGCCACAGGGATTTTGGGATTCCTATCAGTATTCAAGAGGAGTCTGGCATCGTCACCTTTTGAAGCAATGAACTCCGCGTGCCTCTCGAGGTGTCAGCGCGATGTGAGGCATTCCGTCAAAATGAGGCAGGGACCTAGGGCTTTCTCTAAGGTCTCCACAGGGGATTCAGACATCCCTTCATGTTGTGAGATGAAAGACGAGCCTGTATTCAAGCCACTGCAAGGAAATCCGGCCTCCTTTCAAGTTAGGGCTTCTCGCTGTATATTCCCCTTGAGGCAGCAAACTCGGGGTCCCTCGCACATACCTATTGCTGAGAGAAGCCTCCTCCTGAGGTGCTTCTGGGAAGTTGGCATACGTCTTGAGCCTAAGCCAGGGAGTCAGCTCGCACCTCGAGACGATTTGGGGTACACGGAGCATTCCTCGAGTTGCTGTGCTGAAGTTGGTGTTCCTCTAGACTTGGGACAGTGTTCTCGGGGCATCTCTGGAGTTGCCTGAAGGAAGTCGAGCCACCGGTCGTGTTGAATGGGGAACGGGGAATGGCTCTCCAGTCAATGCACGGGAATCGGGCCTCATCTCGAGTTGATTTGGGGCACATGGAGCTGCTTTGCTTTGCTGGGGTGACCTCAGGGTCCGTCTAGACTGGTGACATTGTTCTTGGGGACTGTCTCGAGACCCATTAAGCAAGTCGAAGCTCCTGACTTGTTTGAATGGGATCACGGAATAGCTCTGCATGCACTGCAGGGGAATGGGGCCTCATCTCGCCTCTAGAGGGAAGTCTCATGGTTTTTCTCGAGTTGCGGCGGGGACCTGGGGTATGTTCTCGACTTACGGCGGGGATGGCCCTTCAAAACACGAGTTTCTTCAGTGAGGTCAGGACTCCTGTCTAGTAACGAGGGACACCTCAGGAATCTCTTCGAGGCTTGGCAGGGCAAAAGGGATGCTTCTCGAGTTGAGGCAGGGCACCCAAGGACCCTTTCCAGTAGCCACAGGGATTTTGGGATTCCTATCAGTATTCAAGAGGAGTCAGGCATCGTCACCTTTTGAAGCAATGAACTCCGCGTGCCTCTCGAGGTGTCAGCGGGTTGTGAGGCATTCCGTCAAAATGAGGCAGGGACCTAGGGCTTTCTCTAAGGTCTCCACAGGGGATTCAGACATCCCTTCATGTTGTGAGATGAAAGACGAGCCTGTATTCAAGCCACTGCAAGGAAATCCGGCCTCCTTTCAAGTTAGGGCTTCTCGCTGTATATTCAACTTGAGGCAGCAAACTCGGGGTCCCTCCCACATACCTATTGCTGAGAGAAACCTCCTCCTGAGGTGCTTCTGGGAAGTTGGCATACGTCTTGAGCCTACGCCAGGGAATCAGCTCGCATCTCGAGACGATTTGGGGTACACGGAGCATTCCTCGAGTTGCTGTGCTGAAGTTGGTGTTCCTCTAGACTTGGGACAGTGTTCTCGGGGCATCTCTGGAGTTGCCTGAAGGAAGTCGAGCCACCGGTCGTGTTGAATGGGGAACGGGGAATGGCTCTGGAGTCAATGCAGGGGAATCGGGCCTCATCTCGAGTTGATTTGGGGCACATGGGGCGGCTTTGCGTTGCTGGGGTGACCTCAGGGTCCGTCTAGACTGGTGACAGTGTTCTTGGGGACTGTCTCGAGACCCATTAAGCAAGTCGAAGCTCCTGACTTGTTTGAATGGGATCACGGAATAGCTCTGCATGCACTGCAGGGGAATGGGGCCTCATCTCGCCTCTAGGGGGAAGTCTCATGGTTTTTCTCGAGTTGCGGCGGGGACCTGGGGTATGTTCTCGACTTACGGCGGGGATGGCCCTTCAAAACACGAGTTTCTTCAGTGACGTCAGGACTCCTGTCTAGTAACGAGGGACACCTCAGGAATCTCTTCGAGGCTTGGCAGGGCAAAAGGGACGCTTCTCGAGGTGAGGCAGGGCACCCAAGGACCCTTTCCAGTAGCCACAGGGATTTTGGGATTCCTATCAGTATTCAAGAGGAGTCTGGCATCGTCACCTTTTGAAGCAATGAACTCCGCGTGCCTCTCGAGGTGTCAGCGCGATGTGAGGCATTCCGTCAAAATGAGGCAGGGACCTAGGGCTTTCTCTAAGGTCTCCACAGGGGATTCAGACATCCCTTCATGTTGTGAGATGAAAGACGAGCCTGTATTCAAGCCACTGCAAGGAAATCCGGCCTCCTTTCAAGTTAGGGCTTCTCGCTGTATATTCCCCTTGAGGCAGCAAACTCGGGGTCCCTCGCACATACCTATTGCTGAGAGAAGCCTCCTCCTGAGGTGCTTCTGGGAAGTTGGCATACGTCTTGAGCCTAAGCCAGGGAGTCAGCTCGCACCTCGAGACGATTTGGGGTACACGGAGCATTCCTCGAGTTGCTGTGCTGAAGTTGGTGTTCCTCTAGACTTGGGACAGTGTTCTCGGGGCATCTCTGGAGTTGCCTGAAGGAAGTCGAGCCACCGGTCGTGTTGAATGGGGAACGGGGAATGGCTCTCCAGTCAATGCACGGGAATCGGGCCTCATCTCGAGTTGATTTGGGGCACATGGAGCTGCTTTGCTTTGCTGGGGTGACCTCAGGGTCCGTCTAGACTGGTGACATTGTTCTTGGGGACTGTCTCGAGATCCATTAAGCAAGTCGAAGCTCCTGACTTGTTTGAATGGGATCACGGAATAGCTCTGCATGCACTGCAGGGGAATGGGGCCTCATCTCGCCTCTAGAGGGAAGTCTCATGGTTTTTCTCGAGTTGCGGCGGGGACCTGGGGTATGTTCTCGACTTACGGCGGGGATGGCCCTTCAAAACACGAGTTTCTTCAGTGACGTCAGGACTCCTGTCTAGTAACGAGGGACACCTCAGGAATCTCTTCGAGGCTTGGCAGGGCAAAAGGGATGCTTCTCGAGTTGAGGCAGGGCACCCAAGGACCCTTTCCAGTAGCCACAGGGATTTTGGGATTCCTATCAGTATTCAAGAGGAGTCAGGCATCGTCACCTTTTGAAGCAATGAACTCCGCGTGCCTCTCGAGGTGTCAGCGGGTTGTGAGGCATTCCGTCAAAATGAGGCAGGGACCTAGGGCTTTCTCTAAGGTCTCCACAGGGGATTCAGACATCCCTTCATGTTGTGAGATGAAAGACGAGCCTGTATTCAAGCCACTGCAAGGAAATCCGGCCTCCTTTCAAGTTAGGGCTTCTCGCTGTATATTCAACTTGAGGCAGCAAACTCGGGGTCCCTCCCACATACCTATTGCTGAGAGAAACCTCCTCCTGAGGTGCTTCTGGGAAGTTGGCATACGTCTTGAGCCTACGCCAGGGAATCAGCTCGCATCTCGAGACGATTTGGGGTACACGGAGCATTCCTCGAGTTGCTGTGCTGAAGTTGGTGTTCCTCTAGACTTGGGACACTGTTCCCGGGGCATCTCTGGAGTTGCCTGAAGGAAGTCGAGCCACCGGTCGTGTTGAATGGGGAACGGGGAATGGCTCTGGAGTCAATGCAGGGGAATCGGGCCTCATCTCGAGTTGATTTGGGGCACATGGGGCGGCTTTGCGTTGCTGGGGTGACCTCAGGGTCCGTCTAGACTGGTGACAGTGTTCTTGGGGACTGTCTCGAGATCCATTAAGCAAGTCGAAGCTCCTGACTTGTTTGAATGGGATCACGGAATAGCTCTGCATGCACTGCAGGGGAATGGGGCCTCATCTCGCCTCTAGGGGGAAGTCTCATGGTTTTTCTCGAGTTGCGGCGGGGACCTGGGGTATGTTCTCGACTTACGGCGGGGATGGCCCTTCAAAACACGAGTTTCTTCAGTGACGTCAGGACTCCTGTCTAGTAACGAGGGACACCTCAGGAATCTCTTCGAGGCTTGGCAGGGCAAAAGGGACGCTTCTCGAGGTGAGGCAGGGCACCCAAGGACCCTTTCCAGGAGCCACAGGGATTTTGGGATTCCTATCAGTATTCAAGAGGAGTCAGGCCTCGTCACCTTTTGAAGCAATGAACTCCGCGTGCCTCTCGAGGTGTCAGCGCGATGTGAGGCATTCCGTCAAAATGAGGCAGGGACCTAGGGCTTTCTCTAAGGTCTCCACAGGGGATTCAGACATCCCTTCATGTTGTGAGATGAAAGACGAGCCTGTATTCAAGCCACTGCAAGGAAATCCGGCCTCCTTTCAAGTTAGGGCTTCTCGCTGTATATTCCCCTTGAGGCAGCAAACTCGGGGTCCCTCCCACATACCTATTGCTGAGAGAAGCCTCCTCCTGAGGTGCTTCTGGGAAGTTGGCATACGTCTTGAGCCTAAGCCAGGGAATCAGCTCGCACCTCGAGACGATTTGGGGTACACGGAGCATTCCTCGAGTTGCTGTGCTGAAGTTGGTGTTCCTCTAGACTTGGGACAGTGTTCTCGGGGCATCTCTGGAGTTGCCTGAAGGAAGTCGAGCCACCGGTCGTGTTGAATGGGGAACGGGGAATGGCTCTGGAGTCAATGCAGGGGAATCGGGCCTCATCTCGAGTTGATTTGGGGCACATGGAGCTGCTTTGCTTTGCTGGGGTGACCTCAGGGTCCGTCTAGACTGGTGACATTGTTCTTGGGGACTGTCTCGAGATCCATTAAGCAAGTCGAAGCTCCTGACTTGTTTGAATGGGATCACGGAATAGCTCTGCATGCACTGCAGGGGAATGGGGCCTCATCTCGCCTCTAGAGGGAAGTCTCATGGTTTTTCTCGAGTTGCGGCGGGGACCTGGGGTATGTTCTCGACTTACGGCGGGGATGGCCCTTCAAAACACGAGTTTCTTCAGTGACGTCAGGACTCCTGTCTAGTAACGAGGGACACCTCAGGAATCTCTTCGAGGCTTGGCAGGGCAAAAGGGATGCTTCTCGAGTTGAGGCAGGGCACCCAAGGACCCTTTCCAGTAGCCACAGGGATTTTGGGATTCCTATCAGTATTCAAGAGGAGTCAGGCATCGTCACCTTTTGAAGCAATGAACTCCGCGTGCCTCTCGAGGTGTCAGCGGGTTGTGAGGCATTCCGTCAAAATGAGGCAGGGACCTAGGGCTTTCTCTAAGGTCTCCACAGGGGATTCAGACATCCCTTCATGTTGTGAGATGAAAGACGAGCCTGTATTCAAGCCACTGCAAGGAAATCCGGCCTCCTTTCAAGTTAGGGCTTCTCGCTGTATATTCAACTTGAGGCAGCAAACTCGGGGTCCCTCCCACATACCTATTGCTGAGAGAAACCTCCTCCTGAGGTGCTTCTGGGAAGTTGGCATACGTCTTGAGCCTACGCCAGGGAATCAGCTCGCATCTCGAGACGATTTGGGGTACACGGAGCATTCCTCGAGTTGCTGTGCTGAAGTTGGTGTTCCTCTAGACTTGGGACAGTGTTCTCGGGGCATCTCTGGAGTTGCCTGAAGGAAGTCGAGCCACCGGTCGTGTTGAATGGGGAACGGGGAATGGCTCTGGAGTCAATGCAGGGGAATCGGGCCTCATCTCGAGTTGATTTGGGGCACATGGGGCGGCTTTGCGTTGCTGGGGTGACCTCAGGGTCCGTGTAGACTGGTGACAGTGTTCTTGGGGACTGTCTCGAGATCCATTAAGCAAGTCGAAGCTCCTGACTTGTTTGAATGGGATCACGGAATAGCTCTGCATGCACTGCAGGGGAATGGGGCCTCATCTCGCCTCTAGGGGGAAGTCTCATGGTTTTTCTCGAGTTGCGGCGGGGACCTGGGGTATGTTCTCGACTTACGGCGGGGATGGCCCTTCAAAACACGAGTTTCTTCAGTGACGTCAGGACTCCTGTCTAGTAACGAGGGACACCTCAGGAATCTCTTCGAGGCTTGGCAGGGCAAAAGGGACGCTTCTCGAGGTGAGGCAGGGCACCCAAGGACCCTTTCCAGGAGCCACAGGGATTTTGGGATTCCTATCAGTATTCAAGAGGAGTCAGGCCTCGTCACCTTTTGAAGCAATGAACTCCGCGTGCCTCTCGAGGTGTCAGCGCGATGTGAGGCATTCCGTCAAAATGAGGCAGGGACCTAGGGCTTTCTCTAAGGTCTCCACAGGGGATTCAGACATCCCTTCATGTTGTGAGATGAAAGACGAGCCTGTATTCAAGCCACTGCAAGGAAATCCGGCCTCCTTTCAAGTTAGGGCTTCTCGCTGTATATTCCCCTTGAGGCAGCAAACTCGGGGTCCCTCCCACATACCTATTGCTGAGAGAAGCCTCCTACTGAGGTGCTTCTGGGAAGTTGGCATACGTCTTGAGCCTAAGCCAGGGAATCAGCTCGCACCTCGAGACGATTTGGGGTACACGGAGCATTCCTCGAGTTGCTGTGCTGAAGTTGGTGTTCCTCTAGACTTGGGACAGTGTTCTCGGGGCATCTCTGGAGTTGCCTGAAGGAAGTCGAGCCACCGGTCGTGTTGAATGGGGAACGGGGAATGGCTCTGGAGTCAATGCAGGGGAATCGGGCCTCATCTCGAGTTGATTTGGGGCACATGGAGCTGCTTTGCGTTGCTGGGGTGACCTCAGGGTCCGTCTAGACTGGTGACAGTGTTCTTGGGGACTGTCTCGAGATCCATTAAGCAAGTCGAAGCTCCTGACTTGTTTGAATGGGATCACGGAATAGCTCTGCATGCACTGCAGGGGAATGGGGCCTCATCTCGCCTCTAGGGGGAAGTCTCATGGTTTTTCTCGAGTTGGGGCGGGGACCTGGGGTATGTTCTCGACTTACGGCGGGGATGGCCCTTCAAAACACGAGTTTCTTCAGTGACGTCAGGACTCCTGTCTAGTAACGAGGGACACCTCAGGAATCTCTTCGAGGCTTGGCAGGGCAAAAGGGACGCTTCTCGAGGTGAGGCAGGGCACCCAAGGACCCTTTCCAGTAGCCACAGGGATTTTGGGATTCCTATCAGTATTCAAGAGGAGTCAGGCATCGTCACCTTTTGAAGCAATGAACTCCGCGTGCCTCTCGAGGTGTCAGCGGGATGTGAGGCATTCCGTCAAAATGAGGCAGGGACCTAGGGCTTTCTCTAAGGTCTCCACAGGGGATTCAGACATCCCTTCATGTTGTGAGATGAAAGACGAGCCTGTATTCAAGCCACTGCAAGGAAATCCGGCCTCCTTTCAAGTTAGGGCTTCTCGCTGTATATTCCCCTTGAGGCAGCAAACTCGGGGTCCCTCGCACATACCTATTGCTGAGAGAAGCCTCCTCCTGAGGTGCTTCTGGGAAGTTGGCATACGTCTTGAGCCTAAGCCAGGGAATCAGCTCGCATCTCGAGACGATTTGGGGTACACGGAGCATTCCTCGATTTGCTGTGCTGAAGTTGGTGTTCCTCTAGACTTGGGACAGTGTTCTCGGGGCATCTCTGGAGTTGCCTGAAGGAAGTCGAGCCACCGGTCGTGTTGAATGGGGAACGGGGAATGGCTCTGGAGTCAATGCAGGGGAATCGGGCCTCATCTCGAGTTGATTTGGGGCACATGGAGCTGCTTTGCGTTGCTGGGGTGACCTCAGGGTCCGTCTAGACTGGTGACAGTGTTCTTGGGGACTGTCTCGAGATCCATTAAGCAAGTCGAAGCTCCTGACTTGTTTGAATGGGATCACGGAATAGCTCTGCATGCACTGCAGGGGAATGGGGCCTCATCTCGCCTCTAGGGGGAAGTCTCATGGTTTTTCTCGAGTTGCGGCGGGGACCTGGGGTATGTTCTCGACTTACGGCGGGGATGGCCCTTCAAGACACGAGTTTCTTCAGTGACCTCAGGACTCGTGTCTAGTAATGAGGGACACCTCAGAAATCTCTTCGAGGCTTGGCAGGGCAAAAGGGACGCTTCTCGAGGTGAGGCAGGGCACCCAAGGACCCTTTCCAGTAGCCACAGGGATTTTGGGATTCCTATCAGTATTCAAGAGGAGTCAGGCATCGTCACCTTTTGAAGCAATGAACTCCGCGTGCCTCTCGAGGTGTCAGCGGGATGTGAGGCATTCCGTCAAAATGAGGCAGGGACCTAGGGCTTTCTCTAAGGTCTCCACAGGGGATTCAGACATCCCTTCATGTTGTGAGATGAAAGACGAGCCTGTATTCAAGCCACTGCAAGGAAATCCGGCCTCCTTTCAAGTTAGGGCTTCTCGCTGTATATTCCCCTTGAGGCAGCAAACTCGGGGTCCCTCCCACATACCTATTGCTGAGAGAAGCCTCCTCCTGAGGTGCTTCTGGGAAGTTGGCATACGTCTTGAGCCTAAGCCAGGGAATCAGCTCGCATCTCGAGACGATTTGGGGTACACGGAGCATTCCTCGAGTTGCTGTGCTGAAGTTGGTGTTCCTCTAGACTTGGGACAGTGTTCTCGGGGCATCTCTGGAGTTGCCTGAAGGAAGTCGAGCCACCGGTCGTGTTGAATGGGGAACGGGGAATGGCTCTGGAGTCAATGCAGGGGAATCGGGCCTCATCTCGAGTTGATTTGGGGCACATGGAGCTGCTTTGCGTTGCTGGGGTGACCTCAGGGTCCGTCTAGACTGGTGACAGTGTTCTTGGGGACTGTCTCGAGATCCATTAAGCAAGTCGAAGCTCCTGACTTGTTTGAATGGGATCACGGAATAGCTCTGCATGCACTGCAGGGGAATGGGGCCTCATCTCGCCTCTAGGGGGAAGTCTCATGGTTTTTCTCGAGTTGCGGCGGGGACCTGGGGTATGTTCTCGACTTACGGCGGGGATGGCCCTTCAAAACACGAGTTTCTTCAGTGACGTCAGGACTCCTGTCTAGTAACGAGAGACACCTCAGGAATCTCTTCGAGGCTTGGCAGGGCAAAAGGGACGCTTCTCGAGGTGAGGCAGGGCACCCAAGGACCCTTTCCAGTAGCCACAGGGATTTTGGGATTCCTATCAGTATTCAAGAGGAGTCAGGCATCGTCACCTTTTGAAGCAATGAACTCCGCGTGCCTCTCGAGGTGTCAGCGGGATGTGAGGCATTCCGTCAAAATGAGGCAGGGACCTAGGGCTTTCTCTAAGGTCTCCACAGGGGATTCAGACATCCCTTCATGTTGTGAGATGAAAGACGAGCCTGTATTCAAGCCACTGCAAGGAAATCCGGCCTCCTTTCAAGTTAGGGCTTCTCGCTGTATATTCCCCTTGAGGCAGCAAACTCGGGGTCCCTCCCACATACCTATTGCTGAGAGAAGCCTCCTCCTGAGGTGCTTCTGGGAAGTTGGCATACGTCTTGAGCCTAAGCCAGGAAATCAGCTCGCACCTCGAGACGATTTGGGGTACACGGAGCATTCCTCGAGTTGCTGTGCTGAAGTTGGTGTTCCTCTAGACTTGGGACAGTGTTCTCGGGGCATCTCTGGAGTTGCCTGAAGGAAGTCGAGCCACCGGTCGTGTTGAATGGGGAACGGGGAATGGCTCTGGAGTCAATGCAGGGGAATCGGGCCTCATCTCGAGTTGATTTGGGGCACATGGAGCTGCTTTGCGTTGCTGGGGTGACCTCAGGGTCCATCTAGACTGGTGACAGTGTTCTTGGGGACTGTCTCGAGATCCATTAAGCAAGTCGAAGCTCCTGACTTGTTTGAATGGGATCACGGAATAGCTCTGCATGCACTGCAGGGGAATGGGGCCTCATCTCGCCTCTAGGGGGAAGTCTCATGGTTTTTCTCGAGTTGCGGCGGGGACCTGGGGTATGTTCTCGACTTACGGCGGGGATGGCCCTTCAAAACACGAGTTTCTTCAGTGACGTCAGGACTCCTGTCTAGTAACGAGGGACAACTCAGGAATCTCTTCGAGGCTTGGCAGGGCAAAAGGGACGCTTCTCGAGGTGAGGCAGGGCACCCAAGGACCCTTTCCAGTAGCCACAGGGATTTTGGGATTCCTATCAGTATTCAAGAGGAGTCAGGCATCGTCACCTTTTGAAGCAATGAACTCCGCGTGCCTCTCGAGGTGTCAGCGGGATGTGAGGCATTCCGTCAAAATGAGGCAGGGACCTAGGGCTTTCTCTAAGGTCTCCACAGGGGATTCAGACATCCCTTCATGTTGTGAGATGAAAGACGAGCCTGTATTCAAGCCACTGCAAGGAAATCCGGCCTCCTTTCAAGTTAGGTCTTCTCGCTGTATATTCCCCTTGAGGCAGCAAACTCGGGGTCCCTCGCACATACCTATTGCTGAGAGAAGCCTCCTCCTGAGGTGCTTCTGGGAAGTTGGCATACGTCTTGAGCCTAAGCCAGGGAATCAGCTCTCATCTCGAGACGATTTGGGGTACACGGAGCATTCCTCGAGTTGCTGTGCTGAAGTTGGTGTTCCTCTAGACTTGGGACAGTGTTCTCGGGGCATCTCTGGAGTTGCCTGAAGGAAGTCGAGCCACCGGTCGTGTTGAATGGGGAACGGGGAATGGCTCTGGAGTCAATTCACGGGAATCGGGCCTCATCTCGAGTTGATTTGGGGCACATGGAGCTGCTTTGCTTTGCTGGGGTGACCTCAGGGTCCGTCTAGACTGGTGACATTGTTCTTGGGGACTGTCTCGAGATCGATTAAGCAAGTCGAAGCTCCTGACTTGTTTGAATGGGATCACGGAATAGCTCTGCATGCACTGCTGGGGAATGGGGCCTCATCTCGCCTCTAGAGAGAAGTCTCATGGTTTTTCTCGAGTTGCGGCGGGGACCTGGGGTATGTTCTCGACTTACGGCGGGGATGGCCCTTCAAAACACGAGTTTCTTCAGTGACGTCAGGACTCCTGTCTAGTAACGAGGGACACCTCAGGAATCTCTTCGAGGCTTGGCAGGGCAAAAGGGATGCTTCTCGAGGTGAGGCAGGGCACCCAAGGACCCTTTCCAGTAGCCACAGGGATTTTGGGAATCCTATCAGTATTCAAGAGGAGTCAGGCATCGTCACCTTTTGAAGCAATGAACTCCGCGTGCCTCTCGAGGTGTCAGCGGGATGTGAGGCATTCCGTCAAAATGAGGCAGGGACCTAGGGCTTTCTCTAAGGTCTCCACAGGGGATTCAGACATCCCTTCATGTTGTGAGATGAAAGACGAGCCTGTATTCAAGCCACTGCAAGGAAATCCGGCCTCCTTTCAAGTTAGGGCTTCTCGCTGTATATTCCCCTTGAGGCAGCAAACTCGGGGTCCCTCCCACATACCTATTGCTGAGAGAAGCCTCCTCCTGAGGTGCTTCTGGGAAGTTGGCATACGTCTTGAGCCTATGCCAGGGAATCAGCTCGCACCTCGAGACGATTTGGGGTTCACGGAGCATTCCTCGAGTTGCTGTGCTGAAGTTGGTGTTCCTCTAGACTTGGGACAGTGTTCTCGGGGCATCTCTGGAGTTGCCTGAAGGAAGTCGAGCCACCGGTCGTGTTGAATGGGGAACGGGGAATGGCTCTGGAGTCAATGCAGGGGAATCAGGCCTCATCTCGAGTTGATTTGGGGCACATGGAGCTGCTTTGCGTTGCTGGGGTGACCTCAGGGTCCGTCTAGACTGGTGACAGTGTTCTTGGGGACTGTCTCGAGATCCATTAAGCAAGTCGAAGCTCCTGACTTGTTTGAATGGGATCACGGAATAGCTCTGCATGCACTGCAGGGGAATGGGGCCTCATCTCGCCTCTAGGGGGAAGTCTCATGGTTTTTCTCGAGTTGCGGCGGGGACCTGGGGTATGTTCTCGACTTACGGCGGGGATGGCCCTTCAAAACACGAGTTTCTTCAGTGACGTCAGGACTCCTGTCTAGTAACGAGGGACACCTCAGGAATCTCTTCGAGGCTTGGCAGGGCAAAAGGGACGCTTCTCGAGGTGAGGCAGGGCACCCAAGGACCCTTTTCAGTAGCCACAGGGATTTTGGGATTCCTATCAGTATTCAAGAGGAGTCAGGCATCGTCACCTTTTGAAGCAATGAACTCCGCGGGCCTCTCGAGGTGTCAGCGGGATGTGAGGCATTCCGTCAAAATGAGGCAGGGACCTAGGGCTTTCTCTAAGGTCTCCACAGGGGATTCAGACATCCCTTCATGTTGTGAGATGAAAGACGAGCCTGTATTCAAGCCACTGCAAGGAAATCCGGCCTCCTTTCAAGTTAGGGCTTCTCGCTGTATATTCCCCTTGAGGCAGCAAACTCGGGGTCCCTCCCACATACCTATTGCTGAGAGAAGCCTCCTCCTGAGGTGCTTCTGGGAAGTCGGCATACGTCTTGAGCCTAAGCCAGGGAATCAGCAAGCACCTCGAGACGATTTGGGGTACACGGAGCATTCCTCGAGTTGCTGTGCTGAAGTTGGTGTTCCTCTAGACTTGGGACAGTGTTCTCGGGGCATCTCTGGAGTTGCCTGAAGGAAGTTGAGCCACCGTTCGTGTTGAATGGGGAACGGGGAATGGCTCTGGAGTCAATGCAGGGGAATCGGGCCTCATCTCGAGTTGATTTGGGGCACATGGAGCTGCTTTGCGTTGCTGGGGTGACCTCAGGGTCCGTCTAGACTGTTGACAGTGTTCTTGGGTACTGTCTCTAGATCCATTAAGCAAGTCGAAGCTCCTGACTTGTTTGAATGGGATCACGGAATAGCTCTGCATGCACTGCAGGGGAATGGGGCCTCATCTCGCCTCTAGGGGGAAGTCTCATGGTTTTTCTCGAGTTGCGGCGGGGACCTAGGGTATGTTCTCGACTTACGGCGGGGATGGCCCTTCAAAACACGAGTTTCTTCAGTGACGTCAGGACTCCTGTCTAGTAACGAGGGACACCTCAGGAATCTCTTCGAGGCTTGGCAGGGCAAAAGGGACGCTTCTCGAGGTGAGGCAGGGCACCCAAGGACCCTTTCCAGTAGCCACAGGGATTTTGGGATTCCTATCAGTATTCAAGAGGAGTCAGGCATCGTCACCTTTTGAAGCAATGAACTCCGCGTGCCTCTCGAGGTGTCAGCGGGATGTGAGGCATTCCGTCAAAATGAGGCAGGGACCTAGGGCTTTCTCTAAGGTCTCCACAGGGGATTCAGACATCCCTTCATGTTGTGAGATGAAAGACGAGCCTGTATTCAAGCCACTGCAAGGAAATCCGGCCTCCTTTCAAGTTAGGGCTTCTCGCTGTATATTCCCCTTGAGGCAGCAAACTCGGGGTCCCTCCCACATACCTATTGCTGAGAGAAGCCTCCTCCTGAGGTGCTTCTGGGAAGTTGGCATACGTCTTGAGCCTATGCCAGGGAATCAGCTCGCATCTCGAGACGATTTGAGGTACACGGAGCATTCCTCGAGTTGCTGTGCTGAAGTTGGTGTTCCTCTAGACTTGGGACAGTGTTCTCGGGGCATCTCTGGAGTTGCCTGAAGGAAGTCGAGCCACCGGTCGTGTTGAATGGGGAACGGGGAATGGCTCTGGAGTCAATGCAGGGGAATCAGGCCTCATCTCGAGTTGATTTGGGGCACATGGAGCTGCTTTGCGTTGCTGGGGTGACCTCAGGGTCCGTCTAGACTGGTGACAGTGTTCTTGGGGACTGTCTCGAGATCCATTCAGCAAGTCGAAGCTCCTGACTTGTTTGAATGGGATCACGGAATAGCTCTGCATGCACTGCAGGGGAATGGGGCCTCATCTCGCCTCTAGGGGGAAGTCTCATGGTTTTTCTCGAGTTGCGGCGGGGACCTGGGGTATGTTCTCGACTTACGGCGGGGATGGCCCTTCAAAACACGAGTTTCTTCAGTGACGTCAGGACTCCTGTCTAGTAACGAGGGACACCTCAGGAATCTCTTCGAGGCTTGGCAGGGCAAAAGGGACGCTTCTCGAGGTGAGGCAGGGCACCCAAGGACCCTTTTCAGTAGCCACAGGGATTTTGGGATTCCTATCAGTATTCAAGAGGAGTCAGGCATCGTCACCTTTTGAAGCAATGAACTCCGCGTGCCTCTCGAGGTGTCAGCGCGATGTGAGGCATTCCGTCAAAATGAGGCAGGGACCTAGGGCTTTCTCTAAGGTCTCCACAGGGGATTCAGACATCCCTTCATGTTGTGAGATGAAAGACGAGCCTGTATTCAAGCCACTGCAAGGAAATCCGGCCTCCTTTCAAGTTAGGGCTTCTCGCTGTATATTCCCCTTGAGGCAGCAAACTCGGGGTCCCTCCCACATACCTATTGCTGAGAGAAGCCTCCTCCTGAGGTGCTTCTGGGAAGTCGGCATACGTCTTGAGCCTAAGCCAGGGAATCAGCAAGCACCTCGAGACGATTTGGGGTACACGGAGCATTCCTCGAGTTGCTGTGCTGAAGTTGGTGTTCCTCTAGACTTGGGACAGTGTTCTCGGGGCATCTCTGGAGTTACCTGAAGGAAGTCGAACCACCGGTCGTGTTGAATGGGGAACGGGGAATGGCTCTGGAGTCAATGCAGGGGAATCGGGCCTCATCTCGAGTTGATTTGGGGCACATAGAGCTGCTTTGCGTTGCTGGGGTGACCTCAGGGTCCGTCTAGACTGGTGACAGTGTTCTTGGGGACTGTCTCGAGATCCATTAAGCAAGTCGAAGCTCCTAACTTGTTTGAATGGGATCACGGAATAGCTCTGCATGCACTGCAGGGGAATGGGGCCTCATCTCGCCTCTAGGGGGAAGTCTCATGGTTTTTCTCGAGTTGCGGCGGGGACCTGGAGTATGTTCTCGACTTACGGCGGGGAAGGCCCTTCAAAACACGAGTTTCTTCAGTGACGTCAGGACTCCTGTCTAGTAACGAGGGACACCTCAGGAATCTCTTCGTGGCTTGGCAGGGCAAAAGGGACGCTTCTCGAGGTGAGGCAGGGCACCCAAGGACCCTTTCCAGTAGCCACAGGGATTTTGGGATTCCTATTTGTATTCAAGAGGAGTCAGGCATCATCACCTTTTGAAGCAATGAACTCCGCGTGCCTCTCGAGGTGTCAGCGGGATGTGAGGCATTCCGTCAAAATGAGGCAGGGACCTAGGGCTTTCTCTAAGGTCTGCACAGGGGATTCAGACATCCCTTCATGTTGTGAGATGAAAGACGAGCCTGTATTCAAGCCACTGCAAGGAAATCCGGCCTCCTTTCAAGTTAGGGCTTCTCGCTGTATATTCCCCTTGAGGCAGCAAACTCGGGGTCCCTCCCACATACCTATTGCTGAGAGAAGCCTCCTCCTGAGGTGCTTCTGGGAAGTTGGCATACGTCTTGAGCCTAAGCCAGGGAATCAGCTCTCATCTAGAGACGATTTGGGGTACACGGAGCATTCCTCGAGTTGCTGTGCTGAAGTTGGTGTTCCTCTAGACTTGGGACAGTGTTCTCGGGGCATCTCTGGAGTTGCCTGAAGGAAGTCGAGCCACCGGTCGTGTTGAATGTGGAACGGGGAATGGCTCTGGAGTCAATGCAGGGGAATCGGGCCTCATCTCGAGTTGATTTGGGGCACATGGAGCTGCTTCGCATTGCTGGGGTGACCTCAGGGTCCGTCTAGACTGGTGACAGTGTTCTTGGGGACTGTCTCGAGATCCATTAAGCAAGTCGAAGCTCCTGACTTGTTTGAATGGGATCACGGAATAGCTCTGCATGCACTGCAGGGGAATGGGGCCTCATCTCGCCTCTAGGGGGAAGTCTCATGGTTTTTCTCGAGTTGCGGCGGGGACCTGGGGTATGTTCTCGACTTACGGCGGGGATGGCCCTTCAAAACACGAGTTTCTTCAGTGACGTCAGGACTCCTGTCTAGTAACGAGGGACACCTCAGGAATCTCTTCGAGGCTTGGCAGGGCAAAAGGGACGCTTCTCGAGGTGAGGCAGGGCACCCAAGGACCCTTTCCAGTAGCCACAGGGATTTTGGGATTCCTATCAGTATTCAAGAGGAGTCAGGCCTCGTCACCTTTTGAAGCAATGAACTCCGCGTGCCTCTCGAGGTGTCAGCGCGATGTGAGGCATTCCGTCAAAATGAGGCAGGGACCTAGGGCTTTCTCTAAGGTCTCCACAGGGGATTCAGACATCCCTTCATGTTGTGAGATGAAAGACGAGCCTGTATTCAAGCCACTGCAAGGAAATCCGGCCTCCTTTCAAGTTAGGGCTTCTCGCTGTATATTCCCCTTGAGGCAGCAAACTCGGGGTCCCTCCCACATACCTATTGCTGAGAGAAGCCTCCTCCTGAGGTGCTTCTGGGAAGTTGGCATACGTCTTGAGCCTAAGCCAGGGAATCAGCTCGCACCTCGAGACGATTTGGGGTACAATGAGCATTCCTCGAGTTGCTGTGCTGAAGTTGGTGTTCCTCTAGACTTGGGACAGTGTTCTCGGGGCATCTCTGGAGTTGCCTGAAGGAAGTCGAGCCACCGGTCGTGTTGAATGGGGAACGGGGAATGGCTCTGGAGTCAATGCAGGGGAATCGGGCCTCATCTCGAGTTGATTTGGGGCACATGGAGCTGCTTTGCGTTGCTGGGGTGACCTCAGGGTCCGTCTAGACTGGTGACAGTGTTCTTGGGGACTGTCTCGAGATCCATTAAGCAAGTCGAAGCTCCTGACTTGTTTGAATGGGATCACGGAATAGCTCTGCATGCACTGCAGGGGAATGGGGCCTCATCTCGCCTCTAGGGGGAAGTCTCATGGTTTTTCTCGAGTTGCGGCGGGGACCTGGGGTATGTTCTCGACTTACGGCGGGGATGGCCCTTCAAAACACGAGTTTCTTCAGTGACGTCAGGACTCCTGTCTAGTAACGAGGGACACCTCAGGAATCTCTTCGAGGCTTGGCAGGGCAAAAGGGACGCTTCTCGAGGTGAGGCAGGGCACCCAAGGACCCTTTCCAGTAGCCACAGGGATTTTGGGATTCCTATCAGTATTCAAGAGGAGTCAGGCATCGTCACCTTTTGAAGCAATGAACTCCGCGTGCCTCTCGAGGTGTCAGCGGGATGTGAGGCATTCCGTCAAAATGAGGCAGGGACCTAGGGCTTTCTCTAAGGTCTCCACAGGGGATTCAGACATCCCTTCATGTTGTGAGATGAAAGACGAGCCTGTATTCAAGCCACTGCAAGGAAATCCGGCCTCCTTTCAAGTTAGGGCTTCTCGCTGTATATTCCCCTTGAGGCAGCAAACTCGGGGTCCCTCGCACATACCTATTGCTGAGAGAAGCCTCCTCCTGAGGTGCTTCTGGGAAGTTGGCATACGTCTTGAGCCTAAGCCAGGGAATCAGCTCGCATCTCGAGACGATTTGAGGTACACGGAGCATTCCTCGATTTGCTGTGCTGAAGTTGGTGTTCCTCTAGACTTGGGACAGTGTTCTCGGGGCATCTCTGGAGTTGCCTGAAGGAAGTCGAGCCACCGGTCGTGTTGAATGGGGAACGGGGAATGGCTCTGGAGTCAATGCAGGGGAATCGGGCCTCATCTCGAGTTGATTTGGGGCACATGGAGCTGCTTTGCGTTGCTGGGGTGACCTCAGGGTCCGTCTAGACTGGTGACAGTGTTCTTGGGGACTGTCTCGAGATCCATTAAGCAAGTCGAAGCTCCTGACTTGTTTGAATGGGATCACGGAATAGCTCTGCATGCACTGCAGGGGAATGGGGCCTCATCTCGCCTCTAGGGGGAAGTCTCATGGTTTTTCTCGAGTTGCGGCGGGGACCTGGGGTATGTTCTCGACTTACGGCGGGGATGGCCCTTCAAAACACGAGTTTCTTCAGTGACGTCAGGACTCCTGTCTAGTAACGAGGGACACCTCAGGAATCTCTTCGAGGCTTGGCAGGGCAAAAGGGACGCTTCTCGAGGTGAGGCAGGGCACCCAAGGACCCTTTCCAGTAGCCAGAGGGATTTTGGGATTCCTATCAGTATTCAAGAGGAGTCAGGCATCGTCACCTTTTGAAGCAACGAACTCCGCGTGCCTCTCGAGGTGTCAGCGCGATGTTAGGCATTCCGTCTAAATGAGGCAGGGACCTAGGGCTTTCTCTAAGGTCTCCACAGGGGATTCAGACATCCCTTCATGTTGTGAGATGAAAGACGAGCCTGTATTCAAGCCACTGCAAGGAAATCCGGCCTCCTTTCAAGTTAGGGCTTCTCGCTGTATATTCCCCTTGAGGCAGCAAACTCGGGGTCCCTCCCACATACCTATTGCTGAGAGAAGCCTCCTCCTGAGGTGCTTCTGGGAAGTCGGCATACGTCTTGAGCCTAAGCCAGGGAATCAGCTCGCACCTCGAGACGATTTGGAGTACACGGAGCATTCCTCGAGTTGCTGTGCTGAAGTTGGTGTTCCTCTAGACTTGGGACAGTGTTCTCGGGGCATCTCTGGAGTTACCTGAAGGAAGTCGAACCACCGGTCGTGTTGAATGGGGAACGGGGAATGGCTCTGGAGTCAATGCAGGGGAATCGGGCCTCATCTCGAGTTGATTTGGGGCACATGGAGCTGCTTTGCGTTGCTGGGGTGACCTCAGGGTCCGTCTAGACTGGTGACAGTGTTCTTGGGGACTGTCTCGAGATCCATTAAGCAAGTCGAAGCTCCTAACTTGTTTGAATGGGATCACGGAATAGCTCTGCATGCACTGCAGGGGAATGGGGCCTCATCTCGCCTCTAGGGGGAAGTCTCATGGTTTTTCTCGAGTTGCGGCGGGGACCTGGAGTATGTTCTCGACTTACGGCGGGGAAGGCCCTTCAAAACACGAGTTTCTTCAGTGACGTCAGGACTCCTGTCTAGTAACGAGGGACACCTCAGGAATCTCTTCGTGGCTTGGCAGGGCAAAAGGGACGCTTCTCGAGGTGAGGCAGGGCACCCAAGGACCCTTTCCAGTAGCCACAGGGATTTTGGGATTCCTATTTGTATTCAAGAGGAGTCAGGCATCATCACCTTTTGAAGCAATGAACTCCGCGTGCCTCTCGAGGTGTCAGCGGGATGTGAGGCATTCCGTCAAAATGAGGCAGGGACCTAGGGCTTTCTCTAAGGTCTCCACAGGGGATTCAGACATCCCTTCATGTTGTGAGATGAAAGACGAGCCTGTATTCAAGCCACTGCAAGGAAATCCGGCCTCCTTTCAAGTTAGGGCTTCTCGCTGTATATTCCCCTTGAGGCAGCAAACTCGGGGTCCCTCGCACATACCTATTGCTGAGAGAAGCCTCCTCCTGAGGTGCTTCTGGGAAGTTGGCATACGTCTTGAGCCTAAGCCAGGGAATCAGCTCGCATCTCGAGACGATTTGGGGTACACGGAGCATTCCTCGAGTTGCTGTGCTGAAGTTGGTGTTCCTCTAGACTTGGGACAGTGTTCTCGGGGCATCTCTGGAGTTGCCTGAAGGAAGTCGAGCCACCGGTCGTGTTGAATGGGGAACGGGGAATGGCTCTGGAGTCAATGCAGGGGAATCGGGCCTCATCTCGAGTTGATTTGGGGCACATGGAGCTGCTTTGCGTTGCTGGGGTGACCTCAGGGTCCCTCTAGACTGGTGACAGTGTTCTTGGGGACTGTCTCGAGATCCATTAAGCAAGTCGAAGCTCCTGACTTGTTTGAATGGGATCACGGAATAGCTCTGCATGCACTGCAGGGGAATGGGGCCTCATCTCGCCTCTAGGGGGAAGTCTCATGGTTTTTCTCGAGTTGAGGCAGGGACCTGGGGTATGTTCTCGACTTACGGCGGGGATGGCCCTTCAAAACACGAGTTTCTTCAGTGACGTCAGGACTCCTGTCTAGTAACGAGGGACACCTCAGGAATCTCTTCGAGGCTTGGCAGGGCAAAAGGGATGCTTCTCGAGGTGAGGCAGGGCACCCAAGGACCCTTTCCAGTAGCCACAGGGATTTTGGGAATCCTATCAGTATTCAAGTGGAGTCAGGCATCGTCACCTTTTGAAGCAATGAACTCCGCGTGCCTCTCGAGGTGTCAGCGGGATGTGAGCCATTCCGTCAAAATGAGGCAGGGACCTAGGGCTTTCTCTAAGGTCTCCACAGGGGATTCAGACATCCCTTCATGTTGTGAGATGAAAGACGAGCCTGTATTCAAGCCACTGCAAGGAAATCCGGCCTCCTTTCAAGTTAGGGCTTCTCGCTGTATATTCCCCTTGAGGCAGCAAACTCGGGGTCCCTCCCACATACCTATTGCTGAGAGAAGCCTCCTCCTGAGGTGCTTCTGGGAAGTTGGCATACGTCTTGAGCCTAAGCCAGGGAATCAGCTCTCATCTCGAGACGATTTGGGGTACACGGAGCATTCCTCGAGTTGCTGTGCTGAAGTTGGTGTTCCTCTAGACTTGGGACAGTGTTCTCGGGGCATCTCTGGAGTTGCCTGAAGGAAGTCGAGCCACCGGTCGTGTTGAATGGGGAACGGGTAATGGCTCTGGAGTCAATGCAGGGGAATCGGGCCTCATCTCGAGTTGATTTGGGGCACATGGAGCTGCTTTGCGTTGCTGGGGTGACCTCAGGGTCCGTCTAGACTGGTGACAGTGTTCTTGGGGACTGTCTCGAGATCCATTAAGCAAGTCGAAGCTCCTGACTTGTTTGAATGGGATCACGGAATAGCTCTGCATGCACTGCAGGGGAATGGGGCCTCATCTCGCCTCTAGGGGGAAGTCTCATGGTTTTTCTCGAGTTGCGGCGGGGACCTGGGGTATGTTCTCGACTTACGGCGGGGATGGCCCTTCAAAACACGAGTTTCTTCAGTGACGTCAGGACTCCTGTCTAGTAACGAGGGACACCTCAGGAATCTCTTCGAGGCTTGGCAGGGCAAAAGGGACGCTTCTCGAGGTGAGGCAGGGCACCCAAGGACCCTTTTCAGTAGCCACAGGGATTTTGGGATTCCTATCAGTATTCAAGAGGAGTCAGGCATCGTCACCTTTTGAAGCAATGAACTCCGCGTGCCTCTCGAGGTGTCAGCGCGATGTGAGGCATTCCGTCAAAATGAGGCAGGGACCTAGGGCTTTCTCTAAGGTCTCCACAGGGGATTCAGACATCCCTTCATGTTGTGAGATGAAAGACGAGCCTGTATTCAAGCCACTGCAAGGAAATCCGGCCTCCTTTCAAGTTAGGGCTTCTCGCTGTATATTCCCCTTGAGGCAGCAAACTCGGGGTCCCTCCCACATACCTATTGCTGAGAGAAGCCTCCTCCTGAGGTGCTTCTGGGAAGTCGGCATACGTCTTGAGCCTAAGCCAGGGAATCAGCAAGCACCTCGAGACGATTTGGGGTACACGGAGCATTCCTCGAGTTGCCGTGCTGAAGTTGGTGTTCCTCTAGACTTGGGACAGTGTTCTCGGGGCATCTCTGGAGTTACCTGAAGGAAGTCGAACCACCGGTCGTGTTGAATGGGGAACGGGGAATGGCTCTGGAGTCAATGCAGGGGAATCGGGCCTCATCTCGAGTTGATTTGGGGCACATAGAGCTGCTTTGCGTTGCTGGGGTGACCTCAGGGTCCGTCTAGACTGGTGACAGTGTTCTTGGGGACTGTCTCGAGATCCATTAAGCAAGTCGAAGCTCCTAACTTGTTTGAATGGGATCACGGAATAGCTCTGCATGCACTGCAGGGGAATGGGGCCTCATCTCGCCTCTAGGGGGAAGTCTCATGGTTTTTCTCGAGTTGCGGCGGGGACCTGGAGTATGTTCTCGACTTACGGCGGGGAAGGCCCTTCAAAACACGAGTTTCTTCAGTGACGTCAGGACTCCTGTCTAGTAACGAGGGACACCTCAGGAATCTCTTCGTGGCTTGGCAGGGCAAAAGGGACGCTTCTCGAGGTGAGGCAGGGCACCCAAGGACCCTTTCCAGTAGCCACAGGGATTTTGGGATTCCTATTTGTATTCAAGAGGAGTCAGGCATCATCACCTTTTGAAGCAATGAACTCCGCGTGCCTCTCGAGGTGTCAGCGGGATGTGAGGCATTCCGTCAAAATGAGGCAGGGACCTAGGGCTTTCTCTAAGGTCTCCACAGGGGATTCAGACATCCCTTCATGTTGTGAGATGAAAGACGAGCCTGTATTCAAGCCACTGCAAGGAAATCCGGCCTCCTTTCAAGTTAGGGCTTCTCGCTGTATATTCCCCTTGAGGCAGCAAACTCGGGGTCCCTCCCACATACCTATTGCTGAGAGAAGCCTCCTCCTGAGGTGCTTCTGGGAAGTTGGCATACGTCTTGAGCCTAAGCCAGGGAATCAGCTCTCATCTCGAGACGATTTGGGGTACACGGAGCATTCCTCGAGTGGCTGTGCTGAAGTTGGTGTTCCTCTAGACTTGGGACAGTGTTCTCGGGGCATCTCTGGAGTTGCCTGAAGGAAGTCGAGCCACCGGTCGTGTTGAATGGGGAACGGGGAATGGCTCTGGAGTCAATGCAGGGGAATCGGGCCTCATCTCGAGTTGATTTGGGGCACATGGAGCTGCTTTGCGTTGCTGGGGTGACCTCAGGGTCCGTCTAGACTGGTGACAGTGTTCTTGGGGACTGTCTCGAGATCCATTAAGCAAGTCGAAGCTCCTGACTTGTTTGAATGGGATCACGGAATAGCTCTGCATGCACTGCAGGGGAATGGGGCCTCATCTCGCCTCTAGGGGGAAGTCTCATGGTTTTTCTCGAGTTGCGGCGGGGACCTGGGGTATGTTCTCGACTTACGGCGGGGATGGCCCTTCAAGACACGAGTTTCTTCAGTGACCTCAGGACTCGTGTCTAGTAACGAGGGACACCTCAGAAATCTCTTCGAGGCTTGGCAGGGCAAAAGGGACGCTTCTCGAGGTGAGGCAGGGCACCCAAGGACCCTTTCCAGTAGCCACAGGGATTTTGGGATTCCTATCAGTATTCAAGAGGAGTCAGGCATCGTCACCTTTTGAAGCAATGAACTCCGCGTGCCTCTCGAGGTGTCAGCGGGATGTGAGGCATTCCGTCAAAATGAGGCAGGGACCTAGGGCTTTCTCTAAGGTCTCCACAGGGGATTCAGACATCCCTTCATGTTGTGAGATGAAAGACGAGCCTGTATTCAAGCCACTGCAAGGAAATCCGGCCTCCTTTCAAGTTAGGGCTTCTCGCTGTATATTCCCCTTGAGGCAGCAAACTCGGGGTCCCTCCCACATACCTATTGCTGAGAGAAGCCTCCTCCTGAGGTGCTTCTGGGAAGTTGGCATACGTCTTGAGCCTAAGCCAGGGAATCAGCTCGCATCTCGAGACGATTTGGGGTACACGGAGCATTCCTCGAGTTGCTGTGCTGAAGTTGGTGTTCCTCTAGACTTGGGACAGTGTTTTCGGGGCATCTCTGGAGTTGCCTGAAGGAAGTCGAGCCACCGGTCGTGTTGAATGGGGAACGGGGAATGGCTCTGGAGTCAATGCAGGGGAATCGGGCCTCATCTCGAGTTGATTTGGGGCACATGGAGCTGCTTTGCGTTGCTGGGGTGACCTCAGGGTCCGTCTAGACTGGTGACAGTGTTCTTGGGGACTGTCTCGAGATCCATTAAGCAAGTCGAAGCTCCTGACTTGTTTGAATGGGATCACGGAATAGCTCTGCATGCACTGCAGGGGAATGGGGCCTCATCTCGCCTCTAGGGGGAAGTCTCATGGTTTTTCTCGAGTTGCGGCGGGGACCTGGGGTATGTTCTCGACTTACGGCGGGGATGGCCCTTCAAAACACGAGTTTCTTCAGTGACGTCAGGACTCCTGTCTAGTAACGAGGGACACCTCAGGAATCTCTTCGAGGCTTGGCAGGGCAAAAGGGACGCTTCTCGAGGTGAGGCAGGGCACCCAAGGACCCTTTCCAGTAGCCACAGGGATTTTGGGATTCCTATCAGTATTCAAGAGGAGTCAGGCATCGTCACCTTTTGAAGCAATGAACTCCGCGTGCCTCTCGAGGTGTCAGCGGGATGTGAGGCATTCCGTCAAAATGAGGCAGGGACCTAGGGCTTTCTCTAAGGTCTCCACAGGGGATTCAGACATCCCTTCATGTTGTGAGATGAAAGACGAGCCTGTATTCAAGCCACTGCAAGGAAATCCGGCCTCCTTTCAAGTTAGGGCTTCTCGCTGTATATTCCCCTTGAGGCAGCAAACTCGGGGTCCCTCCCACATACCTATTGCTGAGAGAAGCCTCCTCCTGAGGTGCTTCTGGGAAGTTGGCATACGTCTTGAGCCTAAGCCAGGGAATCAGCTCTCATCTCGAGACGATTTGGGGTACACGGAGCATTCCTCGAGTTGCTGTGCTGAAGTTGGTGTTCCTCTAGACTTGGGACAGTGTTCTCGGGGCATCTCTGGAGTTGCCTGAAGGAAGTCGAGCCACCGGTCGTGTTGAATGTGGAACGGGGAATGGCTCTGGAGTCAATGCAGGGGAATCGGGCCTCATCTCGAGTTGATTTGGGGCACATGGATCTGCTTCGCATTGCTGGGGTGACCTCAGGGTCCGTCTAGACTGGTGACAGTGTTCTTGGGGACTGTCTCGAGATCCATTAAGCAAGTCGAAGCTCCTGACTTGTTTGAATGGGATCACGGAATAGCTCTGCATGCACTGCAGGGGAATGGGGCCTCATCTCGCCTCTAGGGGGAAGTCTCATGGTTTTTCTCGAGTTGCGGCGGGGACCTGGGGTATGTTCTCGGCTTACGGCGGGGATGGCCCTTCAAAACACGAGTTTCTTCAGTGACGTCAGGACTCCTGTCTAGTAACGAGGGACACCTCAGGAATCTCTTCGAGGCTTGGCAGGGCAAAAGGGACGCTTCTCGAGGTGAGGCAGGGCACCCAAGGACCCTTTCCAGTAGCCACAGGGATTTTGGGATTCCTATCAGTATTCAAGAGGAGTCAGGCCTCGTCACCTTTTGAAGCAATGAACTCCGCGTGCCTCTCGAGGTGTCAGCGCGATGTGAGGCATTCCGTCAAAATGAGGCAGGGACCTAGGGCTTTCTCTAAGGTCTCCACAGGGGATTCAGACATCCCTTCATGTTGTGAGATGAAAGACGAGCCTGTATTCAAGCCACTGCAAGGAAATCCGGCCTCCTTTCAAGTTAGGGCTTCTCGCTGTATATTCCCCTTGAGGCAGCAAACTCGGGGTCCCTCCCACATACCTATTGCTGAGAGAAGCCTCCTCCTGAGGTGCTTCTGGGAAGTTGGCATACGTCTTGAGCCTAAGCCAGGGAATCAGCTCGCACCTCGAGACGATTTGGGGTACAATGAGCATTCCTCGAGTTGCTGTGCTGAAGTTGGTGTTCCTCTAGACTTGGGACAGTGTTCTCGGGGCATCTCTGGAGTTGCCTGAAGGAAGTCGAGCCACCGGTCGTGTTGAATGGGGAACGGGGAATGGCTCTGGAGTCAATGCAGGGGAATCGGGCCTCATCTCGAGTTGATTTGGGGCACATGGAGCTGCTTTGCGTTGCTGGGGTGACCTCAGGGTCCGTCTAGACTGGTGACAGTGTTCTTGGGGACTGTCTCGAGATCCATTAAGCAAGTCGAAGCTCCTGACTTGTTTGAATGGGATCACGGAATAGCTCTGCATGCACTGCAGGGGAATGGGGCCTCATCTCGCCTCTAGGGGGAAGTCTCATGGTTTTTCTCGAGTTGCGGCGGGGACCTGGGGTATGTTCTCGACTTACGGCGGGGATGGCCCTTCAAGACACGAGTTTCTTCAGTGACCTCAGGACTCGTGTCTAGTAATGAGGGACACCTCAGGAATCTCTTCGAGGCTTGGCAGGGCAAAAGGGACGCTTCTCGAGGTGAGGCAGGGCACCCAAGGACCCTTTCCAGTAGCCACAGGGATTTTGGGATTCCTATCAGTATTCAAGAGGAGTCAGGCATCGTCACCTTTTGAAGCAATGAACTCCGCGTGCCTCTCGAGGTGTCAGCGGGATGTGAGGCATTCCGTCAAAATGAGGCAGGGACCTAGGGCTTTCTCTAAGGTCTCCACAGGGGATTCAGACATCCCTTCATGTTGTGAGATGAAAGACGAGCCTGTATTCAAGCCACTGCAAGGAAATCCGGCCTCCTTTCAAGTTAGGGCTTCTCGCTGTATATTCCCCTTGAGGCAGCAAACTCGGGGTCCCTCCCACATACCTATTGCTGAGAGAAGCCTCCTCCTGAGGTGCTTCTGGGAAGTTGGCATACGTCTTGAGCCTAAGCCAGGGAATCAGCTCGCATCTCGAGACGATTTGGGGTACACGGAGCATTCCTCGAGTTGCTGTGCTGAAGTTGGTGTTCCTCTAGACTTGGGACAGTGTTCTCGGGGCATCTCTGGAGTTGCCTGAAGGAAGTCGAGCCACCGGTCGTGTTGAATGGGGAACGGGGAATGGCTCTGGAGTCAATGCAGGGGAATCGGGCCTCATCTCGAGTTGATTTGGGGCACATGGAGCTGCTTTGCGTTGCTGGGGTGACCTCAGGGTCCGTCTAGACTGGTGACAGTGTTCTTGGGGACTGTCTCGAGATCCATTAAGCAAGTCGAAGCTCCTGACTTGTTTGAATGGGATCACGGAATAGCTCTGCATGCACTGCAGGGGAATGGGGCCTCATCTCGCCTCTAGGGGGAAGTCTCATGGTTTTTCTCGAGTTGAGGCAGGGACCTGGGGTATGTTCTCGACTTACGGCGGGGATGGCCCTTCAAAACACGAGTTTCTTCAGTGACGTCAGGACTCCTGTCTAGTAACGAGGGACACCTCAGGAATCTCTTCGAGGCTTGGCAGGGCAAAAGGGATGCTTCTCGAGGTGAGGCAGGGCACCCAAGGACCCTTTCCAGTAGCCACAGGGATTTTGGGAATCCTATCAGTATTCAAGTGGAGTCAGGCATCGTCACCTTTTGAAGCAATGAACTCCGCGTGCCTCTCGAGGTGTCAGCGGGATGTGAGCCATTCCGTCAAAATGAGGCAGGGACCTAGGGCTTTCTCTAAGGTCTCCACAGGGGATTCAGACATCCCTTCATGTTGTGAGATGAAAGACGAGCCTGTATTCAAGCCACTGCAAGGAAATCCGGCCTCCTTTCAAGTTAGGGCTTCTCGCTGTATATTCCCCTTGAGGCAGCAAACTCGGGGTCCCTCCCACATACCTATTGCTGAGAGAAGCCTCCTCCTGAGGTGCTTCTGGGAAGTTGGCATACGTCTTGAGCCTAAGCCAGGGAATCAGCTCTCATCTCGAGACGATTTGGGGTACACGGAGCATTCCTCGAGTTGCTGTGCTGAAGTTGGTGTTCCTCTAGACTTGGGACAGTGTTCTCGGGGCATCTCTGGAGTTGCCTGAAGGAAGTCGAGCCACCGGTCGTGTTGAATGGGGAACGGGTAATGGCTCTGGAGTCAATGCAGGGGAATCGGGCCTCATCTCGAGTTGATTTGGGGCACATGGAGCTGCTTTGCGTTGCTGGGGTGACCTCAGGGTCCGTCTAGACTGGTGACAGTGTTCTTGGGGACTGTCTCGAGATCCATTAAGCAAGTCGAAGCTCCTGACTTGTTTGAATGGGATCACGGAATAGCTCTGCATGCACTGCAGGGGAATGGGGCCTCATCTCGCCTCTAGGGGGAAGTCTCATGGTTTTTCTCGAGTTGCGGCGGGGACCTGGGGTATGTTCTCGACTTACGGCGGGGATGGCCCTTCAAAACACGAGTTTCTTCAGTGACGTCAGGACTCCTGTCTAGTAACGAGGGACACCTCAGGAATCTCTTCGAGGCTTGGCAGGGCAAAAGGGACGCTTCTCGAGGTGAGGCAGGGCACCCAAGGACCCTTTTCAGTAGCCACAGGGATTTTGGGATTCCTATCAGTATTCAAGAGGAGTCAGGCATCGTCACCTTTTGAAGCAATGAACTCCGCGTGCCTCTCGAGGTGTCAGCGCGATGTGAGGCATTCCGTCAAAATGAGGCAGGGACCTAGGGCTTTCTCTAAGGTCTCCACAGGGGATTCAGACATCCCTTCATGTTGTGAGATGAAAGACGAGCCTGTATTCAAGCCACTGCAAGGAAATCCGGCCTCCTTTCAAGTTAGGGCTTCTCGCTGTATATTCCCCTTGAGGCAGCAAACTCGGGGTCCCTCCCACATACCTATTGCTGAGAGAAGCCTCCTCCTGAGGTGCTTCTGGGAAGTCGGCATACGTCTTGAGCCTAAGCCAGGGAATCAGCAAGCACCTCGAGACGATTTGGGGTACACGGAGCATTCCTCGAGTTGCTGTGCTGAAGTTGGTGTTCCTCTAGACTTGGGACAGTGTTCTCGGGGCATCTCTGGAGTTACCTGAAGGAAGTCGAACCACCGGTCGTGTTGAATGGGGAACGGGGAATGGCTCTGGAGTCAATGCAGGGGAATCGGGCCTCATCTCGAGTTGATTTGGGGCACATAGAGCTGCTTTGCGTTGCTGGGGTGACCTCAGGGTCCGTCTAGACTGGTGACAGTGTTCTTGGGGACTGTCTCGAGATCCATTAAGCAAGTCAAAGCTCCTAACTTGTTTGAATGGGATCACGGAATAGCTCTGCATGCACTGCAGGGGAATGGGGCCTCATCTCGCCTCTAGGGGGAAGTCTCATGGTTTTTCTCGAGTTGCGGCGGGGACCTGGAGTATGTTCTCGACTTACGGCGGGGAAGGCCCTTCAAAACACGAGTTTCTTCAGTGACGTCAGGACTCCTGTCTAGTAACGAGGGACACCTCAGGAATCTCTTCGTGGCTTGGCAGGGCAAAAGGGACGCTTCTCGAGGTGAGGCAGGGCACCCAAGGACCCTTTCCAGTAGCCACAGGGATTTTGGGATTCCTATTTGTATTCAAGAGGAGTCAGGCATCATCACCTTTTGAAGCAATGAACTCCGCGTGCCTCTCGAGGTGTCAGCGGGATGTGAGGCATTCCGTCAAAATGAGGCAGGGACCTAGGGCTTTCTCTAAGGTCTCCACAGGGGATTCAGACATCCCTTCATGTTGTGAGATGAAAGACGAGCCTGTATTCAAGCCACTGCAAGGAAATCCGGCCTCCTTTCAAGTTAGGGCTTCTCGCTGTATATTCCCCTTGAGGCAGCAAACTCGGGGTCCCTCCCACATACCTATTGCTGAGAGAAGCCTCCTCCTGAGGTGCTTCTGGGAAGTTGGCATACGTCTTGAGCCTAAGCCAGGGAATCAGCTCTCATCTCGAGACGATTTGGGGTACACGGAGCATTCCTCGAGTGGCTGTGCTGAAGTTGGTGTTCCTCTAGACTTGGGACAGTGTTCTCGGGGCATCTCTGGAGTTGCCTGAAGGAAGTCGAGCCACCGGTCGTGTTGAATGGGGAACGGGGAATGGCTCTGGAGTCAATGCAGGGGAATCGGGCCTCATCTCGAGTTGATTTGGGGCACATGGAGCTGCTTTGCGTTGCTGGGGTGACCTCAGGGTCCGTCTAGACTGGTGACAGTGTTCTTGGGGACTGTCTCGAGATCCATTAAGCAAGTCGAAGCTCCTGACTTGTTTGAATGGGATCACGGAATAGCTCTGCATGCACTGCAGGGGAATGGGGCCTCATCTCGCCTCTAGGGGGAAGTCTCATGGTTTTTCTCGAGTTGCAGCGGGGACCTGGGGTATGTTCTCGACTTACGGCGGGGATGGCCCTTCAAGACACGAGTTTCTTCAGTGACCTCAGGACTCGTGTCTAGTAACGAGGGACACCTCAGAAATCTCTTCGAGGCTTGGCAGGGCAAAAGGGACGCTTCTCGAGGTGAGGCAGGGCACCCAAGGACCCTTTCCAGTAGCCACAGGGATTTTGGGATTCCTATCAGTATTCAAGAGGAGTCAGGCATCGTCACCTTTTGAAGCAATGAACTCCGCGTGCCTCTCGAGGTGTCAGCGGGATGTGAGGCATTCCGTCAAAATGAGGCAGGGACCTAGGGCTTTCTCTAAGGTCTCCACAGGGGATTCAGACATCCCTTCATGTTGTGAGATGAAAGACGAGCCTGTATTCAAGCCACTGCAAGGAAATCCGGCCTCCTTTCAAGTTAGGGCTTCTCGCTGTATATTCCCCTTGAGGCAGCAAACTCGGGGTCCCTCCCACATACCTATTGCTGAGAGAAGCCTCCTCCTGAGGTGCTTCTGGGAAGTTGGCATACGTCTTGAGCCTAAGCCAGGGAATCAGCTCGCATCTCGAGACGATTTGGGGTACACGGAGCATTCCTCGAGTTGCTGTGCTGAAGTTGGTGTTCCTCTAGACTTGGGACAGTGTTTTCGGGGCATCTCTGGAGTTGCCTGAAGGAAGTCGAGCCACCGGTCGTGTTGAATGGGGAACGGGGAATGGCTCTGGAGTCAATGCAGGGGAATCGGGCCTCATCTCGAGTTGATTTGGGGCACATGGAGCTGCTTTGCGTTGCTGGGGTGACCTCAGGGTCCGTCTAGACTGGTGACAGTGTTCTTGGGGACTGTCTCGAGATCCATTAAGCAAGTCGAAGCTCCTGACTTGTTTGAATGGGATCACGGAATAGCTCTGCATGCACTGCAGGGGAATGGGGCCTCATCTCGCCTCTAGGGGGAAGTCTCATGGTTTTTCTCGAGTTGCGGCGGGGACCTGGGGTATGTTCTCGACTTACGGCGGGGATGGCCCTTCAAAACACGAGTTTCTTCAGTGACGTCAGGACTCCTGTCTAGTAACGAGGGACACCTCAGGAATCTCTTCGAGGCTTGGCAGGGCAAAAGGGACGCTTCTCGAGGTGAGGCAGGGCACCCAAGGACCCTTTCCAGTAGCCACAGGGATTTTGGGATTCCTATCAGTATTCAAGAGGAGTCAGGCATCGTCACCTTTTGAAGCAATGAACTCCGCGTGCCTCTCGAGGTGTCAGCGGGATGTGAGGCATTCCGTCAAAATGAGGCAGGGACCTAGGGCTTTCTCTAAGGTCTCCACAGGGGATTCAGACATCCCTTCATGTTGTGAGATGAAAGACGAGCCTGTATTCAAGCCACTGCAAGGAAATCCGGCCTCCTTTCAAGTTAGGGCTTCTCGCTGTATATTCCCCTTGAGGCAGCAAACTCGGGGTCCCTCCCACATACCTATTGCTGAGAGAAGCCTCCTCCTGAGGTGCTTCTGGGAAGTTGGCATACGTCTTGAGCCTAAGCCAGGGAATCAGCTCTCATCTCGAGACGATTTGGGGTACACGGAGCATTCCTCGAGTTGCTGTGCTGAAGTTGGTGTTCCTCTAGACTTGGGACAGTGTTCTCGGGGCATCTCTGGAGTTGCCTGAAGGAAGTCGAGCCACCGGTCGTGTTGAATGTGGAACGGGGAATGGCTCTGGAGTCAATGCAGGGGAATCGGGCCTCATCTCGAGTTGATTTGGGGCACATGGAGCTGCTTTGCATTGCTGGGGTGACCTCAGGGTCCGTCTAGACTGGTGACAGTGTTCTTGGGGACTGTCTCGAGATCCATTAAGCAAGTCGAAGCTCCTGACTTGTTTGAATGGGATCACGGAATAGCTCTGCATGCACTGCAGGGGAATGGGGCCTCATCTCGCCTCTAGGGGGAAGTCTCATGGTTTTTCTCGAGTTGCGGCGGGGACCTGGGGTATGTTCTCGGCTTACGGCGGGGATGGCCCTTCAAAACACGAGTTTCTTCAGTGACGTCAGGACTCCTGTCTAGTAACGAGGGACACCTCAGGAATCTCTTCGAGGCTTGGCAGGGCAAAAGGGACGCTTCTCGAGGTGAGGCAGGGCACCCAAGGACCCTTTCCAGTAGCCACAGGGATTTTGGGATTCCTATCAGTATTCAAGAGGAGTCAGGCCTCGTCACCTTTTGAAGCAATGAACTCCGCGTGCCTCTCGAGGTGTCAGCGCGATGTGAGGCATTCCGTCAAAATGAGGCAGGGACCTAGGGCTTTCTCTAAGGTCTCCACAGGGGATTCAGACATCCCTTCATGTTGTGAGATGAAAGACGAGCCTGTATTCAAGCCACTGCAAGGAAATCCGGCCTCCTTTCAAGTTAGGGCTTCTCGCTGTATATTCCCCTTGAGGCAGCAAACTCGGGGTCCCTCCCACATACCTATTGCTGAGAGAAGCCTCCTCCTGAGGTGCTTCTGGGAAGTTGGCATACGTCTTGAGCCTAAGCCAGGGAATCAGCTCGCACCTCGAGACGATTTGGGGTACAATGAGCATTCCTCGAGTTGCTGTGCTGAAGTTGGTGTTCCTCTAGACTTGGGACAGTGTTCTCGGGGCATCTCTGGAGTTGCCTGAAGGAAGTCGAGCCACCGGTCGTGTTGAATGGGGAACGGGGAATGGCTCTGGAGTCAATGCAGGGGAATCGGGCCTCATCTCGAGTTGATTTGGGGCACATGGAGCTGCTTTGCGTTGCTGGGGTGACCTCAGGGTCCGTCTAGACTGGTGACAGTGTTCTTGGGGACTGTCTCGAGATCCATTAAGCAAGTCGAAGCTCCTGACTTGTTTGAATGGGATCACGGAATAGCTCTGCATGCACTGCAGGGGAATGGGGCCTCATCTCGCCTCTAGGGGGAAGTCTCATGGTTTTTCTCGAGTTGCGGCGGGGACCTGGGGTATGTTCTCGACTTACGGCGGGGATGGCCCTTCAAAACACGAGTTTCTTCAGTGACGTCAGGACTCCTGTCTAGTAACGAGGGACACCTCAGGAATCTCTTCGAGGCTTGGCAGGGCAAAAGGGACGCTTCTCGAGGTGAGGCAGGGCACCCAAGGACCCTTTCCAGTAGCCACAGGGATTTTGGGATTCCTATCAGTATTCAAGAGGAGTCAGGCATCGTCACCTTTTGAAGCAATGAACTCCGCGTGCCTCTCGAGGTGTCAGCGGGATGTGAGGCATTCCGTCAAAATGAGGCAGGGACCTAGGGCTTTCTCTAAGGTCTCCACAGGGGATTCAGACATCCCTTCATGTTGTGAGATGAAAGACGAGCCTGTATTCAAGCCACTGCAAGGAAATCCGGCCTCCTTTCAAGTTAGGGCTTCTCGCTGTATATTCCCCTTGAGGCAGCAAACTCGGGGTCCCTCGCACATACCTATTGCTGAGAGAAGCCTCCTCCTGAGGTGCTTCTGGGAAGTTGGCATACGTCTTGAGCCTAAGCCAGGGAATCAGCTCGCATCTCGAGACGATTTGAGGTACACGGAGCATTCCTCGATTTGCTGTGCTGAAGTTGGTGTTCCTCTAGACTTGGGACAGTGTTCTCGGGGCATCTCTGGAGTTGCCTGAAGGAAGTCGAGCCACCGGTCGTGTTGAATGGGGAACGGGGAATGGCTCTGGAGTCAATGCAGGGGAATCGGGCCTCATCTCGAGTTGATTTGGGGCACATGGAGCTGCTTTGCGTTGCTGGGGTGACCTCAGGGTCCGTCTAGACTGGTGACAGTGTTCTTGGGGACTGTCTCGAGATACATTAAGCAAGTCGAAGCTCCTGACTTGTTTGAATGGGATCACGGAATAGCTCTGCATGCACTGCAGGGGAATGGGGCCTCATCTCGCCTCTAGGGGGAAGTCTCATGGTTTTTCTCGAGTTGCGGCGGGGACCTGGGGTATGTTCTCGACTTACGGCGGGGATGGCCCTTGAAAACACGAGTTTCTTCAGTGACGTCAGGACTCCTGTCTAGTAACGAGGGACACCTCAGGAATCTCTTCGAGGCTTGGCAGGGCAAAAGGGACGCTTCTCGAGGTGAGGCAGGGCACCCAAGGACCCTTTCCAGTAGCCAGAGGGATTTTGGGATTCCTATCAGTATTCAAGAGGAGTCAGGCATCGTCACCTTTTGAAGCAACGAACTCCGCGTGCCTCTCGAGGTGTCAGCGCGATGTTAGGCATTCCGTCTAAATGAGGCAGGGACCTAGGGCTTTCTCTAAGGTCTCCACAGGGGATTCAGACATCCCTTCATGTTGTGAGATGAAAGACGAGCCTGTATTCAAGCCACTGCAAGGAAATCCGGCCTCCTTTCAAGTTAGGGCTTCTCGCTGTATATTCCCCTTGAGGCAGCAAACTCGGGGTCCCTCCCACATACCTATTGCTGAGAGAAGCCTCCTCCTGAGGTGCTTCTGGGAAGTCGGCATACGTCTTGAGCCTAAGCCAGGGAATCAGCTCGCACCTCGAGACGATTTGGAGTACACGGAGCATTCCTCGAGTTGCTGTGCTGAAGTTGGTGTTCCTCTAGACTTGGGACAGTGTTCTCGGGGCATCTCTGGAGTTACCTGAAGGAAGTCGAACCACCGGTCGTGTTGAATGGGGAACGGGGAATGGCTCTGGAGTCAATGCAGGGGAATCGGGCCTCATCTCGAGTTGATTTGGGGCACATGGAGCTGCTTTGCGTTGCTGGGGTGACCTCAGGGTCCGTCTAGACTGGTGACAGTGTTCTTGGGGACTGTCTCGAGATCCATTAAGCAAGTCGAAGCTCCTAACTTGTTTGAATGGGATCACGGAATAGCTCTGCATGCACTGCAGGGGAATGGGGCCTCATCTCGCCTCTAGGGGGAAGTCTCATGGTTTTTCTCGAGTTGCGGCGGGGACCTGGAGTATGTTCTCGACTTACGGCGGGGAAGGCCCTTCAAAACACGAGTTTCTTCAGTGACGTCAGGACTCCTGTCTAGTAACGAGGGACACCTCAGGAATCTCTTCGTGGCTTGGCAGGGCAAAAGGGACGCTTCTCGAGGTGAGGCAGGGCACCCAAGGACCCTTTCCAGTAGCCAGAGGGATTTTGGGATTCCTATCAGTATTCAAGAGGAGTCAGGCATCGTCACCTTTTGAAGCAACGAACTCCGCGTGCCTCTCGAGGTGTCAGCGCGATGTTAGGCATTCCGTCTAAATGAGGCAGGGACCTAGGGCTTTCTCTAAGGTCTCCACAGGGGATTCAGACATCCCTTCATGTTGTGAGATGAAAGACGAGCCTGTATTCAAGCCACTGCAAGGAAATCCGGCCTCCTTTCAAGTTAGGGCTTCTCGCTGTATATTCCCCTTGAGGCAGCAAACTCGGGGTCCCTCCCACATACCTATTGCTGAGAGAAGCCTCCTCCTGAGGTGCTTCTGGGAAGTCGGCATACGTCTTGAGCCTAAGCCAGGGAATCAGCTCGCACCTCGAGACGATTTGGAGTACACGGAGCATTCCTCGAGTTGCTGTGCTGAAGTTGGTGTTCCTCTAGACTTGGGACAGTGTTCTCGGGGCATCTCTGGAGTTACCTGAAGGAAGTCGAACCACCGGTCGTGTTGAATGGGGAACGGGGAATGGCTCTGGAGTCAATGCAGGGGAATCGGGCCTCATCTCGAGTTGATTTGGGGCACATGGAGCTGCTTTGCGTTGCTGGGGTGACCTCAGGGTCCGTCTAGACTGGTGACAGTGTTCTTGGGGACTGTCTCGAGATCCATTAAGCAAGTCGAAGCTCCTAACTTGTTTGAATGGGATCACGGAATAGCTCTGCATGCACTGCAGGGGAATGGGGCCTCATCTCGCCTCTAGGGGGAAGTCTCATGGTTTTTCTCGAGTTGCGGCGGGGACCTGGAGTATGTTCTCGACTTACGGCGGGGAAGGCCCTTCAAAACACGAGTTTCTTCAGTGACGTCAGGACTCCTGTCTAGTAACGAGGGACACCTCAGGAATCTCTTCGTGGCTTGGCAGGGCAAAAGGGACGCTTCTCGAGGTGAGGCAGGGCACCCAAGGACCCTTTCCAGTAGCCACAGGGATTTTGGGATTCCTATTTGTATTCAAGAGGAGTCAGGCATCATCACCTTTTGAAGCAATGAACTCCGCGTGCCTCTCGAGGTGTCAGCGGGATGTGAGGCATTCCGTCAAAATGAGGCAGGGACCTAGGGCTTTCTCTAAGGTCTCCACAGGGGATTCAGACATCCCTTCATGTTGTGAGATGAAAGACGAGCCTGTATTCAAGCCACTGCAAGGAAATCCGGCCTCCTTTCAAGTTAGGGCTTCTCGCTGTATATTCCCCTTGAGGCAGCAAACTCGGGGTCCCTCCCACATACCTATTGCTGAGAGAAGCCTCCTCCTGAGGTGCTTCTGGGAAGTTGGCATACGTCTTGAGCCTAAGCCAGGGAATCAGCTCTCATCTCGAGACGATTTGGGGTACACGGAGCATTCCTCGAGTTGCTGTGCTGAAGTTGGTGTTCCTCTAGACTTGGGACAGTGTTCTCGGGGCATCTCTGGAGTTGCCTGAAGGAAGTCGAGCCACCGGTCGTGTTGAATGGGGAACGGGGAATGGCTCTGGAGTCAATGCAGGGGAATCGGGCCTCATCTCGAGTTGATTTGGGGCACATGGAGCTGCTTTGCGTTGCTGGGGTGACCTCAGGGTCCGTCTAGACTGGTGACAGTGTTCTTGGGGACTGTCTCGAGATCCATTAAGCAAGTCGAAGCTCCTGACTTGTTTGAATGGGATCACGGAATAGCTCTGCATGCACTGCAGGGGAATGGGGCCTCATCTCGCCTCTAGGGGGAAGTCTCATGGTTTTTCTCGAGTTGCGGCGGGGACCTGGGGTATGTTCTCGACTTACGGCGGGGATGGCCCTTCAAGACACGAGTTTCTTCAGTGACCTCAGGACTCGTGTCTAGTAATGAGGGACACCTCAGGAATCTCTTCGAGGCTTGGCAGGGCAAAAGGGACGCTTCTCGAGGTGAGGCAGGGCACCCAAGGACCCTTTCCAGTAGCCACAGGGATTTTGGGATTCCTATCAGTATTCAAGAGGAGTCAGGCATCGTCACCTTTTGAAGCAATGAACTCCGCGTGCCTCTCGAGGTGTCAGCGGGATGTGAGGCATTCCGTCAAAATGAGGCAGGGACCTAGGGCTTTCTCTAAGGTCTCCACAGGGGATTCAGACATCCCTTCATGTTGTGAGATGAAAGACGAGCCTGTATTCAAGCCACTGCAAGGAAATCCGGCCTCCTTTCAAGTTAGGGCTTCTCGCTGTATATTCCCCTTGAGGCAGCAAACTCGGGGTCCCTCCCACATACCTATTGCTGAGAGAAGCCTCCTCCTGAGGTGCTTCTGGGAAGTTGGCATACGTCTTGAGCCTAAGCCAGGGAATCAGCTCGCATCTCGAGACGATTTGGGGTACACGGAGCATTCCTCGAGTTGCTGTGCTGAAGTTGGTGTTCCTCTAGACTTGGGACAGTGTTCTCGGGGCATCTCTGGAGTTGCCTGAAGGAAGTCGAGCCACCGGTCGTGTTGAATGGGGAACGGGGAATGGCTCTGGAGTCAATGCAGGGGAATCGGGCCTCATCTCGAGTTGATTTGGGGCACATGGAGCTGCTTTGCGTTGCTGGGGTGACCTCAGGGTCCGTCTAGACTGGTGACAGTGTTCTTGGGGACTGTCTCGAGATCCATTAAGCAAGTCGAAGCTCCTGACTTGTTTGAATGGGATCACGGAATAGCTCTGCATGCACTGCAGGGGAATGGGGCCTCATCTCGCCTCTAGGGGGAAGTCTCATGGTTTTTCTCGAGTTGAGGCAGGGACCTGGGGTATGTTCTCGACTTACGGCGGGGATGGCCCTTCAAAACACGAGTTTCTTCAGTGACGTCAGGACTCCTGTCTAGTAACGAGGGACACCTCAGGAATCTCTTCGAGGCTTGGCAGGGCAAAAGGGATGCTTCTCGAGGTGAGGCAGGGCACCCAAGGACCCTTTCCAGTAGCCACAGGGATTTTGGGAATCCTATCAGTATTCAAGTGGAGTCAGGCATCGTCACCTTTTGAAGCAATGAACTCCGCGTGCCTCTCGAGGTGTCAGCGGGATGTGAGCCATTCCGTCAAAATGAGGCAGGGACCTAGGGCTTTCTCTAAGGTCTCCACAGGGGATTCAGACATCCCTTCATGTTGTGAGATGAAAGACGAGCCTGTATTCAAGCCACTGCAAGGAAATCCGGCCTCCTTTCAAGTTAGGGCTTCTCGCTGTATATTCCCCTTGAGGCAGCAAACTCGGGGTCCCTCCCACATACCTATTGCTGAGAGAAGCCTCCTCCTGAGGTGCTTCTGGGAAGTTGGCATACGTCTTGAGCCTATGCCAGGGAATCAGCTCGCATCTCGAGACGATTTGGGGTACACGGAGCATTCCTCGAGTTGCTGTGCTGAAGTTGGTGTTCCTCTAGACTTGGGACAGTGTTCTCGGGGCATCTCTGGAGTTGCCTGAAGGAAGTCGAGCCACCGGTCGTGTTGAATGGGGAACGGGGAATGGCTCTGGAGTCAATGCAGGGGAATCAGGCCTCATCTCGAGTTGATTTGGGGCACATGGAGCTGCTTTGCGTTGCTGGGGTGACCTCAGGGTCCGTCTAGACTGGTGACAGTGTTCTTGGGGACTGTCTCGAGATCCATTAAGCAAGTCGAAGCTCCTGACTTGTTTGAATGGGATCACGGAATAGCTCTGCATGCACTGCAGGGGAATGGGGCCTCATCTCGCCTCTAGGGGGAAGTCTCATGATTTTTCTCGAGTTGCGGCGGGGACCTGGGGTAGGTTCTCGACTTACGGCGGGGATGGCCCTTCAAAACACGAGTTTCTTCATTGACGTCAGGACTCCTGTCTAGTAACGAGGGACACCTCAGGAATCTCTTCGAGGCTTGGCAGGGCAAAAGGGACGCTTCTCTAGGTGAGGCAGGGCACCCAAGGACCCTTTCCAGTAGCCACAGGGATTTTGGGATTCCTATCAGTATTCAAGAGGAGTCAGGCATCGTCACCTTTTGAAGCAATGAACTCCGCGTGCCTCTCGAGGTGTCAGCGGGATGTGAGGCATTCCGTCAAAATGAGGCAGGGACCTAGGGCTTTCTCTAAGGTCTCCACAGGGGATTCAGACATCCCTTCATGTTGTGAGATGAAAGACGAGCCTGTATTCAAGCCACTGCAAGGAAATCCGGCCTCCTTTCAAGTTAGGGCTTCTCGCTGTATATTCAACTTGAGGCAGCAAACTCGGGGTCCCTCCCACATACCTATTGCTGAGAGAAGCCTCCTCCTGAGGTGCTTCTGGGAAGTTGGCATACGTCTTGAGCCTAAGGCAGGGAATCAGCTCGCATCTCGAGACGATTTGGGGTACACGGAGCATTCCTCGAGTTGCTGTGCTGAAGTTGGTGTTCCTCTAGACTTGGGACAGTGTTCTCGGGGCATCTCTGGAGTTGCCTGAAGGAAGTCGAGCCACCGGTCGTGTTGAATGGGGAACGGGGAATGGCTCTGGAGTCAATGCAGGGGAATCGGGCCTCATCTCGAGTTGATTTGGGGCACATGGAGCTGCTTTGCGTTGCTGGGGTGACCTCAGGGTCCGTCTAGACTGGTGACAGTGTTCTTGGGGACTGTCTCGAGATCCATTAAGCAAGTCGAAGCTCCTGACTTGTTTGAATGGGATCACGGAATAGCTCTGCATGCACTGCAGGGGAATGGGGCCTCATCTCGCCTCTAGGGGGAAGTCTCATGGTTTTTCTCGAGTTGCGGCGGGGACCTGGGGTATGTTCTCGACTTACGGCGGGGATGGCCCTTCAAAACACGAGTTTCTTCAGTGACGTCAGGACTCCTGTCTAGTAACGAGAGACACCTCAGGAATCTCTTCGAGGCTTGGCAGGGCAAAAGGGACGCTTCTCGAGGTGAGGCAGGGCACCCAAGGACACTTTCCAGTAGCCACAGGGATTTTGGGATTCCTATCAGTATTCAAGAGGAGTCAGGCATCGTCACCTTTTGAAGCAATGAACTCCGCGTGACTCTCGAGGTGTCAGCGGGATGTGAGGCATTCCGTCAAAATGAGGCAGGGACCTAGGGCTTTCTCTAAGGTCTCCACAGGGGATTCAGACATCCCTTCATGTTGTGAGATGAAAGACGAGCCTGTATTCAAGCCACTGCAAGGAAATCCGGCCTCCTTTCAAGTTAGGGCTTCTCGCTGTATATTCCCCTTGAGGCAGCAAACTCGGGGTCCCTCCCACATACCTATTGCTGAGAGAAGCCTCCTCCTGAGGTGCTTCTGGGAAGTTGGCATACGTCTTGAGCCTAAGCCAGGGAATCAGCTCGCATCTCGAGACGATTTGGGGTACACGGAGCATTCCTCGAGTTGCTGTGCTGAAGTTGGTGTTCCTCTAGACTTGGGACAGTGTTCTCGGGGCATCTCTGGAGTTGCCTGAAGGAAGTCGAGCCACCGGTCGTGTTGAATGGGGAACGGGGAATGGCTCTGGAGTCAATGCAGGGGAATCGGGCCTCATCTCGAGTTGATTTGGGGCACATGGAGCTGCTTTGCGTTGCTGGGGTGACCTCAGGGTCCATCTAGACTGGTGACAGTGTTCTTGGGGACTGTCTCGAGATCCATTAAGCAAGTCGAAGCTCCTGACTTGTTTGAATGGGATCACGGAATAGCTCTGCATGCACTGCAGGGGAATGGGGCCTCATCTCGCCTCTAGGGGGAAGTCTCATGGTTTTTCTCGAGTTGCGGCGGGGACCTGGGGTATGTTCTCGACTTACGGCGGGGATGGCCCTTCAAAACACGAGTTTCTTCAGTGACCTCAGGACTCCTGTCTAGTAACGAGGGACACCTCAGGAATCTCTTCGAGGCTTGGCAGGGCAAAAGGGACGCTTCTCGAGGTGAGGCAGGGCACCCAAGGACCCTTTCCAGTAGCCACAGGGATTTTGGGATTCCTATCAGTATTCAAGAGGAGTCAGGCATCGTCACCTTTTGAAGCAATGAACTCCGCGTGCCTCTCGAGGTGTCAGCGGGATGTGAGGCATTCCGTCAAAATGAGGCAGGGACCTAGGGCTTTCTCTAAGGTCTCCACAGGGGATTCAGACATCCCTTCATGTTGTGAGATGAAAGACGAGCCTGTATTCAAGCCACTGCAAGGAAATCCGGCCTCCTTTCAAGTTAGGTCTTCTCGCTGTATATTCCCCTTGAGGCAGCAAACTCGGGGTCCCTCGCACATACCTATTGCTGAGAGAAGCCTCCTCCTGAGGTGCTTCTGGGAAGTTGGCATACGTCTTGAGCCTAAGCCAGGGAATCAGCTCTCATCTTGAGACGATTTGGGGTACACGGAGCATTCCTCGAGTTGCTGTGCTGAAGTTGGTGTTCCTCTAGACTTGGGACAGTGTTCTCGGGGCATCTCTGGAGTTGCCTGAAGGAAGTCGAGCCACCGGTCGTGTTGAATGGGGAACGGGGAATGGCTCTGGAGTCAATGCACGGGAATCGGGCCTCATCTCGAGTTGATTTGGGGCACATGGAGCTGCTTTGCTTTGCTGGGGTGACCTCAGGGTCCGTCTAGACTGGTGACATTGTTCTTGGGGACTCTCTCGAGATCCATTAAGCAAGTCGAAGCTCCTGACTTGTTTGAATGGGATCACGGAATAGCTCTGCATGCACTGCAGGGGAATGGGGCCTCATCTCGCCTCTAGAGAGAAGTCTCATGGTTTTTCTCGAGTTGCGGCGGGGACCTGGGGTATGTTCTCGACTTACGGCGGGGATGGCCCTTCAAAACACGAGTTTCTTCAGTGACGTCAGGACTCCTGTCTAGTAACGAGGGACACCTCAGGAATCTCTTCGAGGCTTGGCAGGGCAAAAGGGACGCTTCTCGAGGTGAGGCAGGGCACCCAAGGACCCTTTCCAGTAGCCACAGGGATTTTGGGATTCCTATCAGTATTCAAGAGGAGTCAGGCATCGTCACCTTTTGAAGCAATGAACTCCGCGGGCCTCTCGAGGTGTCAGCGGGATGTGAGGCATTCCGTCAAAATGAGGCAGGGACCTAGGGCTTTCTCTAAGGTCTCCACAGGGGATTCAGACATCCCTTCATGTTGTGAGATGAAAGACGAGCCTGTATTCAAGCCACTGCAAGGAAATCCGGCCTCCTTTCAAGTTAGGTCTTCTCGCTGTATATTCCCCTTGAGGCAGCAAACTCGGGGTCCCTCGCACATACCTATTGCTGAGAGAAGCCTCCTCCTGAGGTGCTTCTGGGAAGTTGGCATACGTCTTGAGCCTAAGCCAGGGAATCAGCTCTCATCTTGAGACGATTTGGGGTACACGGAGCATTCCTCGAGTTGCTGTGCTGAAGTTGGTGTTCCTCTAGACTTGGGACAGTGTTCTCGGGGCATCTCTGGAGTTGCCTGAAGGAAGTCGAGCCACCGGTCGTGTTGAATGGGGAACGGGGAATGGCTCTGGAGTCAATGCACGGGAATCGGGCCTCATCTCGAGTTGATTTGGGGCACATGGAGCTGCTTTGCGTTGCTGGGGTGACCTCAGGGTCCGTCTAGACTGGTGACAGTGTTCTTGGGGACTGTCTCGAGATCCATTAAGCAAGTCGAAGCTCCTGACTTGTTTGAATGGGATCACGGAATAGCTCTGCATGCACTGCAGGGGAATGGGGCCTCATCTCGCCTCTAGGGGGAAGTCTCATGATTTTTCTCGAGTTGCGGCGGGGACCTGGGGTAGGTTCTCGACTTACGGCGGGGATGGCCCTTCAAAACACGAGTTTCTTCATTGACGTCAGGACTCCTGTCTAGTAACGAGGGACACCTCAGGAATCTCTTCGAGGCTTGGCAGGGCAAAAGGGACGCTTCTCGAGGTGAGGCAGGGCACCCAAGGACCCTTTCCAGTAGCCACAGGGATTTTGGGATTCCTATCAGTATTCAAGAGGAGTCAGGCATCGTCACCTTTTGAAGCAATGAACTCCGCGTGCCTCTCGAGGTGTCAGCGGGATGTGAGGCATTCCGTCAAAATGAGGCAGGGACCTAGGGCTTTCTCTAAGGTCTCCACAGGGGATTCAGACATCCCTTCATGTTGTGAGATGAAAGACGAGCCTGTATTCAAGCCACTGCAAGGAAATCCGGCCTCCTTTCAAGTTAGGGCTTCTCGCTGTATATTCAACTTGAGGCAGCAAACTCGGGGTCCCTCCCACATACCTATTGCTGAGAGAAGCCTCCTCCTGAGGTGCTTCTGGGAAGTTGGCATACGTCTTGAGCCTAAGGCAGGGAATCAGCTCGCATCTCGAGACGATTTGGGGTACACGGAGCATTCCTCGAGTTGCTGTGCTGAAGTTGGTGTTCCTCTAGACTTGGGACAGTGTTCTCGGGGCATCTCTGGAGTTGCCTGAAGGAAGTCGAGCCACCGGTCGTGTTGAATGGGGAACGGGGAATGGCTCTGGAGTCAATGCAGGGGAATCGGGCCTCATCTCGAGTTGATTTGGGGCACATGGAGCTGCTTTGCGTTGCTGGGGTGACCTCAGGGTCCGTCTAGACTGGTGACAGTGTTCTTGGGGACTGTCTCGAGATCCATTAAGCAAGTCGAAGCTCCTGACTTGTTTGAATGGGATCACGGAATAGCTCTGCATGCACTGCAGGGGAATGGGGCCTCATCTCGCCTCTAGGGGGAAGTCTCATGGTTTTTCTCGAGTTGCGGCGGGGACCTGGGGTATGTTCTCGACTTACGGCGGGGATGGCCCTTCAAAACACGAGTTTCTTCAGTGACGTCAGGACTCCTGTCTAGTAACGAGAGACACCTCAGGAATCTCTTCGAGGCTTGGCAGGGCAAAAGGGACGCTTCTCGAGGTGAGGCAGGGCACCCAAGGACACTTTCCAGTAGCCACAGGGATTTTGGGATTCCTATCAGTATTCAAGAGGAGTCAGGCATCGTCACCTTTTGAAGCAATGAACTCCGCGTGACTCTCGAGGTGTCAGCGGGATGTGAGGCATTCCGTCAAAATGAGGCAGGGACCTAGGGCTTTCTCTAAGGTCTCCACAGGGGATTCAGACATCCCTTCATGTTGTGAGATGAAAGACGAGCCTGTATTCAAGCCACTGCAAGGAAATCCGGCCTCCTTTCAAGTTAGGGCTTCTCGCTGTATATTCCCCTTGAGGCAGCAAACTCGGGGTCCCTCCCACATACCTATTGCTGAGAGAAGCCTCCTCCTGAGGTGCTTCTGGGAAGTTGGCATACGTCTTGAGCCTAAGCCAGGGAATCAGCTCGCATCTCGAGACGATTTGGGGTACACGGAGCATTCCTCGAGTTGCTGTGCTGAAGTTGGTGTTCCTCTAGACTTGGGACAGTGTTCTCGGGGCATCTCTGGAGTTGCCTGAAGGAAGTCGAGCCACCGGTCGTGTTGAATGGGGAACGGGGAATGGCTCTGGAGTCAATGCAGGGGAATCGGGCCTCATCTCGAGTTGATTTGGGGCACATGGAGCTGCTTTGCGTTGCTGGGGTGACCTCAGGGTCCATCTAGACTGGTGACAGTGTTCTTGGGGACTGTCTCGAGATCCATTAAGCAAGTCGAAGCTCCTGACTTGTTTGAATGGGATCACGGAATAGCTCTGCATGCACTGCAGGGGAATGGGGCCTCATCTCGCCTCTAGGGGGAAGTCTCATGGTTTTTCTCGAGTTGCGGCGGGGACCTGGGGTATGTTCTCGACTTACGGCGGGGATGGCCCTTCAAAACACGAGTTTCTTCAGTGACCTCAGGACTCCTGTCTAGTAACGAGGGACACCTCAGGAATCTCTTCGAGGCTTGGCAGGGCAAAAGGGACGCTTCTCGAGGTGAGGCAGGGCACCCAAGGACCCTTTCCAGTAGCCACAGGGATTTTGGGATTCCTATCAGTATTCAAGAGGAGTCAGGCATCGTCACCTTTTGAAGCAATGAACTCCGCGTGCCTCTCGAGGTGTCAGCGGGATGTGAGGCATTCCGTCAAAATGAGGCAGGGACCTAGGGCTTTCTCTAAGGTCTCCACAGGGGATTCAGACATCCCTTCATGTTGTGAGATGAAAGACGAGCCTGTATTCAAGCCACTGCAAGGAAATCCGGCCTCCTTTCAAGTTAGGTCTTCTCGCTGTATATTCCCCTTGAGGCAGCAAACTCGGGGTCCCTCGCACATACCTATTGCTGAGAGAAGCCTCCTCCTGAGGTGCTTCTGGGAAGTTGGCATACGTCTTGAGCCTAAGCCAGGGAATCAGCTCTCATCTTGAGACGATTTGGGGTACACGGAGCATTCCTCGAGTTGCTGTGCTGAAGTTGGTGTTCCTCTAGACTTGGGACAGTGTTCTCGGGGCATCTCTGGAGTTGCCTGAAGGAAGTCGAGCCACCGGTCGTGTTGAATGGGGAACGGGGAATGGCTCTGGAGTCAATGCACGGGAATCGGGCCTCATCTCGAGTTGATTTGGGGCACATGGAGCTGCTTTGCTTTGCTGGGGTGACCTCAGGGTCCGTCTAGACTGGTGACATTGTTCTTGGGGACTCTCTCGAGATCCATTAAGCAAGTCGAAGCTCCTGACTTGTTTGAATGGGATCACGGAATAGCTCTGCATGCACTGCAGGGGAATGGGGCCTCATCTCGCCTCTAGAGAGAAGTCTCATGATTTTTCTCGAGTTGCGGCGGGGACCTGGGGTATGTTCTCGACTTACGGCGGGGATGGCCCTTCAAAACACGAGTTTCTTCAGTGACGTCAGGACTCCTGTCTAGTAACGAGGGACACCTCAGGAATCTCTTCGAGGCTTGGCAGGGCAAAAGGGACGCTTCTCGAGGTGAGGCAGGGCACCCAAGGACCCTTTCCAGTAGCCACAGGGATTTTGGGATTCCTATCAGTATTCAAGAGGAGTCAGGCATCGTCACCTTTTGAAGCAATGAACTCCGCGTGCCTCTCGAGGTGTCAGCGGGATGTGAGGCATTCCGTCAAAATGAGGCAGGGACCTAGGGCTTTCTCTAAGGTCTCCACAGGGGATTCAGACATCCCTTCATGTTGTGAGATGAAAGACGAGCCTGTATTCAAGCCACTGCAAGGAAATCCGGCCTCCTTTCAAGTTAGGGCTTCTCGCTGTATATTCCCCTTGAGGCAGCAAACTCGGGGTCCCTCCCACATACCTATTGCTGAGAGAAGCCTCCTCCTGAGGTGCTTCTGGGAAGTTGGCATACGTCTTGAGCCTAAGCCAGGGAATCAGCTCGCATCTCGAGACGATTTGGGGTACACGGAGCATTCCTCGAGTTGCTGTGCTGAAGTTGGTGTTCCTCTAGACTTGGGACAGTGTTCTCGGGGTATCTCTGGAGTTGCCTGAAAGAAGTCGAGCCACCGGTCGTGTTGAATGGGGAACGGGGAATGGCTCTGGAGTCAATGCAGGGGAATCGGGCCTCATCTCGAGTTGATTTGGGGCACATGGAGCTGCTTTGCGTTGCTGGGGTGACCTCAGGGTCCGTCTAGACTGGTGACAGTGTTCTTGGGGACTGTCTCGAGATCCATTAAGCAAGTCGAAGCTCCTGACTTGTTTGAATGGGATCACGGAATAGCTCTGCATGCACTGCAGGGGAATGGGGCCTCATCTCGCCTCTAGGTGGAAGTCTCATGGTTTTTCTCGAGTTGCGGCGGGGACCTGGGGTATGTTCTCGACTTACGGCGGGGATGGCCCTTCAAAACACGAGTTTCTTCAGTGACGTCAGGACTCCTGTCTAGTAACGAGGGACACCTCAGGAATCTCTTCGAGGCTTGGCAGGGCAAAAGGGACGCTTCTCGAGGTGAGGCAGGGCACCCAAGGAACCTTTCCAGTAGCCACAGGGATTTTGGGATTCCTATCAGTATTCAAGAGGAGTCTGGCATCGTCACCTTTTGAAGCAATGAACTCCGCGTGCCTCTCGAGGTGTCAGGGCGATGTGAGGCATTCCGTCAAAATGAGGCAGGGACCTAGGGCTTTCTCTAAGGTCTCCACAGGGGATTCAGACATCCCTTCATGTTGTGAGATGAAAGACGAGCCTGTATTCAAGCCACTGCAAGGAAATCCGGCCTCCTTTCAAGTTAGGGCTTCTCGCTGTATATTCCCCTTGAGGCAGCAAACTCGGGGTCCCTCCCACATACCTATTGCTGAGAGAAGCCTCCTCCTGAGGTGCTTCTGGGAAGTTGGCATACGTCTTGAGCCTAAGCCAGGGAATCAGCTCGCATCTCGAGACGATTTGGGGTACACGGAGCATTCCTCGAGTTGCTGTGCTGAAGTTGGTGTTCCTCTAGACTTGGGACAGTGTTCTCGGGGCATCTCTGGAGTTGCCTGAAGGAAGTCGAGCCACCGGTCGTGTTGAATGGGGAACGGGGAATGGCTCTGGAGTCAATGCAGGGGAATCGGGCCTCATCTCGAGTTGATTTGGGGCACATGGAGCTGCTTTGCGTTGCTGGGGTGACCTCAGGGTCCGTCTAGTCTGGTGACAGTGTTCTTGGGGACTGTCTCGAGATCCATTAAGCAAGTCGAAGCTCCTGTCTTGTTTGAATGGGATCACGGAATAGCTCTGCATGCACTGCAGGGGAATGGGGCCTCATCTCGCCTCTAGGGGGAAGTCTCATGGTTTTTCTCGAGTTGCGGCGGGGACCTGGGGTATGTTCTCGACTTACGGCGGGGATGGCCCTTCAAAACACGAGTTTCTTCAGTGACGTCAGGACTCCTGTCTAGTAACGAGGGACACCTCAGGAATCTCTTCGAGGCTTGGCAGGGCAAAAGGGACGCTTCTCGAGGTGAGGCAGGGCACCCAAGGACCATTTCCAGTAGCCACAGGGATTTTGGGATTCCTATCAGTATTCAAGAGGAGTCAGGCATCGTCACCTTTTGAAGCAATTAACTCCGCGTGCCTCTCGAGGTGTCAGCGCGATGTGAGGCATTCCGTCAAAATGAGGCAGGGACCTAGGGCTTTCTCTAAGGTCTCCACAAGGGATTCAGACATCCCTTCATGTTGTGAGATGAAAGACGAGCCTGTATTCAAGCCACTGCAAGGAAATCCGGCCTCCTTTCAAGTTAGGGCTTCTCGCTGTATATTCAACTTGAAGCAGCAAACTCGGGGTCCCTCCCACATACCTATTGCTGAGAGAAGCCTCCTCCTGAGGTGCTTCTGGGAAGTTGGCATACATCTTGAGCCTATGCCAGGGAATCAGCTCGCATCTCGAGACGATTTGGGGTACACAGAGCATTCCTCGAGTTGCTGTGCTGAAGTCGGTGTTCCTCTAGACTTGGGACAGTGTTCTCGGGGCATCTCTGGAGTTGCCTGAAGGAAGTCGAGCCACCGGTCGTGTTGAATGGGGAACGGGGAATGGCTCTGGAGTCAATGCAGGGGAATCGGGCCTCATCTCGAGTTGATTTGGGGCACATGGGGCTGCTTTGCGTTTCTGGGGTGACCTCAGGGTCCGTCTAGACTGGTGACAGTGTTCTTGGGGACTGTCTCGAGATCCATTAAGCAAGTCGAAGCTCCTGACTTGTTTGAATGGGATCACGGAATAGCTCTGCATGCACTGCAGGGGAATGGGGCCTCATCTCGCCTCTAGGGGGAAGTCTCATGGTTTTTCTCGAGTTGCGGCGGGGACCTGGGGTATGTTCTCGACTTACGGCGGGGATGGCCCTTGAAAACACGAGTTTCTTCAGTGACGTCAGGACTCCTGTCTAGTAACGAGGGACACCTCAGGAATCTCTTCGAGGCTTGGCAGGGCAAAAGGGACGCTTCTCGAGGTGAGGCAGGGCACCCAAGGACCCTTTCCAGTAGCCACAGGGATTTTGGGATTCCTATCAGTATTCAAGAGGAGTCAGGCATCGTCACCTTTTGAAGCAATGAACTCCGCGTGCCTCTCGAGGTGTCAGCGGGATGTGAGGCATTCCGTCAAAATGAGGCAGGGACCTAGGGCTTTCTCTAAGGTCTCCACAGGGGATTCAGACATCCCTTCATGTTGTGAGATGAAAGACGAGCCTGTATTCAAGCCACTGCAAGGAAATCCGGCCTCCTTTCAAGTTAGGGCTTCTCGCTGTATATTCCCCTTGAGGCAGCAAACTCGGGGTCCCTCCCACATACCTATTGCTGAGAGAAGCCTCCTCCTGAGGTGCTTCTGGGAAGTTGGCATACGTCTTGAGCCTAAGCCAGGGAATCAGCTCGCATCTCGAGACGATTTGGGGTACACGGAGCATTCCTCGAGTTGCTGGGCTGAAGTTGGTGTTCCTCTAGACTTGGGACAGTGTTCTCGGGGCATCTCTGGAGTTGCCTGAAGGAAGTCGAGCCACCGGTCGTGTTGAATGGGGAACGGGGAATGGCTCTGGAGTCAATGCAGGGGAATCGGGCCTCATCTCGAGTTGATTTGGGGCACATGGAGCTGCTTTGCGTTGCTGGGGTGACCTCAGGGTCCGTCTAGACTGGTGACAGTGTTCTTGGGGACTGTCTCGAGATCCATTAAGCAAGTCGAAGCTCCTGACTTGTTTGAATGGGATCACGGAATAGCTCTGCATGCACTGCAGGGGAATGGGGCCTCATCTCGCCTCTAGGGGGAAGTCTCATGGTTTTTCTCGAGTTGCGGCGGGGACCTGGGGTATGTTCTCGACTTACGGCGGGGATGGCCCTTCAAAACACGAGTTTCTTCAGTGACGTCAGGACTCCTGTCTAGTAACGAGGGACACTTCAGGTATCTCTTCGAGGCTTGGCAGGGCAAAAGGGACGCTTCTCGAGGTGAGGCAGGGCACCCAAGGACCCTTTCCAGTAGCCACAGGGATTTTGGGATTCCTATCAGTATTCAAGAGGAGTCAGGCATCGTCACCTTTTGAAGCAATGAACTCCGCGTGCCTCTCGAGGTGTCAGCGGGATGTGAGGCATTCCGTCAAAATGAGGCAGGGACCTAGGGCTTTCTCTAAGGTCTCCACAGGGGATTCAGACATCCCTTCATGTTGTGAGATGAAAGACGAGCCTGTATCCAAGCCACTGCAAGGAAATCCGGCCTCCTTTCAAGTTAGGGCTTCTCGCTGTATATTCCCCTTGAGGCAGCAAACTCGGGGTCCCTCCCACATACCTATTGCTGAGAGAAGCCTCCTCCTGAGGTGCTTCTGGGAAGTTGGCATACGTCTTGAGCCTAAGCCAGGGAATCAGCTCGCATCTCGAGACGATTTGGGGTACACGGAGCATTCCTCGAGTTGCTGTGCTGAAGTTGGTGTTCCTCTAGACTTGGGACAGTGTTCTCGGGGCATCTCTGGAGTTGCCTGAAGGAAGTCGAGCCACGGTCGTGTTGAATGGGGAACGGGGAATGGCTCTGGAGTCAATGCAGGGGAATCGGGCCTCATCTCGAGTTGATTTGGGGCACATGGAGCTGCTTTGCGTTGCTGGGGTGACCTCAGGGTCCGTCTAGACTGGTGACAGTGTTCTTGGGGACTGTCTCGAGATCCATTAAGCAAGTCGAAGCTCCTGTCTTGTTTGAATGGGATCACGGAATAGCTCTGCATGCACTGCAGGGGAATGGGGCCTCATCTCGCCTCTAGGGGGAAGTCTCATGGTTTTTCTCGAGTTGCGGCGGGGACCTGGGGTATGTTCTCGACTTACGGCGGGGATGGCCCTTCAAAACACGAGTTTCTTCAGTGACGTCAGGACTCCTGTCTAGTAACGAGGGACACCTCAGGAATCTCTTCGAGGCTTGGCAGGGCAAAAGGGACGCTTCTCGAGGTGAGGCAGGGCACCCAAGGACCATTTCCAGTAGCCACAGGGATTTTGGGATTCCTATCAGTATTCAAGAGGAGTCAGGCATCGTCACCTTTTGAAGCAATGAACTCCGCGTGCCTCTCGAGGTGTCAGCGCGATGTGAGGCATTCCGTCAAAATGAGGCAGGGACCTAGGGCTTTCTCTAAGGTCTCCACAGGGGATTCAGACATCCCTTCATGTTGTGAGATGAAAGACGAGCCTGTATTCAAGCCACTGCAAGGAAATCCGGCCTCCATTCAAGTTAGGGCTTCTCGCTGTATATTCCCCTTGAGGCAGCAAACTCGGGGTCCCTCCCACATACCTATTGCTGAGAGAAGCCTCCTCCTGAGGTGCTTCTGGGAAGTTGGCATACGTCTTGAGCCTAAGCCAGGGAATCAGCTCGCATCTCGAGACGATTTGGGGTACACGGAGCATTCCTCGAGTTGCTGTGCTGAAGTTGGTGTTCCTCTAGACTTGGGACAGTGTTCTCGGGGCATCTCTGGAGTTGCCTGAAGGAAGTCGAGCCACCGGTCGTGTTGAATGGGGAACGGGGAATGGCTCTGGAGTCAATGCAGGGGAATCGGGCCTCATCTCGAGTTGATTTGGGGCACATGGAGCTGCTTTGCGTTGCTGGGGTGACCTCAGGGTCCGTCTAGACTGGTGACAGTGTTCTTGGGGACTGTCTCGAGATCCATTAAGCAAGTCGAAGCTCCTGACTTGTTTGAATGGGATCACGGAATAGCTCTGCATGCACTGCAGGGGAATGGGGCCTCATCTCGCCTCTAGGGGGAAGTCTCATGGTTTTTCTCGAGTTGCTGCGGGGACCTGGGGAATGTTCTCGACTTACGGCGGGGATGGCCCTTCAAAACACGAGTTTCTTCAGTGACGTCAGGACTCCTGTCTAGTAACGAGGGACACTTCAGGTATCTCTTCGAGGCTTGGCAGGGCAAAAGGGACGCTTCTCGAGGTGAGGCAGGGCACCCAAGGACCCTTTCCAGTAGCCACAGGGATTTTGGGATTCCTATCAGTATTCAAGAGGAGTCAGGCATCGTCACCTTTTGAAGCAATGAACTCCGCGTGCCTCTCGAGGTGTCAGCGGGATGTGAGGCATTCCGTCAAAATGAGGCAGGGACCTAGGGCTTTCTCTAAGGTCTCCACAGGGGATTCAGACATCCCTTCATGTTGTGAGATGAAAGACGAGCCTGTATCCAAGCCACTGCAAGGAAATCCGGCCTCCTTTCAAGTTAGGGCTTCTCGCTGTATATTCCCCTTGAGGCAGCAAACTCGGGGTCCCTCCCGCATACCTATTGCTGAGAGAAGCCTCCTGAGGTGCTTCTGGGAAGTTGGCATACGTCTTGAGCCTAAGCCAGGGAATCAGCTCGCATCTCGAGACGATTTGGGGTACACGGAGCATTCCTCGAGTTGCTGTGCTGAAGTTGGTGTTCCTCTAGACTTGGGACAGTGTTCTCGGGGCATCTCTGGAGTTGCCTGAAGGAAGTCGAGCCACCGGTCGTGTTGAATGGGGAACGGGGAATGGCTCTGGAGTCAATGCAGGGGAATCGGGCCTCATCTCGAGTTGATTTGGGGCACATGGAGCTGCTTTGCGTTGCTGGGGTGACCTCAGGGTCCGTCTAGACTGGTGACAGTGTTCTTGGGGACTGTCTCGAGATCCATTAAGCAAGTCGAAGCTCCTGTCTTGTTTGAATGGGATCACGGAATAGCTCTGCATGCACTGCAGGGGAATGGGGCCTCATCTCGCCTCTAGGGGGAAGTCTCATGGTTTTTCTCGAGTTGCGGCGGGGACCTGGGGTATGTTCTCGACTTACGGCGGGGATGGCCCTTCAAAACACGAGTTTCTTCAGTGACGTCAGGACTCCTGTCTAGTAACGAGGGACACCTCAGGAATCTCTTCGAGGCTTGGCAGGGCAAAAGGGACGCTTCTCGAGGTGAGGCAGGGCACCCAAGGACCATTTCCAGTAGCCACAGGGATTTTGGGATTCCTATCAGTATTCAAGAGGAGTCAGGCATCGTCACCTTTTGAAGCAATTAACTCCGCGTGCCTCTCGAGGTGTCAGCGCGATGTGAGGCATTCCGTCAAAATGAGGCAGGGACCTAGGGTTTCTCTAAGGTCTCCACAGGGGATTCAGACATCCCTTCATGTTGTGAGATGAAAGACGAGCCTGTATTCAAGCCACTGCAAGGAAATCCGGCCTCCTTTCAAGTTAGGGCTTCTCACTGTATATTCCCCTTGAGGCAGCAAACTCGGGGTCCCTCGCACATACCTATTGCGGAGAGAAGCCTCCTCCTGAGGTGCTTCTGGGAAGTTGGCATACGTCTTGAGCCTAAGCCAGGGAATCAGCTCGCACCTCGAGACGATTTGGGGTACACAGAGCATTCCTCGAGTTGCTGTGCTGACGTTGGTGTTCCTCTAGACTTGGGACAGTGTTCTCGGGGCATCTCTGGAGTTGCCTGAAGGAAGTCGAGCCACCGGTCTTGTTGAATGGGGAACAGGGAATGGCTCTGGAGTCAATGCAGCGGAATCGGGCCTCATCTCGAGTTGATTTGGGGCACATGGAGCTGCTTTGCGTTGCTGGGGTGACCTCAGGGTCCGTCTAGACTGGTGACAGTGTTCTTGGGGACTGTCTCGAGATCCATTAAGCAAGTCGAAGCTCCTGACTTGTTTGAATGGGATCACGGAATAGCTCTGCATGCACTGCAGGGGAATGGGGCCTCACCTCTCCTCTAGGGGGAAGTCTCATGGTTTTTCTCGAGTTGCGGCGGGGACCTGGGGTATGTTCTCGACTTACAGCGGGGATGGCCCTTCAAAACACGAGTTTCTTCAGTGACGTCAGGACTCCTGTCTAGTAACGAGGGACACCTCAGGAATCTCTTCGAGGCTTGGCAGGGCAAAAGGGACGCTTCTCGAGGTGAGGCAGGGCACCCAAGGACACTTTCCAGTAGCCACAGGGATTTTGGGATTCCTATCAGTATTCAAGAGGAGTCAGGCATCGTCACCTTTTGAAGCAATGAACTCCGCGTGCCTCTCGAGGTGTCAGCGGGATGTGAGGCATTCCGTCAAAATGAGGCAGGGACCTAGGGCTTTCTCTAAGGTCTCCGCAGGGGATTCAGACATCCCTTCATGTTGTGAGATGAAAGACGAGCCTGTATTCAAGCCACTGCAAGGAAATCCGGCCTCCTTTCAAGTTAGGGCTTCTCGCTGTATATTCCCCTTGAGGCAGCAAACTCGGGGTCCCTCGCACATACCTATTGCGGAGAGAAGCCTCCTCCTGAGGTGCTTCTGGGAAGTTGGCATACGTCTTGAGCCTAAGCCAGGGAATCAGCTCGCACCTCGAGACGATTTGGGGTACACAGAGCATTCCTCGAGTTGCTGTGCTGACATTGGTGTTCCTCTAGACTTGGGACAGTGTTCTCGGGGCATCTCTGGAGTTGCCTGAAGGAAGTCGAGCCACCGGTCTTGTTGAATGGGGAACAGGGAATGGCTCTGGAGTCAATGCAGCGGAATCGGGCCTCATCTCGAGTTGATTTGGGGCACATGGAGCTGCTTTGCGTTGCTGGGGTGACCTCAGGGTCCGTCTAGACTGGTGACAGTGTTCTTGGGGACTGTCTCGAGATCCATTAAGCAAGTCGAAGCTCCTGACTTGTTTGAATGGGATCACGGAATAGCTCTGCATGCACTGCAGGGGAATGGGGCCTCATCTCGCCTCTAGGGGGAAGTCTCATGGTTTTTCTCGAGTTGCGGCGGGGACCTGGGGTATGTTCTCGACTTACGGCGGGGATGGCCCTTCAAAACACGAGTTTCTTCAGTGACGTCAGGACTCCTGTCTAGTAACGAGGGACACCTCAGGAATCTCTTCGAGGCTTGGCAGGGCAAAAGGGACGCTTCTCGAGGTGAGGCAGGGCACCCAAGGACCCTTTCCAGTAGCCACAGGGATTTTGGGATTCCTATCAGTATTCAAGAGGAGTCAGGCATCGTCACCTTTTGAAGCAATGAACTCCGCGTGCCTCTCGAGGTGTCAGCGGGATGTGAGGCATTCCGTCAAAATGAGGCAGGGACCTAGGGCTTTCTCTAAGGTCTCCACAGGGGATTCAGACATCCCTTCATGTTGTGAGATGAAAGACGAGCCTGTATTCAAGCCACTGCAAGGAAATCCGGCCTCCTTTCAAGTTAGGGCTTCTCGCTCTATATTCCCCTTGAGGCAGCAAACTCGGGGTCCCTCCCACATACCTATTGCTGAGAGAAGCCTCCTCCTGAGGTGCTTCTGGGAAGTTGGCATACGTCTTGAGCCTAAGCCAGGGAATCAGCTCTCATCTCGAGACGATTTGGGGTACACGGAGCATTCCTCGAGTTGCTGTGCTGAAGTTGGTGTTCCTCAAGACTTGGGACAGTGTTCTCGGGGCATCTCTGGAGTTGCCTGAAGGAAGTCGAGCCACCGGTCGTGTTGAATGGGGAACGGGGAATGGCTCTGGAGTCAATGCAGGGGAATCGGGCCTCATCTCGAGTTGATTTGGGGCACATGGAGCTGCTTTGCGTTGCTGGGGTGACCTCAGGGTCCGTCTAGACTGGTGACAGTGTTCTTGGGGACTGTCTCGAGATCCATTAAGCAAGTCGAAGCTCCTGACTTGTTTGAATGGGATCACGGAATAGCTCTGCATGCACTGCAGGGGAATGGGGCCTCATCTCGCCTCTAGGGGGAAGTCTCATGGTTTTTCTCGAGTTGCGGCGGGGACCTGGGGTATGTTCTCGACTTACGGCGGGGATGGCCCTTCAAAACACGAGTTTCTTCAGTGACGTCAGGACTCCTGTCTAGTAACGAGGGACACCTCAGGAATCTCTTCGAGGCTTGGCAGGGCAAAAGGGACGCTTCTCGAGGTGAGGCAGGGCACCCAAGGACCCTTTCCAGTAGCCACAGGGATTTTGGGATTCCTATCAGTATTCAAGAGGAGTCAGGCATCGTCACCTTTTGAAGCAATGAACTCCGCGTGCCTCTCGAGGTGTCAGCGGGATGTGAGGCATTCCGTCAAAATGAGGCAGGGACCTAGGGCTTTCTCTAAGGTCTCCACAGGGGATTCAGACATCCCTTCATGTTGTGAGATGAAAGACGAGCCTGTATTCAAGCCACTGCAAGGAAATCCGGCCTCCTTTCAAGTTAGGGCTTCTCGCTGTATATTCCCCTTGAGGCAGCAAACTCGGGGTCCCTCCCACATACCTATTGCTGAGAGAAGCCTCCTCCTGAGGTGCTTCTGGGAAGTTGGCATACGTCTTGAGCCTAAGCCAGGGAATCAGCTCTCATCTCGAGACGATTTGGGGTACACGGAGCATTCCTCGAGTTGCTGTGCTGAAGTTGGTGTTCCTCAAGACTTGGGACAGTGTTCTCGGGGCATCTCTGGAGTTGCCTGAAGGAAGTCGAGCCACCGGTCGTGTTGAATGGGGAACGGGGAATGGCTCTGGAGTCAATGCAGGGGAATCGGGCCTCATCTCGAGTTGATTTGGGGCACATGGAGCTGCTTTGCGTTGCTGGGGTGACCTCAGGGTCCGTCTAGACTGGTGACAGTGTTCTTGGGGACTGTCTCGAGATCCATTAAGCAAGTCGAAGCTCCTGACTTGTTTGAATGGGATCACGGAATAGCTCTGCATGCACTGCAGGGGAATGGGGCCTCATCTCGCCTCTAGGGGGAAGTCTCATGGTTTTTCTCGAGTTGCGGCGGGGACCTGGGGTATGTTCTCGACTTACGGCGGGGATGGCCCTTCAAAACACGAGTTTCTTCAGTGACGTCAGGACTCCTGTCTAGTAACGAGGGACACCTCAGGAATCTCTTCGAGGCTTGGCAGGGCAAAAGGGACGCTTCTCGAGGTGAGGCAGGGCACCCAAGGACCCTTTCCAGTAGCCACAGGGATTTTGGGATTCCTATCAGTATTCAAGAGGAGTCAGGCATCGTCACCTTTTGAAGCAATGAACTCCGCGTGCCTCTCGAGGTGTCAGCGGGATGTGAGGCATTCCGTCAAAATGAGGCAGGGACCTAGGGCTTTCTCTAAGGTCTCCACAGGGGATTCAGACATCCCTTCATGTTGTGAGATGAAAGACGAGCCTGTATTCAAGCCACTGCAAGGAAATCCGGCCTCCTTTCAAGTTAGGGCTTCTCGCTGTATATTCCCCTTGAGGCAGCAAACTCGGGGTCCCTCCCACATACCTATTGCTGAGAGAAGCCTCCTCCTGAGGTGCTTCTGGGAAGTTGGCATACGTCTTGAGCCTAAGCCAGGGAATCAGCTCGCATCTCGAGACGATTTGGGGTACACGGAGCATTCCTCGAGTTGCTGTGCTGAAGTTGGTGTTCCTCTAGACTTGGGACAGTGTTCTCGGGGCATCTCTGGAGTTGCCTGAAGGAAGTCGAGCCACCGGTCGTGTTGAATGGGGAACGGGGAATGGCTCTGGAGTCAATGCAGGGGAATCGGGCCTCATCTCGAGTTGATTTGGGGCACATGGAGCTGCTTTGCGTTTCTGGGGTGACCTCAGGGTCCGTCTAGACTGGTGACAGTGTTCTTGCGGACTGTCTCGAGATCCATTAAGCAAGTTGAAGCTCCTGACTTGTTTGAATGGGATCACGGAATAGCTCTGCATGCACTGCAGGGGAATGGGGCCTCATCTCGCCTCTAGGGGGAAGTCTCATGGTTTTTCTCGAGTTGCGGCGGGGACCTGGGGTATGTTCTCGACTTACGGCGGGGATGGCCCTTCAAAACACGAGTTTCTTCAGTGACGTCAGGACTCCTGTCTAGTAACGAGGGACACCTCAGGAATCTCTTCGAGGCTTGGCAGGGCAAAAGGGACGCTTCTCGAGGTGAGGCAGGGCACCCAAGGACCCTTTCCAGTAGCCACAGGGATTTTGGGATTCCTATCAGTATTCAAGAGGAGTCAGGCATCGTCACCTTTTGAAGCAATGAACTCCGCCTGCCTCTCGAGGTGTCAGCGCGATGTGAGGCATTCCGTCAAAATGAGGCAGGGACCTAGGGCTTTCTCTAAGGTCTCCACAGGGGATTCAGACATCCCTTCATGTTGTGAGATGAAAGACGAGCCTGTATTCAAGCCACTGCAAGGAAATCCGGCCTCCTTTCAAGTTAGGGCTTCTCGCTGTATATTCCCCTTGAGGCAGCAAACTCGGGGTCCCTCCCACATACCTATTGCTGAGAGAAGCCTCCTCCTGAGGTGCTTCTGGGAAGTTGGCATACGTCTTGAGCCTAAGCCAGGGAATCAGCTCGCATCTCGAGACGATTTGGGGTACACGGAGCATTCCTCGAGTTGCTGTGCTGAAGTTGGTGTTCCTCTAGACTTGGGACAGTGTTCTCGGGGCATCTCTGGAGTTGCCTGAAGGAAGTCGAGCCACCGGTCGTGTTGAATGGGGAACGGGGAATGGCTCTGGAGTCAATGCAGGGGAATCGGGCCTCATCTCGAGTTGATTTGGGGCACATGGAGCTGCTTTGCGTTTCTGGGGTGACCTCAGGGTCCGTCTAGACTGGTGACAGTGTTCTTGCGGACTGTCTCGAGATCCATTAAGCAAGTTGAAGCTCCTGACTTGTTTGAATGGGATCACGGAATAGCTCTGCATGCACTGCAGGGGAATGGGGCCTCATCTCGCCTCTAGGGGGAAGTCTCATGGTTTTTCTCGAGTTGCGGCGGGGACCTGGGGTATGTTCTCGACTTACGGCGGGGATGGCCCTTCAAAACACGAGTTTCTTCAGTGACGTCAGGACTCCTGTCTAGTAACGAGGGACACCTCAGGAATCTCTTCGAGGCTTGGCAGGGCAAAAGGGACGCTTCTCGAGGTGAGGCAGGGCACCCAAGGACCCTTTCCAGTAGCCACAGGGATTTTGGGATTCCTATCAGTATTCAAGAGGAGTCAGGCATCGTCACCTTTTGAAGCAATGAACTCCGCGTGCCTCTCGAGGTGTCAGCGGGATGTGAGGCATTCCGTCAAAATGAGGCAGGGACCTAGGGCTTTCTCTAAGGTCTCCACAGGGGATTCAGACATCCCTTCATGTTGTGAGATGAAAGACGAGCCTGTATTCAAGCCACTGCAAGGAAATCCGGCCTCCTTTCAAGTTAGGGCTTCTCGCTGTATATTCCCCTTGAGGCAGCAAACTCGGGGTCCCTCCCACATACCTATTGCTGAGAGAAGCCTCCTCCTGAGGTGCTTCTGGGAAGTTGGCATACGTCTTGAGCCTAAGCCAGGGAATCAGCTCGCATCTCGAGACGATTTGGGGTACACGGAGCATTCCTCGAGTTGCTGTGCTGAAGTTGGTGTTCCTCTAGACTTGGGACAGTGTTCTCGGGGCATCTCTGGAGTTGCCTGAAGGAAGTCGAGCCACGGTCGTGTTGAATGGGGAACGGGGAATGGCTCTGGAGTCAATGCAGGGGAATCGGGCCTCATCTCTAGTTGATTTGGGGCACATGGAGCTGCTTTGCGTTTCTGGGGTGACCTCAGGGTCCGTCTAGACTGGTGACAGTGTTCTTGCGGACTGTCTCGAGATCCATTAAGCAAGTCGAAGCTCCTGACTTGTTTGAATGGGATCACGGAGTAGCTCTGCATGCACTGCAGGGGAATGGGGCCTCATCTCGCCTCTAGGGGGAAGTCTCATGGTTTTTCTCGAGTTGCGGCGGGGACCTGGGGTATGTTCTCAACTTACGGCGGGGATGGCCCTTCAAAACACGAGTTTCTTCAGTGACGTCAGGACTCCTGTCTAGTAACGAGGGACACCTCAGGAATCTCTTCGAGGCTTGGCAGGGCAAAAGGGACGCTTCTCGAGGTGAGGCAGGGCACCCAAGGACCCTTTCCAGTAGCCACAGGGATTTTGGGATTCCTATCAGTATTCAAGAGGAGTCAGGCATCGTCACCTTTTGAAGCAATGAACTCCGCGTGCCTCTCGAGGTGTCAGCGGGATGTGAGGCATTCCGTCAAAATGAGGCAGGGACCTAGGGCTTTCTCTAAGGTCTCCACAGGGGATTCAGACATCCCTTCATGTTGTGAGATGAAAGACGAGCCTGTATTCAAGCCACTGCAAGGAAATCTGGCCTCCTTTCAAGTTAGGGCTTCTCGCTGTATATTCCCCTTGAGGCAGCAAACTCGGGGTCCCTCCCACATACCTATTGCTGAGAGAAGCCTCCTCCTGAGGTGCTTCTGGGAAGTTGGCATACGTCTTGAGCCTAAGCCAGGGAATCAGCTCTCATCTCGAGACGATTTGGGGTACACGGAGCATTCCGCGAGTTGCTGTGCTGAAGTTGGTGTTCCTCTAGACTTGGGACAGTGTTCTCGGGGCATCTCTGGAGTTGCCTGAAGGAAGTCGAGCCACCGGTCGTGTTGAATGGGGAACGGGGAATGGCTCTGGAGTCAATGCACAGGAATCGGGCCTCATCTCGAGTTGATTTGGGGCACATGGAGCTGCTTTGCTTTGCTGGTGTGACCTCAGGGTCCGTCTAGACTGGTGACATTGTTCTTGGGGACTGTCTCGAGATCCATTAAGCAAGTCGAAGCTCCTGACTTGTTTGAATGGGATCACGGAATAGCTCTGCATGCACTGCAGGGGAATGGGGCCTCATCTCGCCTCAAGAGGGAAGTCTCATGGTTTTTCTCGAGTTGCGGCGGGGACCTGGGGTATGTTCTCGACTTACGGCGGGGATGGCCCTTCAAAACACGAGTTTCTTCAGTGACGTCAGGACTCCTGTCTAGTAACGAGGGACACCTCAGGAATCTCTTCGAGGCTTGGCAGGGCAAAAGGGACGCTTCTCGAGGTGAGGCAGGGCACCCAAGGACCCTTTCCAGTAGCCACAGGGATTTTGGGATTCCTATCAGTATTCAAGAGGAGTCAGGCATCGTCACCTTTTGAAGCAATGAACTCCGCCTGCCTCTCGAGGTGTCAGCGCGATGTGAGGCATTCCGTCAAAATGAGGCAGGGACCTAGGGCTTTCTCTAAGGTCTCCACAGGGGATTCAGACATCCCTTCATGTTGTGAGATGAAAGACGAGCCTGTATTCAAGCCACTGCAAGGAAATCCGGCCTCCTTTCAAGTTAGGGCTTCTCGCTGTATATTCCCCTTGAGGCAGCAAACTCGGGGTCCCTCCCACATACCTATTGCTGAGAGAAGCCTCCTCCTGAGGTGCTTCTGGGAAGTTGGCATACGTCTTGAGCCTACGCCAGGGAATCAGCTCGCATCTCGAGACGATTTGGGGTACACGGAGCATTCCTCGAGTTGCTGTGCTGAAGTTGGTGTTCCTCTAGACTTGGGACAGTGTTCTCGGGGCATCTCTGGAGTTGCCTGAAGGAAGTCGAGCCACCGGTCGTGTTGAATGGGGAACGGGGAATGGCTCTGGAGTCAATGCAGGGGAATCGGGCCTCATCTCGAGTTGATTTGGGGCACATGGAGCTGCTTTGCGTTGCTGGGGTGACCTCAGGGTCCGTCTAGACTGGTGACAGTGTTCTTGGGGACTGTCTCGAGATCCATTAAGCAAGTCGAAGCTCCTGACTTGTTTGAATGGGATCACGGAATAGCTCTGCATGCACTGCAGGGGAATGGGGCCTCATCTCGCCTCTAGGGGGAAGTCTCATGGTTTTTCTCGAGTTGCGGCGGGGACCTGGGGTATGTTCTCGACTTACGGCGGGGATGGCCCTTCAAAACACGAGTTTCTTCAGTGACGTCAGGACTCCTGTCTAGTAACGAGGGACACCTCAGGAATCTCTTCGAGGCTTGGCAGGGCAAAAGGGACGCTTCTCGAGGTGAGGCAGGGCACCCAAGGACCCTTTCCAGTAGCCACAGGGATTTTGGGATTCCTATCAGTATTCAAGAGGAGTCAGGCATCGTCACCTTTTGAAGCAATGAACTCCGCGTGCCTCTCGAGGTGTCAGCGGGATGTGAGGCATTCCGTCAAAATGAGGCAGGGACCTAGGGCTTTCTCTAAGGTCTCCACAGGGGATTCAGACATCCCTTCATGTTGTGAGATGAAAGACGAGCCTGTATTCAAGCCACTGCAAGGAAATCCGGCCTCCTTTCAAGTTAGGGCTTCTCGCTGTATATTCCCCTTGAGGCAGCAAACTCAGGGTCCCTCGCAGACACATATTGCTGAGAGAAGCCTCCTCCTGAGGTGCTTCTGGGAAGTTGGCATACGTCTTGAGCCTAAGCCAGGGAATCAGCTCGCATCTCGAGACGATTTGGGGTACACGGAGCATTCCTCGAGTTGCTGTGCTGAAGTTGGTGTTCCTCTAGACTTGGGACAGTGTTCTCGGGGCATCTCTGGAGTTGCCTGAAGGAAGTCGTGCCACCGGTCGTGTTGAATGGGGAACGGGGAATGGCTCTGGAGTCAATGCAGGGGAATCGGGCCTCATCTCGAGTTGATTTGGGGCACATGGAGCTGCTTTGCGTTGCTGGGGTGACCTCAGGGTCCGTCTAGACTGGTGACAGTGTTCTTGGGGACTGTCTCGAGATCCATTAAGCAAGTAGAAGCTCCTGACTTGTTTGAATGGGATCACGGAATAGCTCTGCATGCACTGCAGGGGAATGGGGCCTCATCTCGCCTCTAGGGGGAAGTCTCATGGTTTTTCTCGAGTTGCGGCGGGGACCTGGGGTATGTTCTCGACTTACGGCGGGGATGGCCCTTCAAAACACGAGTTTCTTCAGTGACGTCAGGACTCCTGTCTAGTAACGAGGGACACCTCAGGAATCTCTTCGAGGCTTGGCAGGGCGAAAGGGACGCTTCTCGAGGTGAGGCAGGGCACCCAAGGACCCTTTCCAGTAGCCACAGGGATTTTGGGATTCCTATCAGTATTCAAGAGGAGTCAGGCATCGTCACCTTTTGAAGCAATGAACTCCGCGTGCCTCTCGAGGTGTCAGCGGGATGTGAGGCATTCCGTCAAAATGAGGCAGGGACCTAGGGCTTTCTCTAAGGTCTCCACAGGGGATTCAGACATCCCTTCATGTTGTGAGATGAAAGACGAGCCTGTATTCAAGCCACTGCAAGGAAATCCGGCCTCCTTTCAAGTTAGGGCTTCTCGCTGTATATTCCCCTTGAGGCAGCAAACTCGGGGTCCCTCCCACATACCTATTGCTGAGAGAAGCCTCCTCCTGAGGTGCTTCTGGGAAGTTGGCATACGTCTTGAGCCTAAGCCAGGGAATCAGCTCGCATCTCGAGACGATTTGGGGTACACGGAGCATTCCTCGAGTTGCTGTGCTGAAGTTGGTGTTCCTCTAGACTTGGGACAGTGTTCTTGGGGCATCTCTGGAGTTGCCTGAAGGAAGTCGAGCCACCGGTCGTGTTGAATGGGGAACGGGGAATGGCTCTGGAGTCAATGCAGGGGAATCGGGCCTCATCTCGAGTTGATTTGGGGCACATGGAGCTGCTTTGCGTTGCTGGGGTGACCTCAGGGTCCGTCTAGACTGGTGACAGTGTTCTTGGGGACTGTCTCGAGATCCATTAAGCAAGTCGAAGCTCCTGACTTGTTTGAATGGGATCACGGAATAGCTCTGCATGCACTGCAGGGGAATGGGGCCTCATCTCGCCTCTAGGGGGAAGTCTCATGGTTTTTCTCGAGTTGCGGCGGGGACCTGGGGTATGTTCTCGACTTACGGCGGGGATGGCCCTTCAAAACACGAGTTTCTTCAGTGACCTCAGGACTCCTGTCTAGTAACGAGGGACACCTCAGGAATCTCTTCGAGGCTTGGCAGGGCAAAAGGGACGCTTCTCGAGGTGAGGCAGGGCACCCAAGGACCCTTTCCAGTAGCCACAGGGATTTTGGGATTCCTATCAGTATTCAAGAGGAGTCAGGCATCGTCACCTTTTGAAGCAATGAACTCCGCGTGCCTCTCGAGGTGTCAGCGGGATGTGAGGCATTCCGTCAAAATGAGGCAGGGACCTAGGGCTTTCTCTAAGGTCTCCACAGGGGATTCAGACATCCCTTCATGTTGTGAGATGAAAGACGAGCCTGTATTCAAGCCACTGCAAGGAAATCCGGCCTCCTTTCAAGTTAGGGCTTCTCGCTGTATATTCCCCTTGAGGCAGCAAACTCGGGGTCCCTCCCACATACCTATTGCTGAGAGAAGCCTCCTCCTGAGGTGCTTCTGGGAAGTTGGCATACGTCTTGAGCCTAAGCCAGGGAATCAGCTCGCATCTCGAGACGATTTGGGGTACACGGAGCATTCCTCGAGTTGCTGTGCTGAAGTTGGTGTTCCTCTAGACTTAGGACAGTGTTCTCGGGGCATCTCTGGAGTTGCCTGAAGGAAGTCGAGCCACCGGTCGTGTTGAATGGGGAACGGGGAATGGCTCTGGAGTCAATGCAGGGGAATCGGGCCTCATCTCGAGTTGATTTGGGGCACATGGAGCTGCTTTGCGTTGCTGGGGTGACCTCAGGGTCCGTCTAGACTGGTGACAGTGTTCTTGGGGACTGTCTCGAGATCCATTAAGCAAGTCGAAGCTCCTGACTTGTTTGAATGGGATCACGGAATAGCTCTGCATGCACTGCAGGGGAATGGGGCCTCATCTCGCCTCTAGGGGGAAGTCTCATGGTTTTTCTCGAGTTGCGGCGGGGACCTGGGGTATGTTCTCGACTTACGGCGGGGATGGCCCTTCAAGACACGAGTTTCTTCAGTGACGTCAGGACTCCTGTCTAGTAACGAGGGACACCTCAGGAATCTCTTCGAGGCTTGGCAGGGCAAAAGGGACGCTTCTCGAGGTGAGGCGGGGTACCCAAGGACCCTTTCCAGTAGCCACAGGGATTTTGGGATTCCTATCAGTATTCAAGAGGAGTCAGGCATCGTCACCTTTTGAAGCAATGAACTCCGCGTGCCTCTCGAGGTGTCAGCGGGATGTGAGGCATTCCGTCAAAATGAGGCAGGGACCTAGGGCTTTCTCTAAGGTCTCCACAGGGGATTCAGACATCCCTTCATGTTGTGAGATGAAAGACGAGCCTGTATTCAAGCCACTGCAAGGAAATCCGGCCTCCTTTCAAGTTAGGGCTTCTCGCTGTATATTCCCCTTGAGGCAGCAAACTCGGGGTCCCTCGCACATACCTATTGCTGAGAGAAGCCTCCTCCTGAGGTGCTTCTTGGAAGTTGGCATACGTCTTGAGCCTAAGCCAGGGAATCAGCTCGCACCTCGAGACGATTTGGGGTACACGGAGCATTCCTCGAGTTGCTGTGCTGAAGTTGGTGTTCCTCTAGACTTGGGACAGTGTTCTCGGGGCATCTCTGGAGTTGCCTGAAGGAAGTCGAGCCACCGGTCGTGTTGAATGGGGAACGGGGAATGGCTCTGGAGTCAATGCAGGGGAATAGGGCCTCATCTCGAGTTGATTTGGGGCACATGGAGCTGCTTTGCGTTGCTGGGGTGACCTCAGGGTCCGTCTAGACTGGTGACAGTGTTCTTGGGGACTGTCTCGAGATCCATTAAGCAAGTCGAAGCTCCTGACTTGTTTGAATGGGATCAAGGAATAGCTCTGCATGCACTGCAGGGGAATGGGGCCTCATCTCGCCTCTAGGGGGAAGTCTCATGGTTTTTCTCGAGTTGCGGCGGGGACCTGGGGTATGTTCTCGACTTACGGCGGGGATGGCCCTTCAAAACACGAGTTTCTTCAGTGACGTCAGGACTCCTGTCTAGTAACGAGGGACACCTCAGGAATCTCTTCGAGGCTTGGCAGGGCAAAAAGGACGCTTCTCGAGGTGAGGCAGGGCACCCAAGGACCCTTTCCAGTAGCCACAGGGATTTTGGGATTCCTATCAGTATTCAAGAGGAGTCAGGCATCGTCGCCTTTTGAAGCAATGAACTCCGCGTGCCTCTCGAGGTGTCAGCGCGATGTGAGTCATTCCGTCAAAATGAGGCAGGGACCTAGGGCTTTCTCTAAAGTCTCCACAGGGGATTCAGACATCCCTTCATGTTGTGAGATGAAAGACGAGCCTGTATTCAAGCCACTGCAAGGAAATCCGGCCTCCTTTCAAGTTAGGGCTTCTCGCTGTATATTCCCCTTGAGGCAGCAAACTCGGGGTCCCTCCCACGTACCTATTGCTGAGAGAAGCCTCCTCCTGAGGTGCTTCTGGGAAGTTGGCATACGTCTTGAGCCTAAGCCAGGGAATCAGCTCGCACCTCGAGACGATTTGGGGTACACAGAGCATTCCTCGAGTTGCTGTGCTGAAGTTGGTGTTCCTCTAGACTTGGGACAGTGTTCTCGGGGCATCTCTGGAGTTGCCTGAAGGAAGTCGAGCCACCGGTCGTGTTGAATGGGGAACGGGGAATGGCTCTGGAGTCAATGCAGTGGAATCGGGCCTCATCTCGAGTTGATTTGGGGCACATGGAGCTGCTTTGCGTTGCTGGGGTGACCTCAGGGTCCGTCTAGACTGGTGACAGTGTTCTTGGGGACTGTCTCGAGATCCATTAAGCAAGTCGAAGCTCCTGACTTGTTTGAATGGGATCACGGAATAGCTCTGCATGCACTGCAGGGGAATGGGGCCTCATCTCGCCTTTAGGGGGAAGTCTCATGGTTTTTCTCGAGTTGCGGCGGGGACCTGGGGTATGTTCTCGACTTACGGCGGGGATGGCCCTTCAAAACCCGAGTTTCTTCAGTGACGTCAGGACTCCTGTCTAGTAACGAGGGACACCTCAGGAATCTCTTCGAGGCTTGGCAGGGCAAAAGGGACGCTTTTCGAGGTGAGGCAGGGCACCCAAGGACCCTTTCCAGTAGCCACAGGGATTTTGGGATTCCTATCAGTATTCAAGAGGAGTCAGGCATCATCACCTTTTGAAGCAATGAACTCCGCGTGCCTCTCGAGGTGTCAGCGGGATGTGAGGCATTCCGTCAAAATGAGGCAGGGACCTAGGGCTTTCTCTAAGGTCTCCACAGGGGATTCAGACATCCCTTCATGTTGTGAGATGAAAGACGAGCCTGTATTCAAGCCACTGCAAGGAAATCCGGCCTCCTTTCAAGTTAGGGCTTCTCGCTGTATATTCCCCTTGAGGCAGCAAACTCGGGGTCCCTCCCACATACCTATTGCTGAGAGAAGCCTCCTCCTGAGGTGCTTCTGGGAAGTTGGCATACGTCTTGAGCCTAAGCCAGGGAATCAGCTCGCATCTCGAGACGATTTGGGGTACACGGAGCATTCCTCGAGTTGCTGTGCTGAAGTTGGTGTTCCTCTAGACTTGGGACAGTGTTCTCGGGGCATCTCTGGAGTTGCCTGAAGGAAGTCGAGCCACCGGTCGTGTTGAATGGGGAACGGGGAATGGCTCTGGAGTCAATGCAGGGGAATCGGGCCTCATCTCTAGTTGATTTGGGGCACATGGAGCTGCTTTGCGTTTCTGGGGTGACCTCAGGGTCCGTCTAGACTGGTGACAGTGTTCTTGCGGACTGTCTCGAGATCCATTAAGCAAGTCGAAGCTCCTGACTTGTTTGAATGGGATCACGGAATAGCTCTGCATGCACTGCAGGGGAATGGGGCCTCATCTCGCCTCTAGGGGGAAGTCTCATGGTTTTTCTCGAGTTGCGGCGGGGACCTGGGGTATGTTCTCGACTTACGGCGGGGATGGCCCTTCAAAACACGAGTTTCTTCAGTGACGTCAGGACTCCTGTCTAGTAACGAGGGACACCTCAGGAATCTCTTCGAGGCTTGGCAGGGCAAAAGGGACGCTTCTCGAGGTGAGGCAGGGCACCCAAGGACCCTTTCCAGTAGCCACAGGGATTTTGGGATTCCTATCAGTATTCAAGAGGAGTCAGGCATCGTCACCTTTTGAAGCAATGAACTCCGCGTGCCTCTCGAGGTGTCAGCGGGATGTGAGGCATTCCGTCAAAATGAAGCAGGGACCTAGGGCTTTCTCTAAGGTCTCCACAGGGGATTCAGACATCCCTTCATGTTGTGAGATGAAAGACGAGCCTGTATTCAAGCCACTGCAAGGAAATCTGGCCTCCTTTCAAGTTAGGGCTTCTCGCTGTATATTCCCCTTGAGGCAGCAAACTCGGGGTCCCTCCCACATACCTATTGCTGAGAGAAGCCTCCTCCTGAGGTGCTTCTGGGAAGTTGGCATACGTCTTGAGCCTAAGCCAGGGAATCAGCTCTCATCTCGAGACGATTTGGGGTACACGGAGCATTCCGCGAGTTGCTGTGCTGAAGTTGGTGTTCCTCTAGACTTGGGACAGTGTTCTCGGGGCATCTCTGGAGTTGCCTGAAGGAAGTCGAGCCACCGGTCGTGTTGAATGGGGAACGGGGAATGGCTCTGGAGTCAATGCACAGGAATCGGGCCTCATCTCGAGTTGATTTGGGGCACATGGAGCTGCTTTGCTTTGCTGGTGTGACCTCAGGGTCCGTCTAGACTGGTGACATTGTTCTTGGGGACTGTCTCGAGATCCATTAAGCAAGTCGAAGCTCCTGACTTGTTTGAATGGGATCACGGAATAGCTCTGCATGCACTGCAGGGGAATGGGGCCTCATCTCGCCTCAAGAGGGAAGTCTCATGGTTTTTCTCGAGTTGCGGCGGGGACCTGGGGTATGTTCTCGACTTACGGCGGGGATGGCCCTTCAAAACACGAGTTTCTTCAGTGACGTCAGGACTCCTGTCTAGTAACGAGGGACACCTCAGGAATCTCTTCGAGGCTTGGCAGGGCAAAAGGGACGCTTCTCGAGGTGAGGCAGGGCACCCAAGGACCCTTTCCAGTAGCCACAGGGATTTTGGGATTCCTATCAGTATTCAAGAGGAGTCAGGCATCGTCACCTTTTGAAGCAATGAACTCCGCCTGCCTCTCGAGGTGTCAGCGCGATGTGAGGCATTCCGTCAAAATGAGGCAGGGACCTAGGGCTTTCTCTAAGGTCTCCACAGGGGATTCAGACATCCCTTCATGTTGTGAGATGAAAGACGAGCCTGTATTCAAGCCACTGCAAGGAAATCCGGCCTCCTTTCAAGTTAGGGCTTCTCGCTGTATATTCCCCTTGAGGCAGCAAACTCGGGGTCCCTCCCACATACCTATTGCTGAGAGAAGCCTCCTCCTGAGGTGCTTCTGGGAAGTTGGCATACGTCTTGAGCCTACGCCAGGGAATCAGCTCGCATCTCGAGACGATTTGGGGTACACGGAGCATTCCTCGAGTTGCTGTGCTGAAGTTGGTGTTCCTCTAGACTTGGGACAGTGTTCTCGGGGCATCTCTGGAGTTGCCTGAAGGAAGTCGAGCCACCGGTCGTGTTGAATGGGGAACGGGGAATGGCTCTGGAGTCAATGCAGGGGAATCGGGCCTCATCTCGAGTTGATTTGGGGCACATGGAGCTGCTTTGCGTTGCTGGGGTGACCTCAGGGTCCGTCTAGACTGGTGACAGTGTTCTTGGGGACTGTCTCGAGATCCATTAAGCAAGTCGAAGCTCCTGACTTGTTTGAATGGGATCACGGAATAGCTCTGCATGCACTGCAGGGGAATGGGGCCTCATCTCGCCTCTAGGGGGAAGTCTCATGGTTTTTCTCGAGTTGCGGCGGGGACCTGGGGTATGTTCTCGACTTACGGCGGGGATGGCCCTTCAAAACACGAGTTTCTTCAGTGACCTCAGGACTCCTGTCTAGTAACGAGGGACACCTCAGGAATCTCTTCGAGGCTTGGCAGGGCAAAAGGGACGCTTCTCGAGGTGAGGCAGGGCACCCAAGGACCCTTTCCAGTAGCCACAGGGATTTTGGGATTCCTATCAGTATTCAAGAGGAGTCAGGCATCGTCACCTTTTGAAGCAATGAACTCCGCGTGCCTCTCGAGGTGTCAGCGGGATGTGAGGCATTCCGTCAAAATGAGGCAGGGACCTAGGGCTTTCTCTAAGGTCTCCACAGGGGATTCAGACATCCCTTCATGTTGTGAGATGAAAGACGAGCCTGTATTCAAGCCACTGCAAGGAAATCCGGCCTCCTTTCAAGTTAGGGCTTCTCGCTGTATATTCCCCTTGAGGCAGCAAACTCAGGGTCCCTCGCAGACACATATTGCTGAGAGAAGCCTCCTCCTGAGGTGCTTCTGGGAAGTTGGCATACGTCTTGAGCCTAAGCCAGGGAATCAGCTCGCATCTCGAGACGATTTGGGGTACACGGAGCATTCCTCGAGTTGCTGTGCTGAAGTTGGTGTTCCTCTAGCCTTGGGACAGTGTTCTCGGGGCATCTCTGGAGTTGCCTGAAGGAAGTCGAGCCACCGGTCGTGTTGAATGGGGAACGGGGAATGGCTCTGGAGTCAATGCAGGGGAATCGGGCCTCATCTCGAGTTGATTTGGGGCACATGGAGCTGCTTTGCGTTGCTGGGGTGACCTCAGGGTCCGTCTAGACTGGTGACAGTGTTCTTGGGGACTGTCTCGAGATCCATTAAGCAAGTCGAAGCTCCTGACTTGTTTGAATGGGATCACGGAATAGCTCTGCATGCACTGCAGGGGAATGGGGCCTCATCTCGCCTCTAGGGGGAAGTCTCATGGTTTTTCTCGAGTTGCGGCGGGGACCTGGGGTATGTTCTCGACTTACGGCGGGGATGGCCCTTCAAAACACGAGTTTCTTCAGTGACGTCAGGACTCCTGTCTAGTAACGAGGGACACCTCAGGAATCTCTTCCAGGCTTGGCAGGGCAAAAGGGACGCTTTTCGAGGTGAGGCAGGGCACCCAAGGACCCTTTCCAGTAGCCACAGGGATTTTGGGATTCCTATCAGTATTCAAGAGGAGTCAGGCATCATCACCTTTTGAAGCAATGAACTCCGCGTGCCTCTCGAGGTGTCAGCGGGATGTGAGGCATTCCGTCAAAATGAGGCAGGGACCTAGGGCTTTCTCTAAGGTCTCCACAGGGGATTCAGACATCCCTTCATGTTGTGAGATGAAAGACGAGCCTGTATTCAAGCCACTGCAAGGAAATCCGGCCTCCTTTCAAGTTAGGGCTTCTCGCTGTATATTCCCCTTGAGGCAGCAAACTCGGGGTCCCTCCCACATACCTATTGCTGAGAGAAGCCTCCTCCTGAGGTGCTTCTGGGAAGTTGGCATACGTCTTGAGCCTAAGCCAGGGAATCAGCTCGCATCTCGAGACGATTTGGGGTACACGGAGCATTCCTCGAGTTGCTGTGCTGAAGTTGGTGTTCCTCTAGACTTGGGACAGTGTTCTCGGGGCATCTCTGGAGTTGCCTGAAGGAAGTCGAGCCACCGGTCGTGTTGAATGGGGAACGGGGAATGGCTCTGGAGTCAATGCAGGGGAATCGGGCCTCATCTCTAGTTGATTTGGGGCACATGGAGCTGCTTTGCGTTTCTGGGGTGACCTCAGGGTCCGTCTAGACTGGTGACAGTGTTCTTGCGGACTGTCTCGAGATCCATTAAGCAAGTCGAAGCTCCTGACTTGTTTGAATGGGATCACGGAATAGCTCTGCATGCACTGCAGGGGAATGGGGCCTCATCTCGCCTCTAGGGGGAAGTCTCATGGTTTTTCTCGAGTTGCGGCGGGGACCTGGGGTATGTTCTCGACTTACGGCGGGGATGGCCCTTCAAAACACGAGTTTCTTCAGTGACGTCAGGACTCCTGTCTAGTAACGAGGGACACCTCAGGAATCTCTTCGAGGCTTGGCAGGGCAAAAGGGACGCTTCTCGAGGTGAGGCAGGGCACCCAAGGACCCTTTCCAGTAGCCACAGGGATTTTGGGATTCCTATCAGTATTCAAGAGGAGTCAGGCATCGTCACCTTTTGAAGCAATGAACTCCGCGTGCCTCTCGAGGTGTCAGCGGGATGTGAGGCATTCCGTCAAAATGAAGCAGGGACCTAGGGCTTTCTCTAAGGTCTCCACAGGGGATTCAGACATCCCTTCATGTTGTGAGATGAAAGACGAGCCTGTATTCAAGCCACTGCAAGGAAATCTGGCCTCCTTTCAAGTTAGGGCTTCTCGCTGTATATTCCCCTTGAGGCAGCAAACTCGGGGTCCCTCCCACATACCTATTGCTGAGAGAAGCCTCCTCCTGAGGTGCTTCTGGGAAGTTGGCATACGTCTTGAGCCTAAGCCAGGGAATCAGCTCTCATCTCGAGACGATTTGGGGTACACGGAGCATTCCGCGAGTTGCAGTGCTGAAGTTGGTGTTCCTCTAGACTTGGGACAGTGTTCTCGGGGCATCTCTGGAGTTGCCTGAAGGAAGTCGAGCCACCGGTCGTGTTGAATGGGGAACGGGGAATGGCTCTGGAGTCAATGCACAGGAATCGGGCCTCATCTCGAGTTGATTTGGGGCACATGGAGCTGCTTTGCTTTGCTGGTGTGACCTCAGGGTCCGTCTAGACTGGTGACATTGTTCTTGGGGACTGTCTCGAGATCCATTAAGCAAGTCGAAGCTCCTGACTTGTTTGAATGGGATCACGGAATAGCTCTGCATGCACTGCAGGGGAATGGGGCCTCATCTCGCCTCAAGAGGGAAGTCTCATGGTTTTTCTCGAGTTGCGGCGGGGACCTGGGGTATGTTCTCGACTTACGGCGGGGATGGCCCTTCAAAACACGAGTTTCTTCAGTGACGTCAGGACTCCTGTCTAGTAACGAGGGACACCTCAGGAATCTCTTCGAGGCTTGGCAGGGCAAAAGGGACGCTTCTCGAGGTGAGGCAGGGCACCCAAGGACCCTTTCCAGTAGCCACAGGGATTTTGGGATTCCTATCAGTATTCAAGAGGAGTCAGGCATCGTCACCTTTTGAAGCAATGAACTCCGCCTGCCTCTCGAGGTGTCAGCGCGATGTGAGGCATTCCGTCAAAATGAGGCAGGGACCTAGGGCTTTCTCTAAGGTCTCCACAGGGGATTCAGACATCCCTTCATGTTGTGAGATGAAAGACGAGCCTGTATTCAAGCCACTGCAAGGAAATCCGGCCTCCTTTCAAGTTAGGGCTTCTCGCTGTATATTCCCCTTGAGGCAGCAAACTCGGGGTCCCTCCCACATACCTATTGCTGAGAGAAGCCTCCTCCTGAGGTGCTTCTGGGAAGTTGGCATACGTCTTGAGCCTACGCCAGGGAATCAGCTCGCATCTCGAGACGATTTGGGGTACACGGAGCATTCCTCGAGTTGCTGTGCTGAAGTTGGTGTTCCTCTAGACTTGGGACAGTGTTCTCGGGGCATCTCTGGAGTTGCCTGAAGGAAGTCGAGCCACCGGTCGTGTTGAATGGGGAACGGGGAATGGCTCTGGAGTCAATGCAGGGGAATCGGGCCTCATCTCGAGTTGATTTGGGGCACATGGAGCTGCTTTGCGTTGCTGGGGTGACCTCAGGGTCCGTCTAGACTGGTGACAGTGTTCTTGGGGACTGTCTCGAGATCCATTAAGCAAGTCGAAGCTCCTGACTTGTTTGAATGGGATCACGGAATAGCTCTGCATGCACTGCAGGGGAATGGGGCCTCATCTCGCCTCTAGGGGGAAGTCTCATGGTTTTTCTCGAGTTGCGGCGGGGACCTGGGGTATGTTCTCGACTTACGGCGGGGATGGCCCTTCAAAACACGAGTTTCTTCAGTGACGTCAGGACTCCTGTCTAGTAACGAGGGACACCTCAGGAATCTCTTCGAGGCTTGGCAGGGCAAAAGGGACGCTTCTCGAGGTGAGGCAGGGCACCCAAGGACCCTTTCCAGTAGCCACAGGGATTTTGGGATTCCTATCAGTATTCAAGAGGAGTCAGGCATCGTCACCTTTTGAAGCAATGAACTCCGCGTGCCTCTCGAGGTGTCAGCGGGATGTGAGGCATTCCGTCAAAATGAGGCAGGGACCTAGGGCTTTCTCTAAGGTCTCCACAGGGGATTCAGACATCCCTTCATGTTGTGAGATGAAAGACGAGCCTGTATTCAAGCCACTGCAAGGAAATCCGGCCTCCTTTCAAGTTAGGGCTTCTCGCTGTATATTCCCCTTGAGGCAGCAAACTCGGGGTCCCTCCCACATACCTATTGCTGAGAGAAGCCTCCTCCTGAGGTGCTTCTGGGAAGTTGGCATACGTCTTGAGCCTAAGCCAGGGAATCAGCTCGCACCTCGAGACGATTTGGGGTACACGGAGCATTCCTCGAGTTGCTGTGCTGAAGTTGGTGTTCCTCTAGACTTGGGACAGTGTTCTTGGGGCATCTCTGGAGTTGCCTGAAGGAAGTCGAGCCACCGGTCGTGTTGAATGGGGAACGGGGAATGGCTCTGGAATCAATGCAGGGGAATCGGGCCTCATCTCGAGTTGATTTGGGGCACATGGAGCTGCTTTGCGTTGCTGGGGTGACCTCAGGGTCCGTCTAGACTGGTGACAGTGTTCTTGGGGACTGTCTCGAGATCCATTAAGCAAGTCGAAGCTCCTGACTTGTTTGAATGGGATCACGGAATAGCTCTGCATGCACTGCAGGGGAATGGGGCCTCATCTCGCCTCTAGGGGGAAGTCTCATGGTTTTTCTCGAGTTGCGGCGGGGACCTGGGGTATGTTCTCGACTTACGGCGGGGATGGCCCTTCAAAACACGAGTTTCTTCAGTGACCTCAGGACTCCTGTCTAGTAACGAGGGACACCTCAGGAATCTCTTCGAGGCTTGGCAGGGCAAAAGGGACGCTTCTCGAGGTGAGGCAGGGCACCCAAGGACCCTTTCCAGTAGCCACAGGGATTTTGGGATTCCTATCAGTATTCAAGAGGAGTCAGGCATCGTCACCTTTTGAAGCAATGAACTCCGCGTGCCTCTCGAGGTGTCAGCGGGATGTGAGGCATTCCGTCAAAATGAGGCAGGGACCTAGGGCTTTCTCTAAGGTCTCCACAGGGGATTCAGACATCCCTTCATGTTGTGAGATGAAAGACGAGCCTGTATTCAAGCCACTGCAAGGAAATCCGGCCTCCTTTCAAGTTAGGGCTTCTCGCTGTATATTCCCCTTGAGGCAGCAAACTCGGGGTCCCTCCCACATACCTATTGCTGAGAGAAGCCTCCTCCTGAGGTGCTTCTGGGAAGTTGGCATACGTCTTGAGCCTAAGCCAGGGAATCAGCTCGCATCTCGAGACGATTTGGGGTACACGGAGCATTCCTCGAGTTGCTGTGCTGAAGTTGGTGTTCCTCTAGACTTAGGACAGTGTTCTCGGGGCATCTCTGGAGTTGCCTGAAGGAAGTCGAGCCACCGGTCGTGTTGAATGGGGAACGGGGAATGGCTCTGGAGTCAATGCAGGGGAATCGGGCCTCATCTCGAGTTGATTTGGGGCACATGGAGCTGCTTTGCGTTGCTGGGGTGACCTCAGGGTCCGTCTAGACTGGTGACAGTGTTCTTGGGGACTGTCTCGAGATCCATTAAGCAAGTCGAAGCTCCTGACTTGTTTGAATGGGATCACGGAATAGCTCTGCATGCACTGCAGGGGAATGGGGCCTCATCTCGCCTCTAGGGGGAAGTCTCATGGTTTTTCTCGAGTTGCGGCGGGGACCTGGGGTATGTTCTCGACTTACGGCGGGGATGGCCCTTCAAGACACGAGTTTCTTCAGTGACGTCAGGACTCCTGTCTAGTAACGAGGGACACCTCAGGAATCTCTTCGAGGCTTGGCAGGGCAAAAGGGACGCTTCTCGAGGTGAGGCGGGGTACCCAAGGACCCTTTCCAGTAGCCACAGGGATTTTGGGATTCCTATCAGTATTCAAGAGGAGTCAGGCATCGTCACCTTTTGAAGCAATGAACTCCGCGTGCCTCTCGAGGTGTCAGCGGGATGTGAGGCATTCCGTCAAAATGAGGCAGGGACCTAGGGCTTTCTCTAAGGTCTCCACAGGGGATTCAGACATCCCTTCATGTTGTGAGATGAAAGACGAGCCTGTATTCAAGCCACTGCAAGGAAATCCGGCCTCCTTTCAAGTTAGGGCTTCTCGCTGTATATTCCCCTTGAGGCAGCAAACTCGGGGTCCCTCGCACATACCTATTGCTGAGAGAAGCCTCCTCCTGAGGTGCTTCTTGGAAGTTGGCATACGTCTTGAGCCTAAGCCAGGGAATCAGCTCGCACCTCGAGACGATTTGGGGTACACGGAGCATTCCTCGAGTTGCTGTGCTGAAGTTGGTGTTCCTCTAGACTTGGGACAGTGTTCTCGGGGCATCTCTGGAGTTGCCTGAAGGAAGTCGAGCCACCGGTCGTGTTGAATGGGGAACGGGGAATGGCTCTGGAGTCAATGCAGGGGAATAGGGCCTCATCTCGAGTTGATTTGGGGCACATGGAGCTGCTTTGCGTTGCTGGGGTGACCTCAGGGTCCGTCTAGACTGGTGACAGTGTTCTTGGGGACTGTCTCGAGATCCATTAAGCAAGTCGAAGCTCCTGACTTGTTTGAATGGGATCACGGAATAGCTCTGCATGCACTGCAGGGGAATGGGGCCTCATCTCGCCTCTAGGGGGAAGTCTCATGGTTTTTCTCGAGTTGCGGCGGGGACCTGGGGTATGTTCTCGACTTACGGCGGGGATGGCCCTTCAAAACACGAGTTTCTTCAGTGACGTCAGGACTCCTGTCTAGTAACGAGGGACACCTCAGGAATCTCTTCGAGGCTTGGCAGGGCGAAAGGGACGCTTCTCGAGGTGAGGCAGGGCACCCAAGGACCCTTTCCAGTAGCCACAGGGATTTTGGGATTCCTATCAGTATTCAAGAGGAGTCAGGCATCGTCACCTTTTGAAGCAATGAACTCCGCGTGCCTCTCGAGGTGTCAGCGGGATGTGAGGCATTCCGTCAAAATGAGGCAGGGACCTAGGGCTTTCTCTAAGGTCTCCACAGGGGATTCAGACATCCCTTCATGTTGTGAGATGAAAGACGAGCCTGTATTCAAGCCACTGCAAGGAAATCCGGCCTCCTTTCAAGTTAGGGCTTCTCGCTGTATATTCCCCTTGAGGCAGCAAACTCGGGGTCCCTCCCACATACCTATTGCTGAGAGAAGCCTCCTCCTGAGGTGCTTCTGGGAAGTTGGCATACGTCTTGAGCCTAAGCCAGGGAATCAGCTCGCACCTCGAGACGATTTGGGGTACACGGAGCATTCCTCGAGTTGCTGTGCTGAAGTTGGTGTTCCTCTAGACTTGGGACAGTGTTCTTGGGGCATCTCTGGAGTTGCCTGAAGGAAGTCGAGCCACCGGTCGTGTTGAATGGGGAACGGGGAATGGCTCTGGAATCAATGCAGGGGAATCGGGCCTCATCTCGAGTTGATTTGGGGCACATGGAGCTGCTTTGCGTTGCTGGGGTGACCTCAGGGTCCGTCTAGACTGGTGACAGTGTTCTTGGGGACTGTCTCGAGATCCATTAAGCAAGTCGAAGCTCCTGACTTGTTTGAATGGGATCACGGAATAGCTCTGCATGCACTGCAGGGGAATGGGGCCTCATCTCGCCTCTAGGGGGAAGTCTCATGGTTTTTCTCGAGTTGCGGCGGGGACCTGGGGTATGTTCTCGACTTACGGCGGGGATGGCCCTTCAAAACACGAGTTTCTTCAGTGACCTCAGGACTCCTGTCTAGTAACGAGGGACACCTCAGGAATCTCTTCGAGGCTTGGCAGGGCAAAAGGGACGCTTCTCGAGGTGAGGCAGGGCACCCAAGGACCCTTTCCAGTAGCCACAGGGATTTTGGGATTCCTATCAGTATTCAAGAGGAGTCAGGCATCGTCACCTTTTGAAGCAATGAACTCCGCGTGCCTCTCGAGGTGTCAGCGGGATGTGAGGCATTCCGTCAAAATGAGGCAGGGACCTAGGGCTTTCTCTAAGGTCTCCACAGGGGATTCAGACATCCCTTCATGTTGTGAGATGAAAGACGAGCCTGTATTCAAGCCACTGCAAGGAAATCCGGCCTCCTTTCAAGTTAGGGCTTCTCGCTGTATATTCCCCTTGAGGCAGCAAACTCGGGGTCCCTCCCACATACCTATTGCTGAGAGAAGCCTCCTCCTGAGGTGCTTCTGGGAAGTTGGCATACGTCTTGAGCCTAAGCCAGGGAATCAGCTCGCATCTCGAGACGATTTGGGGTACACGGAGCATTCCTCGAGTTGCTGTGCTGAAGTTGGTGTTCCTCTAGACTTAGGACAGTGTTCTCGGGGCATCTCTGGAGTTGCCTGAAGGAAGTCGAGCCACCGGTCGTGTTGAATGGGGAACGGGGAATGGCTCTGGAGTCAATGCAGGGGAATCGGGCCTCATCTCGAGTTGATTTGGGGCACATGGAGCTGCTTTGCGTTGCTGGGGTGACCTCAGGGTCCGTCTAGACTGGTGACAGTGTTCTTGGGGACTGTCTCGAGATCCATTAAGCAAGTCGAAGCTCCTGACTTGTTTGAATGGGATCACGGAATAGCTCTGCATGCACTGCAGGGGAATGGGGCCTCATCTCGCCTCTAGGGGGAAGTCTCATGGTTTTTCTCGAGTTGCGGCGGGGACCTGGGGTATGTTCTCGACTTACGGCGGGGATGGCCCTTCAAGACACGAGTTTCTTCAGTGACGTCAGGACTCCTGTCTAGTAACGAGGGACACCTCAGGAATCTCTTCGAGGCTTGGCAGGGCAAAAGGGACGCTTCTCGAGGTGAGGCGGGGTACCCAAGGACCCTTTCCAGTAGCCACAGGGATTTTGGGATTCCTATCAGTATTCAAGAGGAGTCAGGCATCGTCACCTTTTGAAGCAATGAACTCCGCGTGCCTCTCGAGGTGTCAGCGGGATGTGAGGCATTCCGTCAAAATGAGGCAGGGACCTAGGGCTTTCTCTAAGGTCTCCACAGGGGATTCAGACATCCCTTCATGTTGTGAGATGAAAGACGAGCCTGTATTCAAGCCACTGCAAGGAAATCCGGCCTCCTTTCAAGTTAGGGCTTCTCGCTGTATATTCCCCTTGAGGCAGCAAACTCGGGGTCCCTCGCACATACCTATTGCTGAGAGAAGCCTCCTCCTGAGGTGCTTCTTGGAAGTTGGCATACGTCTTGAGCCTAAGCCAGGGAATCAGCTCGCACCTCGAGACGATTTGGGGTACACGGAGCATTCCTCGAGTTGCTGTGCTGAAGTTGGTGTTCCTCTAGACTTGGGACAGTGTTCTCGGGGCATCTCTGGAGTTGCCTGAAGGAAGTCGAGCCACCGGTCGTGTTGAATGGGGAACGGGGAATGGCTCTGGAGTCAATGCAGGGGAATAGGGCCTCATCTCGAGTTGATTTGGGGCACATGGAGCTGCTTTGCGTTGCTGGGGTGACCTCAGGGTCCGTCTAGACTGGTGACAGTGTTCTTGGGGACTGTCTCGAGATCCATTAAGCAAGTCGAAGCTCCTGACTTGTTTGAATGGGATCAAGGAATAGCTCTGCATGCACTGCAGGGGAATGGGGCCTCATCTCGCCTCTAGGGGGAAGTCTCATGGTTTTTCTCGAGTTGCGGCGGGGACCTGGGGTATGTTCTCGACTTACGGCGGGGATGGCCCTTCAAAACACGAGTTTCTTCAGTGACGTCAGGACTCCTGTCTAGTAACGAGGGACACCTCAGGAATCTCTTCGAGGCTTGGCAGGGCAAAAAGGACGCTTCTCGAGGTGAGGCAGGGCACCCAAGGACCCTTTCCAGTAGCCACAGGGATTTTGGGATTCCTATCAGTATTCAAGAGGAGTCAGGCATCGTCGCCTTTTGAAGCAATGAACTCCGCGTGCCTCTCGAGGTGTCAGCGCGATGTGAGTCATTCCGTCAAAATGAGGCAGGGACCTAGGGCTTTCTCTAAAGTCTCCACAGGGGATTCAGACATCCCTTCATGTTGTGAGATGAAAGACGAGCCTGTATTCAAGCCACTGCAAGGAAATCCGGCCTCCTTTCAAGTTAGGGCTTCTCGCTGTATATTCCCCTTGAGGCAGCAAACTCGGGGTCCCTCCCACGTACCTATTGCTGAGAGAAGCCTCCTCCTGAGGTGCTTCTGGGAAGTTGGCATACGTCTTGAGCCTAAGCCAGGGAATCAGCTCGCACCTCGAGACGATTTGGGGTACAATGAGCATTCCTCGAGTTGCTGTGCTGAAGTTGGTGTTCCTCTAGACTTGGGACAGTGTTCTCGGGGCATCTCTGGAGTTGCCTGAAGGAAGTCGAGCCACCGGTCGTGTTGAATGGGGAACGGGGAATGGCTCTGGAGTCAATGCAGTGGAATCGGGCCTCATCTCGAGTTGATTTGGGGCACATGGAGCTGCTTTGCGTTGCTGGGGTGACCTCAGGGTCCGTCTAGACTGGTGACAGTGTTCTTGGGGACTGTCTCGAGATCCATTAAGCAAGTCGAAGCTCCTGACTTGTTTGAATGGGATCACGGAATAGCTCTGCATGCACTGCAGGGGAATGGGGCCTCATCTCGCCTCTAGGGGGAAGTCTCATGGTTTTTCTCGAGTTGCGGCGGGGACCTGGGGTATGTTCTCGACTTACGGCGGGGATGGCCCTTCAAAACACGAGTTTCTTCAGTGACGTCAGGACTCCTGTCTAGTAACGAGGGACACCTCAGGAATCTCTTCGAGGCTTGGCAGGGCAAAAGGGACGCTTTTCGAGGTGAGGCAGGGCACCCAAGGACCCTTTCCAGTAGCCACAGGGATTTTGGGATTCCTATCAGTATTCAAGAGGAGTCAGGCATCATCACCTTTTGAAGCAATGAACTCCGCGTGCCTCTCGAGGTGTCAGCGGGATGTGAGGCATTCCGTCAAAATGAGGCAGGGACCTAGGGCTTTCTCTAAGGTCTCCACAGGGGATTCAGACATCCCTTCATGTTGTGAGATGAAAGACGAGCCTGTATTCAAGCCACTGCAAGGAAATCCGGCCTCCTTTCAAGTTAGGGCTTCTCGCTGTATATTCCCCTTGAGGCAGCAAACTCGGGGTCCCTCCCACATACCTATTGCTGAGAGAAGCCTCCTCCTGAGGTGCTTCTGGGAAGTTGGCATACGTCTTGAGCCTAAGCCAGGGAATCAGCTCTCATCTCGAGACGATTTGGGGTACACGGAGCATTCCTCGAGTTGCTGTGCTGAAGTTGGTGTTCCTCTAGACTTGGGACAGTGTTCTCGGGGCATCTCTGGAGTTGCCTGAAGGAAGTCGAGCCACCGGTCGTTTTGAATGGGGAACGGAGAATGACTCTGGAGTCAATGCAGGGGAATCGGGCCTCATCTCGAGTTGATTTGGGGCACATGGAGCTGCTTTGCGTTGCTGGGGTGACCTCAGGGTCCATCTAGACTGGTGACAGTGTTCTTGGGGACTGTCTCGAGATCCATTAAGCAAGTCGAAGCTCCTGACTTGTTTGAATGGGATCACGGAATAGCTCTGCATGCACTGCAGGGGAATGGGGCCTCATCTCGCCTCTAGGGGGAAGTCTCATGGTTTTTCTCGAGTTGCGGCGGGGACCTGGGGTATGTTCTCGACTTACGGCGGGGATGGCCCTTCAAAACACGAGTTTCTTCAGTGACGTCAGGACTCCTGTCTAGTAACGAGGGACACCTCAGGAATCTCTTCGAGGCTTGGCAGGGCAAAAGGGACGCTTCTCGAGGTGAGGCAGGGCACCCAAGGACCCTTTCCAGTAGCCACAGGGATTTGGGGATTCCTATCAGTATTCAAGAGGAGTCAGGCATCGTCACCTTTTGAAGCAATGAACTCCGCGTGCCTCTCGAGGTGTCAGCGGGATGTGAGGCATTCCGTCAAAATGAGGCAGGGACCTAGGGCTTTCTCTAAGGTCTCCACAGGGGATTCAGACATCCCTTCATGTTGTGAGATGAAAGACGAGCCTGTATTCAAGCCACTGCAAGGAAATCCGGCCTCCTTTCAAGTTAGGGCTTCTCGCTGTATATTCCCCTTGAGGCAGCAAACTCGGGGTCCCTCGCACATACCTATTGCTGAGAGAAGCCTCCTCCTGAGGTGCTTCTGGGAAGTTGGCATACGTCTTGAGCCTAAGCCAGGGAATCAGCTCGCACCTCGAGACGATTTGGGGTACACGGAGCATTCCTCGAGTTGCTGTGCTGAAGTTGGTGTTCCTCTAGACTTGGGACAGTGTTCTCGGGGCATCTCTGCAGTTGCCTGAAGGAAGTCGAGCCACCGGTCGTGTTGAATGGGGAACGGGGAATGGCTCTGGAGTCAATGCAGGGGAATCGGGCCTCATCTCGAGTTGATTTGGGGCACATGGAGCTGCTTTGCGTTGCTGGGGTGACCTCAGGGTCCGTCTAGACTGGTGACAGTGTTCTTGGGGACTGTCTCGAGATCCATTAAGCAAGTCGAAGCTCCTGACTTGTTTGAATGGGATCACGGAATAGCTCTGCATGCACTGCAGGGGAATGGGGCCTCATCTCGCCTCTAGGGGGAAGTCTCATGGTTTTTCTCGAGTTGCGGCGGGGACCTGGGGTATGTTCTCGACTTACGGCGGGGATGGCCCTTCAAAACACGAGTTTCTTCAGTGACGTCAGGACTCCTGTCTAGTAACGAGGGACACCTCAGGAATCTCTTCGAGGCTTGGCAGGGCAAAAGGGAAGCTTCTCGAGTTGAGGCAGGGCACCCAAGGACCCTTTCCAGTAGCCACAGGGATTTTGGGATTCCTATCAGTATTCAAGAGGAGTCAGGCATCGTCACCTTTTGAAGCAATGAACTCCGCGTGCCTCTCGAGGTGTCAGCGGGATGTGAGGCATTCCGTCAAAATGAGGCAGGGACCTAGGGCTTTCTCTAAGGTCTCCACAGGGGATTCAGACATCCCTTCATGTTGTGAGATGAAAGACGAGCCTGTATTCAAGCCACTGCAAGGAAATCCGGCCTCCTTTCAAGTTAGGGCTTCTCGCTGTATATTCCCCTTGAGGCAGCAAACTCGGGGTCCCTCCCACATACCTATTGCTGAGAGAAGCCTCCTCCTGAGGTGCTTCTGGGAAGTTGGCATACGTCTTGAGCCTACGCCAGGGAATCAGCTCTCATCTCGAGACGATTTGGGGTACACGGAGCATTCCTCCAGTTGCTGTGCTGAAGTTGGTGTTCCTCTAGACTTGGGACAGTGTTCTCGGGGCATCTCTGGAGTTGCCTGAAGGAAGTCGAGCCACGGTCGTGTTGAATGGGGAACGGGGAATGGCTCTGGAGTCAATGCAGGGGAATCGGGCCTCATCTCGAGTTGATTTGGGGCACATGGAGCTGCTTTGCGTTGCTGGGGTGACCTCAGGGTCCGTCTAGACTGGTGACAGTGTTCTTGGGGACTGTCTCGAGATCCATTAAGCAAGTCGAAGCTCCTGACTTGTTTGAATGGGATCACGGAATAGCTCTGCATGCACTGCAGGGGAATGGGGCCTCATCTCGCCTCTAGGGGGAAGTCTCATGGTTTTTCTCGAGTTGCGGCGGGGACCTGGGGTATGTTCTCGACTTACGGCGGGGATGGCCCTTCAAAACACGAGTTTCTTCAGTGACGTCAGGACTCCTGTCTAGTAACGAGGGACACCTCAGGAATCTCTTCGAGGCTTGGCAGGGCAAATAGGACGCTTCTCGAGGTGAGGCAGGGCACCCAAGGACCCTTTCCAGTAGCCACAGGGATTTTGGGATTCCTATCAGTATTCAAGAGGAGTCAGGCATCGTCACCTTTTGAAGCAATGAACTCCGCGTGCCTCTCGAGGTGTCAGCGGGATGTGAGGCATTCCGTCAAAATGAGGCAGGGACCTAGGGCTTTCTCTAAGGTCTCCACAGGGGATTCAGACATCCCTTCATGTTGTGAGATGAAAGACGAGCCTGTATTCAAGCCACTGCAAGGAAATCCGGCCTCCTTTCAAGTTAGGGCTTCTCGCTGTATATTCCCCTTGAGGCAGCAAACTCGGGGTCCCTCGCACATACCTATTGCTGAGAGAAGCCTCCTCCTGAGGTGCTTCTTGGAAGTTGGCATACGTCTTGAGCCTAAGCCAGGGAATCAGCTCGCACCTCGAGACGATTTGGGGTACACGGAGCATTCCTCGAGTTGCTGTGCTGAAGTTGGTGTTCCTCTAGACTTGGGACAGTGTTCTCGGGGCATCTCTGGAGTTGCCTGAAGGAAGTCGAGCCACCGGTCGTGTTGAATGGGGAACGGGGAATGGCTCTGGAGTCAATGCAGGGGAATAGGGCCTCATCTCGAGTTGATTTGGGGCACATGGAGCTGCTTTGCGTTGCTGGGGTGACCTCAGGGTCCGTCTAGACTGGTGACAGTGTTCTTGGGGACTGTCTCGAGATCCATTAAGCAAGTCGAAGCTCCTGACTTGTTTGAATGGGATCACGGAATAGCTCTGCATGCACTGCAGGGGAATGGGGCCTCATCTCGCCTCTAGGGGGAAGTCTCATGGTTTTTCTCGAGTTGCGGCGGGGACCTGGGGTATGTTCTCGACTTACGGCGGGGATGGCCCTTCAAAACACGAGTTTCTTCAGTGACGTCAGGACTCCTGTCTAGTAACGAGGGACACCTCAGGAATCTCTTCGAGGCTTGGCAGGGCGAAAGGGACGCTTCTCGAGGTGAGGCAGGGCACCCAAGGACCCTTTCCAGTAGCCACAGGGATTTTGGGATTCCTATCAGTATTCAAGAGGAGTCAGGCATCGTCACCTTTTGAAGCAATGAACTCCGCGTGCCTCTCGAGGTGTCAGCGGGATGTGAGGCATTCCGTCAAAATGAGGCAGGGACCTAGGGCTTTCTCTAAGGTCTCCACAGGGGATTCAGACATCCCTTCATGTTGTGAGATGAAAGACGAGCCTGTATTCAAGCCACTGCAAGGAAATCCGGCCTCCTTTCAAGTTAGGGCTTCTCGCTGTATATTCCCCTTGAGGCAGCAAACTCGGGGTCCCTCCCACATACCTATTGCTGAGAGAAGCCTCCTCCTGAGGTGCTTCTGGGAAGTTGGCATACGTCTTGAGCCTAAGCCAGGGAATCAGCTCGCACCTCGAGACGATTTGGGGTACACGGAGCATTCCTCGAGTTGCTGTGCTGAAGTTGGTGTTCCTCTAGACTTGGGACAGTGTTCTTGGGGCATCTCTGGAGTTGCCTGAAGGAAGTCGAGCCACCGGTCGTGTTGAATGGGGAACGGGGAATGGCTCTGGAATCAATGCAGGGGAATCGGGCCTCATCTCGAGTTGATTTGGGGCACATGGAGCTGCTTTGCGTTGCTGGGGTGACCTCAGGGTCCGTCTAGACTGGTGACAGTGTTCTTGGGGACTGTCTCGAGATCCATTAAGCAAGTCGAAGCTCCTGACTTGTTTGAATGGGATCACGGAATAGCTCTGCATGCACTGCAGGGGAATGGGGCCTCATCTCGCCTCTAGGGGGAAGTCTCATGGTTTTTCTCGAGTTGCGGCGGGGACCTGGGGTATGTTCTCGACTTACGGCGGGGATGGCCCTTCAAAACACGAGTTTCTTCAGTGACCTCAGGACTCCTGTCTAGTAACGAGGGACACCTCAGGAATCTCTTCGAGGCTTGGCAGGGCAAAAGGGACGCTTCTCGAGGTGAGGCAGGGCACCCAAGGACCCTTTCCAGTAGCCACAGGGATTTTGGGATTCCTATCAGTATTCAAGAGGAGTCAGGCATCGTCACCTTTTGAAGCAATGAACTCCGCGTGCCTCTCGAGGTGTCAGCGGGATGTGAGGCATTCCGTCAAAATGAGGCAGGGACCTAGGGCTTTCTCTAAGGTCTCCACAGGGGATTCAGACATCCCTTCATGTTGTGAGATGAAAGACGAGCCTGTATTCAAGCCACTGCAAGGAAATCCGGCCTCCTTTCAAGTTAGGGCTTCTCGCTGTATATTCCCCTTGAGGCAGCAAACTCGGGGTCCCTCCCACATACCTATTGCTGAGAGAAGCCTCCTCCTGAGGTGCTTCTGGGAAGTTGGCATACGTCTTGAGCCTAAGCCAGGGAATCAGCTCGCATCTCGAGACGATTTGGGGTACACGGAGCATTCCTCGAGTTGCTGTGCTGAAGTTGGTGTTCCTCTAGACTTAGGACAGTGTTCTCGGGGCATCTCTGGAGTTGCCTGAAGGAAGTCGAGCCACCGGTCGTGTTGAATGGGGAACGGGGAATGGCTCTGGAGTCAATGCAGGGGAATCGGGCCTCATCTCGAGTTGATTTGGGGCACATGGAGCTGCTTTGCGTTGCTGGGGTGACCTCAGGGTCCGTCTAGACTGGTGACAGTGTTCTTGGGGACTGTCTCGAGATCCATTAAGCAAGTCGAAGCTCCTGACTTGTTTGAATGGGATCACGGAATAGCTCTGCATGCACTGCAGGGGAATGGGGCCTCATCTCGCCTCTAGGGGGAAGTCTCATGGTTTTTCTCGAGTTGCGGCGGGGACCTGGGGTATGTTCTCGACTTACGGCGGGGATGGCCCTTCAAGACACGAGTTTCTTCAGTGACGTCAGGACTCCTGTCTAGTAACGAGGGACACCTCAGGAATCTCTTCGAGGCTTGGCAGGGCAAAAGGGACGCTTCTCGAGGTGAGGCGGGGTACCCAAGGACCCTTTCCAGTAGCCACAGGGATTTTGGGATTCCTATCAGTATTCAAGAGGAGTCAGGCATCGTCACCTTTTGAAGCAATGAACTCCGCGTGCCTCTCGAGGTGTCAGCGGGATGTGAGGCATTCCGTCAAAATGAGGCAGGGACCTAGGGCTTTCTCTAAGGTCTCCACAGGGGATTCAGACATCCCTTCATGTTGTGAGATGAAAGACGAGCCTGTATTCAAGCCACTGCAAGGAAATCCGGCCTCCTTTCAAGTTAGGGCTTCTCGCTGTATATTCCCCTTGAGGCAGCAAACTCGGGGTCCCTCGCACATACCTATTGCTGAGAGAAGCCTCCTCCTGAGGTGCTTCTTGGAAGTTGGCATACGTCTTGAGCTTAAGCCAGGGAATCAGCTCGCACCTCGAGACGATTTGGGGTACACGGAGCATTCCTCGAGTTGCTGTGCTGAAGTTGGTGTTCCTCTAGACTTGGGACAGTGTTCTCGGGGCATCTCTGGAGTTGCCTGAAGGAAGTCGAGCCACCGGTCGTGTTGAATGGGGAACGGGGAATGGCTCTGGAGTCAATGCAGGGGAATAGGGCCTCATCTCGAGTTGATTTGGGGCACATGGAGCTGCTTTGCGTTGCTGGGGTGACCTCAGGGTCCGTCTAGACTGGTGACAGTGTTCTTGGGGACTGTCTCGAGATCCATTAAGCAAGTCGAAGCTCCTGACTTGTTTGAATGGGATCAAGGAATAGCTCTGCATGCACTGCAGGGGAATGGGGCCTCATCTCGCCTCTAGGGGGAAGTCTCATGGTTTTTCTCGAGTTGCGGCGGGGACCTGGGGTATGTTCTCGACTTACGGCGGGGATGGCCCTTCAAAACACGAGTTTCTTCAGTGACGTCAGGACTCCTGTCTAGTAACGAGGGACACCTCAGGAATCTCTTCGAGGCTTGGCAGGGCAAAAAGGACGCTTCTCGAGGTGAGGCAGGGCACCCAAGGACCCTTTCCAGTAGCCACAGGGATTTTGGGATTCCTATCAGTATTCAAGAGGAGTCAGGCATCGTCGCCTTTTGAAGCAATGAACTCCGCGTGCCTCTCGAGGTGTCAGCGCGATGTGAGTCATTCCGTCAAAATGAGGCAGGGACCTAGGGCTTTCTCTAAAGTCTCCACAGGGGATTCAGACATCCCTTCATGTTGTGAGATGAAAGACGAGCCTGTATTCAAGCCACTGCAAGGAAATCCGGCCTCCTTTCAAGTTAGGGCTTCTCGCTGTATATTCCCCTTGAGGCAGCAAACTCGGGGTCCCTCCCACGTACCTATTGCTGAGAGAAGCCTCCTCCTGAGGTGCTTCTGGGAAGTTGGCATACGTCTTGAGCCTAAGCCAGGGAATCAGCTCGCACCTCGAGACGATTTGGGGTACAATGAGCATTCCTCGAGTTGCTGTGCTGAAGTTGGTGTTCCTCTAGACTTGGGACAGTGTTCTCGGGGCATCTCTGGAGTTGCCTGAAGGAAGTCGAGCCACCGGTCGTGTTGAATGGGGAACGGGGAATGGCTCTGGAGTCAATGCAGGGGAATCGGGCCTCATCTCGAGTTGATTTGGGGCACATGGAGCTGCTTTGCGTTGCTGGGGTGACCTCAGGGTCCGTCTAGACTGGTGACAGTGTTCTTGGGGACTGTCTCGAGATCCATTAAGCAAGTCGAAGCTCCTGACTTGTTTGAATGGGATCACGGAATAGCTCTGCATGCACTGCAGGGGAATGGGGCCTCATCTCGCCTCTAGGGGGAAGTCTCATGGTTTTTCTCGAGTTGCGGCGGGGACCTGGGGTATGTTCTCGACTTACGGCGGGGATGGCCCTTCAAAACACGAGTTTCTTCAGTGACGTCAGGACTCCTGTCTAGTAACGAGGGACACCTCAGGAATCTCTTCGAGGCTTGGCAGGGCAAAAGGGACGCTTTTCGAGGTGAGGCAGGGCACCCAAGGACCCTTTCCAGTAGCCACAGGGATTTTGGGATTCCTATCAGTATTCAAGAGGAGTCAGGCATCATCACCTTTTGAAGCAATGAACTCCGCGTGCCTCTCGAGGTGTCAGCGGGATGTGAGGCATTCCGTCAAAATGAGGCAGGGACCTAGGGCTTTCTCTAAGGTCTCCACAGGGGATTCAGACATCCCTTCATGTTGTGAGATGAAAGACGAGCCTGTATTCAAGCCACTGCAAGGAAATCCGGCCTCCTTTCAAGTTAGGGCTTCTCGCTGTATATTCCCCTTGAGGCAGCAAACTCGGGGTCCCTCCCACATACCTATTGCTGAGAGAAGCCTCCTCCTGAGGTGCTTCTGGGAAGTTGGCATACGTCTTGAGCCTAAGCCAGGGAATCAGCTCTCATCTCGAGACGATTTGGGGTACACGGAGCATTCCTCGAGTTGCTGTGCTGAAGTTGGTGTTCCTCTAGACTTGGGACAGTGTTCTCGGGGCATCTCTGGAGTTGCCTGAAGGAAGTCGAGCCACCGGTCGTTTTGAATGGGGAACGGAGAATGGCTCTGGAGTCAATGCAGGGGAATCGGGCCTCATCTCGAGTTGATTTGGGGCACATGGAGCTGCTTTGCGTTGCTGGGGTGACCTCAGGGTCCATCTAGACTGGTGACAGTGTTCTTGGGGACTGTCTCGAGATCCATTAAGCAAGTCGAAGCTCCTGACTTGTTTGAATGGGATCACGGAATAGCTCTGCATGCACTGCAGGGGAATGGGGCCTCATCTCGCCTCTAGGGGGAAGTCTCATGGTTTTTCTCGAGTTGCGGCGGGGACCTGGGGTATGTTCTCGACTTACGGCGGGGATGGCCCTTCAAAACACGAGTTTCTTCAGTGACGTCAGGACTCCTGTCTAGTAACGAGGGACACCTCAGGAATCTCTTCGAGGCTTGGCAGGGCAAAAGGGACGCTTCTCGAGGTGAGGCAGGGCACCCAAGGACCCTTTCCAGTAGCCACAGGGATTTGGGGATTCCTATCAGTATTCAAGAGGAGTCAGGCATCGTCACCTTTTGAAGCAATGAACTCCGCGTGCCTCTCGAGGTGTCAGCGGGATGTGAGGCATTCCGTCAAAATGAGGCAGGGACCTAGGGCTTTCTCTAAGGTCTCCACAGGGGATTCAGACATCCCTTCATGTTGTGAGATGAAAGACGAGCCTGTATTCAAGCCACTGCAAGGAAATCCGGCCTCCTTTCAAGTTAGGGCTTCTCGCTGTATATTCCCCTTGAGGCAGCAAACTCGGGGTCCCTCGCACATACCTATTGCTGAGAGAAGCCTCCTCCTGAGGTGCTTCTGGGAAGTTGGCATACGTCTTGAGCCTAAGCCAGGGAATCAGCTCGCACCTCGAGACGATTTGGGGTACACGGAGCATTCCTCGAGTTGCTGTGCTGAAGTTGGTGTTCCTCTAGACTTGGGACAGTGTTCTCGGGGCATCTCTGGAGTTGCCTGAAGGAAGTCGAGCCACCGGTCGTTTTGAATGGGGAACGGAGAATGGCTCTGGAGTCAATGCAGGGGAATCGGGCCTCATCTCGAGTTGATTTGGGGCACATGGAGCTGCTTTGCGTTGCTGGGGTGACCTCAGGGTCCATCTAGACTGGTGACAGTGTTCTTGGGGACTGTCTCGAGATCCATTAAGCAAGTCGAAGCTCCTGACTTGTTTGAATGGGATCACGGAATAGCTCTGCATGCACTGCAGGGGAATGGGGCCTCATCTCGCCTCTAGGGGGAAGTCTCATGGTTTTTCTCGAGTTGCGGCGGGGACCTGGGGTATGTTCTCGACTTACGGCGGGGATGGCCCTTCAAAACACGAGTTTCTTCAGTGACGTCAGGACTCCTGTCTAGTAACGAGGGACACCTCAGGAATCTCTTCGAGGCTTGGCAGGGCAAAAGGGACGCTTCTCGAGGTGAGGCAGGGCACCCAAGGACCCTTTCCAGTAGCCACAGGGATTTGGGGATTCCTATCAGTATTCAAGAGGAGTCAGGCATCGTCACCTTTTGAAGCAATGAACTCCGCGTGCCTCTCGAGGTGTCAGCGGGATGTGAGGCATTCCGTCAAAATGAGGCAGGGACCTAGGGCTTTCTCTAAGGTCTCCACAGGGGATTCAGACATCCCTTCATGTTGTGAGATGAAAGACGAGCCTGTATTCAAGCCACTGCAAGGAAATCCGGCCTCCTTTCAAGTTAGGGCTTCTCGCTGTATATTCCCCTTGAGGCAGCAAACTCGGGGTCCCTCGCACATACCTATTGCTGAGAGAAGCCTCCTCCTGAGGTGCTTCTGGGAAGTTGGCATACGTCTTGAGCCTAAGCCAGGGAATCAGCTCGCACCTCGAGACGATTTGGGGTACACGGAGCATTCCTCGAGTTGCTGTGCTGAAGTTGGTGTTCCTCTAGACTTGGGACAGTGTTCTCGGGGCATCTCTGCAGTTGCCTGAAGGAAGTCGAGCCACCGGTCGTGTTGAATGGGGAACGGGGAATGGCTCTGGAGTCAATGCAGGGGAATCGGGCCTCATCTCGAGTTGATTTGGGGCACATGGAGCTGCTTTGCGTTGCTGGGGTGACCTCAGGGTCCGTCTAGACTGGTGACAGTGTTCTTGGGGACTGTCTCGAGATCCATTAAGCAAGTCGAAGCTCCTGACTTGTTTGAATGGGATCACGGAATAGCTCTGCATGCACTGCAGGGGAATGGGGCCTCATCTCGCCTCTAGGGGGAAGTCTCATGGTTTTTCTCGAGTTGCGGCGGGGACCTGGGGTATGTTCTCGACTTACGGCGGGGATGGCCCTTCAAAACACGAGTTTCTTCAGTGACGTCAGGACTCCTGTCTAGTAACGAGGGACACCTCAGGAATCTCTTCGAGGCTTGGCAGGGCAAAAGGGAAGCTTCTCGAGTTGAGGCAGGGCACCCAAGGACCCTTTCCAGTAGCCACAGGGATTTTGGGATTCCTATCAGTATTCAAGAGGAGTCAGGCATCGTCACCTTTTGAAGCAATGAACTCCGCGTGCCTCTCGAGGTGTCAGCGGGATGTGAGGCATTCCGTCAAAATGAGGCAGGGACCTAGGGCTTTCTCTAAGGTCTCCACAGGGGATTCAGACATCCCTTCATGTTGTGAGATGAAAGACGAGCCTGTATTCAAGCCACTGCAAGGAAATCCGGCCTCCTTTCAAGTTAGGGCTTCTCGCTGTATATTCCCCTTGAGGCAGCAAACTCGGGGTCCCTCCCACATACCTATTGCTGAGAGAAGCCTCCTCCTGAGGTGCTTCTGGGAAGTTGGCATACGTCTTGAGCCTACGCCAGGGAATCAGCTCTCATCTCGAGACGATTTGGGGTACACGGAGCATTCCTCCAGTTGCTGTGCTGAAGTTGGTGTTCCTCTAGACTTGGGACAGTGTTCTCGGGGCATCTCTGGAGTTGCCTGAAGGAAGTCGAGCCACGGTCGTGTTGAATGGGGAACGGGGAATGGCTCTGGAGTCAATGCAGGGGAATCGGGCCTCATCTCGAGTTGATTTGGGGCACATGGAGCTGCTTTGCGTTGCTGGGGTGACCTCAGGGTCCGTCTAGACTGGTGACAGTGTTCTTGGGGACTGTCTCGAGATCCATTAAGCAAGTCGAAGCTCCTGACTTGTTTGAATGGGATCACGGAATAGCTCTGCATGCACTGCAGGGGAATGGGGCCTCATCTCGCCTCTAGGGGGAAGTCTCATGGTTTTTCTCGAGTTGCGGCGGGGACCTGGGGTATGTTCTCGACTTACGGCGGGGATGGCCCTTCAAAACACGAGTTTCTTCAGTGACGTCAGGACTCCTGTCTAGTAACGAGGGACACCTCAGGAATCTCTTCGAGGCTTGGCAGGGCAAATAGGACGCTTCTCGAGGTGAGGCAGGGCACCCAAGGACCCTTTCCAGTAGCCACAGGGATTTTGGGATTCCTATCAGTATTCAAGAGGAGTCAGGCATCGTCACCTTTTGAAGCAATGAACTCCGCGTGCCTCTCGAGGTGTCAGCGGGATGTGAGGCATTCCGTCAAAATGAGGCAGGGACCTAGGGCTTTCTCTAAGGTCTCCACAGGGGATTCAGACATCCCTTCATGTTGTGAGATGAAAGACGAGCCTGTATTCAAGCCACTGCAAGGAAATCCGGCCTCCTTTCAAGTTAGGGCTTCTCGCTGTATATTCCCCTTGAGGCAGCAAACTCGGGGTCCCTCGCACATACCTATTGCTGAGAGAAGCCTCCTCCTGAGGTGCTTCTTGGAAGTTGGCATACGTCTTGAGCCTAAGCCAGGGAATCAGCTCGCACCTCGAGACGATTTGGGGTACACGGAGCATTCCTCGAGTTGCTGTGCTGAAGTTGGTGTTCCTCTAGACTTGGGACAGTGTTCTCGGGGCATCTCTGGAGTTGCCTGAAGGAAGTCGAGCCACCGGTCGTGTTGAATGGGGAACGGGGAATGGCTCTGGAGTCAATGCAGGGGAATAGGGCCTCATCTCGAGTTGATTTGGGGCACATGGAGCTGCTTTGCGTTGCTGGGGTGACCTCAGGGTCCGTCTAGACTGGTGACAGTGTTCTTGGGGACTGTCTCGAGATCCATTAAGCAAGTCGAAGCTCCTGACTTGTTTGAATGGGATCAAGGAATAGCTCTGCATGCACTGCAGGGGAATGGGGCCTCATCTCGCCTCTAGGGGGAAGTCTCATGGTTTTTCTCGAGTTGCGGCGGGGACCTGGGGTATGTTCTCGACTTACGGCGGGGATGGCCCTTCAAAACACGAGTTTCTTCAGTGACGTCAGGACTCCTGTCTAGTAACGAGGGACACCTCAGGAATCTCTTCGAGGCTTGGCAGGGCAAAAAGGACGCTTCTCGAGGTGAGGCAGGGCACCCAAGGACCCTTTCCAGTAGCCACAGGGATTTTGGGATTCCTATCAGTATTCAAGAGGAGTCAGGCATCGTCGCCTTTTGAAGCAATGAACTCCGCGTGCCTCTCGAGGTGTCAGCGCGATGTGAGTCATTCCGTCAAAATGAGGCAGGGACCTAGGGCTTTCTCTAAAGTCTCCACAGGGGATTCAGACATCCCTTCATGTTGTGAGATGAAAGACGAGCCTGTATTCAAGCCACTGCAAGGAAATCCGGCCTCCTTTCAAGTTAGGGCTTCTCGCTGTATATTCCCCTTGAGGCAGCAAACTCGGGGTCCCTCCCACGTACCTATTGCTGAGAGAAGCCTCCTCCTGAGGTGCTTCTGGGAAGTTGGCATACGTCTTGAGCCTAAGCCAGGGAATCAGCTCGCACCTCGAGACGATTTGGGGTACAATGAGCATTCCTCGAGTTGCTGTGCTGAAGTTGGTGTTCCTCTAGACTTGGGACAGTGTTCTCGGGGCATCTCTGGAGTTGCCTGAAGGAAGTCGAGCCACCGGTCGTGTTGAATGGGGAACGGGGAATGGCTCTGGAGTCAATGCAGTGGAATCGGGCCTCATCTCGAGTTGATTTGGGGCACATGGAGCTGCTTTGCGTTGCTGGGGTGACCTCAGGGTCCGTCTAGACTGGTGACAGTGTTCTTGGGGACTGTCTCGAGATCCATTAAGCAAGTCGAAGCTCCTGACTTGTTTGAATGGGATCACGGAATAGCTCTGCATGCACTGCAGGGGAATGGGGCCTCATCTCGCCTCTAGGGGGAAGTCTCATGGTTTTTCTCGAGTTGCGGCGGGGACCTGGGGTATGTTCTCGACTTACGGCGGGGATGGCCCTTCAAAACACGAGTTTCTTCAGTGACGTCAGGACTCCTGTCTAGTAACGAGGGACACCTCAGGAATCTCTTCGAGGCTTGGCAGGGCAAAAGGGACGCTTTTCGAGGTGAGGCAGGGCACCCAAGGACCCTTTCCAGTAGCCACAGGGATTTTGGGATTCCTATCAGTATTCAAGAGGAGTCAGGCATCATCACCTTTTGAAGCAATGAACTCCGCGTGCCTCTCGAGGTGTCAGCGGGATGTGAGGCATTCCGTCAAAATGAGGCAGGGACCTAGGGCTTTCTCTAAGGTCTCCACAGGGGATTCAGACATCCCTTCATGTTGTGAGATGAAAGACGAGCCTGTATTCAAGCCACTGCAAGGAAATCCGGCCTCCTTTCAAGTTAGGGCTTCTCGCTGTATATTCCCCTTGAGGCAGCAAACTCGGGGTCCCTCCCACATACCTATTGCTGAGAGAAGCCTCCTCCTGAGGTGCTTCTGGGAAGTTGGCATACGTCTTGAGCCTAAGCCAGGGAATCAGCTCTCATCTCGAGACGATTTGGGGTACACGGAGCATTCCTCGAGTTGCTGTGCTGAAGTTGGTGTTCCTCTAGACTTGGGACAGTGTTCTCGGGGCATCTCTGGAGTTGCCTGAAGGAAGTCGAGCCACCGGTCGTTTTGAATGGGGAACGGAGAATGGCTCTGGAGTCAATGCAGGGGAATCGGGCCTCATCTCGAGTTGATTTGGGGCACATGGAGCTGCTTTGCGTTGCTGGGGTGACCTCAGGGTCCATCTAGACTGGTGACAGTGTTCTTGGGGACTGTCTCGAGATCCATTAAGCAAGTCGAAGCTCCTGACTTGTTTGAATGGGATCACGGAATAGCTCTGCATGCACTGCAGGGGAATGGGGCCTCATCTCGCCTCTAGGGGGAAGTCTCATGGTTTTTCTCGAGTTGCGGCGGGGACCTGGGGTATGTTCTCGACTTACGGCGGGGATGGCCCTTCAAAACACGAGTTTCTTCAGTGACGTCAGGACTCCTGTCTAGTAACGAGGGACACCTCAGGAATCTCTTCGAGGCTTGGCAGGGCAAAAGGGACGCTTCTCGAGGTGAGGCAGGGCACCCAAGGACCCTTTCCAGTAGCCACAGGGATTTGGGGATTCCTATCAGTATTCAAGAGGAGTCAGGCATCGTCACCTTTTGAAGCAATGAACTCCGCGTGCCTCTCGAGGTGTCAGCGGGATGTGAGGCATTCCGTCAAAATGAGGCAGGGACCTAGGGCTTTCTCTAAGGTCTCCACAGGGGATTCAGACATCCCTTCATGTTGTGAGATGAAAGACGAGCCTGTATTCAAGCCACTGCAAGGAAATCCGGCCTCCTTTCAAGTTAGGGCTTCTCGCTGTATATTCCCCTTGAGGCAGCAAACTCGGGGTCCCTCGCACATACCTATTGCTGAGAGAAGCCTCCTCCTGAGGTGCTTCTGGGAAGTTGGCATACGTCTTGAGCCTAAGCCAGGGAATCAGCTCGCACCTCGAGACGATTTGGGGTACACGGAGCATTCCTCGAGTTGCTGTGCTGAAGTTGGTGTTCCTCTAGACTTGGGACAGTGTTCTCGGGGCATCTCTGGAGTTGCCTGAAGGAAGTCGAGCCACCGGTCGTGTTGAATGGGGAACGGGGAATGGCTCTGGAGTCAATGCAGGGGAATCGGGCCTCATCTCGAGTTGATTTGGGGCACATGGAGCTGCTTTGCGTTGCTGGGGTGACCTCAGGGTCCGTCTAGACTGGTGACAGTGTTCTTGGGGACTGTCTCGAGATCCATTAAGCAAGTCGAAGCTCCTGACTTGTTTGAATGGGATCACGGAATAGCTCTGCATGCACTGCAGGGGAATGGGGCCTCATCTCGCCTCTAGGGGGAAGTCTCATGGTTTTTCTCGAGTTGCGGCGGGGACCTGGGGTATGTTCTCGACTTACGGCGGGGATGGCCCTTCAAAACACGAGTTTCTTCAGTGACGTCAGGACTCCTGTCTAGTAACGAGGGACACCTCAGGAATCTCTTCGAGGCTTGGCAGGGCAAAAGGGAAGCTTCTCGAGTTGAGGCAGGGCACCCAAGGACCCTTTCCAGTAGCCACAGGGATTTTGGGATTCCTATCAGTATTCAAGAGGAGTCAGGCATCGTCACCTTTTGAAGCAATGAACTCCGCGTGCCTCTCGAGGTGTCAGCGGGATGTGAGGCATTCCGTCAAAATGAGGCAGGGACCTAGGGCTTTCTCTAAGGTCTCCACAGGGGATTCAGACATCCCTTCATGTTGTGAGATGAAAGACGAGCCTGTATTCAAGCCACTGCAAGGAAATCCGGCCTCCTTTCAAGTTAGGGCTTCTCGCTGTATATTCCCCTTGAGGCAGCAAACTCGGGGTCCCTCCCACATACCTATTGCTGAGAGAAGCCTCCTCCTGAGGTGCTTCTGGGAAGTTGGCATACGTCTTGAGCCTACGCCAGGGAATCAGCTCTCATCTCGAGACGATTTGGGGTACACGGAGCATTCCTCCAGTTGCTGTGCTGAAGTTGGTGTTCCTCTAGACTTGGGACAGTGTTCTCGGGGCATCTCTGGAGTTGCCTGAAGGAAGTCGAGCCACGGTCGTGTTGAATGGGGAACGGGGAATGGCTCTGGAGTCAATGCAGGGGAATCGGGCCTCATCTCGAGTTGATTTGGGGCACATGGAGCTGCTTTGCGTTGCTGGGGTGACCTCAGGGTCCGTCTAGACTGGTGACAGTGTTCTTGGGGACTGTCTCGAGATCCATTAAGCAAGTCGAAGCTCCTGACTTGTTTGAATGGGATCACGGAATAGCTCTGCATGCACTGCAGGGGAATGGGGCCTCATCTCGCCTCTAGGGGGAAGTCTCATGGTTTTTCTCGAGTTGCGGCGGGGACCTGGGGTATGTTCTCGACTTACGGCGGGGATGGCCCTTCAAAACACGAGTTTCTTCAGTGACGTCAGGACTCCTGTCTAGTAACGAGGGACACCTCAGGAATCTCTTCGAGGCTTGGCAGGGCAAATAGGACGCTTCTCGAGGTGAGGCAGGGCACCCAAGGACCCTTTCCAGTAGCCACAGGGATTTTGGGATTCCTATCAGTATTCAAGAGGAGTCAGGCATCGTCACCTTTTGAAGCAATGAACTCCGCGTGCCTCTCGAGGTGTCAGCGGGATGTGAGGCATTCCGTCAAAATGAGGCAGGGACCTAGGGCTTTCTCTAAGGTCTCCACAGGGGATTCAGACATCCCTTCATGTTGTGAGATGAAAGACGAGCCTTTATTCAAGCCACTGCAAGGAAATCCGGCCTCCTTTCAAGTTAGGGCTTCTCGCTGTATATTCCCCTTGAGGCAGCAAACTCGGGGTCCCTCGCACATACCTATTGCTGAGAGAAGCCTCCTCCTGAGGTGCTTCTGGGAAGTTGGCATACGTCTTGAGCCTAAGCCAGGGAATCAGCTCGCACCTCGAGACGATTTGGGGTACACGGAGCATTCCTCGAGTTGCTGTGCTGAAGTTGGTGTTCCTCTAGACTTGGGACAGTGTTCTCGGGGCATCTCTGGAGTTGCCTGAAGGAAGTCGAGCCACCGGTCGTGTTGAATGGGGAACGGGGAATGGCTCTGGAGTCAATGCAGGGGAATAGGGCCTCATCTCGAGTTGATTTGGGGCACATGGAGCTGCTTTGCGTTGCTGGGGTGACCTCAGGGTCCGTCTAGACTGGTGACAGTGTTCTTGGGGACTGTCTCGAGATCCATTAAGCAAGTCGAAGCTCCTGACTTGTTTGAATGGGATCACGGAATAGCTCTGCATGCACTGCAGGGGAATGGGGCCTCATGTCGCCTCTAGGGGGAAGTCTCATGGTTTTTCTCGAGTTGCGGCGGGGACCTGGGGTATGTTCTCGACTTACGGCGGGGATGGCCCTTCAAAACACGAGTTTCTTCAGTGACGTCAGGACTCCTGTCTAGTAACGAGGGACACCTCAGGAATCTCTTCGAGGCTTGGCAGGGCAAAAGGGACGCTTCTCGAGGTGAGGCAGGGCACCCAAGGACCCTTTCCAGTAGCCAGAGGGATTTTGGGATTCCTATCAGTATTCAAGAGGAGTCAGGCATCGTCACCTTTTGAAGCAATGAACTCCGCGTTCCTCTCGAGGTGTCAGCGGGATGTGAGGCATTCCGTCAAAATGAGGCAGGGACCTAGGGCTTTCTCTAAGGTCTCCACAGGGGATTCAGACATCCCTTCATGTTGTGAGATGAAAGACGAGCCTGTATTCAAGCCACTGCAAGGAAATCCGGCCTCCTTTCAAGTTAGGGCTTCTCGCTGTATATTCCCCTTGAGGCAGCAAACTCGGGGTCCCTCGCACATACCTATTGCTGAGAGAAGCCTCCTCCTGAGGTGCTTCTGGGAAGTTGGCATACGTCTTGAGCCTAAGCCAGGGAATCAGCTCTCATCTCGAGACGATTTGGGGTACACGGAGCATTCCTCCAGTTGCTGTGCTGAAGTTGGTGTTCCTCTAGACTTGGGACAGTGTTCTCGGGGCATCTCTGGAGTTGCCTGAAGGAAGTCGAGCCACCGGTCGTGTTGAATGGGGAACGGGGAATGGCTCTGGAGTCAATGCAGGGGAATCGGGCCTCATCTCGAGTTGATTTGGGGCACATGGAGCTGCTTTGCGTTGCTGGGGTGACCTCAGGGTCCGTCTAGACTGGTGACAGTGTTCTTGGGGACTGTCTCGAGATCCATTAAGCAAGTCGAAGCTCCTGACTTGTTTGAATGGGATCAAGGAATAGCTCTGCATGCACTGCAGGGGAATGGGGCCTCATCTCGCCTCTAGGGGGAAGTCTCATGGTTTTTCTCGAGTTGCGGCGGGGACCTGGGGTATGTTCTCGACTTACGGCGGGGATGGCCCTTCAAAACACGAGTTTCTTCAGTGACGTCAGGACTCCTGTCTAGTAACGAGGGACACCTCAGGAATCTCTTCGAGGCTTGGCAGGGCAAAAAGGACGCTTCTCGAGGTGAGGCAGGGCACCCAAGGACCCTTTCCAGTAGCCACAGGGATTTTGGGATTCCTATCAGTATTCAAGAGGAGTCAGGCATCGTCGCCTTTTGAAGCAATGAACTCCGCGTGCCTCTCGAGGTGTCAGCGCGATGTGAGTCATTCCGTCAAAATGAGGCAGGGACCTAGGGCTTTCTCTAAAGTCTCCACAGGGGATTCAGACATCCCTTCATGTTGTGAGATGAAAGACGAGCCTGTATTCAAGCCACTGCAAGGAAATCCGGCCTCCTTTCAAGTTAGGGCTTCTCGCTGTATATTCCCCTTGAGGCAGCAAACTCGGGGTCCCTCCCACGTACCTATTGCTGAGAGAAGCCTCCTCCTGAGGTGCTTCTGGGAAGTTGGCATACGTCTTGAGCCTAAGCCAGGGAATCAGCTCGCACCTCGAGACGATTTGGGGTACAATGAGCATTCCTCGAGTTGCTGTGCTGAAGTTGGTGTTCCTCTAGACTTGGGACAGTGTTCTCGGGGCATCTCTGGAGTTGCCTGAAGGAAGTCGAGCCACCGGTCGTGTTGAATGGGGAACGGGGAATGGCTCTGGAGTCAATGCAGTGGAATCGGGCCTCATCTCGAGTTGATTTGGGGCACATGGAGCTGCTTTGCGTTGCTGGGGTGACCTCAGGGTCCGTCTAGACTGGTGACAGTGTTCTTGGGGACTGTCTCGAGATCCATTAAGCAAGTCGAAGCTCCTGACTTGTTTGAATGGGATCACGGAATAGCTCTGCATGCACTGCAGGGGAATGGGGCCTCATCTCGCCTCTAGGGGGAAGTCTCATGGTTTTTCTCGAGTTGCGGCGGGGACCTGGGGTATGTTCTCGACTTACGGCGGGGATGGCCCTTCAAAACACGAGTTTCTTCAGTGACGTCAGGACTCCTGTCTAGTAACGAGGGACACCTCAGGAATCTCTTCGAGGCTTGGCAGGGCAAAAGGGACGCTTTTCGAGGTGAGGCAGGGCACCCAAGGACCCTTTCCAGTAGCCACAGGGATTTTGGGATTCCTATCAGTATTCAAGAGGAGTCAGGCATCATCACCTTTTGAAGCAATGAACTCCGCGTGCCTCTCGAGGTGTCAGCGGGATGTGAGGCATTCCGTCAAAATGAGGCAGGGACCTAGGGCTTTCTCTAAGGTCTCCACAGGGGATTCAGACATCCCTTCATGTTGTGAGATGAAAGACGAGCCTGTATTCAAGCCACTGCAAGGAAATCCGGCCTCCTTTCAAGTTAGGGCTTCTCGCTGTATATTCCCCTTGAGGCAGCAAACTCGGGGTCCCTCCCACATACCTATTGCTGAGAGAAGCCTCCTCCTGAGGTGCTTCTGGGAAGTTGGCATACGTCTTGAGCCTAAGCCAGGGAATCAGCTCTCATCTCGAGACGATTTGGGGTACACGGAGCATTCCTCGAGTTGCTGTGCTGAAGTTGGTGTTCCTCTAGACTTGGGACAGTGTTCTCGGGGCATCTCTGGAGTTGCCTGAAGGAAGTCGAGCCACCGGTCGTTTTGAATGGGGAACGGAGAATGGCTCTGGAGTCAATGCAGGGGAATCGGGCCTCATCTCGAGTTGATTTGGGGCACATGGAGCTGCTTTGCGTTGCTGGGGTGACCTCAGGGTCCATCTAGACTGGTGACAGTGTTCTTGGGGACTGTCTCGAGATCCATTAAGCAAGTCGAAGCTCCTGACTTGTTTGAATGGGATCACGGAATAGCTCTGCATGCACTGCAGGGGAATGGGGCCTCATCTCGCCTCTAGGGGGAAGTCTCATGGTTTTTCTCGAGTTGCGGCGGGGACCTGGGGTATGTTCTCGACTTACGGCGGGGATGGCCCTTCAAAACACGAGTTTCTTCAGTGACGTCAGGACTCCTGTCTAGTAACGAGGGACACCTCAGGAATCTCTTCGAGGCTTGGCAGGGCAAAAGGGACGCTTCTCGAGGTGAGGCAGGGCACCCAAGGACCCTTTCCAGTAGCCACAGGGATTTGGGGATTCCTATCAGTATTCAAGAGGAGTCAGGCATCGTCACCTTTTGAAGCAATGAACTCCGCGTGCCTCTCGAGGTGTCAGCGGGATGTGAGGCATTCCGTCAAAATGAGGCAGGGACCTAGGGCTTTCTCTAAGGTCTCCACAGGGGATTCAGACATCCCTTCATGTTGTGAGATGAAAGACGAGCCTGTATTCAAGCCACTGCAAGGAAATCCGGCCTCCTTTCAAGTTAGGGCTTCTCGCTGTATATTCCCCTTGAGGCAGCAAACTCGGGGTCCCTCGCACATACCTATTGCTGAGAGAAGCCTCCTCCTGAGGTGCTTCTGGGAAGTTGGCATACGTCTTGAGCCTAAGCCAGGGAATCAGCTCGCACCTCGAGACGATTTGGGGTACACGGAGCATTCCTCGAGTTGCTGTGCTGAAGTTGGTGTTCCTCTAGACTTGGGACAGTGTTCTCGGGGCATCTCTGGAGTTGCCTGAAGGAAGTCGAGCCACCGGTCGTGTTGAATGGGGAACGGGGAATGGCTCTGGAGTCAATGCAGGGGAATCGGGCCTCATCTCGAGTTGATTTGGGGCACATGGAGCTGCTTTGCGTTGCTGGGGTGACCTCAGGGTCCGTCTAGACTGGTGACAGTGTTCTTGGGGACTGTCTCGAGATCCATTAAGCAAGTCGAAGCTCCTGACTTGTTTGAATGGGATCACGGAATAGCTCTGCATGCACTGCAGGGGAATGGGGCCTCATCTCGCCTCTAGGGGGAAGTCTCATGGTTTTTCTCGAGTTGCGGCGGGGACCTGGGGTATGTTCTCGACTTACGGCGGGGATGGCCCTTCAAAACACGAGTTTCTTCAGTGACGTCAGGACTCCTGTCTAGTAACGAGGGACACCTCAGGAATCTCTTCGAGGCTTGGCAGGGCAAAAGGGAAGCTTCTCGAGTTGAGGCAGGGCACCCAAGGACCCTTTCCAGTAGCCACAGGGATTTTGGGATTCCTATCAGTATTCAAGAGGAGTCAGGCATCGTCACCTTTTGAAGCAATGAACTCCGCGTGCCTCTCGAGGTGTCAGCGGGATGTGAGGCATTCCGTCAAAATGAGGCAGGGACCTAGGGCTTTCTCTAAGGTCTCCACAGGGGATTCAGACATCCCTTCATGTTGTGAGATGAAAGACGAGCCTGTATTCAAGCCACTGCAAGGAAATCCGGCCTCCTTTCAAGTTAGGGCTTCTCGCTGTATATTCCCCTTGAGGCAGCAAACTCGGGGTCCCTCCCACATACCTATTGCTGAGAGAAGCCTCCTCCTGAGGTGCTTCTGGGAAGTTGGCATACGTCTTGAGCCTACGCCAGGGAATCAGCTCTCATCTCGAGACGATTTGGGGTACACGGAGCATTCCTCCAGTTGCTGTGCTGAAGTTGGTGTTCCTCTAGACTTGGGACAGTGTTCTCGGGGCATCTCTGGAGTTGCCTGAAGGAAGTCGAGCCACGGTCGTGTTGAATGGGGAACGGGGAATGGCTCTGGAGTCAATGCAGGGGAATCGGGCCTCATCTCGAGTTGATTTGGGGCACATGGAGCTGCTTTGCGTTGCTGGGGTGACCTCAGGGTCCGTCTAGACTGGTGACAGTGTTCTTGGGGACTGTCTCGAGATCCATTAAGCAAGTCGAAGCTCCTGACTTGTTTGAATGGGATCACGGAATAGCTCTGCATGCACTGCAGGGGAATGGGGCCTCATCTCGCCTCTAGGGGGAAGTCTCATGGTTTTTCTCGAGTTGCGGCGGGGACCTGGGGTATGTTCTCGACTTACGGCGGGGATGGCCCTTCAAAACACGAGTTTCTTCAGTGACGTCAGGACTCCTGTCTAGTAACGAGGGACACCTCAGGAATCTCTTCGAGGCTTGGCAGGGCAAATAGGACGCTTCTCGAGGTGAGGCAGGGCACCCAAGGACCCTTTCCAGTAGCCACAGGGATTTTGGGATTCCTATCAGTATTCAAGAGGAGTCAGGCATCGTCACCTTTTGAAGCAATGAACTCCGCGTGCCTCTCGAGGTGTCAGCGGGATGTGAGGCATTCCGTCAAAATGAGGCAGGGACCTAGGGCTTTCTCTAAGGTCTCCACAGGGGATTCAGACATCCCTTCATGTTGTGAGATGAAAGACGAGCCTTTATTCAAGCCACTGCAAGGAAATCCGGCCTCCTTTCAAGTTAGGGCTTCTCGCTGTATATTCCCCTTGAGGCAGCAAACTCGGGGTCCCTCGCACATACCTATTGCTGAGAGAAGCCTCCTCCTGAGGTGCTTCTGGGAAGTTGGCATACGTCTTGAGCCTAAGCCAGGGAATCAGCTCGCACCTCGAGACGATTTGGGGTACACGGAGCATTCCTCGAGTTGCTGTGCTGAAGTTGGTGTTCCTCTAGACTTGGGACAGTGTTCTCGGGGCATCTCTGGAGTTGCCTGAAGGAAGTCGAGCCACCGGTCGTGTTGAATGGGGAACGGGGAATGGCTCTGGAGTCAATGCAGGGGAATAGGGCCTCATCTCGAGTTGATTTGGGGCACATGGAGCTGCTTTGCGTTGCTGGGGTGACCTCAGGGTCCGTCTAGACTGGTGACAGTGTTCTTGGGGACTGTCTCGAGATCCATTAAGCAAGTCGAAGCTCCTGACTTGTTTGAATGGGATCACGGAATAGCTCTGCATGCACTGCAGGGGAATGGGGCCTCATGTCGCCTCTAGGGGGAAGTCTCATGGTTTTTCTCGAGTTGCGGCGGGGACCTGGGGTATGTTCTCGACTTACGGCGGGGATGGCCCTTCAAAACACGAGTTTCTTCAGTGACGTCAGGACTCCTGTCTAGTAACGAGGGACACCTCAGGAATCTCTTCGAGGCTTGGCAGGGCAAAAGGGACGCTTCTCGAGGTGAGGCAGGGCACCCAAGGACCCTTTCCAGTAGCCAGAGGGATTTTGGGATTCCTATCAGTATTCAAGAGGAGTCAGGCATCGTCACCTTTTGAAGCAATGAACTCCGCGTTCCTCTCGAGGTGTCAGCGGGATGTGAGGCATTCCGTCAAAATGAGGCAGGGACCTAGGGCTTTCTCTAAGGTCTCCACAGGGGATTCAGACATCCCTTCATGTTGTGAGATGAAAGACGAGCCTGTATTCAAGCCACTGCAAGGAAATCCGGCCTCCTTTCAAGTTAGGGCTTCTCGCTGTATATTCCCCTTGAGGCAGCAAACTCGGGGTCCCTCGCACATACCTATTGCTGAGAGAAGCCTCCTCCTGAGGTGCTTCTGGGAAGTTGGCATACGTCTTGAGCCTAAGCCAGGGAATCAGCTCTCATCTCGAGACGATTTGGGGTACACGGAGCATTCCTCCAGTTGCTGTGCTGAAGTTGGTGTTCCTCTAGACTTGGGACAGTGTTCTCGGGGCATCTCTGGAGTTGCCTGAAGGAAGTCGAGCCACCGGTCGTGTTGAATGGGGAACGGGGAATGGCTCTGGAGTCAATGCAGGGGAATCGGGCCTCATCTCGAGTTGATTTGGGGCACATGGAGCTGCTTTGCGTTGCTGGGGTGACCTCAGGGTCCGTCTAGACTGGTGACAGTGTTCTTGGGGACTGTCTCGAGATCCATTAAGCAAGTCGAAGCTCCTGACTTGTTTGAATGGGATCACGGAATAGCTCTGCATGCACTGCAGGGGAATGGGGCCTCATCTCGCCTCTAGGGGGAAGTCTCATGGTTTTTCTCGAGTTGCGGCGGGGACCTGGGGTATGTTCTCGACTTACGGCGGGGATGGCCCTTCAAAACACGAGTTTCTTCAGTGACGTCAGGACTCCTGTCTAGTAACGAGGGACACCTCAGGAATCTCTTCGAGGCTTGGCAGGGCAAATAGGACGCTTCTCGAGGTGAGGCAGGGCACCCAAGGACCCTTTCCAGTAGCCACAGGGATTTTGGGATTCCTATCAGTATTCAAGAGGAGTCAGGCATCGTCACCTTTTGAAGCAATGAACTCCGCGTGCCTCTCGAGGTGTCAGCGGGATGTGAGGCATTCCGTCAAAATGAGGCAGGGACCTAGGGCTTTCTCTAAGGTCTCCACAGGGGATTCAGACATCCCTTCATGTTGTGAGATGAAAGACGAGCCTGTATTCAAGCCACTGCAAGGAAATCCGGCCTCCTTTCAAGTTAGGGCTTCTCGCTGTATATTCCCCTTGAGGCAGCAAACTCGGGGTCCCTCGCACATACCTATTGCTGAGAGAAGCCTCCTCCTGAGGTGCTTCTGGGAAGTTGGCATACGTCTTGAGCCTAAGCCAGGGAATCAGCTCGCACCTCGAGACGATTTGGGGTACACGGAGCATTCCTCGAGTTGCTGTGCTGAAGTTGGTGTTCCTCTAGACTTGGGACAGTGTTCTCGGGGCATCTCTGGAGTTGCCTGAAGGAAGTCGAGCCACCGGTCGTGTTGAATGGGGAACGGGGAATGGCTCTGGAGTCAATGCAGGGGAATCGGGCCTCATCTCGAGTTGATTTGGGGCACATGGAGCTGCTTTGCGTTGCTGGGGTGACCTCAGGGTCCGTCTAGACTGGTGACAGTGTTCTTGGGGACTGTCTCGAGATCCATTAAGCAAGTCGAAGCTCCTGACTTGTTTGAATGGGATCACGGAATAGCTCTGCATGCACTGCAGGGGAATGGGGCCTCATCTCGCCTCTAGGGGGAAGTCTCATGGTTTTTCTCGAGTTGCGGCGGGGACCTGGGGTATGTTCTCGACTTACGGCGGGGATGGCCCTTCAAAACACGAGTTTCTTCAGTGACGTCAGGACTCCTGTCTAGTAACGAGGGACACCTCAGGAATCTCTTCGAGGCTTGGCAGGGCAAAAGGGACGCTTCTCGAGGTGAGGCAGGGCACCCAAGGACCCTTTCCAGTAGCCACAGGGATTTTGGGATTCCTATCAGTATTCAAGAGGAGTCAGGCATCGTCACCTTTTGAAGCAATGAACTCCGCGTGCCTCTCGAGGTGTCAGCGGGATGTGAGGCATTCCGTCAAAATGAGGCAGGGACCTAGGGCTTTCTCTAAGGTCTCCACAGGGGATTCAGACATCCCTTCATGTTGTGAGATGAAAGACGAGCCTGTATTCAAGCCACTGCAAGGAAATCCGGCCTCCTTTCAAGTTAGGGCTTCTCGCTGTATATTCCCCTTGAGGCAGCAAACTCGGGGTCCCTCCCACATACCTATTGCTGAGAGAAGCCTCCTCCTGAGGTGCTTCTGGGAAGTTGGCATACGTCTTGAGCCTAAGCCAGGGAATCAGCTCTCATCTCGAGACGATTTGGGGTACACGGAGCATTCCTCGAGTTGCTGTGCTGAAGTTGGTGTTCCTCTAGACTTGGGACAGTGTTCTCGGGGCATCTCTGGAGTTGCCTGAAGGAAGTCGAGCCACCGGTCGTGTTGAATGGGGAACGGGGAATGGCTCTGGAGTCAATGCAGGGGAATCGGGCCTCATCTCGAGTTGATTTGGGGCACATGGAGCTGCTTTGCGTTGCTGGGGTGACCTCAGGGTCCGTCTAGACTGGTGACAGTGTTCTTGGGGACTGTCTCGAGATCCATTAAGCAAGTCGAAGCTCCTGACTTGTTTGAATGGGATCACGGAATAGCTCTGCATGCACTGCAGGGGAATGGGGCCTCATCTCGCCTCTAGGGGGATGTCTCATGGTTTTTCTCGAGTTGCGGCGGGGACCTGGGGTATGTTCTCGACTTACGGCGGGGATGGCCCTTCAAAACACGAGTTTCTTCAGTGACGTCAGGACTCCTGTCTAGTAACGAGGGACACCTCAGGAATCTCTTCGAGGCTTGGCAGGGCAAAAAGGACGCTTCTCGAGTGGAGGCAGGGCACCCAAGGACCCTTTCCAGTAGCCACAGGGATTTTGGGATTCCTATCAGTATTCAAGAGGAGTCAGGCATCGTCACCTTTTGAAGCACTGAACTCCGCGTGCCTCTCGAGGTGTCAGCGCGATGTGAGGCATTCCGTCAAAATGAGGCAGGGACCTAGGGCTTTCTCTAAGGTCTCCACAGGGGATTCAGACATCCCTTCATGTTGTGAGATGAAAGACGAGCCTGTATTCAAGCCACTGCAAGGAAATCCGGCCTCCTTTCAAGTTAGGGCTTCTCGCTGTATATTCCCCTTGAGGCAGCAAACTCGGGGTCCCTCCCACATACCTATTGCTGAGAGAAGCCTCCTCCTGAGGTGCTTCTGGGAAGTTGGCATACGTCTTGAGCCTAAGCCAGGGAATCAGCTCGCACCTCGAGACGATTTGGGGTACACGGAGCATTCCTCGAGTTGCTGTGCTGAAGTTGGTGTTCTTCTAGACTTGGGACAATGTTCTCGGGGCATCTCTGGAGTTGCCTGAAGGAAGTCGAGCCACCGGTCGTGTTGAATGGGGAACGGGGAATGGCTCTGGAGTCAATGCAGGGGAATCGGGCCTCATCTCGAGTTGATTTGGGGCACATGGAGCTGCTTTGCGTTGCTGGGGTGACCTCAGTGTCCGTCTAGACTGGTGACATTGTTCTTGGGGACTGTCTCGAGATCCATTAAGCAAGTCGAAGCTCCTGACTTGTTTGAATGGGATCACGGAATAGCTCTGCATGCACTGCAGGGGAATGGGGCCTCATCTCGCCTCTAGGGGGAAGTCTCATGGTTTTTCTCGAGTTGCGGCGGGGACCTGGGGTATGTTCTCGACTTACGGCGGGGATGGCCCTTCAAAACACGAGTTTCTTCAGTGACGTCAGGACTCCTGTCTAGTAACGAGGGACACCTCAGGAATCTCTTCGAGGCTTGGCAGGGCAAAAGGGACGCTTCTCGAGGTGAGGCAGGGCACCCAAGGACCCTTTCCAGTAGCCACAGGGATTTTGGGATTCCTATCAGTATTCAAGAGGAGTCAGGCATCGTCACCTTTTGAAGCAATGAACTCCGCGTGCCTCTCGAGGTGTCAGCGGGATGTGAGGCATTCCGTCAAAATGAGGCAGGGACCTAGGGCTTTCTCTAAGGTCTCCACAGGGGATTCAGACATCCCTTCATGTTGTGAGATGAAAGACGAGCCTGTATTCAAGCCACTGCAAGGAAATCCGGCCTCCTTTCAAGTTAGGGCTTCTCGCTGTATATTCCCCTTGAGGCAGCAAACTCGGGGTCCCTCCCACATACCTATTGCTGAGAGAAGCCTCCTCCTGAGATGCTTCTGGGAAGTTGGCATACGTCTTGAGCCTAAGCCAGGGAATCAGCTCTCATCTCGAGACGATTTGGGGTACACGGAGCATTCCTCGAGTTGCTGTGCTGAAGTTGGTGTTCCTCTAGACTTGGGACAGTGTTCTCGGGGCATCTCTGGAGTTGCCTGAAGGAAGTCGAGCCACCGGTCGTGTTGAATGGGGAACGGGGAATGGCTCTGGAGTCAATGCAGGGGAATCGGGCCTCATCTCGAGTTGATTTGGGGCACATGGAGCTGCTTTGCGTTGCTGGGGTGACCTCAGGGTCCGTCTAGACTGGTGACAGTGTTCTTGGGGACTGTCTCGAGATCCATTAAGCAAGTCGAAGCTCCTGACTTGTTTGAATGGGATCACGGAATAGCTCTGCATGCACTGCAGGGGAATGGGGCCTCATCTCGCCTCTAGGGGGAAGTCTCATGGTTTTTCTCGAGTTGCGGCGGGGACCTGGGGTATGTTCTCGACTTACGGCGGGGATGGCCCTTCAAGACACGAGTTTCTTCAGTGACGTCAGGACTCCTGTCTAGTAACGAGGGACACCTCAGGAATCTCTTCGAGGCTTGGCAGGGCAAAAAGGACGCTTCTCGAGGTGAGGCAGGGCACCCAAGGACCCTTTCCAGTAGCCACAGGGATTTTGGGATTCCTATCAGTATTCAAGAGGAGTCAGGCATCGTCACCTTTTGAAGCAATGAACTCCGCGTGCCTCTCGAGGTGTCAGCGGGATGTGAGGCATTCCGTCAAAATGAGGCAGGGACCTAGGGCTTTCTCTAAGGTCTCCACAGGGGATTCAGACATCCCTTCATGTTGTGAGATGAAAGACGAGCCTGTATTCAAGCCACTACAAGGAAATCCGGCCTCCTTTCAAGTTAGGGCTTCTCGCTGTATATTCCCCTTGAGGCAGCAAACTCGGTGTCCCTCGCACATACCTATTGCTGAGAGAAGCCTCCTCCTGAGGTGCTTCTGGGAAGTTGGCATACGTCTTGAGCCTAAGCCAGGGAATCAGCTCGCACCTCGAGACGATTTGGGGTACACGGAGCATTCCTCGAGTTGCTGTGCTGAAGTTGGTGTTCCTCTAGACTTGGGACAGTGTTCTCAGGGCATCTCTGGAGTTGCCTGAAGGAAGTCGAGCCACCGGTCGTGTTGAATGGGGAACGGGGAATGGCTCTGGAGTCAATGCAGGGGAATCGGGCCTCATCTCGAGTTGATTTGGGGCACATGGAGCTGCTTTGCGTTGCTGGGGTGACCTCAGGGTCCGTCTAGACTGGTGACAGTGTTCTTGGGGACTGTCTCGAGATCCATTAAGCAAGTCGAAGCTCCTGACTTGTTTGAATGGGATCACGGAATAGCTCTGCATGCACTGCAGGGGAATGGGGCCTCATCTCGCCTCTAGGGGGAAGTCTCATGGTTTTTCTCGAGTTGCGGCGGGGACCTGGGGTATGTTCTCGACTTACGGCGGGGATGGCCCTTCAAAACACGAGTTTCTTCAGTGACGTCAGGACTCCTGTCTAGTAACGAGGGACACCTCAGGAATCTCTTCGAGGCTTGGCAGGGCAAAAGGGACGCTTCTCGAGGTGAGGCAGGGCACCCAAGGACCCTTTCCAGTAGCCACAGGGATTTTGGGATTCCTATCAGTATTCAAGAGGAGTCAGGCATCGTCACCTTTTGAAGCAATGAACTCCGCGTGCCTCTCGAGGTGTCAGCGGGATGTGAGGCATTCCGTCAAAATGAGGCAGGGACCTAGGGCTTTCTCTAAGGTCTCCACAGGGGATTCAGACATCCCTTCATGTTGTGAGATGAAAGACGAGCCTGTATTCAAGCCACTGCAAGGAAATCCGGCCTCCTTTCAAGTTACGGCTTCTCGCTGTATATTCCCCTTGAGGCAGCAAACTCGGTGTCCCTCGCACATACCTATTGCTGAGAGAAGCCTCCTCCTGAGGTGCTTCTGGGAAGTTGGCATACGTCTTGAGCCTAAGCCAGGGAATCAGCTCGCACCTCGAGACGATTTGGGGTACACGGAGCATTCCTCGAGTTGCTGTGCTGAAGTTGGTGTTCCTCTAGACTTGGGACAGTGTTCTCGGGGCATCTCTGGAGTTGCCTGAAGGAAGTCGAGCCACCGGTCGTGTTGAATGGGGAACGGGGAATGGCTCTGGAGTCAATGCAGGGGAATCGGGCCTCATCTCGAGTTGATTTGGGGCACATGGAGCTGCTTTGCGTTGCTGGGGTGACCTCAGGGTCCGTCTAGACTGGTGACAGTGTTCTTGGGGACTGTCTCGAGATCCATTAAGCAAGTCGAAGCTCCTGACTTGTTTGAATGGGATCACGGAATAGCTCTGCATGCACTGCAGGGGAATGGGGCCTCATCTCGCCTCTAGGGGGAAGTCTCATGGTTTTTCTCGAGTTGCGGCGGGGACCTGGGGTATGTTCTCGACTTACGGCGGGGATGGCCCTTCAAAACACGAGTTTCTTCAGTGACGTCAGGACTCCTGTCTAGTAACGAGGGACACCTCAGGAATCTCTTCGAGGCTTGGCAGGGCAAAAGGGACGCTTCTCGAGGTGAGGCAGGGCACCCAAGGACCCTTTCCAGTAGCCACAGGGATTTTCGGATTCCTATCAGTATTCAAGAGGAGTCAGGCATCGTCACCTTTTGAAGCAATGAACTCCGCGTGCCTCTCGAGGTGTCAGCGGGATGTGAGGCATTCCGTCAAAATGAGGCAGGGACCTAGGGCTTTCTCTAAGGTCTCCACAGGGGATTCAGACATCCCTTCATGTTGTGAGATGAAAGACGAGCCTGTATTCAAGCCACTGCAAGGAAATCCGGCCTCCTTTCAAGTTAGGGCTTCTCGCTGTATATTCCCCTTGAGGCAGCAAACTCGGGGTCCCTCGCACATACCTATTGCTGAGAGAAGCCTCCTCCTGAGGTGCTTCTGGGAAGTTGGCATACGTCTTGAGCCTAAGCCAGGGAATCAGCTCGCACCTCGAGACGATTTGGGGTACACGGAGCATTCCTCGAGTTGCTGTGCTGAAGTTGGTGTTCCTCTAGACTTGGGACAGTGTTCTCGGGGCATCTCTGGAGTTGCCTGAAGGAAGTCGAGCCACCGGTCGTGTTGAATGGGGAACGGGGAATGGCTCTGGAGTCAATGCAGGGGAATCGGGCCTCATCTCGAGTTGATTTGGGGCACATGGAGCTGCTTTGCGTTGCTGGGGTGACCTCAGGGTCCCTCTAGACTGGTGACAGTGTTCTTGGGGACTGTCTCGAGATCCATTAAGCAAGTCGAAGCTCCTGACTTGTTTGAATGGGATCACGGAATAGCTCTGCATGCACTGCAGGGGAATGGGGCCTCATCTCGCCTCTAGGGGGAAGTCTCATGGTTTTTCTCGAGTTGCGGCGGGGACCTGGGGTATGTTCTCGGCTTACGGCGGGGATGGCCCTTCAAAACACGAGTTTCTTCAGTGACGTCAGGACTCCTGTCTAGTAACGAGGGACACCTCAGGAATCTCTTCGAGGCTTGGCAGGGCAAAAAGGACGCTTCTCGAGGTGAGGCAGGGCACCCAAGGACCCTTTCCAGTAGCCACAGGGATTTTGGGATTCCTATCAGTATTCAAGAGGAGTCAGGCATCGTCACCTTTTGAAGCAATGAACTCCGCGTGCCTCTCGAGGTGTCAGCGGGATGTGAGGCATTCCGTCAAAATGAGGCAGGGACCTAGGGCTTTCTCTAAGGTCTCCACAGGGGATTCAGACATCCCTTCATGTTGTGAGATGAAAGACGAGCCTGTATTCAAGCCACTGCAAGGAAATCCGGCCTCCTTTCAAGTTAGGGCTTCTCGCTGTATATTCCCCTTGAGGCAGCAAACTCGGGGTCCCTCGCACATACCTATTGCTGAGAGAAGCCTCCTCCTGAGGTGCTTCTGGGAAGTTGGCATACGTCTTGAGCCTAAGCCAGGGAATCAGCTCGCACCTCGAGACGATTTGGGGTACACGGAGCATTCCTCGAGTTGCTGTGCTGAAGTTGGTGTTCCTCTAGACTTGGGACAGTGTTCTCGGGGCATCTCTGGAGTTGCCTGAAGGAAGTCGAGCCACCGGTCGTGTTGAATGGGGAACGGGGAATGGCTCTGGAGTCAATGCAGGGGAATCGGGCCTCATCTCGAGTTGATTTGGGGCACATGGAGCTGCTTTGCGTTGCTGGGGTGACCTCAGGGTCCCTCTAGACTGGTGACAGTGTTCTTGGGGACTGTCTCGAGATCCATTAAGCAAGTCGAAGCTCCTGACTTGTTTGAATGGGATCACGGAATAGCTCTGCATGCACTGCAGGGGAATGGGGCCTCATCTCGCCTCTAGGGGGAAGTCTCATGGTTTTTCTCGAGTTGCGGCGGGGACCTGGGGTATGTTCTCGGCTTACGGCGGGGATGGCCCTTCAAAACACGAGTTTCTTCAGTGACGTCAGGACTCCTGTCTAGTAACGAGGGACACCTCAGGAATCTCTTCGAGGCTTGGCAGGGCAAAAAGGACGCTTCTCGAGGTGAGGCAGGGCACCCAAGGACCCTTTCCAGTAGCCACAGGGATTTTGGGATTCCTATCAGTATTCAAGAGGAGTCAGGCATCGTCACCTTTTGAAGCAATGAACTCCGCGTGCCTCTCGAGGTGTCAGCGGGATGTGAGGCATTCCGTCAAAATGAGGCAGGGACCTAGGGCTTTCTCTAAGGTCTCCACAGGGGATTCAGACATCCCTTCATGTTGTGAGATGAAAGACGAGCCTGTATTCAAGCCACTGCAAGGAAATCCGGCCTCCTTTCAAGTTAGGGCTTCTCGCTGTATATTCCCCTTGAGGCAGCAAACTCGGGGTCCCTCGCACATACCTATTGCTGAGAGAAGCCTCCTCCTGAGGTGCTTCTGGGAAGTTTGCATACGTCTTGAGCCTAAGCCAGGGAATCAGCTCGCACCTCGAGACGATTTGGGGTACACGGAGCATTCCTCGAGTTGCTGTGCTGAAGATGGTGTTCCTCTAGACTTGGGACAGTGTTCTCGGGGCTTCTCTGGAGTTGCCTGAAGGAAGTTGAGCCACCGGTCGTGTTGAATGGGGAACGGGGAATGGCTCTGGAGTCAATGCAGGGGAATCGGGCCTCATCTCGAGTTGATTTGGGGCACATGGAGCTGCTTTGCGTTGCTGGGGTGACCTCAGGGTCCGTCTAGACTGGTGACAGTGTTCTTGGGGACTGTCTTGAGATCCATTAAGCAAGTCGAAGCTCCTGACTTGTTTGAATGGGATCACGGAATAGCTCTGCATGCACTGCAGGGGAATGGGGCCTCATCTCGCCTCTAGGGGGAAGTCTCATGGTTTTTCTCGAGTTGCGGCGGGGACCTGGGGTATGTTCTCGACTTACGGCGGGGATGGCCCTTCAAAACACGAGTTTCTTCAGTGACGTCAGGACTCCTGTCTAGTAACGAGGGACACCTCAGGAATCTCTTCGAGGCTTGGCAGGGCAAAAGGGACGCTTCTCGAGGTGAGGCAGGGCACCCAAGGACCCTTTCCAGTAGCCACAGGGATTTTGGGATTCCTATCAGTATTCAAGAGGAGTCAGGCATCGTCACCTTTTGAAGCAATGAACTCCGCGTGCCTCTCGAGGTGTCAGCGGGATGTGAGGCATTCCGTCAAAATGAGGCAGGGACCTAGGGCTTTCTCTAAGGTCTCCACAGGGGATTCAGACATCCCTTCATGTTGTGAGATGAAAGACGAGCCTGTATTCAAGCCACTGCAAGGAAATCCGGCCTCCTTTCAAGTTAGGGCTTCTCGCTGTATATTCCCCTTGAGGCAGCAAACTCGGGGTCCCTCCCACATACCTATTGCTGAGAGAAGCCTCCTCCTGAGGTGCTTCTGGGAAGTTTGCATACGTCTTGAGCCTAAGCCAGGGAATCAGCTCGCACCTCGAGACGATTTGGGGTACACGGAGCATTCCTCGAGTTGCTGTGCTGAAGTTGGTGTTCCTCTAGACTTGGGACAGTGTTCTCGGGGCATCTCTGGAGTTGCCTGAAGGAAGTCGAGCCACCGGTCGTGTTGAATGGGGAACGGGGAATGGCTCTGGAGTCAATGCAGGGGAATCGGGCCTCATCTCGAGTTGATTTGGGGCACATGGAGCTGCTTTGCGTTGCTGGGGTGACCTCAGGGTCCGTCTAGACTGGTGACAGTGTTCTTGGGGACTGTCTCGAGATCCATTAAGCAAGTCGAAGCTCCTGACTTGTTTGAATGGGATCACGGAATAGCTCTGCATGCACTGCAGGGGAATGGGGCCTCATCTCGCCTCTAGGGGGAAGTCTCATGGTTTTTCTCGAGTTGCGGCGGGGACCTGGGGTATGTTCTCGACTTACGGCGGGGATGGCCCTTCAAAACACGAGTTTCTTCAGTGACGTCAGGACTCCTGTCTAGTAACGAGGGACACCTCAGGAATCTCTTCGAGGCTTGGCAGGGCAAAAAGGACGCTTCTCGAGGTGAGGCAGGGCACCCAAGGACCCTTTCCAGTAGCCACAGGGATTTTGGGATTCCTATCAGTATTCAAGAGGAGTCAGGCATCGTCACCTTTTGAAGCAATGAACTCCGCGTGCCTCTCGAGGTGTCAGCGGGATGTGAGGCATTCTGTCAAAATGAGGCAGGGACCTAGGGCTTTCTCTAAGGTCTCCACAGGGGATTCAGACATCCCTTCATGTTGTGAGATGAAAGACGAGCCTGTATTCAAGCCACTGCAAGGAAATCCGGCCTCCTTTCAAGTTAGGGCTTCTCGCTGTATATTCCCCTTGAGGCAGCAAACTCGGTGTCCCTCGCACATACCTATTGCTGAGAGAAGCCTCCTCCTGAGGTGCTTCTGGGAAGTTGGCATACGTCTTGAGCCTAAGCCAGGGAATCAGCTCGCACCTCGAGACGATTTGGGGTACACGGAGCATTCCTCGAGTTGCTGTGCTGAAGTTGGTGTTCCTCTAGACTTGGGACAGTGTTCTCGGGGCAACTCTGGAGTTGCCTGAAGGAAGTCGAGCCACCGGTCGTGTTGAATGGGGAACGGGGAATGGCTCTGGAGTCAATGCAGGGGAATCGGGCCTCATCTCGAGTTGATTTGGGGCACATGGAGCTGCTTTGCGTTGCTGGGGTGACCTCAGGGTCCGTCTAGACTGGTGACAGTGTTCTTGGGGACTGTCTCGAGATCCATTAAGCAAGTCGAAGCTCCTGACTTGTTTGAATGGGATCACGGAATAGCTCTGCATGCACTGCAGGGGAATGGGGCCTCATCTCGCCTCTAGGGGGAAGTCTCATGGTTTTTCTCGAGTTGCGGCGGGGACCTGGGGTATGTTCTCGACTTACGGCGGGGATGGCCCTTCAAAACACGAGTTTCTTCAGTGACGTCAGGACTCCTGTCTAGTAACGAGGGACACCTCAGGAATCTCTTCGAGGCTTGGCAGGGCAAAAGGGACGCTTCTCGAGGTGAGGCAGGGCACCCAAGGACCCTTTCCAGTAGCCACAGGGATTTTGGGATTCCTATCAGTATTCAAGAGGAGTCAGGCATCGTCACCTTTTGAAGCAATGAACTCCGCGTGCCTCTCGAGGTGTCAGCGGGATGTGAGGCATTCCGTCAAAATGAGGCAGGGACCTAGGGCTTTCTCTAAGGTCTCCACAGGGGATTCAGACATCCCTTCATGTTGTGAGATGAAAGACGAGCCTGTATTCAAGCCACTGCAAGGAAATCCGGCCTCCTTTCAAGTTAGGGCTTCTCGCTGTATATTCCCCTTGAGGCAGCAAACTCGGGGTCCCTCCCACATACCTATTGCTGAGAGAAGCCTCCTCCTGAGGTGTTTCTGGGAAGTTGGCATACGTCTTGAGCCTAAGCCAGGGAATCAGCTCTCATCTCGAGACGATTTGGGGTACACGGAGCATTCCTCCAGTTGCTGTGCTGAAGTTGGTGTTCCTCTAGACTTGGGACAGTGTTCTCGGGGCATCTCTGGAGTTGCCTGAAGGAAGTCGAGCCACCGGTCGTGTTGAATGGGGAACGGGGAATGGCTCTGGAGTCAATGCAGGGGAATCGGGCCTCATCTCGAGTTGATTTGGGGCACATGGAGCTGCTTTGCGTTGCTGGGGTGACCTCAGGGTCCGTCTAGACTGGTGACAGTGTTCTTGGGGACTGTCTCGAGATCCATTAAGCAAGTCGAAGCTCCTGACTTGTTTGAATGGGATCACGGAATAGCTCTGCATGCACTGCAGGGGAATGGGGCCTCATCTCGCCTCTAGGGGGAAGTCTCATGGTTTTTCTCGAGTTGCGGCGGGGACCTGGGGTATGTTCTCGACTTACGGCGGGGATGGCCCTTCAAGACACGAGTTTCTTCAGTGACGTCAGGACTCCTGTCTAGTAACGAGGGACACCTCAGGAATCTCTTCGAGGCTTGGCAGGGCAAAAAGGACGCTTCTCGAGGTGAGGCAGGGCACCCAAGGACCCTTTCCAGTAGCCACAGGGATTTTGGGATTCCTATCAGTATTCAAGAGGAGTCAGGCATCGTCACCTTTTGAAGCAATGAACTCCGCGTGCCTCTCGAGGTGTCAGCGGGATGTGAGGCATTCCGTCAAAATGAGGCAGGGACCTAGGGCTTTCTCTAAGGTCTCCACAGGGGATTCAGACATCCCTTCATGTTGTGAGATGAAAGACGAGCCTGTATTCAAGCCACTGCAAGGAAATCCGGCCTCCTTTCAAGTTAGGGCTTCTCGCTGTATATTCCCCTTGAGGCAGCAAACTCGGGGTCCCTCGCACATACCTATTGCTGAGAGAAGCCTCCTCCTGAGGTGCTTCTGGGAAGTTGGCATACGTCTTGAGCCTAAGCCAGGGAATCAGTTCGCACCTCGAGACGATTTGGGGTACACGGAGCATTCCTCCAGTTGCTGTGCTGAAATTGGTGTTCCTCTAGACTTGGGACAGTGTTCTCGGGGCATCTCTGGAGTTTCCTGAAGGAAGTCGAGCCACCGGTCGTGTTGAATGGGGAACGGGGAATGGCTCTGGAGTCAATGCAGGGGAATCGGGCCTCATCTCGAGTTGATTTGGGGCACATGGAGCTGCTTTGCGTTGCTGGGGTGACCTCAGGGTCCGTCTAGACTGGTGACAGTGTTCTTGGGGACTGTCTCGAGATCCATTAAGCAAGTCGAAGCTCCTGACTTGTTTGAATGGGATCACGGAATAGCTCTGCATGCACTGCAGGGGAATGGGGCCTCATCTCGCCTCTAGGGGGAAGTCTCATGGTTTTTCTCGAGTTGCGGCGGGGACCTGGGGTATGTTCTCGACTTACGGCGGGGATGGCCCTTCAAAACACGAGTTTCTTCAGTGACGTCAGGACTCCTGTCTAGTAACGAGGGACACCTCAGGAATCTCTTCGAGGCTTGGCAGGGCAAAAGGGACGCTTCTCGAGGTGAGGCAGGGCACCCAAGGACCCTTTCCAGTAGCCACAGGGATTTTGGGATTCCTATCAGTATTCAAGAGGAGTCAGGCATCGTCACCTTTTGAAGCAATGAACTCCGCGTGCCTCTCGAGGTGTCAGCGGGATGTGAGGCATTCCGTCAAAATGAGGCAGGGACCTAGGGCTTTCTCTAAGGTCTCCACAGGGGATTCAGACATCCCTTCATGTTGTGAGATGAAAGACGAGCCTGTATTCAAGCCACTGCAAGGAAATCCGGCCTCCTTTCAAGTTAGGGCTTCTCGCTGTATATTCCCCTTGAGGCAGCAAACTCGGGGTCCCTCCCACATACCTATTGCTGAGAGAAGCCTCCTCCTGAGGTGCTTCTGGGAAGTTGGCATACGTCTTGAGCCTAAGCCAGGGAATCAGCTCTCATCTCGAGACGATTTGGGGTACACGGAGCATTCCTCCAGTTGCTGTGCTGAAGTTGGTGTTCCTCTAGACTTGGGACAGTGTTCTCGGGGCATCTCTGGAGTTGCCTGAAGGAAGTCGAGCCACCGGTCGTGTTGAATGGGGAACGGGGATTGGCTCTGGAGTCAATGCAGGGGAATCGGGCCTCATCTCGAGTTGATTTGGGGCACATGGAGCTGCTTTGCGTTGCTGGGGTGACCTCAGGGTCCGTCTAGACTGGTGACAGTGTTCTTGGGGACTGTCTCGAGATCCATTAAGCAAGTCGAAGCTCCTGACTTGTTTGAATGGGATCACGGAATAGCTCTGCATGCACTGCAGGGGAATGGGGCCTCATCTCGCCTCTAGTGGGAAGGCTCATGGTTTTTCTCGAGTTGCGGCGGGGACCTGGGGTATGTTCTCGACTTACGGCGGGGATGGCCCTTCAAAACACGAGTTTCTTCAGTGACGTCAGGACTCCTGTCTAGTAACGAGGGACACCTCAGGAATCTCTTCGAGGCTTGGCAGGGCAAAAAGGACGCTTCTCGAGGTGAGGCAGGGCACCCAAGGACCCTTTCCAGTAGCCACAGGGATTTTGGGATTCCTATCAGTATTCAAGAGGAGTCAGGCATCGTCACCTTTTGAAGCAATGAACTCCGCGTGCCTCTCGAGGTGTCAGCGCGATATGAGGCATTCCGTCAAAATGAGGCAGGGACCTAGGGCTTTCTCTAAGGTCTCCACAGGGGATTCAGACATCCCTTCATGTTGTGAGATGAAAGACGAGCCTGTATTCAAGCCACTGCAAGGAAATCCGGCCTCCTTTCAAGTTAGGGCTTCTCGCTGTATATTCCCCTTGAGGCAGCAAACTCGGGGTCCCTCCCACATACCTATTGCTGAGAGAAGCCTCCTCCTGAGGTGCTTCTGGGAAGTTGGCATACGTCTTGAGCCTAAGCCAGGGAATCAGCTCGCACCTCGAGACGATTTGGGGTACACGGAGCATTCCTCGAGTTGCTGTGCTGAAGTTGGTGTTCCTCTAGACTTGGGACAATGTTCTCGGGGCATCTCTGGAGTTGCCTGAAGGAAGTCGAGCCACCGGTCGTGTTGAATGGGGAACGGGGAATGGCTCTGGAGTCAATGCAGGGGAATCGGGCCTCATCTCGAGTTGATTTGGGGCACATGGAGCTGCTTTGCGTTGCTGGGGTGACCTCAGGGTCCGTCTAGACTGGTGACAGTGTTCTTGGGGACTGTCTCGAGATCCATTAAGCAAGTCGAAGCTCCTGACTTGTTTGAATGGGATCACGGAATAGCTCTGCATGCACTGCAGGGGAATGGGGCCTCATCTCGCCTCTAGGGGGAAGTCTCATGGTTTTTCTCGAGTTGCGGCGGGGACCTGGGGTATGTTCTCGACTTACGGCGGGGATGGCCCTTCAAAACACGAGTTTCTTCAGTGACGTCAGGACTCCTGTCTAGTAACGAGGGACACCTCAGGAATCTCTTCGAGGCTTGGCAGGGCAAAAGGGACGCTTCTCGAGGTGAGGCAGGGCACCCAAGGACCCTTTCCAGTAGCCACAGGGATTTTGGGATTCCTATCAGTATTCAAGAGGAGTCAGGCATCGTCACCTTTTGAAGCAATGAACTCCGCGTGCCTCTCGAGGTGTCAGCGGGATGTGAGGCATTCCGTCAAAATGAGGCAGGGACCTAGGGCTTTCTCTAAGGTCTCCACAGGGGATTCAGACATCCCTTCATGTTGTGAGATGAAAGACGAGCCTGTATTCAAGCCACTGCAAGGAAATCCGGCCTCCTTTCAAGTTAGGGCTTCTCGCTGTATATTCCCCTTGAGGCAGCAAACTCGGGGTCCCTCGCACATACCTATTGCTGAGAGAAGCCTCCTCCTGAGGTGCTTCTGGGAAGTTGGCATACGTCTTGAGCCTAAGCCAGGAAATCAGCTCGCACCTCGAGACGATTTGGGGTACACGGAGCATTCCTCGAGTTGCTGTGCTGAAGTTGGTGTTCCTCTAGACTTGGGACAGTGTTCTCGGGGCTTCTCTGGAGTTGCCTGAAGGAAGTCGAGCCACCGGTCGTGTTGAATGGGGAACGGGGAATGGCTCTGGAGTCAATGCAGGGGAATCGGGCCTCATCTCGAGTTGATTTGGGGCACATTGAGCTGCTTTGCGTTGCTGGGGTGACCTCAGGGTCCGTCTAGACTGGTGACAGTGTTCTTGGGGACTGTCTCGAGATCCATTAAGCAAGTCGAAGCTCCTGACTTGTTTGAATGGGATCACGGAATAGCTCTGCATGCACTGCAGGGGAATGGGGCCTCATGTCGCCTCTAGGGGGAAGTCTCATGGTTTTTCTCGAGTTGAGGCGGGGACCTGGGGTATGTTCTCGACTTACGGCGGGGATGGCCCTTCAAAACACGAGTTTCTTCAGTGACGTCAGGACTCCTGTCTAGTAACGAGGGACACCTCAGGAATCTCTTCGAGGCTTGGCAGGGCAAAAGGGACGCTTCTCGAGGTGAGGCAGGGCACCCAAGGACCCTTTCCAGTAGCCACAGGGATTTTGGGATTCCTATCAGTATTCAAGAGGAGTCAGGCATCGTCACCTTTTGAAGCAATGAACTCCGCGTGCCTCTCGAGGTGTCAGCGGGATGTGAGGCATTCCGTCAAAATGAGGCAGGGACCTAGGGCTTTCTCTAAGGTCTCCACAGGGGATTCAGACATCCCTTCATGTTGTGAGATGAAAGACGAGCCTGTATTCAAGCCACTGCAAGGAAATCCGGCCTCCTTTCAAGTTAGGGCTTCTCGCTGTATATTCCCCTTGAGGCAGCAAACTCGGGGTCCCTCCCACATACCTATTGCTGAGAGAAGCCTCCTCCTGAGGTGCTTCTGGGAAGTTGGCATACGTCTTGAGCCTAAGCCAGGGAATCAGCTCTCATCTCGAGACGATTTGGGGTACACGGAGCATTCCTCGAGTTGCTGTGCTGAAGTTGGTGTTCCTCTAGACTTGGGACAGTGTTCTCGGGGCATCTCTGGAGTTGCCTGAAGGAAGTCGAGCCACCGGTCGTGTTGAATGGGGAACGGGGAATGGCTCTGGGGTCAATGCAGGGGAATCGGGCCTCATCTCGAGTTGATTTGGGGCACATGGAGCTGCTTTGCGTTGCTGGGGTGACCTCAGGGTCCGTCTAGACTGGTGACAGTGTTCTTGGGGACTGTCTCGAGATCCATTAAGCAAGTCGAAGCTCCTGACTTGTTTGAATGGGATCACGGAATAGCTCTGCATGCACTGCAGGGGAATGGGGCCTCATCTCGCCTCTAGGGGGAAGTCTCATGGTTTTTCTCGAGTTGCGGCGGGGACCTGGGGTATGTTCTCGACTTACGGCGGGGATGGCCCTTCAAAACACGAGTTTCTTCAGTGACGTCAGGACTCCTGTCTAGTAACGAGGGACACCTCAGGAATCTCTTCGAGGCTTGGCAGGGCAAAAAGGACGCTTCTCGAGGTGAGGCAGGGCACCCAAGGACCCTTTCCAGTAGCCACAGGGATTTTGGGATTCCTATCAGTATTCAAGAGGAGTCAGGCATCGTCACCTTTTGAAGCAATGAACTCCGCGTGCCTCTCGAGGTGTCAGCGCGATGTGAGGCATTCCGTCAAAATGAGGCAGGGACCTAGGGCTTTCTCTAAGGTCTCCACAGGGGATTCAGACATCCCTTCATGTTGTGAGATGAAAGACGAGCCTGTATTCAAGCCACTGCAAGGAAATCCGGCCTCCTTTCAAGTTAGGGCTTCTCGCTGTATATTCCCCTTGAGGCAGCAAACTCGGGGTCCCTCCCACATACCTATTGCTGAGAGAAGCCTCCTCCTGAGGTGCTTCTGGGAAGTTGGCATACGTCTTGAGCCTAAGCCAGGGAATCAGCTCGCACCTCGAGACGATTTGGGGTACACGGAGCATTCCTCGTGTTGCTGTGCTGAAGTTGGTGTTACTCTAGACTTGGGACAATGTTCTCGGGGCATCTATGGAGTTGCCTGAAGGAAGTCGAGCCACCGGTCGTGTTGAATGGGGAACGGGGAATGGCTCTGGAGTCAATGCAGGGGAATCGGGCCTCATCTCGAGTTGATTTGGGGCACATGGAGCTGCTTTGCGTTGCTGGGGTGACCTCAGGATCCGTCTAGACTGGTGACAGTGTTCTTGGGGACTGTCTCGAGATCCATTAAGCAAGTCGAAGCTCCTGACTTGTTTGAATGGGATCACGGAATAGCTCTGCATGCACTGCAGGGGAATGGGGCCTCATCTCGCCTCTAGGGGGAAGTCTCATGGTTTTTCTCGAGTTGCGGCGGGGACCTGGGGTATGTTCTCGACTTACGGCGGGGATGGCCCTTCAAAACACGAGTTTCTTCAGTGACGTCAGGACTCCTGTCTAGTAACGAGGGACACCTCAGGAATCTCTTCGAGGCTTGGCAGGGCAAAAGGGACGCTTCTCGAGGTGAGGCAGGGCACCCAAGGACCCTTTCCAGTAGCCACAGGGATTTTGGGATTCCTATCAGTATTCAAGAGGAGTCAGGCATCGTCACCTTTTGAAGCAATGAACTCCGCGTGCCTCTCGAGGTGTCAGCGGGATGTGAGGCATTCCGTCAAAATGAGGCAGGGACCTAGGGCTTTCTCTAAGGTCTCCACAGGGGATTCAGACATCCCTTCATGTTGTGAGATGAAAGACGAGCCTGTATTCAAGCCACTGCAAGGAAATCCGGCCTCCTTTCAAGTTAGGGCTTCTCGCTGTATATTCCCCTTGAGGCAGCAAACTCGGGGTCCCTCGCACATACCTACTGCTGAGAGAAGCCTCCTCCTGAGGTGCTTCTGGGAAGTTTGCATACGTCTTGAGCCTAAGCCAGGGAATCAGGTCGCACCTCGAGACGATTTGGGGTACACGGAGCATTCCTCGAGTTGCTGTGCTGAAGTTGGTGTTCCTCTAGACTTGGGACAGTGTTCTCGGGGCTTCTCTGGAGTTGCCTGAAGGAAGTTGAGCCACCGGTCGTGTTGAATGGGGAACGGGGAATGGCTCTGGAGTCAATGCAGGGGAATCGGGCCTCATCTCGAGTTGATTTGGGGCACATGGAGCTGCTTTGCGTTGCTGGGGTGACCTCAGGGTCCGTCTAGACTGGTGACAGTGTTCTTGGGGACTGTCTCGAGATCCATTAAGCAAGTCGAAGCTCCTGACTTGTTTGAATGGGATCACGGAATAGCTCTGCATGCACTGCAGGGGAATGGGGCCTCATCTCGCCTCTAGGGGGAAGTCTCATGGTTTTTCTCGAGTTGCGGCGGGGACCTGGGGTATGTTCTCGACTTACGGCGGGGATGGCCCTTCAAAACACGAGTTTCTTCAGTGACGTCAGGACTCCTGTCTAGTAACGAGAGACACATCAGGAATCTCTTCGAGGCTTGGCAGGGCAAAAGGGACGCTTCTCGAGGTGAGGCAGGGCACCCAAGGACCCTTTCCAGTAGCCACAGGGATTTTGGGATTCCTATCAGTATTCAAGAGGAGTCAGGCATCGTCACCTTTTGAAGCAATGAACTCCGCGTGCCTCTCGAGGTGTCAGCGGGATGTGAGGCATTCCGTCAAAATGAGGCAGGGACCTAGGGCTTTCTCTAAGGTCTCCACAGGGGATTCAGACATCCCTTCATGTTGTGAGATGAAAGACGAGCCTGTATTCAAGCCACTGCAAGGAAATCCGGCCTCCTTTCAAGTTAGGGCTTCTCGCTGTATATTCCCCTTGAGGCAGCAAACTCGGGGTCCCTCCCACATACCTATTGCTGAGAGAAGCCTCCTCCTGAGGTGCTTCTGGGAAGTTGGCATACGTCTTGAGCCTAAGCCAGGGAATCAGCTCTCATCTCGAGACGATTTGGGGTACACGGAGCATTCCTCCAGTTGCTGTGCTGAAGTTGGTGTTCCTCTAGACTTGGGACAGTGTTCTCGGGGCATCTCTGGAGTTGCCTGAAGGAAGTCGAGCCACCGGTCGTGTTGAATGGGGAACGGGGAATGGCTCTGGAGTCAATGCAGGGGAATCGGGCCTCATCTCGAGTTGATTTGGGGCACATGGAGCTGCTTTGCGTTGCTGGGGTGACCTCAGGGTCCGTCTAGACTGGTGACAGTGTTCTTGGGGACTGTCTCGAGATCCATTAAGCAAGTCGAAGCTCCTGACTTGTTTGAATGGGATCACGGAATAGCTCTGCATGCACTGCAGGGGAATGGGGCCTCATCTCGCCTCTAGGGGGAAGTCTCATGGTTTTTCTCGAGTTGCGGCGGGGACCTGGGGTATGTTCTCGGCTTACGGCGGGGATGGCCCTTCAAAACACGAGTTTCTTCAGTGACGTCAGGACTCCTGTCTAGTAACGAGGGACACCTCAGGAATCTCTTCGAGGCTTGGCAGGGCAAAAAGGACGCTTCTCGAGGTGAGGCAGGGCACCCAAGGACCCTTTTCAGTAGCCACAGGGATTTTGGGATTCCTATCAGTATTCAAGAGGAGTCAGGCATCGTCACCTTTTGAAGCAATGAACTCCGCGTGCCTCTCGAGGTGTCAGCGGGATGTGAGGCATTCCGTCAAAATGAGGCAGGGACCTAGGGCTTTCTCTAAGGTCTCCACAGGGGATTCAGACATCCCTTCATGTTGTGAGATGAAAGACGAGCCTGTATTCAAGCCACTGCAAGGAAATCCGGCCTCCTTTCAAGTTAGGGCTTCTCGCTGTATATTCCCCTTGAGGCAGCAAACTCGGGGTCCCTCCCACATACCTATTGCTGAGAGAAGCCTCCTCCTGAGGTGCTTCTGGGAAGTTGGCATACGTCTTGAGCCTAAGCCAGGGAATCAGCTCGCACCTCGAGACGATTTGGGGTACACGGAGCATTCCTCGAGTTGCTGTGCTGAAGTTGGTGTTCCTCTAGACTTGGGACAGTGTTCTCGGGGCATCTCTGGAGTTGCCTGAAGGAAGTCGAGCCACCGGTCGTGTTGAATGGGGAACGGGGAATGGCTCTGGAGTCAATGCAGGGGAATCGGGCCTCATCTCGAGTTGATTTGGGGCACATGGAGCTGCTTTGCGTTGCTGGGGTGACCTCAGGGTCCGTCTAGACTGGTGACAGTGTTCTTGGGGACTGTCTCGAGATCCATTAAGCAAGTCGAAGCTCCTGACTTGTTTGAATGGGATCACGGAATAGCTCTGCATGCACTGCAGGGGAATGGGGCCTCATCTCGCCTCTAGGGGGAAGTCTCATGGTTTTTCTCGAGTTGCGGCGGGGACCTGGGGTATGTTCTCGACTTACGGCGGGGATGGCCCTTCAAAACACGAGTTTCTTCAGTGACGTCAGGACTCCTGTCTAGTAACGAGGGACACCTCAGGAATCTCTTCGAGGCTTGGCAGGGCAAAAGGGACGCTTCTCGAGGTGAGGCAGGGCACCCAAGGACCCTTTCCAGTAGCCACAGGGATTTTGGGATTCCTATCAGTATTCAAGAGGAGTCAGGCATCGTCACCTTTTGAAGCAATGAACTCCGCGTGCCTCTCGAGGTGTCAGCGGGATGTGAGGCATTCCGTCAAAATGAGGCAGGGACCTAGGGCTTTCTCTAAGGTCTCCACAGGGGATTCAGACATCCCTTCATGTTGTGAGATGAAAGACGAGCCTGTATTCAAGCCACTGCAAGGAAATCCGGCCTCCTTTCAAGTTAGGGCTTCTCGCTGTATATTCCCCTTGAGGCAGCAAACTCGGGGTCCCTCGCACATACCTATTGCTGAGAGAAGCCTCCTCCTGAGGTGCTTCTGGGAAGTTGGCATACGTCTTGAGCCTAAGCCAGGGAATCAGCTCGCACCTCGAGACGATTTGGGGTACACGGAGCATTCCTCGAGTTGCTGTGCTGAAGTTGGTGTTCCTCTAGACTTGGGACAGTGTTCTCGGGGCTTCTCTGGAGTTGCCTGAAGGAAGTTGAGCCACCGGTCGTGTTGAATGGGGAACGGGGAATGGCTCTGGAGTCAATGCAGGGGAATCGGGCCTCATCTCGAGTTGATTTGGGGCACATGGAGCTGCTTTGCGTTGCTGGGGTGACCTCAGGGTCCGTCTAGACTGGTGACAGTGTTCTTGGGGACTGTCTCGAGATCCATTAAGCAAGTCGAAGCTCCTGACTTGTTTGAATGGGATCACGGAATAGCTCTGCATGCACTGCAGGGGAATGGGGCCTCATCTCGCCTCTAGGGGGAAGTCTCATGGTTTTTCTCGAGTTGCGGCGGGGACCTGGGGTATGTTCTCGACTTACGGCGGGGATGGCCCTTCAAAACACGAGTTTCTTCAGTGACGTCAGGACTCCTGTCTAGTAACGAGGGACACCTCAGGAATCTCCTCGAGGCTTGGCAGGGCAAAAGGGACGCTTCTCGAGGTGAGGCAGGGCACCCAAGGACCCTTTCCAGTAGCCACAGGGATTTTGGGATTCCTATCAGTATTCAAGAGGAGTCAGGCATTGTCACCTTTTGAAGCAATGAACTCCGCGTGCCTCTCGAGGTGTCAGCGGGATGTGAGGCATTCCGTCAAAATGAGGCAGGGACCTAGGGCTTTCTCTAAGGTCTCCACAGGGGATTCAGACATCCCTTCATGTTGTGAGATCAAAGACGAGCCTGTATTCAAGCCACTGCAAGGAAATCCGGCCTCCTTTCAAGTTAGGGCTTCTCGCTGTATATTCCCCTTGAGGCAGCAAACTCGGGGTCCCTCCCACATACCTATTGCTGAGAGAAGCCTCCTCCTGAGGTGCTTCTGGGAAGTTGGCATACGTCTTGAGCCTAAGCCAGGGAATCAGCTCGCACCTCGAGACGATTTGGGGTACACGGAGCATTCCTCGAGTTGCTGTGCTGAAGTTGGTGTTCCTCTAGACTTGGGACAATGTTCTCGGGGCATCTCTGGAGTTGCCTGAAGGAAGTCGAGCCACCGGTCGTGTTGAATGGGGAACGGGGAATGGCTCTGGAGTCAATGCAGGGGAATCGGGCCTCATCTCGAGTTGATTTGGGGCACATGGAGCTGCTTTGCGTTGCTGGGGTGACCTCAGGGTCCGTCTAGACTGGTGACAGTGTTCTTGGGGACTGTCTCGAGATCCATTAAGCAAGTCGAAGCTCCTGACTTGTTTGAATGGGATCACGGAATAGCTCTGCATGCACTGCAGGGGAATGGGGCCTCATCTCGCCTCTAGGGGGAAGTCTCATGGTTTTTCTCGAGTTGCGGCGGGGACCTGGGGTATGTTCTCGACTTACGGCGGGGATGGCCCTTCAAAACACGAGTTTCTTCAGTGACGTCAGGACTCCTGTCTAGTAACGAGGGACACCTCAGGAATCTCTTCGAGGCTTGGCAGGGCAAAAGGGACGCTTCTCGAGGTGAGGCAGGGCACCCAAGGACCCTTTCCAGTAGCCACAGGGATTTTGGGATTCCTATCAGTATTCAAGAGGAGTCAGGCATCGTCACCTTTTGAAGCAATGAACTCCGCGTGCCTCTCGAGGTGTCAGCGGGATGTGAGGCATTCCGTCAAAATGAGGCAGGGACCTAGGGCTTTCTCTAAGGTCTCCACAGGGGATTCAGACATCCCTTCATGTTGTGAGATGAAAGACGAGCCTGTATTCAAGCCACTGCAAGGAAATCCGGCCTCCTTTCAAGTTAGGGCTTCTCGCTGTATATTCCCCTTGAGGCAGCAAACTCGGGGTCCCTCCCACATACCTATTGCTGAGAGAAGCCTCCTCCTGAGGTGCTTCTGGGAAGTTGGCATACGTCTTGAGCCTAAGCCAGGGAATCAGCTCTCATCTCGAGACGATTTGGGGTACACGGAGCATTCCTCGAGTTGCTGTGCTGAAGTTGGTGTTCCTCTAGACTTGGGACAGTGTTCTCGGGGCATCTCTGGAGTTGCCTGAAGGAAGTCGAGCCACCGGTCGTGTTGAATGGGGAACGGGGAATGGCTCTGGAGTCAATGCAGGGGAATCGGGCCTCATCTCGAGTTGATTTGGGGCACATGGAGCTGCTTTGCGTTGCTGGGGTGACCTCAGGGTCCGTCTAGACTGGTGACAGTGTTCTTGGGGACTGTCTCGAGATCCATTAAGCAAGTCGAAGCTCCTGACTTGTTTGAATGGGATCACGGAATAGCTCTGCATGCACTGCAGGGGAATGGGGCCTCATCTCGCCTCTAGGGGGAAGTCTCATGGTTTTTCTCGAGTTGCGGCGGGGACCTGGGGTATGTTCTCGGCTTACGGCGGGGATGGCCCTTCAAAACACGAGTTTCTTCAGTGACGTCAGGACTCCTGTCTAGTAACGAGGGACACCTCAGGAATCTCTTCGAGGCTTGGCAGGGCAAAAAGGACGCTTCTCGAGGTGAGGCAGGGCACCCAAGGACCCTTTCCAGTAGCCACAGGGATTTTGGGATTCCTATCAGTATTCAAGAGGAGTCAGGCATCGTCACCTTTTGAAGCAATGAACTCCGCGTGCCTCTCGAGGTGTCAGCGGGATGTGAGGCATTCCGTCAAAATGAGGCAGGGACCTAGGGCTTTCTCTAAGGTCTCCACAGGGGATTCAGACATCCCTTCATGTTGTGAGGTGAAAGACGAGCCTGTATTCAAGCCACTGCAAGGAAATCCGGCCTCCTTTCAAGTTAGGGCTTCTCGCTGTATATTCCCCTTGAGGCAGCAAACTCGGGGTCCCTCCCACATACCTATTGCTGAGAGAAGCCTCCTCCTGAGGTGCTTCTGGGAAGTTGGCATACGTCTTGAGCCTAAGCCAGGGAATCAGCTCGCACCTCGAGACGATTTGGGGTACACGGAGCATTCCTCGAGTTGCTGTGCTGAAGTTGGTGTTCCTCTAGACTTGGGACAATGTTCTCGGGGCATCTCTGGAGTTGCCTGAAGGAAGTCGAGCCACCGGTCGTGTTGAATGGGGAACGGGGAATGGCTCTGGAGTCAGTGCAGGGGAATCGGGCCTCATCTCGAGTTGATTTGGGGCACATGGAGCTGCTTTGCGTTGCTGGGGTGACCTCAGGGTCCGTCTAGACTGGTGACAGTGTTCTTGGGGACTGTCTCGAGATCCATTAAGCAAGTCGAAGCTCCTGACTTGTTTGAATGGGATCACGGAATAGCTCTGCATGCACTGCAGGGGAATGGGGCCTCATCTCGCCTCTAGGGGGAAGTCTCATGGTTTTTCTCGAGTTGCGGCGGGGACCTGGGGTATGTTCTCGACTTACGGCGGGGATGGCCCTTCAAAACACGAGTTTCTTCAGTGACGTCAGGACTCCTGTCTAGTAACGAGGGACACCTCAGGAATCTCTTCGAGGCTTGGCAGGGCAAAAAGGACGCTTCTCGAGGTGAGGCAGGGCACCCAAGGACCCTTTCCAGTAGCCACAGGGATTTTGGGATTCCTATCAGTATTCAAGAGGAGTCAGGCATCGTCACCTTTTGAAGCAATGAACTCCGCGTGCCTCTCGAGGTGTCAGCGGGATGTGAGGCATTCCGTCAAAATGAGGCAGGGACCTAGGGCTTTCTCTAAGGTCTCCACAGGGGATTCAGACATCCCTTCATGTTGTGAGATGAAAGACGAGCCTGTATTCAAGCCACTGCAAGGAAATCCGGCCTCCTTTCAAGTTAGGGCTTCTCGCTGTATATTCCCCTTGAGGCAGCAAACTCGGGGTCCCTCGCACATACCTATTGCTGAGAGAAGCCTCCTCCTGAGGTGCTTCTGGGAAGTTGGCATACGTCTTGAGCCTAAGCCAGGGAATCAGCTCGCACCTCGAGACGATTTGGGGTACACGGAGCATTCCTCGAGTTGCTGTGCTGAAGTTGGTGTTCCTCTAGACTTGGGACAGTGTTCTCGGGGCTTCTCTGGAGTTGCCTGAAGGAAGTCGAGCCACCGGTCGTGTTGAATGGGGAACGGGGAATGGCTCTGGAGTCAATGCAGGGGAATCGGGCCTCATCTCGAGTTGATTTGGGGCACATGGAGCTGCTTTGCGTTGCTGGGGTGACCTCAGGGTCCGTCTAGACTGGTGACAGTGTTCTTGGGGACTGTCTCGAGATCCATTAAGCAAGTCGAAGCTCCTGACTTGTTTGAATGGGATCACGGAATAGCTCTGCATGCACTGCAGGGGAATGGGGCCTCATCTCGCCTCTAGGGGGAAGTCTCATGGTTTTTCTCGAGTTGCGGCGGGGACCTGGGGTATGTTCTCGACTTACGGCGGGGATGGCCCTTCAAAACACGAGTTTCTTCAGTGACGTCAGGACTCCTGTCTAGTAACGAGGGACACCTCAGGAATCTCTTCGAGGCTTGGCAGGGCAAAAGGGACGCTTCTCGAGGTGAGGCAGGGCACCCAAGGACCCTTTCCAGTAGCCACAGGGATTTTGGGATTCCTATCAGTATTCAAGAGGAGTCAGGCATCGTCACCTTTTGAAGCAATGAACTCCGCGTGCCTCTCGAGGTGTCAGCGGGATGTGAGGCATTCCGTCAAAATGAGGCAGGGACCTAGGGCTTTCTCTAAGGTCTCCACAGGGGATTCAGACATCCCTTCATGTTGTGAGATGAAAGACGAGCCTGTATTCAAGCCACTGCAAGGAAATCCAGCCTCCTTTCAAGTTAGGGCTTCTCGCTGTATATTCCCCTTGAGGCAGCAAACTCGGGGTCCCTCCCACATACCTATTGCTGAGAGAAGCCTCCTCCTGAGGTGCTTCTGGGAAGTTGGCATACGTCTTGAGCCTAAGCCAGGGAATCAGCTCTCATCTCGAGACGATTTGGGGTACACGGAGCATTCCTCGAGTTGCTGTGCTGAAGTTGGTGTTCCTCTAGACTTGGGACAGTGTTCTCGGGGCATCTCTGGAGTTGCCTGAAGGAAGTCGAGCCACCGGTCGTGTTGAATGGGGAACGGGGAATGGCTCTGGAGTCAATGCAGGGGAATCGGGCCTCATCTCGAGTTGATTTGGGGCACATGGAGCTGCTTTGCGTTGCTGGGGTGACCTCAGGGTCCGTCTAGACTGGTGACAGTGTTCTTGGGGACTGTCTCGAGATCCATTAAGCAAGTCGAAGCTCCTGACTTGTTTGAATGGGATCACGGAATAGCTCTGCATGCACTGCAGGGGAATGGGGCCTCATCTCGCCTCTAGGGGGAAGTCTCATGGTTTTTCTCGAGTTGCGGCGGGGACCTGGGGTATGTTCTCGACTTACGGCGGGGATGGCCCTTCAAAACACGAGTTTCTTCAGTGACGTCAGGACTCCTGTCTAGTAACGAGGGACACCTCAGGAATCTCTTCGAGGCTTGGCAGGGCAAAAAGGACGCTTCTCGAGGTGAGGCAGGGCACCCAAGGACCCTTTCCAGTAGCCACAGGGATTTTGGGATTCCTATCAGTATTCAAGAGGAGTCAGGCATCGTCACCTTTTGAAGCAATGAACTCCGCGTGCCTCTCGAGGTGTCAGCGGGATGTGAGGCATTCCGTCAAAATGAGGCAGGGACCTAGGGCTTTCTCTAAGGTCTCCACAGGGGATTCAGACATCCCTTCATGTTGTGAGATGAAAGACGAGCCTGTATTCAAGCCACTGCAAGGAAATCCGGCCTCCTTTCAAGTTAGGGCTTCTCGCTGTATATTCCCCTTGAGGCAGCAAACTCGGGGTCCCTCGCACACACCTATTGCTGAGAGAAGCCTCCTCCTGAGGTGCTTCTGGGAAGTTGGCATACGTCTTGAGCCTAAGCCAGGGAATCAGCTCCCACCTCGAGACGATTTGGGGTACACGGAGCATTCCTCGAGTTGCTGTGCTGAAGTTGGTGTTCCTCTAGACTTGGGACAGTGTTCTCGGGGCATCTCTGGAGTTGCCTGAAGGAAGTCGAGCCACCGGTCGTGTTGAATGGGGAACGGGGAATGGCTCTGGAGTCAATGCAGGGGAATCGGGCCTCATCTCGAGTTGATTTGGGGCACATGGAGCTGCTTTGCGTTGCTGGGGTGACCTCAGGGTCCGTCTAGACTGGTGACAGTGTTCTTGGGGACTGTCTCGAGATCCATTAAGCAAGTCGAAGCTCCTGACTTGTTTGAATGGGATCACGGAATAGCTCTGCATGCACTGCAGGGGAATGGGGCCTCATCTCGCCTCTAGGGGGAAGTCTCATGGTTTTTCTCGAGTTGCGGCGGGGACCTGGGGTATGTTCTCGACTTACGGCGGGGATGGCCCTTCAAAACACGAGTTTCTTCAGTGACGTCAGGACTCCTGTCTAGTAACGAGGGACACCTCAGGAATCTCTTCGAGGCTTGGCAGGGCAAAAGGGACGCTTCTCGAGGTGAGGCAGGGCACCCAAGGACCCTTTCAAGTAGCCACAGGGATTTTGGGATTCCAATCAGTATTCAAGAGGAGTCAGGCATCGTCACCTTTTGAAGCAATAAACTCCGCGTGCCTCTCGAGGTGTCAGCGCGATGTGAGGCATTCCGTCCAAATGAGACAGGGACCTGGGGCTTTCTCTAAGGTCTCCACAGGGGATTCAGACATCCCTTCATGTTGTGAGATGAAAGACGAGCCTGTATTCAAGCCACTGCAAGGAAATCCGGCCTCCTTTCAAGTTAGGGCTTCTCGCTGTATATTCCCCTTGAGGCAGCAAACTCGGGGTCCCTCCCACATACCTATTGCTGAGAGAAGCCTCCTCCTGAGCTGCTTCTGGGAAGTTGGCATACGTCTTGAGCCTAAGCCAGGGAATCAGCTCGCACCTCGAGACGATTTGGGGTACACGGAGCATTCCTCGAGTTGCTGTGCTGAAGTTGGTGTTCCTCTAGACTTGGGACAGTGTTCTCGGGGCATCTCTGGAGTTGCCTGAAGGAAGTCGAGCCACCGGTCGTGTTGAATGGGGAACGGGGAATGGCTCTGGAGTCAATGCAGGGGAATCGGGCCTCATCTCGAGTTGATTTGGGGCACATGGAGCTGCTTTGCGTTGCTGGGGTGACCTCAGGGTCCGTCTAGACTGGTGACAGTGTTCTTGGGGACTGTCTCGAGATCCATTAAGCAAGTCGAAGCTCCTGACTTGTTTGAATGGGATCACGGAATAGCTCTGCATGCACTGCAGGGGAATGGGGCCTCATCTCGCCTCTAGGGGAAGTCTCATGGTTTTTCTCGAGTTGCGGCGGGGACCTGGGGTATGTTCTCGACTTACGGCGGGGATGGCCCTTCAAAACACGAGTTTCTTCAGTGACGTCAGGACTCCTGTCTAGTAACGAGGGACACCTCAGGAATCTCTTCGAGGCTTGGCAGGGCAAAAGGGACGCTTCTCGAGGTGAGGCAGGGCACCCAAGGACCCTTTCCAGTAGCCACAGGGATTTTGGGATTCCTATCAGTATTCAAGAGGAGTCAGGCATCGTCACCTTTTGAAGCAATGAACTCCGCGTGCCTCTCGAGGTGTCAGCGGGATGTGAGGCATTCCGTCAAAATGAGGCAGGGACCTAGGGCTTTCTCTAAGGTCTCCACAGGGGATTCAGACATCCCTTCATGTTGTGAGATGAAAGACGAGCCTGTATTCAAGCCACTGCAAGGAAATCCGGCCTCCTTTCAAGTTAGGGCTTCTCGCTGTATATTCCCCTTGAGGCAGCAAACTCGGGGTCCCTCCCACATACCTATTGCTGAGAGAAGCCTCCTCCTGAGGTGCTTCTGGGAAGTTGGCATACGTCTTGAGCCTAAGCCAGGGAATCAGCTCTCATCTCGAGACGATTTGGGGTACACGGAGCATTCCTCGAGTTGCTGTGCTGAAGTTGGTGTTCCTCTAGACTTGGGACAGTGTTCTCGGGGCATCTCTGGAGTTGCCTGAAGGAAGTCGAGCCACCGGTCGTGTTGAATGGGGAACGGGGAATGGCTCTGGAGTCAATGCAGGGGAATCGGGCCTCATCTCGAGTTGATTTGGGGCACATGGAGCTGCTTTGCGTTGCTGGGGTGACCTCAGGGTCCGTCTAGACTGGTGACAGTGTTCTTGGGGACTGTCTCGAGATCCATTAAGCAAGTCGAAGCTCCTGACTTGTTTGAATGGGATCACGGAATAGCTCTGCATGCACTGCAGGGGAATGGGGCCTCATGTCGCCTCTAGGGGGAAGTCTCATGGTTTTTCTCGAGTTGAGGCGGGGACCTGGGGTATGTTCTCGACTTACGGCGGGGATGGCCCTTCAAAACACGAGTTTCTTCAGTGACGTCAGGACTCCTGTCTAGTAACGAGGGACACCTCAGGAATCTCTTCGAGGCTTGGCAGGGCAAAAAGGACGCTTCTCGAGGTGAGGCAGGGCACCCAAGGACCCTTTCCAGTAGCCACAGGGATTTTGGGATTCCTATCAGTATTCAAGAGGAGTCAGGCATCGTCACCTTTTGAAGCAATGAACTCCGCGTGCCTCTCGAGGTGTCAGCGGGATGTGAGGCATTCCGTCAAAATGAGGCAGGGACCTAGGGCTTTCTCTAAGGTCTCCACAGGGGATTCAGACATCCCTTCATGTTGTGAGATGAAAGACGAGCCTGTATTCAAGCCACTGCAAGGAAATCCGGCCTCCTTTCAAGTTAGGGCTTCTCGCTGTATATTCCCCTTGAGGCAGCAAACTCGGGGTCCCTCGCACACACCTATTGCTGAGAGAAGCCTCCTCCTGAGGTGCTTCTGGGAAGTTGGCATACGTCTTGAGCCTAAGCCAGGGAATAAGCTCCCACCTCGAGACGATTTGGGGTACACGGAGCATTCCTCGGGTTGCTGTGCTGAAGTTGGTGTTCCTCTAGACTTGGGACAGTGTTCTCGGGGCATCTCTGGAGTTGCCTGAAGGAAGTCGAGCCACCGGTCGTGTTGAATGGGGAACGGGGAATGGCTCTGGAGTCAATGCAGGGGAATCGGGCCTCATCTCGAGTTGATTTGGGGCACATGGAGCTGCTTTGCGTTGCTGGGGTGACCTCAGGGTCCGTCTAGACTGGTGACAGTGTTCTTGGGGACTGTCTCGAGATCCATTAAGCAAGTCGAAGCTCCTGACTTGTTTGAATGGGATCACGGAATAGCTCTGCATGCACTGCAGGGGAATGGGGCCTCATCTCGCCTCTAGGGGGAAGTCTCATGGTTTTTCTCGAGTTGCGGCGGGGACCTGGGGTATGTTCTCGACTCACGGCGGGGATGGCCCTTCAAAACACGAGTTTCTTCAGTGACGTCAGGACTCCTGTCTAGTAACGAGGGACACCTCAGGAATCACTTCGAGGCTTGGCAGGGCAAAAGGGACGCTTCTCGAGGTGAGGCAGGGCACCCAAGGACCCTTTCCAGTAGCCACAGGGATTTTGGGATTGCTATCAGTATTCAAGAGGAGTCAGGCATCGTCACCTTTTGAAGCAATGAACTCCGCGTGCCTCTCGAGGTGTCAGCGGGATGTGAGGCATTCCGTCAAAATGAGACAGGGACCTAGGGCTTTCTCTAAGGTCTCCACAGGGGATTCAGACATCCCTTCATGTTGTGAGATGAAAAACGAGCCTGTATTCAAGCCACTGCAAGGAAATCCGGCCTCCTTTCAAGTTAGGGCTTCTCGCTGTATATTCCCCTTGAGGCAGCAAACTCGGGGTCCCTCCCACATACCTATTGCTGACAGAAGCCTCCTCCTGAGCTGCTTCTGGGAAGTTGTCATACGTCTTGAGCCTAAGCCAGGGAATCAGCTCGCACCTCGAGACGATTTGGGGTACACGGAGCATTCCTCGAGTTGCTGTGCTGAAGTTGGTGTTCCTCTAGACTTGGGACAGTGTTCTCGGGGCATCTCTGGAGTTGCCTGAAGGAAGTCGAGCCACCGGTCGTGTTGAATGGGGAACGGGGAATGGCTCTGGAGTCAATGCAGGGGAATCGGGCCTCATCTCGAGTTGATTTGGGGCACATGGAGCTGCTTTGCGTTGCTGGGGTGACCTCAGGGTCCGTCTAGACTGGTGACAGTGTTCTTGGGGACTGTCTCGAGATCCATTAAGCAAGTCGAAGCTCCTGACTTGTTTGAATGGGATCACGGAATAGCTCTGCATGCACTGCAGGGGAATGGGGCCTCATCTCGCCTCTAGGGGAAGTCTCATGGTTTTTCTCGAGTTGCGGCGGGGACCTGGGGTATGTTCTCGACTTACGGCGGGGATGGCCCTTCAAAACACGAGTTTCTTCAGTGACGTCAGGACTCCTGTCTAGTAACGAGGGACACCTCAGGAATCTCTTCGAGGCTTGGCAGGGCAAAAGGGACGCTTCTCGAGGTGAGGCAGGGCACCCAAGGACCCTTTCCAGTAGCCACAGGGATTTTGGGATTCCTATCAGTATTCAAGAGGAGTCAGGCATCGTCACCTTTTGAAGCAATGAACTCCGCGTGCCTCTCGAGGTGTCAGCGGGATGTGAGGCATTCCGTCAAAATGAGGCAGGGACCTAGGGCTTTCTCTAAGGTCTCCACAGGGGATTCAGACATCCCTTCATGTTGTGAGATGAAAGACGAGCCTGTATTCAAGCCACTGCAAGGAAATCCGGCCTCCTTTCAAGTTAGGGCTTCTCGCTGTATATTCCCCTTGAGGCAGCAAACTCGGGGTCCCTCCCACATACCTATTGCTGAGAGAAGCCTCCTCCTGAGGTGCTTCTGGGAAGTTGGCATACGTCTTGAGCCTAAGCCAGGGAATCAGCTCTCATCTCGAGACGATTTGGGGTACACGGAGCATTCCTCGAGTTGCTGTGCTGAAGTTGGTGTTCCTCTAGACTTGGGACAGTGTTCTCGGGGCATCTCTGGAGTTGCCTGAAGGAAGTCGAGCCACCGGTCGTGTTGAATGGGGAACGGGGAATGGCTCTGGAGTCAATGCAGGGGAATCGGGCCTCATCTCGAGTTGATTTGGGGCACATGGAGCTGCTTTGCGTTGCTGGGGTGACCTCAGGGTCCGTCTAGACTGGTGACAGTGTTCTTGGGGACTGTCTCGAGATCCATTAAGCAAGTCGAAGCTCCTGACTTGTTTGAATGGGATCACGGAATAGCTCTGCATGCACTGCAGGGGAATGGGGCCTCATCTCGCCTCTAGGGGGAAGTCTCATGGTTTTTCTCGAGTTGCGGCGGGGACCTGGGGTATGTTCTCGACTTACGGCGGGGATGGCCCTTCAAAACACGAGTTTCTTCAGTGACGTCAGGACTCCTGTCTAGTAACGAGGGACACCTCAGGAATCTCTTCGAGGCTTGGCAGGGCAAAAGGGACGCTTCTCGAGGTGAGGCAGGGCACCCAAGGACCCTTTCCAGTAGCCACAGGGATTTTGGGATTCCTATCAGTATTCAAGAGGAGTCAGGCATCGTCACCTTTTGAAGCAATGAACTCCGCGTGCCTCTCGAGGTGTCAGCGGGATGTGAGGCATTCCATCAAAATGAGGCAGGGACCTAGGGCTTTCTCTAAGGTCTCCACAGGGGATTCAGACATCCCTTCATGTTGTGAGATGAAAGACGAGCCTGTATTCAAGCCACTGCAAGGAAATCCGGCCTCCTTTCAAGTTAGGGCTTCTCGCTGTATATTCCCCTTGAGGCAGCAAACTCGGGGTCCCTCCCACATACCTATTGCTGAGAGAAGCCTCCTCCTGAGGTGCTTCTGGGAAGTTGGCATACGTCTTGAGCCTAAGCCAGGGAATCAGCTCTCATCTCGAGACGATTTGGGGTACACGGAGCATTCCTCGAGTTGCTGTGCTGAAGTTGGTGTTCCTCTAGACTTGGGACAGTGTTCTCGGGGCATCTCTGGAGTTGCCTGAAGGAAGTCGAGCCACCGGTCGTGTTGAATAGGGAACGGGGAATGGCTCTGGAGTCAATGCAGGGGAATCGGGCCTCATCTCGAGTTGATTTGGGGCACATGGGGCTGCTTTGCGTTGCTGGGGTGACCTCAGGGTCCGTCTAGACTGGTGACAGTGTTCTTGGGGACTGTCTCGAGATCCATTAAGCAAGTCGAAGCTCCTGACTTGTTTGAATGGGATCACGGAATAGCTCTGCATGCACTGCAGGGGAATGGGGCCTCATCTCGCCTCTAGGGGGAAGTCTCATGGTTTTTCTCGAGTTGCGGCGGGGACCTGGGGTATGTTCTCGACTTACGGTGGGGATGGCCCTTCAAAACACGAGTTTCTTCAGTGACGTCAGGACTCCTGTCTAGTAACGAGGGACACCTCAGGAATCTCTTCGAGGCTTGGCAGGGCAAAAGGGACGCTTCTCGAGGTGAGGCAGGGCACCCAAGGACCCTTTCCAGTAGCCACAGGGATTTTGGGATTCCTATCAGTATTCAAGAGGAGTCAGGCATCGTCACCTTTTGAAGCAATGAACTCCGCGTGCCTCTCGAGGTGTCAGCGCGATGTGAGGCATTCCGTCAAAATGAGGCAGGGACCTAGGGCTTTCTCTAAGGTCTCCACAGGGGATTCAGACATCCCTTCATGTTGTGAGATGAAAGACGAGCCTGTATTCAAGCCACTGCAAGGAAATCCGGCCTCCTTTCAAGTTAGGGCTTCTCGCTGTATATTCCCCTTGAGGCAGCAAACTCGGGGTCCCTCGCACATACCTATTGCTGAGAGAAGCCTCCTCCTGAGGTGCTTCTGGGAAGTTGGCATACGTCTTGAGCCTAAGCCAGGGAATCAGCTCTCATCAGGAGACGATTTGGGGTACACGGAGCATTCCTCGAGTTGCTGTGCTGAAGTTGGTGTTCCTCTAGACTTGGGACAGTGTTCTCGGGGCATCTCTGGAGTTGCCTGAAGGAAGTCGAGCCACCGGTCGTGTTGAATGGGGAACGGGGAATGGCTCTGGAGTCAATGCAGGGGAATCGGGCCTCATCTCGAGTTGATTTGGGGCACATGGAGCTGCTTTGCGTTGCTGGGGTGACCTCAGGGTCCGTCTAGATTGGTGACAGTGTTCTTGGGGACTGTCTCGAGATCCATTAAGCAAGTCGAAGCTCCTGACTTGTTTGAATGGGATCACGGAATAGCTCTGCATGCACTGCAGGGGAATGGGGCCTCATCTCGCCTCTAGGGGGAAGTCTCATGGTTTTTCTCGAGTTGCGGCGGGGACCTGGGGTATGTTCTCGACTTACGGCGGGGATGGCCCTTCAAAACACGAGTTTCTTCAGTGACGTCAGGACTCCTGTCTAGTAACGAGGGACACCTCAGGAATCTCTTCGAGGCTTGGCAGGGCAAAAGGGACGCTTCTCGAGGTGAGGCAGGGCACCCAAGGACCCTTTCCAGTAGCCACAGGGATTTTGGGATTCCTATCAGTATTCAAGAGGAGTCAGGCATCGTCACCTTTTGAAGCAATGAACTCCGCGTGCCTCTCGAGGTGTCAGCGGGATGTGAGGCATTCCGTCAAAATGAGGCAGGGACCTAGGGCTTTCTCTAAGGTCTCCACAGGGGATTCAGACATCCCTTCATGTTGTGAGATGAAAGACGAGCCTGTATTCAAGCCACTGCAAGGAAATCCGGCCTCCTTTCAAGTTAGGGCTTCTCGCTGTATATTCCCCTTGAGGCAGCAAACTCGGGGTCCCTCGCACATACCTATTGCTGAGAGAAGCCTCCTCCTGAGGTGCTTCTGGGAAGTTGGCATACGTCTTGAGCCTAAGCCAGGGAATCAGCTCTCATCTCGAGACGATTTGGGGTACACGGAGCATTCCTCCAGTTGCTGTGCTGAAGTTGGTGTTCCTCTAGACTTGGGACAGTGTTCTCGGGGCATCTCTGGAGTTGCCTGAAGGAAGTCGAGAAAACCGGTCGTGTTGAATGGGGAATGGGGAATGGCTCTGGAGTCAATGCAGGGGAATCGGGCCTCATCTCGAGTTGATTTGGGGCACATGGAGCTGCTTTGCGTTGCTGGGGTGACCTCAGGGTCCGTCTAGACTGGTGACAGTGTTCTTGGGGACTGTCTCGAGATCCATTAAGCAAGTCGAAGCTCCTGACTTGTTTGAATGGGATCACGGAATAGCTCTGCATGCACTGCAGGGGAATGGGGCCTCATCTCGCCTCTAGGGGGAAGTCTCATGGTTTTTCTCGAGTTGCGGCGGGGACCTGGGGTATGTTCTCGACTTACGGCGGGGATGGCCCTTCAAAACACGAGTTTCTTCAGTGACGTCAGGACTCCTGTCTAGTAACGAGGGACACCTCAGGAATCTCTTCGAGGCTTGGCAGGGCAAAAAGGACGCTTCTCGAGGTGAGGCAGGGCACCCAAGGACCCTTTCCAGTAGCCACAGGGATTTTGGGATTCCTATCAGTATTCAAGAGGAGTCAGGCATCGTCACCTTTTGAAGCAATGAACTCCGCGTGCCTCTCGAGGTGTCAGCGGGATGTGAGGCATTCCGTCAAAATGAGGCAGGGACCTAGGGCTTTCTCTAAGGTCTCCACAGGGGATTCAGACATCCCTTCATGTTGTGAGATGAAAGACGAGCCTGTATTCAAGCCACTGCAAGGAAATCCGGCCTCCTTTCAAGTTAGGGCTTCTCGCTGTATATTCCCCTTGAGGCAGCAAACTCGGGGTCCCTCCCACACACCTATTGCTGAGAGAAGCCTCCTCCTGAGGTGCTTCTGGGAAGTTGGCATACGTCTTGAGCCTAAGCCAGGGAATCAGCTCTCATCTCGAGACGATTTAGTGTACACGGAGCATTCCTCCAGTTGCTGTGCTGAAGTTGGTGTTCCTCTAGACTTGGGACAGTGTTCTCGGGGCATCTCTGGAGTTGCCTGAAGGAAGTCGAGCCACTGGTCGTGTTGAATGGGGAACGGGGAATGGCTCTGGAGTCAATGCAGGGGAATCGGGCCTCATCTCGAGTTGATTTGGGGCACATGGAGCTGCTTTGCGTTGCTGGGGTGACCTCAGGGTCCGTCTAGACTGGTGACAGTGTTCTTGGGGACTGTCTCGAGATCCATTAAGCAAGTCGAAGCTCCTGACTTGTTTGAATGGGATCACGGAATAGCTCTGCATGCACTGCAGGGGAATGGGGCCTCATCTCGCCTCTAGGGGGAAGTCTCATGGTTTTTCTCGAGTTGCGGCGGGGACCTGGGGTATGTTCTCGACTTACAGCGGGGATGGCCCTTCAAAACACGAGTTTCTTCAGTGACGTCAGGACTCCTGTCTAGTAACGAGGGACACCTCAGGAATCTCTTCGAGGCTTGGCAGGGCAAAAAGGACGCTTCTCGAGGTGAGGCAGGGCACCCAAGGACCCTTTCCAGTAGCCATAGTGATTTTGGGATTCCTATCAGTATTCAAGAGGAGTCAGGCATCGTCACCTTTTGAAGCAATGAACTCCGCGTGCCTCTCGAGGTGTCAGCGGGATGTGAGGCATTCCGTCAAAATGAGGCAGGGACCTAGGGCTTTCTCTAAGGTCTCCACAGGGGATTCAGACATCCCTTCATGTTGTGAGATGAAAGACGAGCCTGTATTCAAGCCACTGCAAGGAAATCCGGCCTCCTTTCAAGTTAGGGCTTCTCGCTGTATATTCCCCTTGAGGCAGCAAACTCGGGGTCCCTCGCACATACCTATTGCTGAGAGAAGCCTCCTCCTGAGGTGCTTCTGGGAAGTTGGCATACATCTTGAGCCTAAGCCAGGGAATCAGCTCGCACCTCGAGACGATTTGGGGTACACGGAGCATTCCTCGAGTTGCTGTGCTGAAGTTGGTGTTCCTCTAGACTTGGGACAGTGTTCTCGGGGCATCTCTGGAGTTGCCTGAAGGAAGTCGAGCCACCGGTCGTGTTGAATGGGGAACGGGGAATGGCTCTGGAGTCAATGCAGGGGAATCGGGCCTCATCTCGAGTTGATTTGGGGCACATGGAGCTGCTTTGCGTTGCTGGGGTGACCTCAGGGTCCGTCTAGACTGGTGACAGTGTTCTTGGGGACTGTCTCGAGATCCATTAAGCAAGTCGAAGCTCCTGACTTGTTTGAATGGGATCACGGAATAGCTCTGCATGCACTGCAGGGGAATGGGGCCTCATCTCGCCTCTAGGGGGAAGTCTCATGGTTTTTCTCGAGTTGCGGCGGGGACCTGGGGTATGTTCTCGACTTACGGCGGGGATGGCCCTTCAAAACACGAGTTTCTTCAGTGACGTCAGGACTCCTGTCTAGTAACGAGGGACACCTCAGGAATCTCTTCGAGGCTTGGCAGGGCAAAAAGGACGCTTCTCGAGGTGAGGCAGGGCACCCAAGGACCCTTTCCAGTAGCCACAGGGATTTTGGGATTCCTATCAGTATTCAAGAGGAGTCAGGCATCGTCACCTTTTGAAGCAATGAACTCCGCGTGCCTCTCGAGGTGTCAGCGGGATGTGAGGCATTCCGTCAAAATGAGGCAGGGACCTAGGGCTTTCTCTAAGGTCTCCACAGGGGATTCAGACATCCCTTCATGTTGTGAGATGAAAGACGAGCCTGTATTCAAGCCACTGCAAGGAAATCCGGCCTCCTTTCAAGTTAGGGCTTCTCGCTGTATATTCCCCTTGAGGCAGCAAACTCGGGGTCCCTCCCACACACCTATTGCTGAGAGAAGCCTCCTCCTGAGGTGCTTCTGGGAAGTTGGCATACGTCTTGAGCCTAAGCCAGGGAATCAGCTCTCATCTCGAGACGATTTAGTGTACACGGAGCATTCCTCCAGTTGCTGTGCTGAAGTTGGTGTTCCTCTAGACTTGGGACAGTGTTCTCGGGGCATCTCTGGAGTTGCCTGAAGGAAGTCGAGCCACTGGTCGTGTTGAATGGGGAACGGGGAATGGCTCTGGAGTCAATGCAGGGGAATCGGGCCTCATCTCGAGTTGATTTGGGGCACATGGAGCTGCTTTGCGTTGCTGGGGTGACCTCAGGGTCCGTCTAGACTGGTGACAGTGTTCTTGGGGACTGTCTCGAGATCCATTAAGCAAGTCGAAGCTCCTGACTTGTTTGAATGGGATCACGGAATAGCTCTGCATGCACTGCAGGGGAATGGGGCCTCATCTCGCCTCTAGGGGGAAGTCTCATGGTTTTTCTCGAGTTGCGGCGGGGACCTGGGGTATGTTCTCGACTTACAGCGGGGATGGCCCTTCAAAACACGAGTTTCTTCAGTGACGTCAGGACTCCTGTCTAGTAACGAGGGACACCTCAGGAATCTCTTCGAGGCTTGGCAGGGCAAAAAGGACGCTTCTCGAGGTGAGGCAGGGCACCCAAGGACCCTTTCCAGTAGCCATAGTGATTTTGGGATTCCTATCAGTATTCAAGAGGAGTCAGGCATCGTCACCTTTTGAAGCAATGAACTCCGCGTGCCTCTCGAGGTGTCAGCGGGATGTGAGGCATTCCGTCAAAATGAGGCAGGGACCTAGGGCTTTCTCTAAGGTCTCCACAGGGGATTCAGACATCCCTTCATGTTGTGAGATGAAAGACGAGCCTGTATTCAAGCCACTGCAAGGAAATCCGGCCTCCTTTCAAGTTAGGGCTTCTCGCTGTATATTCCCCTTGAGGCAGCAAACTCGGGGTCCCTCGCACATACCTATTGCTGAGAGAAGCCTCCTCCTGAGGTGCTTCTGGGAAGTTGGCATACATCTTGAGCCTAAGCCAGGGAATCAGCTCGCACCTCGAGACGATTTGGGGTACACGGAGCATTCCTCGAGTTGCTGTGCTGAAGTTGGTGTTCCTCTAGACTTGGGACAGTGTTCTCGGGGCATCTCTGGAGTTGCCTGAAGGAAGTCGAGCCACCGGTCGTGTTGAATGGGGAACGGGGAATGGCTCTGGAGTCAATGCAGGGGAATCGGGCCTCATCTCGAGTTGATTTGGGGCACATGGAGCTGCTTTGCGTTGCTGGGGTGACCTCAGGGTCCGTCTAGACTGGTGACAGTGTTCTTGGGGACTGTCTCGAGATCCATTAAGCAAGTCGAAGCTCCTGACTTGTTTGAATGGGATCACGGAATAGCTCTGCATGCACTGCAGGGGAATGGGGCCTCATCTCGCCTCTAGGGGGAAGTCTCATGGTTTTTCTCGAGTTGCGGCGGGGACCTGGGGTATGTTCTCGACTTACGGCGGGGATGGCCCTTCAAAACACGAGTTTCTTCAGTGACGTCAGGACTCCTGTCTAGTAACGAGGGACACCTCAGGAATCTCTTCGAGGCTTGGCAGGGCAAAAAGGACGCTTCTCGAGGTGAGGCAGGGCACCCAAGGACCCTTTCCAGTAGCCACAGGGATTTTGGGATTCCTATCAGTATTCAAGAGGAGTCAGGCATCGTCACCTTTTGAAGCAATGAACTCCGCGTGCCTCTCGAGGTGTCAGCGGGATGTGAGGCATTCCGTCAAAATGAGGCAGGGACCTAGGGCTTTCTCTAAGGTCTCCACAGGGGATTCAGACATCCCTTCATGTTGTGAGATGAAAGACGAGCCTGTATTCAAGCCACTGCAAGGAAATCCGGCCTCCTTTCAAGTTAGGGCTTCTCGCTGTATATTCCCCTTGAGGCAGCAAACTCGGGGTCCCTCCCACACACCTATTGCTGAGAGAAGCCTCCTCCTGAGGTGCTTCTGGGAAGTTGGCATACGTCTTGAGCCTAAGCCAGGGAATCAGCTCTCATCTCGAGACGATTTGGTGTACACGGAGCATTCCTCCAGTTGCTGTGCTGAAGTTGGTGTTCCTCTAGACTTGGGACAGTGTTCTCGGGGCATCTCTGGAGTTGCCTGAAGGAAGTCGAGCCACTGGTCGTGTTGAATGGGGAACGGGGAATGGCTCTGGAGTCAATGCAGGGGAATCGGGCCTCATCTCGAGTTGATTTGGGGCACATGGAGCTGCTTTGCGTTGCTGGGGTGACCTCAGGGTCCGTCTAGACTGGTGACAGTGTTCTTGGGGACTGTCTCGAGATCCATTAAGCAAGTCGAAGCTCCTGACTTGTTTGAATGGGATCACGGAATAGCTCTGCATGCACTGCAGGGGAATGGGGCCTCATCTCGCCTCTAGGGGGAAGTCTCATGGTTTTTCTCGAGTTGCGGCGGGGACCTGGGGTATGTTCTCGACTTACAGCGGGGATGGCCCTTCAAAACACGAGTTTCTTCAGTGACGTCAGGACTCCTGTCTAGTAACGAGGGACACCTCAGGAATCTCTTCGAGGCTTGGCAGGGCAAAAAGGACGCTTCTCGAGGTGAGGCAGGGCACCCAAGGACCCTTTCCAGTAGCCATAGTGATTTTGGGATTCCTATCAGTATTCAAGAGGAGTCAGGCATCGTCACCTTTTGAAGCAATGAACTCCGCGTGCCTCTCGAGGTGTCAGCGGGATGTGAGGCATTCCGTCAAAATGAGGCAGGGACCTAGGGCTTTCTCTAAGGTCTCCACAGGGGATTCAGACATCCCTTCATGTTGTGAGATGAAAGACGAGCCTGTATTCAAGCCACTGCAAGGAAATCCGGCCTCCTTTCAAGTTAGGGCTTCTCGCTGTATATTCCCCTTGAGGCAGCAAACTCGGGGTCCCTCGCACATACCTATTGCTGAGAGAAGCCTCCTCCTGAGGTGCTTCTGGGAAGTTGGCATACATCTTGAGCCTAAGCCAGGGAATCAGCTCGCACCTCGAGACGATTTGGGGTACACGGAGCATTCCTCGAGTTGCTGTGCTGAAGTTGGTGTTCCTCTAGACTTGGGACAGTGTTCTCGGGGCATCTCTGGAGTTGCCTGAAGGAAGTCGAGCCACCGGTCGTGTTGAATGGGGAACGGGGAATGGCTCTGGAGTCAATGCAGGGGAATCGGGCCTCATCTCGAGTTGATTTGGGGCACATGGAGCTGCTTTGCGTTGCTGGGGTGACCTCAGGGTCCGTCTAGACTGGTGACAGTGTTCTTGGGGACTGTCTCGAGATCCATTAAGCAAGTCGAAGCTCCTGACTTGTTTGAATGGGATCACGGAATAGCTCTGCATGCACTGCAGGGGAATGGGGCCTCATCTCGCCTCTAGGGGGAAGTCTCATGGTTTTTCTCGAGTTGCGGCGGGGACCTGGGGTATGTTCTCGACTTACGGCGGGGATGGCCCTTCAAAACACGAGTTTCTTCAGTGACGTCAGGACTCCTGTCTAGTAACGAGGGACACCTCAGGAATCTCTTCGAGGCTTGGCAGGGCAAAAGGGACGCTTCTCGAGGTGAGGCAGGGCACCCAAGGACCCTTTCCAGTAGCCACAGGGATTTTGGGATTCCTATCAGTATTCAAGAGGAGTCAGGCATCGTCACCTTTTGAAGCAATGAACTCCGCGTGCCTCTCGAGGTGTCAGCGGGATGTGAGGCATTCCGTCAAAATGAGGCAGGGACCTAGGGCTTTCTCTAAGGTCTCCACAGGGGATTCAGACATCCCTTCATGTTGTGAGATGAAAGACGAGCCTGTATTCAAGCCACTGCAAGGAAATCCGGCCTCCTTTCAAGTTAGGGCTTCTCGCTGTATATTCCCCTTGAGGCAGCAAACTCGGGGTCCCTCCCACATACCTATTGCTGAGAGAAGCCTCCTCCTGAGGTGCTTCTGGGAAGTTGGCATACGTCTTGAGCCTAAGCCAGGGAATCAGCTCGCACCTCGAGACGATTTGGGGTACACGGAGCATTCCTCGAGTTGCTGTGCTGAAGTTGGTGTTCCTCTAGACTTGGGACAATGTTCTCGGGGCATCTCTGGAGTTGCCTGAAGGAAGTCCAGCCACCGGTCGTGTTGAATGGGGAACGGGGAATGGCTCTGGAGTCAATGCAGGGGAATCGGGCCTCATCTCGAGTTGATTTGGGGCACATGGAGCTGCTTTGCGTTGCTGGGGTGACCTCAGGGTCCGTCTAGACTGGTGACAGTGTTCTTGGGGACTGTCTCGAGATCCATTAAGCAAGTCGAAGCTCCTGACTTGTTTGAATGGGATCACGGAATAGCTCTGCATGCACTGCAGGGGAATGGGGCCTCATGTCGCCTCTAGGGGGAAGTCTCATGGTTTTTCTCGAGTTGCGGCGGGGACCTGGGGTATGTTCTCGACTTACGGCGGGGATGGCCCTTCAAAACACGAGTTTCTTCAGTGACGTCAGGACTCCTGTCTAGTAACGAGGGACACCTCAGGAATCTCTTCGAGGCTTGGCAGGGCAAAAGGGACGCTTCTCGAGGTGAGGCAGGGCACCCAAGGACCCTTTCCAGTAGCCACAGGGATTTTGGGATTCCTATCAGTATTCAAGAGGAGTCAGGCATCGTCACCTTTTGAAGCAATGAACTCCGCGTTCCTCTCGAGGTGTCAGCGGGATGTGAGGCATTCCGTCAAAATGAGGCAGGGACCTAGGGCTTTCTCTAAGGTCTCCACAGGGGATTCAGACATCCCTTCATGTTGTGAGATGAAAGACGAGCCTGTATTCAAGCCACTGCAAGGAAATCCGGCCTCCTTTCAAGTTAGGGCTTCTCGCTGTATATTCCCCTTGAGGCAGCAAACTCGGGGTCCCTCCCACATACCTATTGCTGAGAGAAGCCTCCTCCTGAGGTGCTTCTGGGAAGTTGGCATACGTCTTGAGCCTAAGCCAGGGAATCAGCTCGCACCTCGAGACGATTTGGGGTACACGGAGCATTCCTCGAGTTGCTGTGCTGAAGTTGGTGTTCCTCTAGACTTGGGACAGTTTTCTCGGGGCTTCTCTGGAGTTGCCTGAAGGAAGTCGAGCCACCGGTCGTGTTGAATGGGGAACGGGGAATGGCTCTGGAGTCAATGCAGGGGAATCGGGCCTCATCTCGAGTTGATTTGGTGCACATGGAGCTGCTTTGCGTTGCTGGGGTGACCTCAGGGTCCGTCTAGACTGGTGACAGTGTTCTTGGGGACTGTCTCGAGATCCATTAAGCAAGTCGAAGCTCCTGACTTGTTTGAATGGGATCACGGAATAGCTCTGCATGCACTGCAGGGGAATGGGGCCTCATCTCGCCTCTAGGGGGAAGTCTCATGGTTTTTCTCGAGTTGCGGCGGGGACCTGGGGTATGTTCTCGACTTACGGCGGGGATGGCCCTTCAAAACACGAGTTTCTTCAGTGACGTCAGGACTCCTGTCTAGTAACGAGGGACACCTCAGGAATCTCTTCGAGGCTTGGCAGGGCAAAAGGGACGCTTCTCGAGGTGAGGCAGGGCACCCAAGGACCCTTTCAAGTAGCCACAGGGATTTTGGGATTCCTATCAGTATTCAAGAGGAGTCAGGCATCGTCACCTTTTGAAGCAATAAACTCCGCGTGCCTCTCGAGGTGTCAGCGCGATGTGAGGCATTCCGTCAAAATGAGACAGGGACCTGGGGCTTTCTCTAAGGTCTCCACAGGGGATTCAGACATCCCTTCATGTTGTGAGATGAAAGACGAGCCTGTATTCAAGCCACTGCAAGGAAATCCGGCCTCCTTTCAAGTTAGGGCTTCTCGCTGTATATTCCCCTTGAGGCAGCAAACTCGGGGTCCCTCCCACATACCTATTGCTGAGAGAAGCCTCCTCCTGAGCTGCTTCTGGGAAGTTGGCATACGTCTTGAGCCTAAGCCAGGGAATCAGCTCGCACCTCGAGACGATTTGGGGTACACGGAGCATTCCTCGAGTTGCTGTGCTGAAGTTGGTGTTCCTCTAGACTTGGGACAGTGTTCTCGGGGCATCTCTGGAGTTGCCTGAAGGAAGTCGAGCCACCGGTCGTGTTGAATGGGGAACGGGGAATGGCTCTGGAGTCAATGCAGGGGAATCGGGCCTCATCTCGAGTTGATTTGGGGCACATGGAGCTGCTTTGCGTTGCTGGGGTGACCTCAGGGTCCGTCTAGACTGGTGACAGTGTTCTTGGGGACTGTCTCGAGATCCATTAAGCAAGTCGAAGCTCCTGACTTGTTTGAATGGGATCACGGAATAGCTCTGCATGCACTGCAGGGGAATGGGGCCTCATCTCGCCTCTAGGGGAAGTCTCATGGTTTTTCTCGAGTTGCGGCGGGGACCTGGGGTATGTTCTCGACTTACGGCGGGGATGGCCCTTCAAAACACGAGTTTCTTCAGTGACGTCAGGACTCCTGTCTAGTAACGAGGGACACCTCAGGAATCTCTTCGAGGCTTGGCAGGGCAAAAGGGACGCTTCTCGAGGTGAGGCAGGGCACCCAAGGACCCTTTCCAGTAGCCACAGGGATTTTGGGATTCCTATCAGTATTCAAGAGGAGTCAGGCATCGTCACCTTTTGAAGCAATGAACTCCGCGTGCCTCTCGAGGTGTCAGCGGGATGTGAGGCATTCCGTCAAAATGAGGCAGGGACCTAGGGCTTTCTCTAAGGTCTCCACAGGGGATTCAGACATCCCTTCATGTTGTGAGATGAAAGACGAGCCTGTATTCAAGCCACTGCAAGGAAATCCGGCCTCCTTTCAAGTTAGGGCTTCTCGCTGTATATTCCCCTTGAGGCAGCAAACTCGGGGTCCCTCCCACATACCTATTGCTGAGAGAAGCCTCCTCCTGAGGTGCTTCTGGGAAGTTGGCATACGTCTTGAGCCTAAGCCAGGGAATCAGCTCTCATCTCGAGACGATTTGGGGTACACGGAGCATTCCTCGAGTTGCTGTGCTGAAGTTGGTGTTCCTCTAGACTTGGGACAGTGTTCTCGGGGCATCTCTGGAGTTGCCTGAAGGAAGTCGAGCCACCGGTCGTGTTGAATGGGGAACGGGGAATGGCTCTGGAGTCAATGCAGGGGAATCGGGCCTCATCTCGAGTTGATTTGGGGCACATGGAGCTGCTTTGCGTTGCTGGGGTGACCTCAGGGTCCGTCTAGACTGGTGACAGTGTTCTTGGGGACTGTCTCGAGATCCATTAAGCAAGTCGAAGCTCCTGACTTGTTTGAATGGGATCACGGAATAGCTCTGCATGCACTGCAGGGGAATGGGGCCTCATGTCGCCTCTAGGGGGAAGTCTCATGGTTTTTCTCGAGTTGAGGCGGGGACCTGGGGTATGTTCTCGACTTACGGCGGGGATGGCCCTTCAAAACACGAGTTTCTTCAGTGACGTCAGGACTCCTGTCTAGTAACGAGGGACACCTCAGGAATCTCTTCGAGGCTTGGCAGGGCAAAAAGGACGCTTCTCGAGGTGAGGCAGGGCACCCAAGGACCCTTTCCAGTAGCCACAGGGATTTTGGGATTCCTATCAGTATTCAAGAGGAGTCAGGCATCGTCACCTTTTGAAGCAATGAACTCCGCGTGCCTCTCGAGGTGTCAGCGGTATGTGAGGCATTCCGTCAAAATGAGGCAGGGACCTAGGGCTTTCTCTAAGGTCTCCACAGGGGATTCAGACATCCCTTCATGTTGTGAGATGAAAGACGAGCCTGTATTCAAGCCACTGCAAGGAAATCCGGCCTCCTTTCAAGTTAGGGCTTCTCGCTGTATATTCCCCTTGAGGCAGCAAACTCGGGGTCCCTCGCACACACCTATTGCTGAGAGAAGCCTCCTCCTGAGGTGCTTCTGGGAAGTTGGCATACGTCTTGAGCCTAAGCCAGGGAATAAGCTCCCACCTCGAGACGATTTGGGGTACACGGAGCATTCCTCGGGTTGCTGTGCTGAAGTTGGTGTTCCTCTAGACTTGGGACAGTGTTCTCGGGGCATCTCTGGAGTTGCCTGAAGGAAGTCGAGCCACCGGTCGTGTTGAATGGGGAACGGGGAATGGCTCTGGAGTCAATGCAGGGGAATCGGGCCTCATCTCGAGTTGATTTGGGGCACATGGAGCTGCTTTGCGTTGCTGGGGTGACCTCAGGGTCCGTCTAGACTGGTGACAGTGTTCTTGGGGACTGTCTCGAGATCCATTAAGCAAGTCGAAGCTCCTGACTTGTTTGAATGGGATCACGGAATAGCTCTGCATGCACTGCAGGGGAATGGGGCCTCATCTCGCCTCTAGGGGGAAGTCTCATGGTTTTTCTCGAGTTGCGGCGGGGACCTGGGGTATGTTCTCGACTCACGGCGGGGATGGCCCTTCAAAACACGAGTTTCTTCAGTGACGTCAGGACTCCTGTCTAGTAACGAGGGACACCTCAGGAATCACTTCGAGGCTTGGCAGGGCAAAAGGGACGCTTCTCGAGGTGAGGCAGGGCACCCAAGGACCCTTTCCAGTAGCCACAGGGATTTTGGGATTGCTATCAGTATTCAAGAGGAGTCAGGCATCGTCACCTTTTGAAGCAATGAACTCCGCGTGCCTCTCGAGGTGTCAGCGGGATGTGAGGCATTCCGTCAAAATGAGACAGGGACCTAGGGCTTTCTCTAAGGTCTCCACAGGGGATTCAGACATCCCTTCATGTTGTGAGATGAAAAACGAGCCTGTATTCAAGCCACTGCAAGGAAATCCGGCCTCCTTTCAAGTTAGGGCTTCTCGCTGTATATTCCCCTTGAGGCAGCAAACTCGGGGTCCCTCCCACATACCTATTGCTGACAGAAGCCTCCTCCTGAGCTGCTTCTGGGAAGTTGTCATACGTCTTGAGCCTAAGCCAGGGAATCAGCTCGCACCTCGAGACGATTTGGGGTACACGGAGCATTCCTCGAGTTGCTGTGCTGAAGTTGGTGTTCCTCTAGACTTGGGACAGTGTTCTCGGGGCATCTCTGGAGTTGCCTGAAGGAAGTCGAGCCACCGGTCTTGTTGAATGGGGAACGGGGAATGGCTCTGGAGTCAATGCAGGGGAATCGGGCCTCATCTCGAGTTGATTTGGGGCACATGGAGCTGCTTTGCGTTGCTGGGGTGACCTCAGGGTCCGTCTAGACTGGTGACAGTGTTCTTGGTGACTGTCTCGAGATCCATTAAGCAAGTCGAAGCTCCTGACTTGTTTGAATGGGATCACGGAATAGCTCTGCATGCACTGCAGGGGAATGGGGCCTCATCTCGCCTCTAGGGGAAGTCTCATGGTTTTTCTCGAGTTGCGGCGGGGACCTGGGGTATGTTCTCGACTTACGGCGGGGATGGCCCTTCAAAACACGAGTTTCTTCAGTGACGTCAGGACTCCTGTCTAGTAACGAGGGACACCTCAGGAATCTCTTCGAGGCTTGGCAGGGCAAAAGGGACGCTTCTCGAGGTGAGGCAGGGCACCCAAGGACCCTTTCGAGTAGCCACAGGGATTTTGGGATTCCTATCAGTATTCAAGAGGAGTCAGGCATCGTCACCTTTTGAAGCAATGAACTCCGCGTGCCTCTCGAGGTGTCAGCGGGATGTGAGGCATTCCGTCAAAATGAGGCAGGGACCTAGGGCTTTCTCTAAGGTCTCCACAGGGGATTCAGACATCCCTTCATGTTGTGAGATGAAAGACGAGCCTGTATTCAAGCCACTGCAAGGAAATCCGGCCTCCTTTCAAGTTAGGGCTTCTCGCTGTATATTCCCCTTGAGGCAGCAAACTCGGGGTCCCTCCCACATACCTATTGCTGAGAGAAGCCTCCTCCTGAGGTGCTTCTGGGAAGTTGGCATACGTCTTGAGCCTAAGCCAGGGAATCAGCTCTCATCTCGAGACGATTTGGGGTACACGGAGCATTCCTCGAGTTGCTGTGCTGAAGTTGGTGTTCCTCTAGACTTGGGACAGTGTTCTCGGGGCATCTCTGGAGTTGCCTGAAGGAAGTCGAGCCACCGGTCGTGTTGAATGGGGAACGGGGAATGGCTCTGGAGTCAATGCAGGGGAATCGGGCCTCATCTCGAGTTGATTTGGGGCACATGGAGCTGCTTTGCGTTGCTGGGGTGACCTCAGGGTCCGTCTAGACTGGTGACAGTGTTCTTGGGGACTGTCTCGAGATCCATTAAGCAAGTCGAAGCTCCTGACTTGTTTGAATGGGATCACGGAATAGCTCTGCATGCACTGCAGGGGAATGGGGCCTCATCTCGCCTCTAGGGGGAAGTCTCATGGTTTTTCTCGAGTTGCGGCGGGGACCTGGGGTATGTTCTCGACTTACGGCGGGGATGGCCCTTCAAAACACGAGTTTCTTCAGTGACGTCAGGACTCCTGTCTAGTAACGAGGGACACCTCAGGAATCTCTTCGAGGCTTGGCAGGGCAAAAGGGACGCTTCTCGAGGTGAGGCAGGGCACCCAAGGACCCTTTCCAGTAGCCACAGGGATTTTGGGATTCCTATCAGTATTCAAGAGGAGTCAGGCATCGTCACCTTTTGAAGCAATGAACTCCGCGTGCCTCTCGAGGTGTCAGCGGGATGTGAGGCATTCCGTCAAAATGAGGCAGGGACCTAGGGCTTTCTCTAAGGTCTCCACAGGGGATTCAGACATCCCTTCATGTTGTGAGATGAAAGACGAGCCTGTATTCAAGCCACTGCAAGGAAATCCGGCCTCCTTTCAAGTTAGGGCTTCTCGCTGTATATTCCCCTTGAGGCAGCAAACTCGGGGTCCCTCCCACATACCTATTGCTGAGAGAAGCCTCCTCCTGAGGTGCTTCTGGGAAGTTGGCATACGTCTTGAGCCTAAGCCAGGGAATCAGCTCTCATCTCGAGACGATTTGGGGTACACGGAGCATTCCTCGAGTTGCTGTGCTGAAGTTGGTGTTCCTCTAGACTTGGGACAGTGTTCTCGGGGCATCTCTGGAGTTGCCTGAAGGAAGTCGAGCCACCGGTCGTGTTGAATAGGGAACGGGGAATGGCTCTGGAGTCAATGCAGGGGAATCGGGCCTCATCTCGAGTTGATTTGGGGCACATGGGGCTGCTTTGCGTTGCTGGGGTGACCTCAGGGTCCGTCTAGACTGGTGACAGTGTTCTTGGGGACTGTCTCGAGATCCATTAAGCAAGTCGAAGCTCCTGACTTGTTTGAATGGGATCACGGAATAGCTCTGCATGCACTGCAGGGGAATGGGGCCTCATCTCGCCTCTAGGGGGAAGTCTCATGGTTTTTCTCGAGTTGCGGCGGGGACCTGGGGTATGTTCTCGACTTACGGTGGGGATGGCCCTTCAAAACACGAGTTTCTTCAGTGACGTCAGGACTCCTGTCTAGTAACGAGGGACACCTCAGGAATCTCTTCGAGGCTTGGCAGGGCAAAAGGGACGCTTCTCGAGGTGAGGCAGGGCACCCAAGGACCCTTTCCAGTAGCCACAGGGATTTTGGGATTCCTATCAGTATTCAAGAGGAGTCAGGCATCGTCACCTTTTGAAGCAATGAACTCCGCGTGCCTCTCGAGGTGTCAGCGGGATGTGAGGCATTCAGTCAAAATGAGGCAGGGACCTAGGGCTTTCTCTAAGGTCTCCACAGGGGATTCAGACATCCCTTCATGTTGTGAGATGAAAGACGAGCCTGTATTCAAGCCACTGCAAGGAAATCCGGCCTCCTTTCAAGTTAGGGCTTCTCGCTGTATATTCCCCTTGAGGCAGCAAACTCGGGGTCCCTCGCACATACCTATTGCTGAGAGAAGCCTCCTCCTGAGGTGCTTCTGGGAAGTTGGCATACGTCTTGAGCCTAAGCCAGGGAATCAGCTCTCATCAGGAGACGATTTGGGGTACACGGAGCATTCCTCGAGTTGCTGTGCTGAAGTTGGTGTTCCTCTAGACTTGGGACAGTGTTCTCGGGGCATCTCTGGAGTTGCCTGAAGGAAGTCGAGCCACCGGTCGTGTTGAATGGGGAACGGGGAATGGCTCTGGAGTCAATGCAGGGGAATCGGGCCTCATCTCGAGTTGATTTGGGGCACATGGAGCTGCTTTGCGTTGCTGGGGTGACCTCAGGGTCCGTCTAGATTGGTGACAGTGTTCTTGGGGACTGTCTCGAGATCCATTAAGCAAGTCGAAGCTCCTGACTTGTTTGAATGGGATCACGGAATAGCTCTGCATGCACTGCAGGGGAATGGGGCCTCATCTCGCCTCTAGGGGGAAGTCTCATGGTTTTTCTCGAGTTGCGGCGGGGACCTGGGGTATGTTCTCGACTTACGGCGGGGATGGCCCTTCAAAACACGAGTTTCTTCAGTGACGTCAGGACTCCTGTCTAGTAACGAGGGACACCTCAGGAATCTCTTCGAGGCTTGGCAGGGCAAAAGGGACGCTTCTCGAGGTGAGGCAGGGCACCCAAGGACCCTTTCCAGTAGCCACAGGGATTTTGGGATTCCTATCAGTATTCAAGAGGAGTCAGGCATCGTCACCTTTTGAAGCAATGAACTCCGCGTGCCTCTCGAGGTGTCAGCGGGATGTGAGGCATTCCGTCAAAATGAGGCAGGGACCTAGGGCTTTCTCTAAGGTCTCCACAGGGGATTCAGACATCCCTTCATGTTGTGAGATGAAAGACGAGCCTGTATTCAAGCCACTGCAAGGAAATCCGGCCTCCTTTCAAGTTAGGGCTTCTCGCTGTATATTCCCCTTGAGGCAGCAAACTCGGGGTCCCTCCCACATACCTATTGCTGAGAGAAGCCTCCTCCTGAGGTGCTTCTGGGAAGTTGGCATACGTCTTGAGCCTAAGCCAGGGAATCAGCTCTCATCTCGAGACGATTTGGGGTACACGGAGCATTCCTCCAGTTGCTGTGCTGAAGTTGGTGTTCCTCTAGACTTGGGACAGTGTTCTCGGGGCATCTCTGGAGTTGCCTGAAGGAAGTCGAGAAAACCGGTCGTGTTGAATGGGGAATGGGGAATGGCTCTGGAGTCAATGCAGGGGAATCGGGCCTCATCTCGAGTTGATTTGGGGCACATGGAGCTGCTTTGCGTTGCTGGGGTGACCTCAGGGTCCGTCTAGACTGGTGACAGTGTTCTTGGGGACTGTCTCGAGATCCATTAAGCAAGTCGAAGCTCCTGACTTGTTTGAATGGGATCACGGAATAGCTCTGCATGCACTGCAGGGGAATGGGGCCTCATCTCGCCTCTAGGGGGAAGTCTCATGGTTTTTCTCGAGTTGCGGCGGGGACCTGGGGTATGTTCTCGACTTACGGCGGGGATGGCCCTTCAAAACACGAGTTTCTTCAGTGACGTCAGGACTCCTGTCTAGTAACGAGGGACACCTCAGGAATCTCTTCGAGGCTTGGCAGGGCAAAAAGGACGCTTCTCGAGGTGAGGCAGGGCACCCAAGGACCCTTTCCAGTAGCCACAGGGATTTTGGGATTCCTATCAGTATTCAAGAGGAGTCAGGCATCGTCACCTTTTGAAGCAATGAACTCCGCGTGCCTCTCGAGGTGTCAGCGGGATGTGAGGCATTCCGTCAAAATGAGGCAGGGACCTAGGGCTTTCTCTAAGGTCTCCACAGGGGATTCAGACATCCCTTCATGTTGTGAGATGAAAGACGAGCCTGTATTCAAGCCACTGCAAGGAAATCCGGCCTCCTTTCAAGTTAGGGCTTCTCGCTGTATATTCCCCTTGAGGCAGCAAACTCGGGGTCCCTCCCACACACCTATTGCTGAGAGAAGCCTCCTCCTGAGGTGCTTCTGGGAAGTTGGCATACGTCTTGAGCCTAAGCCAGGGAATCAGCTCTCATCTCGAGACGATTTGGTGTACACGGAGCATTCCTCCAGTTGCTGTGCTGAAGTTGGTGTTCCTCTAGACTTGGGACAGTGTTCTCGGGGCATCTCTGGAGTTGCCTGAAGGAAGTCGAGCCACTGGTCGTGTTGAATGGGGAACGGGGAATGGCTCTGGAGTCAATGCAGGGGAATCGGGCCTCATCTCGAGTTGATTTGGGGCACATGGAGCTGCTTTGCGTTGCTGGGGTGACCTCAGGGTCCGTCTAGACTGGTGACAGTGTTCTTGGGGACTGTCTCGAGATCCATTAAGCAAGTCGAAGCTCCTGACTTGTTTGAATGGGATCACGGAATAGCTCTGCATGCACTGCAGGGGAATGGGGCCTCATCTCGCCTCTAGGGGGAAGTCTCATGGTTTTTCTCGAGTTGCGGCGGGGACCTGGGGTATGTTCTCGACTTACAGCGGGGATGGCCCTTCAAAACACGAGTTTCTTCAGTGACGTCAGGACTCCTGTCTAGTAACGAGGGACACCTCAGGAATCTCTTCGAGGCTTGGCAGGGCAAAAAGGACGCTTCTCGAGGTGAGGCAGGGCACCCAAGGACCCTTTCCAGTAGCCATAGTGATTTTGGGATTCCTATCAGTATTCAAGAGGAGTCAGGCATCGTCACCTTTTGAAGCAATGAACTCCGCGTGCCTCTCGAGGTGTCAGCGGGATGTGAGGCATTCCGTCAAAATGAGGCAGGGACCTAGGGCTTTCTCTAAGGTCTCCACAGGGGATTCAGACATCCCTTCATGTTGTGAGATGAAAGACGAGCCTGTATTCAAGCCACTGCAAGGAAATCCGGCCTCCTTTCAAGTTAGGGCTTCTCGCTGTATATTCCCCTTGAGGCAGCAAACTCGGGGTCCCTCGCACATACCTATTGCTGAGAGAAGCCTCCTCCTGAGGTGCTTCTGGGAAGTTGGCATACATCTTGAGCCTAAGCCAGGGAATCAGCTCGCACCTCGAGACGATTTGGGGTACACGGAGCATTCCTCGAGTTGCTGTGCTGAAGTTGGTGTTCCTCTAGACTTGGGACAGTGTTCTCGGGGCATCTCTGGAGTTGCCTGAAGGAAGTCGAGCCACCGGTCGTGTTGAATGGGGAACGGGGAATGGCTCTGGAGTCAATGCAGGGGAATCGGGCCTCATCTCGAGTTGATTTGGGGCACATGGAGCTGCTTTGCGTTGCTGGGGTGACCTCAGGGTCCGTCTAGACTGGTGACAGTGTTCTTGGGGACTGTCTCGAGATCCATTAAGCAAGTCGAAGCTCCTGACTTGTTTGAATGGGATCACGGAATAGCTCTGCATGCACTGCAGGGGAATGGGGCCTCATCTCGCCTCTAGGGGGAAGTCTCATGGTTTTTCTCGAGTTGCGGCGGGGACCTGGGGTATGTTCTCGACTTACGGCGGGGATGGCCCTTCAAAACACGAGTTTCTTCAGTGACGTCAGGACTCCTGTCTAGTAACGAGGGACACCTCAGGAATCTCTTCGAGGCTTGGCAGGGCAAAAGGGACGCTTCTCGAGGTGAGGCAGGGCACCCAAGGACCCTTTCCAGTAGCCACAGGGATTTTGGGATTCCTATCAGTATTCAAGAGGAGTCAGGCATCGTCACCTTTTGAAGCAATGAACTCCGCGTGCCTCTCGAGGTGTCAGCGGGATGTGAGGCATTCCGTCAAAATGAGGCAGGGACCTAGGGCTTTCTCTAAGGTCTCCACAGGGGATTCAGACATCCCTTCATGTTGTGAGATGAAAGACGAGCCTGTATTCAAGCCACTGCAAGGAAATCCGGCCTCCTTTCAAGTTAGGGCTTCTCGCTGTATATTCCCCTTGAGGCAGCAAACTCGGGGTCCCTCCCACATACCTATTGCTGAGAGAAGCCTCCTCCTGAGGTGCTTCTGGGAAGTTGGCATACGTCTTGAGCCTAAGCCAGGGAATCAGCTCGCACCTCGAGACGATTTGGGGTACACGGAGCATTCCTCGAGTTGCTGTGCTGAAGTTGGTGTTCCTCTAGACTTGGGACAATGTTCTCGGGGCATCTCTGGAGTTGCCTGAAGGAAGTCGAGCCACCGGTCGTGTTGAATGGGGAACGGGGAATGGCTCTGGAGTCAATGCAGGGGAATCGGGCCTCATCTCGAGTTGATTTGGGGCACATGGAGCTGCTTTGCGTTGCTGGGGTGACCTCAGGGTCCGTCTAGACTGGTGACAGTGTTCTTGGGGACTGTCTCGAGATCCATTAAGCAAGTCGAAGCTCCTGACTTGTTTGAATGGGATCACGGAATAGCTCTGCATGCACTGCAGGGGAATGGGGCCTCATGTCGCCTCTAGGGGGAAGTCTCATGGTTTTTCTCGAGTTGCGGCGGGGACCTGGGGTATGTTCTCGACTTACGGCGGGGATGGCCCTTCAAAACACGAGTTTCTTCAGTGACGTCAGGACTCCTGTCTAGTAACGAGGGACACCTCAGGAATCTCTTCGAGGCTTGGCAGGGCAAAAGGGACGCTTCTCGAGGTGAGGCAGGGCACCCAAGGACCCTTTCCAGTAGCCACAGGGATTTTGGGATTCCTATCAGTATTCAAGAGGAGTCAGGCATCGTCACCTTTTGAAGCAATGAACTCCGCGTTCCTCTCGAGGTGTCAGCGGGATGTGAGGCATTCCGTCAAAATGAGGCAGGGACCTAGGGCTTTCTCTAAGGTCTCCACAGGGGATTCAGACATCCCTTCATGTTGTGAGATGAAAGACGAGCCTGTATTCAAGCCACTGCAAGGAAATCCGGCCTCCTTTCAAGTTAGGGCTTCTCGCTGTATATTCCCCTTGAGGCAGCAAACTCGGGGTCCCTCCCACATACCTATTGCTGAGAGAAGCCTCCTCCTGAGGTGCTTCTGGGAAGTTGGCATACGTCTTGAGCCTAAGCCAGGGAATCAGCTCGCACCTCGAGACGATTTGGGGTACACGGAGCATTCCTCGAGTTGCTGTGCTGAAGTTGGTGTTCCTCTAGACTTGGGACAGTTTTCTCGGGGCTTCTCTGGAGTTGCCTGAAGGAAGTCGAGCCACCGGTCGTGTTGAATGGGGAACGGGGAATGGCTCTGGAGTCAATGCAGGGGAATCGGGCCTCATCTCGAGTTGATTTGGTGCACATGGAGCTGCTTTGCGTTGCTGGGGTGACCTCAGGGTCCGTCTAGACTGGTGACAGTGTTCTTGGGGACTGTCTCGAGATCCATTAAGCAAGTCGAAGCTCCTGACTTGTTTGAATGGGATCACGGAATAGCTCTGCATGCACTGCAGGGGAATGGGGCCTCATCTCGCCTCTAGGGGGAAGTCTCATGGTTTTTCTCGAGTTGCGGCGGGGACCTGGGGTATGTTCTCGACTTACGGCGGGGATGGCCCTTCAAAACACGAGTTTCTTCAGTGACGTCAGGACTCCTGTCTAGTAACGAGGGACACCTCAGGAATCTCTTCGAGGCTTGGCAGGGCAAAAGGGACGCTTCTCGAGGTGAGGCAGGGCACCCAAGGACCCTTTCCAGTAGCCACAGGGATTTTGGGATTCCTATCAGTATTCAAGAGGAGTCAGGCATCGTCACCTTTTGAAGCAATGAACTCCGCGTGCCTCTCGAGGTGTCAGCGGGATGTGAGGCATTCCGTCAAAATGAGGCAGGGACCTAGGGCTTTCTCTAAGGTCTCCACAGGGGATTCAGACATCCCTTCATGTTGTGAGATGAAAGACGAGCCTGTATTCAAGCCACTGCAAGGAAATCCAGCCTCCTTTCAAGTTAGGGCTTCTCGCTGTATATTCCCCTTGAGGCAGCAAACTCGGGGTCCCTCCCACATACCTATTGCTGAGAGAAGCCTCCTCCTGAGGTGCTTCTGGGAAGTTGGCATACGTCTTGAGCCTAAGCCAGGGAATCAGCTCTCATCTCGAGACGATTTGGGGTACACGGAGCATTCCTCGAGTTGCTGTGCTGAAGTTGGTGTTCCTCTAGACTTGGGACAGTGTTCTCGGGGCATCTCTGGAGTTGCCTGAAGGAAGTCGAGCCACCGGTCGTGTTGAATGGGGAACGGGGAATGGCTCTGGAGTCAATGCAGGGGAATCGGGCCTCATCTCGAGTTGATTTGGGGCACATGGAGCTGCTTTGCGTTGCTGGGGTGACCTCAGGGTCCGTCTAGACTGGTGACAGTGTTCTTGGGGACTGTCTCGAGATCCATTAAGCAAGTCGAAGCTCCTGACTTGTTTGAATGGGATCACGGAATAGCTCTGCATGCACTGCAGGGGAATGGGGCCTCATCTCGCCTCTAGGGGGAAGTCTCATGGTTTTTCTCGAGTTGCGGCGGGGACCTGGGGTATGTTCTCGACTTACGGCGGGGATGGCCCTTCAAAACACGAGTTTCTTCAGTGACGTCAGGACTCCTGTCTAGTAACGAGGGACACCTCAGGAATCTCTTCGAGGCTTGGCAGGGCAAAAAGGACGCTTCTCGAAGTGAGGCAGGGCACCCAAGGACCCTTTCCAGTAGCCACAGGGATTTTGGGATTCCTATCAGTATTCAAGAGGAGTCAGGCATCGTCACCTTTTGAAGCAATGAACTCCGCGTGCCTCTCGAGGTGTCAGCGGGATGTGAGGCATTCCGTCAAAATGAGGCAGGGACCTAGGGCTTTCTCTAAGGTCTCCACAGGGGATTCAGACATCCCTTCATGTTGTGAGATGAAAGACGAGCCTGTATTCAAGCCACTGCAAGGAAATCCGGCCTCCTTTCAAGTTAGGGCTTCTCGCTGTATATTCCCCTTGAGGCAGCAAACTCGGGGTCCCTCGCACACACCTATTGCTGAGAGAAGCCTCCTCCTGAGGTGCTTCTGGGAAGTTGGCATACGTCTTGAGCCTAAGCCAGGGAATCAGCTCCCACCTCGAGACGATTTGGGGTACACGGAGCATTCCTCGAGTTGCTGTGCTGAAGTTGGTGTTCCTCTAGACTTGGGACAGTGTTCTCGGGGCATCTCTGGAGTTGCCTGAAGGAAGTCGAGCCACCGGTCGTGTTGAATGGGGAACGGGGAATGGCTCTGGAGTCAATGCAGGGGAATCGGGCCTCATCTCGAGTTGATTTGGGGCACATGGAGCTGCTTTGCGTTGCTGGGGTGACCTCAGGGTCCGTCTAGACTGGTGACAGTGTTCTTGGGGACTGTCTCGAGATCCATTAAGCAAGTCGAAGCTCCTGACTTGTTTGAATGGGATCACGGAATAGCTCTGCATGCACTGCAGGGGAATGGGGCCTCATCTCGCCTCTAGGGGGAAGTCTCATGGTTTTTCTCGAGTTGCGGCGGGGACCTGGGGTATGTTCTCGACTTACGGCGGGGATGGCCCTTCAAAACACGAGTTTCTTCAGTGACGTCAGGACTCCTGTCTAGTAACGAGGGACACCTCAGGAATCTCTTCGAGGCTTGGCAGGGCAAAAGGGACGCTTCTCGAGGTGAGGCCGGGCACCCAAGGACCCTTTCAAGTAGCCACAGGGATTTTGGGATTCCTATCAGTATTCAAGAGGAGTAAGGCATCGTCACCTTTTGAAGCAATAAACTCCGCGTGCCTCTCGAGGTGTCAGCGCGATGTGAGGCATTCCGTCAAAATGAGACAGGGACCTGGGGCTTTCTCTAAGGTCTCCACAGGGGATTCAGACATCCCTTCATGTTGTGAGATGAAAGACGAGCCTGTATTCAAGCCACTGCAAGGAAATCCGGCCTCCTTTCAAGTTAGGGCTTCTCGCTGTATATTCCCCTTGAGGCAGCAAACTCGGGGTCCCTCCCACATACCTATTGCTGAGAGAAGCCTCCTCCTGAGCTGCTTCTGGGAAGTTGGCATACGTCTTGAGCCTAAGCCAGGGAATCAGCTCGCACCTCGAGACGATTTGGGGTACACGGAGCATTCCTCGAGTTGCTGTGCTGAAGTTGGTGTTCCTCTAGACTTGGGACAGTGTTCTCGGGGCATCTCTGGAGTTGCCTGAAGGAAGTCGAGCCACCGGTCGTGTTGAATGGGGAACGGGGAATGGCTCTGGAGTCAATGCAGGGGAATCGGGCCTCATCTCGAGTTGATTTGGGGCACATGGAGCTGCTTTGCGTTGCTGGGGTGACCTCAGGGTCCGTCTAGACTGGTGACAGTGTTCTTGGGGACTGTCTCGAGATCCATTAAGCAAGTCGAAGCTCCTGACTTGTTTGAATGGGATCACGGAATATCTCTGCATGCACTGCAGGGGAATGGGGCCTCATCTCGCCTCTAGGGGAAGTCTCATGATTTTTCTCGAGTTGCGGCGGGGACCTGGGGTATGTTCTCGACTTACGGCGGGGATGGCCCTTCAAAACACGAGTTTCTTCAGTGACGTCAGGACTCCTGTCTAGTAACGAGGGACACCTCAGGAATCTCTTCGAGGCTTGGCAGGGCAAAAGGGACGCTTCTCGAGGTGAGGCAGGGCACCCAAGGACCCTTTCCAGTAGCCACAGGGATTTTGGGATTCCTATCAGTATTCAAGAGGAGTCAGGCATCGTCACCTTTTGAAGCAATGAACTCCGCATGCCTCTCGAGGTGTCAGCGCGATGTGAGGCATTCCGTCAAAATGAGGCAGGGACCTAGGGCTTTCTCTAAGGTCTCCACAGGGGATTCAGACATCCCTTCATGTTGTGAGATGAAAGACGAGCCTGTATTCAAGCCACTGCAAGGAAATCCGGCCTCCTTTCAAGTTAGGGCTTCTCGCTGTATATTCCCCTTGAGGCAGCAAACTCGGGGTCCCTCCCACATACCTATTGCTGAGAGAAGCCTCCTCCTGAGGTGCTTCTTGGAAGTTGGCATACGTCTTGAGCCTAAGCCAGGGAATCAGCTCTCATCTCGAGACGATTTGGGGTACACGGAGCATTCCTCGAGTTGCTGTGCTGAAGTTGGTGTTCCTCTAGACTTGGGACAGTGTTCTCGGGGCATCTCTGGAGTTGCCTGAAGGAAGTCGAGCCACCGGTCGTGTTGAATGGGGAACGGGGAATGGCTCTGGAGTCAATGCAGGGTAATCGGGCCTCATCTCGAGTTGATTTGGGGCACATGGAGCTGCTTTGCGTTGCTGGGGTGACCTCAGGGTCCGTCTAGACTGGTGACAGTGTTCTTGGGGACTGTCTCGAGATCCATTAAGCAAGTCGAAGCTCCTGACTTGTTTGAATGGGATCACGGAATAGCTCTGCATGCACTGCAGGGGAATGGGGCCTCATGTCGCCTCTAGGGGGAAGTCTTATGGTTTTTCTCGAGTTGCGGCGGGGACCTGGGGTATGTTCTCGACTTACGGCGGGGATGGCCCTTCAAAACACGAGTTTCTTCAGTGACGTCAGGACTCCTGTCTAGTAACGAGGGACACCTCAGGAATCTCTTCGAGGCTTGGCAGGGCAAAAAGGACGCTTCTCGAGGTGAGGCAGGGCACCCAAGGACCCTTTCCAGTAGCCACAGGGATTTTGGGATTCCTATCAGTATTCAAGAGGAGTCAGGCATCGTCACCTTTTGAAGCAATGAACTCCGCGTGCCTCTCGAGGTGTCAGCGCGATGTGAGGCATTCCGTCAAAATGAGGCAGGGACCTAGGGCTTTCTCTAAGGTCTCCACAGGGGATTCAGACATCCCTTCATGTTGTGAGATGAAAGACGAGCCTGTATTCAAGCCACTGCAAGGAAATCCGGCCTCCTTTCAAGTTAGGGCTTCTCGCTGTATATTCCCCTTGAGGCAGCAAACTCGGGGTCCCTCGCACACACCTATTGCTGAGAGAAGCCTCCTCCTGAGGTGCTTCTGGGAAGTTGGCATACGTCTTGAGCCTAAGCCAGGGAATAAGCTCCCACCTCGAGACGATTTGGGGTACACGGAGCATTCCTCGGGTTGCTGTGCTGAAGTTGGTGTTCCTCTAGACTTGGGACAGTGTTCTCGGGGCATCTCTGGAGTTGCCTGAAGGAAGTCGAGCCACCGGTCGTGTTGAATGGGGAACGGGGAATGGCTCTGGAGTCAATGCAGGGGAATCGGGCCTCATCTCGAGTTGATTTGGGGCACATGGAGCTGCTTTGCGTTGCTGGGGTGACCTCAGGGTCCGTCTAGACTGGTGACAGTGTTCTTGGGGACTGTCTCGAGATCCATTAAGCAAGTCGAAGCTCCTGACTTGTTTGAATGGGATCACGGAATAGCTCTGCATGCACTGCAGGGGAATGGGGCCTCATCTCGCCTCTAGGGGGAAGTCTCATGGTTTTTCTCGAGTTGCGGCGGGGACCTGGGGTATGTTCTCGACTCACGGCGGGGATGGCCCTTCAAAACACGAGTTTCTTCAGTGACGTCAGGACTCCTGTCTAGTAACGAGGGACACCTCAGGAATCTCTTCGAGGCTTGGCAGGGCAAAAGGGACGCTTCTCGAGGTGAGGCAGGGCACCCAAGGACCCTTTCCAGTAGCCACAGGGATTTTGGGATTGCTTTCAGTATTCAAGAGGAGTCAGGCATCGTCACCTTTTGAAGCAATGAACTCCGCGTGCCTCTCGAGGTGTCAGCGGGATGTGAGGCATTCCGTCAAAATGAGACAGGGACCTAGGGCTTTCTCTAAGGTCTCCACAGGGGATTCAGACATCCCTTCATGTTGTGAGATGAAAAACGAGCCTGTATTCAAGCCACTGCAAGGAAATCCGGCCTCCTTTCAAGTTAGGGCTTCTCGCTGTATATTCCCCTTGAGGCAGCAAACTCGGGGTCCCTCCCACATACCTATTGCTGACAGAAGCCTCCTCCTGAGCTGCTTCTGGGAAGTTGTCATACGTCTTGAGCCTAAGCCAGGGAATCAGCTCGCACCTCGAGACGATTTGGGGTACACGGAGCATTCCTCGAGTTGCTGTGCTGAAGTTGGTGTTCCTCTAGACTTGGGACAGTGTTCTCGGGGCATCTCTGGAGTTGCCTGAAGGAAGTCGAGCCACCGGTCGTGTTGAATGGGGAACGGGGAATGGCTCTGGAGTCAATGCAGGGGAATCGGGCCTCATCTCGAGTTGATTTGGGGCACATGGAGCTGCTTTGCGTTGCTGGGGTGACCTCAGGGTCCGTCTAGACTGGTGACAGTGTTCTTGGGGACTGTCTCGAGATCCATTAAGCAAGTCGAAGCTCCTGACTTGTTTGAATGGGATCACGGAATAGCTCTGCATGCACTGCAGGGGAATGGGGCCTCATCTCGCCTCTAGGGGAAGTCTCATGGTTTTTCTCGAGTTGCGGCGGGGACCTGGGGTATGTTCTCGACTTACGGCGGGGATGGCCCTTCAAAACACGAGTTTCTTCAGTGACGTCAGGACTCCTGTCTAGTAACGAGGGACACCTCAGGAATCTCTTCGAGGCTTGGCAGGGCAAAAGGGACGCTTCTCGAGGTGAGGCAGGGCACCCAAGGACCCTTTCGAGTAGCCACAGGGATTTTGGGATTCCTATCAGTATTCAAGAGGAGTCAGGCATCGTCACCTTTTGAAGCAATGAACTCCGCGTGCCTCTCGAGGTGTCAGCGGGATGTGAGGCATTCCGTCAAAATGAGGCAGGGACCTAGGGCTTTCTCTAAGGTCTCCACAGGGGATTCAGACATCCCTTCATGTTGTGAGATGAAAGACGAGCCTGTATTCAAGCCACTGCAAGGAAATCCGGCCTCCTTTCAAGTTAGGGCTTCTCGCTGTATATTCCCCTTGAGGCAGCAAACTCGGGGTCCCTCCCACATACCTATTGCTGAGAGAAGCCTCCTCCTGAGGTGCTTCTGGGAAGTTGGCATACGTCTTGAGCCTAAGCCAGGGAATCAGCTCTCATCTCGAGACGATTTGGGGTACACGGAGCATTCCTCGAGTTGCTGTGCTGAAGTTGGTGTTCCTCTAGACTTGGGACAGTGTTCTCGGGGCATCTCTGGAGTTGCCTGAAGGAAGTCGAGCCACCGGTCGTGTTGAATGGGGAATGGGGAATGGCTCTGGAGTCAATGCAGGGGAATCGGGCCTCATCTCGAGTTGATTTGGGGCACATGGAGCTGCTTTGCGTTGCTGGGGTGACCTCAGGGTCCGTCTAGACTGGTGACAGTGTTCTTGGGGACTGTCTCGAGATCCATTAAGCAAGTCGAAGCTCCTGACTTGTTTGAATGGGATCACGGAATAGCTCTGCATGCACTGCAGGGGAATGGGGCCTCATCTCGCCTCTAGGGGGAAGTCTCATGGTTTTTCTCGAGTTGCGGCGGGGACCTGGGGTATGTTCTCGACTTACGGCGGGGATGGCCCTTCAAAACACGAGTTTCTTCAGTGACGTCAGGACTCCTGTCTAGTAACGAGGGACACCTCAGGAATCTCTTCGAGGCTTGGCAGGGCAAAAGGGACGCTTCTCGAGGTGAGGCAGGGCACCCAAGGACCCTTTCCAGTAGCCACAGGGATTTTGGGATTCCTATCAGTATTCAAGAGGAGTCAGGCATCGTCACCTTTTGAAGCAATGAACTCCGCGTGCCTCTCGAGGTGTCAGCGGGATGTGAGGCATTCCGTCAAAATGAGGCAGGGACCTAGGGCTTTCTCTAAGGTCTCCACAGGGGATTCAGACATCCCTTCATGTTGTGAGATGAAAGACGAGCCTGTATTCAAGCCACTGCAAGGAAATCCGGCCTCCTTTCAAGTTAGGGCTTCTCGCTGTATATTCTCCTTGAGGCAGCAAACTCGGGGTCCCTCCCACATACCTATTGCTGAGAGAAGCCTCCTCCTGAGGTGCTTCTGGGAAGTTGGCATACGTCTTGAGCCTAAGCCAGGGAATCAGCTCTCATCTCGAGACGATTTGGGGTACACGGAGCATTCCTCGAGTTGCTGTGCTGAAGTTGGTGTTCCTCTAGACTTGGGACAGTGTTCTCGGGGCATCTCTGGAGTTGCTTGAAGGAAGTCGAGCCACCGGTCGTGTTGAATAGGGAACGGGGAATGGCTCTGGAGTCAATGCAGGGGAATCGGGCCTCATCTCGAGTTGATTTGGGGCACATGGAGCTGCTTTGCGTTGCTGGGGTGACCTCAGGGTCCGTCTAGACTGGTGACAGTGTTCTTGGGGACTGTCTCGAGATCCATTAAGCAAGTCGAAGCTCCTGACTTGTTTGAATGGGATCACGGAATAGCTCTGCATGCACTGCAGGGGAATGGGGCCTCATGTCGCCTCTAGGGGGAAGTCTCATGGTTTTTCTCGAGTTGCGGCGGGGACCTGGGGTATGTTCTCGACTTACGGCGGGGATGGCCCTTCAAAACACGAGTTTCTTCAGTGACGTCAGGACTCCTGTCTAGTAACGAGGGACACCTCAGGAATCTCTTCGAGGCTTGGCAGGGCAAAAGGGACGCTTCTCGAGGTGAGGCAGGGCACCCAAGGACCCTTTCCAGTAGCCACAGGGATTTTGGGATTCCTATCAGTATTCAAGAGGAGTCAGGCATCGTCACCTTTTGAAGCAATGAACTCCGCGTGCCTCTCGAGGTGTCAGCGGGATGTGAGGCATTCCGTCAAAATGAGGCAGGGACCTAGGGCTTTCTCTAAGGTCTCCACAGGGGATTCAGACATCCCTTCATGTTGTGAGATGAAAGACGAGCCTGTATTCAAGCCACTGCAAGGAAATCCGGCCTCCTTTCAAGTTAGGGCTTCTCGCTGTATATTCCCCTTGAGGCAGCAAACTCGGGGTCCCTCGCACATACCTATTGCTGAGAGAAGCCTCCTCCTGAGGTGCTTCTGGGAAGTTGGCATACGTCTTGAGCCTAAGCCAGGGAATCAGCTCTCATCAGGAGACGATTTGGGGTACACGGAGCATTCCTCGAGTTGCTGTGCTGAAGTTGGTGTTCCTCTAGACTTGGGACAGTGTTCTCGGGGCATCTCTGGAGTTGCCTGAAGGAAGTCGAGCCACCGGTCGTGTTGAATGGGGAACGGGGAATGGCTCTGGAGTCAATGCAGGGGAATCGGGCCTCATCTCGAGTTGATTTGGGGCACATGGAGCTGCTTTGCGTTGCTGGGGTGACCTCAGGGTCCGTCTAGATTGGTGACAGTGTTCTTGGGGACTGTCTCGAGATCCATTAAGCAAGTCGAAGCTCCTGACTTGTTTGAATGGGATCACGGAATAGCTCTGCATGCACTGCAGGGGAATGGGGCCTCATCTCGCCTCTAGGGGGAAGTCTCATGGTTTTTCTCGAGTTGCGGCGGGGACCTGGGGTATGTTCTCGACTTACGGCGGGGATGGCCCTTCAAAACACGAGTTTCTTCAGTGACGTCAGGACTCCTGTCTAGTAACGAGGGACACCTCAGGAATCTCTTCGAGGCTTGGCAGGGCAAAAGGGACGCTTCTCGAGGTGAGGCAGGGCACCCAAGGACCCTTTCCAGTAGCCACAGGGATTTTGGGATTCCTATCAGTATTCAAGAGGAGTCAGGCATCGTCACCTTTTGAAGCAATGAACTCCGCGTGCCTCTCGAGGTGTCAGCGGGATGTGAGGCATTCCGTCAAAATGAGGCAGGGACCTAGGGCTTTCTCTAAGGTCTCCACAGGGGATTCAGACATCCCTTCATGTTGTGAGATGAAAGACGAGCCTGTATTCAAGCCACTGCAAGGAAATCCGGCCTCCTTTCAAGTTAGGGCTTCTCGCTGTATATTCCCCTTGAGGCAGCAAACTCGGGGTCCCTCCCACATACCTATTGCTGAGAGAAGCCTCCTCCTGAGGTGCTTCTGGGAAGTTGGCATACGTCTTGAGCCTAAGCCAGGGAATCAGCTCTCATCTCGAGACGATTTGGGGTACACGGAGCATTCCTCCAGTTGCTGTGCTGAAGTTGGTGTTCCTCTAGACTTGGGACAGTGTTCTCGGGGCATCTCTGGAGTTGCCTGAAGGAAGTCGAGAAAACCGGTCGTGTTGAATGGGGAATGGGGAATGGCTCTGGAGTCAATGCAGGGGAATCGGGCCTCATCTCGAGTTGATTTGGGGCACATGGAGCTGCTTTGCGTTGCTGGGGTGACCTCAGGGTCCGTCTAGACTGGTGACAGTGTTCTTGGGGACTGTCTCGAGATCCATTAAGCAAGTCGAAGCTCCTGACTTGTTTGAATGGGATCACGGAATAGCTCTGCATGCACTGCAGGGGAATGGGGCCTCATCTCGCCTCTAGGGGGAAGTCTCATGGTTTTTCTCGAGTTGCGGCGGGGACCTGGGGTATGTTCTCGACTTACGGCGGGGATGGCCCTTCAAAACACGAGTTTCTTCAGTGACGTCAGGACTCCTGTCTAGTAACGAGGGACACCTCAGGAATCTCTTCGAGGCTTGGCAGGGCAAAAAGGACGCTTCTCGAGGTGAGGCAGGGCACCCAAGGACCCTTTCCAGTAGCCACAGGGATTTTGGGATTCCTATCAGTATTCAAGAGGAGTCAGGCATCGTCACCTTTTGAAGCAATGAACTCCGCGTGCCTCTCGAGGTGTCAGCGGGATGTGAGGCATTCCGTCAAAATGAGGCAGGGACCTAGGGCTTTCTCTAAGGTCTCCACAGGGGATTCAGACATCCCTTCATGTTGTGAGATGAAAGACGAGCCTGTATTCAAGCCACTGCAAGGAAATCCGGCCTCCTTTCAAGTTAGGGCTTCTCGCTGTATATTCCCCTTGAGGCAGCAAACTCGGGGTCCCTCCCACACACCTATTGCTGAGAGAAGCCTCCTCCTGAGGTGCTTCTGGGAAGTTGGCATACGTCTTGAGCCTAAGCCAGGGAATCAGCTCTCATCTCGAGACGATTTGGTGTACACGGAGCATTCCTCCAGTTGCTGTGCTGAAGTTGGTGTTCCTCTAGACTTGGGACAGTGTTCTCGGGGCATCTCTGGAGTTGCCTGAAGGAAGTCGAGCCACCGGTCGTGTTGAATGGGGAACGGGGAATGGCTCTGGAGTCAATGCAGGGGAATCGGGCCTCATCTCGAGTTGATTTGGGGCACATGGAGCTGCTTTGCGTTGCTGGGGTGACCTCAGGGTCCGTCTAGACTGGTGACAGTGTTCTTGGGGACTGTCTCGAGATCCATTAAGCAAGTCGAAGCTCCTGACTTGTTTGAATGGGATCACGGAATAGCTCTGCATGCACTGCAGGGGAATGGGGCCTCATCTCGCCTCTAGGGGGAAGTCTCATGGTTTTTCTCGAGTTGCGGCGGGGACCTGGGGTATGTTCTCGACTTACGGCGGGGATGGCCCTTCAAAACACGAGTTTCATCAGTGACGTCAGGACTCCTGTCTAGTAACGAGGGACACCTCAGGAATCTCTTCGAGGCTTGGCAGGGCAAAAAGGACGCTTCTCGAGGTGAGGCAGGGCACCCAAGGACCCTTTCCAGTAGCCACAGTGATTTTGGGATTCCTATCAGTATTCAAGAGGAGTCAGGCATCGTCACCTTTTGAAGCAATGAACTCCGCGTGCCTCTCGAGGTGTCAGCGGGATGTGAGGCATTCCGTCAAAATGAGGCAGGGACCTAGGGCTTTCTCTAAGGTCTCCACAGGGGATTCAGACATCCCTTCATGTTGTGAGATGAAAGACGAGCCTGTATTCAAGCCACTGCAAGGAAATCCGGCCTCCTTTCAAGTTAGGGCTTCTCGCTGTATATTCCCCTTGAGGCAGCAAACTCGGGGTCCCTCGCACATACCTATTGCTGAGAGAAGCCTCCTCCTGAGGTGCTTCTGGGAAGTTGGCATACATCTTGAGCCTAAGCCAGGGAATCAGCTCGCACCTCGAGACGATTTGGGGTACACGGAGCATTCCTCGAGTTGCTGTGCTGAAGTTGGTGTTCCTCTAGACTTGGGACAGTGTTCTCGGGGCATCTCTGGAGTTGCCTGAAGGAAGTCGAGCCACCGGTCGTGTTGAATGGGGAACGGGGAATGGCTCTGGAGTCAATGCAGGGGAATCGGGCCTCATCTCGAGTTGATTTGGGGCACATGGAGCTGCTTTGCGTTGCTGGGGTGACCTCAGGGTCCGTCTAGACTGGTGACAGTGTTCTTGGGGACTGTCTCGAGATCCATTAAGCAAGTCGAAGCTCCTGACTTGTTTGAATGGGATCACGGAATAGCTCTGCATGCACTGCAGGGGAATGGGGCCTCATCTCGCCTCTAGGGGGAAGTCTCATGGTTTTTCTCGAGTTGCGGCGGGGACCTGGGGTATGTTCTCGACTTACGGCGGGGATGGCCCTTCAAAACACGAGTTTCTTCAGTGACGTCAGGACTCCTGTCTAGTAACGAGGGACACCTCAGGAATCTCTTCGAGGCTTGGCAGGGCAAAAGGGACGCTTCTCGAGGTGAGGCAGGGCACCCAAGGACCCTTTCCAGTAGCCACAGGGATTTTGGGATTCCTATCAGTATTCAAGAGGAGTCAGGCATCGTCACCTTTTGAAGCAATGAACTCCGCGTGCCTCTCGAGGTGTCAGCGGGATGTGAGGCATTCCGTCAAAATGAGGCAGGGACCTAGGGCTTTCTCTAAGGTCTCCACAGGGGATTCAGACATCCCTTCATGTTGTGAGATGAAAGACGAGCCTGTATTCAAGCCACTGCAAGGAAATCCGGCCTCCTTTCAAGTTAGGGCTTCTCGCTGTATATTCCCCTTGAGGCAGCAAACTCGGGGTCCCTCCCACACACCTATTGCTGAGAGAAGCCTCCTCCTGAGGTGCTTCTGGGAAGTTGGCATACGTCTTAGGCCTAAGCCAGGGAATCAGCTCTCATCTCGAGACGATTTGGGGTACACGGAGCATTCCTCGAGTTGCTGTGCTGAAGTTGGTGTTCCTCTAGACTTGGGACAGTGTTCTCGGCGCATCTCTGGAGTTGCCTGAAGGAAGTCGAGACACCGGTCGTGTTGAATGGGGAACGGGGAATGGCTCTGGAGTCAATGCAGGGGAATCGGGCCTCATCTCGAGTTGATTTGGGGCACATGGAGCTGCTTTGCGTTGCTGGGGTGACCTCAGGGTCCGTCTAGACTGGTGACAGTGTTCTTGGGGACTGTCTCGAGATCCATTAAGCAAGTCGAAGCTCCTGACTTGTTTGAATGGGATCACGGAATAGCTCTGCATGCACTGCAGGGGAATGGGGCCTCATCTCGCCTCTAGGGGGAAGTCTCATGGTTTTTCTCGAGTTGCGGCGGGGACCTGGGGTATGTTCTCGACTTACGGCGGGGATGGCCCTTCAAAACACGAGTTTCTTCAGTGACGTCAGGACTCCTGTCTAGTAACGAGGGACACCTCAGGAATCTCTTCGAGGCTTGGCAGGGCAAAAGGGACGCTTCTCGAGGTGAGGCAGGGCACCCAAGGACCCTTTCCAGTAGCCACAGGGATTTTGGGATTCCTATCAGTATTCAAGAGGAGTCAGGCATCGTCACCTTTTGAAGCAATGAACTCCGCGTGCCTCTCGAGGTGTCAGCGGGATGTGAGGCATTCCGTCAAAATGAGGCAGGGACCTAGGGCTTTCTCTAAGGTCTCCACAGGGGATTCAGACATCCCTTCATGTTGTGAGATGAAAGACGAGCCTGTATTCAAGCCACTGCAAGGAAATCCGGCCTCCTTTCAAGTTAGGGCTTCTCGCTGTATATTCCCCTTGAGGCAGCAAACTCGGGGTCCCTCCCACATACCTATTGCTGAGAGAAGCCTCCTCCTGAGGTGCTTCTGGGAAGTTGGCATACGTCTTGAGCCTAAGCCAGGGAATCAGCTCTCATCTCGAGACGATTTGGGGTACACGGAGCATTCCTCGAGTTGCTGTGCTGAAGTTGGTGTTCCTCTAGACTTGGGACAGTGTTCTCGGGGCATCTCTGGAGTTGCCTGAAGGAAGTCGAGCCACCGGTCGTGTTGAATGGGGAACGGGGAATGGCTCTGGAGTCAATGCAGGGGAATCGGGCCTCATCTCGAGTTGATTTGGGGCACATGGAGCTGCTTTGCGTTGCTGGGGTGACCTCAGGGTCCGTCTAGACTGGTGACAGTGTTCTTGGGGACTGTCTCGAGATCCATTAAGCAAGTCGAAGCTCCTGACTTGTTTGAATGGGATCACGGAATAGCTCTGCATGCACTGCAGGGGAATGGGGCCTCATCTCGCCTCTAGGGGGAAGTCTCATGGTTTTTCTCGAGTTGCGGCGGGGACCTGGGGTATGTTCTCGACTTACGGCGGGGATGGCCCTTCAAAACACGAGTTTCTTCAGTGACGTCAGGACTCCTGTCTAGTAACGAGGGACACCTCAGGAATCTCTTCGAGGCTTGGCAGGGCAAAAAGGACGCTTCTCGAGGTGAGGCAGGGCACCCAAGGACCCTTTCCAGTAGCCACAGTGATTTTGGGATTCCTATCAGTATTCAAGAGGAGTCAGGCATCGTCACCTTTTAAAGCAATGAACTCCGCGTGCCTCTCGAGGTGTCAGCGCGATGTGAGGCATTCCGTCAAAATGAGGCAGGGACCTAGGGCTTTATCTAAGGTCTCCACAAGGGATTCAGACATCCCTTCATGTTGTGAGATGAAAGACGAGCCTGTATTCAAGCCACTGCAAGGAAATCCGGCCTCCTTTCAAGTTAGGGCTTCTCGCTGTATATTCCCCTTGAGGCAGCAAACTCGGGGTCCCTCCCACACACCTATTGCTGAGAGAAGCCTCCTCCTGAGGTGCTTCTGGGAAGTTGGCATACGTCTTAGGCCTAAGCCAGGGAATCAGCTCTCATCTCCAGACGATTTGGGGTACACGGAGCATTCCTCCAGTTGCTGTGCTGAAGTTGGTGTTCCTCTAGACTTGGGACAGTGTTCTCGGGGCATCTCTGGAGTTGCCTGAAGGAAGTCGAGCCACCGGTCGTGTTGAATGGGGAACGGGGAATGGCTCTGGAGTCAATGCAGGGGAATCGGGCCTCATCTCGAGTTGATTTGGGGCACATGGAGCTGCTTTGCGTTGCTGGGGTGACCTCAGGGTCCGTCTAGACTGGTGACAGTGTTCTTGGGGACTGTCTCGAGATCCATTAAGCAAGTCGAAGCTCCTGACTTGTTTGAATGGGATCACGGAATAGCTCTGCATGCACTGCAGGGGAATGGGGCCTCATCTCGCCTCTAGGGGGAAGTCTCATGGTTTTTCTCGAGTTGCGGCGGGGACCTGGGGTATGTTCTCGACTTACGGCGGGGATGGCCCTTCAAAACACGAGTTTCTTCAGTGACGTCAGGACTCCTGTCTAGTAACGAGGGACACCTCAGGAATCTCTTCGAGGCTTGGCAGGGCAAAAAGGACGCTTCTCGAGGTGAGGCAGGGCACCCAAGGACCCTTTCCAGTAGCCACAGGGATTTTGGGATTCCTATCAGTATTCAAGAGGAGTCAGGCATCGTCACCTTTTGAAGCAATGAACTCCGCGTGCCTCTCGAGGTGTCAGCGGGATGTGAGGCATTCCGTCAAAATGAGGCAGGGACCTAGGGCTTTCTCTAAGGTCTCCACAGGGGATTCAGACATCCCTTCATGTTGTGAGATGAAAGACGAGCCTGTATTCAAGCCACTGCAAGGAAATCCGACCTCCTTTCAAGTTAGGGCTTCTCGCTGTATATTCCCCTTGAGGCAGCAAACTCGGTGTCCCTCCCACATACCTATTGCTGAGAGAAGCCTCCTCCTGAGGTGCTTCTGGGAAGTTGGCATACGTCTTGAGCCTAAGCCAGGGAATCAGCTCTCATCTCGAGACGATTTGGGGTACACGGAGCATTCCTCCAGTTGCTGTGCTGAAGTTGGTGTTCCTCTAGACTTGGGACAGTGTTCTCGGGGCATCTCTGGAGTTGCCTGAAGGAAGTCGAGCCACCGGTCGTGTTGAATGGGGAACGGGGAATGGCTCTGGAGTCAATGCAGGGGAATCGGGCCTCATCTCGAGTTGATTTGGGGCACATGGAGCTGCTTTGCGTTGCTGGGGTGACCTCAGGGTCCGTCTAGACTGGTGACAGTGTTCTTGGGGACTGTCTCGAGATCCATTAAGCAAGTCGAAGCTCCTGACTTGTTTGAATGGGATCACGGAATAGCTCTGCATGCACTGCAGGGGAATGGGGCCTCATCTCGCCTCTAGGGGGAAGTCTCATGGTTTTTCTCGAGTTGCGGCGGGGACCTGGGGTATGTTCTCGACTTACGGCGGGGATGGCCCTTCAAAACACGAGTTTCTTCAGTGACGTCAGGACTCCTGTCTAGTAACGAGGGACACCTCAGGAATCTCTTCGAGGCTTGGCAGGGCAAAAAGGACGCTTCTCGAGGTGAGGCAGGGCACCCAAGGACCCTTTCCAGTAGCCACAGGGATTTTGGGATTCCTATCAGTATTCAAGAGGAGTCAGGCATCGTCACCTTTTGAAGCAATGAACTCCGCGTGCCTCTCGAGGTGTCAGCGCGATGTGAGGCATTCCGTCAAAATGAGGCAGGGACCTAGGGCTTTCTCTAAGGTCTCCACAAGGGATTCAGACATCCCTTCATGTTGTGAGATGAAAGACGAGCCTGTATTCAAGCCACTGCAAGGAAATCCGGCCTCCTTTCAAGTTAGGGCTTCTCGCTGTATATTCCCCTTGAGGCAGCAAACTCGGGGTCCCTCGCACATACCTATTGCTGAGAGAAGCCTCCTCCTGAGGTGCTTCTGGGAAGTTGGCATACGTCTTGAGCCTAAGCCAGGGAATCAGCTCGCACCTCGAGACGATTTGGGGTACACGGAGCATTCCTCGAGTTGCTGTGCTGAAGTTCGTGTTCCTCTAGACTTGGGACAGTGTTCTCGGGGCATCTCTGGAGTTGCCTGAAGGAAGTCGAGCCACCGGTCGTGTTGAATGGGGAACGGGGAATGGCTCTGGAGTCAATGCACAGGAATCGGGCCTCATCTCGAGTTGATTTGGGGCACATGGAGCTGCTTTGCGTTGCTGGGGTGACCTCAGGGTCCGTCTAGACTGGTGACAGCGTTCTTGGGGACTGTCTCGAGATCCATTAAGCAAGTCGAAGCTCCTGACTTGTTTGAATGGGATCACGGAATAGCTCTGCATGCACTGCAGGGGAATGGGGCCTCATCTCGCCTCTAGGGGGAAGTCTCATGGTTTTTCTCGAGTTGCGGCGGGGACCTGGGGTATGTTCTCGACTTACGGCGGGGATGGCCCTTTAAAACACGAGTTTCTTCAGTGACGTCAGGACTCCTGTCTAGTAACGAGGGACACCTCAGGAATCTCTTCGAGGCTTGGCAGGGCAAAAGGGACGCTTCTCGAGGTGAGGCAGGGCACCCAAGGACCCTTTCGAGTAGCCACAGGGATTTTGGGATTCCTATCAGTATTCAAGAGGAGTCAGGCATCGTCACCTTTTGAAGCAATGAACTCCGCGTGCCTCTCGAGGTGTCAGCGGGATGTGAGGCATTCTGTCAAAATGAGGCAGGGACCTAGGGCTTTCTCTAAGGTCTCCACAGGGGATTCAGACATCCCTTCATGTTGTGAGATGAAAGACGAGCCTGTATTCAAGCCACTGCAAGGAAATCCGGCCTCCTTTCAAGTTAGGGCTTCTCGCTGTATATTCCCCTTGAGGCAGCAAACTCGGGGTCCCTCCCACATACCTATTGCTGAGAGAAGCCTCCTCCTGAGGTGCTTCTGGGAAGTTGGCATACGTCTTGAGCCTAAGCCAGGGAATCAGCTCTCATCTCGAGACGATTTGGGGTACACGGAGCATTCCTCCAGTTGCTGTGCTGAAGTTGGTGTTCCTCTAGACTTGGGACAGTGTTCTCGGGGCATCTCTGGAGTTGCCTGAAGGAAGTCGAGCCACCGGTCGTGTTGAATGGGGAACGGGGAATGGCTCTGGAGTCAATGCAGGGGAATCGGGCCTCATCTCGAGTTGATTTGGGGCACATGGAGCTGCTTTGCGTTGCTGGGGTGACCTCAGGGTCCGTCTAGACTGGTGACAGTGTTCTTGGGGACTGTCTCGAGATCCATTAAGCAAGTCGAAGCTCCTGACTTGTTTGAATGGGATCACGGAATAGCTCTGCATGCACTGCAGGGGAATGGGGCCTCATCTCGCCTCTAGGGGGAAGTCTCATGGTTTTTCTCGAGTTGCGGCGGGGACCTGGGGTATGTTCTCGACTTACGGCGGGGATGGCCCTTCAAAACACGAGTTTCTTCAGTGACGTCAGGACTCCTGTCTAGTAACGAGGGACACCTCAGGAATCTCTTCGAGGCTTGGCAGGGCAAAAGGGACGCTTCTCGAGGTGAGGCAGGGCACCCAAGGACCCTTTCCAGTAGCCACAGGGATTTTGGGATTCCTATCAGTATTCAAGAGGAGTCAGGCATCGTCACCTTTTGAAGCAATGAACTCCGCCTGCCTCTCGAGGTGTCAGCGCGATGTGAGGCATTCCGTCAAAATGAGGCAGGGACCTAGGGCTTTCTCTAAGGTCTCCACAGGGGATTCAGACATCCCTTCATGTTGTGAGATGAAAGACGAGCCTGTATTCAAGCCACTGCAAGGAAATCCGGCCTCCTTTCAAGTTAGGGCTTCTCGCTGTATATTCCCCTTGAGGCAGCAAACTCGGGTCCCTCCCACATACCTATTGCTGAGAGAAGCCTCCTCCTGAGGTGCTTCTGGGAAGTTGGCATACGTCTTGAGCCTAAGCCAGGGAATCAGCTCTCATCTCGAGACGATTTGGGGTACACGGAGCATTCCTCGAGTTGCTGTGCTGAAGTTGGTGTTCCTCTAGACTTGGGACAGTGTTCTCGGGGCATCTCTGCAGTTGCCTGAAGGAAGTCGAGCCACCGGTCGTGTTGAATGGGGAACGGGGAATGGCTCTGGAGTCAATGCAGGGGAATCGGGCCTCATCTCGAGTTGATTTGGGGCACATGGAGCTGCTTTGCGTTGCTGGGGTGACCTCAGGGTCCGTCTAGACTGGTGACAGTGTTCTTGGGGACTGTCTCGAGATCCATTAAGCAAGTCGAAGCTCCTGACTTGTTTGAATGGGATCACGGAATAGCTCTGCATGCACTGCAGGGGAATGGGGCCTCATCTCGCCTCTAGGGGGAAGTCTCATGGTTTTTCTCGAGTTGCGGCGGGGACCTGGGGTATGTTCTCGACTTACGGCGGGGATGGCCCTTCAAAACACGAGTTTCTTCAGTGACGTCAGGACTCCTGTCTAGTAACGAGGGACACCTCAGGAATCTCTTCGAGGCTTGGCAGGGCAAAAGGGACGCTTCTCGAGGTGAGGCAGGGCACCCAAGAACCCCTTCCAGTAGCCACAGGGATTTTGGGATTCCTATCAGTATTCAAGAGGAGTCAGGCATCGTCAACTTTTGAAGCAATGAACTCCGCCTGCCTCTCGAGGTGTCAGCGCGATGTGAGGCATTCCGTCAAAATGAGGCAGGGACCTAGGGCTTTCTCTAAGGTCTCCACAGGGGATTCAGACATCCCTTCATGTTGTGAGATGAAAGACGAGCCTGTATTCAAGCCACTGCAAGGAAATCCGGCCTCCTTTCAAGTTAGGGCTTCTCGCTGTATATTCCCCTTGAGGCAGCAAACTCGGGTCCCTCCCACATACCTATTGCTGAGAGAAGCCTCCTCCTGAGGTGCTTCTGGGAAGTTGGCATACGTCTTGAGCCTAAGCCAGGGAATCAGCTCGCATCTCGAGACGATTTGGGGTACACGGAGCATTCCTCGAGTTGCTGTGCTGAAGTTGGTGTTCCTCTAGACTTGGGACAGTGTTCTCGGGGCATCTCTGGAGTTGCCTGAAGGAAGTCGAGCCACCAGTCGTGTTGAATGGGGAACGGGGAATGGCTCTGGAGTCAATGCAGGGGAATCGGGCCTCATCTCGAGTTGATTTGGGGCACATGGAGCTGCTTTGCGTTGCTGGGGTGACCTCAGGGTCCGTCTAGACTGGTGACAGTGTTCTTGGGGACTGTCTCGAGATCCATTAAGCAAGTCGAAGCTCCTGACTTGTTTGAATGGGATCACGGAATAGCTCTGCATGCACTGCAGGGGAATGGGGCCTCATCTCGCCTCTAGGGGGAAGTCTCATGGTTTTTCTCGAGTTGCGGCGGGGACCTGGGGTATGTTCTCGACTTACGGCGGGGATGGCCCTTCAAAACACGAGTTTCTTCAGTGACGTCAGGACTCCTGTCTAGTAACGAGGGACACCTCAGGACTCTCTTCGAGGCTTGGCAGGGCAAAAGGGACGCTTCTCGAGGTGAGGCAGGGCACCCAAGGACCCTTTCCAGTAGCCACAGGGATTTTGGGATTCCTATCAGTATTCAAGAGGAGTCAGGCATCGTCACCTTTTGAAGCAATGAACTCCGCGTGCCTCTCGAGGTGTCAGCGGGATGTGAGGCATTCCGTCAAAATGAGGCAGGGACCTAGGGCTTTCTCTAAGGTCTCCACAGGGGATTCAGACATCCCTTCATGTTGTGAGATGAAAGACGAGCCTGTATTCAAGCCACTGCAAGGAAATCCGGCCTCCTTTCAAGTTAGGGCTTCTCGCTGTATATTCCCCTTGAGGCAGCAAACTCGGGGTCCCTCCCACATACCTATTGCTGAGAGAAGCCTCCTCCTGAGGTGCTTCTGGGAAGTTGGCATACGTCTTGAGCCTAAGCCAGGGAATCAGCTCGCATCTGGAGACGATTTGGTGTACACGGAGCATTCCTCGAGTTGCTGTGCTGAAGTTGGTGTTCCTCTAGACTTGGGACAGTGTTCTCGGGGCATCTCTGGAGTTGCCTGAAGGAAGTCGAGCCACCGGTCGTGTTGAATGGGGAACGGGGAATGGCTCTGGAGTCAATGCAGGGGAATCGGGCCTCATCTCGAGTTGATTTGGGGCACATGGAACTGCTTTGCGTTGCTGGGGTGACCTCAGGGTCCGTCTAGACTGGTGACAGTGTTCTTGGGGACTGTCTCGAGATCCATTAAGCAAGTCGAAGCTCCTGACTTGTTTGAATGGGATCACGGAATAGCTCTGCATGCACTGCAGGGGAATGGGGCCTCATCTCGCCTCTAGGGGGATGTCTCATGGTTTTTCTCGAGTTGCGGCGGGGACCTGGGGTATGTTCTCGACTTACAGCGGGGATGGCCCTTCAAAACACGAGTTTCTTCAGTGACGTCAGGACTCCTGTCTAGTAACGAGGGACACCTCAGGAATCTCTTCGAGGCTTGGCAGGGCAAAAGGGACGCTTCTCGAGGTGAGGCAGGGCACCCAAGGACCCTTTCCAGTAGCCACAGGGATTTTGGGATTCCTATCAGTATTCAAGAGGAGTCAGGCATCGTCACCTTTTGAAGCAATGAACTCCGCGTGCCTCTCGAGGTGTCAGCGGGATGTGAGGCATTCCGTCAAAATGAGGCAGGGAACTAGGGCTTTCTCTAAGGTCTCCACAGGGGATTCAGACATCCCTTCATGTTGTGAGATGAAAGACGAGCCTGTATTCAAGCCACTGCAACGAAATCCGGCCTCCTTTCAAGTTAGGGCTTCTCGCTGTATATTCCCCTTGAGGCAGCAAACTCGGGGTCCCTCGCACATACCTATTGCTGAGAGAAGCCTCCTCCTGAGGTGCTTCTGGGAAGTTGGCATACGTCTTGAGCCTAAGCCAGTGAATCAGCTCTCATCTCGAGACGATTTGGGGTACACGGAGCATTCCTCGAGTTGCTGTGCTGAAGTTGGTGTTCCTCTAGACTTGGGACAGTGTTCTCGGGGCATCTCTGCAGTTGCCTGAGGGAAGTCGAGCCACCGGTCGTGTTGAATGGGGAACGGGGAATGGCTCTGGAGTCAATGCAGGGGAATCGGGCCTCATCTCGAGTTGATTTGGGGCACATGGAGCTGCTTTGCGTTGCTGGGGTGACCTCAGGGTCCGTCTAGACTGGTGACAGTGTTCTTGGGGACTGTCTCGAGATCCATTAAGCAAGTCGAAGCTCCTGACTTGTTTGAATGGGATCACGGAATAGCTCTGCATGCACTGCAGGGGAATGGGGCCTCATCTCGCCTCTAGGGGGAAGTCTCATGGTTTTTCTCGAGTTGCGGCGGGGACCTGGGTATGTTCTCGACTTACGGCGGGGATGGCCCTTCAAAACACGAGTTTCTTCAGTGACGTCAGGACTCCTGTCTAGTAACGAGGGACACCTCAGGAATCTCTTCGAGGCTTGGCAGGGCAAAAGGGACGCTTCTCGAGGTGAGGCAGCGCACCCAAGGACCCTTTCCAGTAGCCACAGGGATTTTGGGATTCCTATCAGTATTCAAGAGGAGTCAGGCATCGTCACCTTTTGAAGCAATGAACTCCGCGTGCCTCTCGATGTGTCAGCGGGATGTGAGGCATTCCGTCAAAATGAGGCAGGGACCTAGGGCTTTCTCTAAGGTCTCCACAGGGGATTCAGACATCCCTTCATGTTGTGAGATGAAAGACGAGCCTGTATTCAAGCCACTGCAAGGAAATCCGGCCTCCTTTCAAGTTAGGGCTTCTCACTGTATATTCCCCTTGAGGCAGCAAACTCGGGGTCCCTCCCACATACCTATTGCTGAGAGAAGCCTCCTCCTGAGGTGCTTCTGGGAAGTTGGCATACGTCTTGAGCCTAAGCCAGGGAATCAGCTCTCATCTCGAGACGATTTGGGGTACACGGAGCATTCCTCGAGTTGCTGTGCTGAAGTTGGTGTTCCTCTAGACTTGGGACAGTGTTCTCGGGGCATCTTTGCAGTTGCCTGAGGGAAGTCGAGCCACCGGTCGTGTTGAATGGGGAACGGGGAATGGCTCTGGAGTCAATGCAGGGGAATCGGGCCTCATCTCGAGTTGATTTGGGGCACATGGAGCTGCTTTGCGTTGCTGGGGTGACCTCAGGGTCCGTCTAGACTGGTGACAGTGTTCTTGGGGACTGTCTCGAGATCCATTAAGCAAGTCGAAGCTCCTGACTTGTTTGAATGGGATCACGGAATAGCTCTGCATGCACTGCAGGGGAATGGGGCCTCATCTCGCCTCTAGGGGGAAGTCTCATGGTTTTTCTCGAGTTGCGGCGGGGACCTGGGTATGTTCTCGACTTACGGCGGGGATGGCCCTTCAAAACACGAGTTTCTTCAGTGACGTCAGGACTCCTGTCTAGTAACGAGGGACACCTCAGGAATCTCTTCGAGGCTTGGCAGGGCAAAAGGGACGCTTCTCGAGGTGAGGCAGCGCACCCAAGGACCCTTTCCAGTAGCCACAGGGATTTTGGGATTCCTATCAGTATTCAAGAGGAGTCAGGCATCGTCACCTTTTGAAGCAATGAACTCCGCGTGCCTCTCGATGTGTCAGCGGGATGTGAGGCATTCCGTCAAAATGAGGCAGGGACCTAGGGCTTTCTCTAAGGTCTCCACAGGGGATTCAGACATCCCTTCATGTTGTGAGATGAAAGACGAGCCTGTATTCAAGCCACTGCAAGGAAATCCGGCCTCCTTTCAAGTTAGGGCTTCTCACTGTATATTCCCCTTGAGGCAGCAAACTCGGGGTCCCTCCCACATACCTATTGCTGAGAGAAGCCTCCTCCTGAGGTGCTTCTGGGAAGTTGGCATACGTCTTGAGCCTAAGCCAGGGAATCAGCTCTCATCTCGAGACGATTTGGGGTACACGGAGCATTCCTCGAGTTGCTGTGCTGAAGTTGGTGTTCCTCTAGACTTGGGACAGTGTTCTCGGGGCATCTCTGGAGTTGCCTGAAGGAAGTCGAGCCACCGGTCGTGTTGAATGGGGAACGGGGAATGGCTCTGGAGTCAATGCAGGGGAATCGGGCCTCATCTCGAGTTGATTTGGGGCACATTGAGCTGCTTTGCGTTGCTGGGGTGACCTCAAGGTCCGTCTAGACTGGTGACAGTGTTCTTGGGGACTGTCTCGAGATCCATTAAGCAAGTCAAAGCTCCTGACTTGTTTCAATGGGATCACGGAATAGCTCTGCATGCACTGCAGGGGAATGGGGCCTCATCTCGCCTCTAGGGGGAAGTCTCATGGTTTTTCTCGAGTTGCGGCGGGGACCTGTGGTATGTTCTCGACTTACGGCGGGGATGGCCCTTCAAAACACGAGTTTCTTCAGTGACGTCAGGACTCCTGTCTAGTAACGAGGGACACCTCAGGAATCTCTTCGAGGCTTGGCAGGGCAAAAGGGACGCTTCTCGAGGTGAGGCAGGGCACCCAAGGACCCTTTCCAGTAGCCACAGGGATTTTGGGATTCCTATCAGTATTCAAGAGGAGTCAGGCATCGTCACCTTTTGAAGCAATGAACTCCGCGTGCCTCTCGAGGTGTCAGCGGGATGTGAGGCATTCCGTCAAAATGAGGCAGGGAACTAGGGCTTTCTCTAAGGTCTCCACAGGGGATTCAGACATCCCTTCATGCTGTGAGATGAAAGACGAGCCTGTATTCAAGCCACTGCAAGGAAATCCGGCCTCCTTTCAAGTTAGGGCTTCTCGCTGTATATTCCCCTTGAGGCAGCAAACTCGGGGTCCCTCCCACATACCTATTGCTGAGAGAAGCCTCCTCCTGAGGTGCTTCTGGGAAGTTGGCATACGTCTTGAGCCTAAGCCAGGGAATCAGCTCTCATCTCGAGACGATTTGGGGTACACGGAGCATTCCTCGAGTTGCTGTGCTGAAGTTGGTGTTCCTCTAGACTTGGGACAGTGTTCTCGGGGCATCTCTGGAGTGGCCTGAAGGAAGTCGAGCCACCGGTCGTGTTGAATGGGGAACGGGGAATGGCTCTGGAGTCAATGCACGGGAATCGGGCCTCATCTCGAGTTGATTTGGGGCACATGGAGCTGCTTTGCGTTGCTGGGGTGACCTCAGGGTCCGTCTAGACTGGTGACAGTGTTCTTGGGGACTGTCTCGAGATCCATTAAGCAAGTCGAAGCTCCTGACTTGTTTGAATGGGATCACGGAATAGCTCTGCATGCACTGCAGGGGAATGGATCCTCATCTCGCCTCTAGGAGGAAGTCTCATGGTTTTTCTCGAGTTGCGGCGGGGACCTGGGGTATGTTCTCGACTTACGGCGGGGATGGCCCTTCAAAACACGAGTTTCTTCAGTGACGTCAGGACTCCTGTCTAGTAACGAGGGACACCTCAGGAATCTCTTCGAGGCTTGGCAGGGCAAAAGGGACGCTTCTCGAGGTGAGGCAGGGCACCCAAGGACCCTTTCCAGTAGCCACAGGGATTTTGGGATTTCTATCAGTATTCAAGAGGAGTCAGGCATCGTCACCTTTTGAAGCAATGAACTCCGCGTGCCTCTCGAGGTGTCAGCGGGATGTGAGGCATTCCGTCAAAATGAGGCAGGGACCTAGGGCTTTCTCTAAGGTCTCCACAGGGGATTCAGACATCGCTTCATGTTGTGAGATGAAAGACGAGCCTGTATTCAAGCCACTGCAAGGAAATCCGGCCTCCTTTAAAGTTAGGGCTTCTCGCTGTATATTCCCCTTGAGGCAGCAAACTCGGGGTCCCTCGCACATACCTATTGCTGAGAGAAGCCTCCTCCTGAGGTGCTTCTGGGAAGTTGGCATACGTCTTGAGCCTAAGCCAGGGAATCAGCTCTCATCTCGAGACGATTTGGGGTACACGGAGCATTCCTCCAGTTGCTGTGCTGAAGTTGGTGTTCCTCTAGACTTGGGACAGTGTTCTCGGGGCATCTCTGGAGTTGCCTGAAGGAAGTCGAGCCACCGGTCGTGTTGAATGGGGAACGGGGAATGGCTCTGGAGTCAATGCAGGGGAATCGGGCCTCATCTCGAGTTGATTTGGGGCACATTGAGCTGCTTTGCGTTGCTGGGGTGACCTCACGGTCCGTCTAGACTGGTGACAGTGTTCTTGGGGACTGTCTCGAGATCCATTAAGCAAGTCGAAGCTCCTGACTTGTTTGAATGGGATCACGGAATAGCTCTGCATGCACTGCAGGGGAATGGGGCCTCATCTCGCCTCTAGGGGGAAGTCTCATGGTTTTTCTCGAGTTGCGGCGGGGACCTGGGGTATGTTCTCGACTTACGGCGGGGATGGCCCTTCAAAACACGAGTTTCTTCAGTGACGTCAGGACTCCTGTCTAGTAACGAGGGACACCTCAGGAATCTCTTCGAGGCTTGGCAGGGCAAAAGGGACGCTTCTCGAGGTGAGGCAGGGCACCCAAGGACCCTTTCCAGTAGCCACAGGGATTTTGGGATTCCTATCAGTATTCAAGAGGAGTCAGGCATCGTCACCTTTTGAAGCAATGAACTCCGCGTGCCTCTCGAGGTGTCAGCGGGATGTGAGGCATTCCGTCAAAATGAGGCAGGGAACTAGGGCTTTCTCTAAGGTCTCCACAGGGGATTCAGACATCCCTTCATGTTGTGAGATGAAAGACGAGCCTGTATTCAAGCCACTGCAAGGAAATCCGGCCTCCTTTCAAGTTAGGGCTTCTCGCTGTATATTCCCCTTGAGGCAGCAAACTCGGGGTCCCTCCCACATACCTATTGCTGAGAGAAGCCTCCTCCTGAGGTGCTTCTGGGAAGTTGGCATACGTCTTGAGCCTAAGCCAGGGAATCAGCTCTCATCTCGAGACGATTTGGGGTACACGGAGCATTCCTCCAGTTGCTGTGCTGAAGTTGGTGTTCCTCTAGACTTGGGACAGTGTTCTCGGGGCATCTCTGGAGTGGCCTGAAGGAAGTCGAGCCACGGGTCGTGTTGAATGGGGAACGGGGAATGGCTCTGGAGTCAATGCAGGGGAATCGGGCCTCATCTCGAGTTGATTTGGGGCACATGGAGCTGCTTTGCGTTGCTGGGGTGACCTCAGGGTCCGTCTAGACTGGTGACAGTGTTCTTGGGGACTGTCTCGAGATCCATTAAGCAAGTCGAAGCTCCTGACTTGTTTGAATGGGATCACGGAATAGCTCTGCATGCACTGCAGGGGAATGGGGCCTCATCTCGCCTCTAGGGGGAAGTCTCATGGTTTTTCTCGAGTTGCGGCGGGGACCTGGGGTATGTTCTCGACTTACGGCGGGGATGGCCCTTCAAAACACGAGTTTCTTCAGTGACGTCAGGACTCCTGTCTAGTAACAAGGGACACCTCAGGAATCTCTTCGAGGCTTGGCAGAGCAAAAGGGACGCTTCTCGAGGTGAGGCAGGGCACCCAAGGACCCTTTCCAGTAGCCACAGGGATTTTGGGATTCCTATCAGTATTCAAGAGGAGTCAGGCATCGTCACCTTTTGAAGCAATGAACTCCGCGTGCCTCTCGAGGTGTCAGCGCGATGTGAGGCATTCCGTCAAAATGAGGCAGGGACCTAGGGCTTTCTCTAAGGTCTCCACAGGGGATTCAGACATCCCTTCATGTTGTGAGATGAAAGACGAGACTGTATTCAAGCCACTGCAAGGAAATCCGGCCTCCTTTCAAGTTAGGGCTTCTCGCTGTATATTCCCCTTGAGGCAGCAAACTCGGGGTCCCTCCCACATACCTATTGCTGAGAGAAGCCTCCTCCTGAGGTGCTTCTGGGAAGTTGGCATACGTCTTGAGCCTAAGCCAGGGAATCAGCTCTCATCTCGAGACGATTTGGGGTACACGGAGCATTCCTCGAGTTGCTGTGCTGAAGTTGGTGTTCCTCTAGACTTGGGACAGTGTTCTCGGGGCATCTCTGGAGTTGCCTGAAGGAAGTCGAGCCACCGGTCGTGTTGAATGGGGAACGGGGAATGGCTCTGGAGTCAATGCAGGGGAATCGGGCCTCATCTCGAGTTGATTTGGGGCACATGGAGCTGCTTTGCGTTGCTGGGGTTACCTCAGGGTCCGTCTAGACTGGTGACAGTGTTCTTGGGGACTGTCTCGAGATCCATTAAGCAAGTCGAAGCTCCTGACTTGTTTGAATGGGATCACGGAATAGCTCTGCATGCACTGCAGGGGAATGGATCCTCATCTCGCCTCTAGGAGGAAGTCTCATGGTTTTTCTCGAGTTGCGGCGGGGACCTGGGGTATGTTCTCGACTTACGGCGGGGATGGCCCTTCAAAACACGAGTTTCTTCAGTGACCTCAGGACTCCTGTCTAGTAACGAGGGACACCTCAGGAATCTCTTCGAGGCTTGGCAGGGCAAAAGGGACGCTTCTCGAGGTGAGGCAGGGCACCCAAGGACCCTTTCCAGTAGCCACAGGGATTTTGGGATTTCTATCAGTATTCAAGAGGAGTCAGGCATCGTCACCTTTTGAAGCAATGAACTCCGCGTGCCTCTCGAGGTGTCAGCGGGATGTGAGGCATTCCGTCAAAATGAGGCAGGGACCTAGGGCTTTCTCTAAGGTCTCCACAGGGGATTCAGACATCGCTTCATGTTGTGAGATGAAAGACGAGCCTGTATTCAAGCCACTGCAAGGAAATCCGGCCTCCTTTAAAGTTAGGGCTTCTCGCTGTATATTCCCCTTGAGGCAGCAAACTCGGGGTCCCTCGCACATACCTATTGCTGAGAGAAGCCTCCTCCTGAGGTGCTTCTGGGAAGTTGGCATACGTCTTGAGCCTAAGCCAGGGAATCAGCTCTCATCTCGAGACGATTTGGGGTACACGGAGCATTCCTCCAGTTGCTGTGCTGAAGTTGGTGTTCCTCTAGACTTGGGACAGTGTTCTCGGGGCATCTCTGGAGTTGCCTGAAGGAAGTCGAGCCACCGGTCGTGTTGAATGGGGAACGGGGAATGGCTCTGGAGTCAATGCAGGGGAATCGGGCCTCATCTCGAGTTGATTTGGGGCACATTGAGCTGCTTTGCGTTGCTGGGGTGACCTCACGGTCCGTCTAGACTGGTGACAGTGTTCTTGGGGACTGTCTCGAGATCCATTAAGCAAGTCGAAGCTCCTGACTTGTTTGAATGGGATCACGGAATAGCTCTGCATGCACTGCAGGGGAATGGGGCCTCATCTCGCCTCTAGGGGGAAGTCTCATGGTTTTTCTCGAGTTGCGGCGGGGACCTGGGGTATGTTCTCGACTTACGGCGGGGATGGCCCTTCAAAACACGAGTTTCTTCAGTGACGTCAGGACTCCTGTCTAGTAACGAGGGACACCTCAGGAATCTCTTCGAGGCTTGGCAGGGCAAAAGGGACGCTTCTCGAGGTGAGGCAGGGCACCCAAGGACCCTTTCCAGTAGCCACAGGGATTTTGGGATTCCTATCAGTATTCAAGAGGAGTCAGGCATCGTCACCTTTTGAAGCAATGAACTCCGCGTGCCTCTCGAGGTGTCAGCGGGATGTGAGGCATTCCGTCAAAATGAGGCAGGGACCTAGGGCTTTCTCTAAGGTCTCCACAGGGGATTCAGACATCCCTTCATGTTGTGAGATGAAAGAGGAGCCTGTATTCAAGCCACTGCAAGGAAATCCGGCCTCCTTTCAAGTTAGGGCTTCTCGCTGTATATTCCCCTTGAGGCAGCAAACTCGGGGTCCCTCCCACATACCTATTGCTGAGAGAAGCCTCCTCCTGAGGTGCTTCTGGGAAGTTGGCATACGTCTTGAGCCTAAGCCAGGGAATCAGCTCTCATCTCGAGACGATTTGGGGTACACGGAGCATTCCTCGAGTTGCTGTGCTGAAGTTGGTGTTCCTCTAGACTTGGGACAGTGTTCTCGGGGCATCTCTGGAGTGGCCTGAAGGAAGTCGAGCCACGGGTCGTGTTGAATGGGGAACGGGGAATGGCTCTGGAGTCAATGCAGGGGAATCGGGCCTCATCTCGAGTTGATTTGGGGCACATGGAGCTGCTTTGCGTTGCTGGGGTGACCTCAGGGTCCGTCTAGACTGGTGACAGTGTTCTTGGGGACTGTCTCGAGATCCATTAAGCAAGTCGAAGCTCCTGACTTGTTTGAATGGGATCACGGAATAGCTCTGCATGCACTGCAGGGGAATGGATCCTCATCTCGCCTCTAGGAGGAAGTCTCATGGTTTTTCTCGAGTTGCGGCGGGGACCTGGGGTATGTTCTCGACTTACGGCGGGGATGGCCCTTCAAAACACGAGTTTCTTCAGTGACGTCAGGACTCCTGTCTAGTAACGAGGGACACCTCAGGAATCTCTTCGAGGCTTGGCAGGGCAAAAGGGACGCTTCTCGAGGTGAGGCAGGGCACCCAAGGACCCTTTCCAGTAGCCACAGGGATTTTGGGATTTCTATCAGTATTCAAGAGGAGTCAGGCATCGTCACCTTTTGAAGCAATGAACTCCGCGTGCCTCTCGAGGTGTCAGCGGGATGTGAGGCATTCCGTCAAAATGAGGCAGGGACCTAGGGCTTTCTCTAAGGTCTCCACAGGGGATTCAGACATCGCTTCATGTTGTGAGATGAAAGACGAGCCTGTATTCAAGCCACTGCAAGGAAATCCGGCCTCCTTTAAAGTTAGGGCTTCTCGCTGTATATTCCCCTTGAGGCAGCAAACTCGGGGTCCCTCGCACATACCTATTGCTGAGAGAAGCCTCCTCCTGAGGTGCTTCTGGGAAGTTGGCATACGTCTTGAGCCTAAGCCAGGGAATCAGCTCTCATCTCGAGACGATTTGGGGTACACGGAGCATTCCTCGAGTTGCTGTGCTGAAGTTGGTGTTCCTCTAGACTTGGGACAGTGTTCTCGGGGCATCTCTGGAGTTGCCTGAAGGAAGTCGAGCCACCGGTCGTGTTGAATGGGGAACGGGGAATGGCTCTGGAGTCAATGCAGGGGAATCGGGCCTCATCTCGAGTTGATTTGGGGCACATGGAGCTGCTTTGCGTTGCTGGGGTGACCTCAGGGTCCGTCTAGACTGGTGACAGTGTTCTTGGGGACTGTCTCGAGATCCATTAAGCAAGTCGAAGCTCCTGACTTGTTTGAATGGGATCACGGAATAGCTCTGCATGCACTGCATGGGAATGGATCCTCATCTCGCCTCTAGGAGGAAGTCTCATGGTTTTTCTCGAGTTGCGGCGGGGACCTGGGGTATGTTCTCGACTTACGGCGGGGATGGCCCTTCAAAACACGAGTTTCTTCAGTGACCTCAGGACTCCTGTCTAGTAACGAGGGACACCTCAGGAATCTCTTCGAGGCTTGGCAGGGCAAAAGGGACGCTTCTCGAGGTGAGGCAGGGCACCCAAGGACCCTTTCCAGTAGCCACAGGGATTTTGGGATTTCTATCAGTATTCAAGAGGAGTCAGGCATCGTCACCTTTTGAAGCAATGAACTCCGCGTGCCTCTCGAGGTGTCAGCGGGATGTGAGGCATTCCGTCAAAATGAGGCAGGGACCTAGGGCTTTCTCTAAGGTCTCCACAGGGGATTCAGACATCGCTTCATGTTGTGAGATGAAAGACGAGCCTGTATTCAAGCCACTGCAAGGAAATCCGGCCTCCTTTAAAGTTAGGGCTTCTCGCTGTATATTCCCCTTGAGGCAGCAAACTCGGGGTCCCTCGCACATACCTATTGCTGAGAGAAGCCTCCTCCTGAGGTGCTTCTGGGAAGTTGGCATACGTCTTGAGCCTAAGCCAGGGAATCAGCTCTCATCTCGAGACGATTTGGGGTACACGGAGCATTCCTCCAGTTGCTTTGCTGAAGTTGGTGTTCCTCTAGACTTGGGACAGTGTTCTCGGGGCATCTCTGGAGTTGCCTGAAGGAAGTCGAGCCACCAGTCGTGTTGAATGGGGAACGGGGAATGGCTCTGGAGTCAATGCAGGGGAATCGGGCCTCATCTCGAGTTGATTTGGGGCACATTGAGCTGCTTTGCGTTGCTGGGGTGACCTCACGGTCCGTCTAGACTGGTGACAGTGTTCTTGGGGACTGTCTCGAGATCCATTAAGCAAGTCGAAGCTCCTGACTTGTTTGAATGGGATCACGGAATAGCTCTGCATGCACTGCAGGGGAATGGGGCCTCATCTCGCCTCTAGGGGGAAGTCTCATGGTTTTTCTCGAGTTGCGGCGGGGACCTGGGGTATGTTCTCGACTTACGGCGGGGATGGCCCTTCAAAACACGAGTTTCTTCAGTGACGTCAGGACTCCTGTCTAGTAACGAGGGACACCTCAGGAATCTCTTCGAGGCTTGGCAGCGCAAAAGGGACGCTTCTCGAGGTGAGGCAGGGCACCCAAGGACCCTTTCCAGTAGCCACAGGGATTTTGGGATTCCTATCAGTATTCAAGAGGAGTCAGGCATCGTCACCTTTTGAAGCAATGAACTCCGCGTGCCTCTCGAGGTGTCAGCGGGATGTGAGGCATTCCGTCAAAATGAGGCAGGGAACTAGGGCTTTCTCTAAGGTCTCCACAGGGGATTCAGACATCCCTTCATGTTGTGAGATGAAAGACGAGCCTGTATTCAAGCCACTGCAAGGAAATCCGGCCTCCTTTCAAGTTAGGGCTTCTCGCTGTATATTCCCCTTGAGGCAGCAAACTCGGGGTCCCTCCCACATACCTATTGCTGAGAGAAGCCTCCTCCTGAGGTGCTTCTGGGAAGTTGGCATACGTCTTGAGCCTAAGCCAGGGAATCAGCTCTCATCTCGAGACGATTTGGGGTACACGGAGCATTCCTCGAGTTGCTGTGCTGAAGTTGGTGTTCCTCTAGACTTGGGACAGTGTTCTCGGGGCATCTCTGGAGTGGCCTGAAGGAAGTCGAGCCACGGGTCGTGTTGAATGGGGAACGGGGAATGGCTCTGGAGTCAATGCAGGGGAATCGGGCCTCATCTCGAGTTGATTTGGGGCACATGGAGCTGCTTTGCGTTGCTGGGGTGACCTCAGGGTCCGTCTAGACTGGTGACAGTGTTCTTGGGGACTGTCTCGAGATCCATTAAGCAAGTCGAAGCTCCTGACTTGTTTGAATGGGATCACGGAATAGCTCTGCATGCACTGCAGGGGAATGGATCCTCATCTCGCCTCTAGGAGGAAGTCTCATGGTTTTTCTCGAGTTGCGGCGGGGACCTGGGGTATGTTCTCGACTTACGGCGGGGATGGCCCTTCAAAACACGAGTTTCTTCAGTGACGTCAGGACTCCTGTCTAGTAACGAGGGACACCTCAGGAATCTCTTCGAGGCTTGGCAGGGCAAAAGGGACGCTTCTCGAGGTGAGGCAGGGCACCCAAGGACCCTTTCCAGTAGCCACAGGGATTTTGGGATTTCTATCAGTATTCAAGAGGAGTCAGGCATCGTCACCTTTTGAAGCAATGAACTCCGCGTGCCTCTCGAGGTGTCAGCGGGATGTGAGGCATTCCGTCAAAATGAGGCAGGGACCTAGGGCTTTCTCTAAGGTCTCCACAGGGGATTCAGACATCGCTTCATGTTGTGAGATGAAAGACGAGCCTGTATTCAAGCCACTGCAAGGAAATCCGGCCTCCTTTAAAGTTAGGGCTTCTCGCTGTATATTCCCCTTGAGGCAGCAAACTCGGGGTCCCTCGCACATACCTATTGCTGAGAGAAGCCTCCTCCTGAGGTGCTTCTGGGAAGTTGGCATACGTCTTGAGCCTAAGCCAGGGAATCAGCTCTCATCTCGAGACGATTTGGGGTACACGGACCATTCCTCCAGTTGCTGTGCTGAAGTTGGTGTTCCTCTAGACTTGGGACAGTGTTCTCGGGGCATCTCTGGAGTTGCCTGAAGGAAGTCGAGCCACCGGTCGTGTTGAATGGGGAACGGGGAATGGCTCTGGAGTCAATGCAGGGGAATCGGGCCTCATCTCGAGTTGATTTGGGGCACATGGAGCTGCTTTGCGTTGCTGGGGTGACCTCAGGGTCCGTCTAGACTGGTGACAGTGTTCTTGGGGACTGTCTCGAGATCCATTAAGCAAGTCGAAGCTCCTGACTTGTTTGAATGGGATCACGGAATAGCTCTGCATGCACTGCAGGGGAATGGGGCCTCATCTCGCCTCTAGGGGGAAGTCTCATGGTTTTTCTCGAGTTGCGGCGGGGACCTGGGGTATGTTCTCGACTTACGGCGGGGATGGCCCTTCAAAACACGAGTTTCTTCAGTGACGTCAGGACTCCTGTCTAGTAACAAGGGACACCTCAGGAATCTCTTCGAGGCTTGGCAGAGCAAAAGGGACGCTTCTCGAGGTGAGGCAGGGCACCCAAGGACCCTTTCCAGTAGCCACAGGGATTTTGGGATTCCTATCAGTATTCAAGAGGAGTCAGGCATCGTCACCTTTTGAAGCAATGAACTCCGCGTGCCTCTCGAGGTGTCAGCGCGATGTGAGGCATTCCGTCAAAATGAGGCAGGGACCTAGGGCTTTCTCTAAGGTCTCCACAGGGGATTCAGACATCCCTTCATGTTGTGAGATGAAAGACGAGACTGTATTCAAGCCACTGCAAGGAAATCCGGCCTCCTTTCAAGTTAGGGCTTCTCGCTGTATATTCCCCTTGAGGCAGCAAACTCGGGGTCCCTCCCACATACCTATTGCTGAGAGAAGCCTCCTCCTGAGGTGCTTCTGGGAAGTTGGCATACGTCTTGAGCCTAAGCCAGGGAATCAGCTCTCATCTCGAGACGATTTGGGGTACACGGAGCATTCCTCGAGTTGCTGTGCTGAAGTTGGTGTTCCTCTAGACTTGGGACAGTGTTCTCGGGGCATCTCTGGAGTTGCCTGAAGGAAGTCGAGCCACCGGTCGTGTTGAATGGGGAACGGCGAATGGCTCTGGAGTCAATGCAGGGGAATCGGGCCTCATCTCGAGTTGATTTGGGGCACATGGAGCTGCTTTGCGTTGCTGGGGTGACCTCAGGGTCCGTCTAGACTGGTGACAGTGTTCTTGGGGACTGTCTCGAGATCCATTAAGCAAGTCGAAGCTCCTGACTTGTTTGAATGGGATCACGGAATAGCTCTGCATGCACTGCAGGGGAATGGGGCCTCATCTCGCCTCTAGGGGGAAGTCTCATGGTTTTTCTCGAGTTGCGGCGGGGACCTGGGGTATGTTCTCGACTTACGGCGGGGATGGCCCTTCAAAACACGAGTTTCTTCCGTGACGTCAGGACTCCTGTCTAGTAACGAGGGACACCTCAGGAATCTCTTCGAGGCTTGGCAGGGCAAAAGGGACGCTTCTCGAGGTGAGGCAGGGCACCCAAGGACCCTTTCCAGTAGCCACAGGGATTTTGGGATTCCTATCAGTATTCAAGAGGAGTCAGGCATCGTCACCTTTTGAAGCAATGAACTCCGCGTGCCTCTCGAGGTGTCAGCGGGATGTGAGGCATTCCGTCAAAATGAGGCAGGGAACTAGGGCTTTCTCTAAGGTCTCCACAGGGGATTCAGACATCCCTTCATGTTGTGAGATGAAAGACGAGCCTGTATTCAAGCCACTGCAAGGAAATCCGGCCTCCTTTCAAGTTAGGGCTTCTCGCTGTATATTCCCCTTGAGGCAGCAAACTCGGGGTCCCTCCCACATACCTATTGCTGAGAGAAGCCTCCTCCTGAGGTGCTTCTGGGAAGTTGGCATACGTCTTGAGCCTAAGCCAGGGAATCAGCTCTCATCTCGAGACGATTTGGGTTACACGGAGCATTCCTCGAGTTGCTGTGCTGAAGTTGGTGTTCCTCTAGACTTGGGACAGTGTTCTCGGGGCATCTCTGGAGTGGCCTGAAGGAAGTCGAGCCACCGGTCGTGTTGAATGGGGAACGGGAAATGGCTCTGGAGTCAATGCAGGGGAATCGGGCCTCATCTCGAGTTGATTTGGGGCACATGGAGCTGCTTTGCGTTGCTGGGGTGACCTCAGGGTCCGTCTAGACTGGTGACAGTGTTCTTGGGGACTGTCTCGAGATCCATTAAGCAAGTCGAAGCTCCTGACTTGTTTGAATGGGATCACGGAATAGCTCTGCATGCACTGCAGGGGAATGGGGCCTCATCTCGCCTCTAGGGGGAAGTCTCATGGTTTTTCTCGAGTTGCGGCGGGGACCTGGGGTATGTTCTCGACTTACGGCGGGGATGGCCCTTCAAAACACGAGTTTCTTCAGTGACGTCAGGACTCCTGTCTAGTAACGAGGGACACCTCAGGAATCTCTTCGAGGCTTGGCAGGGCAAAAGGGACGCTTCTCGAGGTGAGGCAGGGCACCCAAGGACCCTTTCCAGTAGCCACAGGGATTTTGGGATTCCTATCAGTATTCAAGAGGAGTCAGGCATCGTCACCTTTTGAAGCAATGAACTCCGCGTGCCTCTCGAGGTGTCAGCGGGATGTGAGGCATTCCGTCAAAATGAGGCAGGGAACTAGGGCTTTCTCTAAGGTCTCCACAGGGGATTCAGACATCCCTTCATGTTGTGAGATGAAAGACGAGCCTGTATTCAAGCCACTGCAAGGAAATCCGGCCTCCTTTCAAGTTAGGGCTTCTCGCTGTATATTCCCCTTGAGGCAGCAAACTCGGGGTCCCTCCCACATACCTATTACTGAGAGAAGCCTCCTCCTGAGGTGCTTCTGGGAAGTTGGCATACGTCTTGAGCCTAAGCCAGGGAATCAGCTCTCATCTCGAGACGATTTGGGGTACACGGAGCATTCCTCGAGTTGCTGTGCTGAAGTTGGTGTTCCTCTAGACTTGGGACAGTGTTCTCGGGGCATCTCTGGAGTGGCCTGAAGGAAGTCGAGCCACCGGTCGTGTTGAATGGGGAACGGGGAATGGCTCTGGAGTCAATGCAGGGGAATCGGGCCTCATCTCGAGTTGTTTTGGGGCACATGGAGCTGCTTTGCGTTGCTGGGGTGACCTCAGGGTCCGTCTAGACTGGTGACAGTGTTCTTGGGGACTGTCTCGAGATCCATTAAGCAAGTCGAAGCTCCTGACTTGTTTGAATGGGATCACGGAATAGCTCTGCATGCACTGCAGGGGAATGGATCCTCATCTCGCCTCTAGGGGGAAGTCTCATGGTTTTTCTCGAGTTGCGGCGGGGACCTGGGGTATGTTCTCGACTTACGGCGGGGATGGCCCTTCAAAACACGAGTTTCTTCAGTGACGTCAGGACTCCTGTCTAGTAACGAGGGACACCTCAGGAATCTCTTCGAGGCTTGGCAGGGCAAAAGGGACGCTTCTCGAGGTGAGGCAGGGCACCCAAGGACCCTTTCCAGTAGCCACAGGGATTTTGGGATTCCTATCAGTATTCAAGAGGAGTCAGGCATCGTCACCTTTTGAAGCAATGAACTCCGCGTGCCTCTCGAGGTGTCAGCGGGATGTGAGGCATTCCGTCAAAATGAGGCAGGGACCTAGGGCTTTCTCTAAGGTCTCCACAGGGGATTCAGACATCGCTTCATGTTGTGAGATGAAAGACGAGCCTGTATTCAAGCCACTGCAAGGAAATCCGGCCTCCTTTCAAGTTAGGGCTTCTCGCTGTATATTCCCCTTGAGGCAGCAAACTCGGGGTCCCTCGCACATACCTATTGCTGAGAGAAGCCTCCTCCTGAGGTGCTTCTGGGAAGTTGGCATACGTCTTGAGCCTAAGCCAGGGAATCAGCTCTCATCTCGAGACGATTTGGGGTACACGGACCATTCCTCCAGTTGCTGTGCTGAAGTTGGTGTTCCTCTAGACTTGGGACAGTGTTCTCGGGGCATCTCTGGAGTTGCCTGAAGGAAGTCGAGCCACCGGTCGTGTTGAATGGGGAACGGGGAATGGCTCTGGAGTCAATGCAGGGGAATCGGGCCTCATCTCGAGTTGATTTGGGGCACATGGAGCTGCTTTGCGTTGCTGGGGTGACCTCAGGGTCCGTCTAGACTGGTGACAGTGTTCTTGGGGACTGTCTCGAGATCCATTAAGCAAGTCGAAGCTCCTGACTTGTTTGAATGGGATCACGGAATAGCTCTGCATGCACTGCAGGGGAATGGGGCCTCATCTCGCCTCTAGGGGGAAGTCTCATGGTTTTTCTCGAGTTGCGGCGGGGACCTGGGGTATGTTCTCGACTTACGGCGGGGATGGCCCTTCAAAACACGAGTTTCTTCAGTGAGGTCAGGACTCCTGTCTAGTAACAAGGGACACCTCAGGAATCTCTTCGAGGCTTGGCAGGGCAAAAGGGACGCTTCTCGAGGTGAGGCAGGGCACCCAAGGACCCTTTCCAGTAGCCACAGGGATTTTGGGATTCCTATCAGTATTCAAGAGGAGTCAGGCATCGTCACCTTTTGAAGCAATGAACTCCGCGTGCCTCTCGAGGTGTCAGCGCGATGTGAGGCATTCCGTCAAAATGAGGCAGGGACCTAGGGCTTTCTCTAAGGTCTCCACAGGGGATTCAGACATCCCTTCATGTTGTGAGATGAAAGACGAGACTGTATTCAAGCCACTGCAAGGAAATCCGGCCTCCTTTCAAGTTAGGGCTTCTCGCTGTATATTCCCCTTGAGGCAGCAAACTCGGGGTCCCTCCCACATACCTATTGCTGAGAGAAGCCTCCTCCTGAGGTGCTTCTGGGAAGTTGGCATACGTCTTGAGCCTAAGCCAGGGAATCAGCTCTCATCTCGAGACGATTTGGGGTACACGGAGCATTCCTCGAGTTGCTGTGCTGAAGTTGGTGTTCCTCTAGACTTAGGACAGTGTTCTCGGGGCATCTCTGCAGTTGCCTGAAGGAAGTCGAGCCACCGGTCGTGTTGAATGGGGAACGGGGAATGGCTCTGGAGTCAATGCAGGGGAATCGGGCCTCATCTCGAGTTGATTTGGGGCACATGGAGCTGCTTTGCGTTGCTGGGGTGACCTCAGGGTCCGTCTAGACTGGTGACAGTGTTCTTGGGGACTGTCTCGAGATCCATTAAGCAAGTCGAAGCTCCTGACTTGTTTGAATGGGATCACGGAATAGCTCTGCATGCACTGCAGGGGAATGGGGCCTCATCTCGCCTCTAGGGGGAAGTCTCATGGTTTTTCTCGAGTTGCGGCGGGGACCTGGGGTATGTTCTCGACTTACGGCGGGGATGGCCCTTCAAAACACGAGTTTCTCAGTGACGTCAGGACTCCTGTCTAGTAACGAGGGACACCTCAGGAATCTCTTCGAGGCTTGGCAGGGCAAAAGGGACGCTTCTCGAGGTGAGGCAGGGCACCCAAGGACCCTTTCCAGTAGCCACAGGGATTTGGGGATTCCTATCAGTATTCAAGAGGAGTCAGGCATCGTCACCTTTTGAAGCAATGAACTCCGCGTGCCTCTCGAGGTGTCAGCGGGATGTGAGGCATTCCGTCAAAATGAGGCAGGGACCTAGGGCTTTCTCTAAGGTCTCCACAGGGGATTCAGACATCCCTTCATGTTGTGAGATGAAAGACGAGCCTGTATTCAAGCCACTGCAAGGAAATCCGGCCTCCTTTCAAGTTAGGGCTTCTCGCTGTATATTCCCCTTGAGGCAGCAAACTCGGGGTCCCTCCCACATACCTATTGCTGAGAGAAGCCTCCTCCTGAGGTGCTTCTGGGAAGTTGGCATACGTCTTGAGCCTAAGCCAGGGAATCAGCTCTCATCTCGAGACGATTTGGGGTACACGGAGCATTCCTCCAGTTGCTGTGCTGAAGTTGGTGTTCCTCTAGACTTGGGACAGTGTTCTCGGGGCATCTCTGGAGTTGCCTGAAGGAAGTCGAGCCACCGGTCGTGTTGAATGGGGAACGGGGAATGGCTCTGGAGTCAATGCAGGGGAATCGGGCCTCATCTCGAGTTGATTTGGGGCACATGGAGCTGCTTTGCGTTGCTGGGGTGACCTCAGGGTCCGTCTAGACTGGTGACAGTGTTCTTGGGGACTGTCTCGAGATCCATTAAGCAAGTCGAAGCTCCTGACTTGTTTGAATGGGATCACGGAATAGCTCTGCATGCACTGCAGGGGAATGGGGCCTCATCTCGCCTCTAGGGGGAAGTCTCATGGTTTTTCTCGAGTTGCGGCGGGGACCTGGGGTATGTTCTCGACTTACGGCGGGGATGGCCCTTCAAAACACGAGTTTCTTCAGTGACGTCAGGACTCCTGTCTAGTAACGAGGGACACCTCAGGAATCTCTTCGAGGCTTGGCAGGGCAAAAGGGACGCTTCTCGAGGTGAGGCAGGGCACCCAAGGACCCTTTCCAGTAGCCACAGGGATTTTGGGATTCCTATCAGTATTCAAGAGGAGTCAGGCATCGTCACCTTTTGAAGCAATGAACTCCGCGTGCCTCTCGAGGTGTCAGCGGGATGTGAGGCATTCCGTCAAAATGAGGCAGGGACCTAGGGCTTTCTCTAAGGTCTCCACAGGGGATTCAGACATCACTTCATGTTGTGAGATGAAAGACGAGCCTGTATTCAAGCCACTGCAAGGAAATCCGGCCTCCTTTCAAGTTAGGGCTTCTCGCTGTATATTCCCCTTGAGGCAGCAAACTCGGGGTCCCTCCCACATACCTATTGCTGAGAGAAGCCTCCTCCTGAGGTGCTTCTGGGAAGTTGGCATACGTCTTGAGCCTAAGCCAGGGAATCAGCTCTCATCTCGAGACGATTTGGGGTACACGGAGCATTCCTCGAGTTGCTGTGCTGAAGTTGGTGTTCCTCTAGACTTAGGACAGTGTTCTCGGGGCATCTCTGCAGTTGCCTGAAGGAAGTCGAGCCACCGGTCGTGTTGAATGGGGAACGGGGAATGGCTCTGGAGTCAATGCAGGGGAATCGGGCCTCATCTCGAGTTGATTTGGGGCACATGGAGCTGCTTTGCGTTGCTGGGGTGACCTCAGGGTCCGTCTAGACTGGTGACAGTGTTCTTGGGGACTGTCTCGAGATCCATTAAGCAAGTCGAAGCTCCTGACTTGTTTGAATGGGATCACGGAATAGCTCTGCATGCACTGCAGGGGAATGGGGCCTCATCTCGCCTCTAGGGGGAAGTCTCATGGTTTTTCTCGAGTTGCGGCGGGGACCTGGGGTATGTTCTCGACTTACGGCGGGGATGGCCCTTCAAAACACGAGTTTCTCAGTGACGTCAGGACTCCTGTCTAGTAACGAGGGACACCTCAGGAATCTCTTCGAGGCTTGGCAGGGCAAAAGGGACGCTTCTCGAGGTGAGGCAGGGCACCCAAGGACCCTTTCCAGTAGCCACAGGGATTTGGGGATTCCTATCAGTATTCAAGAGGAGTCAGGCATCGTCACCTTTTGAAGCAATGAACTCCGCGTGCCTCTCGAGGTGTCAGCGGGATGTGAGGCATTCCGTCAAAATGAGGCAGGGACCTAGGGCTTTCTCTAAGGTCTCCACAGGGGATTCAGACATCCCTTCATGTTGTGAGATGAAAGACGAGCCTGTATTCAAGCCACTGCAAGGAAATCCGGCCTCCTTTCAAGTTAGGGCTTCTCGCTGTATATTCCCCTTGAGGCAGCAAACTCGGGGTCCCTCCCACATACCTATTGCTGAGAGAAGCCTCCTCCTGAGGTGCTTCTGGGAAGTTGGCATACGTCTTGAGCCTAAGCCAGGGAATCAGCTCTCATCTCGAGACGATTTGGGGTACACGGAGCATTCCTCCAGTTGCTGTGCTGAAGTTGGTGTTCCTCTAGACTTGGGACAGTGTTCTCGGGGCATCTCTGGAGTTGCCTGAAGGAAGTCGAGCCACCGGTCGTGTTGAATGGGGAACGGGGAATGGCTCTGGAGTCAATGCAGGGGAATCGGGCCTCATCTCGAGTTGATTTGGGGCACATGGAGCTGCTTTGCGTTGCTGGGGTGACCTCAGGGTCCGTCTAGACTGGTGACAGTGTTCTTGGGGACTGTCTCGAGATCCATTAAGCAAGTCGAAGCTCCTGACTTGTTTGAATGGGATCACGGAATAGCTCTGCATGCACTGCAGGGGAATGGGGCCTCATCTCGCCTCTAGGGGGAAGTCTCATGGTTTTTCTCGAGTTGCGGCGGGGACCTGGGGTATGTTCTCGACTTACGGCGGGGATGGCCCTTCAAAACACGAGTTTCTTCAGTGACGTCAGGACTCCTGTCTAGTAACGAGGGACACCTCAGGAATCTCTTCGAGGCTTGGCAGGGCAAAAGGGACGCTTCTCGAGGTGAGGCAGGGCACCCAAGGACCCTTTCCAGTAGCCACAGGGATTTTGGGATTCCTATCAGTATTCAAGAGGAGTCAGGCATCGTCACCTTTTGAAGCAATGAACTCCGCGTGCCTCTCGAGGTGTCAGCGGGATGTGAGGCATTCCGTCAAAATGAGGCAGGGACCTAGGGCTTTCTCTAAGGTCTCCACAGGGGATTCAGACATCACTTCATGTTGTGAGATGAAAGACGAGCCTGTATTCAAGCCACTGCAAGGAAATCCGGCCTCCTTTCAAGTTAGGGCTTCTCGCTGTATATTCCCCTTGAGGCAGCAAACTCGGGGTCCCTCCCACATACCTATTGCTGAGAGAAGCCTCCTCCTGAGGTGCTTCTGGGAAGTTGGCATACGTCTTGAGCCTAAGCCAGGGAATCAGCTCTCATCTCGAGACGATTTGGGGTACACGGAGCATTCCTCGAGTTGCTGTGCTGAAGTTGGTGTTCCTCTAGACTTGGGACAGTGTTCTCGGGGCATCTCTGGAGTTGCCTGAAGGAAGTCGAGCCACCGGTCGTGTTGAATGCGGAACGGGGAATGGCTCTGGAGTCAATGCAGGGGAATCGGGCCTCATCTCGAGTTGATTTGGGGCACATGGAGCTGCTTTGCGTTGCTGGGGTGACCTCAGGGTCCGTCTAGACTGGTGACAGTGTTCTTGGGGACTGTCTCGAGATCCATTAAGCAAGTCGAAGCTCCTGACTTGTTTGAATGGGATCACGGAATAGCTCTGCATGCACTGCAGGGGAATGGGGCCTCATCTCGCCTCTAGGGGGAAGTCTCATGGTTTTTCTCGAGTTGCGGCGGGGACCTGGGGTATGTTCTCGACTTACGGCGGGGATGGCCCTTCAAAACACGAGTTTCTTCAGTGACGTCAGGACTCCTGTCTAGTAACGAGGGACACCTCAGGAATCTCTTTGAGGCTTGGCAGGGCAAAAGGGACGCTTCTCGAGGTGAGGCAGGGCACCCAAGGACCCTTTCCAGTAGCCACAGGGATTCTGGGATTCCTATCAGTATTCAAGAGGAGTCAGGCATCGTCACCTTTTGAAGCAATGAACTCCGCGTGCCTCTCGAGGTGTCAGCGGGATGTGAGGCATTCCGTCAAAATGAGGCAGTGACCTAGGGCTTTCTCTAAGGTCTCCACAGGGGATTCAGACATCCCTTCATGTTGTGAGATGAAAGACGAGCCTGTATTCAAGCCACTGCAAGGAAATCCGGCCTCCTTTCAAGTTAGGGCTTCTCGCTGTATATTCCCCTTGAGGCAGCAAACTCGGGGTCCCTCCCACATACCTATTGCTGAGAGAAGCCTCCTCCTGAGGTGCCTCTGGGAAGTTGGCATACGTCTTGAGCCTAAGCCAGGGAATCAGCTCTCATCTCGAGACGATTTGGGGTACACGGAGCATTCCTCGAGTTGCTGTGCTGAAGTTGGTGTTCCTCTAGACTTGGGACAGTGTTCTCGGGGCATCTCTGGAGTTGCCTGAAGGAAGTCGAGCCACCAGTCGTGTTGAATGGGGAACGGGGAATGGCTCTGGAGTCAATGCAGGGGAATCGGGCCTCATCTCGAGTTGATTTGGGGCACATGGAGCTGCTTTGCGTTGCTGGGGTGACCTCAGAGTCCGTCTAGACTGGTGACAGTGTTCTTGGGGACTGTCTCGAGATCCATTAAGCAAGTCGAAGCTCCTGACTTGTTTGAATGGGATCACGGAATAGCTCTGCATGCACTGCAGGGGAATGGGGCCTCATCTCGCCTCTAGGGGGAAGTCTCATGGTTTTTCTCGAGTTGCGGCGGGGACCTGGGGTATGTTCTCGACTTATGGCGGGGATGGCCCTTCAAGACACGAGTTTCTTCAGTGACGTCAGGACTCCTGTCTAGTAACGAGGGACACCTCAGGAATCTCTTCGAGGCTTGGCAGGGCAAAAGGGACACTTCTCGAGGTGAGGCAGGGCACCCAAGGACCCTTTCCAGTAGCCACAGGGATTTTGGGATTCCTATCAGTATTCAAGAGGAGTCAGGCATCGTCACCTTTTGAAGCAATGAACTCCGCGTGCCTCTCGAGGTGTCAGCGGGATGTGAGGCATTCCGTCAAAATGAGGCAGGGACCTAGGGCTTTCTCTAAGGTCTCCACAGGGGATTCAGACATCCCTTCATGTTGTGAGATGAAAGACGAGCCTGTATTCAAGCCACTGCAAGGAAATCCGGCCTCCTTTCAAGTTAGGGCTTCTCGCTGTATATTCCCATTGAGGCAGCAAACTCGGGGTCCCTCCCACATACCTATTGCTGAGAGAAGCCTCCTCCTGAGGTGCTTCTGGGAAGTTGGCATACGTCTTGAGCCTAAGCCAGGGAATCAGCTCTCATCTCGAGACGATTTGGGGTACACGGAGCATTCCTCGAGTTGCTGTGCTGAAGTTGGTGTTCTTCTAGACTTGGGACAGTGTTCTCGGGGCATCTCTGGAGTTGCCTGAAGGAAGTCGAGCCACCGGTCGTGTTGAATGGGGAACGGGGAATGGCTCTGGAGTCAATGCAGGGAATCGTTCCTCATCTCGAGTTGATTTGGGGCACATGGAGCTGCTTTGCGTTGCTGGGGTGACCTCAGGGTCCGTCTAGACTGGTGACAGTGTTCTTGGGGACTGTCTCGAGATCCATTAAGCAAGTCGAAGCTCCTGACTTGTTTCAATGGGATCACGGAATAGCTCTGCATGCACTGCAGGGGAATGGGGCCTCATCTCGCCTCTAGGGGGAAGTCTCATGGTTTTTCTCGAGTTGCGGCTGGGACCTGGGGTATGTTCTCCACTTACGGCGGGGATGGCCCTTCAAAACACGAGTTTCTTCAATGACGTCAGGACTCCTGTCTAGTAACGAGGGACACCTCAGGAATCTCTTCGAGGCTTGGCAGGGCAAAAGGGACGCTTCTCGAGGTGAGGCAGGGCACCCAAGGACCCTTTCCAGTAGCCACAGGGATTTTGGGATTGCTATCAGTATTCAAGAGGAGTCAGGCATCGTCACCTTTTGAAGCAATGAACTCCGCGTGCCTCTCGAGGTGTCAGCGGGATCTGAGGCATTCCGTCAAAATGAGGCAGGGACCTAGGGCTTTCTCTAAGGTCTCCACAGGGGATTCAGACATCCCTTCATGTTGTGAGATGAAAGACGAGCCTGTATTCAAGCCACTGCAAGGAAATCCGGCCTCCTTTCAAGTTAGGGCTTCTCGCTGTATATTCCCCTTGAGGCAGCAAACTCGGGGTCCCTCCCACACACCTATTGCTGAGAGAAGCCTCCTCCTGAGGTGCTTCTGGGAAGTTGGCATACGTCTTGAGCCTAAGCCAGGGAATCAGCTCTCATCTCGAGACGATTTGGGGTACACGGAGCATTCCTCCAGTTGCTGTGCTGAAGTTGGTGTTCCTCTAGACTTGGGACAGTGTTCTCGGGGCATCTCTGGAGTTGCCTGAAGGAAGTCGAGCCACCGGTCGTGTTGAATGGGGAACGGGGAATGGCTCTGGAGTCAATGCAGGGGAATCGGGCCTCATCTCGAGTTGATTTGGGGCACATGGAGCTGCTTTGCGTTGCTGGGGTGACCTCAGGGTCCGTCTAGACTGGTGACAGTGTTCTTGGGGACTGTCTCGAGATCCATTAAGAAGTCGAAGCTCCTGACTTGTTTGAATGGGATCACGGAATAGCTCTGCATGCACTGCAGGGGAATGGGGCCTCATCTCGCCTCTAGGGGGAAGTCTCATGGTTTTCTCGAGTTGCGGCGGGGACCTGGGGTATGTTCTCGACTTACGGCGGGGATGGCCCTTCAAAACACGAGTTTCTTCAGTGACGTCAGGACTCCTGTCTAGTAACGAGGGACACCTCAGGAATCTCTTCGAGGCTTGGCAGGGCAAAAGGGACGCTTCTCGAGGTGAGGCAGGGCACCCAAGGACCCTTTCCAGTAGCCACAGGGATTTGGGGATTCCTATCAGTATTCAAGAGGAGTCAGGCATCGTCACCTTTTGAAGCAATGAACTCCGCGTGCCTCTCGAGGTGTCAGCGGGATGTGAGGCATTCCGTCAAAATGAGGCAGGGACCTAGGGCTTTCTCTAAGGTCTCCACAGGGGATTCAGACATCCCTTCATATTGTGAGATGAAAGACGAGCCTGTATTCAAGCCACTGCAAGGAAATCCGGCCTCCTTTCAAGTTAGGGCTTCTCGCTGTATATTCCCCTTGAGGCAGCAAACTCGGGGTCCCTCCCACATACCTATTGCTGAGAGAAGCCTCCTCCTGAGGTGCTTCTGGGAAGTTGGCATACGTCTTGAGCCTAAGCCAGGGAATCAGCTCTCATCTCGAGACGATTTGGGGTACACGGAGCATTCCTCCAGTTGCTGTGCTGAAGTTGGTGTTCCTCTAGACTTGGGACAGTGTTCTCGGGGCATCTCTGGAGTTGCCTGAAGGAAGTCGAGCCACCGGTCGTGTTGAATGGGGAACGGGGAATGGCTCTGGAGTCAATGCAGGGGAATCGGGCCTCATCTCGAGTTGATTTGGGGCACATGGAGCTGCTTTGCGTTGCTGGGGTGACCTCAGGGTCCGTCTAGACTGGTGACAGTGTTCTTGGGGACTGTCTCGAGATCCATTAAGCAAGTCGAAGCTCCTGACTTGTTTGAATGGGATCACGGAATAGCTCTGCATGCACTGCAGGGGAATGGGGCCTCATCTCGCCTCTAGGGGGAAGTCTCATGGTTTTTCTCGAGTTGCGGCGGGGACCTGGGGTATGTTCTCGACTTACGGCGGGGATGGCCCTTCAAAACACGAGTTTCTTCAGTGACGTCAGGACTCCTGTCTAGTAACGAGGGACACCTCAGGAATCTCTTCGAGGCTTGGCAGGGCAAAAGGGACGCTTCTCGAGGTGAGGCAGGGCACCCAAGGACCCTTTCCAGTAGCCACAGGGATTTTGGGATTCCTATCAGTATTCAAGAGGAGTCAGGCATCGTCACCTTTTGAAGCAATGAACTCCGCGTGCCTCTCGAGGTGTCAGCGGGATGTGAGGCATTCCGTCAAAATGAGGCAGGGACCTAGGGCTTTCTCTAAGGTCTCCACAGGGGATTCAGACATCCCTTCATGTTGTGAGATGAAAGACGAGCCTGTATTCAAGCCACTGCAAGGAAATCCGGCCTCCTTTCAAGTTAGGGCTTCTCGCTGTATATTCCCCTTGAGGCAGCAAATTCGGGGTCCCTCCCACATACCTATTGCTGAGAGAAGCCTCCTCCTGAGGTGCCTCTGGGAAGTTGGCATACGTCTTGAGCCTAAGCCAGGGAATCAGCTCTCATCTCGAGACGATTTGGGGTACACGGAGCATTCCTCCAGTTGCTGTGCTGAAGTTGGTGTTCCTCTAGACTTGGGACAGTGTTCTCGGGGCATCTCTGGAGTTGCCTGAAGGAAGTCGAGCCACCGGTCGTGTTGAATGGGGAACGGGGAATGGCTCTGGAGTCAATGCAGGGGAATCGGGCCTCATCTCGAGTTGATTTGGGGCACATGGAGCTGCTTTGCGTTGCTGGGGTGACCTCAGGGTCCGTCTAGACTGGTGACAGTGTTCTTGGGGACTGTCTCGAGATCCATTAAGCAAGTCGAAGCTCCTGACTTGTTTGAATGGGATCACGGAATAGCTCTGCATGCACTGCAGGGGAATGGGGCCTCATCTCGCCTCTAGGGGGAAGTCTCATGGTTTTTCTCGAGTTGCGGCGGGGACCTGGGGTATGTTCTCGACTTATGGCGGGGATGGCCCTTCAAGACACGAGTTTCTTCAGTGAAGTCAGGACTCCTGTCTAGTAACGAGGGACACCTCAGGAATCTCTTCGAGGCTTGGCAGGGCAAAAGGGACACTTCTCGAGGTGAGGCAGGGCACCCAAGGACCCTTTCCAGTAGCCACAGGGATTTTGGGATTCCTATCAGTATTCAAGAGGAGTCAGGCATCGTCACCTTTTGAAGCAATGAACTCCGCGTGCCTCTCGAGGTGTCAGCGGGATGTGAGGCATTCCGTCAAAATGAGGCAGGGACCTAGGGCTTTCTCTAAGGTCTCCACAGGGATTCAGACATCCCTTCATGTTGTGAGATGAAAGACGAGCCTGTATTCAAGCCACTGCAAGGAAATCCGGCCTCCTTTCAAGTTAGGGCTTCTCGCTGTATATTCCCATTGAGGCAGCAAACTCGGGGTCCCTCCCACATACCTATTGCTGAGAGAAGCCTCCTCCTGAGGTGCTTCTGGGAAGTTGGCATACGTCTTGAGCCTAAGCCAGGGAATCAGCTCTCATCTCGAGACGATTTGGGGTACACGGAGCATTCCTCGAGTTGCTGTGCTAAAGTTGGTGTTCTTCTAGACTTGGGACAGTGTTCTCGGGGCATCTCTGGAGTTGCCTGAAGGAAGTCGAGCCACCGGTCGTGTTGAATGGGGAACGGGGAATGGCTCTGGAGTCAATGCAGGGGGATCGTTCCTCATCTCGAGTTGATTTGGGGCACATGGAGCTGCTTTGCGTTGCTGGGGTGACCTCAGGGTCCGTCTAGACTGGTGACAGTGTTCTTGGGGACTGTCTCGAGATCCATTAAGAAGTCGAAGCTCCTGACTTGTTTGAATGGGATCACGGAATAGCTCTGCATGCACTGCAGGGGAATGGGGCCTCATCTCGCCTCTAGGGGGAAGTCTCATGGTTTTCTCGAGTTGCGGCGGGGACCTGGGGTATGTTCTCGACTTACGGCGGGGATGGCCCTTCAAAACACGAGTTTCTTCAGTGACGTCAGGACTCCTGTCTAGTAACGAGGGACACCTCAGGAATCTCTTCGAGGCTTGGCAGGGCAAAAGGGACGCTTCTCGAGGTGAGGCAGGGCACCCAAGGACCCTTTCCAGTAGCCACAGGGATTTGGGGATTCCTATCAGTATTCAAGAGGAGTCAGGCATCGTCACCTTTTGAAGCAATGAACTCCGCGTGCCTCTCGAGGTGTCAGCGGGATGTGAGGCATTCCGTCAAAATGAGGCAGGGACCTAGGGCTTTCTCTAAGGTCTGCACAGGGGATTCAGACATCCCTTCATATTGTGAGATGAAAGATGAGCCTGTATTCAAGCCACTGCAAGGAAATCCGGCCTCCTTTCAAGTTAGGGCTTCTCGCTGTATATTCCCCTTGAGGCAGCAAACTCGGGGTCCCTCCCACATACCTATTGCTGAGAGAAGCCTCCTCCTGAGGTGCTTCTGGGAAGTTGGCATACGTCTTGAGCCTAAGCCAGGGAATCAGCTCTCATCTCGAGACGATTTGGGGTACACGGAGCATTCCTCCAGTTGCTGTGCTGAAGTTGGTGTTCCTCTAGACTTGGGACAGTGTTCTCGGGGCATCTCTGGAGTTGCCTGAAGGAAGTCGAGCCACCGGTCGTGTTGAATGGGGAACGGGGAATGGCTCTGGAGTCAATGCAGGGGAATCGGGCCTCATCTCGAGTTGATTTGGGGCACATGGAGCTGCTTTGCGTTGCTGGGGTGACCTCAGGGTCCGTCTAGACTGGTGACAGTGTTCTTGGGGACTGTCTCGAGATCCATTAAGCAAGTCGAAGCTCCTGACTTGTTTGAATGGGATCACAGAATAGCTCTGCATGCACTGCAGGGGAATGGGGCCTCATCTCGCCTCTAGGGGGAAGTCTCATGGTTTTTCTCGAGTTGCGGCGGGGACCTGGGGTATGTTCTCGACTTACGGCGGGGATGGCCCTTCAAAACACGAGTTTCTTCAGTGACGTCAGGACTCCTGTCTAGTAACGTGGGACACCTCAGGAATCTCTTCGAGGCTTGGCAGGGCAAAAGGGACGCTTCTCGAGGTGAGGCAGGGCACCCAAGGACCCTTTCCAGTAGCCACAGGGATTTTGGGATTCCTATCAGTATTCAAGAGGAGTCAGGCATCGTCACCTTTTGAAGCAATGAACTCCGCGTGCCTCTCGAGGTGTCAGCGCGATGTGAGGCATTCCGTCAAAATGAGGCAGGGACCTAGGGCTTTCTCTAAGGTCTCCACATGGGATTCAGACATCCCTTCATGTTGTGAGATGAAAGACGAGACTGTATTCAAGCCACTGCAAGGAAATCCGGCCTCCTTTCAAGTTAGGGCTTCTCGCTGTATATTCCCCTTGAGGCAGCAAACTCGGGGTCCCTCCCACATACCTATTGCTGAGAGAAGCCTCCTCCTGAGGTGCTTCTGGGAAGTTGGCATACGTCTTGAGCCTAAGCCAGGGAATCAGCTCTCATCTCGAGACGATTTGGGGTACACGGAGCATTCCTCGAGTTGCTGTGCTGAAGTTGGTGTTCCTCTAGACTTGGGACAGTGTTCTCGGGGCATCTCTGGAGTTGCCTGAAGGAAGTCGAGCCACCGGTCGTGTTGAATGGGGAACGGGGAATGGCTCTGGAGTCAATGCAGGGGAATCGGGCCTCATCTCGAGTTGATTTGGGGCACATGGAGCTGCTTTGCGTTGCTGGGGTGACCTCAGGGTCCGTCTAGACTGGTGACAGTGTTCTTGGGGACTGTCTCGAGATCCATTAAGCAAGTCGAAGCTCCTGACTTGTTTGAATGGGATCACGGAATAGCTCTGCATGCACTGCAGGGGAATGGGGCCTCATCTCGCCTCTAGGGGGAAGTCTCATGGTTTTTCTCGAGTTGCGGCGGGGACCTGGGGTATGTTCTCGACTTACGGCGGGGATGGCCCTTCAAAACACGAGTTTCTTCAGTGACGTCAGGACTCCTGTCTAGTAACGAGGGACACCTCAGGAATCTCTTCGAGGCTTGGCAGGGCAAAAGGGACGCTTCTCGAGGTGAGGCAGGGCACCCAAGGACCCTTTCCAGTAGCCACAGGGATTTTGGGATTCCTATCAGTATTCAAGAGGAGTCAGGCATCGTCACCTTTTGAAGCAATGAACTCCGCGTGCCTCTTGAGGTGTCAGCGGGATGTGAGGCATTCCGTCAAAATGAGGCAGGGACCTAGGGCTTTCTCTAAGGTATCCAAGGGGATTCAGACATCCCTTCATGTTGTGAGATGAAAGACGAGCCTGTATTCAAGCCACTGCAAGGAAATCCGGCCTCCTTTCAAGTTAGGGCTTCTCGCTGTATATTCCCCTTGAGGCAGCAAACTCGGGGTCCCTCCCACATACCTATTGCTGATAGAAGCCTCCTCCTGAGGTGCCTCTGGGAAGTTGGCATACGTCTTGAGCCTAAGCCAGGGAATCAGCTCTCATCTCGAGACGATTTGGGGTACACGGAGCATTCCTCGAGTTGCTGTGCTGAAGTTGGTGTTCCTCTAGACTTGGGACAGTGTTCTCGGGGCATCTCTGGAGTTGCCTGAAGGAAGTCGAGCCACCGGTCGTGTTGAATGGGGAACGGGGAATGGCTCTGGAGTCAATGCAGGGGAATCGGGCCTCATCTCGAGTTGATTTCGGGCACATGGAGCTGCTTTGCGTTGCTGGGTTGACCTCAGAGTCCGTCTAGACTGGTGACAGTGTTCTTGGGGACTGTCTCGAGATCCATTAAGCAAGTCGAAGCTCCTGACTTGTTTGAATGGGATCACGGAATAGCTCTGCATGCACTGCAGGGGAATGGGGCCTCATCTCGCCTCTAGGGGGAAGTCTCATGGTTTTTCTCGAGTTGCGGCGGGGACCTGGGGTATGTTCTCGACTTATGGCGGGGATGGCCCTTCAAGACACGAGTTTCTTCAGTGAAGTCAGGACTCCTGTCTAGTAACGAGGGACACCTCAGGAATCTCTTCGAGGCTTGGCAGGGCAAAAGGGACACTTCTCGAGGTGAGGCTGGGCACCCAAGGACCCTTTCCAGTAGCCACAGGGATTTTGGGATTCCTATCAGTATTCAAGAGGAGTCAGGCATCGTCACCTTTTGAAGCAATGAACTCCGCGTGCCTCTCGAGGTGTCAGCAGGATGTGAGGCATTCCGTCAAAATGAGGCAGGGACCTAGGGCTTTCTCTAAGGTCTCCACAGGGGTTCAGACATCCCTTCATGTTGTGAGATGAAAGACGAGCCTGTATTCAAGCCACTGCAAGGAAATCCGGCCTCCTTTCAAGTTAGGGCTTCTCGCTGTATATTCCCATTGAGGCAGCAAACTCGGGGTCCCTCCCACATACCTATTGCTGAGAGAAGCCTCCTCCTGAGGTGCTTCTGGGAAGTTGGCATACGTCTTGAGCCTAAGCCAGGGAATCAGCTCTCATCTCGAGACGATTTGGGGTACACGGAGCATTCCTCGAGTTGCTGTGCTGAAGTTGGTGTTCTTCTAGACTTGGGACAGTGTTCTCGGGGCATCTCTGGAGTTGCCTGAAGGAAGTCGAGCCACCGGTCGTGTTGAATGGGGAACGGGGAATGGCTCTGGAGTCAATGCAGGGGAATCGGGCCTCATCTCGAGTTGATTTGGGGCACATGGAGCTGCTTTGCGTTGCTGGGGTGACCTCAGGGTCCGTCTAGACTGGTGACAGTGTTCTTGGGGACTGTCTCGAGATCCATTAAGCAAGTCGAAGCTCCTGACTTGTTTGAATGGGATCACGGAATAGCTCTGCATGCACTGCAGGGGAATGGGGCCTCATCTCGCCTCTAGGGGGAAGTCTCATGGTTTTTCTCGAGTTGCGGCGGGGACCTGGGGTATGTTCTCGACTTAGGGCGGGGATGGCCCTTCAAGACACGAGTTTCTTCAGTGAAGTCAGGACTCCTGTCTAGTAACGAGGGACACCTCAGGAATCTCTTCGAGGCTTGGCAGGGCAAAAGGGACACTTCTCGAGGTGAGGCAGGGCACCCAAGGACCCTTTCCAGTAGCCACAGGGATTTTGGGATTCCTATCAGTATTCAAGAGGAGTCAGGCATCGTCACCTTTTGAAGCAATGAACTCCGCGTGCCTCTCGAGGTGTCAGCAGGATGTGAGGCATTCCGTCAAAATGAGGCAGGGACCTAGGGCTTTCTCTAAGGTCTCCACAGGGGTTCAGACATCCCTTCATGTTGTGAGATGAAAGACGAGCCTGTATTCAAGCCACTGCAAGGAAATCCGGCCTCCTTTCAAGTTAGGGCTTCTCGCTGTATATTCCCATTGAGGCAGCAAACTCGGGGTCCCTCCCACATACCTATTGCTGAGAGAAGCCTCCTCCTGAGGTGCTTCTGGGAAGTTGGCATACGTCTTGAGCCTAAGCCAGGGAATCAGCTCTCATCTCGAGACGATTTGGGGTACACGGAGCATTCCTCGAGTTGCTGTGCTGAAGTTGGTGTTCTTCTAGACTTGGGACAGTGTTCTCGGGGCATCTCTGGAGTTGCCTGAAGGAAGTCGAGCCACCGGTCGTGTTGAATGGGGAACGGGGAATGGCTCTGGAGTCAATGCAGGGGAATCGGGCCTCATCTCGAGTTGATTTGGGGCACATGGAGCTGCTTTGCGTTGCTGGGGTGACCTCAGGGTCCGTCTAGACTGGTGACAGTGTTCTTGGGGACTGTCTCGAGATCCATTAAGCAAGTCGAAGCTCCTGACTTGTTTGAATGGGATCACGGAATAGCTCTGCATGCACTGCAGGGGAATGGGGCCTCATCTCGCCTCTAGGGGGAAGTCTCATGGTTTTTCTCGAGTTGCGGCGGGGACCTGGGGTATGTTCTCCACTTACGGCGGGGATGGCCCTTCAAAACACGAGTTTCTTCAGTGACGTCAGGACTCCTGTCTAGTAACGAGGGACACCTCAGGAATCTCTTCGAGGCTTGGCAGGGCAAAAGGGACGCTTCTCGAGGTGAGGCAGGGCACCCAAGGACCCTTTCCAGTAGCCACAGGGATTTTGGGATTCCTATCAGTATTCAGGAGGAGTCAGGCATCGTCACCTTTTGAAGCAATGAACTCCGCGTGCCTCTCGAGGTGTCAGCGGGATGTGAGGCATTCCGTCAAAATGAGGCAGGGACCTAGGGCTTTCTCTAAGGTCTCCACAGGGGATTCAGACATCCCTTCATGTTGTGAGATGAAAGACGAGCCTGTATTCAAGCCACTGCAAGGAAATCCGGCCTCCTTTCAAGTTAGGGCTTCTCGCTGTATATTCCCCTTGAGGCAGCAAACTCGGGGTCCCTCCCACATACCTATTGCTGAGAGAAGCCTCCTCCTGAGGTGCCTCTGGGAAGTTGGCATACGTCTTGAGCCTAAGCCAGGGAATCAGCTCTCATCTCGAGACGATTTGGGGTACACGGAGCATTCCTCGAGTTGCTGTGCTGAAGTTGGTGTTCCTCTAGACTTGGGACAGTGTTCTCGGGGCATCTCTGGAGTTGCCTGAAGGAAGTCGAGCCACCGGTCGTGTTGAATGGGGAACGGGGAATGGCTCTGGAGTCAATGCAGGGGAATCGGGCCTCATCTCGAGTTGATTTGGGGCACATGGAGCTGCTTTGCGTTGCTGGGGTGACCTCAGAGTCCGTCTAGACTGGTGACAGTGTTCCTGGGGACTGTCTCGAGATCCATTAAGCAAGTCGAAGCTCCTGACTTGTTTGAATGGGATCACGGAATAGCTCTGCATGCACTGCAGGGGAATGGGGCCTCATCTCGCCTCTAGGGGGAAGTCTCATGGTTTTTCTCGAGTTGCGGCGGGGACCTGGGGTATGTTCTCGACTTATGGCGGGGATGGCCCTTCAAGACACGAGTTTCTTCAGTGACGTCAGGACTCCTGTCTAGTAACGAGGGACACCTCAGGAATCTCTTCGAGGCTTGGCAGGGCAAAAGGGACACTTCTCGAGGTGAGGCAGGGCACCCAAGGACCCTTTCCAGTAGCCACAGGGATTTTGGGATTCCTATCAGTATTCAAGAGGAGTCAGGCATCGTCACCTTTTGAAGCAATGAACTCCGCGTGCCTCTCGAGGTGTCAGCGGGATGTGAGGCATTCCGTCAAAATGAGGCAGGGACCTAGGGCTTTCTCTAAGGTCTCCACAGGGGATTCAGACATCCCTTCATGTTGTGAGATGAAAGACGAGCCTGTATTCAAGCCACTGCAAGGAAATCCGGCCTCCTTTCAAGTTAGGGCTTCTCGCTGTATATTCCCATTGAGGCAGCAAACTCGGGGTCCCTCCCACATACCTATTGCTGAGAGAAGCCTCCTCCTTAGGTGCTTCTGGGAAGTTGGCATACGTCTTGAGCCTAAGCCAGGGAATCAGCTCTCATCTCGAGACGATTTGGGGTACACGGAGCATTCCTCCAGTTGCTGTGCTGAAGTTGGTGTTCCTCTAGACTTGGGACAGTGTTCTCGGGGCATCTCTGGAGTTGCCTGAAGGAAGTCGAGCCACCGGTCGTGTTGAATGGGGAACGGGGAATGGCTCTGGAGTCAATGCAGGGGAATCGGGCCTCATCTCGAGTTGATTTGGGGCACATGGAGCTGCTTTGCGTTGCTGGGGTGACCTCAGGGTCCGTCTAGACTGGTGACAGTGTTCTTGGGGACTGTCTCGAGATCCATTAAGCAAGTCGAAGCTCCTGACTTGTTTGAATGGGATCACGGAATAGCTCTGCATGCACTGCAGGGGAATGGGGCCTCATCTCGCCTCTAGGGGGAAGTCTCATGGTTTTTCTCGAGTTGCGGCGGGGACCTGGGGTATGTTCTCGACTTACGGCGGGGATGGCCCTTCAAAACACGAGTTTCTTCAGTGACGTCAGGACTCCTGTCTAGTAACGAGGGACACCTCAGGAATCTCTTCGAGGCTTGGCAGGGCAAAAGGGACGCTTCTCGAGGTGAGGCAGGGCACCCAAGGACCCTTTCCAGTAGCCACAGGGATTTTGGGATTCCTATCAGTATTCAAGAGGAGTCAGGCATCGTCACCTTTTGAAGCAATGAACTCCGCGTGCCTCTCGAGGTGTCAGCGCGATGTGAGGCATTCCGTCAAAATGAGGCAGGGACCTAGGGCTTTCTCTAAGGTCTCCACAGGGGATTCAGACATCCCTTCATGTTGTGAGATGAAAGACGAGCCTGTATTCAAGCCACTGCAAGGAAATCTGGCCTCCTTTCAAGTTAGGGCTTCTCGCTGTATATTCCCCTTGAGGCAGCAAACTCGGGGTCCCTCCCACATACCTATTGCTGAGAGAAGCCTCCTCCTGAGGTGCTTCTGGGAAGTTGGCATACGTCTTGAGCCTAAGCCAGGGAATCAGCTCTCATCTCGAGACGATTTGGGGTACACGGAGCATTCCTCGAGTTGCTGTGCTGAAGTTGGTGTTCCTCTAGACTTGGGACAGTGTTCTCGGGGCATCTCTGGAGTTGCCTGAAGGAAGTCGAGCCACCGGTCGTGTTGAATGGGGAACGCGGAATGGCTCTGGAGTCAATGCAGGGGAATCGGGCCTCATCTCGATTTGATTTGGGGCACATGGAGCTGCTTTGCGTTGCTGGGGTGACCTCAGGGTCCGTCTAGACTGGTGACAGTGTTCTTGGGGACTGTCTCGAGATCCATTAAGCAAGTCGAAGCTCCTGACTTGTTTGAATGGGATCACGGAATAGCTCTGCATGCACTGCAGGGGAATGGGGCCTCATCTCGCCTCTAGGGGGAAGTCTCATGGTTTTTCTCGAGTTGCGGCGGGGACCTGGGGTATGTTCTCGACTTACTGCGGGGATGGCCCTTCAAAACACGAGTTTCTTCAGTGACGTCAGGACTCCTGTCTAGTAACGAGGGACACCTCAGGAATCTCTTCGAGGCTTGGCAGGGCAAAAGGGACGCTTCTCGAGGTGAGGCAGGGCACCCAAGGACCCTTTCCAGTAGCCACAGGGATTTTGGGATTCCTATCAGTATTCAAGAGGAGTCAGGCATCGTCACCTTTTGAAGCAATGAACTCCGCGTGCCTCTCGAGGTGTCAGCGGGATGTGAGGCATTCCGTCAAAATGAGGCAGGGACCTAGGGCTTTCTCTAAGGTCTCCACAGGGGATTCAGACATCCCTTCATGTTGTGAGATGAAAGACGAGCCTGTATTCAAGCCACTGCAAGGAAATCCGGCCTCCTTTCAAGTTAGGGCTTCTCGCTGTATATTCCCCTTGAGGCAGCAAATTCGGGGTCCCTCCCACATACCTATTGCTGAGAGAAGCCTCCTCCTGAGGTGCCTCTGGGAAGTTGGCATACGTCTTGAGCCTAAGCCAGGGAATCAGCTCTCATCTCGAGACGATTTGGGGTACACGGAGCATTCCTCGAGTTGCTGTGCTGAAGTTGGTGTTCCTCTAGACTTGGGACAGTGTTCTCGGGGCATCTCTGGAGTTGCCTGAAGGAAGTCGAGCCACCGGTCGTGTTGAATGGGGAACGGGGAATGGCTCTGGAGTCAATGCAGGGGAATCGGGCCTCATCTCGAGTTGATTTGGGGCACATGGAGCTGCTTTGCGTTGCTGGGGTGACCTCAGGGTCCGTCTAGACTGGTGACAGTGTTCTTGGGGACTGTCTCGAGATCCATTAAGCAAGTCGAAGCTCCTGACTTGTTTGAATGGGATCACGGAATAGCTCTGCATGCACTGCAGGGGAATGGGGCCTCATCTCGCCTCTAGGGGGAAGTCTCATGGTTTTTCTCGAGTTGCGGCGGGGACCTGGGGTATGTTCTCGACTTATGGCGGGGATGGCCCTTCAAGACACGAGTTTCTTCAGTGAAGTCAGGACTCCTGTCTAGTAACGAGGGACACCTCAGGAATCTCTTCGAGGCTTGGCAGGGCAAAAGGGACACTTCTCGAGGTGAGGCAGGGCACCCAAGGACCCTTTCCAGTAGCCACAGGGATTTTGGGATTCCTATCAGTATTCAAGAGGAGTCAGGCATCGTCACCTTTTGAAGCAATGAACTCCGCGTGCCTCTCGAGGTGTCAGCGGGATGTGAGGCATTCCGTCAAAATGAGGCAGGGACCTAGGGCTTTCTCTAAGGTCTCCACAGGGGTTCAGACATCCCTTCATGTTGTGAGATGAAAGACGAGCCTGTATTCAAGCCACTGCAAGGAAATCCGGCCTCCTTTCAAGTTAGGGCTTCTCGCTGTATATTCCCATTGAGGCAGCAAACTCGGGGTCCCTCCCACATACCTATTGCTGAGAGAAGCTTCCTCCTGAGGTGCTTCTGGGAAGTTGGCATACGTCTTGAGCCTAAGCCAGGGAATCAGCTCTCATCTCGAGACGATTTGGGGTACACGGAGCATTCCTCGAGTTGCTGTGCTGAAGTTGGTGTTCTTCTAGACTTGGGACAGTGTTCTCGGCGCATCTCTGGAGTTGCCTGAAGGAAGTCGAGCCACCGGTCGTGTTGAATGGGGAACGGGGAATGGCTCTGGAGTCAATGCAGGGGAATCGTTCCTCATCTCGAGTTGATTTGGGGCACATGGAGCTGCTTTGCGTTGCTGGGGTGACCTCAGGGTCCGTCTAGACTGGTGACAGTGTTCTTGGGGACTGTCTCGAGATCCATTAAGCAAGTCGAAGCTCCTGACTTGTTTGAATGGGATCACGGAATAGCTCTGCATGCACTGCAGGGGAATGGGGCCTCATCTCGCCTCTAGGGGGAAGTCTCATGGTTTTCTCGAGTTGCGGCGGGGACCTGGGGTATGTTCTCGACTTACGGCGGGGATGGCCCTTCAAAACACGAGTTTCTTCAGTGACGTCAGGACTCCTGTCTAGTAACGAGGGACACCTCAGGAATCTCTTCGAGGCTTCGCAGGGCAAAAGGGACGCTTCTCGAGGTGAGGCAGGGCACCCAAGGACCCTTTCCAGTAGCCACAGGGATTTTGGGATTCCTATCAGTATTCAAGAGGAGTCAGGCATCGTCACCTTTTGAAGCAATGAACTCCGCGTGCCTCTCGAGGTGTCAGCGGGATGTGAGGCATTCCGTCAAAATGAGGCAGGGACCTAGGGCTTTCTCTAAGGTCTCCACAGGGGATTCAGACATCCCTTCATATTGTGAGATGAAAGACGAGCCTGTATTCAAGCCACTGCAAGGAAATCCGGCCTCCTTTCAAGTTAGGGCTTCTCGCTGTATATTCCCCTTGAGGCAGCAAACTCGGGGTCCCTCCCACATACCTATTGCTGAGAGAAGCCTCCTCCTGAGTTGCTTCTGGGAAGTTGGCATACGTCTTGAGCCTAAGCCAGGGAATCAGCTCTCATCTCGAGACGATTTGGGGTACACGGAGCATTCCTCCAGTTGCTGTGCTGAAGTTGGTGTTCCTCTAGACTTGGGACAGTGTTCTCGGGGCATCTCTGGAGTTGCCTGAAGGAAGTCGAGCCACCGGTCGTGTTGAATGGGGAACGGGGAATGGCTCTGGAGTCAATGCAGGGGAATCGGGCCTCATCTCGAGTTGATTTGGGGCACATGGAGCTGCTTTGCGTTGCTGGGGTGACCTCAGGGTCCGTCTAGACTGGTGACAGTGTTCTTGGGGACTGTCTCGAGATCCATTAAGCAAGTCGAAGCTCCTGACTTGTTTGAATGGGATCACAGCATAGCTCTGCATGCACTGCAGGGGAATGGGGCCTCATCTCGCCTCTAGGGGGAAGTCTCATGGTTTTTCTCGAGTTGCGGCGGGGACCTGGGGTATGTTCTCGACTTACGGCGGGGATGGCCCTTCAAAACACGAGTTTCTTCAGTGACGTCAGGACTCCTGTCTAGTAACGAGGGACACCTCAGGAATCTCTTCGAGGCTTGGCAGGGCAAAAGGGACGCTTCTCGAGGTGAGGCAGGGCACCCAAGGACCCTTTCCAGTAGCCACAGGGATTTTGGGATTCCTATCAGTATTCAAGAGGAGTCAGGCATCGTCACCTTTTGAAGCAATGAACTCCGCGTGCCTCTCGAGGTGTCAGCGCGATGTGAGGCATTCCGTCAAAATGAGGCAGGGACCTAGGGCTTTCTCTAAGGTCTCCACAGGGGATTCAGACATCCCTTCATGTTGTGAGATGAAAGACGAGCCTGTATTCAAGCCACTGCAAGGAAATCCGGCCTCCTTTCAAGTTAGGGCTTCTCGCTGTATATTCCCCTTGAGGCAGCAAACTCGGGGTCCCTCCCACATACCTATTGCTGAGAGAAGCCTCCTCCTGAGGTGCTTCTGGGAAGTTGGCATTCGTCTTGAGCCTAAGCCAGGGAATCAGCTCTCATCTCGAGACGATTTGGGGTACACGGAGCATTCCTCGAGTTGCTGTGCTGAAGTTGGTGTTCCTCTAGACTTGGGACAGTGTTCTCGGGGCATCTCTGGAGTTGCCTGAAGGAAGTCGAGCCACCGGTCGTGTTGAATGGGGAACGGGGAATGGCTCTGTAGTCAATGCAGGGGAATCGGGCCTCATCTCGAGGTGATTTCGGGCACATGGAGCTGCTTTGCGTTGCTGGGGTGACCTCAGAGTCCGTCTAGACTGGTGACAGTGTTCTTGGGGACTGTCTCGAGATCCATTAAGCAAGTCGAAACTCCTGACTTGTTTGAATGGGATCACGGAATAGCTCTGCATGCACTGCAGGGGAATGGGGCCTCATCTCGCCTCTAGGGGGAAGTCTCATGGTTTTTCTCGAGTTGCGGCGGGGACCTGGGGTATGTTCTCGACTTATGGCGGGGATGGCCCTTCAAGACACGAGTTTCTTCAGTGAAGTCAGGACTCCTGTCTAGTAACGAGGGACACCTCAGGAATCTCTTCGAGGCTTGGCAGGGCAAAAGGGACACTTCTCGAGGTGAGGCAGGGCACCCAAGGACCCTTTCCAGTAGCCACAGGGATTTTGGGATTCCTATCAGTATTCAAGAGGAGTCAGGCATCATCACCTTTTGAAGCAATGAACTCCGCGTGCCTCTCGAGGTGTCAGCAGGATGTGAGGCATTCCGTCAAAATGAGGCAGGGACCTAGGGCTTTCTCTAAGGTCTCCACAGGGGTTCAGACATCCCTTCATGTTGTGAGATGAAAGACGAGCCTGTATTCAAGCCACTGCAAGGAAATCCGGCCTCCTTTCAAGTTAGGGCTTCTCGCTGTATATTCCCATTGAGGCAGCAAACTCGGGGTCCCTCCCACATACCTATTGCTGAGAGAAGCCTCCTCCTGAGGTGCTTCTGGGAAGTTGGCATACGTCTTGAGCCTAAGCCAGGGAATCAGCTCTCATCTCGAGACGATTTGGGGTACACGGAGCATTCCTCGAGTTGCTGTGCTGAAGTTGGTGTTCTTCTAGACTTGGGACAGTGTTCTCGGGGCATCTCTGGAGTTGCCTGAAGGAAGTCGAGCCACCGGTCGTGTTGAATGGGGAACGGGGAATGGCTCTGGAGTCAATGCAGGGGAATCGGGCCTCATCTCGAGTTGATTTGGGGCACATGGAGCTGCTTTGCGTTGCTGGGGTGACCTCAGGGTACGTCTAGACTGGTGACAGTGTTCTTGGGGACTGTCTCGAGATCCATTAAGCAAGTCGAAGCTCCTGACTTGTTTGAATGGGATCACGGAATAGCTCTGCATGCACTGCAGGGGAATGGGGCCTCATCTCGCCTCTAGGGGGAAGTCTCATGGTTTTTCTCGAGTTGCGGCGGGGACCTGGGTTATGTTCTCCACTTACGGCGGGGATGGCCCTTCAAAACACGAGTTTCTTCAGTGACGTCAGGACTCCTGTCTAGTAACGAGGGACACCTCAGGAATCTCTTCGAGGCTTGGCAGGGCAAAAGGGACGCTTCTCGAGGTGAGGCAGGGCACCCAAGGACCCTTTCCAGTAGCCACAGGGATTTTGGGATTCCTATCAGTATTCAAGAGGAGTCAGGCATCGTCACCTTTTGAAGCAATGAACTCCGCGTGCCTCTCGAGGTGTCAGCGCGATGTGAGGCATTCCGTCAAAATGAGGCAGGGACCTAGGGCTTTCTCTAAGGTCTCCACAGGGGATTCAGACATCCCTTCATGTTGTGAGATGAAAGACGAGCCTGTATTCAAGCCACTGCAAGGAAATCCGGCCTCCTTTCAAGTTAGGGCTTCTCGCTGTATATTCCCCTTGAGGCAGCAAACTCGGGGTCCCTCCCACATACCTATTGCTGAGAGAAGCCTCCTCCTGAGGTGCCTCTGGGAAGTTGGCATACGTCTTGAGCCTAAGCCAGGGAATCAGCTCTCATCTCGAGACGATTTGGGGTACACGGAGCATTCCTCGAGTTGCTGTGCTGAAGTTGGTGTTCCTCTAGACTTGGGACAGTGTTCTCGGGGCATCTCTGGAGTTGCCTGAAGGAAGTCGAGCCACCGGTCGTGTTGAATGGGGAACGGGGAATGGCTCTGGAGTCAATGCAGGGGAATCGGGCCTCATCTCGAGTTGATTTGGGGCACATGGAGCTGCTTTGCGTTGCTGGGGTGACCTCAGAGTCCGTCTAGACTGGTGACAGTGTTCTTGGGGACTGTCTCGAGATCCATTAAGCAAGTCGAAGCTCCTGACTTGTTTGAATGGGATCACGGAATAGCTCTGCATGCACTGCAGGGGAATGGGGCCTCATCTCGCCTCTAGGGGGAAGTCTCATGGTTTTTCTCGAGTTGCGGCGGGGACCTGGGGTATGTTCTCGACTTATGGCGGGGATGGCCCTTCAAGACACGAGTTTCTTCAGTGACGTCAGGACTCCTGTCTAGTAACGAGGGACACCTCAGGAATCTCTTCGAGGCTTGGCAGGGCAAAAGGGACACTTCTCGAGGTGAGGCAGGGCACCCAAGGACCCTTTCCAGTAGCCACAGGGATTTTGGGATTCCTATCAGTATTCAAGAGGAGTCAGGCATCGTCACCTTTTGAAGCAATGAACTCCGCGTGCCTCTCGAGGTGTCAGCGGGATGTGAGGCATTCCGTCAAAATGAGGCAGGGACCTAGGGCTTTCTCTAAGGTCTCCACAGGGGATTCAGACATCCCTTCATGTTGTGAGATGAAAGACGAGCCTGTATTCAAGCCACTGCAAGGAAATCCGGCCTCCTTTCAAGTTAGGGCTTCTCGCTGTATATTCCCATTGAGGCAGCAAACTCGGGGTCCCTCCCACATACCTATTGCTGAGAGAAGCCTCCTCCTTAGGTGCTTCTGGGAAGTTGGCATACGTCTTGAGCCTAAGCCAGGGAATCAGCTCTCATCTCGAGACGATTTGGGGTACACGGAGCATTCCTCGAGTTGCTGTGCTGAAGTTGGTGTTCTTCTAGACTTGGGACAGTGTTCTCGGGGCATCTCTGGACTTGCCTGAAGGAAGTCGAGCCACCGGTCGTGTTGAATGGGGAACGGGGAATGGCTCTGGAGTCAATGCAGGGGAATCGTTCCTCATCTCGAGTTGATTTGGGGCACATGGAGCTGCTTTGCGTTGCTGGGGTGACCTCAGGGTCCGTCTAGACTGGTGACAGTGTTCTTGGGGACTGTCTCGAGATCCATTAAGCAAGTCGAAGCTCCTGACTTGTTTGAATGGGATCACGGAATAGCTCTGCATGCACTGCAGGGGAATGGGGCCTCATCTCGCCTCTAGGGGGAAGTCTCATGGTTTTTCTCGAGTTGCGGCGGGGACCTGGGGTATGTTCTCCACTTACGGCGGGGATGGCCCTTCAAAACACGAGTTTCTTCAATGACGTCAGGACTCCTGTCTAGTAACGAGGGACACCTCAGGAATCTCTTTGAGGCTTGGCAGGGCAAAAGGGACGCTTCTCGAGGTGAGGCAGGGCACCCAAGGACCCTTTCCAGTAGCCACAGGGATTTTGGGATTCCTATCAGTATTCAAGAGGAGTCAGGCATCGTCACCTTTTGAAGCAATGAACTCCGCGTGCCTCTCGAGGTGTCAGCGGGATGTGAGGCATTCCGTCAAAATGAGGCAGGTACCTAGGGCTTTCTCTAAGGTCTCCACAGGGGATTCAGACATCCCTTCATGTTGTGAGATGAAAGACGAGCCTGTATTCAAGCCACTGCAAGGAAATCCGGCCTCCTTTCAAGTTAGGGCTTCTCGCTGTATATTCCCCTTGAGGCAGCAAACTCGGGGTCCCTCCCACATACCTATTGCTGAGAGAAGCCTCCTCCTGAGGTGCTTCTGGGAAGTTGGCATACGTCTTGAGCCTAAGTCAGGGAATCAGCTCTCATCTCGAGACGATTTGGGGTACACGGAGCATTCCTCGAGTTGCTGTGCTGAAGTTGGTGTTCCTCTAGACTTGGGACAGTGTTCTCGGGGCATCTCTGGAGTTGCCTGAAGGAAGTCGAGCCACCGGTCGTGTTGAATGGGGAACGGGGAATGGCTCTGGAGTCAATGCAGGGGAATCGGGCCTCATCTCGAGTTGATTTGGGGCACATGGAGCTGCTTTGCGTTGCTGGGGTGACCTCAGGGTCCGTCTAGACTGGTGACAGTGTTCTTGGGGACTGTCTCGAGATCCATTAAGAAGTCGAAGCTCCTGACTTGTTTGAATGGGATCACGGAATAGCTCTGCATGCACTGCAGGGGAATGGGGCCTCATCTCGCCTCTAGGGTGAAGTCTCATGGTTTTTCTCGAGTTGCGGCGGGGACCTGGGGTATGTTCTCGACTTACGGCGGGGATGGCCCTTCAAAACACGAGTTTCTTCAGTGACGTCAGGACTCCTGTCTAGTAACGAGGGACACCTCAGGAATCTCTTCGAGGCTTGGCAGGGCAAAAGGGACGCTTCTCGAGGTGAGGCAGGGCACCCAAGGACCCTTTCCAGTAGCCACAGGGATTTGGGGATTCCTATCAGTATTCAAGAGGAGTCAGGCATCGTCACCTTTTGAAGCAATGAACTCCGCGTGCCTCTCGAGGTGTCAGCGGGATGTGAGGCATTCCGTCAAAATGAGGCAGGGACCTAGGGCTTTCTCTAAGGTCTCCACAGGGGATTCAGACATCCCTTCATGTTGTGAGATGAAAGACGAGCCTGTATTCAAGCCACTGCAAGGAAATCCGGCCTCCTTTCAAGTTAGGTCTTCTCGCTGTATATTCCCCTTGAGGCAGCAAACTCGGGGTCCCTCCCACATACCTATTGCTGAGAGAAGCCTCCTCCTGAGGTGCCTCTGGGAAGTTGGCATACGTCTTGAGCCTAAGCCAGGGAATCAGCTCTCATCTCGAGACGATTTGGGGTACACGGAGCATTCCTCGAGTTGCTGTGCTGAAGTTGGTGTTCCTCTAGACTTGGGACAGTGTTCTCGGGGCATCTCTGGAGTTGCCTGAAGGAAGTCGAGCCACCGGTCGTGTTGAATGGGGAACGGGGAATGGCTCTGGAGTCAATGCAGGGGAATCGGGCCTCATCTCGAGTTGATTTGGGGCACATGGAGCTGCTTTGCTTTGCTGGGGTGACCTCAGAGTCCGTCTAGACTGGTGACAGTGTTCTTGGGGACTGTCTCGAGATCCATTAAGCAAGTCGAAGCTCCTGACTTGTTTGAATGGGATCACGGAATAGCTCTGCATGCACTGCAGGGGAATGGGGCCTCATCTCGCCTCTAGGGGGAAGTCTCATGGTTTTTCTCGAGTTGCGGCGGGGACCTGGGGTATGTTCTCGACTTATGGCGCGGATGGCCCTTCAAGACACGAGTTTCTTCAGTGACGTCAGGACTCCTGTCTAGTAACGAGGGACACCTCAGGAATCTCTTCGAGGCTTGGCAGGGCAAAAGGGACACTTCTCGAGGTGAGGCAGGGCACCCAAGGACCCTTTCCAGTAGCCACAGGGATTTTGGGATTCCTATCAGTATTCAAGAGGAGTCAGGCATCGTCACCTTTTGAAGCAATGAACTCCGCGTGCCTCTCGAGGTGTCAGCGGGATGTGAGGCATTCCGTCAAAATGAGGCAGGGACCTAGGGCTTTCTCTAAGGTCTCCACAGGGGATTCAGACATCCCTTCATGTTGTGAGATGAAAGACGAGCCTGTATTCAAGCCACTGAAAGGAAATCCGGCCTCCTTTCAAGTTAGGGCTTCTCGCTGTATATTCCCATTGAGGCAGCAAACTCGGGGTCCCTCCCACATACCTATTGCTGAGAGAAGCCTCCTCCTGAGGTGCTTCTGGGAAGTTGGCATACGTCTTGAGCCTAAGCCAGGGAATCAGCTCTCATCTCGAGACGATTTGGGGTACACGGAGCATTCCTCGAGTTGCTGTGCTGAAGTTGGTGTTCTTCTAGACTTGGGACAGTGTTCTCGGGGCATCTCTGGACTTGCCTGAAGGAAGTCGAGCCACCGGTCGTGTTGAATGGGGAACGGGGAATGGCTCTGGAGTCAATGCAGGGGAATCGTTCCTCATCTCGAGTTGATTTGGGGCACATGGAGCTGCTTTGCGTTGCTGGGGTGACCTCAGGGTCCGTCTAGACTGGTGACAGTGTTCTTGGGGACTGTCTCGAGATCCATTAAGCAAGTCGAAGCTCCTGACTTGTTTGAATGGGATCACGGAATAGCTCTGCATGCACTGCAGGGGAATGGGGCCTCATCTCGCCTCTAGGGGGAAGTCTCATGGTTTTTCTCGAGTTGCGGCTGGGACCTGGGGTATGTTCTCCACTTACGGCGGGGATGGCCCTTCAAAACACGAGTTTCTTCAATGACGTCAGGACTCCTGTATAGTAACCAGGGACACCTCAGGAATCTCTTTGAGGCTTGGCAGGGCAAAAGGGACGCTTCTCGAGGTGAGGCAGGGCACCCAAGGACCCTTTCCAGTAGCCACAGGGATTTTGGGATTCCTATCAGTATTCAAGAGGAGTCAGGCATCGTCACCTTTTGAAGCAATGAACTCCGCGTGCCTCTCGAGGTGTCAGCGGGATGTGAGGCATTCCGTCAAAATGAGGCAGGGACCTAGGGCTTTCTCTAAGGTCTCCACAGGGGATTCAGACATCCCTTCATGTTGTGAGATGAAAGACGAGCCTGTATTCAAGCCACTGCAAGGAAATCCGGCCTCCTTTCAAGTTAGGGCTTCTCGCTGTATATTCCCCTTGAGGCAGCAAACTCGGGGTCCCTCCCACATACCTATTGCTGAGAGAAGCCTCCTCCTGAGGTGCTTCTGGGAAGTTGGCATACGTCTTGAGCCTAAGCCAGGGAATCAGCTCTCATCTCGAGACGATTTGGGGTACACGGAGCATTCCTCGAGTTGCTGTGCTGAAGTTGGTGTTCCTCTAGACTTGGGACAGTGTTCTCGGGGCATCTCTGGAGTTGCCTGAAGGAAGTCGAGCCACCAGTCGTGTTGAATGGGGAACGGGGAATGGCTCTGGAGTCAATGCAGGGGAATCGGGCCTCATCTCGAGTTGATTTGGGGCACATGGAGCTGCTTTGCGTTGCTGGGGTGACCTCAGGGTCCGTCTAGACTGGTGACAGTGTTCTTGGGGACTGTCTCGAGATCCATTAAGAAGTCGAAGCTCCTGACTTGTTTGAATGGGATCACGGAATAGCTCTGCATGCACTGCAGGGGAATGGGGCCTCATCTCGCCTCTAGGGGGAAGTCTCATGGTTTTTCTCGAGTTGCGGCGGGGACCTGGGGTATGTTCTCGACTTACGGCGGGGATGGCCCTTCAAAACACGAGTTTCTTCAGTGACGTCAGGACTCCTGTCTAGTAACGAGGGACACCTCAGGAATCTCTTCGAGGCTTGGCAGGGCAAAAGGGACGCTTCTCGAGGTGAGGCAGGGCACCCAAGGACCCTTTCCAGTAGCCACAGGGATTTGGGGATTCCTATCAGTATTCAAGAGGAGTCAGGCATCGTCACCTTTTGAAGCAATGAACTCCGCGTGCCTCTCGAGGTGTCAGCGGGATGTGAGGCATTCCGTCAAAATGAGGCAGGGACCTAGGGCTTTCTCTAAGGTTTCCACAGGGGATTCAGACATCCCTTCATATTGTGAGATGAAAGACGAGCCTGTATTCAAGCCACTGCAAGGAAATCCGGCCTCCTTTCAAGTTAGGGCTTCTCGCCGTATATTCCCCTTGAGGCAGCAAACTCGGGGTCCCTCCCACATACCTATTGCTGAGAGAAGCCTCCTCCTGAGGTGCTTCTGGGAAGTTGGCATACGTCTTGAGCCTAAGCCAGGGAATCAGCTCGCACCTCGAGACGATTTGGGGTACACGGAGCATTCCTCGAGTTGCTGTGCTGAAGTTGGTGTTCCTCTAGACTTGGGACAGTGTTCTCGGGGCATCTCTGGAGTTGCCTGAAGGAAGTCGAGCCACCGGTCGTGTTGAATGTGGAACGGGGAATGGCTCTGGTGTCAATGCAGGGGAATCGGGCCTCATCTCGAGTTGATTTGGGGCACATGGAGCTGCTTTGCGTTGCTGGGGTGACCTCAGGGTCCGTCTAGACTGGTGACAGTGTTCTTGGGGACTCTCTCGAGATCCATTAAGCAAGTCGAAGCTGCTGACTTGTTTGAATGGGATCACGGAATAGCTCTGCATGCACTGCAGGGGAATGGGGCCTCATCTCGCCTCTAGGGGGAAGTCTCATGGTTTTTCTCGAGTTGCGGCGGGGACCTGGGGTATGTTCTTGACTTACGGCGGGGATGGCCCTTCAAAACACGAGTTTCTTCAGTGACGTCAGGACTCCTGTCTAGTAACGAGGGACACCTCAGGAATCTCATCGAGGCTTGGCAGGGCAAAAGGGACACTTCTCGAGGTGAGGCAGGGCACCCAAGGACCCTTTCCAGTAGCCACAGGGATTTTGGGATTCCTATCAGTATTCAAGAGGAGTCAGGCATCGTCACCTTTTGAAGCAATGAACTCCACGTGCCTCTCGAGGTGTCAGCGGGATGTGAGGCATTCCGTCAAAATGAGGCAGGGACCTAGGGCTTTCTCTAAGGTCTCCACAGGGGATTCAGACATCCCTTCATGTTGTGAGATGAAAGAGGAGCCTGTATTCAAGCCACTGCAAGGAAATCCGGCCTCCTTTCAAGTTAGGGCTTCTCGCTGTATATTCCCATTGAGGCAGCAAACTCGGGGTCCCTCCCACATACCTATTGCTGAGAGAAGCCTCCTCCTGAGGTGCTTCTGGGAAGTTGGCATACGTCTTGAGCCTAAGCCAGGGAATCAGCTCTCATCTCGAGACGATTTGGGGTACACGGAGCATTCCTCGAGTTGCTGTGCTGAAGTTGGTGTTCTTCTAGACTTGGGACAGTGTTCTCGGGGCATCTCTGGAGTTGCCTGAAGGAAGTCGAGCCACCGGTCGTGTTGAATGGGGAACGGGGAATGGCTCTGGAGTCAATGCATGGGAATCGTTCCTCATCTCGAGTTCATTTGGGGCACATGGAGCTGCTTTGCGTTGCTGGGGTGACCTCAGGGTCCGTCTAGACTGGTGACAGTGTTCTTGGGGACTGTCTCGAGATCCATTAAGCAAGTCGAAGCTCCTGACTTGTTTGAATGGGATCACGGAATAGCTCTGCATGCACTGCAGGGGAATGGGGCCTCATCTCGCCTCTAGGGGGAAGTCTCATGGTTTTTCTCGAGTTGCGGCGGGGACCTGGGGTATGTTCTCGACTTACGGCGGGGATGGCCCTTCAAAACACGAGTTTCTTCAGTGACGTCAGGACTCCTGTCTAGTAACGAGGGACACCTCAGGAATTTCTTCGAGGCTTGGCAGGGCAAAAGGGACGCTTCTCGAGGTGAGGCAGGGCACCCAAGGACCCTTTCCAGTAGCCACAGGGATTTGGGGATTCCTATCAGTATTCAAGAGGAGTCAGGCATCGTCACCTTTTGAAGCAATGAACTCCGCGTGCCTCTCGAGGTGTCAGCGGGATGTGAGGCATTCCGTCAAAATGAGGCAGGGACCTAGGGCTTTCTCTAAGGTCTCCACAGGGGATTCAGACATCCCTTCATGTTGTGAGATGAAAGACGAGCCTGTATTCAAGCCACTGCAAGGAAATCCGGCCTCCTTTCAAGTTAGGGCTTCTCGCTGTATATTCCCCTTGAGGCAGCAAACTCGGGGTCCCTCCCACATACCTATTGCTGAGAGAAGCCTCCTCCTGAGGTGCCTCTGGGAAGTTGGCATACGTCTTGAGCCTAAGCCAGGGAATCAGCTCTCATCTCGAGACGATTTGGGGTACACGGAGCATTCCTCGAGTTGCTGTGCTGAAGTTGGTGTTCCTCTAGACTTGGGACAGTGTTCTCGGGGCATCTCTGGAGTTGCCTGAAGGAAGTCGAGCCACCGGTCGTGTTGAATGGGGAACGGGGAATGGCTCTGGAGTCAATGCAGGGGAATCGGGCCTCATCTCGAGTTGATTTGGGGCACATGGAGCTGCTTTGCGTTGCTGGGGTGACCTCAGAGTCCGTCTAGACTGGTGACAGTGTTCTTGGGGACTGTCTCGAGATCCATTAAGCAAGTCGAAGCTCCTGACTTGTTTGAATGGGATCACGGAATAGCTCTGCATGCACTGCAGGGGAATGGGGCCTCATCTCGCCTCTAGGGGGAAGTCTCATGGTTTTTCTCGAGTTGCGGCAGGGACCTGGGGTATGTTCTCGACTTATGGCGCGGATGGCCCTTCAAGACACGAGTTTCTTCAGTGACGTCAGGACTCCTGTCTAGTAACGAGGGACACCTCAGGAATCTCTTCGAGGCTTGGCAGGGCAAAAGGGACACTTCTCGAGGTGAGGCAGGGCACCCAAGGACCCTTTCCAGTAGCCACAGGGATTTTGGGATTCCTATCAGTATTCAAGAGGAGTCAGGCATCGTCACCTTTTGAAGCAATGAACTCCGCGTGCCTCTCGAGGTGTCAGCGGGATGTGAGGCATTCCGTCAAAATGAGGCAGGGACCTAGGGCTTTCTCTAAGGTCTCCACAGGGGATTCAGACATCCCTTCATGTTGTGAGATGAAAGACGAGCCTGTATTCAAGCCACTGAAAGGAAATCCGGCCTCCTTTCAAGTTAGGGCTTCTCTCTGTATATTCCCATTGAGGCAGCAAACTCGGGGTCCCTCCCACATACCTATTGCTGAGAGAAGCCTCCTCCTGAGGTGCTTCTGGGAAGTTGGCATACGTCTTGAGCCTAAGCCAGGGAATCAGCTCTCATCTCGAGACGATTTGGGGTACACGGAGCATTCCTCGAGTTGCTGTGCTGAAGTTGGTGTTCTTCTAGACTTGGGACAGTGTTCTCGGGGCATCTCTGGACTTGCCTGAAGGAAGTCGAGCCACCGGTCGTGTTGAATGGGGAACGGGGAATGGCTCTGGAGTCAATGCAGGGGAATCGTTCCTCATCTCGAGTTGATTTGGGGCACATGGAGCTGCTTTGCGTTGCTGGGGTGACCTCAGGGTCCGTCTAGACTGGTGACAGTGTTCTTGGGGACTGTCTCGAGATCCATTAAGCAAGTCGAAGCTCCTGACTTGTTTGAATGGGATCACGGAATAGCTCTGCATGCACTGCAGGGGAATGGGGCCTCATCTCGCCTCTAGGGGGAAGTCTCATGGTTTTTCTCGAGTTGCGGCTGGGACCTGGGGTATGTTCTCCACTTACGGCGGGGATGGCCCTTCAAAACACGAGTTTCTTCAATGACGTCAGGACTCCTGTCTAGTAACGAGGGACACCTCAGGAATCTCTTTGAGGCTTGGCAGGGCAAAAGGGACGCTTCTCGAGGTGAGGCAGGGCACCCAAGGACCCTTTCCAGTAGCCACAGGGATTTTGGGATTCCTATCAGTATTCAAGAGGAGTCAGGCATCGTCACCTTTTGAAGCAATGAACTCCGCGTGCCTCTCGAGGTGTCAGCGGGATGTGAGGCATTCCGTCAAAATGAGGCAGGGACCTAGGGCTTTCTCTAAGGTCTCCACAGGGGATTCAGACATCCCTTCATGTTGTGAGATGAAAGACGAGCCTGTATTCAAGCCACTGCAAGGAAATCCGGCCTCCTTTCAAGTTAGGGCTTCTCGCTGTATATTCCCCTTGAGGCAGCAAACTCGGGGTCCCTCCCACATACCTATTGCTGAGAGAAGCCTCCTCCTGAGGTGCCTCTGGGAAGTTGGCATACGTCTTGAGCCTAAGCCAGGGAATCAGCTCTCATCTCGAGACGATTTGGGGTACACGGAGCATTCCTCGAGTTGCTGTGCTGAAGTTGGTGTTCCTCTAGACTTGGGACAGTGTTCTCGGGGCATCTCTGGAGTTGCCTGAAGGAAGTCGAGCCACCGGTCGTGTTGAATGGGGAACGGGGAATGGCTCTGGAGTCAATGCAGGGGAATCGGGCCTCATCTCGAGTTGATTTGGGGCACATGGAGCTGCTTTGCGTTGCTGGGGTGACCTCAGAGTCCGTCTAGACTGGTGACAGTGTTCTTGGGGACTGTCTCGAGATCCATTAAGCAAGTCGAAGCTCCTGACTTGTTTGAATGGGATCACGGAATAGCTCTGCATGCACTGCAGGGGAATGGGGCCTCATCTCGCCTCTAGGGGGAAGTCTCATGGTTTTTCTCGAGTTGCGGCAGGGACCTGGGGTATGTTCTCGACTTATGGCGCGGATGGCCCTTCAAGACACGAGTTTCTTCAGTGACGTCAGGACTCCTGTCTAGTAACGAGGGACACCTCAGGAATCTCTTCGAGGCTTGGCAGGGCAAAAGGGACACTTCTCGAGGTGAGGCAGGGCACCCAAGGACCCTTTCCAGTAGCCACAGGGATTTTGGGATTCCTATCAGTATTCAAGAGGAGTCAGGCATCGTCACCTTTTGAAGCAATGAACTCCGCGTGCCTCTCGAGGTGTCAGCGGGATGTGAGGCATTCCGTCAAAATGAGGCAGGGACCTAGGGCTTTCTCTAAGGTCTCCACAGGGGATTCAGACATCCCTTCATGTTGTGAGATGAAAGACGAGCCTGTATTCAAGCCACTGAAAGGAAATCCGGCCTCCTTTCAAGTTAGGGCTTCTCTCTGTATATTCCCATTGAGGCAGCAAACTCGGGGTCCCTCCCACATACCTATTGCTGAGAGAAGCCTCCTCCTGAGGTGCTTCTGGGAAGTTGGCATACGTCTTGAGCCTAAGCCAGGGAATCAGCTCTCATCTCGAGACGATTTGGGGTACACGGAGCATTCCTCGAGTTGCTGTGCTGAAGTTGGTGTTCTTCTAGACTTGGGACAGTGTTCTCGGGGCATCTCTGGACTTGCCTGAAGGAAGTCGAGCCACCGGTCGTGTTGAATGGGGAACGGGGAATGGCTCTGGAGTCAATGCAGGGGAATCGTTCCTCATCTCGAGTTGATTTGGGGCACATGGAGCTGCTTTGCGTTGCTGGGGTGACCTCAGGGTCCGTCTAGACTGGTGACAGTGTTCTTGGGGACTGTCTCGAGATCCATTAAGCAAGTCGAAGCTCCTGACTTGTTTGAATGGGATCACGGAATAGCTCTGCATGCACTGCAGGGGAATGGGGCCTCATCTCGCCTCTAGGGGGAAGTCTCATGGTTTTTCTCGAGTTGCGGCTGGGACCTGGGGTATGTTCTCCACTTACGGCGGGGATGGCCCTTCAAAACACGAGTTTCTTCAATGACGTCAGGACTCCTGTCTAGTAACGAGGGACACCTCAGGAATCTCTTTGAGGCTTGGCAGGGCAAAAGGGACGCTTCTCGAGGTGAGGCAGGGCACCCAAGGACCCTTTCCAGTAGCCACAGGGATTTTGGGATTCCTATCAGTATTCAAGAGGAGTCAGGCATCGTCACCTTTTGAAGCAATGAACTCCGCGTGCCTCTCGAGGTGTCAGCGGGATGTGAGGCATTCCGTCAAAATGAGGCAGGGACCTAGGGCTTTCTCTAAGGTCTCCACAGGGGATTCAGACATCCCTTCATGTTGTGAGATGAAAGACGAGCCTGTATTCAAGCCACTGCAAGGAAATCCGGCCTCCTTTCAAGTTAGGGCTTCTCGCTGTATATTCCCCTTGAGGCAGCAAACTCGGGGTCCCTCCCACATACCTATTGCTGAGAGAAGCCTCCTCCTGAGGTGCTTCTGGGAAGTTGGCATACGTCTTGAGCCTAAGCCAGGGAATCAGCTCTCATCTCGAGACGATTTGGGGTACACGGAGCATTCCTCGAGTTGCTGTGCTGAAGTTGGTGTTCCTCTAGACTTGGGACAGTGTTCTCGGGGCATCTCTGGAGTTGCCTGAAGGAAGTCGAGCCACCAGTCGTGTTGAATGGGGAACGGGGAATGGCTCTGGAGTCAATGCAGGGGAATCGGGCCTCATCTCGAGTTGATTTGGGGCACATGGTGCTGCTTTGCGTTGCTGGGGTGACCTCAGGGTCCGTCTAGACTGGTGACAGTGTTCTTGGGGACTGTCTCGAGATCCATTAAGAAGTCGAAGCTCCTGACTTGTTTGAATGGGATCACGGAATAGCTCTGCATGCACTGCAGGGGAATGGGGACTCATCTCGCCTCTAGGGGGAAGTCTCATGGTTTTTCTCGAGTTGCGGCGGGGACCTGGGGTATGTTCTCGACTTACGGCGGGGATGGCCCTTCAAAACACGAGTTTCTTCAGTGACGTCAGGACTCCTGTCTAGTAACGAGGGACACCTCAGGAATCTCTTCGAGGCTTGGCAGGGCAAAAGGGACGCTTCTCGAGGTCAGGCAGGGCACCCAAGGACCCTTTCCAGTAGCCACAGGGATTTGGGGATTCCTATCAGTATTCAAGAGGAGTCAGGCATCGTCACCTTTTGAAGCAATGAACTCCGCGTGCCTCTCGAGGTGTCAGCGGGATGTGAGGCATTCCGTCAAAATGAGGCAGGGACCTAGGGCTTTCTCTAAGGTCTCCACAGGGGATTCAGACATCCCTTCATATTGTGAGATGAAAGACGAGCCTGTATTCAAGCCACTGCAAGGAAATCCGGCCTCCTTTCAAGTTAGGGCTTCTCGCCGTATATTCCCCTTGAGGCAGCAAACTCGGGGTCCCTCCCACATACCTATTGCTGAGAGAAGCCTCCTCCTGAGGTGCTTCTGGGAAGTTGGCATACTTCTTGAGCCTAAGCCAGGGAATCAGCTCGCACCTCGAGACGATTTGGGGTACACGGAGCATTCCTCGAGTTGCTGTGCTGAAGTTGGTGTTCCTCTAGACTTGGGACAGTGTTCTCGGGGCATCTCTGGAGTTGCCTGAAGGAAGTCGAGCCACCGGTCGTGTTGAATGGGGAACGGGGAATGGCTCTGGTGTCAATGCAGGGGAATCGGGCCTCATCTCGAGTTGATTTGGGGCACATGGAGCTGCTTTGCGTTGCTGGGGTGACCTCAGGGTCCGTCTAGACTGGTGACAGTGTTCTTGGGGACTGTCTCGAGATCCATTAAGCAAGTCGAAGCTGCTGACTTGTTTGAATGGGATCACGGAATAGCTCTGCATGCACTGCAGGGGAATGGGGCCTCATCTCGCCTCTAGGGGGAAGTCTCATGGTTTTTCTCGAGTTGCGGCGGGGACCTGGGGTATGTTCTCGACTTACGGCGGGGATGGCCCTTCAAAACACGAGTTTCTTCAGTGACGTCAGGACTCCTGTCTAGTAACGAGGGACACCTCAGGAATCTCATCGAGGCTTGGCAGGGCAAAAGGGACACTTCTCGAGGTGAGGCAGGGCACCCAAGGACCCTTTCCAGTAGCCACAGGGATTTTGGGATTCCTATCAGTATTCAAGAGGAGTCAGGCATCGTCACCTTTTGAAGCAATGAACTCCACGTGCCTCTCGAGGTGTCAGCGGGATGTGAGGCATTCCGTCAAAATGAGGCAGGGACCTAGGGCTTTCTCTAAGGTCTCCACAGGGGATTCAGACATCCCTTCATGTTGTGAGATGAAAGAGGAGCCTGTATTCAAGCCACTGCAAGGAAATCCGGCCTCCTTTCAAGTTAGGGCTTCTCGCTGTATATTCCCATTGAGGCAGCAAACTCGGGGTCCCTCCCACATACCTATTGCTGAGAGAAGCCTCCTCCTGAGGTGCTTCTGGGAAGTTGGCATACGTCTTGAGCCTAAGCCAGGGAATCAGCTCTCATCTCGAGACGATTTGGGGTACACGGAGCATTCCTCGAGTTGCTGTGCTGAAGTTGGTGTTCTTTTAGACTTGGGACAGTGTTCTCGGGGCATCTCTGGAGTTGCCTGAAGGAAGTCGAGCCACCGGTCGTGTTGAATGGGGAACGGGGAATGGCTCTGGAGTCAATGCATGGGAATCGTTCCTCATCTCGAGTTCATTTGGGGCACATGGAGCTGCTTTGCGTTGCTGGGGTGACCTCAGGGTCCGTCTAGACTGGTGACAGTGTTCTTGGGGACTGTCTCGAGATCCATTAAGCAAGTCGAAGCTCCTGACTTGTTTGAATGGGATCACGGAATAGCTCTGCATGCACTGCAGGGGAATGGGGCCTCATCTCGCCTCTAGGGGGAAGTCTCATGGTTTTTCTCGAGTTGCGGCGGGGACCTGGGGTATGTTCTCGACTTACGGCGGGGATGGCCCTTCAAAACACGAGTTTCTTCAGTGACGTCAGGACTCCTGTCTAGTAACGTGGGACACCTCAGGAATTTCTTCGAGGCTTGGCAGGGCAAAAGGGACGCTTCTCGAGGTGAGGCAGGGCACCCAAGGACCCTTTCCAGTAGCCACAGGGATTTGGGGATTCCTATCAGTATTCAAGAGGAGTCAGGCATCGTCACCTTTTGAAGCAATGAACTCCGCGTGCCTCTCGAGGTGTCAGCGGGATGTGAGGCATTCCGTCAAAATGAGGCAGGGACCTAGGGCTTTCTCTAAGGTCTCCACAGGGGATTCAGACATCCCTTCATGTTGTGAGATGAAAGACGAGCCTGTATTCAAGCCACTGCAAGGAAATCCGGCCTCCTTTCAAGTTAGGGCTTCTCGCTGTATATTCCCCTTGAGGCAGCAAACTCGGGGTCCCTCCCACATACCTATTGCTGAGAGAAGCCTCCTCCTGAGGTGCTTCTGGGAAGTTGGCATACGTCTTGAGCCTAAGCCAGGGAATCACCTCGCATCTCGAGACGATTTGGGGTACACGGAGCATTCCTCGAGTTGCTGTGCTGAAGTTGGTGTTCCTCTAGACTTGGGACAGTGTTCTCGGGGCACCTCTGGAGTTGCCTGAAGGAAGTCGAGCCACCGGTCGTGTTGAATGGGGAACGGGGAATGGCTCTGGAGTCAATGCAGGGGAATCGGGCCTCATCTCGAGTTGATTTGTGGCACATGGAGCTGCTTTGCGTTGCTGGGGTGACCTCAGGGTCCGTCTAGACTGGTGACAGTGTTCTTGGGGACTGTCTCGAGATCCATTAAGCAAGTCGAAGCTCCTGACTTGTTTGAATGGGATCACGGAATAGCTCTGCATGCACTGCAGGGGAATGGGGCCTCATCTCGCCTCTAGGGGGAAGTCTCATGGTTTTTCTCGAGTTGCGGTGGGGACCTGGGGTATGTTCTCGACTTAGGGCGGGGATGGCCCTTCAAAACACGAGTTTCTTCAGTGACGTCAGGACTCCTGTCTAGTAACGAGGGACACCTCAGGAATCTCTTCGAGGCTTGGCAGGGCAAAAGGGACGCTTCTCGAGGTGAGGCAGGGCACCCAAGGACCCTTTCCAGTAGCCACAGGGATTTTGGGATTCCTATCAGTATTCAAGAGGAGTCAGGCATCGTCACCTTTTGAAGCAATGAACTCCGCGTGCCTCTCGAGGTGTCAGCGGGATGTGAGGCATTCCGTCAAAATGAGGCAGGGACCTAGGGCTTTCTCTAAGGTCTCCACAGGGGATTCAGACATCCCTTCATGTTGTGAGATGAAAGAGGAGCCTGTATTCAAGCCACTGCAAGGAAATCCGGCCTCCTTTCAAGTTAGGGCTTCTCGCTGTATATTCCCCTTGAGGCAGCAAACTCGGGGTCCCTCCCACATACCTATTGCTGAGAGAAGCCTCCTCCTGAGGTGCTTCTGGGAAGTTGGCATACGTCTTGAGCCTAAGCCAGGGAATCAGCTCTCATCTCGAGACGATTTGGGGTACACGGAGCATTCCTCGAGTTGCTGTGCTGAAGTTGGTGTTCCTCTAGACTTGGGACAGTGTTCTCGGGGCATCTCTGGAGTTGCCTGAAGGAAGTCGAGCCACCGGTCGTGTTGAATGGGGAACGGGGAATGGCTCTGGAGTCAATGCAGGGGAATCGGGCCTCATCTCGAGTTGATTTGGGGCACATGGAGCTGCTTTGCGTTGCTGGGGTGACCTCAGGGTCCGTCTAGACTGGTGACAGTGTTCTTGGGGACTGTCTCGAGATCCATTAAGAAGTCGAAGCTCCTGACTTGTTTGAATGGGATCACGGAATAGCTCTGCATGCACTGCAGGGGAATGGGGCCTCATCTCGCCTCTAGGGGGAAGTCTCATGGTTTTTCTCGAGTTGCGGCGGGGACCTGGGGTATGTTCTCGACTTACGGCGGGGATGGCCCTTCAAAACACGAGTTTCTTCAGTGACGTCAGGACTCCTGTCTAGTAACGAGGGACACCTCAGGAATCTCTTCGAGGCTTGGCAGGGCAAAAGGGACGCTTCTCGAGGTGAGGCAGGGCACCCAAGGACCCTTTCCAGTAGCCACAGGGATTTTGGGATTCCTATCAGTATTCAAGAGGAGTCAGGCATCGTCACCTTTTGAAGCAATGAACTCCGCGTGCCTCTCGAGGTGTCAGCGGGATGTGAGGCATTCCGTCAAAATGAGGCAGGGACCTAGGGCTTTCTCTAAGGTCTCCACAGGGGATTCAGACATCCCTTCATGTTGTGAGATGAAAGACGAGCCTGTATTCAAGCCACTGCAAGGAAATCCGGCCTCCTTTCAAGTTAGGGCTTCTCGCTGTATATTCCCCTTGAGGCAGCAAACTCGGGGTCCCTCCCACATACCTATTGCTGAGAGAAGCCTCCTCCTGAGGTGCTTCTGGGAAGTTGGCATACGTCTTGAGCCTAAGCCAGGGAATCAGCTCTCATCTCGAGACGATTTGGGGTACACGGAGCATTCCTCGAGTTGCTGTGCTGAAGTTGGTGTTCCTCTAGACTTGGGACAGTGTTCTCGGGGCATCTCTGGAGTTGCCTGAAGGAAGTCGAGCCACCGGTCGTGTTGAATGGGGAACGGGGAATGGCTCTGGAGTCAATGCAGGGGAATCGGGCCTCATCTCGAGTTGATTTGGGGCACATGGAGCTGCTTTGCGTTGCTGGGGTGACCTCAGGGTCCGTCTAGACTGGTGACAGTGTTCTTGGGGACTGTCTCGAGATCCATTAAGAAGTCGAAGCTCCTGACTTGTTTGAATGGGATCACGGAATAGCTCTGCATGCAGTGCAGGGGAATGGGGCCTCATCTCGCCTCTAGGGGGAAGTCTCATGGTTTTTCTCGAGTTGCGGCGGGGACCTGGGGTATGTTCTCGACTTACGGCGGGGATGGCCCTTCAAAACACGAGTTTCTTCAGTGACGTCAGGACTCCTGTCTAGTAACGAGGGACACCTCAGGAATCTCTTCGAGGCTTGGCAGGGCAAAAGGGACGCTTCTCGAGGTGAGGCAGGGCACCCAAGGACCCTTTCCAGTAGCCACAGGGATTTTGGGATTCCTATCAGTATTCAAGAGGAGTCAGGCATCGTCACCTTTTGAAGCAATGAACTCCGCGTGCCTCTCGAGGTGTCAGCGCGATGTGAGGCATTCCGTCAAAATGAGGCAGGGACCTAGGGCTTTCTCTAAGGTCTCCACAGGGGATTCAGACATCCCTTCATGTTGTGAGATGAAAGACGAGCCTGTATTCAAGCCACTGCAAGGAAATCCGGCCTCCTTTCAAGTTAGGGCTTCTCGCTGTATATTCCCCTTGAGGCAGCAAACTCGGGGTCCCTCCCACATACCTATTGCTGAGAGAAGCCTCCTCCTGAGGTGCTTCTGGGAAGTTGGCATTCGTCTTGAGCCTAAGCCAGGGAATCAGCTCTCATCTCGAGACGATTTGGGGTACACAGAGCATTCCTCGAGTTGCTGTGCTGAAGTTGGTGTTCCTCTAGACTTGGGACAGTGTTCTCGGGGCATCTCTGGAGTTGCCTGAAGGAAGTCGAGCCACCGGTCGTGTTGAATGGGGAACGGGGAATGGCTCTGTAGTCAATGCAGGGGAATCGGGCCTCATCTCGAGGTGATTTCGGGCACATGGAGCTGCTTTGCGTTGCTGGGGTGACCTCAGAGTCCGTCTAGACTGGTGACAGTGTTCTTGGGGACTGTCTCGAGATCCATTAAGCAAGTCGAAGCTCCTGACTTGTTTGAATGGGATCACGGAATAGCTCTGCATGCACTGCAGGGGAATGGGGCCTCATCTCGCCTCTAGGGGGAAGTCTCATGGTTTTTCTCGAGTTGCGGCGGGGACCTGGGGTATGTTCTCGACTTATGGCGGGGATGGCCCTTCAAGACACGAGTTTCTTCAGTGAAGTCAGGACTCCTGTCTAGTAACGAGGGACACCTCAGGAATCTCTTCGAGGCTTGGCAGGGCAAAAGGGACACTTCTCGAGGTGAGGCAGGGCACCCAAGGACCCTTTCCAGTAGCCACAGGGATTTTGGGATTCCTATCAGTATTCAAGAGGAGTCAGGCATCGTCACCTTTTGAAGCAATGAACTCCGCGTGCCTCTCGAGGTGTCAGCAGGATGTGAGGCATTCCGTCAAAATGAGGCAGGGACCTAGGGCTTTCTCTAAGGTCTCCACAGGGGTTCAGACATCCCTTCATGTTGTGAGATGAAAGACGAGCCTGTATTCAAGCCACTGCAAGGAAATCCGGCCTCCTTTCAAGTTAGGGCTTCTCGCTGTATATTCCCATTGAGGCAGCAAACTCGGGGTCCCTCCCACATACCTATTGCTGAGAGAAGCCTCCTCCTGAGGTGCTTCTGGGAAGTTGGCATACGTCTTGAGCCTAAGCCAGGGAATCAGCTCTCATCTCGAGACGATTTGGGGTACACGGAGCATTCCTCGAGTTGCTGTGCTGAAGTTGGTGTTCTTCTAGACTTGGGACAGTGTTCTCGGGGCATCTCTGGAGTTGCCTGAAGGAAGTCGAGCCACCGGTCGTGTTGAATGGGGAACGGGGAATGGCTCTGGAGTCAATGCAGGGGAATCGGGCCTCATCTCGAGTTGATTTGGGGCACATGGAGCTGCTTTGCGTTGCTGGGGTGACCTCAGGGTCCGTCTAGACTGGTGACAGTGTTCTTGGGGACTGTCTCGAGATCCATTAAGCAAGTCGAAGCTCCTGACTTGTTTGAATGGGATCACGGAATAGCTCTGCATGCACTGCAGGGGAATGGGGCCTCATCTCGCCTCTAGGGGGAAGTCTCATGGTTTTTCTCGAGTTGCGGCGGGGACCTGGGTTATGTTCTCCACTTACGGCGGGGATGGCCCTTCAAAACACGAGTTTCTTCAGTGACGTCAGGACTCCTGTCTAGTAACGAGGGACACCTCAGGAATCTCTTCGAGGCTTGGCAGGGCAAAAGGGACGCTTCTCGAGGTGAGGCAGGGCACCCAAGGACCCTTTCCAGTAGCCACAGGGATTTTGGGATTCCTATCAGTATTCAAGAGGAGTCAGGCATCGTCACCTTTTGAAGCAATGAACTCCGCGTGCCTCTCGAGGTGTCAGCGCGATGTGAGGCATTCCGTCAAAATGAGGCAGGGACCTAGGGCTTTCTCTAAGGTCTCCACAGGGGATTCAGACATCCCTTCATGTTGTGAGATGAAAGACGAGCCTGTATTCAAGCCACTGCAAGGAAATCCGGCCTCCTTTCAAGTTAGGGCTTCTCGCTGTATATTCCCCTTGAGGCAGCAAACTCGGGGTCCCTCCCACATACCTATTGCTGAGAGAAGCCTCCTCCTGAGGTGCCTCTGGGAAGTTGGCATACGTCTTGAGCCTAAGCCAGGGAATCAGCTCTCATCTCGAGACGATTTGGGGTACACGGAGCATTCCTCGAGTTGCTGTGCTGAAGTTGGTGTTCCTCTAGACTTGGGACAGTGTTCTCGGGGCATCTCTGGAGTTGCCTGAAGGAAGTCGAGCCACCGGTCGTGTTGAATGGGGAACGGGGAATGGCTCTGGAGTCAATGCAGGGGAATCGGGCCTCATCTCGAGTTGATTTGGGGCACATGGAGCTGCTTTGCGTTGCTGGGGTGACCTCAGAGTCCGTCTAGACTGGTGACAGTGTTCTTGGGGACTGTCTCGAGATCCATTAAGCAAGTCGAAGCTCCTGACTTGTTTGAATGGGATCACGGAATAGCTCTGCATGCACTGCAGGGGAATGGGGCCTCATCTCGCCTCTAGGGGGAAGTCTCATGGTTTTTCTCGAGTTGCGGCGGGGACCTGGGGTATGTTCTCGACTTACGGCGGGGATGGCCCTTCAAAACACGAGTTTCTTCAGTGACGTCAGGACTCCTGTCTAGTAACGAGGGACACCTCAGGAATTTCTTCGAGGCTTGGCAGGGCAAAAGGGACGCTTCTCGAGGTGAGGCAGGGCACCCAAGGACCCTTTCCAGTAGCCACAGGGATTTGGGGATTCCTATCAGTATTCAAGAGGAGTCAGGCATCGTCACCTTTTGAAGCAATGAACTCCGCGTGCCTCTCGAGGTGTCAGCGGGATGTGAGGCATTCCGTCAAAATGAGGCAGGGACCTAGGGCTTTCTCTAAGGTCTCCACAGGGGATTCAGACATCCCTTCATGTTGTGAGATGAAAGACGAGCCTGTATTCAAGCCACTGCAAGGAAATCCGGCCTCCTTTCAAGTTAGGGCTTCTCGCTGTATATTCCCCTTGAGGCAGCAAACTCGGGGTCCCTCCCACATACCTATTGCTGAGAGAAGCCTCCTCCTGAGGTGCCTCTGGGAAGTTGGCATACGTCTTGAGCCTAAGCCAGGGAATCAGCTCTCATCTCGAGACGATTTGGGGTACACGGAGCATTCCTCGAGTTGCTGTGCTGAAGTTGGTGTTCCTCTAGACTTGGGACAGTGTTCTCGGGGCATCTCTGGAGTTGCCTGAAGGAAGTCGAGCCACCAGTCGTGTTGAATGGGGAACGGGGAATGGCTCTGGAGTCAATGCAGGGGAATCGGGCCTCATCTCGAGTTGATTTGGGGCACATGGTGCTGCTTTGCGTTGCTGGGGTGACCTCAGGGTCCGTCTAGACTGGTGACAGTGTTCTTGGGGACTGTCTCGAGATCCATTAAGAAGTCGAAGCTCCTGACTTGTTTGAATGGGATCACGGAATAGCTCTGCATGCACTGCAGGGGAATGGGGACTCATCTCGCCTCTAGGGGGAAGTCTCATGGTTTTTCTCGAGTTGCGGCGGGGACCTGGGGTATGTTCTCGACTTACGGCGGGGATGGCCCTTCAAAACACGAGTTTCTTCAGTGACGTCAGGACTCCTGTCTAGTAACGAGGGACACCTCAGGAATCTCTTCGAGGCTTGGCAGGGCAAAAGGGACGCTTCTCGAGGTCAGGCAGGGCACCCAAGGACCCTTTCCAGTAGCCACAGGGATTTGGGGATTCCTATCAGTATTCAAGAGGAGTCAGGCATCGTCACCTTTTGAAGCAATGAACTCCGCGTGCCTCTCGAGGTGTCAGCGGGATGTGAGGCATTCCGTCAAAATGAGGCAGGGACCTAGGGCTTTCTCTAAGGTCTCCACAGGGGATTCAGACATCCCTTCATATTGTGAGATGAAAGACGAGCCTGTATTCAAGCCACTGCAAGGAAATCCGGCCTCCTTTCAAGTTAGGGCTTCTCGCCGTATATTCCCCTTGAGGCAGCAAACTCGGGGTCCCTCCCACATACCTATTGCTGAGAGAAGCCTCCTCCTGAGGTGCTTCTGGGAAGTTGGCATACTTCTTGAGCCTAAGCCAGGGAATCAGCTCGCACCTCGAGACGATTTGGGGTACACGGAGCATTCCTCGAGTTGCTGTGCTGAAGTTGGTGTTCCTCTAGACTTGGGACAGTGTTCTCGGGGCATCTCTGGAGTTGCCTGAAGGAAGTCGAGCCACCGGTCGTGTTGAATGGGGAACGGGGAATGGCTCTGGTGTCAATGCAGGGGAATCGGGCCTCATCTCGAGTTGATTTGGGGCACATGGAGCTGCTTTGCGTTGCTGGGGTGACCTCAGGGTCCGTCTAGACTGGTGACAGTGTTCTTGGGGACTGTCTCGAGATCCATTAAGCAAGTCGAAGCTGCTGACTTGTTTGAATGGGATCACGGAATAGCTCTGCATGCACTGCAGGGGAATGGGGCCTCATCTCGCCTCTAGGGGGAAGTCTCATGGTTTTTCTCGAGTTGCGGCGGGGACCTGGGGTATGTTCTCGACTTACGGCGGGGATGGCCCTTCAAAACACGAGTTTCTTCAGTGACGTCAGGACTCCTGTCTAGTAACGAGGGACACCTCAGGAATCTCATCGAGGCTTGGCAGGGCAAAAGGGACACTTCTCGAGGTGAGGCAGGGCACCCAAGGACCCTTTCCAGTAGCCACAGGGATTTTGGGATTCCTATCAGTATTCAAGAGGAGTCAGGCATCGTCACCTTTTGAAGCAATGAACTCCGCGTGCCTCTCGAGGTGTCAGCGGGATGTGAGGCATTCCGTCAAAATGAGGCAGGGACCTAGGGCTTTCTCTAAGGTCTCCACAGGGGATTCAGACATCCCTTCATGTTGTGAGATGAAAGAGGAGCCTGTATTCAAGCCACTGCAAGGAAATCCGGCCTCCTTTCAAGTTAGGGCTTCTCGCTGTATATTCCCATTGAGGCAGCAAACTCGGGGTCCCTCCCACATACCTATTGCTGAGAGAAGCCTCCTCCTGAGGTGCTTCTGGGAAGTTGGCATACGTCTTGAGCCTAAGCCAGGGAATCAGCTCTCATCTCGAGACGATTTGGGGTACACGGAGCATTCCTCGAGTTGCTGTGCTGAAGTTGGTGTTCTTCTAGACTTGGGACAGTGTTCTCGGGGCATCTCTGGAGTTGCCTGAAGGAAGTCGAGCCACCGGTCGTGTTGAATGGGGAACGGGGAATGGCTCTGGAGTCAATGCATGGGAATCGTTCCTCATCTCGAGTTCATTTGGGGCACATGGAGCTGCTTTGCGTTGCTGGGGTGACCTCAGGGTCCGTCTAGACTGGTGACAGTGTTCTTGGGGACTGTCTCGAGATCCATTAAGCAAGTCGAAGCTCCTGACTTGTTTGAATGGGATCACGGAATAGCTCTGCATGCACTGCAGGGGAATGGGGCCTCATCTCGCCTCTAGGGGGAAGTCTCATGGTTTTTCTCGAGTTGCGGTGGGGACCTGGGGTATGTTCTCGACTTAGGGCGGGGATGGCCCTTCAAAACACGAGTTTCTTCAGTGACGTCAGGACTCCTGTCTAGTAACGAGGGACACCTCAGGAATCTCTTCGAGGCTTGGCAGGGCAAAAGGGACGCTTCTCGAGGTGAGGCAGGGCACCCAAGGACCCTTTCCAGTAGCCACAGGGATTTTGGGATTCCTATCAGTATTCAAGAGGAGTCAGGCATCGTCACCTTTTGAAGCAATGAACTCCGCGTGCCTCTCGAGGTGTCAGCGGGATGTGAGGCATTCCGTCAAAATGAGGCAGGGACCTAGGGCTTTCTCTAAGGTCTCCACAGGGGATTCAGACATCCCTTCATGTTGTGAGATGAAAGAGGAGCCTGTATTCAAGCCACTGCAAGGAAATCCGGCCTCCTTTCAAGTTAGGGCTTCTCGCTGTATATTCCCCTTGAGGCAGCAAACTCGGGGTCCCTCCCACATACCTATTGCTGAGAGAAGCCTCCTCCTGAGGTGCTTCTGGGAAGTTGGCATACGTCTTGAGCCTAAGCCAGGGAATCAGCTCTCATCTCGAGACGATTTGGGGTACACGGAGCATTCCTCGAGTTGCTGTGCTGAAGTTGGTGTTCCTCTAGACTTGGGACAGTGTTCTCGGGGCATCTCTGGAGTTGCCTGAAGGAAGTCGAGCCACCGGTCGTGTTGAATGGGGAACGGGGAATGGCTCTGGAGTCAATGCAGGGGAATCGGGCCTCATCTCGATTTGATTTGGGGCACATGGAGCTGCTTTGCGTTGCTGGGGTGACCTCAGGGTCCGTCTAGACTGGTGACAGTGTTCTTGGGGACTGTCTCGAGATCCATTAAGCAAGTCGAAGCTCCTGACTTGTTTGAATGGGATCACGGAATAGCTCTGCATGCACTGCAGGGGAATGGGGCCTCATCTCGCCTCTAGGGGGAAGTCTCATGGTTTTTCTCGAGTTGCGGCGGGGACCTGGGGTATGTTCTCGACTTACGGCGGGGATGGCCCTTCAAAACACGAGTTTCTTCAGTGACGTCAGGACTCCTGTCTAGTAACGAGGGACACCTCAGGAATCTCTTCGAGGCTTGGCAGGGCAAAAGGGACGCTTCTCGAGGTGAGGCAGGGCACCCAAGGACCCTTTCCAGTAGCCACAGGGATTTTGGGATTCCTATCAGTATTCAAGAGGAGTCAGGCATCGTCACCTTTTGAAGCAATGAACTCCGCGTGCCTCTCGAGGTGTCAGCGGGATGTGAGGCATTCCGTCAAAATGAGGCAGGGACCTAGGGCTTTCTCTAAGGTCTCCACAGGGGATTCAGACATCCCTTCATGTTGTGAGATGAAAGACGAGCCTGTATTCAAGCCACTGCAAGGAAATCCGGCCTCCTTTCAAGTTAGGGCTTCTCGCTGTATATTCCCCTTGAGGCAGCAAACTCGGGGTCCCTCCCACATACCTATTGCTGAGAGAAGCCTCCTCCTGAGGTGCTTCTGGGAAGTTGGCATACGTCTTGAGCCTAAGCCAGGGAATCAGCTCTCATCTCGAGACGATTTGGGGTACACGGAGCATTCCTCGAGTTGCTGTGCTGAAGTTGGTGTTCCTCTAGACTTGGGACAGTGTTCTCGGGGCATCTCTGGAGTTGCCTGAAGGAAGTCGAGCCACCGGTCGTGTTGAATGGGGAACGGGGAATGGCTCTGGAGTCAATGCAGGGGAATCGGGCCTCATCTCGAGTTGATTTGGGGCACATGGAGCTGCTTTGCGTTGCTGGGGTGACCTCAGGGTCCGTCTAGACTGGTGACAGTGTTCTTGCGGACTGTCTCGAGATCCATTAAGCAAGTCGAAGCTCCTGACTTGTTTGAATGGGATCACGGAATAGCTCTGCATGCACTGCAGGGGAATGGGGCCTCATCTCGCCTCTAGGGGGAAGTCTCATGGTTTTTCTCGAGTTGCGGCGGGGACCTGGGTATGTTCTCGACTTACGGCGGGGATGGCCCTTCAAAACACGAGTTTCTTCAGTGACGTCAGGACTCCTGTCTAGTGACGAGGGACACCTCAGGAATCTCTTCGAGGCTTGGCAGGGCAAAAGGGACGCTTCTCGAGGTGAGGCAGGGCACCCAAGGACCCTTTCCAGTAGCCACAGGGATTTGGGGATTCCTATCAGTATTCAAGAGGAGTCAGGCATCGTCACCTTTTGAAGCAATGAACTCCGCGTGCCTCTCGAGGTGTCAGCGGGATGTGAGGCATTCCGTCAAAATGAGGCAGGGACCTAGGGCTTTCTCTAAGGTCTCCACAGGGGATTCAGACATCCCTTCATGTTGTGAGATGAAAGACGAGCCTGTATTCAAGCCACTGCAAGGAAATCCGGCCTCCTTTCAAGTTAGGGCTTCTCGCTGTATATTCCCCTTGAGGCAGCAAACTCGGGGTCCCTCCCACATACCTATTGCTGAGAGAAGCCTCCTCCTGAGGTGCTTCTGGGAAGTTGGCATACGTCTTGAGCCTAAGCCAGGGAATCAGCTCTCATCTCGAGACGATTTGGGGTACACGGAGCATTCCTCGAGTTGCTGTGCTGAAGTTGGTGTTCCTCTAGACTTGGGACAGTGTTCTCGGGGCATCTCTGGAGTTGCCTGAAGGAAGTCGAGCCACCGGTCGTGTTGAATGGGGAACGGGGAATGGCTCTGGAGTCAATGCAGGGGAATCGGGCCTCATCTCGATTTGATTTGGGGCACATGGAGCTGCTTTGCGTTGCTGGGGTGACCTCAGGGTCCGTCTAGACTGGTGACAGTGTTCTTGGGGACTGTCTCGAGATCCATTAAGAAGTCGAAGCTCCTGACTTGTTTGAATGGGATCACGGAATAGCTCTGCATGCACTGCAGGGGAATGGGGCCTCATCTCGCCTCTAGGGGGAAGTCTCATGGTTTTTCTCGAGTTGCGGCGGGGACCTGGGGTATGTTCTCGACTTACGGCGGGGATGGCCCTTCAAAACACGAGTTTCTTCAGTGACGTCAGGACTCCTGTCTAGTAACGAGGGACACCTCAGGAATCTCTTCGAGGCTTGGCAGGGCAAAAGGGACGCTTCTCGAGGTGAGGCAGGGCACCCAAGAACCCTTTCCAGTAGCCACAGGGATTTGGGGATTCCTATCAGTATTCAAGAGGAGTCAGGCATCGTCACCTTTTGAAGCAATGAACTCCGCGTGCCTCTCGAGGTGTCAGCGGGATGTGAGGCATTCCGTCAAAATGAGGCAGGGACCTAGGGCTTTCTCTAAGGTCTCCACAGGGGATTCAGACATCCCTTCATGTTGTGAGATGAAAGACGAGCCTGTATTCAAGCCACTGCAAGGAAATCCGGCCTCCTTTCAAGTTAGGGCTTCTCGCTGTATATTCCCCTTGAGGCAGCAAACTCGGGGTCCCTCCCACATACCTATTGCTGAGAGAAGCCTCCTCCTGAGGTGCTTCTGGGAAGTTGGCATACGTCTTGAGCCTAAGCCAGGGAATCAGCTCGCATCTCGAGACGATTTGTGGTACACGGAGCATTCCTCGAGTTGCTGTGCTGAAGTTGGTGTTCCTCTAGACTTGGGACAGTGTTCTCGGGGCATCTCTGGAGTTGCCTGAAGGAAGTCGAGCCACCGGTCGTGTTGAATGGGGAACGGGGAATGGCTCTGGAGTCAATGCAGGGGAATCGGGCCTCATCTCGAGTTGATTTGGGGCACATGGAGCTGCTTTGCGTTGCTGGGGTGACCTCAGGGTCCGTCTAGACTGGTGACAGTGTTCTTGGGGACTGTCTCGAGATCCATTAAGCAAGTCGAAGCTCCTGACTTGTTTGAATGGGATCACGGAATAGCTCTGCATGCACTGCAGGGGAATGGGGCCTCATCTCGCCTCTAGGGGGAAGTCTCATGGTTTTTCTCGAGTTGCGGCGGGGACCTGGGGTATGTTCTCGACTTACGGTGGGGATGGCCCTTCAAAACACGAGTTTCTTCAGTGACGTCAGGACTCCTGTCTAGTAACGAGGGACACCTCAGGAATCTCTTCGAGGCTTGGCAGGGCAAAAGGGACGCTTCTCGAGGTGAGGCAGGGCACCCAAGGACCCTTTCCAGTAGCCACAGGGATTTTGGGATTCCTATCAGTATTCAAGAGGAGTCAGGCATCGTCACCTTTTGAAGCAATGAACTCCGCGTGCCTCTCGAGGTGTCAGCGGGATGTGGGGCATTCCGTCAAAATGAGGCAGGGACCTAGGGCTTTCTCTAAGGTCTCCACAGGGGATTCAGACATCCCTTCATGTTGTGAGATGAAAGACGAGCCTGTATTCAAGCCACTGCAAGGAAATCCGGCCTCCTTTCAAGTTAGGGCTTCTCGCTGTATATTCCCCTTGAGGCAGCAAACTCAGGGTCCCTCCCACATACCTATTGCTGAGAGAAGCCTCCTCCTGAGGTGCTTCTGGGAAGTTGGCATACGTCTTGAGCCTAAGCCAGGGAATCAGCTCTCATCTCGAGACGATTTGGGGTACACGGAGCATTCCTCGAGTTGCTGTGCTGAAGTTGGTGTTCCTCTAGACTTGGGACAGTGTTCTCGGGGCATCTCTGGAGTTGCCTGAAGGAAGTCGAGCCACCGGTCGTGTTGAATGGGGAACGGGGAATGGCTCTGGAGTCAATGCAGGGGAATCGGGCCTCATCTCGAGTTGATTTGGGGCACATGGAGCTGCTTTGCGTTGCTGGGGTGACCTCAGGGTCCGTCTAGACTGGTGACAGTGTTCTTGGGGACTGTCTCGAGATCCATTAAGCAAGTCGAAGCTCCTGACTTGTTTGAATGGGATCACGGAATAGCTCTGCATGCACTGCAGGGGAATGGGGCCTCATCTCGCCTCTAGGGGGAAGTCTCATGGTTTTTCTCGAGTTGCGGTGGGGACCTGGGGTATGTTCTCGACTTAGGGCGGGGATGGCCCTTCAAAACACGAGTTTCTTCAGTGACGTCAGGACTCCTGTCTAGTAACGAGGGACACCTCAGGAATCTCTTCGAGGCTTGGCAGGGCAAAAGGGACGCTTCTCGAGGTGAGGCAGGGCACCCAAGGACCCTTTCCAGTAGCCACAGGGATTTTGGGATTCCTATCAGTATTCAAGAGGAGTCAGGCATCGTCACCTTTTGAAGCAATGAACTCCGCGTGCCTCTCGAGGTGTCAGCGGGATGTGAGGCATTCCGTCAAAATGAGGCAGGGACCTAGGGCTTTCTCTAAGGTCTCCACAGGGGATTCAGACATCCCTTCATGTTGTGAGATGAAAGACGAGCCTGTATTCAAGCCACTGCAAGGAAATCCGGCCTCCTTTCAAGTTAGGGCTTCTCGCTGTATATTCCCCTTGAGGCAGCAAACTCGGGGTCCCTCCCACATACCTATTGCTGAGAGAAGCCTCCTCCTGAGGTGCTTCTGGGAAGTTGGCATACGTCTTGAGCCTAAGCCAGGGAATCAGCTCTCATCTCGAGACGATTTGGGGTACACGGAGCATTCCTCGAGTTGCTGTGCTGAAGTTGGTGTTCCTCTAGACTTGGGACAGTGTTCTCGGGGCATCTCTGGAGTTGCCTGAAGGAAGTCGAGCCACCGGTCGTGTTGAATGGGGAACGGGGAATGGCTCTGGAGTCAATGCAGGGGAATCGGGCCTCATCTCGATTTGATTTGGGGCACATGGAGCTGCTTTGCGTTGCTGGGGTGACCTCAGGGTCCGTCTAGACTGGTGACAGTGTTCTTGGGGACTGTCTCGAGATCCATTAAGAAGTCGAAGCTCCTGACTTGTTTGAATGGGATCACGGAATAGCTCTGCATGCACTGCAGGGGAATGGGGCCTCATCTCGCCTCTAGGGGGAAGTCTCATGGTTTTTCTCGAGTTGCGGCGGGGACCTGGGGTATGTTCTCGACTTACGGCGGGGATGGCCCTTCAAAACACGAGTTTCTTCAGTGACGTCAGGACTCCTGTCTAGTAACGAGGGACACCTCAGGAATCTCTTCGAGGCTTGGCAGGGCAAAAGGGACGCTTCTCGAGGTGAGGCAGGGCACCCAAGGACCCTTTCCAGTAGCCACAGGGATTTGGGGATTCCTATCAGTATTCAAGAGGAGTCAGGCATCGTCACCTTTTGAAGCAATGAACTCCGCGTGCCTCTCGAGGTGTCAGCGGGATGTGAGGCATTCCGTCAAAATGAGGCAGGGACCTAGGGCTTTCTCTAAGGTCTCCACAGGGGATTCAGACATCCCTTCATGTTGTGAGATGAAAGACGAGCCTGTATTCAAGCCACTGCAAGGAAATCCGGCCTCCTTTCAAGTTAGGGCTTCTCGCTGTATATTCCCCTTGAGGCAGCAAACTCGGGGTCCCTCCCACATACCTATTGCTGAGAGAAGCCTCCTCCTGAGGTGCTTCTGGGAAGTTGGCATACGTCTTGAGCCTAAGCCAGGGAATCAGCTCGCATCTCGAGACGATTTGTGGTACACGGAGCATTCCTCGAGTTGCTGTGCTGAAGTTGGTGTTCCTCTAGACTTGGGACAGTGTTCTCGGGGCATCTCTGGAGTTGCCTGAAGGAAGTCGAGCCACCGGTCGTGTTGAATGGGGAACGGGGAATGGCTCTGGAGTCAATGCAGGGGAATCGGGCCTCATCTCGAGTTGATTTGGGGCACATGGAGCTGCTTTGCGTTGCTGGGGTGACCTCAGGGTCCGTCTAGACTGGTGACAGTGTTCTTGGGGACTGTCTCGAGATCCATTAAGCAAGTCGAAGCTCCTGACTTGTTTGAATGGGATCACGGAATAGCTCTGCATGCACTGCAGGGGAATGGGGCCTCATCTCGCCTCTAGGGGGAAGTCTCATGGTTTTTCTCGAGTTGCGGCGGGGACCTGGGGTATGTTCTCGACTTACGGTGGGGATGGCCCTTCAAAACACGAGTTTCTTCAGTGACGTCAGGACTCCTGTCTAGTAACGAGGGACACCTCAGGAATCTCTTCGAGGCTTGGCAGGGCAAAAGGGACGCTTCTCGAGGTGAGGCAGGGCACCCAAGGACCCTTTCCAGTAGCCACAGGGATTTTGGGATTCCTATCAGTATTCAAGAGGAGTCAGGCATCGTCACCTTTTGAAGCAATGAACTCCGCGTGCCTCTCGAGGTGTCAGCGGGATGTGAGGCATTCCGTCAAAATGAGGCAGGGACCTAGGGCTTTCTCTAAGGTCTCCACAGGGGATTCAGACATCCCTTCATGTTGTGAGATGAAAGACGAGCCTGTATTCAAGCCACTGCAAGGAAATCCGGCCTCCTTTCAAGTTAGGGCTTCTCGCTGTATATTCCCCTTGAGGCAGCAAACTCGGGGTCCCTCCCACATACCTATTGCTGAGAGAAGCCTCCTCCTGAGGTGCTTCTGGGAAGTTGGCATACGTCTTGAGCCTAAGCCAGGGAATCAGCTCTCATCTCGAGACGATTTGGGGTACACGGAGCATTCCTCGAGTTGCTGTGCTGAAGTTGGTGTTCCTCTAGACTTGGGACAGTGTTCTCGGGGCATCTCTGGAGTTGCCTGAAGGAAGTCGAGCCACCGGTCGTGTTGAATGGGGAACGGGGAATGGCTCTGGAGTCAATGCAGGGGAATCGGGCCTCATCTCGAGTTGATTTGGGGCACATGGAGCTGCTTTGCGTTGCTGGGGTGACCTCAGGGTCCGTCTAGACTGGTGACAGTGTTCTTGGGGACTGTCTCGAGATCCATTAAGCAAGTCGAAGCTCCTGACTTGTTTGAATGGGATCACGGAATAGCTCTGCATGCACTGCAGGGGAATGGGGCCTCATCTCGCCTCTAGGGGGAAGTCTCATGGTTTTTCTCGAGTTGCGGTGGGGACCTGGGGTATGTTCTCGACTTAGGGCGGGGATGGCCCTTCAAAACACGAGTTTCTTCAGTGACGTCAGGACTCCTGTCTAGTAACGAGGGACACCTCAGGAATCTCTTCGAGGCTTGGCAGGGCAAAAGGGACGCTTCTCGAGGTGAGGCAGGGCACCCAAGGACCCTTTCCAGTAGCCACAGGGATTTTGGGATTCCTATCAGTATTCAAGAGGAGTCAGGCATCGTCACCTTTTGAAGCAATGAACTCCGCGTGCCTCTCGAGGTGTCAGCGGGATGTGAGGCATTCCGTCAAAATGAGGCAGGGACCTAGGGCTTTCTCTAAGGTCTCCACAGGGGATTCAGACATCCCTTCATGTTGTGAGATGAAAGACGAGCCTGTATTCAAGCCACTGCAAGGAAATCCGGCCTCCTTTCAAGTTAGGGCTTCTCGCTGTATATTCCCCTTGAGGCAGCAAACTCGGGGTCCCTCCCACATACCTATTGCTGAGAGAAGCCTCCTCCTGAGGTGCTTCTGGGAAGTTGGCATACGTCTTGAGCCTAAGCCAGGGAATCAGCTCTCATCTCGAGACGATTTGGGGTACACGGAGCATTCCTCGAGTTGCTGTGCTGAAGTTGGTGTTCCTCTAGACTTGGGACAGTGTTCTCGGGGCATCTCTGGAGTTGCCTGAAGGAAGTCGAGCCACCGGTCGTGTTGAATGGGGAACGGGGAATGGCTCTGGAGTCAATGCAGGGGAATCGGGCCTCATCTCGATTTGATTTGGGGCACATGGAGCTGCTTTGCGTTGCTGGGGTGACCTCAGGGTCCGTCTAGACTGGTGACAGTGTTCTTGGGGACTGTCTCGAGATCCATTAAGAAGTCGAAGCTCCTGACTTGTTTGAATGGGATCACGGAATAGCTCTGCATGCACTGCAGGGGAATGGGGCCTCATCTCGCCTCTAGGGGGAAGTCTCATGGTTTTTCTCGAGTTGCGGCGGGGACCTGGGGTATGTTCTCGACTTACGGCGGGGATGGCCCTTCAAAACACGAGTTTCTTCAGTGACGTCAGGACTCCTGTCTAGTAACGAGGGACACCTCAGGAATCTCTTCGAGGCTTGGCAGGGCAAAAGGGACGCTTCTCGAGGTGAGGCAGGGCACCCAAGGACCCTTTCCAGTAGCCACAGGGATTTGGGGATTCCTATCAGTATTCAAGAGGAGTCAGGCATCGTCACCTTTTGAAGCAATGAACTCCGCGTGCCTCTCGAGGTGTCAGCGGGATGTGAGGCATTCCGTCAAAATGAGGCAGGGACCTAGGGCTTTCTCTAAGGTCTCCACAGGGGATTCAGACATCCCTTCATGTTGTGAGATGAAAGACGAGCCTGTATTCAAGCCACTGCAAGGAAATCCGGCCTCCTTTCAAGTTAGGGCTTCTCGCTGTATATTCCCCTTGAGGCAGCAAACTCGGGGTCCCTCCCACATACCTATTGCTGAGAGAAGCCTCCTCCTGAGGTGCTTCTGGGAAGTTGGCATACGTCTTGAGCCTAAGCCAGGGAATCAGCTCGCATCTCGAGACGATTTGTGGTACACGGAGCATTCCTCGAGTTGCTGTGCTGAAGTTGGTGTTCCTCTAGACTTGGGACAGTGTTCTCGGGGCATCTCTGGAGTTGCCTGAAGGAAGTCGAGCCACCGGTCGTGTTGAATGGGGAACGGGGAATGGCTCTGGAGTCAATGCAGGGGAATCGGGCCTCATCTCGAGTTGATTTGGGGCACATGGAGCTGCTTTGCGTTGCTGGGGTGACCTCAGGGTCCGTCTAGACTGGTGACAGTGTTCTTGGGGACTGTCTCGAGATCCATTAAGCAAGTCGAAGCTCCTGACTTGTTTGAATGGGATCACGGAATAGCTCTGCATGCACTGCAGGGGAATGGGGCCTCATCTCGCCTCTAGGGGGAAGTCTCATGGTTTTTCTCGAGTTGCGGTGGGGACCTGGGGTATGTTCTCGACTTAGGGCGGGGATGGCCCTTCAAAACACGAGTTTCTTCAGTGACGTCAGGACTCCTGTCTAGTAACGAGGGACACCTCAGGAATCTCTTCGAGGCTTGGCAGGGCAAAAGGGACGCTTCTCGAGGTGAGGCAGGGCACCCAAGGACCCTTTCCAGTAGCCACAGGGATTTTGGGATTCCTATCAGTATTCAAGAGGAGTCAGGCATCGTCACCTTTTGAAGCAATGAACTCCGCGTGCCTCTCGAGGTGTCAGCGGGATGTGAGGCATTCCGTCAAAATGAGGCAGGGACCTAGGGCTTTCTCTAAGGTCTCCACAGGGGATTCAGACATCCCTTCATGTTGTGAGATGAAAGACGAGCCTGTATTCAAGCCACTGCAAGGAAATCCGGCCTCCTTTCAAGTTAGGGCTTCTCGCTGTATATTCCCCTTGAGGCAGCAAACTCGGGGTCCCTCCCACATACCTATTGCTGAGAGAAGCCTCCTCCTGAGGTGCTTCTGGGAAGTTGGCATACGTCTTGAGCCTAAGCCAGGGAATCAGCTCTCATCTCGAGACGATTTGGGGTACACGGAGCATTCCTCGAGTTGCTGTGCTGAAGTTGGTGTTCCTCTAGACTTGGGACAGTGTTCTCGGGGCATCTCTGGAGTTGCCTGAAGGAAGTCGAGCCACCGGTCGTGTTGAATGGGGAACGGGGAATGGCTCTGGAGTCAATGCAGGGGAATCGGGCCTCATCTCGATTTGATTTGGGGCACATGGAGCTGCTTTGCGTTGCTGGGGTGACCTCAGGGTCCGTCTAGACTGGTGACAGTGTTCTTGGGGACTGTCTCGAGATCCATTAAGAAGTCGAAGCTCCTGACTTGTTTGAATGGGATCACGGAATAGCTCTGCATGCACTGCAGGGGAATGGGGCCTCATCTCGCCTCTAGGGGGAAGTCTCATGGTTTTTCTCGAGTTGCGGCGGGGACCTGGGGTATGTTCTCGACTTACGGCGGGGATGGCCCTTCAAAACACGAGTTTCTTCAGTGACGTCAGGACTCCTGTCTAGTAACGAGGGACACCTCAGGAATCTCTTCGAGGCTTGGCAGGGCAAAAGGGACGCTTCTCGAGGTGAGGCAGGGCACCCAAGGACCCTTTCCAGTAGCCACAGGGATTTGGGGATTCCTATCAGTATTCAAGAGGAGTCAGGCATCGTCACCTTTTGAAGCAATGAACTCCGCGTGCCTCTCGAGGTGTCAGCGGGATGTGAGGCATTCCGTCAAAATGAGGCAGGGACCTAGGGCTTTCTCTAAGGTCTCCACAGGGGATTCAGACATCCCTTCATGTTGTGAGATGAAAGACGAGCCTGTATTCAAGCCACTGCAAGGAAATCCGGCCTCCTTTCAAGTTAGGGCTTCTCGCTGTATATTCCCCTTGAGGCAGCAAACTCGGGGTCCCTCCCACATACCTATTGCTGAGAGAAGCCTCCTCCTGAGGTGCTTCTGGGAAGTTGGCATACGTCTTGAGCCTAAGCCAGGGAATCAGCTCGCATCTCGAGACGATTTGTGGTACACGGAGCATTCCTCGAGTTGCTGTGCTGAAGTTGGTGTTCCTCTAGACTTGGGACAGTGTTCTCGGGGCATCTCTGGAGTTGCCTGAAGGAAGTCGAGCCACCGGTCGTGTTGAATGGGGAACGGGGAATGGCTCTGGAGTCAATGCAGGGGAATCGGGCCTCATCTCGAGTTGATTTGGGGCACATGGAGCTGCTTTGCGTTGCTGGGGTGACCTCAGGGTCCGTCTAGACTGGTGACAGTGTTCTTGGGGACTGTCTCGAGATCCATTAAGCAAGTCGAAGCTCCTGACTTGTTTGAATGGGATCACGGAATAGCTCTGCATGCACTGCAGGGGAATGGGGCCTCATCTCGCCTCTAGGGGGAAGTCTCATGGTTTTCCTCGAGTTGCGGCGGGGACCTGGGGTATGTTCTCGACTTACGGCGGGGATGGCCCTTCAAAACACGAGTTTCTTCAGTGACGTCAGGACTCCTGTCTAGTAACGAGGGACACCTCAGGAATCTCTTCGAGGCTTGGCAGGGCAAAAGGGACGCTTCTCGAGGTGAGGCAGGGCACCCAAGGACCCTTTCCAGTAGCCACAGGGATTTGGGGATTCCTATCAGTATTCAAGAGGAGTCAGGCATCGTCACCTTTTGAAGCAATGAACTCCGCGTGCCTCTCGAGGTGTCAGCGGGATGTGAGGCATTCCGTCAAAATGAGGCAGGGACCTAGGGCTTTCTCTAAGGTCTCCACAGGGGATTCAGACATCCCTTCATGTTGTGAGATGAAAGACGAGCCTGTATTCAAGCCACTGCAAGGAAATCCGGCCTCCTTTCAAGTTAGGGCTTCTCGCTGTATATTCCCCTTGAGGCAGCAAACTCGGGGTCCCTCCCACATACCTATTGCTGAGAGAAGCCTCCTCCTGAGGTGCTTCTGGGAAGTTGGCATACGTCTTGAGCCTAAGCCAGGGAATCAGCTCTCATCTCGAGACGATTTGGGGTACACGGAGCATTCCTCGAGTTGCTGTGCTGAAGTTGGTGTTCCTCTAGACTTGGGACAGTGTTCTCGGGGCATCTCTGGAGTTGCCTGAAGGAAGTCGAGCCACCGGTCGTGTTGAATGGGGAACGGGGAATGGCTCTGGAGTCAATGCAGGGGAATCGGGCCTCATCTCGAGTTGATTTGGGGCACATGGAGCTGCTTTGCGTTGCTGGGGTGACCTCAGGGTCCGTCTAGACTGGTGACAGTGTTCTTGGGGACTGTCTCGAGATCCATTAAGCAAGTCGAAGCTCCTGACTTGTTTGAATGGGATCACGGAATAGCTCTGCATGCACTGCAGGGGAATGGGGCCTCATCTCGCCTCTAGGGGGAAGTCTCATGGTTTTTCTCGAGTTGCGGTGGGGACCTGGGGTATGTTCTCGACTTAGGGCGGGGATGGCCCTTCAAAACACGAGTTTCTTCAGTGACGTCAGGACTCCTGTCTAGTAACGAGGGACACCTCAGGAATCTCTTCGAGGCTTGGCAGGGCAAAAGGGACGCTTCTCGAGGTGAGGCAGGGCACCCAAGGACCCTTTCCAGTAGCCACAGGGATTTTGGGATTCCTATCAGTATTCAAGAGGAGTCAGGCATCGTCACCTTTTGAAGCAATGAACTCCGCGTGCCTCTCGAGGTGTCAGCGGGATGTGAGGCATTCCGTCAAAATGAGGCAGGGACCTAGGGCTTTCTCTAAGGTCTCCACAGGGGATTCAGACATCCCTTCATGTTGTGAGATGAAAGACGAGCCTGTATTCAAGCCACTGCAAGGAAATCCGGCCTCCTTTCAAGTTAGGGCTTCTCGCTGTATATTCCCCTTGAGGCAGCAAACTCGGGGTCCCTCCCACATACCTATTGCTGAGAGAAGCCTCCTCCTGAGGTGCTTCTGGGAAGTTGGCATACGTCTTGAGCCTAAGCCAGGGAATCAGCTCTCATCTCGAGACGATTTGGGGTACACGGAGCATTCCTCGAGTTGCTGTGCTGAAGTTGGTGTTCCTCTAGACTTGGGACAGTGTTCTCGGGGCATCTCTGGAGTTGCCTGAAGGAAGTCGAGCCACCGGTCGTGTTGAATGGGGAACGGGGAATGGCTCTGGAGTCAATGCAGGGGAATCGGGCCTCATCTCGATTTGATTTGGGGCACATGGAGCTGCTTTGCGTTGCTGGGGTGACCTCAGGGTCCGTCTAGACTGGTGACAGTGTTCTTGGGGACTGTCTCGAGATCCATTAAGAAGTCGAAGCTCCTGACTTGTTTGAATGGGATCACGGAATAGCTCTGCATGCACTGCAGGGGAATGGGGCCTCATCTCGCCTCTAGGGGGAAGTCTCATGGTTTTTCTCGAGTTGCGGCGGGGACCTGGGGTATGTTCTCGACTTACGGCGGGGATGGCCCTTCAAAACACGAGTTTCTTCAGTGACGTCAGGACTCCTGTCTAGTAACGAGGGACACCTCAGGAATCTCTTCGAGGCTTGGCAGGGCAAAAGGGACGCTTCTCGAGGTGAGGCAGGGCACCCAAGGACCCTTTCCAGTAGCCACAGGGATTTTGGGATTCCTATCAGTATTCAAGAGGAGTCAGGCATCGTCACCTTTTGAAGCAATGAACTCCGCGTGCCTCTCGAGGTGTCAGCGGGATGTGAGGCATTCCGTCAAAATGAGGCAGGGACCTAGGGCTTTCTCTAAGGTCTCCACAGGGGATTCAGACATCCCTTCATGTTGTGAGATGAAAGACGAGCCTGTATTCAAGCCACTGCAAGGAAATCCGGCCTCCTTTCAAGTTAGGGCTTCTCGCTGTATATTCCCCTTGAGGCAGCAAACTCGGGGTCCCTCCCACATACCTATTGCTGAGAGAAGCCTCCTCCTGAGGTGCTTCTGGGAAGTTGGCATACGTCTTGAGCCTAAGCCAGGGAATCAGCTCGCATCTCGAGACGATTTGTGGTACACGGAGCATTCCTCGAGTTGCTGTGCTGAAGTTGGTGTTCCTCTAGACTTGGGACAGTGTTCTCGGGGCATCTCTGGAGTTGCCTGAAGGAAGTCGAGCCACCGGTCGTGTTGAATGGGGAACGGGGAATGGCTCTGGAGTCAATGCAGGGGAATCGGGCCTCATCTCGAGTTGATTTGGGGCACATGGAGCTGCTTTGCGTTGCTGGGGTGACCTCAGGGTCCGTCTAGACTGGTGACAGTGTTCTTGGGGACTGTCTCGAGATCCATTAAGCAAGTCGAAGCTCCTGACTTGTTTGAATGGGATCACGGAATAGCTCTGCATGCACTGCAGGGGAATGGGGCCTCATCTCGCCTCTAGGGGGAAGTCTCATGGTTTTTCTCGAGTTGCGGTGGGGACCTGGGGTATGTTCTCGACTTAGGGCGGGGATGGCCCTTCAAAACACGAGTTTCTTCAGTGACGTCAGGACTCCTGTCTAGTAACGAGGGACACCTCAGGAATCTCTTCGAGGCTTGGCAGGGCAAAAGGGACGCTTCTCGAGGTGAGGCAGGGCACCCAAGGACCCTTTCCAGTAGCCACAGGGATTTTGGGATTCCTATCAGTATTCAAGAGGAGTCAGGCATCGTCACCTTTTGAAGCAATGAACTCCGCGTGCCTCTCGAGGTGTCAGCGGGATGTGAGGCATTCCGTCAAAATGAGGCAGGGACCTAGGGCTTTCTCTAAGGTCTCCACAGGGGATTCAGACATCCCTTCATGTTGTGAGATGAAAGACGAGCCTGTATTCAAGCCACTGCAAGGAAATCCGGCCTCCTTTCAAGTTAGGGCTTCTCGCTGTATATTCCCCTTGAGGCAGCAAACTCGGGGTCCCTCCCACATACCTATTGCTGAGAGAAGCCTCCTCCTGAGGTGCTTCTGGGAAGTTGGCATACGTCTTGAGCCTAAGCCAGGGAATCAGCTCTCATCTCGAGACGATTTGGGGTACACGGAGCATTCGTCGAGTTGCTGTGCTGAAGTTGGTGTTCCTCTAGACTTGGGACAGTGTTCTCGGGGCATCTCTGGAGTTGCCTGAAGGAAGTCGAGCCACCGGTCGTGTTGAATGGGGAACGGGGAATGGCTCTGGAGTCAATGCAGGGGAATCGGGCCTCATCTCGAGTTGATTTGGGGCACATGGAGCTGCTTTGCGTTGCTGGGGTGACCTCAGGGTCCGTCTAGACTGGTGACAGTGTTCTTGGGGACTGTCTCGAGATCCATTAAGAAGTCGAAGCTCCTGACTTGTTTGAATGGGATCACGGAATAGCTCTGCATGCACTGCAGGGGAATGGGGCCTCATCTCGCCTCTAGGGGGAAGTCTCATGGTTTTTCTCGAGTTGCGGCGGGGACCTGGGGTATGTTCTCGACTTACGGCGGGGATGGCCCTTCAAAACACGAGTTTCTTCAGTGACGTCAGGACTCCTGTCTAGTAACGAGGGACACCTCAGGAATCTCTTCGAGGCTTGGCAGGGCAAAAGGGACGCTTCTCGAGGTGAGGCAGGGCACCCAAGGACCCTTTCCAGTAGCCACAGGGATTTGGGGATTCCTATCAGTATTCAAGAGGAGTCAGGCATCGTCACCTTTTGAAGCAATGAACTCCGCGTGCCTCTCGAGGTGTCAGCGCGATGTGAGGCATTCCGTCAAAATGAGGCAGGGACCTAGGGCTTTCTCTAAGGTCTCCACAGGGGATTCAGACATCCCTTCATGTTGTGAGATGAAAGACGAGCCTGTATTCAAGCCACTGCAAGGAAATCCGGCCTCCTTTCAAGTTAGGGCTTCTCGCTGTATATTCCCCTTGAGGCAGCAAACTCGGGGTCCCTCCCACATACCTATTGCTGAGAGAAGCCTCCTCCTGAGGTGCTTCTGGGAAGTTGGCATACGTCTTGAGCCTAAGCCAGGGAATCAGCTCTCATCTCGAGACGATTTGGGGTGCACGGAGCATTCCTCGAGTTGCTGTGCTGAAGTTGGTGTTCCTCTAGACTTGGGACAGTGTTCTCGGGGCATCTCTGGAGTTGCCTGAAGGAAGTCGAGCCACCGGTCGTGTTGAATGGGGAACGGGGAATGGCTCTGGAGTCAATGCAGGGGAATCGGGCCTCATCTCGATTTGATTTGGGGCACATGGAGCTGCTTTGCGTTGCTGGGGTGACCTCAGGGTCCGTCTAGACTGGTGACAGTGTTCTTGGGGACTGTCTCGAGATCCATTAAGAAGTCGAAGCTCCTGACTTGTTTGAATGGGATCACGGAATAGCTCTGCATGCACTGCAGGGGAATGGGGCCTCATCTCGCCTCTAGGGGGAAGTCTCATGGTTTTTCTCGAGTTGCGGCGGGGACCTGGGGTATGTTCTCGACTTACGGCGGGGATGGCCCTTCAAAACACGAGTTTCTTCAGTGACGTCAGGACTCCTGTCTAGTAACGAGGGACACCTCAGGAATCTCTTCGAGGCTTGGCAGGGCAAAAGGGACGCTTCTCGAGGTGAGGCAGGGCACCCAAGGACCCTTTCCAGTAGCCACAGGGATTTGGGGATTCCTATCAGTATTCAAGAGGAGTCAGGCATCGTCACCTTTTGAAGCAATGAACTCCGCGTGCCTCTCGAGGTGTCAGCGCGATGTGAGGCATTCTGTCAAAATGAGGCAGGGACCTAGGGCTTTCTCTAAGGTCTCCACAGGGGATTCAGACATCCCTTCATGTTGTGAGATGAAAGACGAGCCTGTATTCAAGCCACTGCAAGGAAATCCGGCCTCCTTTCAAGTTAGGGCTTCTCGCTGTATATTCCCCTTGAGGCAGCAAACTCGGGGTCCCTCCCACATACCTATTGCTGAGAGAAGCCTCCTCCTGAGGTGCTTCTGGGAAGTTGGCATACGTCTTGAGCCTAAGCCAGGGAATCAGCTCTCATCTCGAGACGATTTGGGGTGCACGGAGCATTCCTCGAGTTGCTGTGCTGAAGTTGGTGTTCCTCTAGACTTGGGACAGTGTTCTCGGGGCATCTCTGGAGTTGCCTGAAGGAAGTCGAGCCACCGGTCGTGTTGAATGGGGAACGGGGAATGGCTCTGGAGTCAATGCAGGGGAATCGGGCCTCATCTCGATTTGATTTGGGGCACATGGAGCTGCTTTGCGTTGCTGGGGTGACCTCAGGGTCCGTCTAGACTGGTGACAGTGTTCTTGGGGACTGTCTCGAGATCCATTAAGAAGTCGAAGCTCCTGACTTGTTTGAATGGGATCACGGAATAGCTCTGCATGCACTGCAGGGGAATGGGGCCTCATCTCGCCTCTAGGGGGAAGTCTCATGGTTTTTCTCGAGTTGCGGCGGGGACCTGGGGTATGTTCTCGACTTACGGCGGGGATGGCCCTTCAAAACACGAGTTTCTTCAGTGACGTCAGGACTCCTGTCTAGTAACGAGGGACACCTCAGGAATCTCTTCGAGGCTTGGCAGGGCAAAAGGGACGCTTCTCGAGGTGAGGCAGGGCACCCAAGGACCCTTTCCAGTAGCCACAGGGATTTGGGGATTCCTATCAGTATTCAAGAGGAGTCAGGCATCGTCACCTTTTGAAGCAATGAACTCCGCGTGCCTCTCGAGGTGTCAGCGCGATGTGAGGCATTCTGTCAAAATGAGGCAGGGACCTACGGCTTTCTCTAAGGTCTCCACAGGGGATTCAGACATCCCTTCATGTTGTGAGATGAAAGACGAGCCTGTATTCAAGCCACTGCAAGGAAATCCGGCCTCCTTTCAAGTTAGGGCTTCTCGCTGTATATTCCCCTTGAGGCAGCAAACTCGGGGTCCCTCCCACATACCTATTGCTGAGAGAAGCCTCCTCCTGAGGTGCTTCTGGGAAGTTGGCATACGTCTTGAGACTAAGCCAGGGAATCAGCTCGCATCTCGAGACGGTTTGGGGTACACGGAGCATTCCTCGAGTTGCTGTGCTGAAGTTGGTGTTCCTCTAGACTTGGGACAGTGTTCTCGGGGCATCTCTGGAGTTGCCTGAAGGAAGTCGAGCCACCGGTCGTGTTGAATGGGGAACGGGGAATAGCTCTGGAGTCAATGCAGGGGAATCGGGCCTCATCTCGAGTTGATTTGGGGCACATGGAGCTGCTTTGCGTTGCTGGGGTGACCTCAGGGTCCGTCTAGACTGGTGACAGTGTTCTTGCGGACTGTCTCGAGATCCATTAAGCAAGTCGAAGCTCCTGACTTGTTTGAATGGGATCACGGAATAGCTCTGCATGCACTGCAGGGGAATGGGGCCTCATCTCGCCTCTAGGGGGAAGTCTCATGGTTTTTCTCGAGTTGCGGCGGGGACCTGGGTATGTTCTCGACTTACGGCGGGGATGGCCCTTCAAAACACGAGTTTCTTCAGTGACGTCAGGACTCCTGTCTAGTAACGAGGGACACCTCAGGAATCTCTTCGAGGCTTGGCAGGGCAAAAGGGACGCTTCTCGAGGTGAGGCAGGGCACCCAAGGACCCTTTCCAGTAGCCACAGGGATTTTGGGATTCCTATCAGTATTCAAGAGGAGTCAGGCATCGTCACCTTTTGAAGCAATGAACTCCGCGTGCCTCTCGAGGTGTCAGCGGGATGTGAGGCATTCCGTCAAAATGAGGCAGGGACCTAGGGCTTTCTCTAAGGTCTCCACAGGGGATTCAGACATCCCTTCATGTTGTGAGATGAAAGACGAGCCTGTATTCAAGCCACTGAAAGGAAATCCGGCCTCCTTTCAAGTTAGGGCTTCTCGCTGTATATTCCCATTGAGGCAGCAAACTCGGGGTCCCTCCCACATACCTATTGCTGAGAGAAGCCTCCTCCTGAGGTGCTTCTGGGAAGTTGGCATACGTCTTGAGCCTAAGCCAGGGAATCAGCTCTCATCTCGAGACGATTTGGGGTACACGGAGCATTCCTCGAGTTGCTGTGCTGAAGTTGGTGTTCTTCTAGACTTGGGACAGTGTTCTCGGGGCATCTCTGGACTTGCCTGAAGGAAGTCGAGCCACCGGTCGTGTTGAATGGGGAACGGGGAATGGCTCTGGAGTCAATGCAGGGGAATCGTTCCTCATCTCGAGTTGATTTGGGGCACATGGAGCTGCTTTGCGTTGCTGGGGTGACCTCAGGGTCCGTCTAGACTGGTGACAGTGTTCTTGGGGACTGTCTCGAGATCCATTAAGCAAGTCGAAGCTCCTGACTTGTTTGAATGGGATCACGGAATAGCTCTGCATGCACTGCAGGGGAATGGGGCCTCATCTCGCCTCTAGGGGGAAGTCTCATGGTTTTTCTCGAGTTGCGGCGGGGACCTGGGGTATGTTCTCCACTTACGGCGGGGATGGCCCTTCAAAACACGAGTTTCTTCAATGACGTCAGGACTCCTGTCTAGTAACGAGGGACACCTCAGGAATCTCTTTGAGGCTTGGCAGGGCAAAAGGGACGCTTCTCGAGGTGAGGCAGGGCACCCAAGGACCCTTTCCAGTAGCCACATGGATTTTGGGATTCCTATCAGTATTCAAGAGGAGTCAGGCATCGTCACCTTTTGAAGCAATGAACTCCGCGTGCCTCTCGAGGTGTCAGCGGGATGTGAGGCATTCCGTCAAAATGAGGCAGGGACCTAGGGCTTTCTCTAAGGTCTCCACAGGGGATTCAGACATCCCTTCATGTTGTGAGATGAAAGACGAGCCTGTATTCAAGCCACTGCAAGGAAATCCGGCCTCCTTTCAAGTTAGGGCTTCTCGCTGTATATTCCCCTTGAGGCAGCAAACTCGGGGTCCCTCCCACATACCTATTGCTGTGAGAAGCCTCCTCCTGAGGTGCTTCTGGGAAGTTGGCATACGTCTTGAGCCTAAGCCAGGGAATCAGCTCTCATCTCGAGACGATTTGGGGTACACGGAGCATTCCTCGAGTTGCTGTGCTGAAGTTGGTGTTCCTCTAGACTTGGGACAGTGTTCTCGGGGCATCTCTGGAGTTGCCTGAAGGAAGTCGAGCCACCAGTCGTGTTGAATGGGGAACGGGGAATGGCTCTGGAGTCAATGCAGGGGAATCGGGCCTCATCTCGAGTTGATTTGGGGCACATGGAGCTGCTTTGCGTTGCTGGGGTGACCTCAGGGTCCGTCTAGACTGGTGACAGTGTTCTTGGGGACTGTCTCGAGATCCATTAAGAAGTCGAAGCTCCTGACTTGTTTGAATGGGATCACGGAATAGCTCTGCATGCACTGCAGGGGAATGGGGCCTCATCTCGCCTCTAGGGGGAAGTCTCATGGTTTTTCTCGAGTTGTGGCGGGGACCTGGGGTATGTTCTCGACTTACGGCGGGGATGGCCCTTCAAAACACGAGTTTCTTCAGTGACGTCAGGACTCCTGTCTAGTAACGAGGGACACCTCAGGAATCTCTTCGAGGCTTGGCAGGGCAAAAGGGACGCTTCTCGAGGTGAGGCAGGGCACCCAAGGACCCTTTCCAGTAGCCACAGGGATTTGGGGATTCCTATCAGTATTCAAGAGGAGTCAGGCATCGTCACCTTTTGAAGCAATGAACTCCGCGTGCCTCTCGAGGTGTCAGCGGGATGTGAGGCATTCCGTCAAAATGAGGCAGGGACCTAGGGCTTTCTCTAAGGTCTCCACAGGGGATTCAGACATCCCTTCATATTGTGAGATGAAAGACGAGCCTGTATTCAAGCCACTGCAAGGAAATCCGGCCTCCTTTCAAGTTAGGGCTTCTCGCCGTATATTCCCCTTGAGGCAGCAAACTCGGGGTCCCTCCCACATACCTATTGCTGAGAGAAGCCTCCTCCTGAGGTGCTTCTGGGAAGTTGGCATACGTCTTGAGCCTAAGCCAGGGAATCAGCTCGCACCTCGAGACGATTTGGGGTACACGGAGCATTCCTCGAGTTGCTGTGCTGAAGTTGGTGTTCCTCTAGACTTGGGACAGTGTTCTCGGGGCATCTCTGGAGTTGCCTGAAGGAAGTCGAGCCACCGGTCGTGTTGAATGGGGAACGGGGAATGGCTCTGGTGTCAATGCAGGGGAATCGGGCCTCATCTCGAGTTGATTTGGGGCACATGGAGCTGCTTTGCGTTGCTGGGGTGACCTCAGGGTCCGTCTAGACTGGTGACAGTGTTCTTGGGGACTGTCTCGAGATCCATTAAGCAAGTCGAAGCTGCTGACTTGTTTGAATGGGATCACGGAATAGCTCTGCATGCACTGCAGGGGAATGGGGCCTCATCTCGACTCTAGGGGGAAGTCTCATGGTTTTTCTCGAGTTGCGGCGGGGACCTGGGGTATGTTCTCGACTTACGGCGGGGATGGCCCTTCAAAACACGAGTTTCTTCAGTGACGTCAGGACTCCTGTCTAGTAACGAGGGACACCTCAGGAATCTCATCGAGGCTTGGCAGGGCAAAAGGGACACTTCTCGAGGTGAGGCAGGGCACCCAAGTACCCTTTCCAGTAGCCACAGGGATTTTGGGATTCCTATCAGTATTCAAGAGGAGTCAGGCATCGTCACCTTTTGAAGCAATGAACTCCACGTGCCTCTCGAGGTGTCAGCGGGATGTGAGGCATTCCGTCAAAATGAGGCAGGGACCTAGGGCTTTCTCTAAGGTCTCCACAGGGGATTCAGACATCCCTTCATGTTGTGAGATGAAAGACGAGCCTGTATTCAAGCCACTGCAAGGAAATCCGGCCTCCTTTCAAGTTAGGGCTTCTCGCTGTATATTCCCCTTGAGGCAGCAAAATCGGGGTCCCTCCCACATACCTATTGCTGAGAGAAGCCTCCTCCTGAGGTGCTTCTGGGAAGTTGGCATACGTCTTGAGCCTAAGCCAGGGAATCAGCTCTCATCTCGAGACGATTTGGGGTACACGGAGCATTCCTCGAGTTGCTGTGCTGAAGTTGGTGTTCTTCTAGACTTGGGACAGTGTTCTCGGGGCATCTCTGGAGTTGCCTGAAGGAAGTCGAGCCACCGGTCGTGTTGAATGGGGAACGGGGAATGGCTCTGGAGTCAATGCATGGGAGTCGTTCCTCATCTCGAGTTGATTTGGGGCACATGGAGCTGCTTTGCGTTGCTGGGGTGACCTCAGGGTCCGTCTAGACTGGTGACAGTGTTCTTGGGGACTGTCTCGAGATCCATTAAGCAAGTCGAAGCTCCTGACTTGTTTGAATGGGATCACGGAATAGCTCTGCATGCACTGCAGGGGAATGGGGCCTCATCTCGCCTCTAGGGGGAAGTCTCATGGTTTTTCTCGAGTTGCGGCGGGGACCTGGGGTATGTTCTCGACTTACGGCGGGGATGGCCCTTCAAAACACGAGTTTCTTCAGTGACGTCAGGACTCCTGTCTAGTAACGTGGGACACCTCAGGAATTTCTTCGAGGCTTGGCAGGGCAAAAGGGACGCTTCTCGAGGTGAGGCAGGGCACCCAAGGACCCTTTCCAGTAGCCACAGGGATTTTGGGATTCCTATCAGTATTCAAGAGGAGTCAGGCATCGTCACCTTTTGAAGCAATGAACTCCGCGTGCCTCTCGAGGTGTCAGCGGGATGTGAGGCATTCCGTCAAAATGAGGCAGGGACCTAGGGCTTTCTCTAAGGTCTCCACAGGGGATTCAGACATCCCTTCATGTTGTGAGATGAAAGACGAGCCTGTATTCAAGCCACTGCAAGGAAATCCGGCCTCCTTTCAAGTTAGGGCTTCTCGCTGTATATTCCCCTTGAGGCAGCAAACTCGGGGTCCCTCCCACATACCTATTGCTGAGAGAAGCCTCCTCCTGAGGTGCTTCTGGGAAGTTGGCATACGTCTTGAGCCTAAGCCAGGGAATCAGCTCGCATCTCGAGACGATTTGGGGTACACGGAGCATTCCTCGAGTTGCTGTGCTGAAGTTGGTGTTCCTCTAGACTTGGGACAGTGTTCTCGTGGCATCTCTGGAGTTGCCTGAAGGAAGTCGAGCCACCGGTCGTGTTGAATGGGGAACGGGGAATGGCTCTGGAGTCAATGCAGGGGAATCGGGCCTCATCTCGAGTTGATTTGTGGCACATGGAGCTGCTTTGCGTTGCTGGGGTGACCTCAGGGTCCGTCTAGACTGGTGACAGTGTTCTTGGGGACTGTCTCGAGATCCATTAAGCAAGTCGAAGCTCCTGACTTGTTTGAATTTGATCACGGAATAGCTCTGCATGCACTGCAGGGGAATGGGGCCTCATCTCGCCTCTAGGGGGAAGTCTCATGGTTTTTCTCGAGTTGCGGCGGGGACTTGGGGTATGTTCTCGACTTACGGCGGGGATGGCCCTTCAAAACACGAGTTTCTTCAGTGACGTCAGGACTCCTGTCTAGTAACGAGGGACACCTCAGGAATCTCTTCGAGGCTTGGCAGGGCAAAAGGGACGCTTCTCGAGGTGAGGCAGGGCACCCAAGGACCCTTTCCAGTAGCCACAGGGATTTTGGGATTCCTATCAGTATTCAAGAGGAGTCAGGCATCGTCACCTTTTGAAGCAATGAACTCCGCGTGCCTCTCGAGGTGTCAGCGGGATGTGAGGCATTCCGTCAAAATGAGACAGGGACCTAGGGCTTTCTCTAAGGTCTCCACAGGGGATTCAGACATCCCTTCATGTTGTGAGATGAAAGACGAGCCTGTATTCAAGCCACTGCAAGGAAATCCGGCCTCCTTTCAAGTTAGGGCTTCTCGCTGTATATTCCCCTTGAGGCAGCAAACTCGGGGTCCCTCCCACATACCTATTGCTGAGAGAAGCCTCCTCCTGAGGTGCTTCTGGGAAGTTGGCATACGTCTTGAGCCTAAGCCAGGGAATCAGCTCTCATCTCGAGACGATTTGGGGTACACGGAGCATTCCTCGAGTTGCTGTGCTGAAGTTGGTGTTCCTCTAGACTTGGGACAGTGTTCTCGGGGCATCTCTGGAGTTGCCTGAAGGAAGTCGAGCCAACGGTCGTGTTGAATGGGGAACGGGGAATGGCTCTGGAGTCAATGCAGGGGAATCGGGCCTCATCTCGAGTTGATTTGGGGCACATGGAGCTGCTTTGCGTTGCTGGGGTGACCTCAGGGTCCGTCTAGACTGGTGACAGTGTTCTTGGGGACTGTCTCGAGATCCATTAAGCAAGTCGAAGCTCCTGACTTGTTTGAATGGGATCACGGAATAGCTCTGCATGCACTGCAGGGGAATGGGGCCTCATCTCGCCTCTAGGGGGAAGTCTCATGGTTTTTCTCGAGTTGCGGCGGGGACCTGGGGTATGTTCTCGACTTACGGCGGGGATGGCCCTTCAAGACACGAGTTTCTTCAGTGACGTCAGGACTCCTGTCTAGTAACGAGGGACACCTCAGGAATCTCTTCGAGGCTTGGCAGGGCAAAAGGGACGCTTCTCGAGGTGAGGCAGGGCACCCAAGGACCCTTTCCAGTAGCCACAGGGATTTTGGGATTCCTATCAGTATTCAAGAGGAGTCAGGCATCGTCACCTTTTGAAGCAATGAACTCCGCGTGCCTCTCGAGGTGTCAGCGGGATGTGAGGCATTCCGTCAAAATGAGGCAGGGACCTAGGGCTTTCTCTAAGGTCTCCACAGGGGATTCAGACATCCCTTCATGTTGTGAGATGAAAGACGAGCCTGTATTCAAGCCACTGCAAGGAAATCCGGCCTCCTTTCAAGTTAGGGCTTCTCGCTGTATATTCCCCTTGAGGCAGCAAACTCGGGGTCCCTCCCACATACCTATTGCTGAGAGAAGCCTCCTCCTGAGGTGCTTCTGGGAAGTTGGCATACGTCTTGAGCCTAAGCCAGGGAATCAGCTCTCATCTCGAGACGATTTGGGGTACACTGAGCATTCCTCGAGTTGCTGTGCTGAAGTTGGTGTTCCTCTAGACTTGGGACAGTGTTCTCGGGGCATCTCTGGAGTTGCCTGAAGGAAGTCGAGCCACCGGTCGTGTTGAATGGGGAACGGGGAATGGCTCTGGAGTCAATGCAGGGGAATCGGGCCTCATCTCGAGTTGATTTGGGGCACATGGAGCTGCTTTGCGTTGCTGGGGTGACCTCAGGGTCCGTCTAGACTGGTGACAGTGTTCTTGGGGACTGTCTCGAGATCCATTAAGAAGTCGAAGCTCCTGACTTGTTTGAATGGGATCACGGAATAGCTCTGCATGCACTGCAGGGGAATGGGGCCTCATCTCGCCTCTAGGGGGAAGTCTCATGGTTTTTCTCGAGTTGCGGCGGGGACCTGGGGTATGTTCTCGACTTACGGCGGGGATGGCCCTTCAAAACACGAGTTTCTTCAGTGACGTCAGGACTCCTGTCTAGTAACGAGGGACACCTCAGGAATCTCTTCGAGGCTTGGCAGGGCAAAAGGGACGCTTCTCGAGGTGAGGCAGGGCACCCAAGGACCCTTTCCAGTAGCCACAGGGATTTGGGGATTCCTATCAGTATTCAAGAGGAGTCAGGCATCGTCACCTTTTGAAGCAATGAACTCCACGTGCCTCTCGAGGTGTCAGCGCGATGTGAGGCATTCTGTCACAATGAGGCAGGGACCTAGGGCTTTCTCTAAGGTCTCCACAGGGGATTCAGACATCCCTTCATGTTGTGAGATGAAAGACGAGCCTGTATTCAAGCCACTGCAAGGAAATCCGGCCTCCTTTCAAGTTAGGGCTTCTCGCTGTATATTCCCCTTGAGGCAGCAAACTCGGGGTCCCTCCCACATACCTATTGCTGAGAGAAGCCTCCTCCTGAGGTGCTTCTGGGAAGTTGGCATACGTCTTGAGCCTAAGCCAGGGATTCAGCTCGCATCTCGAGACGGTTTGGGGTACACGGAGCATTCCTCCAGTTGCTGTGCTGAAGTTGGTGTTCCTCTAGACTTGGGACAGTGTTCTCGGCGCATCTCTGGAGTTGCCTGAAGGAAGTCGAGCCACCGGTCGTGTTGAATGGGGAACGGGGAATGGCTCTGGAGTCAATGCAGGGGAATCGGGCCTCATCTCGAGTTGATTTGGGGCACATGGAGCTGCTTTGCCTTGCTGGGGTGACCTCAGGGTCCGTCTAGACTGGTGACAGTGTTCTTGCGGACTGTCTCGAGATCCATTAAGCAAGTCGAAGCTCCTGACTTGTTTGAATGGGATCACGGAATAGCTCTGCATGCACTGCAGGGTAATGGGGCCTCATCTCCCCTCTAGGGGGAAGTCTCATGGTTTTTCTCGAGTTGCGGCGGGGACCTGGGTATGTTCTCGACTTACGGCGGGGATGGCCCTTCAAAACACGAGTTTCTTCAGTGACGTCAGGACTCCTGTCTAGTGACGAGGGACACCTCAGGAATCTCTTCGAGGCTTGGCAGGGCAAAAGGGACGCTTCTCGAGGTGAGGCAGGGCACCCAAGGACCCTTTCCAGTAGCCACAGGGATTTGGGGATTCCTATCAGTATTCAAGAGGAGTCAGGCATCGTCACCTTTTGAAGCAATGAACTCCGCGTGCCTCTCGAGGTGTCAGCGGGATGTGAGGCATTCCGTCAAAATGAGGCAGGGACCTAGGGCTTTCTCTAAGGTCTCCACAGGGGATTCAGACATCCCTTCATGTTGTGAGATGAAAGACGAGCCTGTATTCAAGCCACTGCAAGGAAATCCAGCCTCCTTTCAAGTTAGGGCTTCTCGCTGTATATTCCCCTTGAGGCAGCAAACTCGGGGTCCCTCCCACATACCTATTGCTGAGAGAAGCCTCCTCCTGAGGTGCTTCTGGGAAGTTGGCATACGTCTTGAGCCTAAGCCAGGGAATCAGCTCGCATCTCGAGACGATTTGGGGTACACGGAGCATTCCTCGAGTTGCTGTGCTGAAGTTGGTGTTCCTCTAGACTTGGGACAGTGTTCTCGGGGCATCTCTGGAGTTGCCTGAAGGAAGTCGAGCCACCGGTCGTGTTGAATGGGGAACGGGGAATGGCTCTGGAGTCAATGCAGGGGAATCGGGCCTCATCTCGAGTTGATTTGGGGCACATGGAGCTGCTTTGCGTTGCTGGGGTGACCTCAGGGTCCGTCTAGACTGGTGACAGTGTTCTTGGGGACTGTCTCGAGATCCATTAAGCAAGTCGAAGCTCCTGACTTGTTTGAATGGGATCACGGAATAGCTCTGCATGCACTGCAGGGGAATGGGGCCTCATCTCGCCTCTAGGGGGAAGTCTCATGGTTTTTCTCGAGTTGCGGTGGGGACCTGGGGTATGTTCTCGACTTAGGGCGTGGATGGCCCTTCAAAACACGAGTTTCTTCAGTGACGTCAGGACTCCTGTCTAGTAACGAGGGACACCTCAGGAATCTCTTCGAGGCTTGGCAGGGCAAAAGGGACGCTTCTCGAGGTGAGGCAGGGCACCCAAGGACCCTTTCCAGTAGCCACAGGGATTTTGGGATTCCTATCAGTATTCAAGAGGAGTCAGGCATCGTCACCTTTTGAAGCAATGAACTCCGCGTGCCTCTCGAGGTGTCAGCGGGATGTGAGGCATTCCGTCAAAATGAGGCAGGGACCTAGGGCTTTCTCTAAGGTCTCCACAGGGGATTCAGACATCCCTTCATGTTGTGAGATGAAAGACGAGCCTGTATTCAAGCCACTGCAAGGAAATCCGGCCTCCTTTCAAGTTAGGGCTTCTCGCTGTATATTCCCCTTGAGGCAGCAAACTCGGGGTCCCTCCCACATACCTATTGCTGAGAGAAGCCTCCTCCTGAGGTGCTTCTGGGAAGTTGGCATACGTCTTGAGCCTAAGCCAGGGAATCAGCTCTCATCTCGAGACGATTTGGGGTACACGGAGCATTCCTCGAGTTGCTGTGCTGAAGTTGGTGTTCCTCTAGACTTGGGACAGTGTTCTCGGGGCATCTCTGGAGTTGCCTGAAGGAAGTCGAGCCACCGGTCGTGTTGAATGGGGAACGGGGAATGGCTCTGGAGTCAATGCAGGGGAATCGGGCCTCATCTCGATTTGATTTGGGGCACATGGAGCTGCTTTGCGTTGCTGGGGTGACCTCAGGGTCCGTCTAGACTGGTGACAGTGTTCTTGGGGACTGTCTCGAGATCCATTAAGAAGTCAAAGCTCCTGACTTGTTTGAATGGGATCACGGAATAGCTCTGCATGCACTGCAGGGGAATGGGGCCTCATCTCGCCTCTAGGGGGAAGTCTCATGGTTTTTCTCGAGTTGCGGCGGGGACCTTGGGTATGTTCTCGACTTACGGCGGGGATGGCCCTTCAAAACACGAGTTTCTTCAGTGACGTCAGGACTCCTGTCTAGTAACGAGGGACACCTCAGGAATCTCTTCGAGGCTTGGCAGGGCAAAAGGGACGCTTCTCGAGGTGAGGCAGGGCACCCAAGGACCCTTTCCAGTAGCCACAGGGATTTGGGGATTCCTATCAGTATTCAAGAGGAGTCAGGCATCGTCACCTTTTGAAGCAATGAACTCCGCGTGCCTCTCGAGGTGTCAGCGGGATGTGAGGCATTCCGTCAAAATGAGGCAGGGACCTAGGGCTTTCTCTAAGGTCTCCACAGGGGATTCAGACATCCCTTCATGTTGTGAGATGAAAGACGAGCCTGTATTCAAGCCACTGCAAGGAAATCCGGCCTCCTTTCAAGTTAGGGCTTCTCGCTGTATATTCCCCTTGAGGCAGCAAACTCGGGGTCCCTCCCACATACCTATTGCTGAGAGAAGCCTCCTCCTGAGGTGCTTCTGGGAAGTTGGCATACGTCTTGAGCCTAAGCCAGGGAATCAGCTCGCATCTCGAGACGATTTGTGGTACACGGAGCATTCCTCGAGTTGCTGTGCTGAAGTTGGTGTTCCTCTAGACTTGGGACAGTGTTCTCGGGGCATCTCTGGAGTTGCCTGAAGGAAGTCGAGCCACCGGTCGTGTTGAATGGGGAACGGGGAATGGCTCTGGAGTCAATGCAGGGGAATCGGGCCTCATCTCGAGTTGATTTGGGGCACATGGAGCTGCTTTGCGTTGCTGGGATGACCTCAGGGTCCGTCTAGACTGGTGACAGTGTTCTTGGGGACTGTCTCGAGATCCATTAAGCAAGTCGAAGCTCCTGACTTGTTTGAATGGGATCACGGAATAGCTCTGCATGCACTGGAGGGGAATGGGGCCTCATCTCGCCTCTAGGGGGAAGTCTCATGGTTTTTCTCGAGTTGCGGCGGGGACCTGGGGTATGTTCTCGACTTACGGCGGGGATGGCCCTTCAAAACACGAGTTTCTTCAGTGACGTCAGGACTCCTGTCTAGTAACGAGGGACACCTCAGGAATCTCTTCGAGGCTTGGCAGGGCAAAAGGGACGCTTCTCGAGGTGAGGCAGGGCACCCAAGGACCCTTTCCAGTAGCCACAGGGATTTTGGGATTCCTATCAGTATTCAAGAGGAGTCAGGCATCGTCACCTTTTGAAGCAATGAACTCCGCGTGCCTCTCGAGGTGTCAGCGGGATGTGAGGCATTCCGTCAAAATGAAGCAGGGACCTAGGTCTTTCTCTAAGGTCTCCGCAGGGGATTCAGACATCCCTTCATGTTGTGAGATGAAAGACGAGCCTGTATTCAAGCCACTGCAAGGAAATCCGGCCTCCTTTCAAGTTAGGGCTTCTCGCTGTATATTCCCCTTGAGGCAGCAAACTCGGGGTCCCTCCCACATACCTATTGCTGAGAGAAGCCTCCTCCTGAGGTGCTTCTGGGAAGTTGGCATACGTCTTGAGCCTAAGCCAGGGAATCAGCTCTCATCTCGAGACGATTTGGGGTACACGGAGCATTCCTCGAGTTGCTGTGCTGAAGTTGGTGTTCCTCTAGACTTGGGACAGTGTTCTCGGGGCATCTCTGGAGTTGCCTGAAGGAAGTCGAGCCACCGGTCGTGTTGAATGGGGAACGGGGAATGGCTCTGGAGTCAATGCAGGGGAATCGGGCCTCATCTCGAGTTGATTTGGGGCACATGGAGCTGCTTTGCGTTGCTGGGGTGACCTCAGGGTCCGTCTAGACAGGTGACAGTGTTCTTGGGGACTGTCTCGAGATCCATTAAGAAGTCGAAGCTCCTGACTTGTTTGAATGGGATCACGGAATAGCTCTGCATGCACTGCAGGGGAATGGGGCCTCATCTCGCCTCTAGGGGGAAGTCTCATGGTTTTTCTCGAGTTGCGGCGGGTACCTGGGGTATGTTCTCGACTTAGGGCGGGGATGGCCCTTCAAAACACGAGTTTCTTCAGTGACGTCAGGACTCCTGTCTAGTAACGAGGGACACCTCAGGAATCTCTTCGAGGCTTGGCAGGGCAAAAGGGACGCTTCTCGAGGTGAGGCAGGGCACCCAAGGACCCTTTCCAGTAGCCACAGGGATTTGGGGATTCCTATCAGTATTCAAGAGGAGTCAGGCATCGTCACCTTTTGAAGCAATGAACTCCGCGTGCCTCTCGAGGTGTCAGCGCGATGTGAGGCATTCTGTCAAAATGAGGCAGGGACCTAGGGCTTTCTCTAAGGTCTCCACAGGGGATTCAGACATCCCTTCATGTTGTGAGATGAAAGACGAGCCTGTATTCAAGCCACTGCAAGGAAATCCGGCCTCCTTTCAAGTTAGGGCTTCTCGCTGTATATTCCCCTTGAGGCAGCAAACTCGGGGTCCCTCCCACATACCTATTGCTGAGAGAAGCCTCCTCCTGAGGTGCTTCTGGGAAGTTGGCATACGTCTTGAGCCTAAGCCAGGGAATCAGCTCTCATCTCGAGACGATTTGGGGTACACGGAGCATTCCTCGAGTTGCTGTGCTGAAGTTGGTGTTCCTCTAGTCTTGGGACAGTGTTCTCGGGGCATCTCTGGAGTTGCCTGAAGGAAGTCGAGCCACCGGTCGTGTTGAATGGGGAACGGGGAATGGCTCTGGAGTCAATGCAGGGGAATCGGGCCTCATCTCGAGTTGATTTGGGGCACATGGAGCTGCTTTGCGTTGCTGGGGTGACCTCAGGGTCCGTCTAGACTGGTGACAGTGTTCTTGGGGACTGTCTCGAGATCCATTAAGAAGTCGAAGCTCCTGACTTGTTTGAATGGGATCACGGAATAGCTCTGCATGCACTGCAGGGGAATGGGGCCTCATCTCGCCTCTAGGGGGAAGTCTCATGGTTTTTCTCGAGTTGCGGCGGGGACCTGGGGTATGTTCTCGACTTACGGCGGGGATGGCCCTTCAAAACACGAGTTTCTTCAGTGACGTCAGGACTCCTGTCTAGTAACGAGGGACACCTCAGGAATCTCTTCGAGGCTTGGCAGGGCAAAAGGGACGCTTCTCGAGGTGAGGCAGGGCACCCAAGGACCCTTTCCAGTAGCCACAGGGATTTGGGGATTCCTATCAGTATTCAAGAGGAGTCAGGCATCGTCACCTTTTGAAGCAATGAACTCCGCGTGCCTCTCGAGGTGTCAGCGCGATGTGAGGCATTCTGTCAAAATGAGGCAGGGACCTAGGGCTTTCTCTAAGGTCTCCACAGGGGATTCAGACATCCCTTCATGTTGTGAGATGAAAGACGAGCCTGTATTCAAGCCACTGCAAGGAAATCCGGCCTCCTTTCAAGTTAGGGCTTCTCGCTGTATATTCCCCTTGAGGCAGCAAACTCGGGGTCCCTCCCACATACCTATTGCTGAGAGAAGCCTCCTCCTGAGGTGCTTCTGGGAAGTTGGCATACGTCTTGAGCCTAAGCCAGGGAATCAGCTCGCATCTCGAGACGGTTTGGGGTACACGGAGCATTCCTCGAGTTGCTGTGCTGAAGTTGGTGTTCCTCTAGACTTGGGACAGTGTTCTCGGGGCATCTCTGGAGTTGCCTGAAGGAAGTCGAGCCACCGGTCGTGTTGAATGGGGAACGGGGAATGGCTCTGGAGTCAATGCAGGGGAATCGGGCCTCATCTCGAGTTGATTTGGGGCACATGGAGCTGCTTTGCGTTGCTGGGGTGACCTCAGGGTCCGTCTAGACTGGTGACAGTGTTCTTGCGGACTGTCTCGAGATCCATTAAGCAAGTCGAAGCTCCTGACTTGTTTGAATGGGATCACGGAATAGCTCTGCATGCACTGCAGGGGAATGGGGCCTCATCTCGCCTCTAGGGGGAAGTCTCATGGTTTTTCTCGAGTTGCGGCGGGGACCTGGGTATGTTCTCGACTTACGGCGGGGATGGCCCTTCAAAACACGAGTTTCTTCAGTGACGTCAGGACTCCTGTCTAGTAACGAGGGACACCTCAGGAATCTCTTCGAGGCTTGGCAGGGCAAAAGGGACGCTTCTCGAGGTGAGGCAGGGCACCCAAGGACCCTTTCCAGTAGCCACAGGGATTTTGGGATTCCTATCAGTATTCAAGAGGAGTCAGGCATCGTCACCTTTTGAAGCAATGAACTCCGCGTGCCTCTCGAGGTGTCAGCGGGATGTGAGGCATTCCGTCAAAATGAGGCAGGGACCTAGGGCTTTCTCTAAGGTCTCCACAGGGGATTCAGACATCCATTCATGTTGTGAGATGAAAGACGAGCCTGTATTCAAGCCACTGCAAGGAAATCCGGCCTCCTTTCAAGTTAGGGCTTCTCGCTGTATATTCCCCTTGAGGCAGCAAACTCGGGGTCGCTCCCACATACCTATTGCTGAGAGAAGCCTTCTCCTGAGGTGCTTCTGGGAAGTTGGCATACGTCTTGAGCCTAAGCCAGGGAATCAGCTCGCACCTCGAGACGATTTGGGGTACACGGAGCATTCCTCGAGTTGCTGTGCTGAAGTTGGTGTTCCTCTAGACTTGGGACAGTGTTCTCGGGGCATCTCTGGAGTTGCCTGAAGGAAGTCGAGCCACCGGTCGTGTTGAATGGGGAACGGGGAATGGCTCTGGAGTCAATGCAGGGGAATCGGGCCTCATCTCGAGTTGATTTGGGGCACATGGAGCTGCTTTGCGTTGCTGGGGTGACCTCAGGGTCCGTCTAGACTGGTGACAGTGTTCTTGGGGACTGTCTCGAGATCCATTAAGAAGTCGAAGCTCCTGACTTGTTTGAATGGGATCACGGAATAGCTCTGCATGCACTGCAGGGGAATGGGGCCTCATCTCGCCTCTAGGGGGAAGTCTCATGGTTTTTCTCGAGTTGCGGCGGGGACCTGGGGTATGTTCTCGACTTACGGCGGGGATGGCCCTTCAAAACACGAGTTTCTTCAGTGACGTCAGGACTCCTGTCTAGTAACGAGGGACACCTCAGGAATCTCTTCGAGGCTTGGCAGGGCAAAAGGGACGCTTCTCGAGGTGAGGCAGGGCACCCAAGGACCCTTTCCAGTAGCCACAGGGATTTTGGGATTCCTATCAGTATTCAAGAGGAGTCAGGCATCGTCACCTTTTGAAGCAATGAACTCCGCGTGCCTCTCGAGGTGTCAGCGCGATGTGAGGCATTCTGTCAAAATGAGGCAGGGACCTAGGGCTTTCTCTAAGGTCTCCACAGGGGATTCAGACATCCCTTCATGTTGTGAGAAGAAAGACGAGCCTGTATTCAAGCCACTGCAAGGAAATCCGGCCTCCTTTCAAGTTAGGGCTTCTCGCTGTATATTCCCCTTGAGGCAGCAAACTCGGGGTAGCTCCCACATACCTATTGCTGAGAGAAGCCTCCTCCTGAGGTGCTTCTGGGAAGTTGGCATACGTCTTGAGCCTAAGCCAGGGAATCAGCTCGAATCTCGAGACGATTTGGGGTACACGGAGCATTCCTCGAGTTGCTGTGCTGAAGTTGGTGTTCCTCTAGACTTGGGACAGTGTTCTCGGGGCATCTCTGGAGTTGCCTGAAGGAAGTCGAGCCACCGGTCGTGTTGAATGGGGAACGGGGAATGGCTCTGGAGTCAATGCAGGGGAATCGGGCCTCATCTCGAGTTGATTTGGGGCACATGGAGCTGCTTTGCGTTGCTGGGGTGACCTCAGGGTCCGTCTAGACTGGTGACAGTGTTCTTGGGGACTGTCTCGAGATCCATTAAGCAAGTCGAAGCTCCTGACTTGTTTGAATGGGATCACGGAATAGCTCTGCATGCACTGCAGGGGAATGGGGCCTCATCTCGCCTCTAGGGGGAAGTCTCATGGTTTTTCTCGAGTTGCGGTGGGGACCTGGGGTATGTTCTCGACTTAGGGCGGGGATGGCCCTTCAAAACACGAGTTTCTTCAGTGACGTCAGGACTCCTGTCTAGTAACGAGGGACACCTCAGGAATCTCTTCGAGGCTTGGCAGGGCAAAAGGGACGCTTCTCGAGGTGAGGCAGGGCACCCAACGACCCTTTCCAGTAGCCACAGGGATTTTGGGATTCCTATCAGTATTCAAGAGGAGTCAGGCATCGTCACCTTTTGAAGCAATGAACTCCGCGTGCCTCTCGAGGTGTCAGCGGGATGTGAGGCATTCCGTCAAAATGAGGCAGGGACCTAGGGCTTTCTCTAAGGTCTCCACAGGGGATTCAGACATCCATTCATGTTGTGAGATGAAAGACGAGCCTGTATTCAAGCCACTGCAAGGAAATCCGGCCTCCTTTCAAGTTAGGGCTTCTCGCTGTATATTCCCCTTGAGGCAGCAAACTCGGGGTCCCTCCCACATACCTATTGCTGAGAGAAGCCTCCTCCTGAGGTGCTTCTGTTAAGTTGGCATACGTCTTGAGCCTAAGCCAGGGAATCAGCTCGCACCTCGAGACGATTTGGGGTACACGGAGCATTCCTCGAGTTGCTGTGCTGAAGTTGGTGTTCCTCTAGACTTGGGACAGTGTTCTCGGGGCATCTCTGGAGTTGCCTGAAGGAAGTCGAGCCACCGGTCGTGTTGAATGGGGAACGGGGAATGGCTCTGGAGTCAATGCAGGGGAATCGGGCCTCATCTCGAGTTGATTTGGGGCACATGGAGCTGCTTTGCGTTGCTGGGGTGAACTCAGGGTCCGTCTAGACTGGTGACAGTGTTCTTGGGGACTGTCTCGAGATCCATTAAGAAGTCGAAGCTCCTGACTTGTTTGAATGGGATCACGGAATAGCTCTGCATGCACTGCAGGGGAATGGGGCCTCATGTCGCCTCTAGGGGGAAGTCTCATGGTTTTTCTCGAGTTGCGGCGGGGACCTGGGGTATGTTCTCGACTTACGGCGGGGATGGCCCTTCAAAACACGAGTTTCTTCAGTGACGTCAGGACTCCTGTCTAGTAACGAGGGACACCTCAGGAATCTCTTCGAGGCTTGGCAGGGCAAAAGGGACGCTTCTCTAGGTGAGGCAGGGCACCCAAGGACCCTTTCCAGTAGCCACAGGGATTTTGGGATTCCTATCAGTATTCAAGAGGAGTCAGGCATCGTCACCTTTTGAAGCAATGAACTCCGCGTGCCTCTCGAGGTGTCAGCGGGATGTGAGGCATTCCGTCAAAATGAGGCAGGGACCTAGGGCTTTCTCTAAGGTCTCCACAGGGGATTCAGACATCCCTTCATGTTGTGAGATGAAAGACGAGCCTGTATTCAAGCCACTGCAAGGAAATCCGGCCTCCTTTCAAGTTAGGGCTTCTCGCTGTATATTCCCCTTGAGGCAGCAAACTCGGGGTCCCTCCCACATACCTATTGCTGAGAGAAGCCTCCTCCTGAGGTGCTTCTGGGAAGTTGGCATACGTCTTGAGCCTAAGCCAGGGAATCAGCTCTCATCTCGAGACGATTTGGGGTACACGGAGCATTCCTCGAGTTGCTCTGCTGAAGTTGGTGTTCCTCTAGACTTGGGACAGTGTTCTCGGGGCATCTCTGGAGTTGCCTGAAGGAAGTCGAGCCACCGGTCGTGTTGAATGGGGAACGGGGAATGGCTCTGGAGTCAATGCAGGGGAATCGGGCCTCATCTCGATTTGATTTGGGGCACATTGAGCTGCTTTGCGTTGCTGGGGTGACCTCAGGGTCCGTCTAGACTGGTGACAGTGTTCTTGGGGACTGTCTCGAGATCCATTAAGAAGTCGAAGCTCCTGACTTGTTTGAATGGGATCACGGAATAGCTCTGCATGCACTGCAGGGGAATGGGGCCTCATCTCGCCTCTAGGGGGAAGTCTCATGGTTTTTCTCGAGTTGCGGCGGGGACCTGGGGTATGTTCTCGACTTACGGCGGGGATGGCCCTTCAAAACACGAGTTTCTTCAGTGACGTCAGGACTCCTGTCTAGTAACGAGGGACACCTCAGGAATCTCTTCGAGGCTTGGTAGGGCAAAAGGGACGCTTCTCGAGGTGAGGCAGGGCACCCAAGGACCCTTTCCAGTAGCCACAGGGATTTGGGGATTCCTATCAGTATTCAAGAGGAGTCAGGCATCGTCACCTTTTGAAGCAATGAACTCCGCGTGCCTCTCGAGGTGTCAGCGGGATGTGAGGCATTCCGTCAAAATGAGGCAGGGACCTAGGGCTTTCTCTAAAGTCTCCACAGGGGATTCAGACATCCCTTCATGTTGTGAGATGAAAGACGAGCCTGTATTCAAGCCACTGCAAGGAAATCCGGCCTCCTTTCAAGTTAGGGCTTCTCGCTGTATATTCCCCTTGAGGCAGCAAACTCGGGGTCCCTCCCACATACCTATTGCTGAGAGAAGCCTCCTCCTGAGGTGCTTCTGGGAAGTTGGCATACGTCTTGAGCCTAAGCCAGGGAATCAGCTCGCATCTCGAGATGATTTGGGGTACACGGAGCATTCCTCGAGTTGCTGTGCTGAAGTTGGTGTTCCTCTAGACTTGGGACAGTGTTCTCGGGGCATCTCTGGAGTTGCCTGAAGGAAGTCGAGCCACCGGTCGTGTTGAATGGGGAACGGGGAATGGCTCTGGAGTCAATGCAGGGGAATCGGGCCTCATCTCGAGTTGATTTGGGGCACATGGAGCTGCTTTGCGTTGCTGGGGTGACCTCAGGGTCCGTCTAGACTGGTGACAGTGTTCTTGGGGACTGTCTCGAGATCCATTAAGCAAGTCGAAGCTCCTGACTTGTTTGAATGGGATCACGGAATAGCTCTGCATGCACTGGAGGGGAATGGGGCCTCATCTCGCCTCTAGGGGGAAGTCTCATGGTTTTTCTCGAGTTGCGGCGGGGACCTGGGGTATGTTCTCGACTTACGGCGGGGATGGCCCTTCAAAACACGAGTTTCTTCAGTGACGTCAGGACTCCTGTCTAGTAACGAGGGACACCTCAGGAATCTCTTCGAGGCTTGGCAGGGCAAAAGGGACGCTTCTCGAGGTGAGGCAGGGCACCCAAGGACCCTTTCCAGTAGCCACAGGGATTTTGGGATTCCTATCAGTATTCAAGAGGAGTCAGGCATCGTCACCTTTTGAAGCAATGAACTCCGCGTGCCTCTCGAGGTGTCAGCGGGATGTGAGGCATTCCGTCAAAATGAGGCAGGGACCTAGGGCTTTCTCTAAGGTCTCCACAGGGGATTCAGACATCCCTTCATGTTGTGAGATGAAAGACGAGCCTGTATTCAAGCCACTGCAAGGAAATCCGGCCTCCTTTCAAGTTAGGGCTTCTCGCTGTATATTCCCCTTGAGGCAGCAAACTCGGGGTCCCTCCCACATACCTATTGCTGAGAGAAGCCTCCTCCTGAGGTGCTTCTGGGAAGTTGGCATACGTCTTGAGCCTAAGCCAGGGAATCAGCTCTCATCTCGAGACGATTTGGGGTACACGGAGCATTCCTCCAGTTGCTGTGCTGAAGTTGGTGTTCCTCTAGACTTGGGACAGTGTTCTCGGGGCATCTCTGGAGTTGCCTGAAGGAAGTCGAGCCACCGGTCGTGTTGAATGGGGAACGGGGAATGGCTCTGGAGTCAATGCAGGGGAATCGGGCCTCATCTCGAGTTGATTTGGGGCACATGGAGCTGCTTTGCGTTGCTGGGGTGACCTCAGGGTCCGTCTAGACTGGTGACAGTGTTCTTGGGGACTGTCTCGAGATCCATTAAGAAGTCGAAGCTCCTGACTTGTTTGAATGGGATCACGGAATAGCTCTGCATGCACTGCAGGGGAATGGGGCCTCATCTCGCCTCTAGGGGGAAGTCTCATGGTTTTTCTCGAGTTGTGGCGGGGACCTGGGGTATGTTCTCGACTTACGGCGGGGATGGCCCTTCAAAACACGAGTTTCTTCAGTGACGACAGGACTCCTGTCTAGTAACGAGGGACACCTCAGGAATCTCTTCGAGGCTTGGCAGGGCAAAAGGGACGCTTCTCGAGGTGAGGCAGGGCACCCAAGGACCCTTTCCAGTAGCCACAGGGATTTTGGGATTCCTATCAGTATTCAAGAGGAGTCAGGCATCGTCACCTTTTGAAGCAATGAACTCCGCGTGCCTCTCGAGGTGTCAGCGGGATGTGAGGCATTCCGTCAAAATGAGGCAGGGACCTAGGGCTTTCTCTAAGGTCTCCACAGGGGATTCAGACATCCCTTCATGTTGTGAGATGAAAGACGAGCCTGTATTCAAGCCACTGCAAGGAAATCCGGCCTCCTTTCAAGTTAGGGCTTCTCGCTGTATATTCCCCTTGAGGCAGCAAACTCGGGGTCCCTCCCACATACCTATTGCTGAGAGAAGCCTCCTCCTGAGGTGCTTCTGGGAAGTTGGCATACGTCTTGAGCCTAAGCCAGGGAATCAGCTCTCATCTCGAGACGATTTGGGGTACACGGAGCATTCCTCCAGTTGCTGTGCTGAAGTTGGTGTTCCTCTAGACTTGGGACAGTGTTCTCGGGGCATCTCTGGAGTTGCCTGAAGGAAGTCGAGCCACCGGTCCTGTTGAATGGGGAACGGGGAATGGCTCTGGAGTCAATGCAGGGGAATCGGGCCTCATCTCGAGTTGATTTGGGGCACATGGAGCTACTTTGCGTTGCTGGGATGACCTCAGGGTCCGTCTAGACTGGTGACAGTGTTCTTGGGGACTGTCTCGAGATCCATTAAGCAAGTCGAAGCTCCTGACTTGTTTGAATGGGATCACGGAATAGCTCTGCATGCACTGCAGGGGAATGGGGCCTCATCTCACCTCTAGGGGGAAGTCTCATGGTTTTTCTCGAGTTGCGGCGGGGACCTGGGGTATGTTCTCGACTTACGGCGGGGATGGCCCTTCAAAACACGAGTTTCTTCAGTGACGTCAGGACTCCTGTCTAGTAACGAGGGACACCTCAGGAATCTCTTCGAGGCTTGGCAGGGCAAAAGGGACGCTTCTCGAGGTGAGGCAGGGCACCCAAGGACCCTTTCCAGTAGCCACAGGGATTTTGGGATTCCTATCAGTATTCAAGAGGAGTCAGGCATCGTCACCTTTTGAAGCAATGAACTCCGCGTGCCTCTCGAGGTGTCAGCGGGATGTGAGGCATTCCGTCAAAATGAGGCAGGGACCTAGGGCTTTCTCTAAGGTCTCCACAGGGGATTCAGACATCCCTTCATGTTGTGAGATGAAAGACGAGCCTGTATTCAAGCCACTGCAAGGAAATCCGGCCTCCTTTCAAGTTAGGGCTTCTCGCTGTATATTCCCCTTGAGGCAGCAAACTCGGGGTCCCTCCCACATACCTATTGCTGAGAGAAGCCTCCTCCTGAGGTGCTTCTGGGAAGTTGGCATACGTCTTGAGCCTAAGCCAGGGAATCAGCTCTCATCTCGAGACGATTTGGGGTACACGGAGCATTCCTCGAGTTGCTGTGCTGAAGTTGGTGTTCCTCTAGACTTGGGACAGTGTTCTCGGGGCATTTCTGGAGTTGCCTGAAGGAAGTCGAGCCACCGGTCGTGTTGAATGGGGAACGGGGAATGGCTCTGGAGTCAATGCAGGGGAATCGGGCCTCATCTCGAGTTGATTTGGGGCACATGGAGCTGCTTTGCGTTGCTGGGGTGACCTCAGGGTCCGTCTAGACTGGTGACAGTGTTCTTGGGGACTGTCTCGAGATCCATTAAGCAAGTCGAAGCTCCTGACTTGTTTGAATGGGATCACGGAATAGCTCTGCATGCACTGCAGGGGAATGGGGCCTCATCTCGCCTCTAGGGGGAAGTCTCATGGTTTTTCTCGAGTTGCGGCGGGGACCTGGGGTATGTTCTCGACTTACGGCGGGGATGGCCCTTCAAAACACGAGTTTCTTCAGTGACGTCAGGACTCCTGTCTAGTAACGAGGGACACCTCAGGAATCTCTTCGAGGCTTGGCAGGGCAAAAGGGACGCTTCTCGAGGTGAGGCAGGGCACCCAAGGACCCTTTCCAGTAGCCACAGGGATTTTGGGATTCCTATCAGTATTCAAGAGGAGTCAGGCATCGTCACCTTTTGAAGCAATGAACTCCGCGTGCCTCTCGAGGTGTCAGCGGGATGTGAGGCATTCCGTCAAAATGAGGCAGGGACCTAGGGCTTTCTCTAAGGTCTCCACAGGGGATTCAGACATCCCTTCATGTTGTGAGATGAAAGACGAGCCTGTATTCAAGCCACTGCAAGGAAATCCGGCCTCCTTTCAAGTTAGGGCTTCTCGCTGTATATTCCCCTTGAGGCAGCAAACTCGGGGTCCCTCCCACATACCTATTGCTGAGAGAAGCCTCCTCCTGAGGTGCTTCTGGGAAGTTGGCATACGTCTTGAGCCTAAGCCAGGGAATCAGCTCGCATCTCGAGACGATTTGGGGTACACGGAGCATTCCTCGAGTTGCTGTGCTGAAGTTGGTGTTCCTCTAGACTTGGGACAGTGTTCTCGGGGCATTTCTGGAGTTGCCTGAAGGAAGTCGAGCCACCGGTCGTGTTGAATGGGGAACGGGGAATGGCTCTGGAGTCAATGCAGGGGAATCGGGCCTCATCTCGAGTTGATTTGGGGCACATGGAGCTGCTTTGCGTTGCTGGGGTGACCTCAGGGTCCGTCTAGACTGGTGACAGTGTTCTTGGGGACTGTCTCGAGATCCATTAAGCAAGTCGAAGCTCCTGACTTGTTTGAATGGGATCACGGAATAGCTCTGCATGCACTGCAGGGGAATGGGGCCTCATCTCGCCTCTAGGGGGAAGTCTCATGGTTTTTCTCGAGTTGCGGCGGGGACCTGGGGTATGTTCTCGACTTACGGCGGGGATGGCCCTTCAAAACACGAGTTTCTTCAGTGACGTCAGGACTCCTGTCTAGTAACGAGGGACACCTCAGGAATCTCTTCGAGGCTTGGCAGGGCAAAAGGGACGCTTCTCGAGGTGAGGCAGGGCACCCAAGGACCCTTTCCAGTAGCCACAGGGATTTTGGGATTCCTATCAGTATTCAAGAGGAGTCAGGCATCGTCACCTTTTGAAGCAATGAACTCCGCGTGCCTCTCGAGGTGTCAGCGGGATGTGAGGCATTCCGTCAAAATGAGGCAGGGACCTAGGGCTTTCTCTAAGGTCTCCACAGGGGATTCAGACATCCCTTCATGTTGTGAGATGAAAGACGAGCCTGTATTCAAGCCACTGCAAGGAAATCCGGCCTCCTTTCAAGTTAGGGCTTCTCGCTGTATATTCCCCTTGAGGCAGCAAACTCGGGGTCCCTCCCACATACCTATTGCTGAGAGAAGCCTCCTCCTGAGGTGCTTCTGGGAAGTTGGCATACGTCTTGAGCCTAAGCCAGGGAATCAGCTCTCATCTCGAGACGATTTGGGGTACACGGAGCATTCCTCGAGTTGCTGTGCTGAAGTTGGTGTTCCTCTAGACTTGGGACAGTGTTCTCGGGGCATCTCTGGAGTTGCCTGAAGGAAGTCGAGCCACCGGTCGTGTTGAATGGGGAACGGGGAATGGCTCTGGAGTCAATGCAGGGGAATCGGGCCTCATCTCGAGTTGATTTGGGGCACATGGAGCTGCTTTGCGTTGCTGGGGTGACCTCAGGGTCCGTCTAGACTGGTGACAGTGTTCTTGGGGACTGTCTCGAGATCCATTAAGAAGTCGAAGCTCCTGACTTGTTTGAATGGGATCACGGAATAGCTCTGCATGCACTGCAGGGGAATGGGGCCTCATCTCGCCTCTAGGGGGAAGTCTCATGGTTTTTCTCGAGTTGCGGCGGGGACCTGGGGTATGTTCTCGACTTACGGCGGGGATGGCCCTTCAAAACACGAGTTTCTTCAGTGACGTCAGGACTCCTGTCTAGTAACGAGGGACACCTCAGGAATCTCTTCGAGGCTTGGCAGGGCAAAAGGGACGCTTCTCGAGGTGAGGCAGGGCACCCAAGGACCCTTTCCAGTAGCCACAGGGATTTGGGGATTCCTATCAGTATTCAAGAGGAGTCAGGCATCGTCACCTTTTGAAGCAATGAACTCCGCGTGCCTCTCGAGGTGTCAGCGCGATGTGAGGCATTCTGTCAAAATGAGGCAGGGACCTAGGGCTTTCTCTAAGGTCTCCACAGGGGATTCAGACATCCCTTCATGTTGTGAGATGAAAGACGAGCCTGTATTCAAGCCACTGCAAGGAAATCCGGCCTCCTTTCAAGTTAGGGCTTCTCGCTGTATATTCCCCTTGAGGCAGCAAACTCGGGGTCCCTCCCACATACCTATTGCTGAGAGAAGCCTCCTCCTGAGGTGCTTCTGGGAAGTTGGCATACGTCTTGAGCCTAAGCCAGGGAATCAGCTCGCATCTCGAGACGGTTTGGGGTACACGGAGCATTCCTCGAGTTGCTGTGCTGAAGTTGGTGTTCCTCTAGACTTGGGACAGTGTTCTCGGGGCATCTCTGGAGTTGCCTGAAGGAAGTCGAGCCACCGGTCGTGTTGAATGGGGAACGGGGAATGGCTCTGGAGTCAATGCAGGGGAATCGGGCCTCATCTCGAGTTGATTTGGGGCACATGGAGCTGCTTTGCGTTGCTGGGGTGACCTCAGGGTCCGTCTAGACTGGTGACAGTGTTCTTGCGGACTGTCTCGAGATCCATTAAGCAAGTCGAAGCTCCTGACTTGTTTGAATGGGATCACGGAATAGCTCTGCATGCACTGCAGGGGAATGGGGCCTCATCTCGCCTCTAGGGGGAAGTCTCATGGTTTTTCTCGAGTTGCGGCGGGGACCTGGGTATGTTCTCGACTTACGGCGGGGATGGCCCTTCAAAACACGAGTTTCTTCAGTGACGTCAGGACTCCTGTCTAGTAACGAGGGACACCTCAGGAATCTCTTCGAGGCTTGGCAGGGCAAAAGGGACGCTTCTCGAGGTGAGGCAGGGCACCCAAGGACCCTTTCCAGTAGCCACAGGGATTTGGGGATTCCTATCAGTATTCAAGAGGAGTCAGGCATCGTCACCTTTTGAAGCAATGAACTCCGCGTGCCTCTCGAGGTGTCAGCGGGATGTGAGGCATTCCGTCAAAATGAGGCAGGGACCTAGGGCTTTCTCTAAGGTCTCCACAGGGGATTCAGACATCCATTCATGTTGTGAGATGAAAGACGAGCCTGTATTCAAGCCACTGCAAGGAAATCCGGCCTCCTTTCAAGTTAGGGCTTCTCGCTGTATATTCCCCTTGAGGCAGCAAACTCGGGGTCCCTCCCACATACCTATTGCTGAGAGAAGCCTCCTCCTGAGGTGCTTCTGGGAAGTTGGCATACGTCTTGAGCCTAAGCCAGGGAATCAGCTCGCACCTCGAGACGATTTGGGGTACACGGAGCATTCCTCGAGTTGCTGTGCTGAAGTTGGTGTTCCTCTAGACTTGGGACAGTGTTCTCGGGGCATCTCTGGAGTTGCCTGAAGGAAGTCGAGCCACCGGTCGTGTTGAATGGGGAACGGGGAATGGCTCTGGAGTCAATGCAGGGGAATCGGGCCTCATCTCGAGTTGATTTGGGGCACATGGAGCTGCTTTGCGTTGCTGGGGTGACCTCAGGGTCCGTCTAGACTGGTGACAGTGTTCTTGGGGACTGTCTCGAGATCCATTAAGAAGTCGAAGCTCCTGACTTGTTTGAATGGGATCACGGAATAGCTCTGCATGCACTGCAGGGGAATGGGGCCTCATCTCGCCTCTAGGGGGAAGTCTCATGGTTTTTCTCGAGTTGCGGCGGGGACCTGGGGTATGTTCTCGACTTACGGCGGGGATGGCCCTTCAAAACACGAGTTTCTTCAGTGACGTCAGGACTCCTGTCTAGTAACGAGGGACACCTCAGGAATCTCTTCGAGGCTTGGCAGGGCAAAAGGGACGCTTCTCGAGGTGAGGCAGGGCACCCAAGGACCCTTTCCAGTAGCCACAGGGATTTTGGGATTCCTATCAGTATTCAAGAGGAGTCAGGCATCGTCACCTTTTGAAGCAATGAACTCCGCGTGCCTCTCGAGGTGTCAGCGGGATGTGAGGCATTCCTTAAAAATGAGGCAGGGACCTAGGGCTTTCTCTAAGGTCTCCACAGGGGATTCAGACATCCCTTCATATTGTGAGATGAAAGACGAGCCTGTATTCAAGCCACTGCAAGGAAATCCGGCCTCCTTTCAAGTTAGGGCTTCTCGCTGTATATTCCCCTTGAGGCAGCAAACTCGGGGTCCCTCCCACATACCTATTGCTGAGAGAAGCCTCCTCCTGAGGTGCTTCTGGGAAGTTGGCATACGTCTTGAGCCTAAGCCAGGGAATCAGCTCGCATCTCGAGACGATTTGGGGTACACGGAGCATTCCTCGAGTTGCTGTGCTGAAGTTGGTGTTCCTCTAGACTTGGGACAGTGTTCTCGGGGCATCTCTGGAGTTGCCTGAAGGAAGTCGAGCCACCGGTCGTGTTGAATGGGGAACGGGGAATGGCTCTGGAGTCAATGCAGGGGAATCGGGCCTCATCTCGAGTTGATTTGGGGCACATGGAGCTGCTTTGCGTTGCTGGGGTGACCTCAGGGTCCGTCTAGACTGGTGACAGTGTTCTTGGGGACTGTCTCGAGATCCATTAAGAAGTCGAAGCTCCTGACTTGTTTGAATGGGATCACGGAATAGCTCTGCATGCACTGCAGGGGAATGGGGCCTCATCTCGCCTCTAGGGGGAAGTCTCATGGTTTTTCTCGAGTTGCGGCGGGGACCTGGGGTATGTTCTCGACTTACGGCGGGGATGGCCCTTCAAAACACGAGTTTCTTCAGTGACGTCAGGACTCCTGTCTAGTAACGAGGGACACCTCAGGAATCTCTTCGAGGCTTGGCAGGGCAAAAGGGACGCTTCTCGAGGTGAGGCAGGGCACCCAAGGACCCTTTCCAGTAGCCACAGGGATTTTGGGATTCCTATCAGTATTCAAGAGGAGTCAGGCATCGTCACCTTTTGAAGCAATGAACTCCGCGTGCCTCTCGAGGTGTCAGCGCGATGTGAGGCATTCCGTCAAAATGAGGCAGGGACCTAGGGCTTTCTCTAAGGTCTCCACAGGGGATTCAGACATCCCTTCATGTTGTGAGATGAAAGACGAGCCTGTATTCAAGCCACTGCAAGGAAATCCGGCCTCCTTTCAAGTTAGGGCTTCTCGCTGTATATTCCCCTTGAGGCAGCAAACTCGGGGTCCCTCCCACATACCTATTGCTGAGAGAAGCCTCCTCCTGAGGTGCTTCTGGGAAGTTGGCATACGTCTTGAGCCTAAGCCAGGGAATCAGCTCGCACCTCGAGACGATTTGGGGTACACGGAGCATTCCTCGAGTTGCTGTGCTGAAGTTGGTGTTCCTCTAGACTTGGGACAGTGTTCTCGGGGCATCTCTGGAGTTGCCTGAAGGAAGTCGAGCCACCGGTCTTGTTGAATGGGGAACGGGGAATGGCTCTGGAGTCAATGCAGGGGAATCGGGCCTCATCTCGAGTTGATTTGGGGCACATGGAGCTGCTTTGCGTTGCTGGGGTGACCTCAGGGTCCGTCTAGACTGGTGACAGTGTTCTTGGGGACTGTCTCGAGATCCATTAAGAAGTCGAAGCTCCTGACTTGTTTGAATGGGATCACGGAATAGCTCTGCATGCACTGCAGGGGAATGGGGCCTCATCTCGCCTCTAGGGGGAAGTCTCATGGTTTTTCTCGAGTTGCGGCGGGGACCTGGGTATGTTCTCGACTTACGGCGGGGATGGCCCTTCAAAACACGAGTTTCTTCAGTGACGTCAGGACTCCTGTCTAGTAACGAGGGACACCTCAGGAATCTCTTCGAGGCTTGGCAGGGCAAAAGGGACGCTTCTCGAGGTGAGGCAGGGCACCCAAGGACCCTTTCCAGTAGCCACAGGGATTTTGGGATTCCTATCAGTATTCAAGAGGAGTCAGGCATCGTCACCTTTTGAAGCAATGAACTCCGCGTGCCTCTCGAGGTGTCAGCGCGATGTGAGGCATTCCGTCAAAATGAGGCAGGGACCTAGGGCTTTCTCTAAGGTCTCCACAGGGGATTCAGACATCCATTCATGTTGTGAGATGAAAGACGAGCCTGTATTCAAGCCACTGCAAGGAAATCCGGCCTCCTTTCAAGTTAGGGCTTCTCGCTGTATATTCCCCTTGAGGCAGCAAACTCGGGGTCCCTCCCACATACCTATTGCTGAGAGAAGCCTCCTCCTGAGGTGCTTCTGGGAAGTTGGCATACGTCTTGAGCCTAAGCCAGGGAATCAGCTCGCATCTCGAGACGATTTGGGGTACACGGAGCATTCCTCGAGTTGCTGTGCTGAAGTTGGTGTTCCTCTAGACTTGGGACAGTGTTCTCGGGGCATCTCTGGAGTTGCCTGAAGGAAGTCGAGCCACCGGTCGTGTTGAATGGGGAACGGGGAATGGCTCTGGAGTCAATGCAGGGGAATCGGGCCTCATCTCGAGTTGATTTGGGGCACATGGAGCTGCTTTGCGTTGCTGGGGTGACCTCAGGGTCCGTCTAGACTGGTGACAGTGTTCTTGGGGACTGTCTCGAGATCCATTAAGCAAGTCGAAGCTCCTGACTTGTTTGAATGGGATCACGGAATAGCTCTGCATGCACTGCAGGGGAATGGGGCCTCATCTCGCCTCTAGGGGGAAGTCTCATGGTTTTTCTCGAGTTGCGGCGGGGACCTGGGGTATGTTCTCGACTTACGGCGGGGATGGCCCTTCAAAACACGAGTTTCTTCAGTGACGTCAGGACTCCTGTCTAGTAACGAGGGACACCTCAGGAATCTCTTCGAGGCTTGGCAGGGCAAAAGGGACGCTTCTCGAGGTGAGGCAGGGCACCCAAGGACCCTTTCCAGTAGCCACAGGGATTTTGGGATTCCTATCAGTATTCAAGAGGAGTCAGGCATCGTCACCTTTTGAAGCAATGAACTCCGCGTGCCTCTCGAGGTGTCAGCGGGATGTGAGGCATTCCGTCAAAATGAGGCAGGGACCTAGGGCTTTCTCTAAGGTCTCCACAGGGGATTCAGACATCCATTCATGTTGTGAGATGAAAGACGAGCCTGTATTCAAGCCACTGCAAGGAAATCCGGCCTCCTTTCAAGTTAGGGCTTCTCGCTGTATATTCCCCTTGAGGCAGCAAACTCGGGGTCCCTCCCACATACCTATTGCTGAGAGAAGCCTCCTCCTGAGGTGCTTCTGGGAAGTTGGCATACGTCTTGAGCCTAAGCCAGGGATTCAGCTCTCATCTCGAGACGATTTGGGGTACACGGAGCATTCCTCGAGTTGCTGTGCTGAAGTTGGTGTTCCTCTAGACTTGGGACAGTGTTCTCGGGGCATCTCTGGAGTTGCCTGAAGGAAGTCGAGCCACCGGTCGTGTTGAATGGGGAACGGGGAATGGCTCTGGAGTCAATGCAGGGGAATCGGGCCTCATCTCGAGTTGATTTGGGGCACATGGAGCTGCTTTGCGTTGCTGGGGTGACCTCAGGGTCCGTCTAGACTGGTGACAGTGTTCTTGGGGACTGTCTCGAGATCCATTAAGCAAGTCGAAGCTCCTGACTTGTTTGAATGGGATCACGGAATAGCTCTGCATGCACTGCAGGGGAATGGGGCCTCATCTCGCCTCTAGGGGGAAGTCTCATGGTTTTTCTCGAGTTGCGGCGGGGACCTGGGGTATGTTCTCGACTTACGGCGGGGATGGCCCTTTAAAACACGAGTTTCTTCAGTGACGTCAGGACTCCTGTCTAGTAACGAGGGACACCTCAGGAATCTCTTCGAGGCTTGGCAGGGCAAAAGGGACGCTTCTCGAGGTGAGGCAGGGCACCCAAGGACCCTTTCCAGTAGCCACAGGGATTTTGGGATTCCTATCAGTATTCAAGAGGAGTCAGGCATCGTCACCTTTTGAAGCAATGAACTCCGCGTGCCTCTCGAGGTGTCAGCGCGATGTGAGGCATTCCGTCAAAATGAGGCAGGGACCTAGGGCTTTCTCTAAGGTCTCCACAGGGGATTCAGACATCCCTTCATGTTGTGAGATGAAAGACGAGCCTGTATTCAAGCCACTGCAAGGAAATCCGGCCTCCTTTCAAGTTAGGGCTTCTCGCTGTATATTCCCCTTGAGGCAGCAAACTCGGGGTCCCTCCCACATACCTATTGCTGAGAGAAGCCTCCTCCTGAGGTGCTTCTGGGAAGTTGGCATACGTCTTGAGCCTAAGCCAGGGAATCAGCTCTCATCTCGAGACGATTTGGGGTACACGGAGCATTCCTCGAGTTGCTGTGCTGAAGTTGGTGTTCCTCTAGACTTGGGACAGTGTTCTCGGGGCATCTCTGGAGTTGCCTGAAGGAAGTCGAGCCACCGGTCGTGTTGAATGGGGAACGGGGAATGGCTCTGGAGTCAATGCAGGGGAATCGGGCCTCATCTCGATTTGATTTGGGGCACATGGAGCTGCTTTGCGTTGCTGGGGTGACCTCAGGGTCCGTCTAGACTGGTGACAGTGTTCTTGGGGACTGTCTCGAGATCCATTAAGCAAGTCGAAGCTCCTGACTTGTTTGAATGGGATCACGGAATAGCTCTGCATGCACTGCAGGGGAATGGGGCCTCATCTCGCCTCTAGGGGGAAGTCTCATGGTTTTTCTCGAGTTGCGGCGGGGACTTGGGGTATGTTCTCGACTTACGGCGGGGATGGCCCTTCAAAACACGAGTTTCTTCAGTGACGTCAGGACTCCTGTCTAGTAACGAGGGACACCTCAGGAATCTCTTCGAGGCTTGGCAGGGCAAAAGGGACGCTTCTCGAGGTGAGGCAGGGCACCCAAGGACCCTTTCCAGTAGCCACAGGGATTTTGGGATTCCTATCAGTATTCAAGAAGAGTCAGGCATCGTCACCTTTTGAAGCAATGAACTCCGCGTGCCTCTCGAGGTGTCAGCGGGATGTGAGGCATTCCGTCAAAATGAGGCAGGGACCTAGGGCTTTCTCTAAGGTCTCCACAGGGGATTCAGACATCCCTTCATGTTGTGAGATGAAAGACGAGCCTGTATTCAAGCCACTGCAAGGAAATCCGGACTCTTTTCAAGTTAGGGCTTCTCGCTGTATATTCCCCTTGAGGCAGCAAACTCGGGGTCCCTCCCACATACCTATTGCTGAGAGAAGCCTCCTCCTGAGGTACTTCTGGGAAGTTGGCATACGTCTTGAGCCTAAGCCAGGGAATCAGCTCGCACCTCGAGACGATTTGGGGTACACGGAGCATTCCTCGAGTTGCTGTGCTGAAGTTGGTGTTCCTCTAGACTTGGGACAGTGTTCTCGGGGCATCTCTGGAGTTGCCTGAAGGAAGTCGAGCCACCGGTCGTGTTGAATGGGGAACGGGGAATGGCTCTGGAGTCAATGCAGGGGAATCGGGCCTCATCTCGAGTTGATTTGGGGCACATGGAGCTGCTTTGCGTTGCTGGGGTGACCTCAGGGTCCGTCTAGACTGGTGACAGTGTTCTTGGGGACTGTCTCGAGATCCATTAAGCAAGTCGAAGCTCCTGACTTGTTTGAATGGGATCACGGAATAGCTCTGCATGCACTGCAGGGGAATGGGGCCTCATCTCGCCTCTAGGGGGAAGTCTCATGGTTTTTCTCGAGTTGCGGCGGGGACCTGGGGTATGTTCTCGACTTACGGCGGGGATGGCCCTTCAAAACACGAGTTTCTTCAGTGACGTCAGGACTCCTGTCTAGTAACGAGGGACACCTCAGGAATCTCTTCGAGGCTTGGCAGGGCAAAAGGGACGCTTCTCGAGGTGAGGCAGGGCACCCAAGGACCCTTTCCAGTAGCCACAGGGATTTTGGGATTCCTATCAGTATTCAAGAGGAGTCAGGCATCGTCACCTTTTGAAGCAATGAACTCCGCGTGCCTCTCGAGGTGTCAGCGGGATGTGAGGCATTCCGTCAAAATGAGGCAGGGACCTAGGGCTTTCTCTAAGGTCTCCACAGGGGATTCAGACATCCCTTCATGTTGTGAGATGAAAGACGAGCCTGTATTCAAGCCACTGCAAGGAAATCCGGCCTCCTTTCAAGTTAGGGCTTCTCGCTGTATATTCCCCTTGAGGCAGCAAACTCGGGGTCCCTCCCACACACCTATTGCTGAGAGAAGCCTCCTCCTGAGGTGCTTCTGGGAAGTTGGCATACGTCTTAGGCCTAAGCCAGGGAATCAGCTCTCATCTCGAGACGATTTGGGGTACACGGAGCATTCCTCGAGTTGCTGTGCTGAAGTTGGTGTTCCTCTAGACTTGGGACAGTGTTCTCGGGGCATCTCTGGAGTTGCCTGAAGGAAGTCGAGACACCGGTCGTGTTGAATGGGGAACGGGGAATGGCTCTGGACTCAATGCAGGGGAATCGGGCCTCATCTCGAGTTGATTTGGGGCACATGGAGCTGCTTTGCGTTGCTGGGGTGACCTCAGGGTCCGTCTAGACTGGTGACAGTGTTCTTGGGGACTGTCTCGAGATCCATTAAGCAAGTCGAAGCTCCTGACTTGTTTGAATGGGATCACGGAATAGCTCTGCATGCACTGCAGGGGAATGGGGCCTCATCTCGCCTCTAGGGGGAAGTCTCATGGTTTTTCTCGAGTTGCGGCGGGGACCTGGGGTATGTTCTCGACTTACGGCGGGGATGGCCCTTCAAAACACGAGTTTCTTCAGTGACGTCAGGACTCCTGTCTAGTAACGAGGGACACCTCAGGAATCTCTTCGAGGCTTGGCAGGGCAAAAGGGACGCTTCTCGAGGTGAGGCAGGGCACCCAAGGACCCTTTCCAGTAGCCACAGGGATTTGGGGATTCCTATCAGTATTCAAGAGGAGTCAGGCATCGTCACCTTTTGAAGCAATGAACTCCGCGTGCCTCTCGAGGTGTCAGCGGGATGTGAGGCATTCCGTCAAAATGAGGCAGGGACCTAGGGCTTTCTCTAAGGTCTCCACAGGGGATTCAGACATCCCTTCATATTGTGAGATGAAAGACGAGCCTGTATTCAAGCCACTGCAAGGAAATCCGGCCTCCTTTCAAGTTAGGGCTTCTCGCTGTATATTCCCCTTGAGGCAGCAAACTCGGGGTCCCTCCCACATACCTATTGCTGAGAGAAGCCTCCTCCTGAGGTGCTTCTGGGAAGTTGGCATACGTCTTCAGCCTAAGCCAGGGAATCAGCTCGCATCTCGAGACGATTTGGGGTACACGGAGCATTCCTCGAGTTGCTGTGCTGAAGTTGGTGTTCCTCTAGACTTGGGACAGTGTTCTCGGGGCATCTCTGGAGTTGCCTGAAGGAAGTCGAGCCACCGGTCGTGTTGAATGGGGAACGGGGAATGGCTCTGGAGTCAATGCAGGGGAATCGGGCCTCATCTCGAGTTGATTTGGGGCACATGGAGCTGCTTTGCGTTGCTGGGGTGACCTCAGGGTCCGTCTAGACTGGTGACAGTGTTCTTGGGGACTGTCTCGAGATCCATTAAGAAGTCGAAGCTCCTGACTTGTTTGAATGGGATCACGGAATAGCTCTGCATGCACTGCAGGGGAATGGGGCCTCATCTCGCCTCTAGGGGGAAGTCTCATGGTTTTTCTTGAGTTGCGGCGGGGACCTGGGGTATGTTCTCGACTTACGGCGGGGATGGCCCTTCAAAACACGAGTTTCTTCAGTGACGTCAGGACTCCTGTCTAGTAACGAGGGACACCTCAGGAATCTCTTCGAGGCTTGGCAGGGCAAAAGGGACGCTTCTCGAGGTGAGGCAGGGCACCCAAGGACCCTTTCCAGGAGCCACAGGGATTTGGGGATTCCTATCAGTATTCAAGAGGAGTCAGGCATCGTCACCTTTTGAAGCAATGAACTCCGCGTGCCTCTCGAGGTGTCAGCGGGATGTGAGGCATTCCGTCAAAATGAGGCAGGGACCTAGGGCTTTCTCTAAGGTCTCCACAGGGGATTCAGACATCCCTTCATGTTGTGAGATGAAAGACGAGCCTGTATTCAAGCCACTGCAAGGAAATCCGGCCTCCTTTCAAGTTAGGGCTTCTCGCTGTATATTCCCCTTGAGGCAGCAAACTCGGGGTCCCTCCCACATACCTATTGCTGAGAGAAGCCTCCTCCTGAGGTGCTTCTGGGAAGTTGGCATACGTCTTGATCCTAAGCCAGGGAATCAGCTCGCATCTCGAGACGATTTGGGGTACACGGAGCATTCCTCGAGTTGCTGTGCTGAAGTTGGTGTTCCTCTAGACTTGGGACAGTGTTCTCGGGGCATCTCTGGAGTTGCCTGAAGGAAGTCGAGCCACCGGTCGTGTTGAATGGGGAACGGGGAATGGCTCTGGAGTCAATGCAGGGGAATCGGGCCTCATCTCGAATTGATTTGGGGCACATGGAGCTGCTTTGCGTTGCTGGGGTGACCTCAGGGTCCGTCTAGACTGGTGACAGTGTTCTTGGGGACTGTCTCGAGATCCATTAAGAAGTCGAAGCTCCTGACTTGTTTGAATGGGATCACGGAATAGCTCTGCATGCACTGCAGGGGAATGGGGCCTCATCTCCCCTCTAGGGGGAAGTCTCATGGTTTTTCTTGAGTTGCGGCGGGGACCTGGGGTATGTTCTCGACTTACGGCGGGGATGGCCCTTCAAAACACGAGTTTCTTCAGTGACGTCAGGACTCCTGTCTAGTAACGAGGGACACCTCAGGAATCTCTTCGAGGCTTGGCAGGGCAAAAGGGACGCTTCTCGAGGTGAGGCAGGGCACCCAAGGACCCTTTCCAGTAGCCACAGGGATTTGGGGATTCCTATCAGTATTCAAGAGGAGTCAGGCATCGTCACCTTTTGAAGCAATGAACTCCGCGTGCCTCTCGAGGTGTCAGCGGGATGTGAGGCATTCCGTCAAAATGAGGCAGGGACCTAGGGCTTTCTCTAAGGTCTCCACAGGGGATTCAGACATCCCTTCATGTTGTGAGATGAAAGACGAGCCTGTATTCAAGCCACTGCAAGGAAATCCGGCCTCCTTTCAAGTTAGGGCTTCTCGCTGTATATTCCCCTTGAGGCAGCAAACTCGGGGTCCCTCCCACATACCTATTGCTGAGAGAAGCCTCCTCCTGAGGTGCTTCTGGGAAGTTGGCATACGTCTTGAGCCTAAGCCAGGGAATCACCTCGCATCTCGAGACGATTTGGGGTACACGGAGCATTCCTCGAGTTGCTGTGCTGAAGTTGGTGTTCCTCTAGACTTGGGACAGTGTTCTCGGGGCATCTCTGGAGTTGCCTGAAGGAAGTCGAGCCACCGGTCGTGTTGAATGGGGAACGGGGAATGGCTCTGGAGTCAATGCAGGGGAATCGGGCCTCATCTCGAGTTGATTTGGGGCACATGGAGCTGCTTTGCGTTGCTGGGGTGACCTCAGGGTCCGTCTAGACTGGTGACAGTGTTCTTGGGGACTGTCTCGAGATCCATTAAGCAAGTCGAAGCTCCTGACTTGTTTGAATGGGATCACGGAATAGCTCTGCATGCACTGCAGGGGAATGGGGCCTCATCTCGCCTCTAGGGGGAAGTCTCATGGTTTTTCTCGAGTTGCGGCGGGGACCTGGGTATGTTCTCGACTTACGGCGGGGATGGCCCTTCAAAACACGAGTTTCTTCAGTGACGTCAGGACTCCTGTCTAGTAACGAGGGACACCTCAGGAATCTCTTCGAGGCTTGGCAGGGCAAAAGGGACGCTTCTCGAGGTGAGGCAGGGCACCCAAGGACCCTTTCCAGTAGCCACAGGGATTTTGGGATTCCTATCAGTATTCAAGAGGAGTCAGGCATCGTCACCTTTTGAAGCAATGAACTCCGCGTGCCTCTCGAGGTGTCAGCGCGATGTGAGGCATTCCGTCATAATGAGGCAGGGACCTAGGGCTTTCTCTAAGGTCTCCACAGGGGATTCAGACATCCATTCATGTTGTGAGATGAAAGACGAGCCTGTATTCAAGCCACTGCAAGGAAATCCGGCCTCCTTTCAAGTTAGGGCTTCTCGCTGTATATTCCCCTTGAGGCAGCAAACTCGGGGTCGCTCCCACATACCTATTGCTGAGAAAAGCCTCCTCCTGAGGTGCTTCTGGGAAGTTGGCATACGTCTTGAGCCTAAGCCAGGGAATCAGCTCGCACCTCGAGACGATTTGGGGTACACGGAGCATTCCTCGAGTTGCTGTGCTGAAGTTGGTGTTCTTCTAGACTTGGGACAGTGTTCTCGGGGCATCTCTGGAGTTGCCTGAAAGAAGTCGAGCCACCGGTCGTGTTGAATGGGGAACGGGGAATGGCTCTGGCGTCAATGCAGGGGAATCGGGCCTCATCTCGAGTTGATTTGGGGCACATGGAGCTGCTTTGCGTTGCTGGGGTGACCTCAGGGTCCGTCTAGACTGGTGACAGTGTTCTTGGGGACTGTCTCGAGATCCATTAAGAAGTCGAAGCTCCTGACTTGTTTGAATGGGATCACGGAATAGCTCTGCATGCACTGCAGGGGAATGGGGCCTCATCTCGCCTCTAGGGGGAAGTCTCATGGTTTTTCTCGAGTTGCGGCGGGGACCTGGGGTATGTTCTCGACTTACGGCGGGGATGGCCCTTCAAAACACGAGTTTCTTCAGTGACGTCAGGACTCCTGTCTAGTAACGAGGGACACCTCAAGAATCTCTTCGAGGCTTGGCAGGGCAAAAGGGACGCTTCTCGAGGTGAGGCAGGGCACCCAAGGACCCTTTCCAGTAGCCACAGGGATTTTGGGATTCCTATCAGTATTCAAGAGGAGTCAGGCATCGTCACCTTTTGAAGCAATGAACTCCGCGTGCCTCTCGAGGTGTCAGCGGGATGTGAGGCATTCCGTCAAAATGAGGCAGGGACCTAGGGCTTTCTCTAAGGTCTCCACAGGGGATTCAGACATCCCTTCATGTTGTGAGATGAAAGACGAGCCTGTATTCAAGCCACTGCAAGGAAATCCGGCCTCCTTTCAAGTTAGGGCTTCTCGCTGTATATTCCCCTTGAGGCAGCAAACTCGGGGTCCCTCCCACATACCTATTGCTGAGAGAAGCCTCCTCCTGAGGTGCTTCTGGGAAGTTGGCATACGTCTTGAGCCTAAGCCAGGGATTCAGCTCTCATCTCGAGACGATTTGGGGTACACGGAGCATTCCTCGAGTTGCTGTGCTGAAGTTGGTGTTCCTCTAGACTTGGGACAGTGTTCTCGGGGCATCTCTGGAGTTGCCTGAAGGAAGTCGAGCCACCGGTCGTGTTGAATGGGGAACGGGGAATGGCTCTGGAGTCAATGCAGGGGAATCGGGCCTCATCTCGAGTTGATTTGGGGCACATGGAGCTGCTTTGCGTTGCTGGGGTGACCTCAGGGTCCGTCTAGACTGGTGACAGTGTTCTTGGGGACTGTCTCGAGATCCATTAAGCAAGTCGAAGCTCCTGACTTGTTTGAATGGGATCACGGAATAGCTCTGCATGCACTGCAGGGGAATGGGGCCTCATCTCGCCTCTAGGGGGAAGTCTCATGGTTTTTCTCGAGTTGCGGCGGGGACCTGGGGTATGTTCTCGACTTACGGCGGGGATGGCCCTTCAAAACACGAGTTTCTTCAGTGACGTCAGGACTCCCTCTAGTAACGAGGGACACCTCAGGAATCTCTTCGAGGCTTGGCAGGGCAAAAGGGACGCTTCTCGAGGTGAGGCAGGGCACCCAAGGACCCTTTCCAGTAGCCACAGGGATTTTGGGATTCCTATCAGTATTCAAGAGGAGTCAGGCATCGTCACCTTTTGAAGCAATGAACTCCGCGTGCCTCTCGAGGTGTCAGCGGGATGTGAGGCATTCCGTCAAAATGAGGCAGGGACCTAGGGCTTTCTCTAAGGTCTCCACAGGGGATTCAGACATCCCTTCATATTGTGAGATGAAAGACGAGCCTGTATTCAAGCCACTGCAAGGAAATCCGGCCTCCTTTCAAGTTAGGGCTTCTCGCTGTATATTCCCCTTGAGGCAGCAAACTCGGGGTCCCTCCCACATACCTATTGCTGAGAGAAGCCTCCTCCTGAGGTGCTTCTGGGAAGTTGGCATACGTCTTGAGCCTAAGCCAGGGAATCAGCTCTCATCTCGAGACGATTTGGGGTACACGGAGCATTCCTCCAGTTGCTGTGCTGAAGTTGGTGTTCCTCTAGACTTGGGACAGTGTTCTCGGGGCATCTCTGGAGTTGCCTGAAGGAAGTCGAGCCACCGGTCGTGTTGAATGGGGAACGGGGAATGGCTCTGGAGTCAATGCAGGGGAATCGGGCCTCATCTCGAGTTGATTTGGGGCACATGGAGCTGCTTTGCGTTGCTGGGGTGACCTCAGGGTCCGTCTAGACTGGTGACAGTGTTCTTGGGGACTGTCTCGAGATCCATTAAGCAAGTCGAAGCTCCTGACTTGTTTGAATGGGATCACGGAATAGCTCTGCATGCACTGCAGGGGAATGGGGCCTCATCTCGCCTCTAGGGGGAAGTCTCATGGTTTTTCTCGAGTTGCGGCGGGGACCTGGGGTATGTTCTCGACTTACGGCGGGGATGGCCCTTCAAAACACGAGTTTCTTCAGTGACGTCAGGACTCCTGTCTAGTAACGAGGGACACCTCAGGAATCTCTTCGAGGCTTGGCAGGGCAAAAGGGACGCTTCTCGAGGTGAGGCAGGGCACCCAAGGACCCTTTCCAGTAGCCACAGGGATTTTGGGATTCCTATCAGTATTCAAGAGGAGTCAGGCATCGTCACCTTTTGAAGCAATGAACTCCGCGTGCCTCTCGAGGTGTCAGCGGGATGTGAGGCATTCCGTCAAAATGAGGCAGGGACCTAGGGCTTTCTCTAAGGTCTCCACAGGGGATTCAGACATCCCTTCATGTTGTGAGATGAAAGACGAGCCTGTATTCAAGCCACTGCAAGGAAATCCGGCCTCCTTTCAAGTTAGGGCTTCTCGCTGTATATTCCCCTTGAGGCAGCAAACTCGGGGTCCCTCCCACTTACCTATTGCTGAGAGAAGCCTCCTCCTGAGGTGCTTCTGGGAAGTTGGCATACGTCTTGAGCCTAAGCCAGGGAATCAGCTCGCATCTCGAGACGATTTGGGGTACACGGAGCATTCCTCGAGTTGCTGTGCTGAAGTTGGTGTTCCTCTAGACTTGGGACAGTGTTCTCGGGGCATCTCTGGAGTTGCCTGAAGGAAGTCGAGCCACCGGTCGTGTTGAATGGGCAACGGGGAATGGCTCTGGAGTCAATGCAGGGGAATCGGGCCTCATCTCGAGTTGATTTGGGGCTCATGGAGCTGCTTTGCGTTGCTGGGGTGACCTCAGGGTCCCTCTAGACTGGTGACAGTGTTCTTGGGGACTGTCTCGAGATCCATTAAGCAAGTCGAAGCTCCTGACTTGTTTGAATGGGATCACGGAATAGCTCTGCATGCACTGCAGGGGAATGGGGCCTCATCTCGCCTCTAGGGGGAAGTCTCATGGTTTTTCTCGAGTTGCGGCGGGGACCTGGGGTATGTTCTCGACTTACGGCGGGGATGGCCCTTCAAAACACGAGTTTCTTCAGTGACGTCAGGACTCCTGTCTAGTAACGAGGGACACCTCAGGAATCTCTTCGAGGCTTGGCAGGGCAAAAGGGACGCTTCTCGAGGTGAGGCAGGGCACCCAAGGACCCTTTCCAGTAGCCACAGGGATTTTGGGATTCCTATCAGTATTCAAGAGGAGTCAGGCATCGTCACCTTTTGAAGCAATGAACTCCGCGTGCCTCTCGAGGTGTCAGCGGGATGTGAGGCATTCCGTCAAAATGAGGCAGGGACCTAGGGCTTTCTCTAAGGTCTCCACAGGGGATTCAGACATCCCTTCATGTTGTGAGATGAAAGACGAGCCTGTATTCAAGCCACTGCAAGGAAATCCGGCCTCCTTTCAAGTTAGGGCTTCTCGCTGTATATTCCCCTTGAGGCAGCAAACTCGGGGTCCCTCCCACTTACCTATTGCTGAGAGAAGCCTCCTCCTGAGGTGCTTCTGGGAAGTTGGCATACGTCTTGAGCCTAAGCCAGGGAATCAGCTCGCATCTCGAGACGATTTGGGGTACACGGAGCATTCCTCGAGTTGCTGTGCTGAAGTTGGTGTTCCTCTAGACTTGGGACAGTGTTCTCGGGGCATCTCTGGAGTTGCCTGAAGGAAGTCGAGCCACCGGTCGTGTTGAATGGGCAACGGGGAATGGCTCTGGAGTCAATGCAGGGGAATCGGGCCTCATCTCGAGTTGATTTGGGGCTCATGGAGCTGCTTTGCGTTGCTGGGGTGACCTCAGGGTCCCTCTAGACTGGTGACAGTGTTCTTGGGGACTGTCTCGAGATCCATTAAGCAAGTCGAAGCTCCTGACTTGTTTGAATGGGATCACGGAATAGCTCTGCATGCACTGCAGGGGAATGGGGCCTCATCTCGCCTCTAGGGGGAAGTCTCATGGTTTTTCTCGAGTTGCGGCGGGGACCTGCGGTATGTTCTCGACTTACGGCGGGGATGGCCCTTCAAAACACGAGTTTCTTCAGTGACGTCAGGACTCCTGTCTAGTAACGTGGGACACCTCAGGAATCTCTTCGAGGCTTGGCAGGGCAAAAGGGACGCTTCTCGAGGTGAGGCAGGGCACCCAAGGACCCTTTCCAGTAGCCACAGGGATTTTGGGATTCCTATCAGTATTCAAGAGGAGTCAGGCATCGTCACCTTTTGAAGCAATGAACTCCGCGTGCCTCTCGAGGTGTCAGCGGGATGTGAGGCATTCCGTCAAAATGAGGCAGGGACCTAGGGCTTTCTCTAAGGTCTCCACAGGGGATTCAGACATCCCTTCATGTTGTGAGATGAAAGACGAGCCTGTATTCAAGCCACTGCAAGGAAATCCGGCCTCCTTTCAAGTTAGGGCTTCTCGCTGTATATTCCCCTTGAGGCAGCAAACTCGGGGTCCCTCCCACATAACTATTGCTGAGAGAAGCCTCCTCCTGAGGTGCTTCTGGGAAGTTGGCATACGTCTTGAGCCTAAGCCAGGGAATCAGCTCTCATCTCGAGACGATTTGGGGTACACAGAGCATTCCTCCAGTTGCTGTGCTGAAGTTGGTGTTCCTCTAGACTTGGGACAGTGTTCTCGGGGCATCTCTGGAGTTGCCTGAAGGAAGTCGAGCCACCGGTCGTGTTGAATGGGGAACGGGGAATGGCTCTGGAGTCAATGCAGGGGAATCGGGCCTCATCTCGAGTTGATTTGGGGCACATGGAGCTGCTTTGCGTTGCTGGGGTGACCTCAGGGTCCGTCTAGACTGGTGACAGTGTTCTTGGGGACTGTCTCGAGATCCATTAAGAAGTCGAAGCTCCTGACTTGTTTGAATGGGATCACGGAATAGCTCTGCATGCACTGCAGGGGAATGGGGCCTCATCTCGCCTCTAGGGGGAAGTCTCATGGTTTTTCTCGAGTTGCGGCGGGGACCTGGGGTATGTTCTCGACTTACGGCGGGGATGGCCCTTCAAAACACGAGTTTCTTCAGTGACGTCAGGACTCCTGTCTAGTAACGAGGGACACCTCAGGAATCTCTTCGAGGCTTGGCAGGGCAAAAGGGACGCTTCTCGAGGTGAGGCAGGGCACCCAAGGACCCTTTCCAGTAGCCACAGGGATTTGGGGATTCCTATCAGTATTCAAGAGGAGTCAGGCATCGTCACCTTTTGAAGCAATGAACTCCGCGTGCCTCTCGAGGTGTCAGCGGGATGTGAGGCATTCCGTCAAAATGAGGCAGGGACCTAGGGCTTTCTCTAAGGTCTCCACAGGGGATTCAGACATCCCTTCATATTGTGAGATGAAAGACGAGCCTGTATTCAAGCCACTGCAAGGAAATCCGGCCTCCTTTCAAGTTAGGGCTTCTCGCTGTATATTCCCCTTGAGGCAGCAAACTCGGGGTCCCTCCCACATACCTATTGCTGAGAGAAGCCTCCTCCTGAGGTGCTTCTGGGAAGTTGGCATACGTCTTGAGCCTAAGCCAGGGAATCAGCTCTCATCTCGAGACGATTTGGGGTACACGGAGCATTCCTCCAGTTGCTGTGCTGAAGTTGGTGTTCCTCTAGACTTGGGACAGTGTTCTCGGGGCATCTCTGGAGTTGCCTGAAGGAAGTCGAGCCACCGGTCGTGTTGAATGGGGAACGGGGAATGGCTCTGGAGTCAATGCAGGGGAATCGGGCCTCATCTCGAGTTGATTTGGGGCACATGGAGCTGCTTTGCGTTGCTGGGGTGACCTCAGGGTCCGTCTAGACTGGTGACAGTGTTCTTGGGGACTGTCTCGAGATCCATTAAGCAAGTCGAAGCTCCTGACTTGTTTGAATGGGATCACGGAATAGCTCTGCATGCACTGCAGGGGAATGGGGCCTCATCTCGCCTCTAGGGGGAAGTCTCATGGTTTTTCTCGAGTTGCGGCGGGGACCTGGGGTATGTTCTCGACTTACGGCGGGGATGGCCCTTCAAAACACGAGTTTCTTCAGTGACGTCAGGACTCCTGTCTAGTAACGAGGGACACCTCAGGAATCTCTTCGAGGCTTGGCAGGGCAAAAGGGACGCTTCTCGAGGTGAGGCAGGGCACCCAAGGACCCTTTCCAGTAGCCACAGGGATTTTGGGATTCCTATCAGTATTCAAGAGGAGTCAGGCATCGTCACCTTTTGAAGCAATGAACTCCGCGTGCCTCTCGAGGTGTCAGCGGGATGTGAGGCATTCCGTCAAAATGAGGCAGGGACCTAGGGCTTTCTCTAAGGTCTCCACAGGGGATTCAGACATCCCTTCATATTGTGAGATGAAAGACGAGCCTGTATTCAAGCCACTGCAAGGAAATCCGGCCTCCTTTCAAGTTAGGGCTTCTCGCTGTATATTCCCCTTGAGGCAGCAAACTCGGGGTCCCTCCCACATACCTATTGCTGAGAGAAGCCTCCTCCTGAGGTGCTTCTGGGAAGTTGGCATACGTCTTGAGCCTAAGCCAGGGAATCAGCTCTCATCTCGAGACGATTTGGGGTACACGGAGCATTCCTCCAGTTGCTGTGCTGAAGTTGGTGTTCCTCTAGACTTGGGACAGTGTTCTCGGGGCATCTCTGGAGTTGCCTGAAGGAAGTCGAGCCACCGGTCGTGTTGAATGGGGAACGGGGAATGGCTCTGGAGTCAATGCAGGGGAATCGGGCCTCATCTCGAGTTGATTTGGGGCACATGGAGCTGCTTTGCGTTGCTGGGGTGACCTCAGGGTCCGTCTAGACTGGTGACAGTGTTCTTGGGGACTGTCTCGAGATCCATTAAGCAAGTCGAAGCTCCTGACTTGTTTGAATGGGATCACGGAATAGCTCTGCATGCACTGCAGGGGAATGGGGCCTCATCTCGCCTCTAGGGGGAAGTCTCATGGTTTTTCTCGAGTTGCGGCGGGGACCTGGGGTATGTTCTCGACTTACGGCGGGGATGGCCCTTCAAAACACGAGTTTCTTCAGTGACGTCAGGACTCCTGTCTAGTAACGAGGGACACCTCAGGAATCTCTTCGAGGCTTGGCAGGGCAAAAGGGACGCTTCTCGAGGTGAGGCAGGGCACCCAAGGACCCTTTCCAGTAGCCACAGGGATTTTGGGATTCCTATCAGTATTCAAGAGGAGTCAGGCATCGTCACCTTTTGAAGCAATGAACTCCGCGTGCCTCTCGAGGTGTCAGCGGGATGTGAGGCATTCCGTCAAAATGAGGCAGGGACCTAGGGCTTTCTCTAAGGTCTCCACAGGGGATTCAGACATCCCTTCATGTTGTGAGATGAAAGACGAGCCTGTATTCAAGCCACTGCAAGGAAATCCGGCCTCCTTTCAAGTTAGGGCTTCTCGCTGTATATTCCCCTTGAGGCAGCAAACTCGGGGTCCCTCCCACTTACCTATTGCTGAGAGAAGCCTCCTCCTGAGGTGCTTCTGGGAAGTTGGCATACGTCTTGAGCCTAAGCCAGGGAATCAGCTCGCATCTCGAGACGATTTGGGGTACACGGAGCATTCCTCGAGTTGCTGTGCTGAAGTTGGTGTTCCTCTAGACTTGGGACAGTGTTCTCGGGGCATCTCTGGAGTTGCCTGAAGGAAGTCGAGCCACCGGTCGTGTTGAATGGGCAACGGGGAATGGCTCTGGAGTCAATGCAGGGGAATCGGGCCTCATCTCGAGTTGATTTGGGGCTCATGGAGCTGCTTTGCGTTGCTGGGGTGACCTCAGGGTCCCTCTAGACTGGTGACAGTGTTCTTGGGGACTGTCTCGAGATCCATTAAGCAAGTCGAAGCTCCTGACTTGTTTGAATGGGATCACGGAATAGCTCTGCATGCACTGCAGGGGAATGGGGCCTCATCTCGCCTCTAGGGGGAAGTCTCATGGTTTTTCTCGAGTTGCGGCGGGGACCTGGGGTATGTTCTCGACTTACGGCGGGGATGGCCCTTCAAAACACGAGTTTCTTCAGTGACGTCAGGACTCCTGTCTAGTAACGAGGGACACCTCAGGAATCTCTTCGAGGCTTGGCAGGGCAAAAGGGACGCTTCTCGAGGTGAGGCAGGGCACCCAAGGACCCTTTCCAGTAGCCACAGGGATTTTGGGATTCCTATCAGTATTCAAGAGGAGTCAGGCATCGTCACCTTTTGAAGCAATGAACTCCGCGTGCCTCTCGAGGTGTCAGCGGGATGTGAGGCATTCCGTCAAAATGAGGCAGGGACCTAGGGCTTTCTCTAAGGTCTCCACAGGGGATTCAGACATCCCTTCATGTTGTGAGATGAAAGACGAGCCTGTATTCAAGCCACTGCAAGGAAATCCGGCCTCCTTTCAAGTTAGGGCTTCTCGCTGTATATTCCCCTTGAGGCAGCAAACTCGGGGTCCCTCCCACTTACCTATTGCTGAGAGAAGCCTCCTCCTGAGGTGCTTCTGGGAAGTTGGCATACGTCTTGAGCCTAAGCCAGGGAATCAGCTCGCATCTCGAGACGATTTGGGGTACACGGAGCATTCCTCGAGTTGCTGTGCTGAAGTTGGTGTTCCTCTAGACTTGGGACAGTGTTCTCGGGGCATCTCTGGAGTTGCCTGAAGGAAGTCGAGCCACCGGTCGTGTTGAATGGGCAACGGGGAATGGCTCTGGAGTCAATGCAGGGGAATCGGGCCTCATCTCGAGTTGATTTGGGGCTCATGGAGCTGCTTTGCGTTGCTGGGGTGACCTCAGGGTCCCTCTAGACTGGTGACAGTGTTCTTGGGGACTGTCTCGAGATCCATTAAGCAAGTCGAAGCTCCTGACTTGTTTGAATGGGATCACGGAATAGCTCTGCATGCACTGCAGGGGAATGGGGCCTCATCTCGCCTCTAGGGGGAAGTCTCATGGTTTTTCTCGAGTTGCGGCGGGGACCTGCGGTATGTTCTCGACTTACGGCGGGGATGGCCCTTCAAAACACGAGTTTCTTCAGTGACGTCAGGACTCCTGTCTAGTAACGTGGGACACCTCAGGAATCTCTTCGAGGCTTGGCAGGGCAAAAGGGACGCTTCTCGAGGTGAGGCAGGGCACCCAAGGACCCTTTCCAGTAGCCACAGGGATTTTGGGATTCCTATCAGTATTCAAGAGGAGTCAGGCATCGTCACCTTTTGAAGCAATGAACTCCGCGTGCCTCTCGAGGTGTCAGCGGGATGTGAGGCATTCCGTCAAAATGAGGCAGGGACCTAGGGCTTTCTCTAAGGTCTCCACAGGGGATTCAGACATCCCTTCATGTTGTGAGATGAAAGACGAGCCTGTATTCAAGCCACTGCAAGGAAATCCGGCCTCCTTTCAAGTTAGGGCTTCTCGCTGTATATTCCCCTTGAGGCAGCAAACTCGGGGTCCCTCCCACATAACTATTGCTGAGAGAAGCCTCCTCCTGAGGTGCTTCTGGGAAGTTGGCATACGTCTTGAGCCTAAGCCAGGGAATCAGCTCTCATCTCGAGACGATTTGGGGTACACAGAGCATTCCTCCAGTTGCTGTGCTGAAGTTGGTGTTCCTCTAGACTTGGGACAGTGTTCTCGGGGCATCTCTGGAGTTGCCTGAAGGAAGTCGAGCCACCGGTCGTGTTGAATGGGGAACGGGGAATGGCTCTGGAGTCAATGCAGGGGAATCGGGCCTCATCTCGAGTTGATTTGGGGCACATGGAGCTGCTTTGCGTTGCTGGGGTGACCTCAGGGTCCGTCTAGACTGGTGACAGTGTTCTTGGGGACTGTCTCGAGATCCATTAAGAAGTCGAAGCTCCTGACTTGTTTGAATGGGATCACGGAATAGCTCTGCATGCACTGCAGGGGAATGGGGCCTCATCTCGCCTCTAGGGGGAAGTCTCATGGTTTTTCTCGAGTTGCGGCGGGGACCTGGGGTATGTTCTCGACTTACGGCGGGGATGGCCCTTCAAAACACGAGTTTCTTCAGTGACGTCAGGACTCCTGTCTAGTAACGAGGGACACCTCAGGAATCTCTTCGAGGCTTGGCAGGGCAAAAGGGACGCTTCTCGAGGTGAGGCAGGGCACCCAAGGACCCTTTCCAGTAGCCACAGGGATTTGGGGATTCCTATCAGTATTCAAGAGGAGTCAGGCATCGTCACCTTTTGAAGCAATGAACTCCGCGTGCCTCTCGAGGTGTCAGCGGGATGTGAGGCATTCCGTCAAAATGAGGCAGGGACCTAGGGCTTTCTCTAAGGTCTCCACAGGGGATTCAGACATCCCTTCATATTGTGAGATGAAAGACGAGCCTGTATTCAAGCCACTGCAAGGAAATCCGGCCTCCTTTCAAGTTAGGGCTTCTCGCTGTATATTCCCCTTGAGGCAGCAAACTCGGGGTCCCTCCCACATACCTATTGCTGAGAGAAGCCTCCTCCTGAGGTGCTTCTGGGAAGTTGGCATACGTCTTGAGCCTAAGCCAGGGAATCAGCTCTCATCTCGAGACGATTTGGGGTACACGGAGCATTCCTCCAGTTGCTGTGCTGAAGTTGGTGTTCCTCTAGACTTGGGACAGTGTTCTCGGGGCATCTCTGGAGTTGCCTGAAGGAAGTCGAGCCACCGGTCGTGTTGAATGGGGAACGGGGAATGGCTCTGGAGTCAATGCAGGGGAATCGGGCCTCATCTCGAGTTGATTTGGGGCACATGGAGCTGCTTTGCGTTGCTGGGGTGACCTCAGGGTCCGTCTAGACTGGTGACAGTGTTCTTGGGGACTGTCTCGAGATCCATTAAGCAAGTCGAAGCTCCTGACTTGTTTGAATGGGATCACGGAATAGCTCTGCATGCACTGCAGGGGAATGGGGCCTCATCTCGCCTCTAGGGGGAAGTCTCATGGTTTTTCTCGAGTTGCGGCGGGGACCTGGGGTATGTTCTCGACTTACGGCGGGGATGGCCCTTCAAAACACGAGTTTCTTCAGTGACGTCAGGACTCCTGTCTAGTAACGAGGGACACCTCAGGAATCTCTTCGAGGCTTGGCAGGGCAAAAGGGACGCTTCTCGAGGTGAGGCAGGGCACCCAAGGACCCTTTCCAGTAGCCACAGGGATTTTGGGATTCCTATCAGTATTCAAGAGGAGTCAGGCATCGTCACCTTTTGAAGCAATGAACTCCGCGTGCCTCTCGAGGTGTCAGCGGGATGTGAGGCATTCCGTCAAAATGAGGCAGGGACCTAGGGCTTTCTCTAAGGTCTCCACAGGGGATTCAGACATCCCTTCATATTGTGAGATGAAAGACGAGCCTGTATTCAAGCCACTGCAAGGAAATCCGGCCTCCTTTCAAGTTAGGGCTTCTCGCTGTATATTCCCCTTGAGGCAGCAAACTCGGGGTCCCTCCCACATACCTATTGCTGAGAGAAGCCTCCTCCTGAGGTGCTTCTGGGAAGTTGGCATACGTCTTGAGCCTAAGCCAGGGAATCAGCTCTCATCTCGAGACGATTTGGGGTACACGGAGCATTCCTCCAGTTGCTGTGCTGAAGTTGGTGTTCCTCTAGACTTGGGACAGTGTTCTCGGGGCATCTCTGGAGTTGCCTGAAGGAAGTCGAGCCACCGGTCGTGTTGAATGGGGAACGGGGAATGGCTCTGGAGTCAATGCAGGGGAATCGGGCCTCATCTCGAGTTGATTTGGGGCACATGGAGCTGCTTTGCGTTGCTGGGGTGACCTCAGGGTCCGTCTAGACTGGTGACAGTGTTCTTGGGGACTGTCTCGAGATCCATTAAGCAAGTCGAAGCTCCTGACTTGTTTGAATGGGATCACGGAATAGCTCTGCATGCACTGCAGGGGAATGGGGCCTCATCTCGCCTCTAGGGGGAAGTCTCATGGTTTTTCTCGAGTTGCGGCGGGGACCTGGGGTATGTTCTCGACTTACGGCGGGGATGGCCCTTCAAAACACGAGTTTCTTCAGTGACGTCAGGACTCCTGTCTAGTAACGAGGGACACCTCAGGAATCTCTTCGAGGCTTGGCAGGGCAAAAGGGACGCTTCTCGAGGTGAGGCAGGGCACCCAAGGACCCTTTCCAGTAGCCACAGGGATTTTGGGATTCCTATCAGTATTCAAGAGGAGTCAGGCATCGTCACCTTTTGAAGCAATGAACTCCGCGTGCCTCTCGAGGTGTCAGCGGGATGTGAGGCATTCCGTCAAAATGAGGCAGGGACCTAGGGCTTTCTCTAAGGTCTCCACAGGGGATTCAGACATCCCTTCATGTTGTGAGATGAAAGACGAGCCTGTATTCAAGCCACTGCAAGGAAATCCGGCCTCCTTTCAAGTTAGGGCTTCTCGCTGTATATTCCCCTTGAGGCAGCAAACTCGGGGTCCCTCCCACTTACCTATTGCTGAGAGAAGCCTCCTCCTGAGGTGCTTCTGGGAAGTTGGCATACGTCTTGAGCCTAAGCCAGGGAATCAGCTCGCATCTCGAGACGATTTGGGGTACACGGAGCATTCCTCGAGTTGCTGTGCTGAAGTTGGTGTTCCTCTAGACTTGGGACAGTGTTCTCGGGGCATCTCTGGAGTTGCCTGAAGGAAGTCGAGCCACCGGTCGTGTTGAATGGGCAACGGGGAATGGCTCTGGAGTCAATGCAGGGGAATCGGGCCTCATCTCGAGTTGATTTGGGGCTCATGGAGCTGCTTTGCGTTGCTGGGGTGACCTCAGGGTCCCTCTAGACTGGTGACAGTGTTCTTGGGGACTGTCTCGAGATCCATTAAGCAAGTCGAAGCTCCTGACTTGTTTGAATGGGATCACGGAATAGCTCTGCATGCACTGCAGGGGAATGGGGCCTCATCTCGCCTCTAGGGGGAAGTCTCATGGTTTTTCTCGAGTTGCGGCGGGGACCTGCGGTATGTTCTCGACTTACGGCGGGGATGGCCCTTCAAAACACGAGTTTCTTCAGTGACGTCAGGACTCCTGTCTAGTAACGTGGGACACCTCAGGAATCTCTTCGAGGCTTGGCAGGGCAAAAGGGACGCTTCTCGAGGTGAGGCAGGGCACCCAAGGACCCTTTCCAGTAGCCACAGGGATTTTGGGATTCCTATCAGTATTCAAGAGGAGTCAGGCATCGTCACCTTTTGAAGCAATGAACTCCGCGTGCCTCTCGAGGTGTCAGCGGGATGTGAGGCATTCCGTCAAAATGAGGCAGGGACCTAGGGCTTTCTCTAAGGTCTCCACAGGGGATTCAGACATCCCTTCATGTTGTGAGATGAAAGACGAGCCTGTATTCAAGCCACTGCAAGGAAATCCGGCCTCCTTTCAAGTTAGGGCTTCTCGCTGTATATTCCCCTTGAGGCAGCAAACTCGGGGTCCCTCCCACATAACTATTGCTGAGAGAAGCCTCCTCCTGAGGTGCTTCTGGGAAGTTGGCATACGTCTTGAGCCTAAGCCAGGGAATCAGCTCTCATCTCGAGACGATTTGGGGTACACAGAGCATTCCTCCAGTTGCTGTGCTGAAGTTGGTGTTCCTCTAGACTTGGGACAGTGTTCTCGGGGCATCTCTGGAGTTGCCTGAAGGAAGTCGAGCCACCGGTCGTGTTGAATGGGGAACGGGGAATGGCTCTGGAGTCAATGCAGGGGAATCGGGCCTCATCTCGAGTTGATTTGGGGCACATGGAGCTGCTTTGCGTTGCTGGGGTGACCTCAGGGTCCGTCTAGACTGGTGACAGTGTTCTTGGGGACTGTCTCGAGATCCATTAAGAAGTCGAAGCTCCTGACTTGTTTGAATGGGATCACGGAATAGCTCTGCATGCACTGCAGGGGAATGGGGCCTCATCTCGCCTCTAGGGGGAAGTCTCATGGTTTTTCTCGAGTTGCGGCGGGGACCTGGGGTATGTTCTCGACTTACGGCGGGGATGGCCCTTCAAAACACGAGTTTCTTCAGTGACGTCAGGACTCCTGTCTAGTAACGAGGGACACCTCAGGAATCTCTTCGAGGCTTGGCAGGGCAAAAGGGACGCTTCTCGAGGTGAGGCAGGGCACCCAAGGACCCTTTCCAGTAGCCACAGGGATTTGGGGATTCCTATCAGTATTCAAGAGGAGTCAGGCATCGTCACCTTTTGAAGCAATGAACTCCGCGTGCCTCTCGAGGTGTCAGCGGGATGTGAGGCATTCCGTCAAAATGAGGCAGGGACCTAGGGCTTTCTCTAAGGTCTCCACAGGGGATTCAGACATCCCTTCATGTTGTGAGATGAAAGACGAGCCTGTATTCAAGCCACTGCAAGGAAATCCGGCCTCCTTTCAAGTTAGGGCTTCTCGCTGTATATTCCCCTTGAGGCAGCAAACTCGGGGTCCCTCCCACATACCTATTGCTGAGAGAAGCCTCCTCCTGAGGTGCTTCTGGGAAGTTGGCATACGTCTTGAGCCTAAGCCAGGGAATCAGCTCTCGTCTCGAGACGATTTGGGGTACACGGAGCATTCCTCGAGTTGCTGTGCTGAAGTTGGTGTTCCTCTAGACTTGGGACAGTGTTCTCGGGGCATCTCTGGAGTTGCCTGAAGGAAGTCGAGCCACCGGTCGTGTTGAATGGGGAACGGGGAATGGCTCTGGAGTCAATGCAGGGGAATCGGGCCTCATCTCGAGTTGATTTGGGGCACATGGAGCTGCTTTGCGTTGCTGGGGTGACCTCAGGGTCCGTCTAGACTGGTGACAGTGTTCTTGGGGACTGTCTCGAGATCCATTAAGCAAGTCGAAGCTCCTGACTTGTTTGAATGGGATCACGGAATAGCTCTGCATGCACTGCAGGGGAATGGGGCCTCATCTCGCCTCTAGGGGGAAGTCTCATGGTTTTTCTCGAGTTGCGGCGGGGACCTGGGGTATGTTCTCGACTTACGGCGGGGATGGCCCTTCAAAACACGAGTTTCTTCAGTGACGTCAGGACTCCTGTCTAGTAACGAGGGACACCTCAGGAATCTCTTCGAGGCTTGGCAGGGCAAAAGGGACGCTTCTCGAGGTGAGGCAGGGCACCCAAGGACCCTTTCCAGTAGCCACAGGGATTTTGGGATTCCTATCAGTATTCAAGAGGAGTCAGGCATCGTCACCTTTTGAAGCAATGAACTCCGCGTGCCTCTCGAGGTGTCAGCGGGATGTGAGGCATTCCGTCAAAATGAGGCAGGGACCTAGGGCTTTCTCTAAGGTCTCCACAGGGGATTCAGACATCCCTTCATGTTGTGAGATGAAAGACGAGCCTGTATTCAAGCCACTGCAAGGAAATCCGGCCTCCTTTCAAGTTAGGGCTTCTCGCTGTATATTCCCCTTGAGGCAGCAAACTCGGGGTCCCTCCCACATACCTATTGCTGAGAGAAGCCTCCTCCTGAGGTGCTTCTGGGAAGTTGGCATACGTCTTGAGCCTAAGCCAGGGAATCAGCTCGCATCTGGAGACGATTTGGGGTACACGGAGCATTCCTCGAGTTGCTGTGCTGAAGTTGGTGTTCCTCTAGACTTGGGACAGTGTTCTCGGGGCATCTCTGGAGTTGCCTGAAGGAAGTCGAGCCACCGGTCGTGTTGAATGGGGAACGGGGAATGGCTCTGGAGTCAATGCAGGGGAATCGGGCCTCATCTCGAGTTGATTTGGGGCACATGGAGCTGCTTTGCGTTGCTGGGGTGACCTCAGGGTCCGTCTAGACTGGTGACAGTGTTCTTGGGGACTGTCTCGAGATCCATTAAGCAAGTCGAAGCTCCTGACTTGTTTGAATGGGATCACGGAATAGCTCTGCATGCACTGCAGGGGAATGGGGCCTCATCTCGCCTCTAGGGGGAAGTCTCATGGTTTTTCTCGAGTTGCGGCGGGGACCTGGGGTATGTTCTCGACTTACGGCGGGGATGGCCCTTCAAAACACGAGTTTCTTCAGTGACGTCAGGACTCCTGTCTAGTAACGAGGGACACCTCAGGAATCTCTTCGAGGCTTGGCAGGGCAAAAGGGACGCTTCTCGAGGTGAGGCAGGGCACCCAAGGACCCTTTCCAGTAGCCACAGGGATTTTGGGATTCCTATCAGTATTCAAGAGGAGTCAGGCATCGTCACCTTTTGAAGCAATGAACTCCGCGTGCCTCTCGAGGTGTCAGCGGGATGTGAGGCATTCCGTCAAAATGAGGCAGGGACCTAGGGCTTTCTCTAAGGTCTCCACAGGGGATTCAGACATCCCTTCATATTGTGAGATGAAAGACGAGCCTGTATTCAAGCCACTGCAAGGAAATCCGGCCTCCTTTCAAGTTAGGGCTTCTCGCTGTATATTCCCCTTGAGGCAGCAAACTCGGGGTCCCTCCCACATACCTATTGCTGAGAGAAGCCTCCTCCTGAGGTGCTTCTGGGAAGTTGGCATACGTCTTGAGCCTAAGCCAGGGAATCAGCTCTCATCTCGAGACGATTTGGGGTACACGGAGCATTCCTCCAGTTGCTGTGCTGAAGTTGGTGTTCCTCTAGACTTGGGACAGTGTTCTCGGGGCATCTCTGGAGTTGCCTGAAGGAAGTCGAGCCACCGGTCGTGTTGAATGGGGAACGGGGAATGGCTCTGGAGTCAATGCAGGGGAATCGGGCCTCATCTCGAGTTGATTTGGGGCACATGGAGCTGCTTTGCGTTGCTGGGGTGACCTCAGGGTCCGTCTAGACTGGTGACAGTGTTCTTGGGGACTGTCTCGAGATCCATTAAGCAAGTCGAAGCTCCTGACTTGTTTGAATGGGATCACGGAATAGCTCTGCATGCACTGCAGGGGAATGGGGCCTCATCTCGCCTCTAGGGGGAAGTCTCATGGTTTTTCTCGAGTTGCGGCGGGGACCTGGGGTATGTTCTCGACTTACGGCGGGGATGGCCCTTCAAAACACGAGTTTCTTCAGTGACGTCAGGACTCCTGTCTAGTAACGAGGGACACCTCAGGAATCTCTTCGAGGCTTGGCAGGGCAAAAGGGACGCTTCTCGAGGTGAGGCAGGGCACCCAAGGACCCTTTCCAGTAGCCACAGGGATTTTGGGATTCCTATCAGTATTCAAGAGGAGTCAGGCATCGTCACCTTTTGAAGCAATGAACTCCGCGTGCCTCTCGAGGTGTCAGCGGGATGTGAGGCATTCCGTCAAAATGAGGCAGGGACCTAGGGCTTTCTCTAAGGTCTCCACAGGGGATTCAGACATCCCTTCATGTTGTGAGATGAAAGACGAGCCTGTATTCAAGCCACTGCAAGGAAATCCGGCCTCCTTTCAAGTTAGGGCTTCTCGCTGTATATTCCCCTTGAGGCAGCAAACTCGGGGTCCCTCCCACTTACCTATTGCTGAGAGAAGCCTCCTCCTGAGGTGCTTCTGGGAAGTTGGCATACGTCTTGAGCCTAAGCCAGGGAATCAGCTCGCATCTCGAGACGATTTGGGGTACACGGAGCATTCCTCGAGTTGCTGTGCTGAAGTTGGTGTTCCTCTAGACTTGGGACAGTGTTCTCGGGGCATCTCTGGAGTTGCCTGAAGGAAGTCGAGCCACCGGTCGTGTTGAATGGGCAACGGGGAATGGCTCTGGAGTCAATGCAGGGGAATCGGGCCTCATCTCGAGTTGATTTGGGGCACATGGAGCTGCTTTGCGTTGCTGGGGTGACCTCAGGGTCCCTCTAGACTGGTGACAGTGTTCTTGGGGACTGTCTCGAGATCCATTAAGAAGTCGAAGCTCCTGACTTGTTTGAATGGGATCACGGAATAGCTCTGCATGCACTGCAGGGGAATGGGGCCTCATCTCGCCTCTAGGGGGAAGTCTCATGGTTTTTCTCGAGTTGCGGCGGGGACCTGGGGTATGTTCTCGACTTACGGCGGGGATGGCCCTTCAAAACACGAGTTTCTTCAGTGACGTCAGGACTCCTGTCTAGTAACGAGGGACACCTCAGGAATCTCTTCGAGGCTTGGCAGGGCAAAAGGGACGCTTCTCGAGGTGAGGCAGGGCACCCAAGGACCCTTTCCAGTAGCCACAGGGATTTTGGGATTCCTATCAGTATTCAAGAGGAGTCAGGCATCGTCACCTTTTGAAGCAATGAACTCCGCGTGCCTCTCGAGGTGTCAGCGGGATGTGAGGCATTCCGTCAAAATGAGGCAGGGACCTAGGGCTTTCTCTAAGGTCTCCACAGGGGATTCAGACATCCCTTCATGTTGTGAGATGAAAGACGAGCCTGTATTCAAGCCACTGCAAGGAAATCCGGCCTCCTTTCAAGTTAGGGCTTCTCGCTGTATATTCCCCTTGAGGCAGCAAACTCGGGGTCCCTCCCACTTACCTATTGCTGAGAGAAGCCTCCTCCTGAGGTGCTTCTGGGAAGTTGGCATACGTCTTGAGCCTAAGCCAGGGAATCAGCTCGCATCTCGAGACGATTTGGGGTACACGGAGCATTCCTCGAGTTGCTGTGCTGAAGTTGGTGTTCCTCTAGACTTGGGACAGTGTTCTCGGGGCATCTCTGGAGTTGCCTGAAGGAAGTCGAGCCACCGGTCGTGTTGAATGGGCAACGGGGAATGGCTCTGGAGTCAATGCAGGGGAATCGGGCCTCATCTCGAGTTGATTTGGGGCACATGGAGCTGCTTTGCGTTGCTGGGGTGACCTCAGGGTCCGTCTAGACTGGTGACAGTGTTCTTGGGGACTGTCTCGAGATCCATTAAGCAAGTCGAAGCTCCTGACTTGTTTGAATGGGATCACGGAATAGCTCTGCATGCACTGCAGGGGAATGGGGCCTCATCTCGCCTCTAGGGGGAAGTCTCATGGTTTTTCTCGAGTTGCGGCGGGGACCTGGGGTATGTTCTCGACTTACGGCGGGGATGGCCCTTCAAAACACGAGTTTCTTCAGTGACGTCAGGACTCCTGTCTAGTAACGAGGGACACCTCAGGAATCTCTTCGAGGCTTGGCAGGGCAAAAGGGACGCTTCTCGAGGTGAGGCAGGGCACCCAAGGACCCTTTCCAGTAGCCACAGGGATTTGGGGATTCCTATCAGTATTCAAGAGGAGTCAGGCATCGTCACCTTTTGAAGCAATGAACTCCGCGTGCCTCTCGAGGTGTCAGCGGGATGTGAGGCATTCCGTCAAAATGAGGCAGGGACCTAGGGCTTTCTCTAAGGTCTCCACAGGGGATTCAGACATCCCTTCATATTGTGAGATGAAAGACGAGCCTGTATTCAAGCCACTGCAAGGAAATCCGGCCTCCTTTCAAGTTAGGGCTTCTCGCTGTATATTCCCCTTGAGGCAGCAAACTCGGGGTCCCTCCCACATACCTATTGCTGAGAGAAGCCTCCTCCTGAGGTGCTTCTGGGAAGTTGGCATACGTCTTGAGCCTAAGCCAGGGAATCAGCTCTCATCTCGAGACGATTTGGGGTACACGGAGCATTCCTCCAGTTGCTGTGCTGAAGTTGGTGTTCCTCTAGACTTGGGACAGTGTTCTCGGGGCATCTCTGGAGTTGCCTGAAGGAAGTCGAGCCACCGGTCGTGTTGAATGGGGAACGGGGAATGGCTCTGGAGTCAATGCAGGGGAATCGGGCCTCATCTCGAGTTGATTTGGGGCACATGGAGCTGCTTTGCGTTGCTGGGGTGACCTCAGGGTCCGTCTAGACTGGTGACAGTGTTCTTGGGGACTGTCTCGAGATCCATTAAGCAAGTCGAAGCTCCTGACTTGTTTGAATGGGATCACGGAATAGCTCTGCATGCACTGCAGGGGAATGGGGCCTCATCTCGCCTCTAGGGGGAAGTCTCATGGTTTTTCTCGAGTTGCGGCGGGGACCTGGGGTATGTTCTCGACTTACGGCGGGGATGGCCCTTCAAAACACGAGTTTCTTCAGTGACGTCAGGACTCCTGTCTAGTAACGAGGGACACCTCAGGAATCTCTTCGAGGCTTGGCAGGGCAAAAGGGACGCTTCTCGAGGTGAGGCAGGGCACCCAAGGACCCTTTCCAGTAGCCACAGGGATTTTGGGATTCCTATCAGTATTCAAGAGGAGTCAGGCATCGTCACCTTTTGAAGCAATGAACTCCGCGTGCCTCTCGAGGTGTCAGCGGGATGTGAGGCATTCCGTCAAAATGAGGCAGGGACCTAGGGCTTTCTCTAAGGTCTCCACAGGGGATTCAGACATCCCTTCATGTTGTGAGATGAAAGACGAGCCTGTATTCAAGCCACTGCAAGGAAATCCGGCCTCCTTTCAAGTTAGGGCTTCTCGCTGTATATTCCCCTTGAGGCAGCAAACTCGGGGTCCCTCCCACTTACCTATTGCTGAGAGAAGCCTCCTCCTGAGGTGCTTCTGGGAAGTTGGCATACGTCTTGAGCCTAAGCCAGGGAATCAGCTCGCATCTCGAGACGATTTGGGGTACACGGAGCATTCCTCGAGTTGCTGTGCTGAAGTTGGTGTTCCTCTAGACTTGGGACAGTGTTCTCGGGGCATCTCTGGAGTTGCCTGAAGGAAGTCGAGCCACCGGTCGTGTTGAATGGGGAACGGGGAATGGCTCTGGAGTCAATGCAGGGGAATCGGGCCTCATCTCGAGTTGATTTGGGGCACATGGAGCTGCTTTGCGTTGCTGGGGTGACCTCAGGGTCCGTCTAGACTGGTGACAGTGTTCTTGGGGACTGTCTCGAGATCCATTAAGCAAGTCGAAGCTCCTGACTTGTTTGAATGGGATCACGGAATAGCTCTGCATGCACTGCAGGGGAATGGGGCCTCATCTCGCCTCTAGGGGGAAGTCTCATGGTTTTTCTCGAGTTGCGGCGGGGACCTGGGGTATGTTCTCGACTTACGGCGGGGATGGCCCTTCAAAACACGAGTTTCTTCAGTGACGTCAGGACTCCTGTCTAGTAACGAGGGACACCTCAGGAATCTCTTCGAGGCTTGGCAGGGCAAAAGGGACGCTTCTCGAGGTGAGGCAGGGCACCCAAGGACCCTTTCCAGTAGCCACAGGGATTTTGGGATTCCTATCAGTATTCAAGAGGAGTCAGGCATCGTCACCTTTTGAAGCAATGAACTCCGCGTGCCTCTCGAGGTGTCAGCGGGATGTGAGGCATTCCGTCAAAATGAGGCAGGGACCTAGGGCTTTCTCTAAGGTCTCCACAGGGGATTCAGACATCCCTTCATGTTGTGAGATGAAAGACGAGCCTGTATTCAAGCCACTGCAAGGAAATCCGGCCTCCTTTCAAGTTAGGGCTTCTCGCTGTATATTCCCCTTGAGGCAGCAAACTCGGGGTCCCTCCCACATACCTATTGCTGAGAGAAGCCTCCTCCTGAGGTGCTTCTGGGAAGTTGGCATACGTCTTGAGCCTAAGCCAGGGAATCAGCTCGCATCTGGAGACGATTTGGGGTACACGGAGCATTCCTCGAGTTGCTGTGCTGAAGTTGGTGTTCCTCTAGACTTGGGACAGTGTTCTCGGGGCATCTCTGGAGTTGCCTGAAGGAAGTCGAGCCACCGGTCGTGTTGAATGGGGAACGGGGAATGGCTCTGGAGTCAATGCAGGGGAATCGGGCCTCATCTCGAGTTGATTTGGGGCACATGGAGCTGCTTTGCGTTGCTGGGGTGACCTCAGGGTCCGTCTAGACTGGTGACAGTGTTCTTGGGGACTGTCTCGAGATCCATTAAGCAAGTCGAAGCTCCTGACTTGTTTGAATGGGATCACGGAATAGCTCTGCATGCACTGCAGGGGAATGGGGCCTCATCTCGCCTCTAGGGGGAAGTCTCATGGTTTTTCTCGAGTTGCGGCGGGGACCTGGGGTATGTTCTCGACTTACGGCGGGGATGGCCCTTCAAAACACGAGTTTCTTCAGTGACGTCAGGACTCCTGTCTAGTAACGAGGGACACCTCAGGAATCTCTTCGAGGCTTGGCAGGGCAAAAGGGACGCTTCTCGAGGTGAGGCAGGGCACCCAAGGACCCTTTCCAGTAGCCACAGGGATTTTGGGATTCCTATCAGTATTCAAGAGGAGTCAGGCATCGTCACCTTTTGAAGCAATGAACTCCGCGTGCCTCTCGAGGTGTCAGCGGGATGTGAGGCATTCCGTCAAAATGAGGCAGGGACCTAGGGCTTTCTCTAAGGTCTCCACAGGGGATTCAGACATCCCTTCATATTGTGAGATGAAAGACGAGCCTGTATTCAAGCCACTGCAAGGAAATCCGGCCTCCTTTCAAGTTAGGGCTTCTCGCTGTATATTCCCCTTGAGGCAGCAAACTCGGGGTCCCTCCCACATACCTATTGCTGAGAGAAGCCTCCTCCTGAGGTGCTTCTGGGAAGTTGGCATACGTCTTGAGCCTAAGCCAGGGAATCAGCTCTCATCTCGAGACGATTTGGGGTACACGGAGCATTCCTCCAGTTGCTGTGCTGAAGTTGGTGTTCCTCTAGACTTGGGACAGTGTTCTCGGGGCATCTCTGGAGTTGCCTGAAGGAAGTCGAGCCACCGGTCGTGTTGAATGGGGAACGGGGAATGGCTCTGGAGTCAATGCAGGGGAATCGGGCCTCATCTCGAGTTGATTTGGGGCACATGGAGCTGCTTTGCGTTGCTGGGGTGACCTCAGGGTCCGTCTAGACTGGTGACAGTGTTCTTGGGGACTGTCTCGAGATCCATTAAGCAAGTCGAAGCTCCTGACTTGTTTGAATGGGATCACGGAATAGCTCTGCATGCACTGCAGGGGAATGGGGCCTCATCTCGCCTCTAGGGGGAAGTCTCATGGTTTTTCTCGAGTTGCGGCGGGGACCTGGGGTATGTTCTCGACTTACGGCGGGGATGGCCCTTCAAAACACGAGTTTCTTCAGTGACGTCAGGACTCCTGTCTAGTAACGAGGGACACCTCAGGAATCTCTTCGAGGCTTGGCAGGGCAAAAGGGACGCTTCTCGAGGTGAGGCAGGGCACCCAAGGACCCTTTCCAGTAGCCACAGGGATTTTGGGATTCCTATCAGTATTCAAGAGGAGTCAGGCATCGTCACCTTTTGAAGCAATGAACTCCGCGTGCCTCTCGAGGTGTCAGCGGGATGTGAGGCATTCCGTCAAAATGAGGCAGGGACCTAGGGCTTTCTCTAAGGTCTCCACAGGGGATTCAGACATCCCTTCATGTTGTGAGATGAAAGACGAGCCTGTATTCAAGCCACTGCAAGGAAATCCGGCCTCCTTTCAAGTTAGGGCTTCTCGCTGTATATTCCCCTTGAGGCAGCAAACTCGGGGTCCCTCCCACTTACCTATTGCTGAGAGAAGCCTCCTCCTGAGGTGCTTCTGGGAAGTTGGCATACGTCTTGAGCCTAAGCCAGGGAATCAGCTCGCATCTCGAGACGATTTGGGGTACACGGAGCATTCCTCGAGTTGCTGTGCTGAAGTTGGTGTTCCTCTAGACTTGGGACAGTGTTCTCGGGGCATCTCTGGAGTTGCCTGAAGGAAGTCGAGCCACCGGTCGTGTTGAATGGGCAACGGGGAATGGCTCTGGAGTCAATGCAGGGGAATCGGGCCTCATCTCGAGTTGATTTGGGGCACATGGAGCTGCTTTGCGTTGCTGGGGTGACCTCAGGGTCCGTCTAGACTGGTGACAGTGTTCTTGGGGACTGTCTCGAGATCCATTAAGCAAGTCGAAGCTCCTGACTTGTTTGAATGGGATCACGGAATAGCTCTGCATGCACTGCAGGGGAATGGGGCCTCATCTCGCCTCTAGGGGGAAGTCTCATGGTTTTTCTCGAGTTGCGGCGGGGACCTGGGGTATGTTCTCGACTTACGGCGGGGATGGCCCTTCAAAACACGAGTTTCTTCAGTGACGTCAGGACTCCTGTCTAGTAACGAGGGACACCTCAGGAATCTCTTCGAGGCTTGGCAGGGCAAAAGGGACGCTTCTCGAGGTGAGGCAGGGCACCCAAGGACCCTTTCCAGTAGCCACAGGGATTTTGGGATTCCTATCAGTATTCAAGAGGAGTCAGGCATCGTCACCTTTTGAAGCAATGAACTCCGCGTGCCTCTCGAGGTGTCAGCGGGATGTGAGGCATTCCGTCAAAATGAGGCAGGGACCTAGGGCTTTCTCTAAGGTCTCCACAGGGGATTCAGACATCCCTTCATATTGTGAGATGAAAGACGAGCCTGTATTCAAGCCACTGCAAGGAAATCCGGCCTCCTTTCAAGTTAGGGCTTCTCGCTGTATATTCCCCTTGAGGCAGCAAACTCGGGGTCCCTCCCACATACCTATTGCTGAGAGAAGCCTCCTCCTGAGGTGCTTCTGGGAAGTTGGCATACGTCTTGAGCCTAAGCCAGGGAATCAGCTCTCATCTCGAGACGATTTGGGGTACACGGAGCATTCCTCCAGTTGCTGTGCTGAAGTTGGTGTTCCTCTAGACTTGGGACAGTGTTCTCGGGGCATCTCTGGAGTTGCCTGAAGGAAGTCGAGCCACCGGTCGTGTTGAATGGGGAACGGGGAATGGCTCTGGAGTCAATGCAGGGGAATCGGGCCTCATCTCGAGTTGATTTGGGGCACATGGAGCTGCTTTGCGTTGCTGGGGTGACCTCAGGGTCCGTCTAGACTGGTGACAGTGTTCTTGGGGACTGTCTCGAGATCCATTAAGCAAGTCGAAGCTCCTGACTTGTTTGAATGGGATCACGGAATAGCTCTGCATGCACTGCAGGGGAATGGGGCCTCATCTCGCCTCTAGGGGGAAGTCTCATGGTTTTTCTCGAGTTGCGGCGGGGACCTGGGGTATGTTCTCGACTTACGGCGGGGATGGCCCTTCAAAACACGAGTTTCTTCAGTGACGTCAGGACTCCTGTCTAGTAACGAGGGACACCTCAGGAATCTCTTCGAGGCTTGGCAGGGCAAAAGGGACGCTTCTCGAGGTGAGGCAGGGCACCCAAGGACCCTTTCCAGTAGCCACAGGGATTTTGGGATTCCTATCAGTATTCAAGAGGAGTCAGGCATCGTCACCTTTTGAAGCAATGAACTCCGCGTGCCTCTCGAGGTGTCAGCGGGATGTGAGGCATTCCGTCAAAATGAGGCAGGGACCTAGGGCTTTCTCTAAGGTCTCCACAGGGGATTCAGACATCCCTTCATGTTGTGAGATGAAAGACGAGCCTGTATTCAAGCCACTGCAAGGAAATCCGGCCTCCTTTCAAGTTAGGGCTTCTCGCTGTATATTCCCCTTGAGGCAGCAAACTCGGGGTCCCTCCCACTTACCTATTGCTGAGAGAAGCCTCCTCCTGAGGTGCTTCTGGGAAGTTGGCATACGTCTTGAGCCTAAGCCAGGGAATCAGCTCGCATCTCGAGACGATTTGGGGTACACGGAGCATTCCTCGAGTTGCTGTGCTGAAGTTGGTGTTCCTCTAGACTTGGGACAGTGTTCTCGGGGCATCTCTGGAGTTGCCTGAAGGAAGTCGAGCCACCGGTCGTGTTGAATGGGCAACGGGGAATGGCTCTGGAGTCAATGCAGGGGAATCGGGCCTCATCTCGAGTTGATTTGGGGCACATGGAGCTGCTTTGCGTTGCTGGGGTGACCTCAGGGTCCCTCTAGACTGGTGACAGTGTTCTTGGGGACTGTCTCGAGATCCATTAAGCAAGTCGAAGCTCCTGACTTGTTTGAATGGGATCACGGAATAGCTCTGCATGCACTGCAGGGGAATGGGGCCTCATCTCGCCTCTAGGGGGAAGTCTCATGGTTTTTCTCGAGTTGCGGCGGGGACCTGGGGTATGTTCTCGACTTACGGCGGGGATGGCCCTTCAAAACACGAGTTTCTTCAGTGACGTCAGGACTCCTGTCTAGTAACGAGGGACACCTCAGGAATCTCTTCGAGGCTTGGCAGGGCAAAAGGGACGCTTCTCGAGGTGAGGCAGGGCACCCAAGGACCCTTTCCAGTAGCCACAGGGATTTTGGGATTCCTATCAGTATTCAAGAGGAGTCAGGCATCGTCACCTTTTGAAGCAATGAACTCCGCGTGCCTCTCGAGGTGTCAGCGGGATGTGAGGCATTCCGTCAAAATGAGGCAGGGACCTAGGGCTTTCTCTAAGGTCTCCACAGGGGATTCAGACATCCCTTCATATTGTGAGATGAAAGACGAGCCTGTATTCAAGCCACTGCAAGGAAATCCGGCCTCCTTTCAAGTTAGGGCTTCTCGCTGTATATTCCCCTTGAGGCAGCAAACTCGGGGTCCCTCCCACATACCTATTGCTGAGAGAAGCCTCCTCCTGAGGTGCTTCTGGGAAGTTGGCATACGTCTTGAGCCTAAGCCAGGGAATCAGCTCTCATCTCGAGACGATTTGGGGTACACGGAGCATTCCTCCAGTTGCTGTGCTGAAGTTGGTGTTCCTCTAGACTTGGGACAGTGTTCTCGGGGCATCTCTGGAGTTGCCTGAAGGAAGTCGAGCCACCGGTCGTGTTGAATGGGGAACGGGGAATGGCTCTGGAGTCAATGCAGGGGAATCGGGCCTCATCTCGAGTTGATTTGGGGCACATGGAGCTGCTTTGCGTTGCTGGGGTGACCTCAGGGTCCGTCTAGACTGGTGACAGTGTTCTTGGGGACTGTCTCGAGATCCATTAAGCAAGTCGAAGCTCCTGACTTGTTTGAATGGGATCACGGAATAGCTCTGCATGCACTGCAGGGGAATGGGGCCTCATCTCGCCTCTAGGGGGAAGTCTCATGGTTTTTCTCGAGTTGCGGCGGGGACCTGGGGTATGTTCTCGACTTACGGCGGGGATGGCCCTTCAAAACACGAGTTTCTTCAGTGACGTCAGGACTCCTGTCTAGTAACGAGGGACACCTCAGGAATCTCTTCGAGGCTTGGCAGGGCAAAAGGGACGCTTCTCGAGGTGAGGCAGGGCACCCAAGGACCCTTTCCAGTAGCCACAGGGATTTTGGGATTCCTATCAGTATTCAAGAGGAGTCAGGCATCGTCACCTTTTGAAGCAATGAACTCCGCGTGCCTCTCGAGGTGTCAGCGGGATGTGAGGCATTCCGTCAAAATGAGGCAGGGACCTAGGGCTTTCTCTAAGGTCTCCACAGGGGATTCAGACATCCCTTCATGTTGTGAGATGAAAGACGAGCCTGTATTCAAGCCACTGCAAGGAAATCCGGCCTCCTTTCATGTTAGGGCTTCTCGCTGTATATTCCCCTTGAGGCAGCAAACTCGGGGTCCCTCCCACTTACCTATTGCTGAGAGAAGCCTCCTCCTGAGGTGCTTCTGGGAAGTTGGCATACGTCTTGAGCCTAAGCCAGGGAATCAGCTCGCATCTCGAGACGATTTGGGGTACACGGAGCATTCCTCGAGTTGCTGTGCTGAAGTTGGTGTTCCTCTAGACTTGGGACAGTGTTCTCGGGGCATCTCTGGAGTTGCCTGAAGGAAGTCGAGCCACCGGTCGTGTTGAATGGGGAACGGGGAATGGCTCTGGAGTCAATGCAGGGGAATCGGGCCTCATCTCGAGTTGATTTGGGGCACATGGAGCTGCTTTGCGTTGCTGGGGTGACCTCAGGGTCCGTCTAGACTGGTGACAGTGTTCTTGGGGACTGTCTCGAGATCCATTAAGCAAGTCGAAGCTCCTGACTTGTTTGAATGGGATCACGGAATAGCTCTGCATGCACTGCAGGGGAATGGGGCCTCATCTCGCCTCTAGGGGGAAGTCTCATGGTTTTTCTCGAGTTGCGGCGGGGACCTGGGGTATGTTCTCGACTTACGGCGGGGATGGCCCTTCAAAACACGAGTTTCTTCAGTGACGTCAGGACTCCTGTCTAGTAACGAGGGACACCTCAGGAATCTCTTCGAGGCTTGGCAGGGCAAAAGGGACGCTTCTCGAGGTGAGGCAGGGCACCCAAGGACCCTTTCCAGTAGCCACAGGGATTTGGGGATTCCTATCAGTATTCAAGAGGAGTCAGGCATCGTCACCTTTTGAAGCAATGAACTCCGCGTGCCTCTCGAGGTGTCAGCGGGATGTGAGGCATTCCGTCAAAATGAGGCAGGGACCTAGGGCTTTCTCTAAGGTCTCCACAGGGGATTCAGACATCCCTTCATATTGTGAGATGAAAGACGAGCCTGTATTCAAGCCACTGCAAGGAAATCCGGCCTCCTTTCAAGTTAGGGCTTCTCGCTGTATATTCCCCTTGAGGCAGCAAACTCGGGGTCCCTCCCACATACCTATTGCTGAGAGAAGCCTCCTCCTGAGGTGCTTCTGGGAAGTTGGCATACGTCTTGAGCCTAAGCCAGGGAATCAGCTCTCATCTCGAGACGATTTGGGGTACACGGAGCATTCCTCCAGTTGCTGTGCTGAAGTTGGTGTTCCTCTAGACTTGGGACAGTGTTCTCGGGGCATCTCTGGAGTTGCCTGAAGGAAGTCGAGCCACCGGTCGTGTTGAATGGGGAACGGGGAATGGCTCTGGAGTCAATGCAGGGGAATCGGGCCTCATCTCGAGTTGATTTGGGGCACATGGAGCTGCTTTGCGTTGCTGGGGTGACCTCAGGGTCCGTCTAGACTGGTGACAGTGTTCTTGGGGACTGTCTCGAGATCCATTAAGCAAGTCGAAGCTCCTGACTTGTTTGAATGGGATCACGGAATAGCTCTGCATGCACTGCAGGGGAATGGGGCCTCATCTCGCCTCTAGGGGGAAGTCTCATGGTTTTTCTCGAGTTGCGGCGGGGACCTGGGGTATGTTCTCGACTTACGGCGGGGATGGCCCTTCAAAACACGAGTTTCTTCAGTGACGTCAGGACTCCTGTCTAGTAACGAGGGACACCTCAGGAATCTCTTCGAGGCTTGGCAGGGCAAAAGGGACGCTTCTCGAGGTGAGGCAGGGCACCCAAGGACCCTTTCCAGTAGCCACAGGGATTTTGGGATTCCTATCAGTATTCAAGAGGAGTCAGGCATCGTCACCTTTTGAAGCAATGAACTCCGCGTGCCTCTCGAGGTGTCAGCGGGATGTGAGGCATTCCGTCAAAATGAGGCAGGGACCTAGGGCTTTCTCTAAGGTCTCCACAGGGGATTCAGACATCCCTTCATGTTGTGAGATGAAAGACGAGCCTGTATTCAAGCCACTGCAAGGAAATCCGGCCTCCTTTCAAGTTAGGGCTTCTCGCTGTATATTCCCCTTGAGGCAGCAAACTCGGGGTCCCTCCCACTTACCTATTGCTGAGAGAAGCCTCCTCCTGAGGTGCTTCTGGGAAGTTGGCATACGTCTTGAGCCTAAGCCAGGGAATCAGCTCGCATCTCGAGACGATTTGGGGTACACGGAGCATTCCTCGAGTTGCTGTGCTGAAGTTGGTGTTCCTCTAGACTTGGGACAGTGTTCTCGGGGCATCTCTGGAGTTGCCTGAAGGAAGTCGAGCCACCGGTCGTGTTGAATGGGCAACGGGGAATGGCTCTGGAGTCAATGCAGGGGAATCGGGCCTCATCTCGAGTTGATTTGGGGCTCATGGAGCTGCTTTGCGTTGCTGGGGTGACCTCAGGGTCCCTCTAGACTGGTGACAGTGTTCTTGGGGACTGTCTCGAGATCCATTAAGCAAGTCGAAGCTCCTGACTTGTTTGAATGGGATCACGGAATAGCTCTGCATGCACTGCAGGGGAATGGGGCCTCATCTCGCCTCTAGGGGGAAGTCTCATGGTTTTTCTCGAGTTGCGGCGGGGACCTGCGGTATGTTCTCGACTTACGGCGGGGATGGCCCTTCAAAACACGAGTTTCTTCAGTGACGTCAGGACTCCTGTCTAGTAACGTGGGACACCTCAGGAATCTCTTCGAGGCTTGGCAGGGCAAAAGGGACGCTTCTCGAGGTGAGGCAGGGCACCAAGGACCCTTTCCAGTAGCCACAGGGATTTTGGGATTCCTATCAGTATTCAAGAGGAGTCAGGCATCGTCACCTTTTGAAGCAATGAACTCCGCGTGCCTCTCGAGGTGTCAGCGGGATGTGAGGCATTCCGTCAAAATGAGGCAGGGACCTAGGGCTTTCTCTAAGGTCTCCACAGGGGATTCAGACATCCCTTCATGTTGTGAGATGAAAGACGAGCCTGTATTCAAGCCACTGCAAGGAAATCCGGCCTCCTTTCAAGTTAGGGCTTCTCGCTGTATATTCCCCTTGAGGCAGCAAACTCGGGGTCCCTCCCACATAACTATTGCTGAGAGAAGCCTCCTCCTGAGGTGCTTCTGGGAAGTTGGCATACGTCTTGAGCCTAAGCCAGGGAATCAGCTCTCATCTCGAGACGATTTGGGGTACACAGAGCATTCCTCCAGTTGCTGTGCTGAAGTTGGTGTTCCTCTAGACTTGGGACAGTGTTCTCGGGGCATCTCTGGAGTTGCCTGAAGGAAGTCGAGCCACCGGTCGTGTTGAATGGGGAACGGGGAATGGCTCTGGAGTCAATGCAGGGGAATCGGGCCTCATCTCGAGTTGATTTGGGGCACATGGAGCTGCTTTGCGTTGCTGGGGTGACCTCAGGGTCCGTCTAGACTGGTGACAGTGTTCTTGGGGACTGTCTCGAGATCCATTAAGAAGTCGAAGCTCCTGACTTGTTTGAATGGGATCACGGAATAGCTCTGCATGCACTGCAGGGGAATGGGGCCTCATCTCGCCTCTAGGGGGAAGTCTCATGGTTTTTCTCGAGTTGCGGCGGGGACCTGGGGTATGTTCTCGACTTACGGCGGGGATGGCCCTTCAAAACACGAGTTTCTTCAGTGACGTCAGGACTCCTGTCTAGTAACGAGGGACACCTCAGGAATCTCTTCGAGGCTTGGCAGGGCAAAAGGGACGCTTCTCGAGGTGAGGCAGGGCACCCAAGGACCCTTTCCAGTAGCCACAGGGATTTTGGGATTCCTGTCAGTATTCAAGAGGAGTCAGGCATCGTCACCTTTTGAAGCAATGAACTCCGCGTGCCTCTCGAGGTGTCAGCGCGATGTGAGGCATTCCGTCAAAATGAGGCAGGGACCTAGGGCTTTCTCTAAGGTCTCCACAGGGGATTCAGACATCCCTTCATGTTGTGAGATGAAAGACGAGCCTGTATTCAAGCCACTGCAAGGAAATCCGGCCTCCTTTCAAGTTAGGGCTTCTCGCTGTATATTCCCCTTGAGGCAGCAAACTCGGGGTCCCTCCCACATACCTATTGCTGAGAGAAGCCTCCTCCTGAGGTGCTTCTGGGAAGTTGGCATACGTCTTGAGCCTAAGCCAGGGAATCAGCTCTCATCTCGAGACGATTTGGGGTACACGGAGCATTCCTCGAGTTGCTGTGCTGAAGTTGGTGTTCCTCTAGACTTGGGACAGTGTTCTCGGGGCATCTCTGGAGTTGCCTGAATGAAGTCGAGCCACCGGTCGTGTTGAATGGGGAACGGGGAATGGCTCTGGAGTCAATGCAGGGGAATCGGGCCTCATCTCGAGTTGATTTGGGGCACATGGAGCTGCTTTGCGTTGCTGGGGTGACCTCAGGGTCCGTCTAGACTGGTGACAGTGTTCTTGGGGACTGTCTCGAGATCCATTAAGCAAGTCGAAGCTCCTGACTTGTTTGAATGGGATCACGGAATAGCTCTGCATGCACTGCAGGGGAATGGGGCCTCATCTCGCCTCTAGGGGGAAGTCTCATGGTTTTTCTCGAGTTGCGGCGGGGACCTGGGGTATGTTCTCGACTTACGGCGGGGATGGCCCTTCAAAACACGAGTTTCTTCAGTGACGTCAGGACTCCTGTCTAGTAACGAGGGACACCTCAGGAATCTCTTCGAGGCTTGGCAGGGCAAAAGGGACGCTTCTCGAGGTGAGGCAGGGCACCCAAGGACCCTTTCCAGTAGCCACAGGGATTTTGGGATTCCTATCAGTATTCAAGAGGAGTCAGGCATCGTCACCTTTTGAAGCAATGAACTCCGCGTGCCTCTCGAGGTGTCAGCGGGATGTGAGGCATTCCGTCAAAATGAGGCAGGGACCTAGGGCTTTCTCTAAGGTCTCCACAGGGGATTCAGACATCCCTTCATGTTGTGAGATGAAAGACGAGAATGTATTCAAGCCACTGCAAGGAAATCCGGCCTCCTTTCAAGTTAGGGCTTCTCGCTGTATATTCCCCTTGAGGCAGCAAACTCGGGGTCCCTCCCACATACCTATTGCTGAGAGAAGCCTCCTCCTAAGGTGCCTCTGGGAAGTTGGCATACGTCTTGAGCCTAAGCCAGGGAATCAGCTCTCATCTCGAGACGATTTGGGGTACACGGAGCATTCCTCGAGTTGCTGTGCTGAATTTGGTGTTCCTCTAGACTTGGGACAGTGTTCTCGGGGCATCTCTGGAGTTGCCTGAAGGAAGTCGAGCCACCGGTCGTGTTGAATGGGGAACGGGGAATGGCTCTGGAGTCAATGCAGGGGAATCGGGCCTCATCTCAAGTTGATTTGGGGCACATGGAGCTGCTATGCGTTGCTGGGGTGACCTCAGAGTCCGTCTAGACTGGTGACAGTGTTCTTGGGGACTGTCTCGAGATCCATTAAGCAAGTCGAAGCTCCTGACTTGTTTGAATGGGATCACGGAATAGCTCTGCATGCACTGCAGGGGAATGGGGCCTCATCTCGCCTCTAGGGGGAAGTCTCATGGTTTTTCTCGAGTTGCGGCGGGGACCTGGGGTATGTTCTCGACTTATGGCGGGGATGGCCCTTCAAGACACGAGTTTCTTCAGTGACGTCAGGACTCCTGTCTAGTAACGAGGGACACCTCAGGAATCTCTTCGAGGCTTGGCAGGGCAAAAGGGACGCTTCTCGAGGTGAGGCAGGGCACCCAAGGACCCTTTCCAGTAGCCACAGGGATTTTGGGATTCCTATCAGTATTCAAGAGGAGTCAGGCATCGTCACCTTTTGAAGCAATGAACTCCGCGTGCCTCTCGAGGTGTCAGCGGGATGTGAGGCATTCCGTCAAAATGAGGCAGGGACCTAGGGCTTTCTCTAAGGTCTCCACAGGGGATTCAGACATCCCTTCATGTTGTGAGATGAAAGACGAGCCTGTATTCAAGCCACTGCAAGGAAATCCGGCCTCCTTTCAAGTTAGGGCTTCTCGCTGTATATTCCCCTTGAGGCAGCAAACTCGGGGTCCCTCCCACTTACCTATTGCTGAGAGAAGCCTCCTCCTGAGGTGCTTCTGGGAAGTTGGCATACGTCTTGAGCCTAAGCCAGGGAATCAGCTCGCATCTCGAGACGATTTGGGGTACACGGAGCATTCCTCGAGTTGCTGTGCTGAAGTTGGTGTTCCTCTAGACTTGGGACAGTGTTCTCGGGGCATCTCTGGAGTTGCCTGAAGGAAGTCGAGCCACCGGTCGTGTTGAATGGGCAACGGGGAATGGCTCTGGAGTCAATGCAGGGGAATCGGGCCTCATCTCGAGTTGATTTGGGGCACATGGAGCTGCTTTGCGTTGCTGGGGTGACCTCAGGGTCCCTCTAGACTGGTGACAGTGTTCTTGGGGACTGTCTCGAGATCCATTAAGCAAGTCGAAGCTCCTGACTTGTTTGAATGGGATCACGGAATAGCTCTGCATGCACTGCAGGGGAATGGGGCCTCATCTCGCCTCTAGGGGGAAGTCTCATGGTTTTTCTCGAGTTGCGGCGGGGACCTGCGGTATGTTCTCGACTTACGGCGGGGATGGCCCTTCAAAACACGAGTTTCTTCAGTGACGTCAGGACTCCTGTCTAGTAACGAGGGACACCTCAGGAATCTCTTCGAGGCTTGGCAGGGCAAAAGGGACGCTTCTCGAGGTGAGGCAGGGCACCCAAGGACCCTTTCCAGTAGCCACAGGGATTTTGGGATTCCTATCAGTATTCAAGAGGAGTCAGGCATCGTCACCTTTTGAAGCAATGAACTCCGCGTGCCTCTCGAGGTGTCAGCGGGATGTGAGGCATTCCGTCAAAATGAGGCAGGGACCTAGGGCTTTCTCTAAGGTCTCCACAGGGGATTCAGACATCCCTTCATGTTGTGAGATGAAAGACGAGCCTGTATTCAAGCCACTGCAAGGAAATCCGGCCTCCTTTCAAGTTAGGGCTTCTCGCTGTATATTCCCCTTGAGGCAGCAAACTCGGGGTCCCTCCCACATAACTATTGCTGAGAGAAGCCTCCTCCTGAGGTGCTTCTGGGAAGTTGGCATACGTCTTGAGCCTAAGCCAGGGAATCAGCTCTCATCTCGAGACGATTTGGGGTACACAGAGCATTCCTCCAGTTGCTGTGCTGAAGTTGGTGTTCCTCTAGACTTGGGACAGTGTTCTCGGGGCATCTCTGGAGTTGCCTGAAGGAAGTCGAGCCACCGGTCGTGTTGAATGGGGAACGGGGAATGGCTCTGGAGTCAATGCAGGGGAATCGGGCCTCATCTCGAGTTGATTTGGGGCACATGGAGCTGCTTTGCGTTGCTGGGGTGACCTCAGGGTCCGTCTAGACTGGTGACAGTGTTCTTGGGGACTGTCTCGAGATCCATTAAGAAGTCGAAGCTCCTGACTTGTTTGAATGGGATCACGGAATAGCTCTGCATGCACTGCAGGGGAATGGGGCCTCATCTCGCCTCTAGGGGGAAGTCTCATGGTTTTTCTCGAGTTGCGGCGGGGACCTGGGGTATGTTCTCGACTTACGGCGGGGATGGCCCTTCAAAACACGAGTTTCTTCAGTGACGTCAGGACTCCTGTCTAGTAACGAGGGACACCTCAGGAATCTCTTCGAGGCTTGGCAGGGCAAAAGGGACGCTTCTCGAGGTGAGGCAGGGCACCCAAGGACCCTTTCCAGTAGCCACAGGGATTTTGGGATTCCTGTCAGTATTCAAGAGGAGTCAGGCATCGTCACCTTTTGAAGCAATGAACTCCGCGTGCCTCTCGAGGTGTCAGCGCGATGTGAGGCATTCTGTCAAAATGAGGCAGGGACCTAGGGCTTTCTCTAAGGTCTCCACAGGGGATTCAGACATCCCTTCATGTTGTGAGATGAAAGACGAGCCTGTATTCAAGCCACTGCAAGGAAATCCGGCCTCCTTTCAAGTTAGGGCTTCTCGCTGTATATTCCCCTTGAGGCAGCAAACTCGGGGTCCCTCCCACATACCTATTGCTGAGAGAAGCCTCCTCCTGAGGTGCTTCTGGGAAGTTGGCATACGTCTTGAGCCTAAGCCAGGGAATCAGCTCTCATCTCGAGACGATTTGGGGTACACGGAGCATTCCTCGAGTTGCTGTGCTGAAGTTGGTGTTCCTCTAGACTTGGGACAGTGTTCTCGGGGCATCTCTGGAGTTGCCTGAAGGAAGTCGAGCCACCGGTCGTGTTGAATGGGGAACGGGGAATGGCTCTGGAGTCAATGCAGGGGAATCGGGCCTCATCTCAAGTTGATTTGGGGCACATGGAGCTGCTATGCGTTGCTGGGGTGACCTCAGAGTCCGTCTAGACTGGTGACAGTGTTCTTGGGGACTGTCTCGAGATCCATTAAGCAAGTCGAAGCTCCTGACTTGTTTGAATGGGATCACGGAATAGCTCTGCATGCACTGCAGGGGAATGGGGCCTCATCTCGCCTCTAGGGGGAAGTCTCATGGTTTTTCTCGAGTTGCGGCGGGGACCTGGGGTATGTTCTCGACTTATGGCGGGGATGGCCCTTCAAGACACGAGTTTCTTCAGTGACGTCAGGACTCCTGTCTAGTAACGAGGGACACCTCAGGAATCTCTTCGAGGCTTGGCAGGGCAAAAGGGACGCTTCTCGAGGTGAGGCAGGGCACCCAAGGACCCTTTCCAGTAGCCACAGGGATTTTGGGATTCCTATCAGTATTCAAGAGGAGTCAGGCATCGTCACCTTTTGAAGCAATGAACTCCGCGTGCCTCTCGAGGTGTAGGCGGGATGTGAGGCATTCCGTCAAAATGAGGCAGGGACCTAGGGCTTTCTCTAAGGTCTCCACAGGGGATTCAGACATCCCTTCATGTTGTGAGAGGAAAGACGAGCCTGTATTCAAGCCACTGCAAGGAAATCCGGCCTCCTTTCAAGTTAGGGCTTCTCGCTGTATATTCCCATTGAGGCAGCAAACTCGGGGTCCCTCCCACATACCTATTGCTGAGAGAAGCCTCCTCCTGAGGTGCTTCTGGGAAGTTGGCATACGTCTTGAGCCTAAGCCAGGGAATCAGCTCTCATCTCGAGACGATTTGGGGTACACGGAGCATTCCTCGAGTTGCTGTGCTGAAGTTGGTGTTCTTCTAGACTTGGGACAGTGTTCTCGGGGCATCTCTGGAGTTGCCTGAAGGAAGTCGAGCCACCGGTCGTGTTGAATGGGGAACAGGGAATGGCTCTGGAGTCAATGCAGGGGAATCGTTCCTCATCTCGAGTTGATTTGGGGCACATGGAGCTGCTTTGCGTTGCTGGGGTGACCTCAGGGTCCGTCTAGACTGGTGACAGTGTTCTTGGGGACTGTCTCGAGATCCATTAAGCAAGTCGAAGCTCCTGACTTGTTTGAATGGGATCACGGAATAGCTCTGCATGCACTGCAGGGGAATGGGGCCTCATCTCGCCTCTAGGGGGAAGTCTCATGGTTTTTCTCGAGTTGCGGCTGGGACCTGGGGTATGTTCTCCACTTACGGCGGGGATGGCCCTTCAAAACACGAGTTTCTTCAATGCCGTCAGGACTCCTGTCTAGTAACGAGGGACACCTCAGGAATCTCTTTGAGGCTTGGCAGGGCAAAAGGGACGCTTCTCGAGGTGAGGCAGGGCACCCAAGGACCCTTTCCAGTAGCCACAGGGATTTTGGGATTCCTATCAGTATTCAAGAGGAGTCAGGCATCGTCACCTTTTGAAGCAATGAACTCCGCGTGCCTCTCGAGGTGTCAGCGGGATGTGAGGCATTCCGTCAAAATGAGGCAGGGACCTAGGGCTTTCTCTAAGGTCTCCACAGGGGATTCAGACATCCCTTCATGTTGTGAGATGAAAGACGAGCCTGTATTCAAGCCACTGCAAGGAAATCCGGCCTCCTTTCAAGTTAGGGCTTCTCGCTGTATATTCCCCTTGAGGCAGCAAACTCGGGGTCCCTCCCACATACCTATTGCTGAGAGAAGCCTCCTCCTGAGGTGCTTCTGGGAAGTTGGCATACGTCTTGAGCCTAAGCCAGGGAATCAGCTCTCATCTCGAGACGATTTGGGGTACACGGAGAATTCCTCCAGTTGCTGTGCTGAAGTTGGTGTTCCTCTAGACTTGGGACAGTGTTCTCGGGGCATCTCTGGAGTTGCCTGAAGGAAGTCGAGCCACCGGTCGTGTTGAATGGGGAACGGGGAATGGCTCTGGAGTCAATGCAGGGGAATCGGGCCTCATCTCGAGTTGATTTGGGGCACATGGAGCTGCTTTGCGTTGCTGGGGTGACCTCAGGGTCCGTCTAGACTGGTGACAGTGTTCTTGGGGACTGTCTCGAGATCCATTAAGAAGTCGAAGCTCCTGACTTGTTTGAATGGGATCACGGAATAGCTCTGCATGCACTGCAGGGGAATGGGGCCTCATCTCGCCTCTAGGGGGAAGTCTCATGGTTTTTCTCGAGTTGCGGCGGGGACCTGGGGTATGTTCTCGACTTACGGCGGGGATGGCCCTTCAAGACACGAGTTTCTTCAGTGACGTCAGGACTCCTGTCTAGTAACGAGGGACACCTCAGGAATCTCTTCGAGGCTTGGCAGGGCAAAAGGGACACTTCTCGAGGTGAGGCAGGGCACCCAAGGACCCTTTCCAGTAGCCACAGGGATTTGGGGATTCCTATCAGTATTCAAGAGGAGTCAGGCATCGTCACCTTTTGAAGCAATGAACTCCGCGTGCCTCTCGAGGTGTCAGCGGGATGTGAGGCATTCCGTCAAAATGAGGCAGGGACCTAGGGCTTTCTCTAAGGTCTCCACAGGGGATTCAGACATCCCTTCATGTTGTGAGATGAAAGACGAGCCTGTATTCAAGCCACTGCAAGGAAATCCGGCCTCCTTTCAAGTTAGGGCTTCTCGCTGTATATTCCCCTTGAGGCAGCAAACTCGGGGTCCCTCCCACATACCTATTGCTGAGAGAAGCCTCCTCCTGAGGTGCTTCTGGGAAGTTGGCATACGTCTTGAGCCTAAGCCAGGGAATCAGCTCGCACCTCGAGACGATTTGGGGTACACGGAGCATTCCTCGAGTTGCTGTGCTGAAGTTGGTGTTCCTCTAGACTTGGGACAGTGTTCTCGGGGCATCTCTGGAGTTGCCTGAAGGAAGTCGAGCCACCGGTCGTGTTGAATGGGGAACGGGGAATGGCTCTGGAGTCAATGCAGGGGAATCGGGCCTCATCTCGAGTTGATTTGGGGCACATGGAGCTGCTTTGCGTTGCTGGGGTGACCTCAGGGTCCGTCTAGACTGGTGACAGTGTTCTTGGGGACTGTCTCGAGATCCATTAAGCAAGTCGAAGTTCCTGACTTGTTTGAATGGGATCACGGAATAGCTCTGCATGCACTGCAGGGGAATGGGGCCTCATCTCGCCTCTAGCGGGAAGTCTCATGGTTTTTCTCGAGTTGCGGCGGGGACCTGGGGTATGTTCTCGACTTAGGGCGGGGATGGCCCTTCAAAACACGAGTTTCTTCAGTGACGTCAGGACTCCTGTCTAGTAACGAGGGACACCTCAGAAATCTCTTCGAGGCTTGGCAGGGCAAAAGGGACGCTTCTCGAGGTGAGGCAGGGCACCCAAGGACCCTTTCCAGTAGCCACAGGGATTTTGGGATTCCTATCAGTATTCAAGAGGAGTCAGGCATCGTCACCTTTTGAAGCAATGAACTCCGCGTGCCTCTCGAGGTGTCAGCGCGATGTGAGGCATTCCGTCAAAATGAGGCAGGGACCTAGGGCTTTCTCTAAGGTCTCCACAGGGGATTCAGACATCCCTTCATGTTGTGAGATGAAAGACGAGCCTGTATTCAAGCCACTGCAAGGAAATCCGGCCTCCTTTCAAGTTAGGGCTTCTCGCTGTATACTCCCCTTGAGGCAGCAAACTCGGGGTCCCTCCCACATACCTATTGCTGAGAGAAGCCTCCTCCTGAGGTGCTTCTGGGAAGTTGGCATACGTCTTGAGCCTAAGCCAGGGAATCAGCTCGCATCTGGAGACGATTTGGGGTACACGGAGCATTCCTCGAGTTGCTGTGCTGAAGTTGGTGTTCCTCTAGACTTGGGACAGTGTTCTCGGGGCATCTCTGGAGTTGCCTGAAGGAAGTCGAGCCACCGGTCGTGTTGAATGGGGAACGGGGAATGGCTCTGGAGTCAATGCAGGGGAATCGGGCCTCATCTCGAGTTGATTTGGGGCACATGGAGCTGCTTTGCGTTGCTGGGGTGACCTCAGGGTCCGTCTAGACTGGTGACAGTGTTCTTGGGGACTGTCTCGAGATCCATTAAGCAAGTCGAAGCTCCTGACTTGTTTGAATGGGATCACGGAATAGCTCTGCATGCACTGCAGGGGAATGGGGCCTCATCTCGCCTCTAGGGGGAAGTCTCATGGTTTTTCTCGAGTTGCGGCGGGGACCTGGGGTATGTTCTCGACTTACGGCGGGGATGGCCCTTCAAAACACGAGTTTCTTCAGTGACGTCAGGACTCCTGTCTAGTAACGAGGGACACCTCAGGAATCTCTTCGAGGCTTGGCAGGGCAAAAGGGACGCTTCTCGAGGTGAGGCAGGGCACCCAAGGACCCTTTCCAGTAGCCACAGGGATTTGGGGATTCCTATCAGTATTCAAGAGGAGTCAGGCATCGTCACCTTTTGAAGCAATGAACTCCGCGTGCCTCTCGAGGTGTCAGCGGGATGTGAGGCATTCCGTCAAAATGAGGCAGGGACCTAGGGCTTTCTCTAAGGTCTCCACAGGGGATTCAGACATCCCTTCATGTTGTGAGATGAAAGACGAGCCTGTATTCAAGCCACTGCAAGGAAATCCGGCCTCCTTTCAAGTTAGGGCTTCTCGCTGTATACTCCCCTTGAGGCAGCAAACTCGGGGTCCCTCCCACATACCTATTGCTGAGAGAAGCCTCCTCCTGAGGTGCTTCTGGGAAGTTGGCATACGTCTTGAGCCTAAGCCAGGGAATCAGCTCGCATCTGGAGACGATTTGGGGTACACGGAGCATTCCTCGAGTTGCTGTGCTGAAGTTGGTGTTCCTCTAGACTTGGGACAGTGTTCTCGGGGCATCTCTGGAGTTGCCTGAAGGAAGTCGAGCCACCGGTCGTGTTGAATGGGGAACGGGGAATGGCTCTGGAGTCAATGCAGGGGAATCGGGCCTCATCTCGAGTTGATTTGGGGCACATGGAGCTGCTTTGCGTTGCTGGGGTGACCTCAGGGTCCGTCTAGACTGGTGACAGTGTTCTTGGGGACTGTCTCGAGATCCATTAAGCAAGTCGAAGCTCCTGACTTGTTTGAATGGGATCACGGAATAGCTCTGCATGCACTGCAGGGGAATGGGGCCTCATCTCGCCTCTAGGGGGAAGTCTCATGGTTTTTCTCGAGTTGCGGCGGGGACCTGGGGTATGTTCTCGACTTACGGCGGGGATGGCCCTTCAAAACACGAGTTTCTTCAGTGACGTCAGGACTCCTGTCTAGTAACGAGGGACACCTCAGGAATCTCTTCGAGGCTTGGCAGGGCAAAAGGGACGCTTCTCGAGGTGAGGCAGGGCACCCAAGGACCCTTTCCAGTAGCCACAGGGATTTTGGGATTCCTATCAGTATTCAAGAGGAGTCAGGCATCGTCACCTTTTGAAGCAATGAACTCCGCGTGCCTCTCGAGGTGTCAGCGGGATGTGAGGCATTCCGTCAAAATGAGGCAGGGACCTAGGGCTTTCTCTAAGGTCTCCACAGGGGATTCAGACATCCCTTCATGTTGTGAGATGAAAGACGAGCCTGTATTCAAGCCACTGCATGGAAATCCGGCCTCCTTTCAAGTTAGGGCTTCTCGCTGTATATTCCCCTTGAGGCAGCAAACTCGGGGTCCCTCCCACATACCTATTGCTGAGAGAAGCCTCCGCCTGAGGTGCTTCTGGGAAGTTGGCATACGTCTTGAGCCTAAGCCAGGGAATCAGCTCTCATCTCGAGACGATTTGGGGTACACGGAGCATTCCTCCAGTTTCTGTGCTGAAGTTGGTGTTCCTCTAGACTTGGGACAGTGTTCTCGGGGCATCTCTGGAGTTGCCTGAAGGAAGTCGAGCCACCGGTCGTGTTGAATGGGGAACGGGGAATGGCTCTGGAGTCAATGCAGGGGAATCGGGCCTCATCTCGAGTTGATTTGGGGCACATGGAGCTGCTTTGCGTTGCTGGGGTGACCTCAGGGTCCGTCTAGACTGGTGACAGTGTTCTTGGGGACTGTCTCGAGATCCATTAAGAAGTCGAAGCTCCTGACTTGTTTGAATGGGATCACGGAATAGCTCTGCATGCACTGCAGGGGAATGGGGCCTCATCTCGCCTCTAGGGGGAAGTCTCATGGTTTTTCTCGAGTTGCGGCGGGGACCTGGGGTATGTTCTCGACTTACGGCGGGGATGGCCCTTCAAAACACGAGTTTCTTCAGTGACGTCAGGACTCCTGTCTAGTAACGAGGGACACCTCAGGAATCTCTTCGAGGCTTGGCAGGGCAAAAGGGACGCTTCTCGAGGTGAGGCAGGGCACCCAAGGACCCTTTCCAGTAGCCACAGGGATTTTGGGATTCCTATCAGTATTCAAGAGGAGTCAGGCATCGTCACCTTTTGAAGCAATGAACTCCGCGTGCCTCTCGAGGTGTCAGCGGGATGTGAGGCATTCCGTCAAAATGAGGCAGGGACCTAGGGCTTTCTCTAAGGTCTCCACAGGGGATTCAGACATCCCTTCATGTTGTGAGATGAAAGACGAGCCTGTATTCAAGCCACTGCAAGGAAATCCGGCCTCCTTTCAAGTTAGGGCTTCTCGCTGTATATTCCCCTTGAGGCAGCAAACTCGGGGTCCCTCCCACATACCTATTGCTGAGAGAAGCCTCCTCCTGAGGTGCTTCTGGGAAGTTGGCATACGTCTTGAGCCTAAGCCAGGGAGTCAGCTCTCATCTCGAGACGATTTGGGGTACACGGAGCATTCCTCCAGTTGCTGTGCTGAAGTTGGTGTTCCTCTAGACTTGGGACAGTGTTCTCGGGGCATCTCTGGAGTTGCCTGAAGGAAGTCGAGCCACCGGTCGTGTTGAATGGGGAACGGGGAATGGCTCTGGAGTCAATGCAGGGGAATCGGGCCTCATCTCGAGTTGATTTGGGGCACATGGAGCTGCTTTGCGTTGCTGGGGTGACCTCAGGGTCCGTCTAGACTGGTGACAGTGTTCTTGGGGACTGTCTCGAGATCCATTAAGCAAGTCGAAGCTCCTGACTTGTTTGAATGGGATCACGGAATAGCTCTGCATGCACTGCAGGGGAATGGGGCCTCATCTCGCCTCTAGGGGGAAGTCTCATGGTTTTTCTCGAGTTGCGGCGGGGACCTGGGGTATGTTCTCGACTTACGGCGGGGATGGCCCTTCAAAACACGAGTTTCTTCAGTGACGTCAGGACTCCTGTCTAGTAACGAGGGACACCTCAGGAATCTCTTCGAGGCTTGGCAGGGCAAAAGGGACGCTTCTCGAGGTGAGGCAGGGCACCCAAGGACCCTTTCCAGTAGCCACAGGGATTTTGGGATTCCTATCAGTATTCAAGAGGAGTCAGGCATCGTCACCTTTTGAAGCAATGAACTCCGCGTGCCTCTCGAGGTGTCAGCGCGATGTGAGGCATTCCGTCAAAATGAGGCAGAGACCTAGGGCTTTCTCTAAGGTCTCCACAGGGGATTCAGACATCCCTTCATGTTGTGAGATGAAAGACGAGCCTGTATTCAAGCCACTGCAAGGAAATCCGGCCTCCTTTCAAGTTAGGGCTTCTCGCTGTATATTCCCCTTGAGGCAGCAAACTCGGGGTCCCTCCCACATACCTATTGCTGAGAGAAGCCTCCTCCTGAGGTGCTTCTGGGAAGTTGGCATACGTCTTGAGCCTAAGCCAGGGAATCAGCTCTCATCTCGAGACGATTTGGGGTACACGGAGCATTCCTCGAGTTGCTGTACTGAAGTTGGTGTTCCTCTAGACTTGGGACAGTGTTCTCGGGGCATCTCTGGAGTTGCCTGAAGGAAGTCGAGCCACCGGTCGTGTTGAATGGGGAACGGGGAATGGCTCTGGAGTCAATGCAGGGGAATCGGGCCTCATCTCGAGTTGATTTGGGGCACATGGAGCTGCTTTGCGTTGCTGGGGTGACCTCAGGGTCCGTCTGGACTGGTGACAGTGTTCTTGGGGACTGTCTCGAGATCCATTAAGCAAGTCGAAGCTCCTGACTTGTTTGAATGGGATCACGGAATAGCTCTGCATGCACTGCAGGGGAATGGGGCCTCATCTCGCCTCTAGCGGGAAGTCTCATGGTTTTTCTCGAGTTGCGGCGGGGACCTGGGGTATGTTCTCGACTTACGGCGGGGATGGCCCTTCAAAACACGAGTTTCTTCAGTGACGTCAGGACTCCTGTCTAGTAACGAGGGACACCTCAGGAATCTCTTCGAGGCTTGGCAGGGCAAAAGGGACGCTTCTCGAGGTGAGGCAGGGCACCCAAGGACCCTTTCCAGTAGCCACAGGGATTTTGGGATTCCTATCAGTATTCAAGAGGAGTCAGGCATCGTCACCTTTTGAAGCAATGAACTCCGCGTGCCTCTCGAGGTGTCAGCGGGATGTGAGGCATTCCGTCAAAATGAGGCAGGGACCTAGGGCTTTCTCTAAGGTCTCCACAGGGGATTCAGACATCCCTTCATGTTGTGAGATGAAAGACGAGCCTGTATTCAAGCCACTGCATGGAAATCCGGCCTCCTTTCAAGTTAGGGCTTCTCGCTGTATATTCCCCTTGAGGCAGCAAACTCGGGGTCCCTCCCACATACCTATTGCTGAGAGAAGCCTCCGCCTGAGGTGCTTCTGGGAAGTTGGCATACGTCTTGAGCCTAAGCCAGGGAATCAGCTCTCATCTCGAGACGATTTGGGGTACACGGAGCATTCCTCCAGTTGCTGTGCTGAAGTTGGTGTTCCTCTAGACTTGGGACAGTGTTCTCGGGGCATCTCTGGAGTTGCCTGAAGGAAGTCGAGCCACCGGTCGTGTTGAATGGGGAACGGGGAATGGCTCTGGAGTCAATGCAGGGGAATCGGGCCTCATCTCGAGTTGATTTGGGGCACATGGAACTGCTTTGCGTTGCTGGGGTGACCTCAGGGTCCGTCTAGACTGGTGACAGTGTTCTTGGGGACTGTCTCGAGATCCATTAAGAAGTCGAAGCTCCTGACTTGTTTGAATGGGATCACGGAATAGCTCTGCATGCACTGCAGGGGAATGGGGCCTCATCTCGCCTCTAGGGGGAAGTCTCATGGTTTTTCTCGAGTTGCGGCGGGGACCTGGGGTATGTTCTCGACTTACGGCGGGGATGGCCCTTCAAAACACGAGTTTCTTCAGTGACGTCAGGACTCCTGTCTAGTAACGAGGGACACCTCAGGAATCTCTTCGAGGCTTGGCAGGGCAAAAGGGACGCTTCTCGAGGTGAGGCAGGGCACCCAAGGACCCTTTCCAGTAGCCACAGGGATTTTGGGATTCCTATCAGTATTCAAGAGGAGTCAGGCATCGTCACCTTTTGAAGCAATGAACTCCGCGTGCCTCTCGAGGTGTCAGCGCGATGTGAGGCATTCCGTCAAAATGAGGCAGGGACCTAGGGCTTTCTCTAAGGTCTCCACAGGGGATTCAGACATCCCTTCATGTTGTGAGATGAAAGACGAGCCTGTATTCAAGCCACTGCAAGGAAATCCGGCCTCCTTTCAAGTTAGGGCTTCTCGCTGTATATTCCCCTTGAGGCAGCAAACTCGGGGTCCCTCCCACATACCTATTGCTGAGAGAAGCCTCCTCCTGAGGTGCTTCTGGGAAGTTGGCATACGTCTTGAGCCTAAGCCAGGGAATCAGCTCTCATCTCGAGACGATTTGGGGTACACGGAGCATTCCTCGAGTTGCTGTGCTGAAGTTGGTGTTCCTCTAGACTTGGGACAGTGTTCTCGGGGCATCTCTGGAGTTGCCTGAAGGAAGTCGAGCCACCGGTCGTGTTGAATGGGGAACGGGGAATGGCTCTGGAGTCAATGCAGGGGAATCGGGCCTCATCTCGAGTTGATTTGGGGCACATGGAGCTGCTTTGCGTTGCTGGGGTGACCTCAGGGTCCGTCTAGACTGGTGACAGTGTTCTTGGGGACTGTCTCGAGATCCATTAAGCAAGTCGAAGCTCCTGACTTGTTTGAATGGGATCACGGAATAGCTCTGCATGCACTGCAGGGGAATGGGGCCTCATCTCGCCTCTAGGGGGAAGTCTCATGGTTTTTCTCGAGTTGCGGCGGGGACCTGGGTATGTTCTCGACTTACGGCGGGGATGGCCCTTCAAAACACGAGTTTCTTCAGTGACGTCAGGACTCCTGTCTAGTAACGAGGGACACCTCAGGAATCTCTTCGAGGCTTGGCAGGGCAAAAGGGACGCTTCTCGAGGTGAGGCAGGGCACCCAAGGACCCTTTCCAGTAGCCACAGGGATTTTGGGATTCCTATCAGTATTCAAGAGGAGTCAGGCATCGTCACCTTTTGAAGCAATGAACTCCGCGTGCCTCTCGAGGTGTCAGCGGGATGTGAGGCATTCCGTCAAAATGAGGCAGGGACCTAGGGCTTTCTCTAAGGTCTCCACAGGGGATTCAGACATCCATTCATGTTGTGAGATGAAAGACGAGCCTGTATTCAAGCCACTGCAAGGAAATCCGGCCTCCTTTCAAGTTAGGGCTTCTCGCTGTATATTCCCCTTGAGGCAGCAAACTCGGGGTCCCTCCCACATACCTATTGCTGAGAGAAGCCTCCTCCTGAGGTGCTTCTGGGAAGTTGGCATACGTCTTGAGCCTAAGCCAGGGAATCAGCTCGCACCTCGAGACGATTTGGGGTACACGGAGCATTCCTCGAGTTGCTGTGCTGAAGTTGGTGTTCCTCTAGACTTGGGACAGTGTTCTCGGGGCATCTCTGGAGTTGCCTGAAGGAAGTCGAGCCACCGGTCGTGTTGAATGGGGAACGGGGAATGGCTCTGGAGTCAATGCAGGGGAATCGGGCCTCATCTCGAGTTGATTTGGGGCACATGGAGCTGCTTTGCGTTGCTGGGGTGACCTCAGGGTCCGTCTAGACTGGTGACAGTGTTCTTGGGGACTGTCTCGAGATCCATTAAGAAGTCGAAGCTCCTGACTTGTTTGAATGGGATCACGGAATAGCTCTGCATGCACTGCAGGGGAATGGGGCCTCATCTCGCCTCTAGGGGGAAGTCTCATGGTTTTTCTCGAGTTGCGGCGGGGACCTGGGGTATGTTCTCGACTTACGGCGGGGATGGCCCTTCAAAACACGAGTTTCTTCAGTGACGTCAGGACTCCTGTCTAGTAACGAGGGACACCTCAGGAATCTCTTCGAGGCTTGGCAGGGCAAAAGGGACGCTTCTCGAGGTGAGGCAGGGCACCCAAGGACCCTTTCCAGTAGCCACAGGGATTTGGGGATTCCTATCAGTATTCAAGAGGAGTCAGGCATCATCACCTTTTGAAGCAACGAACTCCGCGTGCCTCTCGAGGTGTCAGCGCGATGTGAGGCATTCCGTCAAAATGAGGCAGGGACCTAGGGCTTTCTCTAAGGTCTCCACAGGGGATTCAGACATCCCTTCATGTTGTGAGATGAAAGACGAGCCTGTATTCAAGCCACTGCAAGGAAATCCGGCCTCCTTTCAAGTTAGGGCTTCTCGCTGTATATTCCCCTTGAGGCAGCAAACTCGGGGTCCCTCCCACATACCTATTGCTGAGAGAAGCCTCCTCCTGAGGTGCTTCTGGGAAGTTGGCATACGTCTTGAGCCTAAGCCAGGGAATCAGCTCTCATCTCGAGACGATTTGGGGTACACGGAGCATTCCTCGAGTTGCTGTGCTGAAGTTGGTGTTCCTCTAGACTTGGGACAGTGTTCTCGGGGCATCTCTGGAGTTGCCTGAAGGAAGTCGAGCCACCGGTCGTGTTGAATGGGGAACGGGGAATGGCTCTGGAGTCAATGCAGGGGAATCGGGCCTCATCTCGAGTTGATTTGGGGCACATGGAGCTGCTTTGCGTTGCTGGGGTGACCTCAGGGTCCGTCTAGACTGGTGACAGTGTTCTTGGGGACTGTCTCGAGATCCATTAAGCAAGTCGAAGCTCCTGACTTGTTTGAATGGGATCACGGAATAGCCCTGCATGCACTGCAGGGGAATGGGGCCTCATCTCGCCTCTAGGGGGAAGTCTCATGGTTTTTCTCGAGTTGCGGCGGGGACCTGGGTATGTTCTCGACTTACGGCGGGGATGGCCCTTCAAAACACGAGTTTCTTCAGTGACGTCAGGACTCCTGTCTAGTAACGAGGGACACCTCAGGAATCTCTTCGAGGCTTGGCAGGGCAAAAGGGACGCTTCTCGAGGTGAGGCAGGGCACCCAAGGACCCTTTCCAGTAGCCACAGGGATTTTGGGATTCCTATCAGTATTCAAGAGGAGTCAGGCATCGTCACCTTTTGAAGCAATGAACTCCGCGTGCCTCTCGAGGTGTCAGCGCGATGTGAGGCATTCCGTCAAAATGAGGCAGGGACCTAGGGCTTTCTCTAAGGTCTCCACAGGGGATTCAGACATCCCTTCATGTTGTGAGATGAAAGACGAGCCTGTATTCAAGCCACTGCAAGGAAATCCGGCCTCCTTTCAAGTTAGGGCTTCTCGCTGTATATTCCCCTTGAGGCAGCAAACTCGGGGTCCCTCCCACATACCTATTGCTGAGAGAAGCCTCCTCCTGAGGTGCTTCTGGGAAGTTGGCATACGTCTTGAGCCTAAGCCAGGGAATCAGCTCTCATCTCGAGACGATTTGGGGTACACGGAGCATTCCTCGAGTTGCTGTGCTGAAGTTGGTGTTCCTCTAGACTTGGGACAGTGTTCTCGGGGCATCTCTGGAGTTGCCTGAAGGAAGTCGAGCCACCGGTCGTGTTGAATGGGGAACGGGGAATGGCTCTGGAGTCAATGCAGGGGAATCGGGCCTCATCTCGAGTTGATTTGGGGCACATGGAGCTGCTTTGCGTTGCTGGGGTGACCTCAGGGTCCGTCTAGACTGGTGACAGTGTTCTTGGGGACTGTCTCGAGATCCATTAAGCAAGTCGAAGCTCCTGACTTGTTTGAATGGGATCACGGAATAGCTCTGCATGCACTGCAGGGGAATGGGGCCTCATCTCGCCTCTAGGGGGAAGTCTCATGGTTTTTCTCGAGTTGCGGCGGGGACCTGGGTATGTTCTCGACTTACGGCGGGGATGGCCCTTCAAAACACGAGTTTCTTCAGTGACGTCAGGACTCCTGTCTAGTAACGAGGGACACCTCAGGAATCTCTTCGAGGCTTGGCAGGGCAAAAGGGACGCTTCTCGAGGTGAGGCAGGGCACCCAAGGACCCTTTCCAGTAGCCACAGGGATTTTGGGATTCCTATCAGTATTCAAGAGGAGTCAGGCATCGTCACCTTTTGAAGCAATGAACTCCGCGTGCCTCTCGAGGTGTCAGCGGGATGTGAGGCATTCCGTCAAAATGAGGCAGGGACCTAGGGCTTTCTCTAAGGTCTCCACAGGGGATTCAGACATCCATTCATGTTGTGAGATGAAAGACGAGCCTGTATTCAAGCCACTGCAAGGAAATCCGGCCTCCTTTCAAGTTAGGGCTTCTCGCTGTATATTCCCCTTGAGGCAGCAAACTCGGGGTCCCTCCCACATACCTATTGCTGAGAGAAGCCTCCTCCTGAGGTGCTTCTGGGAAGTTGGCATACGTCTTGAGCCTAAGCCAGGGAATCAGCTCGCACCTCGAGACGATTTGGGGTACACGGAGCATTCCTCGAGTTGCTGTGCTGAAGTTGGTGTTCCTCTAGACTTGGGACAGTGTTCTCGGGGCATCTCTGGAGTTGCCTGAAGGAAGTCGAGCCACCGGTCGTGTTGAATGGGGAACGGGGAATGGCTCTGGAGTCAATGCAGGGGAATCGGGCCTCATCTCGAGTTGATTTGGGGCACATGGAGCTGCTTTGCGTTGCTGGGGTGACCTCAGGGTCCGTCTAGACTGGTGACAGTGTTCTTGGGGACTGTCTCGAGATCCATTAAGAAGTCGAAGCTCCTGACTTGTTTGAATGGGATCACGGAATAGCTCTGCATGCACTGCAGGGGAATGGGGCCTCATCTCGCCTCTAGGGGGAAGTCTCATGGTTTTTCTCGAGTTGCGGCGGGGACCTGGGGTATGTTCTCGACTTACGGCGGGGATGGCCCTTCAAAACACGAGTTTCTTCAGTGACGTCAGGACTCCTGTCTAGTAACGAGGGACACCTCAGGAATCTCTTCGAGGCTTGGCAGGGCAAAAGGGACGCTTCTCGAGGTGAGGCAGGGCACCCAAGGACCCTTTCCAGTAGCCACAGGGATTTGGGGATTCCTATCAGTATTCAAGAGGAGTCAGGCATCATCACCTTTTGAAGCAACGAACTCCGCGTGCCTCTCGAGGTGTCAGCGCGATGTGAGGCATTCCGTCAAAATGAGGCAGGGACCTAGGGCTTTCTCTAAGGTCTCCACAGGGGATTCAGACATCCCTTCATGTTGTGAGATGAAAGACGAGCCTGTATTCAAGCCACTGCAAGGAAATCCGGCCTCCTTTCAAGTTAGGGCTTCTCGCTGTATATTCCCCTTGAGGCAGCAAACTCGGGGTCCCTCCCACATACCTATTGCTGAGAGAAGCCTCCTCCTGAGGTGCTTCTGGGAAGTTGGCATACGTCTTGAGCCTAAGCCAGGGAATCAGCTCTCATCTCGAGACGATTTGGGGTACACGGAGCATTCCTCGAGTTGCTGTGCTGAAGTTGGTGTTCCTCTAGACTTGGGACAGTGTTCTCGGGGCATCTCTGGAGTTGCCTGAAGGAAGTCGAGCCACCGGTCGTGTTGAATGGGGAACGGGGAATGGCTCTGGAGTCAATGCAGGGGAATCGGGCCTCATCTCGAGTTGATTTGGGGCACATGGAGCTGCTTTGCGTTGCTGGGGTGACCTCAGGGTCCGTCTAGACTGGTGACAGTGTTCTTGGGGACTGTCTCGAGATCCATTAAGCAAGTCGAAGCTCCTGACTTGTTTGAATGGGATCACGGAATAGCCCTGCATGCACTGCAGGGGAATGGGGCCTCATCTCGCCTCTAGGGGGAAGTCTCATGGTTTTTCTCGAGTTGCGGCGGGGACCTGGGTATGTTCTCGACTTACGGCGGGGATGGCCCTTCAAAACACGAGTTTCTTCAGTGACGTCAGGACTCCTGTCTAGTAACGAGGGACACCTCAGGAATCTCTTCGAGGCTTGGCAGGGCAAAAGGGACGCTTCTCGAGGTGAGGCAGGGCACCCAAGGACCCTTTCCAGTAGCCACAGGGATTTTGGGATTCCTATCAGTATTCAAGAGGAGTCAGGCATCGTCACCTTTTGAAGCAATGAACTCCGCGTGCCTCTCGAGGTGTCAGCGGGATGTGAGGCATTCCGTCAAAATGAGGCAGGGACCTAGGGCTTTCTCTAAGGTCTCCACAGGGGATTCAGACATCCATTCATGTTGTGAGATGAAAGACGAGCCTGTATTCAAGCCACTGCAAGGAAATCCGGCCTCCTTTCAAGTTAGGGCTTCTCGCTGTATATTCCCCTTGAGGCAGCAAACTCGGGGTCCCTTCCACATACCTATTGCTGAGAGAAGCCTCCTCCTGAGGTGCTTCTGGGAAGTTGGCATACGTCTTGAGCCTAAGCCAGGGAATCAGCTCGCACCTCGAGACGATTTGGGGTACACGGAGCATTCCTCGAGTTGCTGTGCTGAAGTTGGTGTTCCTCTAGACCTGGGACAGTGTTCTCGGGGCATCTCTGGAGTTGCCTGAAGGAAGTCGAGCCACCGGTCGTGTTGAATGGGGAACGGGGAATGGCTCTGGAGTCAATGCAGGGGAATCGGGCCTCATCTCGAGTTGATTTGGGGCACATGGAGCTGCTTTGCGTTGCTGGGGTGACCTCAGGGTCCGTCTAGACTGGTGACAGTGTTCTTGGGGACTGTCTCGAGATCCATTAAGAAGTCGAAGCTCCTGACTTGTTTGAATGGGATCACGGAATAGCTCTGCATGCACTGCAGGGGAATGGGGCCTCATCTCGCCTCTAGGGGGAAGTCTCATGGTTTTTCTCGAGTTGCGGCGGGGACCTGGGGTATGTTCTCGACTTACGGCGGGGATGGCCCTTCAAAACACGAGTTTCTTCAGTGACGTCAGGACTCCTGTCTAGTAACGAGGGACACCTCAGGAATCTCTTCGAGGCTTGGCAGGGCAAAAGGGACGCTTCTCGAGGTGAGGCAGGGCACCCAAGGACCCTTTCCAGTAGCCACAGGGATTTTGGGATTCCTATCAGTATTCAAGAGGAGTCAGGCATCGTCACCTTTTGAAGCAATGAACTCCGCGTGCCTCTCGAGGTGTCAGCGCGATGTGAGGCATTCCGTCAAAATGAGGCAGGGACCTAGGGCTTTCTCTAAGGTCTCCACAGGGGATTCAGACATCCCTTCATGTTGTGAGATGAAAGACGAGCCTGTATTCAAGCCACTGCAAGGAAATCCGGCCTCCTTTCAAGTTAGGGCTTCTCGCTGTATATTCCCCTTGAGGCAGCAAACTCGGGGTCCCTCCCACATACCTATTGCTGAGAGAAGCCTCCTCCTGAGGTGCTTCTGGGAAGTTGGCATACGTCTTGAGCCTAAGCCAGGGATTCAGCTCTCATCTCGAGACGATTTGGGGTACACGGAGCATTCCTCGAGTTGCTGTGCTGAAGTTGGTGTTCCTCTAGACTTGGGACAGTGTTCTCGGGGCATCTCTGGAGTTGCCTGAAGGAAGTCGAGCCACCGGTCGTGTTGAATGGGGAACGGGGAATGGCTCTGGAGTCAATGCAGGGGAATCGGGCCTCATCTCGAGTTGATTTGGGGCACATGGAACTGCTTTGCGTTGCTGGGGTGACCTCAGGGTCCGTCTAGACTGGTGACAGTGTTCTTGGGGACTGTCTCGAGATCCATTAAGCAAGTCGAAGCTCCTGACTTGTTTGAATGGGATCACGGAATAGCTCTGCATGCACTGCAGGGGAATGGGGCCTCATCTCGCCTCTAGGGGGAAGTCTCATGGTTTTTCTCGAGTTGCGGCGGGGACCTGGGGTATGTTCTCGACTTACGGCGGGGATGGCCCTTCAAAACACGAGTTTCTTCAGTGACGTCAGGACTCCTGTCTAGTAACGAGGGACACCTCAGGAATCTCTTCGAGGCTTGGCAGGGCAAAAGGGACGCTTCTCGAGGTGAGGCAGGGCACCCAAGGACCCTTTCCAGTAGCCACAGGGATTTTGGGATTCCTATCAGTATTCAAGAGGAGTCAGGCATCGTCACCTTTTGAAGCAATGAACTCCGCGTGCCTCTCGAGGTGTCAGCGGGATGTGAGGCATTCCGTCAAAATGAGGCAGGGACCTAGGGCTTTCTCTAAGGTCTCCACAGGGGATTCAGACATCCCTTCATGTTGTGAGATGAAAGACGAGCCTGTATTCAAGCCACTGCAAGGAAATCCGGCCTCTTTTCAAGTTAGGGCTTCTCGCTGTATATTCCCCTTGAGGCAGCAAACTCGGGGTCCCTCCCCCATACCTATTGCTGAGAGAAGCCTCCTCCTGAGGTACTTCTGGGAAGTTGGCATACGTCTTGAGCCTAAGCCAGGGAATCAGCTCGCACCTCGAGACGATTTGGGGTACACGGAGCATTCCTCGAGTTGCTGTGCTGAAGTTGGTGTTCCTCTAGACTTGGGACAGTGTTCTCGGGGCATCTCTGGAGTTGCCTGAAGGAAGTCGAGCCACCGGTCGTGTTGAATGGGGAACGGGGAATGGCTCTGGAGTCAATGCAGGGGAATCGGGCCTCATCTCGAGTTGATTTGGGGCACATGGAGCTGCTTTGCGTTGCTGGGGTGACCTCAGGGTCCGTCTAGACTGGTGACAGTGTTCTTGGGGACTGTCTCGAGATCCATTAAGCAAGTCGAAGCTCCTGACTTGTTTGAATGGGATCACGGAATAGCTCTGCATGCACTGCAGGGGAATGGGGCCTCATCTCGCCTCTAGGGGGAAGTCTCATGGTTTTTCTCGAGTTGCGGCGGGGACCTGGGGTATGTTCTCGACTTACGGCGGGGATGGCCCTTCAAAACACGAGTTTCTTCAGTGACGTCAGGACTCCTGTCTAGTAACGAGGGACACCTCAGGAATCTCTTCGAGGCTTGGCAGGGCAAAAGGGACGCTTCTCGAGGTGAGGCAGGGCACCCAAGGACCCTTTCCAGTAGCCACAGGGATTTTGGGATTCCTATCAGTATTCAAGAGGAGTCAGGCATCGTCACCTTTTGAAGCAATGAACTCCGCGTGCCTCTCGAGGTGTCAGCGCGATGTGAGGCATTCCGTCAAAATGAGGCAGGGACCTAGGGCTTTCTCTAAGGTCTCCACAGGGGATTCAGACATCCCTTCATGTTGTGAGATGAAAGACGAGCCTGTATTCAAGCCACTGCAAGGAAATCCGGCCTCCTTTCAAGTTAGGGCTTCTCGCTGTATATTCCCCTTGAGGCAGCAAACTCGGGGTCCCTCCCACATACCTATTGCTGAGAGAAGCCTCCTCCTGAGGTGCTTCTGGGAAGTTGGCATATGTCTTGAGCCTAAGCCAGGGAATCAGCTCGCATCTGGAGACGATTTCGGGTACACGGAGCATTCCTCGAGTTGCTGTGCTGAAGTTGGTGTTCCTCTAGACTTGGGACAGTGTTCTCGGGGCATCTCTGGAGTTGCCTGAAGGAAGTCGAGCCACCGGTCGTGTTGAATGGGGAACGGGGAATGGCTCTGGAGTCAATGCAGGGGAATCGGGCCTCATCTCGAGTTGATTTGGGGCACATGGAGCTGCTTTGCGTTGCTGGGGTGACCTCAGGGTCCGTCTAGACTGGTGACAGTGTTCTTGGGGACTGTCTCGAGATCCATTAAGCAAGTCGAAGCTCCTGACTTGTTTGAATGGGATCACGGAATAGCTCTGCATGCACTGCAGGGGAATGGGGCCTCATCTCGCCTCTAGGGGGAAGTCTCATGGTTTTTCTCGAGTTGCGGCGGGGACCTGGGGTATGTTCTCGACTTACGGCGGGGATGGCCCTTCAAAACACGAGTTTCTTCAGTGACGTCAGGACTCCTGTCTAGTAACGAGGGACACCTCAGGAATCTCTTCGAGGCTTGGCAGGGCAAAAGGGACGCTTCTCGAGGTGAGGCAGGGCACCCAAGGACCCTTTCCAGTAGCCACAGGGATTTTGGGATTCCTATCAGTATTCAAGAGGAGTCAGGCATCGTCACCTTTTGAAGCAATGAACTCCGCGTGCCTCTCGAGGTGTCAGCGGGATGTGAGGCATTCCGTCAAAATGAGGCAGGGACCTAGGGCTTTCTCTAAGGTCTCCACAGGGGATTCAGACATCCCTTCATGTTGTGAGATGAAAGACGAGCCTGTATTCAAGCCACTGCAAGGAAATCCGGCCTCCTTTCAAGTTAGGGCTTCTCGCTGTATATTCCCCTTGAGGCAGCAAACTCGGGGTCCCTCCCACATACCTATTGCTGAGAGAAGCCTCCTCCTGAGGTGCTTCTGGGAAGTTGGCATACGTCTTGAGCCTAAGGCAGGGAATCAGCTCTCATCTCGAGACGATTTGGGGTACACGGAGCATTCCTCGAGTTGCTGTGCTGAAGTTGGTGTTCCTCTAGACTTGGGACAGTGTTCTCGGGGCATCTCTGGAGTTGCCTGAAGGAAGTCGAGCCACCGGTCGTGTTGAATGGGGAACGGGGAATGGCTCTGGAGTCAATGCAGGGGAATCGGGCCTCATCTCGAGTTGATTTGGGGCACATGGAGCTGCTTTGCGTTGCTGGGGTGACCTCAGGGTCCGTCTAGACTGGTGACAGTGTTCTTGGGGACTGTCTCGAGATCCATTAAGCAAGTCGAAGCTCCTGACTTGTTTGAATGGGATCACGGAATAGCTCTGCATGCACTGCAGGGGAATGGGGCCTCATCTCGCCTCTAGGGGTAAGTCTCATGGTTTTTCTCGAGTTGCGGCGGGGACCTGGGGTATGTTCTCGACTTACGGCGGGGATGGCCCTTCAAAACCCGAGTTTCTTCAGTGACGTCAGGACTCCTGTCTAGTAACGAGGGACACCTCAGGAATCTCTTCGAGGCTTGGCAGGGCAAAAGGGACGCTTCTCGAGGTGAGGCAGGGCACCCAAGGACCCTTTCCAGTAGCCACAGGGATTTTGGGATTCCTATCAGTATTCAAGAGGAGTCAGGCATCGTCACCTTTTGAAGCAATGAACTCCGCGTGCCTCTCGAGGTGTCAGCGGGATGTGAGGCATTCCGTCAAAATGAGGCAGGGACCTAGGGCTTTCTCTAAGGTCTCCACAGGGGATTCAGACATCCCTTCATGTTGTGAGATGAAAGACGAGCCTGTATTCAAGCCACTGCAAGGAAATCCGGCCTCCTTTCAAGTTAGGGCTTCTCGCTGTATATTCCCCTTGAGGCAGCAAACTCGGGGTCCCTCCCACATACCTATTGCTGAGAGAAGCCTCCTCCTGAGGTGCTTCTGGGAAGTTGGCATTCGTCTTGAGCCTAAGCCAGGGAATCAGCTCTCATCTCGAGACGATTTGGGGTACACGGAGCATTCCTCGAGTTGCTGTGCTGAAGTTGGTGTTCCTCTAGACTTGGGACAGTGTTCTCGGGGCATCTCTGGAGTTGCCTGAAGGAAGTTGAGCCACCGGTCGTGTTGAATGGGGAACGGGGAATGGCTCTGGAGTCAATGCAGGGGAATCGGGCCTCATCTCGAGTTGATTTGGGGCACATGGAGCTGCTTTGCGTTGCTGGGGTGACCTCAGGGTCCGTCTAGACTGGTGACAGTGTTCTTGGGGACTGTCTCGAGATCCATTAAGCAAGTCGAAGCTCCTGACTTGTTTGAATGGGATCACGGAATAGCTCTGCATGCACTGCAGGGGAATGGGGCCTCATCTCGCCTCTAGGGGGAAGTCTCATGGTTTTTCTCGAGTTGCGGCGGGGACCTGGGGTATGTTCTCGACTTACGGCGGGGATGGCCCTTCAAAACACGAGTTTCTTCAGTGACGTCAGGACTCCTGTCTAGTAACGAGGGACACCTCAGGAATCTCTTCGAGGCTTGGCAGGGCAAAAGGGACGCTTCTCGAGGTGAGGCAGGGCACCCAAGGACCCTTTCCAGTAGCCACAGGGATTTTGGGATTCCTATCAGTATTCAAGAGGAGTCAGGCATCGTCACCTTTTGAAGCAATGAACTCCGCGTGCCTCTCGAGGTGTCAGCGCGATGTGAGGCATTCCGTCAAAATGAGGCAGGGACCTAGGGCTTTCTCTAAGGTCTCCACAGGGGATTCCGACATCCCTTCATGTTGTGAGATGAAAGACGAGCCTGTATTCAAGCCACTGCAAGGAAATCCGGCCTCCTTTCAAGTTAGGGCTTCTCGCTGTATATTCCCCTTGAGGCAGCAAACTCGGGGTCCCTCCCACATACCTATTGCTGAGAGAAGCCTCCTCCTGAGGTGCTTCTGGGAAGTTGGCATACGTCTTCAGCCTAAGCCAGGGAATCAGCTCTCATCTCGAGACGATTTGGGGTACACGGAGCATTCCTCTAGTTGCTGTACTGAAGTTGGTGTTCCTCTAGACTTGGGACAGTGTTCTCGGGGCATCTCTGGAGTTGCCTGAAGGAAGTCGAGCCACCGGTCGTGTTGAATGGGGAACGGGGAATGGCTCTGGAGTCAATGCAGGGGAATCGGGCCTCATCTCGAGTTGATTTGGGGCACATGGAGCTGCTTTGCGTTGCTGGGGTGACCTCAGGGTCCGTCTAGACTAGTGACAGTGTTCTTGGGGACTGTCTCGAGATCCATTAAGCAAGTCGAAGCTCCTGACTTGTTTGAATGGGATCACGGAATAGCTCTGCATGCACTGCAGGGGAATGGGGCCTCATCTCGCCTCTAGGGGGAAGTCTCATGGTTTTTCTCGAGTTGCGGCGGGAACCTGGGGTATGTTCTCGACTTACGGCGGGGATGGCCCTTCAAAACACGAGTTTCTTCAGTGACGTCAGGACTCCTGTCTAGTAACGAGGGACACCTCAGGAATCTCTTCGAGGTTTGGCAGGGCAAAAAGGACGCTTCTCGAGGTGAGGCAGGGCACCCAAGGACCCTTTCCAGTAGCCACAGGGATTTTGGGATTCCTATCAGTATTCAAGAGGAGTCAGGCATCGTCACCTTTTGAAGCAATGAACTCCGCGTGCCTCTCGAGGTGTCAGCGCGATGTGAGGCATTCCGTCAAAATGAGGCAGGGACCTAGGTCTTTCTCTAAGGTCTCCACAGGGGATTCAGACATCCCTTCATGTTGTGAGATGAAAGACGAGCCTGTATTCAAGCCACTGCAAGGAAATCCGGCCTCCTTTAAAGTTAGGGCTTCTCGCTGTATATTCCCCTTGAGGCAGCAAACTCGGGGTCCCTTCCACATATCTATTGCTGAGAGAAGCCTCCTCCTGAGGTGCTTCTGGGAAGTTGGCATACGTCTTGAGCCTAAGCCAGGGAATCAGCTCGCACCTCGAGACGATTTGGGGTACACGGAGCATTCCTCGAGTTGCTGTGCTGAAGTTGGTGTTCCTCTAGACTTGGGACAGTGTTCTCGGGGCATCTCTGGAGTTGCCTGAAGGAAGTCGAGCCACCGGTCGTGTTGAATGGGGAACGGGGAATGGCTCTGGAGTCAATGCAGGGGAATCGGGCCTCATCTCGAGTTGATTTGGGGCACATGGAGCTGCTTTGCGTTGCTGGGGTGACCTCAGGGTCCGTCTAGACTGGTGACAGTGTTCTTGGGGACTGTCTCGAGATCCATTAAGCAAGTCGAAGCTCCTGACTTGTTTGAATGGGATCACGGAATAGCTCTGCATGCACTGCAGGGGAATGGGGCCTCATCTCGCCTCTAGGGGGAAGTCTCATGGTTTTTCTCGAGTTGCGGCGGGGACCTGGGGTATGTTCTCGACTTACGGCGGGGATGGCCCTTCAAAACACGAGTTTCTTCAGTGACGTCAGGACTCCTGTCTAGTAACGAGGGACACCTCAGGAATCTCTTCGAGGCTTGGCAGGGCAAAAGGGACGCTTCTCGAGGTGAGGCAGGGCACCCAAGGACCCTTTCCAGTAGCCACAGGGATTTTGGGATTCCTATCAGTATTCAAGAGGAGTCAGGCATCGTCACCTTTTGAAGCAATGAACTCCGCGTGCCTCTCGAGGTGTCAGCGGGATGTGAGGCATTCCGTCAAAATGAGGCAGGGACCTAGGGCTTTCTCTAAGGTCTCCACAGGGGATTCAGACATCCCTTCATGTTGTGAGATGAAAGACGAGCCTGTATTCAAGCCACTGCAAGGAAATCCGGCCTCCTTTCAAGTTAGGGCTTCTCGCTGTATATTCCCCTTGAGGCAGCAAACTCGGGGTCCCTCCCACATACCTATTGCTGAGAGAAGCCTCCTCCTGAGGTGCTTCTGGGAAGTTGGCATACGTCTTGAGCCTAAGCCAGGGAATCAGCTCGCATCTCGAGACGATTTGGGGTACACGGAGCATTCCTCGAGTTGCTGTGCTGAAGTTGGTGTTCCTCTAGACTTGGGACAGTGTTCTCGGGGCATCTCTGGAGTTGCCTGAAGGAAGTCGAGCCACCGGTCGTGTTGAATGGGGAACGGGGAATGGCTCTGGAGTCAATGCAGGGGAATCGGGCCTCATCTCGAGTTGATTTGGGGCACATGGAGCTGCTTTGCGTTGCTGGGGTGACCTCAGGGTCCGTCTAGACTGGTGACAGTGTTCTTGGGGACTGTCTCGAGATCCATTAAGCAAGTCGAAGCTCCTGACTTGTTTGAATGGGATCACGGAATAGCTCTGCATGCACTGCAGGGGAATGGGGCCTCATCTCGCCTCTAGGGGGAAGTCTCATGGTTTTTCTCGAGTTGCGGCGGGGACCTGGGGTATGTTCTCGACTTACGGCGGGGATGGCCCTTCAAAACACGAGTTTCTTCAGTGACGTCAGGACTCCTGTCTAGTAACGAGGGACACCTCAGGAATCTCTTCGAGGCTTGGCAGGGCAAAAGGGACGCTTCTCGAGGTGAGGCAGGGCACCCAAGGACCCTTTCCAGTAGCCACAGGGATTTTGGGATTCCTATCAGTATTCAAGAGGAGTCAGGCATCGTCACCTTTTGAAGCAATGAACTCCGCGTGCCTCTCGAGGTGTCAGCGCGATGTGAGGCATTCCGTCAAAATGAGGCAGGGACCTAGGTCTTTCTCTAAGGTCTCCACAGGGGATTCAGACATCCCTTCATGTTGTGAGATGAAAGACGAGCCTGTATTCAAGCCACTGCAAGGAAATCCGGCCTCCTTTAAAGTTAGGGCTTCTCGCTGTATATTCCCCTTGAGGCAGCAAACTCGGGGTCCCTTCCACATATCTATTGCTGAGAGAAGCCTCCTCCTGAGGTGCTTCTGGGAAGTTGGCATACGTCTTGAGCCTAAGCCAGGGAATCAGCTCGCACCTCGAGACGATTTGGGGTACACGGAGCATTCCTCGAGTTGCTGTGCTGAAGTTGGTGTTCCTCTAGACTTGGGACAGTGTTCTCGGGGCATCTCTGGAGTTGCCTGAAGGAAGTCGAGCCACCGGTCGTGTTGAATGGGGAACGGGGAATGGCTCTGGAGTCAATGCAGGGGAATCGGGCCTCATCTCGAGTTGATTTGGGGCACATGGAGCTGCTTTGCGTTGCTGGGGTGACCTCAGGGTCCGTCTAGACTGGTGACAGTGTTCTTGGGGACTGTCTCGAGATCCATTAAGCAAGTCGAAGCTCCTGACTTGTTTGAATGGGATCACGGAATAGCTCTGCATGCACTGCAGGGGAATGGGGCCTCATCTCGCCTCTAGGGGGAAGTCTCATGGTTTTTCTCGAGTTGCGGCGGGGACCTGGGGTATGTTCTCGACTTACGGCGGGGATGGCCCTTCAAAACACGAGTTTCTTCAGTGACGTCAGGACTCCTGTCTAGTAACGAGGGACACCTCAGGAATCTCTTCGAGGCTTGGCAGGGCAAAAGGGACGCTTCTCGAGGTGAGGCAGGGCACCCAAGGACCCTTTCCAGTAGCCACAGGGATTTTGGGATTCCTATCAGTATTCAAGAGGAGTCAGGCATCGTCACCTTTTGAAGCAATGAACTCCGCGTGCCTCTCGAGGTGTCAGCGGGATGTGAGGCATTCCGTCAAAATGAGGCAGGGACCTAGGGCTTTCTCTAAGGTCTCCACAGGGGATTCAGACATCCCTTCATGTTGTGAGATGAAAGACGAGCCTGTATTCAAGCCACTGCAAGGAAATCCGGCCTCCTTTCAAGTTAGGGCTTCTCGCTGTATATTCCCCTTGAGGCAGCAAACTCGGGGTCCCTCCCACATACCTATTGCTGAGAGAAGCCTCCTCCTGAGGTGCTTCTGGGAAGTTGGCATACGTCTTGAGCCTAAGCCAGGGAATCAGCTCGCATCTCGAGACGATTTGGGGTACACGGAGCATTCCTCGAGTTGCTGTGCTGAAGTTGGTGTTCCTCTAGACTTGGGACAGTGTTCTCGGGGCATCTCTGGAGTTGCCTGAAGGAAGTCGAGCCACCGGTCGTGTTGAATGGGGAACGGGGAATGGCTCTGGAGTCAATGCAGGGGAATCGGGCCTCATCTCGAGTTGATTTGGGGCACATGGAGCTGCTTTGCGTTGCTGGGGTGACCTCAGGGTCCGTCTAGACTGGTGACAGTGTTCTTGGGGACTGTCTCGAGATCCATTAAGCAAGTCGAAGCTCCTGACTTGTTTGAATGGGATCACGGAATAGCTCTGCATGCACTGCAGGGGAATGGGGCCTCATCTCGCCTCTAGGGGGAAGTCTCATGGTTTTTCTCGAGTTGCGGCGGGGACCTGGGGTATGTTCTCGACTTACGGCGGGGATGGCCCTTCAAAACACGAGTTTCTTCAGTGACGTCAGGACTCCTGTCTAGTAACGAGGGACACCTCAGGAATCTCTTCGAGGCTTGGCAGGGCAAAAGGGACGCTTCTCGAGGTGAGGCAGGGCACCCAAGGACCCTTTCCAGTAGCCACAGGGATTTTGGGATTCCTATCAGTATTCAAGAGGAGTCAGGCATCGTCACCTTTTGAAGCAATGAACTCCGCGTGCCTCTCGAGGTGTCAGCGGGATGTGAGGCATTCCGTCAAAATGAGGCAGGGACCTAGGGCTTTCTCTAAGGTCTCCACAGGGGATTCAGACATCCCTTCATGTTGTGAGATGAAAGACGAGCCTGTATTCAAGCCACTGCAAGGAAATCCGGCCTCCTTTCAAGTTAGGGCTTCTCGCTGTATATTCCCCTTGAGGCAGCAAACTCGGGGTCCCTCCCACATACCTATTGCTGAGAGAAGCCTCCTCCTGAGGTGCTTCTGGGAAGTTGGCATTCGTCTTGAGCCTAAGCCAGGGAATCAGCTCTCATCTCGAGACGATTTGGGGTACACGGAGCATTCCTCGAGTTGCTGTGCTGAAGTTGGTGTTCCTCTAGACTTGGGACAGTGTTCTCGGGGCATCTCTGGAGTTGCCTGAAGGAAGTCGAGCCACCGGTCGTGTTGAATGGGGAACGGGGAATGGCTCTGGAGTCAATGCAGGGGAATCGGGCCTCATCTCGAGTTGATTTGGGGCACATGGAGCTGCTTTGCGTTGCTGGGGTGACCTCAGGGTCCGTCTAGACTGGTGACAGTGTTCTTGGGGACTGTCTCGAGATCCATTAAGCAAGTCGAAGCTCCTGACTTGTTTGAATGGGATCACGGAATAGCTCTGCATGCACTGCAGGGGAATGGGGCCTCATCTCGCCTCTAGGGGGAAGTCTCATGGTTTTTCTCGAGTTGCGGCGGGGACCTGGGGTATGTTCTCGACTTACGGCGGGGATGGCCCTTCAAAACACGAGTTTCTTCAGTGACGTCAGGACTCCTGTCTAGTAATGAGGGACACCTCAGGAATCTCTTCGAGGCTTGGCAGGGCAAAAGGGACGCTTCTCGAGGTGAGGCAGGGTACCCAAGGACCCTTTCCAGTAGCCACAGGGATTTTGGGATTCCTATCAGTATTCAAGAGGAGTCAGGCATCGTCACCTTTTGAAGCAATGAACTCCGCGTGCCTCTCGAGGTGTCAGCGGGATGTGAGGCATTCCTTAAAAAGGAGGCAGGGACCTAGGGCTTTCTCTAAGGTCTCCACAGGGGATTCAGACATCCCTTCATGTTGTGAGATGAAAGACGAGCCTGTATTCAAGCCACTGCAAGGAAATCCGGCCTCCTTTCAAGTTAGGGCTTCTCGCTGTATATTCCCCTTGAGGCAGCAAACTCGGGGTCCCTCCCACATACCTATTGCTGAGAGAAGCCTCCTCCTGAGGTGCTTCTGGGAAGTTGGCATACGTCTTGAGCCTAAGGCAGGGAATCAGCTCTCATCTCGAGACGATTTGGGGTACACGGAGCATTCCTCGAGTTGCTGTGCTGAAGTTGGTGTTCCTCTAGACTTGGGACAGTGTTCTCGGGGCATCTCTGGAGTTGCCTGAAGGAAGTCGAGCCACCGGTCGTGTTGAATGGGGAACGGGGAATGGCTCTGGAGTCAATGCAGGGGAATCGGGCCTCATCTCGAGTTGATTTGGGGCACATGGAGCTGCTTTGCGTTGCTGGGGTGACCTCAGGGTCCGTCTAGACTGGTGACAGTGTTCTTGGGGACTGTCTCGAGATCCATTAAGCAAGTCGAAGCTCCTGACTTGTTTGAATGGGATCACGGAATAGCTCTGCATGCACTGCAGGGGAATGGGGCCTCATCTCGCCTCTAGGGGGAAGTCTCATGGTTTTTCTCGAGTTGCGGCGGGGACCTGGGGTATGTTCTCGACTTACGGCGGGGATGGCCCTTCAAAACACGAGTTTCTTCAGTGACGTCAGGACTCCTGTCTAGTAACGAGGGACACCTCAGGAATCTCTTCGAGGCTTGGCAGGGCAAAAGGGACGCTTCTCGAGGTGAGGCAGGGCATCCAAGGACCCTTTCCAGTAGCCACAGGGATTTTGGGATTCCTATCAGTATTCAAGAGGAGTCAGGCATCGTCACCTTTTGAAGCAATGAACTCCGCGTGCCTCTCGAGGTGTCAGCGCGATGTGAGGCATTCCGTCAAAATGAGGCAGGGACCTAGGGCTTTCTCTAAGGTCTCCACAGGGGATTCAGACATCCCTTCATGTTGTGAGATGAAAGACGAGCCTGTATTCAAGCCACTGCAAGGAAATCCGGCCTCCTTTCAAGTTAGGGCTTCTCGCTGTATATTCCCCTTGAGGCAGCAAACTCGGGGTCCCTCCCACATACCTATTGCTGAGAGAAGCCTCCTCCTGAGGTGCTTCTGGGAAGTTGGCATACGTCTTCAGCCTAAGCCAGGGAATCAGCTCTCATCTCGAGACGATTTGGGGTACACGGAGCATTCCTCGAGTTGCTGTACTGAAGTTGGTGTTCCTCTAGACTTGGGACAGTGTTCTCGGGGCATCTCTGGAGTTGCCTGAAGGAAGTCGAGCCACCGGTCGTGTTGAATGGGGAACGGGGAATGGCTCTGGAGTCAATGCAGGGGAATCGGGCCTCATCTCGAGTTGATTTGGGGCACATGGAGCTGCTTTGCGTTGCTGGGGTGACCTCAGGGTCCGTCTAGACTGGTGACAGTGTTCTTGGGGACTGTCTCGAGATCCATTAAGCAAGTCGAAGCTCCTGACTTGTTTGAATGGGATCACGGAATAGCTCTGCATGCACTGCAGGGGAATGGGGCCTCATCTCGCCTCTAGGGGGAAGTCTCATGGTTTTTCTCGAGTTGCGGCGGGGACCTGGGGTATGTTCTCGACTTACGGCGGGGATGGCCCTTCAAAACACGAGTTTCTTCAGTGACGTCAGGACTCCTGTCTAGTAACGAGGGACACCTCAGGAATCTCTTCGAGGCTTGGCAGGGCAAAAGGGACGCTTCTCGAGGTGAGGCAGGGCACCCAAGGACCCTTTCCAGTAGCCACAGGGATTTTGGGATTCCTATCAGTATTCAAGAGGAGTCAGGCATCGTCACCTTTTGAAGCAATGAACTCCGCGTGCCTCTCGAGGTGTCAGCGGGATGTGAGGCATTCCGTCAAAATGAGGCAGGGACCTAGGGCTTTCTCTAAGGTCTCCACAGGGGATTCAGACATCCCTTCATGTTGTGAGATGAAAGACGAGCCTGTATTCAAGCCACTGCAAGGAAATCCGGCCTCCTTTCAAGTTAGGGCTTCTCGCTGTATATTCCCCTTGAGGCAGCAAACTCGGGGTCCCTCCCACATACCTATTGCTGAGAGAAGCCTCCTCCTGAGGTGCTTCTGGGAAGTTGGCATACGTCTTGAGCCTAAGCCAGGGAATCACCGCTCATCTCGAGACAATTTGGGGTACACGGAGCATTCCTCGAGTTGCTGTGCTGAAGTTGGTGTTCCTCTAGACTTGGACAGTGTTCTCGGGGCATCTCTGCAGTTGCCTGAAGGAAGTCGAGCCACCGGTCGTGTTGAATGGGGAACGGGGAATGGCTCTGGAGTCAATGCAGGGGAATCGGGCCTCATCTCGAGTTGATTTGGGGCACATGGAGCTGCTTTGCGTTGCTGGGGTGACCTCAGGGTCCGTCTAGACTAGTGACAGTGTTCTTGGGGACTGTCTCGAGATCCATTAAGCAAGTCGAAGCTCCTGACTTGTTTGAATGGGATCACGGAATAGCTCTGCATGCACTGCAGGGGAATGGGGCCTCATCTCGCCTCTAGGGGGAAGTCTCATGGTTTTTCTCGAGTTGCGGCGGGGACCTGGGGTATGTTCTCGACTTACGGCGGGGATGGCCCTTCAAAACACGAGTTTCTTCAGTGACGTCAGGACTCCTGTCTAGTAACGAGGGACACCTCAGGAATCTCTTCGAGGCTTGGCAGGGCAAAAGGGACGCTTCTCGAGGTGAGGCAGGGCACCCAAGGACCCTTTCCAGTAGCCACAGGGATTTTGGGATTCCTATCAGTATTCAAGAGGAGTCAGGCATCGTCACCTTTTGAAGCAATGAACTCCGCGTGCCTCTCGAGGTGTCAGCGGGATGTGAGGCATTCCGTCAAAATGAGGCAGGGACCTAGGGCTTTCTCTAAGGTCTCCACAGGGGATTCAGACATCCCTTCATGTTGTGAGATGAAAGACGAGCCTGTATTCAAGCCACTGCAAGGAAATCCGGCCTCCTTTCAAGTTAGGGCTTCTCGCTGTATATTCCCCTTGAGGCAGCAAACTCGGGGTCCCTCCCACATACCTATTGCTGAGAGAAGCCTCCTCCTGAGGTGCTTCTGGGAAGTTGGCATACGTCTTGAGCCTAAGCCAGGGAATCACCGCTCATCTCGAGACAATTTGGGGTACACGGAGCATTCCTCGAGTTGCTGTGCTGAAGTTGGTGTTCCTCTAGACTTGGACAGTGTTCTCGGGGCATCTCTGCAGTTGCCTGAAGGAAGTCGAGCCACCGGTCGTGTTGAATGGGGAACGGGGAATGGCTCTGGAGTCAATGCAGGGGAATCGGGCCTCATCTCGAGTTGATTTGGGGCACATGGAGCTGCTTTGCCTTGCTGGGGTGACCTCAGGGTCCGTCTAGACTAGTGACAGTGTTCTTGGGGACTGTCTCGAGATCCATTAAGCAAGTCGAAGCTCCTGACTTGTTTGAATGGGATCACGGAATAGCTCTGCATGCACTGCAGGGGAATGGGGCCTCATCTCGCCTCTAGGGGGAAGTCTCATGGTTTTTCTCGAGTTGCGGCGGGGACCTGGGGTATGTTCTCGACTTACGGCAGGGATGGCCCTTCAAAACACGAGTTTCTTCAGTGACGTCAGGACTCCTGTCTAGTAACGAGGGACACCTCAGGAATCTCTTCGAGGTTTGGCAGGGCAAAAAGGACGCTTCTCGAGGTGAGCCAGGGCACCCAAGGACCCTTTCCAGTAGCCACAGGGATTTTGGGATTCCTATCAGTATTCAAGAGGAGTCAGGCATCGTCACCTTTTGAAGCAATGAACTCCGCGTGCCTCTCGAGGTGTCAGCGCGATGTGAGGCATTCCGTCAAAATGAGGCAGGGACCTAGGGCTTTCTCTAAGGTCTCCACAGGGGATTCAGACATCCCTTCATGTTGTGAGATGAAAGACGAGCCTGTATTCAAGCCACTGCAAGGAAATCCGGCCTCCTTTCAAGTTAGGGCTTCTCGCTGTATATTCCCCTTGAGGCAGCAAACTCGGGGTCCCTCCCACATACCTATTGCTGAGAGAAGCCTCCTCCTGAGGTGCTTCTGGGAAGTTGGCATACGTCTTGAGCCTAAGCCAGGGAATCAGCTCTCATCTCGAGACGATTTGGGGTACACGGAGCATTCCTCGAGTTGCTGTGCTGAAGTTGGTGTTCCTCTAGACTTGGGACAGTGTTCTCGGGGCATCTCTGGAGTTGCCTGAAGGAAGTCGAGCCACCGGTCGTGTTGAATGGGGAACGGGGAATGGCTCTGGAGTCAATGCAGGGGAATCGGGCCTCATCTCGAGTTGATTTGGGGCACATGGAGCTGCTTTGCGTTGCTGGGGTGACCTCAGGGTCCGTCTAGACTGGTGACAGTGTTCTTGGGGACTGTCTCGAGATCCATTAAGCAAGTCGAAGCTCCTGACTTGTTTGAATGGGATCACGGAATAGCTCTGCATGCACTGCAGGGGAATGGGGCCTCATCTCGCCTCTAGGGGGAAGTCTCATGGTTTTTCTCGAGTTGCGGCGGGGACCTGGGTATGTTCTCGACTTACGGCGGGGATGGCCCTTCAAAACACGAGTTTCTTCAGTGACGTCAGGACTCCTGTCTAGTAACGAGGGACACCTCAGGAATCTCTTCGAGGCTTGGCAGGGCAAAAGGGACGCTTCTCGAGGTGAGGCAGGGCACCCAAGGACCCTTTCCAGTAGCCACAGGGATTTTGGGATTCCTATCAGTATTCAAGAGGAGTCAGGCATCGTCACCTTTTGAAGCAATGAACTCCGCGTGCCTCTCGAGGTGTCAGCGGGATGTGAGGCATTCCGTCAAAATGAGGCAGGGACCTAGGGCTTTCTCTAAGGTCTCCACAGGGGATTCAGACATCCATTCATGTTGTGAGATGAAAGACGAGCCTGTATTCAAGCCACTGCAAGGAAATCCGGCCTCCTTTCAAGTTAGGGCTTCTCGCTGTATATTCCCCTTGAGGCAGCAAACTCGGGGTCCCTCCCACATACCTATTGCTGAGAGAAGCCTCCTCCTGAGGTGCTTCTGGGAAGTTGGCATACGTCTTGAGCCTAAGCCAGGGAATCAGCTCGCACCTCGAGACGATTTGGGGTACACGGAGCATTCCTCGAGTTGCTGTGCTGAAGTTGGTGTTCCTCTAGACTTGGGACAGTGTTCTCGGGGCATCTCTGGAGTTGCCTGAAGGAAGTCGAGCCACCGGTCGTGTTGAATGGGGAACGGGGAATGGCTCTGGAGTCAATGCAGGGGAATCGGGCCTCATCTCGAGTTGATTTGGGGCACATGGAGCTGCTTTGCGTTGCTGGGGTGACCTCAGGGTCCGTCTAGACTGGTGACAGTGTTCTTGGGGACTGTCTCGAGATCCATTAAGAAGTCGAAGCTCCTGACTTGTTTGAATGGGATCACGGAATAGCTCTGCATGCACTGCAGGGGAATGGGGCCTCATCTCGCCTCTAGGGGGAAGTCTCATGGTTTTTCTCGAGTTGCGGCGGGGACCTGGGGTATGTTCTCGACTTACGGCGGGGATGGCCCTTCAAAACACGAGTTTCTTCAGTGACGTCAGGACTCCTGTCTAGTAACGAGGGACACCTCAGGAATCTCTTCGAGGCTTGGCAGGGCAAAAGGGACGCTTCTCGAGGTGAGGCAGGGCACCCAAGGACCCTTTCCAGTAGCCACAGGGATTTGGGGATTCCTATCAGTATTCAAGAGGAGTCAGGCATCATCACCTTTTGAAGCAACGAACTCCGCGTGCCTCTCGAGGTGTCAGCGCGATGTGAGGCATTCCGTCAAAATGAGGCAGGGACCTAGGGCTTTCTCTAAGGTCTCCACAGGGGATTCAGACATCCCTTCATGTTGTGAGATGAAAGACGAGCCTGTATTCAAGCCACTGCAAGGAAATCCGGCCTCCTTTCAAGTTAGGGCTTCTCGCTGTATATTCCCCTTGAGGCAGCAAACTCGGGGTCCCTCCCACATACCTATTGCTGAGAGAAGCCTCCTCCTGAGGTGCTTCTGGGAAGTTGGCATACGTCTTGAGCCTAAGCCAGGGAATCAGCTCTCATCTCGAGACGATTTGGGGTACACGGAGCATTCCTCGAGTTGCTGTGCTGAAGTTGGTGTTCCTCTAGACTTGGGACAGTGTTCTCGGGGCATCTCTGGAGTTGCCTGAAGGAAGTCGAGCCACCGGTCGTGTTGAATGGGGAACGGGGAATGGCTCTGGAGTCAATGCAGGGGAATCGGGCCTCATCTCGAGTTGATTTGGGGCACATGGAGCTGCTTTGCGTTGCTGGGGTGACCTCAGGGTCCGTCTAGACTGGTGACAGTGTTCTTGGGGACTGTCTCGAGATCCATTAAGCAAGTCGAAGCTCCTGACTTGTTTGAATGGGATCACGGAATAGCCCTGCATGCACTGCAGGGGAATGGGGCCTCATCTCGCCTCTAGGGGGAAGTCTCATGGTTTTTCTCGAGTTGCGGCGGGGACCTGGGTATGTTCTCGACTTACGGCGGGGATGGCCCTTCAAAACACGAGTTTCTTCAGTGACGTCAGGACTCCTGTCTAGTAACGAGGGACACCTCAGGAATCTCTTCGAGGCTTGGCAGGGCAAAAGGGACGCTTCTCGAGGTGAGGCAGGGCACCCAAGGACCCTTTCCAGTAGCCACAGGGATTTTGGGATTCCTATCAGTATTCAAGAGGAGTCAGGCATCGTCACCTTTTGAAGCAATGAACTCCGCGTGCCTCTCGAGGTGTCAGCGGGATGTGAGGCATTCCGTCAAAATGAGGCAGGGACCTAGGGCTTTCTCTAAGGTCTCCACAGGGGATTCAGACATCCATTCATGTTGTGAGATGAAAGACGAGCCTGTATTCAAGCCACTGCAAGGAAATCCGGCCTCCTTTCAAGTTAGGGCTTCTCGCTGTATATTCCCCTTGAGGCAGCAAACTCGGGGTCCCTTCCACATACCTATTGCTGAGAGAAGCCTCCTCCTGAGGTGCTTCTGGGAAGTTGGCATACGTCTTGAGCCTAAGCCAGGGAATCAGCTCGCACCTCGAGACGATTTGGGGTACACGGAGCATTCCTCGAGTTGCTGTGCTGAAGTTGGTGTTCCTCTAGACCTGGGACAGTGTTCTCGGGGCATCTCTGGAGTTGCCTGAAGGAAGTCGAGCCACCGGTCGTGTTGAATGGGGAACGGGGAATGGCTCTGGAGTCAATGCAGGGGAATCGGGCCTCATCTCGAGTTGATTTGGGGCACATGGAGCTGCTTTGCGTTGCTGGGGTGACCTCAGGGTCCGTCTAGACTGGTGACAGTGTTCTTGGGGACTGTCTCGAGATCCATTAAGAAGTCGAAGCTCCTGACTTGTTTGAATGGGATCACGGAATAGCTCTGCATGCACTGCAGGGGAATGGGGCCTCATCTCGCCTCTAGGGGGAAGTCTCATGGTTTTTCTCGAGTTGCGGCGGGGACCTGGGGTATGTTCTCGACTTACGGCGGGGATGGCCCTTCAAAACACGAGTTTCTTCAGTGACGTCAGGACTCCTGTCTAGTAACGAGGGACACCTCAGGAATCTCTTCGAGGCTTGGCAGGGCAAAAGGGACGCTTCTCGAGGTGAGGCAGGGCACCCAAGGACCCTTTCCAGTAGCCACAGGGATTTTGGGATTCCTATCAGTATTCAAGAGGAGTCAGGCATCGTCACCTTTTGAAGCAATGAACTCCGCGTGCCTCTCGAGGTGTCAGCGCGATGTGAGGCATTCCGTCAAAATGAGGCAGGGACCTAGGGCTTTCTCTAAGGTCTCCACAGGGGATTCAGACATCCCTTCATGTTGTGAGATGAAAGACGAGCCTGTATTCAAGCCACTGCAAGGAAATCCGGCCTCCTTTCAAGTTAGGGCTTCTCGCTGTATATTCCCCTTGAGGCAGCAAACTCGGGGTCCCTCCCACATACCTATTGCTGAGAGAAGCCTCCTCCTGAGGTGCTTCTGGGAAGTTGGCATACGTCTTGAGCCTAAGCCAGGGATTCAGCTCTCATCTCGAGACGATTTGGGGTACACGGAGCATTCCTCGAGTTGCTGTGCTGAAGTTGGTGTTCCTCTAGACTTGGGACAGTGTTCTCGGGGCATCTCTGGAGTTGCCTGAAGGAAGTCGAGCCACCGGTCGTGTTGAATGGGGAACGGGGAATGGCTCTGGAGTCAATGCAGGGGAATCGGGCCTCATCTCGAGTTGATTTGGGGCACATGGAACTGCTTTGCGTTGCTGGGGTGACCTCAGGGTCCGTCTAGACTGGTGACAGTGTTCTTGGGGACTGTCTCGAGATCCATTAAGCAAGTCGAAGCTCCTGACTTGTTTGAATGGGATCACGGAATAGCTCTGCATGCACTGCAGGGGAATGGGGCCTCATCTCGCCTCTAGGGGGAAGTCTCATGGTTTTTCTCGAGTTGCGGCGGGGACCTGGGGTATGTTCTCGACTTACGGCGGGGATGGCCCTTCAAAACACGAGTTTCTTCAGTGACGTCAGGACTCCTGTCTAGTAACGAGGGACACCTCAGGAATCTCTTCGAGGCTTGGCAGGGCAAAAGGGACGCTTCTCGAGGTGAGGCAGGGCACCCAAGGACCCTTTCCAGTAGCCACAGGGATTTTGGGATTCCTATCAGTATTCAAGAGGAGTCAGGCATCGTCACCTTTTGAAGCAATGAACTCCGCGTGCCTCTCGAGGTGTCAGCGGGATGTGAGGCATTCCGTCAAAATGAGGCAGGGACCTAGGGCTTTCTCTAAGGTCTCCACAGGGGATTCAGACATCCCTTCATGTTGTGAGATGAAAGACGAGCCTGTATTCAAGCCACTGCAAGGAAATCCGGCCTCTTTTCAAGTTAGGGCTTCTCGCTGTATATTCCCCTTGAGGCAGCAAACTCGGGGTCCCTCCCCCATACCTATTGCTGAGAGAAGCCTCCTCCTGAGGTACTTCTGGGAAGTTGGCATACGTCTTGAGCCTAAGCCAGGGAATCAGCTCGCACCTCGAGACGATTTGGGGTACACGGAGCATTCCTCGAGTTGCTGTGCTGAAGTTGGTGTTCCTCTAGACTTGGGACAGTGTTCTCGGGGCATCTCTGGAGTTGCCTGAAGGAAGTCGAGCCACCGGTCGTGTTGAATGGGGAACGGGGAATGGCTCTGGAGTCAATGCAGGGGAATCGGGCCTCATCTCGAGTTGATTTGGGGCACATGGAGCTGCTTTGCGTTGCTGGGGTGACCTCAGGGTCCGTCTAGACTGGTGACAGTGTTCTTGGGGACTGTCTCGAGATCCATTAAGCAAGTCGAAGCTCCTGACTTGTTTGAATGGGATCACGGAATAGCTCTGCATGCACTGCAGGGGAATGGGGCCTCATCTCGCCTCTAGGGGGAAGTCTCATGGTTTTTCTCGAGTTGCGGCGGGGACCTGGGGTATGTTCTCGACTTACGGCGGGGATGGCCCTTCAAAACACGAGTTTCTTCAGTGACGTCAGGACTCCTGTCTAGTAACGAGGGACACCTCAGGAATCTCTTCGAGGCTTGGCAGGGCAAAAGGGACGCTTCTCGAGGTGAGGCAGGGCACCCAAGGACCCTTTCCAGTAGCCACAGGGATTTTGGGATTCCTATCAGTATTCAAGAGGAGTCAGGCATCGTCACCTTTTGAAGCAATGAACTCCGCGTGCCTCTCGAGGTGTCAGCGCGATGTGAGGCATTCCGTCAAAATGAGGCAGGGACCTAGGGCTTTCTCTAAGGTCTCCACAGGGGATTCAGACATCCCTTCATGTTGTGAGATGAAAGACGAGCCTGTATTCAAGCCACTGCAAGGAAATCCGGCCTCCTTTCAAGTTAGGGCTTCTCGCTGTATATTCCCCTTGAGGCAGCAAACTCGGGGTCCCTCCCACATACCTATTGCTGAGAGAAGCCTCCTCCTGAGGTGCTTCTGGGAAGTTGGCATATGTCTTGAGCCTAAGCCAGGGAATCAGCTCGCATCTGGAGACGATTTCGGGTACACGGAGCATTCCTCGAGTTGCTGTGCTGAAGTTGGTGTTCCTCTAGACTTGGGACAGTGTTCTCGGGGCATCTCTGGAGTTGCCTGAAGGAAGTCGAGCCACCGGTCGTGTTGAATGGGGAACGGGGAATGGCTCTGGAGTCAATGCAGGGGAATCGGGCCTCATCTCGAGTTGATTTGGGGCACATGGAGCTGCTTTGCGTTGCTGGGGTGACCTCAGGGTCCGTCTAGACTGGTGACAGTGTTCTTGGGGACTGTCTCGAGATCCATTAAGCAAGTCGAAGCTCCTGACTTGTTTGAATGGGATCACGGAATAGCTCTGCATGCACTGCAGGGGAATGGGGCCTCATCTCGCCTCTAGGGGGAAGTCTCATGGTTTTTCTCGAGTTGCGGCGGGGACCTGGGGTATGTTCTCGACTTACGGCGGGGATGGCCCTTCAAAACACGAGTTTCTTCAGTGACGTCAGGACTCCTGTCTAGTAACGAGGGACACCTCAGGAATCTCTTCGAGGCTTGGCAGGGCAAAAGGGACGCTTCTCGAGGTGAGGCAGGGCACCCAAGGACCCTTTCCAGTAGCCACAGGGATTTTGGGATTCCTATCAGTATTCAAGAGGAGTCAGGCATCGTCACCTTTTGAAGCAATGAACTCCGCGTGCCTCTCGAGGTGTCAGCGGGATGTGAGGCATTCCGTCAAAATGAGGCAGGGACCTAGGGCTTTCTCTAAGGTCTCCACAGGGGATTCAGACATCCCTTCATGTTGTGAGATGAAAGACGAGCCTGTATTCAAGCCACTGCAAGGAAATCCGGCCTCCTTTCAAGTTAGGGCTTCTCGCTGTATATTCCCCTTGAGGCAGCAAACTCGGGGTCCCTCCCACATACCTATTGCTGAGAGAAGCCTCCTCCTGAGGTGCTTCTGGGAAGTTGGCATACGTCTTGAGCCTAAGGCAGGGAATCAGCTCTCATCTCGAGACGATTTGGGGTACACGGAGCATTCCTCGAGTTGCTGTGCTGAAGTTGGTGTTCCTCTAGACTTGGGACAGTGTTCTCGGGGCATCTCTGGAGTTGCCTGAAGGAAGTCGAGCCACCGGTCGTGTTGAATGGGGAACGGGGAATGGCTCTGGAGTCAATGCAGGGGAATCGGGCCTCATCTCGAGTTGATTTGGGGCACATGGAGCTGCTTTGCGTTGCTGGGGTGACCTCAGGGTCCGTCTAGACTGGTGACAGTGTTCTTGGGGACTGTCTCGAGATCCATTAAGCAAGTCGAAGCTCCTGACTTGTTTGAATGGGATCACGGAATAGCTCTGCATGCACTGCAGGGGAATGGGGCCTCATCTCGCCTCTAGGGGTAAGTCTCATGGTTTTTCTCGAGTTGCGGCGGGGACCTGGGGTATGTTCTCGACTTACGGCGGGGATGGCCCTTCAAAACCCGAGTTTCTTCAGTGACGTCAGGACTCCTGTCTAGTAACGAGGGACACCTCAGGAATCTCTTCGAGGCTTGGCAGGGCAAAAGGGACGCTTCTCGAGGTGAGGCAGGGCACCCAAGGACCCTTTCCAGTAGCCACAGGGATTTTGGGATTCCTATCAGTATTCAAGAGGAGTCAGGCATCGTCACCTTTTGAAGCAATGAACTCCGCGTGCCTCTCGAGGTGTCAGCGGGATGTGAGGCATTCCGTCAAAATGAGGCAGGGACCTAGGGCTTTCTCTAAGGTCTCCACAGGGGATTCAGACATCCCTTCATGTTGTGAGATGAAAGACGAGCCTGTATTCAAGCCACTGCAAGGAAATCCGGCCTCCTTTCAAGTTAGGGCTTCTCGCTGTATATTCCCCTTGAGGCAGCAAACTCGGGGTCCCTCCCACATACCTATTGCTGAGAGAAGCCTCCTCCTGAGGTGCTTCTGGGAAGTTGGCATTCGTCTTGAGCCTAAGCCAGGGAATCAGCTCTCATCTCGAGACGATTTGGGGTACACGGAGCATTCCTCGAGTTGCTGTGCTGAAGTTGGTGTTCCTCTAGACTTGGGACAGTGTTCTCGGGGCATCTCTGGAGTTGCCTGAAGGAAGTCGAGCCACCGGTCGTGTTGAATGGGGAACGGGGAATGGCTCTGGAGTCAATGCAGGGGAATCGGGCCTCATCTCGAGTTGATTTGGGGCACATGGAGCTGCTTTGCGTTGCTGGGGTGACCTCAGGGTCCGTCTAGACTGGTGACAGTGTTCTTGGGGACTGTCTCGAGATCCATTAAGCAAGTCGAAGCTCCTGACTTGTTTGAATGGGATCACGGAATAGCTCTGCATGCACTGCAGGGGAATGGGGCCTCATCTCGCCTCTAGGGGGAAGTCTCATGGTTTTTCTCGAGTTGCGGCGGGGACCTGGGGTATGTTCTCGACTTACGGCGGGGATGGCCCTTCAAAACACGAGTTTCTTCAGTGACGTCAGGACTCCTGTCTAGTAACGAGGGACACCTCAGGAATCTCTTCGAGGCTTGGCAGGGCAAAAGGGACGCTTCTCGAGGTGAGGCAGGGCACCCAAGGACCCTTTCCAGTAGCCACAGGGATTTTGGGATTCCTATCAGTATTCAAGAGGAGTCAGGCATCGTCACCTTTTGAAGCAATGAACTCCGCGTGCCTCTCGAGGTGTCAGCGCGATGTGAGGCATTCCGTCAAAATGAGGCAGGGACCTAGGGCTTTCTCTAAGGTCTCCACAGGGGATTCCGACATCCCTTCATGTTGTGAGATGAAAGACGAGCCTGTATTCAAGCCACTGCAAGGAAATCCGGCCTCCTTTCAAGTTAGGGCTTCTCGCTGTATATTCCCCTTGAGGCAGCAAACTCGGGGTCCCTCCCACATACCTATTGCTGAGAGAAGCCTCCTCCTGAGGTGCTTCTGGGAAGTTGGCATACGTCTTCAGCCTAAGCCAGGGAATCAGCTCTCATCTCGAGACGATTTGGGGTACACGGAGCATTCCTCTAGTTGCTGTACTGAAGTTGGTGTTCCTCTAGACTTGGGACAGTGTTCTCGGGGCATCTCTGGAGTTGCCTGAAGGAAGTCGAGCCACCGGTCGTGTTGAATGGGGAACGGGGAATGGCTCTGGAGTCAATGCAGGGGAATCGGGCCTCATCTCGAGTTGATTTGGGGCACATGGAGCTGCTTTGCGTTGCTGGGGTGACCTCAGGGTCCGTCTAGACTAGTGACAGTGTTCTTGGGGACTGTCTCGAGATCCATTAAGCAAGTCGAAGCTCCTGACTTGTTTGAATGGGATCACGGAATAGCTCTGCATGCACTGCAGGGGAATGGGGCCTCATCTCGCCTCTAGGGGGAAGTCTCATGGTTTTTCTCGAGTTGCGGCGGGAACCTGGGGTATGTTCTCGACTTACGGCGGGGATGGCCCTTCAAAACACGAGTTTCTTCAGTGACGTCAGGACTCCTGTCTAGTAACGAGGGACACCTCAGGAATCTCTTCGAGGTTTGGCAGGGCAAAAAGGACGCTTCTCGAGGTGAGGCAGGGCACCCAAGGACCCTTTCCAGTAGCCACAGGGATTTTGGGATTCCTATCAGTATTCAAGAGGAGTCAGGCATCGTCACCTTTTGAAGCAATGAACTCCGCGTGCCTCTCGAGGTGTCAGCGCGATGTGAGGCATTCCGTCAAAATGAGGCAGGGACCTAGGTCTTTCTCTAAGGTCTCCACAGGGGATTCAGACATCCCTTCATGTTGTGAGATGAAAGACGAGCCTGTATTCAAGCCACTGCAAGGAAATCCGGCCTCCTTTCAAGTTAGGGCTTCTCGCTGTATATTCCCCTTGAGGCAGCAAACTCGGGGTCCCTTCCACATATCTATTGCTGAGAGAAGCCTCCTCCTGAGGTGCTTCTGGGAAGTTGGCATACGTCTTGAGCCTAAGCCAGGGAATCAGCTCGCACCTCGAGACGATTTGGGGTACACGGAGCATTCCTCGAGTTGCTGTGCTGAAGTTGGTGTTCCTCTAGACTTGGGACAGTGTTCTCGGGGCATCTCTGGAGTTGCCTGAAGGAAGTCGAGCCACCGGTCGTGTTGAATGGGGAACGGGGAATGGCTCTGGAGTCAATGCAGGGGAATCGGGCCTCATCTCGAGTTGATTTGGGGCACATGGAGCTGCTTTGCGTTGCTGGGGTGACCTCAGGGTCCGTCTAGACTGGTGACAGTGTTCTTGGGGACTGTCTCGAGATCCATTAAGCAAGTCGAAGCTCCTGACTTGTTTGAATGGGATCACGGAATAGCTCTGCATGCACTGCAGGGGAATGGGGCCTCATCTCGCCTCTAGGGGGAAGTCTCATGGTTTTTCTCGAGTTGCGGCGGGGACCTGGGGTATGTTCTCGACTTACGGCGGGGATGGCCCTTCAAAACACGAGTTTCTTCAGTGACGTCAGGACTCCTGTCTAGTAACGAGGGACACCTCAGGAATCTCTTCGAGGCTTGGCAGGGCAAAAGGGACGCTTCTCGAGGTGAGGCAGGGCACCCAAGGACCCTTTCCAGTAGCCACAGGGATTTTGGGATTCCTATCAGTATTCAAGAGGAGTCAGGCATCGTCACCTTTTGAAGCAATGAACTCCGCGTGCCTCTCGAGGTGTCAGCGGGATGTGAGGCATTCCGTCAAAATGAGGCAGGGACCTAGGGCTTTCTCTAAGGTCTCCACAGGGGATTCAGACATCCCTTCATGTTGTGAGATGAAAGACGAGCCTGTATTCAAGCCACTGCAAGGAAATCCGGCCTCCTTTCAAGTTAGGGCTTCTCGCTGTATATTCCCCTTGAGGCAGCAAACTCGGGGTCCCTCCCACATACCTATTGCTGAGAGAAGCCTCCTCCTGAGGTGCTTCTGGGAAGTTGGCATACGTCTTGAGCCTAAGCCAGGGAATCAGCTCGCATCTCGAGACGATTTGGGGTACACGGAGCATTCCTCGAGTTGCTGTGCTGAAGTTGGTGTTCCTCTAGACTTGGGACAGTGTTCTCGGGGCATCTCTGGAGTTGCCTGAAGGAAGTCGAGCCACCGGTCGTGTTGAATGGGGAACGGGGAATGGCTCTGGAGTCAATGCAGGGGAATCGGGCCTCATCTCGAGTTGATTTGGGGCACATGGAGCTGCTTTGCGTTGCTGGGGTGACCTCAGGGTCCGTCTAGACTGGTGACAGTGTTCTTGGGGACTGTCTCGAGATCCATTAAGCAAGTCGAAGCTCCTGACTTGTTTGAATGGGATCACGGAATAGCTCTGCATGCACTGCAGGGGAATGGGGCCTCATCTCGCCTCTAGGGGGAAGTCTCATGGTTTTTCTCGAGTTGCGGCGGGGACCTGGGGTATGTTCTCGACTTACGGCGGGGATGGCCCTTCAAAACACGAGTTTCTTCAGTGACGTCAGGACTCCTGTCTAGTAACGAGGGACACCTCAGGAATCTCTTCGAGGCTTGGCAGGGCAAAAGGGACGCTTCTCGAGGTGAGGCAGGGCACCCAAGGACCCTTTCCAGTAGCCACAGGGATTTTGGGATTCCTATCAGTATTCAAGAGGAGTCAGGCATCGTCACCTTTTGAAGCAATGAACTCCGCGTGCCTCTCGAGGTGTCAGCGGGATGTGAGGCATTCCGTCAAAATGAGGCAGGGACCTAGGGCTTTCTCTAAGGTCTCCACAGGGGATTCAGACATCCCTTCATGTTGTGAGATGAAAGACGAGCCTGTATTCAAGCCACTGCAAGGAAATCCGGCCTCCTTTCAAGTTAGGGCTTCTCGCTGTATATTCCCCTTGAGGCAGCAAACTCGGGGTCCCTCCCACATACCTATTGCTGAGAGAAGCCTCCTCCTGAGGTGCTTCTGGGAAGTTGGCATTCGTCTTGAGCCTAAGCCAGGGAATCAGCTCTCATCTCGAGACGATTTGGGGTACACGGAGCATTCCTCGAGTTGCTGTGCTGAAGTTGGTGTTCCTCTAGACTTGGGACAGTGTTCTCGGGGCATCTCTGGAGTTGCCTGAAGGAAGTCGAGCCACCGGTCGTGTTGAATGGGGAACGGGGAATGGCTCTGGAGTCAATGCAGGGGAATCGGGCCTCATCTCGAGTTGATTTGGGGCACATGGAGCTGCTTTGCGTTGCTGGGGTGACCTCAGGGTCCGTCTAGACTGGTGACAGTGTTCTTGGGGACTGTCTCGAGATCCATTAAGCAAGTCGAAGCTCCTGACTTGTTTGAATGGGATCACGGAATAGCTCTGCATGCACTGCAGGGGAATGGGGCCTCATCTCGCCTCTAGGGGGAAGTCTCATGGTTTTTCTCGAGTTGCGGCGGGGACCTGGGGTATGTTCTCGACTTACGGCGGGGATGGCCCTTCAAAACACGAGTTTCTTCAGTGACGTCAGGACTCCTGTCTAGTAATGAGGGACACCTCAGGAATCTCTTCGAGGCTTGGCAGGGCAAAAGGGACGCTTCTCGAGGTGAGGCAGGGTACCCAAGGACCCTTTCCAGTAGCCACAGGGATTTTGGGATTCCTATCAGTATTCAAGAGGAGTCAGGCATCGTCACCTTTTGAAGCAATGAACTCCGCGTGCCTCTCGAGGTGTCAGCGGGATGTGAGGCATTCCTTAAAAAGGAGGCAGGGACCTAGGGCTTTCTCTAAGGTCTCCACAGGGGATTCAGACATCCCTTCATGTTGTGAGATGAAAGACGAGCCTGTATTCAAGCCACTGCAAGGAAATCCGGCCTCCTTTCAAGTTAGGGCTTCTCGCTGTATATTCCCCTTGAGGCAGCAAACTCGGGGTCCCTCCCACATACCTATTGCTGAGAGAAGCCTCCTCCTGAGGTGCTTCTGGGAAGTTGGCATACGTCTTGAGCCTAAGGCAGGGAATCAGCTCTCATCTCGAGACGATTTGGGGTACACGGAGCATTCCTCGAGTTGCTGTGCTGAAGTTGGTGTTCCTCTAGACTTGGGACAGTGTTCTCGGGGCATCTCTGGAGTTGCCTGAAGGAAGTCGAGCCACCGGTCGTGTTGAATGGGGAACGGGGAATGGCTCTGGAGTCAATGCAGGGGAATCGGGCCTCATCTCGAGTTGATTTGGGGCACATGGAGCTGCTTTGCGTTGCTGGGGTGACCTCAGGGTCCGTCTAGACTGGTGACAGTGTTCTTGGGGACTGTCTCGAGATCCATTAAGCAAGTCGAAGCTCCTGACTTGTTTGAATGGGATCACGGAATAGCTCTGCATGCACTGCAGGGGAATGGGGCCTCATCTCGCCTCTAGGGGGAAGTCTCATGGTTTTTCTCGAGTTGCGGCGGGGACCTGGGGTATGTTCTCGACTTACGGCGGGGATGGCCCTTCAAAACACGAGTTTCTTCAGTGACGTCAGGACTCCTGTCTAGTAACGAGGGACACCTCAGGAATCTCTTCGAGGCTTGGCAGGGCAAAAGGGACGCTTCTCGAGGTGAGGCAGGGCATCCAAGGACCCTTTCCAGTAGCCACAGGGATTTTGGGATTCCTATCAGTATTCAAGAGGAGTCAGGCATCGTCACCTTTTGAAGCAATGAACTCCGCGTGCCTCTCGAGGTGTCAGCGCGATGTGAGGCATTCCGTCAAAATGAGGCAGGGACCTAGGGCTTTCTCTAAGGTCTCCACAGGGGATTCAGACATCCCTTCATGTTGTGAGATGAAAGACGAGCCTGTATTCAAGCCACTGCAAGGAAATCCGGCCTCCTTTCAAGTTAGGGCTTCTCGCTGTATATTCCCCTTGAGGCAGCAAACTCGGGGTCCCTCCCACATACCTATTGCTGAGAGAAGCCTCCTCCTGAGGTGCTTCTGGGAAGTTGGCATACGTCTTCAGCCTAAGCCAGGGAATCAGCTCTCATCTCGAGACGATTTGGGGTACACGGAGCATTCCTCGAGTTGCTGTACTGAAGTTGGTGTTCCTCTAGACTTGGGACAGTGTTCTCGGGGCATCTCTGGAGTTGCCTGAAGGAAGTCGAGCCACCGGTCGTGTTGAATGGGGAACGGGGAATGGCTCTGGAGTCAATGCAGGGGAATCGGGCCTCATCTCGAGTTGATTTGGGGCACATGGAGCTGCTTTGCGTTGCTGGGGTGACCTCAGGGTCCGTCTAGACTGGTGACAGTGTTCTTGGGGACTGTCTCGAGATCCATTAAGCAAGTCGAAGCTCCTGACTTGTTTGAATGGGATCACGGAATAGCTCTGCATGCACTGCAGGGGAATGGGGCCTCATCTCGCCTCTAGGGGGAAGTCTCATGGTTTTTCTCGAGTTGCGGCGGGGACCTGGGGTATGTTCTCGACTTACGGCGGGGATGGCCCTTCAAAACACGAGTTTCTTCAGTGACGTCAGGACTCCTGTCTAGTAACGAGGGACACCTCAGGAATCTCTTCGAGGCTTGGCAGGGCAAAAGGGACGCTTCTCGAGGTGAGGCAGGGCACCCAAGGACCCTTTCCAGTAGCCACAGGGATTTTGGGATTCCTATCAGTATTCAAGAGGAGTCAGGCATCGTCACCTTTTGAAGCAATGAACTCCGCGTGCCTCTCGAGGTGTCAGCGGGATGTGAGGCATTCCGTCAAAATGAGGCAGGGACCTAGGGCTTTCTCTAAGGTCTCCACAGGGGATTCAGACATCCCTTCATGTTGTGAGATGAAAGACGAGCCTGTATTCAAGCCACTGCAAGGAAATCCGGCCTCCTTTCAAGTTAGGGCTTCTCGCTGTATATTCCCCTTGAGGCAGCAAACTCGGGGTCCCTCCCACATACCTATTGCTGAGAGAAGCCTCCTCCTGAGGTGCTTCTGGGAAGTTGGCATACGTCTTGAGCCTAAGCCAGGGAATCACCGCTCATCTCGAGACAATTTGGGGTACACGGAGCATTCCTCGAGTTGCTGTGCTGAAGTTGGTGTTCCTCTAGACTTGGACAGTGTTCTCGGGGCATCTCTGCAGTTGCCTGAAGGAAGTCGAGCCACCGGTCGTGTTGAATGGGGAACGGGGAATGGCTCTGGAGTCAATGCAGGGGAATCGGGCCTCATCTCGAGTTGATTTGGGGCACATGGAGCTGCTTTGCGTTGCTGGGGTGACCTCAGGGTCCGTCTAGACTAGTGACAGTGTTCTTGGGGACTGTCTCGAGATCCATTAAGCAAGTCGAAGCTCCTGACTTGTTTGAATGGGATCACGGAATAGCTCTGCATGCACTGCAGGGGAATGGGGCCTCATCTCGCCTCTAGGGGGAAGTCTCATGGTTTTTCTCGAGTTGCGGCGGGGACCTGGGGTATGTTCTCGACTTACGGCGGGGATGGCCCTTCAAAACACGAGTTTCTTCAGTGACGTCAGGACTCCTGTCTAGTAACGAGGGACACCTCAGGAATCTCTTCGAGGCTTGGCAGGGCAAAAGGGACGCTTCTCGAGGTGAGGCAGGGCACCCAAGGACCCTTTCCAGTAGCCACAGGGATTTTGGGATTCCTATCAGTATTCAAGAGGAGTCAGGCATCGTCACCTTTTGAAGCAATGAACTCCGCGTGCCTCTCGAGGTGTCAGCGGGATGTGAGGCATTCCGTCAAAATGAGGCAGGGACCTAGGGCTTTCTCTAAGGTCTCCACAGGGGATTCAGACATCCCTTCATGTTGTGAGATGAAAGACGAGCCTGTATTCAAGCCACTGCAAGGAAATCCGGCCTCCTTTCAAGTTAGGGCTTCTCGCTGTATATTCCCCTTGAGGCAGCAAACTCGGGGTCCCTCCCACATACCTATTGCTGAGAGAAGCCTCCTCCTGAGGTGCTTCTGGGAAGTTGGCATACGTCTTGAGCCTAAGCCAGGGAATCACCGCTCATCTCGAGACAATTTGGGGTACACGGAGCATTCCTCGAGTTGCTGTGCTGAAGTTGGTGTTCCTCTAGACTTGGACAGTGTTCTCGGGGCATCTCTGCAGTTGCCTGAAGGAAGTCGAGCCACCGGTCGTGTTGAATGGGGAACGGGGAATGGCTCTGGAGTCAATGCAGGGGAATCGGGCCTCATCTCGAGTTGATTTGGGGCACATGGAGCTGCTTTGCCTTGCTGGGGTGACCTCAGGGTCCGTCTAGACTAGTGACAGTGTTCTTGGGGACTGTCTCGAGATCCATTAAGCAAGTCGAAGCTCCTGACTTGTTTGAATGGGATCACGGAATAGCTCTGCATGCACTGCAGGGGAATGGGGCCTCATCTCGCCTCTAGGGGGAAGTCTCATGGTTTTTCTCGAGTTGCGGCGGGGACCTGGGGTATGTTCTCGACTTACGGCAGGGATGGCCCTTCAAAACACGAGTTTCTTCAGTGACGTCAGGACTCCTGTCTAGTAACGAGGGACACCTCAGGAATCTCTTCGAGGTTTGGCAGGGCAAAAAGGACGCTTCTCGAGGTGAGCCAGGGCACCCAAGGACCCTTTCCAGTAGCCACAGGGATTTTGGGATTCCTATCAGTATTCAAGAGGAGTCAGGCATCGTCACCTTTTGAAGCAATGAACTCCGCGTGCCTCTCGAGGTGTCAGCGCGATGTGAGGCATTCCGTCAAAATGAGGCAGGGACCTAGGGCTTTCTCTAAGGTCTCCTCAGGGGATTCAGACATCCCTTCATGTTGTGAGATGAAAGACGAGCCTGTATTCAAGCCACTGCAAGGAAATCCGGCCTCCTTTCAAGTTAGGGCTTCTCGCTGTATATTCCCCTTGAGGCAGCAAACTCGGGGTCCCTTCCACATATCTATTGCTGAGAGAAGCCTCCTCCTGAGGTGCTTCTGGGAAGTTGGCATACGTCTTGAGCCTAAGCCAGGGAATCAGCTCGCACCTCGAGATGATTTGGGGTACACGGAGCATTCCTCGTGTTGCTGTGCTGAAGTTGGTGTTCCTCTAGACTTGGGACAGTGTTCTCGGGGCATCTCTGGAGTTGCCTGAAGGAAGTCGAGCCACCGGTCGTGTTGAATGGGGAACGGGGAATGGCTCTGGAGTCAATGCAGGGGAATCGAGCCTAATCTCGAGTTGATTTGGGGCACATGGAGCTGCTTTGCGTTGCTGGGGTGACCTCAGGGTCCGTCTAGACTGGTGACAGTGTTCTTGGGGACTGTCTCGAGATCCATTAAGCAAGTCGAAGCTCCTGACTTGTTTGAATGGGATCACGGAATAGCTCTGCATGCACTGCAGGGGAATGGGGCCTCATCTCGCCTCTAGGGGGAAGTCTCATGGTTTTTCTCGAGTTGCGGCGGGGACCTGGGGTATGTTCTCGACTTACGGCGGGGATGGCCCTTCAAAACACGAGTTTCTTCAGTGACGTCAGGACTCCTGTCTAGTAACGAGGGACACCTCAGGAATCTCTTCGAGGCTTGGCAGGGCAAAAGGGACGCTTCTCGAGGTGAGGCAGGGCACCCAAGGACCCTTTCCAGTAGCCACAGGGATTTTGGGATTCCTATCAGTATTCAAGAGGAGTCAGGCATCGTCACCTTTTGAAGCAATGAACTCCGCGTGCCTCTCGAGGTGTCAGCGGGATGTGAGGCATTCCTTAAAAATGAGGCAGGGACCTAGGGCTTTCTCTAAGGTCTCCACAGGGGATTCAGACATCCCTTCATGTTGTGAGATGAAAGACGAGCCTGTATTCAAGCCACTACAAGGAAATCCGGCCTCCTTTCAAGTTAGGGCTTCTCGCTGTATATTCCCCTTGAGGCAGCAAACTCGGGGTCCCTCCCACATACCTATTGCTGAGAGAAGCCTCCTCCTGAGGTGCTTCTGGGAAGTTGGCATACGTCTTGAGCCTAAGCCAGGGAATCAGCTCTCATCTCGAGACGATTTGGGGAACACGGAGCATTCCTTGAGTTGTTGTGCTGAAGTTGGTGTTCCTCTAGACTTGGGACAGTGTTCTCGGGGCATCTCTGCAGTTGCCTGAAGGAAGTCGAGCCACCGGTCGTGTTGAATGGGGAACGGGGAATGGCTCTGGAGTCAATGCAGGGGAATCGGGCCTCATCTCGAGTTGATTTGGGGCACATGGAGCTGCTCTGCGTTGATGGAGTGACCTCAGGGTCCGTCTAGACTGGTGACTGGGTTCTTGGGGACTGTCTCGAGATCCATTAAGCAAGTCGAAGCTCCTGACTTGTTTCAATGGGATCACGGAATAGCTCTGCATGCACTGCAGGGGAATGGGGCCTCATCTAGCCTCTAGGGGGAAGTCTCATGGTTTTTCTCGAGTTGCGGCGGGGACCTGGGGTATGTTCTCGACTTACGGCGGGGATGGCCCTTCAAAACACGAGTTTCTTCAGTGACGTCAGGACTCCTGTCTAGTAACGAGGGACACCTCAGAAATCTCTTCGAGGTTTGGCAGGGCAAAAGGGACGCTTCTCGAGGTGAGGCAGGGCACCCAAGGACCCTTTCCAGTAGCCACAGGGATTTTGGGATTCCTATCAGTATTCAAGAGGAGTCAGGCATCGTCACCTTTAGAAGCAATGAACTCCGCGTGCCTCTCGAGGTGTCAGCGCGATGTGAGGCATTCCGTCAAAATGAGGCAGGGACCTAGGGCTTTCTCTAAGGTCTCCACAGGGGATTCAGACATCCCTTCATGTTGTGAGATGAAAGACGAGCCTGTATTCAAGCCACTGCAAGGAAATCCGGCCTCCTTTCAAGTTAGGGCTTCTCGCTGTATATTCCCCTTGAGGCAGCAAACTCGGGGTCCCTCCCACATACCTATTGCTGAGAGAAGCCTCCTCCTGAGGTGCTTCTGGGAAGTTGGCATACGTCTTGAGCCTAAGCCAGGGAATCAGCTCTCATCTCGAGACGATTTGGGGTACACGGAGCATTCCTCGAGTTGCTGTGCTGAAGTTGGTGTTCCTCTAGACTTGGGACAGTGTTCTCGGGGCATCTCTGGAGTTGCCTGAAGGAAGTCGAGCCACCGGTCGTGTTGAATGGGGAACGGGGAATGGCTCTGGAGTCAATGCAGGGGAATCGGGCCTCATCTCGAGTTGATTTGGGGCACATGGAGCTGCTTTGCGTTGCTGGGGTGACCTCAGGGTCCGTCTAGACTGGTGACAGTGTTCTTGGGGACTGTCTCGAGATCCATTAAGCAAGTCGAAGCTCCTGACTTGTTTGAATGGGATCACGGAATAGCTCTGCATGCACTGCAGGGGAATGGGGCCTCATCTCGCCTCTAGGGGGAAGTCTCATGGTTTTTCTCGAGTTGCGGCGGGGACCTGGGGTATGTTCTCGACTTACGGCGGGGATGGCCCTTCAAAACACGAGTTTCTTCAGTGACGTCAGGACTCCTGTCTATTAACGAGGGACACCTCAGGAATCTCTTCGAGGCTTGTCAGGGCAAAAGGGACGCTTCTCGAGGTGAGGCAGGGCACCCAAGGACCCTTTCCAGTAGCCACAGGGATTTTGGGATTCCTATCAGTATTCAAGAGGAGTCAGGCATCGTCACCTTTTGAAGCAATGAACTCCGCGTGCCTCTCGAGGTGTCAGCGGGATGTGAGGCATTCCTTAAAAATGAGGCAGGGACCTAGGGCTTTCTCTAAAGTCTCCACAGGGGATTCAGACATCCCTTCATGTTGTGAGATGAAAGACAAGCCTGTATTCAAGCCACTGCAAGGAAATCCGGCCTCCTTTCAAGTTAGGGCTTCTCGCTGTATATTCCCCTTGAGGCAGCAAACTCGGGGTCCCTCCCACATACCTATTGCTGAGAGAAGCCTCCTCCTGAGGTGCTTCTGGGAAGTTGGCATACGTCTTGAGCCTAAGCCAGGGAATCAGCTCTCATCTCGAGACGATTTGGGGTACACGGAGCATTCCTCGAGTTGCTGTGCTGAAGTTGGTGTTCCTCTAGACTTGTGACAGTGTTCTCGGGGCATCTCTGGAGTTGCCTGAAGGAAGTCGAGCCACCGGTCGTGTTGAATGGGGAACGGGGAATGGCTCTGGAGTCAATGCAGGGGAATCGGGCCTCATCTCGAGTTGATTTGGGGCACATGGAGCTGCTTTGCGTTGCTGGGGTGACCTCAGGGTCCGTCTAGACTGGTGACAGTGTTCTTGGGGACTGTCTCGAGATCCATTAAGCAAGTCGAAGCTCCTGACTTGTTTGAATGGGATCACGGAATAGCTCTGCATGCACTGCAGGGGAATGGGGCCTCATCTCGCCTCTAGGGGGAAGTCTCATGGTTTTTCTCGAGTTGCGGCGGGGACCTGGGGTATGTTCTCGACTTACGGCGGGGATGGCCCTTCAAAACACGAGTTTCTTCAGTGACGTCAGGACTCCTGTCTATTAATGAGGGACACCTCAGGAATCTCTTCGAGGCTTGGCAGGGCAAAAGGGACGCTTCTCGAGGTGAGGCAGGGCACCCAAGGACCCTTTCCAGTAGCCACAGGGATTTTGGGATTCCTATCAGTATTCAAGAGGAGTCAGGCATCGTCACCTTTTGAAGCAATGAACTCCGCGTGCCTCTCGAGGTGTCAGCGCGATGTGAGGCATTCCGTCAAAATGAGGCAGGGACCTAGGGCTTTCTCTAAGGTCTCCACAGGGGATTCAGACATCCCTTCATGTTGTGAGATGAAAGACGAGCCTGTATTCAAGCCACTGCAAGGAAATCCGGCCTCCTTTCAAGTTAGGGCTTCTCGCTGTATATTCCCCTTGAGGCAGCAAACTCGGGGTCCCTCCCACATACCTATTGCTGAGAGAAGCCTCCTCCTGAGGTGCTTCTGGGAAGTTGGAATACGTCTTGAGCCTAAGCCAGGGAATCACCGCTCATCTCGAGACAATTTGGGGTACACGGAGCATTCCTTGAGTTGCTGTGCTGAAGTTGGTGTTCCTCTAGACTTGGGACAGTGTTCTCGGGGCATCTCTGGAGTTGCCTGAAGGAAGTCGAGCCACCGGTCGTGTTGAATGGGGAACGGGGAATGGCTCTGGAGTCAATGCAGGGGAATCGGGCCTCATCTCGAGTTGATTTGGGGCACATGGAGCTGCTCTGCGTTGATGGAGTGACCTCAGGGTCCGTCTAGACTGGTGACAGTGTTCTTGGGGACTGTCTGGAGATCCATTAAGCAAGTCGAAGCTCCTGACTTGTTTGAATGGGATCACGGAATAGCTCTGCATGCACTGCAGGGGAATGGGGCCTCATCTAGCCTCTAGGGGGAAGTCTCATGGTTTTTCTCGAGTTGCGGCGGGGACCTGGGGTATGTTCTCGACTTACGGCGGGGATGGCCCTTCAAAACACGAGTTTCTTCAGTGACGTCAGGACTCCTGTCTAGTAACGAGGGACACCTCAGGAATCTCTTCGAGGTTTGGCAGGGTAAAAGGGACGCTTCTCGAGGTGAGGCAGGGCACCCAAGGACCCTTTCCAGTAGCCACAGGGATTTTGGGATTCCTATCAGTATTCAAGAGGAGTCAGGCATCGTCACCTTTTGAAGCAATGAACTCCGCGTGCCTCTCGAGGTGTCAGCGCGATGTGAGGCATACCGTCAAAATGAGGCAGGGACCCAGGGCTTTCTCTAAGGTCTCCACAGGGGATTCAGACATCCCTTCATGTTGTGAGATGAAAGACGAGCCTGTATTCAAGCCACTGCAAGGAAATCCGGCCTCCTTTCAAGTTAGGGCTTCTCGCTGTATATTCCCCTTGAGGCAGCAAACTCGGGGTCCCTCCCACATACCTATTGCTGAGAGAAGCCTCCTCCTGAGGTGCTTCTGGGAAGTTGGCATACGTCTTGAGCCTAAGCCAGGGAATCAGCTCTCATCTCGAGACGATTTGGGGTACACGGAGCATTCCTCGAGTTGCTGTGCTGAAGTTGGTGTTCCTCTAGACTTGGGACAGTGTTCTCGGGGCATCTCTGGAGTTGCCTGAAGGAAGTCGAGCCACCGGTCGTGTTGAATGGGGAACGGGGAATGGCTCTGGAGTCAATGCAGGGGAATCGGGCCTCATCTCGAGTTGATTTGGGGCACATGGAGCTGCTTTGCGTTGCTGGGGTGACCTCAGGGTCCGTCTAGACTGGTGACAGTGTTCTTGGGGACTGTCTCGAGATCCATTAAGCAAGTCGAAGCTCCTGACTTGTTTGAATGGGATCACGGAATAGCTCTGCATGCACTGCAGGGGAATGGGGCCTCATCTCGCCTCTAGGGGGAAGTCTCATGGTTTTTCTCGAGTTGCGGCGGGGACCTGGGGTATGTTCTCGACTTACGGCGGGGATGGCCCTTCAAAACACGAGTTTCTTCAGTGACGTCAGGACTCCTGTCTATTAACGAGGGACACCTCAGGAATCTCTTCGAGGCTTGGCAGGGCAAAAGGGACGCTTCTCGAGGTGAGGCAGGGCACCCAAGGACCCTTTCCAGTAGCCACAGGGATTTTGGGATTCCTATCAGTATTCAAGAGGAGTCAGGCATCGTCACCTTTTGAAGCAATGAACTCCGCGTGCCTCTCGAGGTGTCAGCGCGATGTGAGGCATTCTGTCAAAATGAGGCAGGGACCTAGGGCTTTCTCTAAGGTCTCCACAGGGGATTCAGACATCCCTTCATGTTGTGAGATGAAAGACGAGCCTGTATTCAAGCCACTGCAAGGAAATCCGGCCTCCTTTCAAGTTAGGGCTTCTCGCTGTATATTCCCCTTGAGGCAGCAAACTCGGGGTCCCTCCCACATACCTATTGCTGAGAGAAGCCTCCTCCTGAGGTGCTTCTGGGAAGTTGGCATACGTCTTGAGCCTAAGCCAGGGAATCACCGCTCATCTCGAGACAATTTGGGGTACACGGAGCATTCCTCGAGTTGCTGTGCTGAAGTTGGTGTTCCTCTAGACTTGGACAGCGTTCTCGGGGCATCTCTGCAGTTGCCTGAAGGAAGTCGAGCCACCGGTCGTGTTGAATGGGGAACGGGGAATGGCTCTGGAGTCAATGCAGGGGAATCGGGCCTCATCTCGAGTTGATTTGGGGCACATGGAGCTGCTTTGCGTTGCTGGGGTGACCTCAGGGTCCGTCTAGACTGGTGACAGTGTTCTTGGGGACTGTCTCGAGATCCATTAAGCAAGTCGAAGCTCCTGACTTGTTTGAATGGGATCACGGAATAGCTCTGCATGCACTGCAGGGGAATGGGGCCTCATCTCGCCTCTAGGGGGAAGTCTCATGGTTTTTCTCGAGTTGCGGCGGGGACCTGGGGTATGTTCTCGACTTACGGCGGGGATGGCCCTTCAAAACACGAGTTTCTTCAGTGACGTCAGGACTCCTGTCTAGTAACGAGGGACACCTCAGGAATCTCTTCGAGGTTTGGCAGGGCAAAAAGGACGCTTCTCGAAGTGAGGCAGGGCACCCAAGGACCCTTTCCAGTAGCCACAGGGATTTTGGGATTCCTATCAGTATTCAAGAGGAGTCAGGCATCGTCACCTTTTGAAGCAATGAACTCCGCGTGCCTCTCGAGGTGTCAGCGCGATGTGAGGCATTCCGTCAAAATGAGGCAGGGACCTAGGTCTTTCTCTAAGGTCTCCACAGGGGATTCAGACATCCCTTCATGTTGTGAGATGAAAGACGAGCCTGTATTCAAGCCACTGCAAGGAAATCCGGCCTCCTTTCAAGTTAGGGCTTCTCGCTGTATATTCCCCTTGAGGCAGCAAACTCGGGGTCCCTTCCACATATCTATTGCTGAGAGAAGCCTCCTCCTGAGGTGCTTCTGGGAAGTTGGCATACGTCTTGAGCCTAAGCCAGGGAATCAGCTCGCACCTCGAGACGATTTGGGGTACACGGAGCATTCCTCGAGTTGCTGTGCTGAAGTTGGTGTTCCTCTAGACTTGGAACAGTGTTCTCGGGGCATCTCTGGAGTTGCCTGAAGGAAGTCGAGCCACCGGTCGTGTTGAATGGGGAACGGGGAATGGCTCTGGAGTCAATGCAGGGGAATCGGGCCTCATCTCGAGTTGATTTGGGGCACATGGAGCTGCTTTGCGTTGCTGGGGTGACCTCAGGGTCCGTCTAGACTGGTGACAGTGTTCTTGGGGACTGTCTCGAGATCCATTAAGCAAGTCGAAGCTCCTGACTTGTTTGAATGGGATCACGGAATAGCTCTGCATGCACTGCAGGGGAATGGGGCCTCATCTCGCCTCTAGGGGGAAGTCTCATGGTTTTTCTCGAGTTGCGGCGGGGACCTGGGGTATGTTCTCGACTTACGGCGGGGATGGCCCTTCAAAACACGAGTTTCTTCAGTGACGTCAGGACTCCTGTCTAGTAACGAGGGACACCTCAGGAATCTCTTCGAGGCTTGGCAGGGCAAAAGGGACGCTTCTCGAGGTGAGGCAGGGCACCCAAGGACCCTTTCCAGTAGCCACAGGGATTTTGGGATTCCTATCAGTATTCAAGAGGAGTCAGGCATCGTCACCTTTTGAAGCAATGAACTCCGCGTGCCTCTCGAGGTGTCAGCGGGATGTGAGGCATTCCGTCAAAATGAGGCAGGGACCTAGGGCTTTCTCTAAGGTCTCCACAGGGGATTCAGACATCTCTTCATGTTGTGAGATGAAAGACGAGCCTGTATTCAAGCCACTGCAAGGAAATCCGGCCTCCTTTCAAGTTAGGGCTTCTCGCTGTATATTCCCCTTGAGGCAGCAAACTCGGGGTCCCTCCCACATACCTATTGCTGAGAGAAGCCTCCTCCTGAGGTGCTTCTGGGAAGTTGGCATACGTCTTGAGCCTAAGCCAGGGAATCAGCTCTCATCTCGAGACGATTTGGGGTACACGGAGCATTCCTTGAGTTGCTGTGCTGAAGTTGGTGTTCCTCTAGACTTGGGACAGTGTTCTCGGGGCATCTCTGGAGTTGCCTGAAGGAAGTCGAACCACCGGTCGTGTTGAATGGGGAACGGGGAATGGCTCTGGAGTCAATGCAGGGGAATCGGTCCTCATCTCGAGTTGATTTGGGGCACATGGAGCTGCTCTGCGTTGATGGAGTGACCTCAGGGTCCGTCTAGACTGGTGACAGTGTTCTTGGGGACTGTCTCGAGATCCATTAAGCAAGTCGAAGCTCCTGACTTGTTTGAATGGGATCACGGAATAGCTCTGCATGCACTGCAGGGGAATGGGGCCTCATCTCGCCTCTAGGGGGAAGTCTCATGGTTTTTCTCGAGTTGCGGCGGGGACCTGGGGTATGTTCTCGACTTACGGCGGGGATGGCCCTTCAAAACACGAGTTTCTTCAGTGACGTCAGGACTCCTGTCTAGTAACGAGGGACACCTCAGGAATCTCTTCGAGGTTTGGCAGGGCAAAAGGGACGCTTCTCGAGGTGAGGCAGGGCACCCAAGGACCCTTTCCAGTAGCCACAGGGATTTTGGGATTCCTATCAGTATTCAAGAGGAGTCAGGCATCGTCACCTTTAGAAGCAATGAACTCCGCGTGCCCCTCGAGGTGTCAGCGGGATGTGAGGCATTCCGTCAAAATGAGGCAGGGACCTAGGGCTTTCTCTAAGGTCTCCACAGGGGATTCAGACATCCCTTCATGTTGTGAGATGAAAGACGAGCCTGTATTCAAGCCACTGCAAGGAAATCCGGCCTCCTTTCAAGTTAGGGCTTCTCGCTGTATATTCCCCTTGAGGCAGCAAACTCGGGGTCCCTCCCACATACCTATTGCTGAGAGAAGCCTCCTCCTGAGGTGCTTCTGGGAAGTTGGCATACGTCTTGAGCCTAAGCCAGGGAATCACCGCTCATCTTGAGACAATTTGGGGTACACGGAGCATTCCTCGAGTTGCTGTGCTGAAGTTGGTGTTCCTCTAGACTTGGACAGTGTTCTCGGGGCGTCTCTGCAGTTGCCTGAAGGAAGTCGAGCCACCGGTCGTGTTGAATGGGGAACGGGGAAAGGCTCTGGAGTCAATGCAGGGGAATCGGGCCTCATCTCGAGTTGATTTGGGGCACATGGAGCTGCTTTGCGTTGCTGGGGTGACCTCAGGGTCCGTCTAGACTGGTGACAGTGTTCTTGGGGACTGTCTCGAGATCCATTAAGCAAGTCGAAGCTCCTGACTTGTTTGAATGGGATCACGGAATAGCTCTGCATGCACTGCAGGGGAATGGGGCCTCATCTAGCCTCTAGGGGGAAGTCTCATGGTTTTTCTCGAGTTGCGGCGGGGACCTGGGGTATGTTCTCGACTTACGGCGGGGATGGCCTTTCAAAACACGAGTTTCTTCAGTGACGTCAGGACTCCTGTCTAGTAACGAGGGACACCTCAGGAATCTCTTCGAGGCTTGGCAGGGCAAAAGGGACGCTTCTCGAGGTGAGGCAGGGCACCCAAGGACCCTTTCCAGTAGCCACAGGGATTTTGGGATTCCTATCAGTATTCAAGAGGAGTCAGGCATCGTCACCTTTAGAAGCAATGAACTCCGCGTGCCTCTCGAGGTGTCAGCGGGATGTGAGGCATTCCGTCAAAATGAGGCAGGGACCTAGGGCTTTCTCTAAGGTCTCCACAGGGGATTCAGACATCCCTTCATGTTGTGAGATGAAAGACGAGCCTGTATTCAAGCCACTGCAAGGAAATCCGGCCTCCTTTCAAGTTAGGGCTTCTCGCTGTATATTCCCCTTGAGGCAGCAAACTCGGGGTCCCTCCCACATACCTATTGCTGAGAGAAGCCTCCTCCTGAGGTGCTTCTGGGAAGTTGGCATACGTCTTGAGCCTAAGCCAGGGAATCAGCTCGCACCTCGAGACGATTTGGGGTACACGGAGCATTCCTCGAGTTGCTGTGCTGAAGTTGGTGTTCCTCTAGACTTGGGACAGTGTTCTCGGGGCATCTCTGGAGTTGCCTGAAGGAAGTCGAGCCACCGGTCGTGTTGAATGGGGAACGGGGAATGGCTCTGGAGTCAATGCAGGGGAATCGGGCCTCATCTCGAGTTGATTTGGGGCACATGGAGCTGCTTTGCGTTGCTGGGGTGACCTCAGGGTCCGTCTAGACTGGTGACAGTGTTCTTGGGGACTGTCTCGAGATCCATTAAGCAAGTCGAAGCTCCTGACTTGTTTGAATGGGATCACGGAATAGCTCTGCATGCACTGCAGGGGAATGGGGCCTCATCTCGCCTCTAGGGGGAAGTCTCATGGTTTTTCTCGAGTTGCGGCGGGGACCTGGGGTATGTTCTCGACTTACGGCGGGGATGGCCCTTCAAAACACGAGTTTCTTCAGTGACGTCAGGACTCCTGTCTATTAACGAGGGACACCTCAGGAATCTCTTCGAGGCTTGGCAGGGCAAAAGGGACGCTTCTCGAGGTGAGGCAGGGCACCCAAGGACCCTTTCCAGTAGCCACAGGGATTTTGGGATTCCTATCAGTATTCAAGAGGAGTCAGGCATCGTCACCTTTTGAAGCAATGAACTCCGCGTGCCTCTCGAGGTGTCAGCGGGATGTGAGGCATTCCTTAAAAATGAGGCAGGGACCTAGGGCTTTCTCTAAGGTCTTCACAGGGGATTCAGACATCCCTTCATGTTGTGAGATGAAAGACGAGCCTGTATTCAAGCCACTGCAAGGAAATCCGGCCTCCTTTCAAGTTAGGGCTTCTCGCTGTATATTCCCCTTGAGGCAGCAAACTCGGGGTCCCTCCCACATACCTATTGCTGAGAGAAGCCTCCTCCTGAGGTGCTTCTGGGAAGTTGGCATACGTCTTGAGCCTAAGCCAGGGAATCAGCTCTCATCTCGAGACGATTTGGGGTACACGGAGCATGCCTCGAGTTGCTGTGCTGAAGTTGGTGTTCCTCTAGACTTGGGACAGTGTTCTCGGGGCATCTCTGGAGTTGCCTGAAGGAAGTCGAGCCACCGGTCGTGTTGAATGGGGAACGGGGAATGGCTCTGGAGTCAATGCAGGGGAATCGGGCCTCATCTCGAGTTGATTTGGGGCACATGGAGCTGCTTTGCGTTGCTGGGGTGACCTCAGGGTCCGTCTAGACTGGTGACAGTGTTCTTGGGGACTGTCTCGAGATCCATTAAGCAAGTCGAAGCTCCTGACTTGTTTGAATGGGATCACGGAATAGCTCTGCATGCACTGCAGGGGAATGGGGCCTCATCTCGCCTCTAGGGGGAAGTCTCATGGTTTTTCTCGAGTTGCGGCGGGGACCTGGGGTATGTTCTCGACTTACGGCGGGGATGGCCCTTCAAAACACGAGTTTCTTCAGTGACGTCAGGACTCCTGTCTATTAACGAGGGACACCTCAGGAATCTCTTCGAGGCTTGGCAGGGCAAAAGGGACGCTTCTCGAGGTGAGGCAGGGCACCCAAGGACCCTTTCCAGTAGCCACAGGGATTTTGGGATTCCTATCAGTATTCAAGAGGAGTCAGGCATCGTCACCTTTTGAAGCAATGAACTCCGCGTGCCTCTCGAGGTGTCAGCGCGATGTGAGGCATTCCGTCAAAATGAGGCAGGGACCTAGGGCTTTCTCTAAGGTCTCCACAGGGGATTCAGACATCCCTTCATGTTGTGAGATGAAAGACGAGCCTGTATTCAAGCCACTGCAAGGAAATCCGGCCTCCTTTCAAGTTAGGGCTTCTCGCTGTATATTCCCCTTGAGGCAGCAAACTCTGGGTCCCTCCCACATACCTATTGCTGAGAGAAGCCTCCTCCTGAGGTGCTTCTGGGAAGTTGGCATACGTCTTGAGCCTAAGCCAGGGAATCAGCTCTCATCTCGAGACGATTTGGGCTACACGGAGCATTCTTCGAGTTGCTGTGCTGAAGTTGGTGTTCCTCTAGACTTGGGACAGTGTTCTCGGGGCATCTCTGGAGTTGCCTGAAGGAAGTCGAGCCACCGGTCGTGTTGAATGGGGAACGGGGAATGGCTCTGGAGTCAATGCAGGGGAATCGGGCCTCATCTCGAGTTGATTTGGGGCACATGGAGCTGCTTTGCGTTGCTGGGGTGACCTCAGGGTCCGTCTAGACTGGTGACAGTGTTCTTGGGGACTGTCTCGAGATCCATTAAGCAAGTCGAAGCTCCTGACTTGTTTGAATGGGATCACGGAATAGCTCTGCATGCACTGCAGGGGAATGGGGCCTCATCTCGCCTCTAGGGGGAAGTCTCATGGTTTTTCTCGAGTTGCGGCGGGGACCTGGGGTATGTTCTCGACTTACGGCGGGGATGGCCCTTCAAAACACGAGTTTCTTCAGTGACGTCAGGACTCCTGTCTATTAACGAGGGACACCTCAGGAATCTCTTCGAGGCTTGGCAGGGCAAAAGGGACGCTTCTCGAGGTGAGGCAGGGCACCCAAGGACCCTTTCCAGTAGCCACAGGGATTTTGGGATTCCTATCAGTATTCAAGAGGAGTCAGGCATCGTCACCTTTTGAAGCAATGAACTCCGCGTGCCTCTCGAGGTGTCAGCGGGATGTGAGGCATTCCTTAAAAATGAGGCAGGGACCTAGGGCTTTCTCTAAGGTCTCCTCAGGGGATTCAGACATCCCTTCATGTTGTGAGATGAAAGACGAGCCTGTATTCAAGCCACTGCAAGGAAATCCGGCCTCCTTTCAAGTTAGGGCTTCTCGCTGTATATTCCCCTTGAGGCAGCAAACTCGGGGTCCCTCCCACATACCTATTGCTGAGAGAAGCCTCCTCCTGAGGTGCTTCTGGGAAGTTGGCATACGTCTTGAGCCTAAGCCAGGGAATCAGCTCTCATCTCGAGACGATTTGGGGTACACGGAGCATTCCTCGAGTTGCTGTGCTGAAGTTGGTGTTCCTCTAGACTTGGGACAGTGTTCTCGGGGCATCTCTGGAGTTGCCTGAAGGAAGTCGAGCCACCGGTCGTGTTGAATGGGGAACGGGGAATGGCTCTGGAGTCAATGCAGGGGAATCGGGCCTCATCTCGAGTTGATTTGGGGCACATGGAGCTGCTTTGCGTTGCTGGGGTGACCTCAGGGTCCGTCTAGACTGGTGACAGTGTTCTTGGGGACTGTCTCGAGATCCATTAAGCAAGTCGAAGCTCCTGACTTGTTTGAATGGGATCACGGAATAGCTCTGCATGCACTGCAGGGGAATGGGGCCTCATCTCGCCTCTAGGGGGAAGTCTCATGGTTTTTCTCGAGTTGCGGCGGGGACCTGGGGTATGTTCTCGACTTACGGCGGGGATGGCCCTTCAAAACACGAGTTTCTTCAGTGACGTCAGGACTCCTGTCTATTAACGAGGGACACCTCAGGAATCTCTTCGAGGCTTGGCAGGGCAAAAGGGACGCTTCTCGAGGTGAGGCAGGGCACCCAAGGACCCTTTCCAGTAGCCACAGGGATTTTGGGATTCCTATCAGTATTCAAGAGGAGTCAGGCATCGTCACCTTTTGAAGCAATGAACTCCGCGTGCCTCTCGAGGTGTCAGCGCGATGTGAGGCATTCCGTCAAAATGAGGCAGGGACCTAGGGCTTTCTCTAAGGTCTCCACAGGGGATTCAGACATCCCTTCATGTTGTGAGATGAAAGACGAGCCTGTATTCAAGCCACTGCAAGGAAATCCGGCCTCCTTTCAAGTTAGGGCTTCTCGCTGTATATTCCCCTTGAGGCAGCAAACTCGGGGTCCCTCCCACATACCTATTGCTGAGAGAAGCCTCCTCCTGAGGTGCTTCTGGGAAGTTGGCATACGTCTTGAGCCTAAGCCAGGGAATCACCGCTCATCTCGAGACAATTTGGGGTACACGGAGCATTCCTCGAGTTGCTGTGCTGAAGTTGGTGTTCCTCTAGACTTGGACAGTGTTCTCGGGGCATCTCTGCAGTTGCCTGAAGGAAGTCGAGCCACCGGTCGTGTTGAATGGGGAACGGGGAATGGCTCTGGAGTCAATGCAGGGGAATCGGGCCTCATCTCGAGTTGATTTGGGGCACATGGAGCTGCTTTGCGTTGCTGGGGTGACCTCAGGGTCCGTCTAGACTGGTGACAGTGTTCTTGGGGACTGTCTCGAGATCCATTAAGCAAGTCGAAGCTCCTGACTTGTTTGAATGGGATCACGGAATAGCTCTGCATGCACTGCAGGGGAATGGGGCCTCATCTCGCCTCTAGGGGGAAGTCTCATGGTTTTTCTCGAGTTGCGGCGGGGACCTGGGGTATGTTCTCGACTTACGGCGGGGATGGCCCTTCAAAACACGAGTTTCTTCAGTGACGTCAGGACTCCTGTCTAGTACGAGGGACACCTCAGGAATCTCTTCGAGGTTTGGCAGGGCAAAAAGGACGCTTCTCGAGGTGAGGCAGGGCACCCAAGGACCCTTTCCAGTAGCCACAGGGATTTTGGGATTCCTATCAGTATTCAAGAGGAGTCAGGCATCGTCACCTTTTGAAGCAATGAACTCCGCGTGCCTCTCGAGGTGTCAGCGCGATGTGAGGCATTCCGTCAAAATGAGGCAGGGACCTAGGTCTTTCTCTAAGGTCTCCACAGGGGATTCAGACATCCCTTCATGTTGTGAGATGAAAGACGAGCCTGTATTCAAGCCACTGCAAGGAAATCCGGCCTCCTTTCAAGTTAGGGCTTCTCGCTGTATATTCCCCTTGAGGCAGCAAACTCGGGATCCCTTCCACATATCTATTGCTGAGAGAAGCCTCCTCCTGAGGTGCTTCTGGGAAGTTGGCATACGTCTTGAGCCTAAGCCAGGGAATCAGCTCGCACCTCGAGACGATTTGGGGTACACGGAGCATTCCTCGAGTTGCTGTGCTGAAGTTGGTGTTCCTCTAGACTTGGGACAGTGTTCTCGGGGCATCTCTGGAGTTGCCTGAAGGAAGTCGAGCCACCGGTCGTGTTGAATGGGGAACGGGGAATGGCTCTGGAGTCAATGCAGGGGAATCGGGCCTCATCTCGAGTTGATTTGGGGCACATGGAGCTGCTTTGCGTTGCTGGGGTGACCTCAGGGTCCGTCTAGACTGGTGACAGTGTTCTTGGGGACTGTCTCGAGATCCATTAAGCAAGTCGAAGCTCCTGACTTGTTTGAATGGGATCACGGAATAGCTCTGCATGCACTGCAGGGGAATGGGGCCTCATCTCGCCTCTAGGGGGAAGTCTCATGGTTTTTCTCGAGTTGCGGCGGGGACCTGGGTTATGTTCTCGACTTACGGCGGGGATGGCCCTTCAAAACACGAGTTTCTTCAGTGACGTCAGGACTCCTGTCTAGTAACGAGGGACACCTCAGGAATCTCTTCGAGGCTTGGCAGGGCAAAAGGGACGCTTCTCGAGGTGAGGCAGGGCACCCAAGGACCCTTTCCAGTAGCCACAGGGATTTTGGGATTCCTATCAGTATTCAAGAGGAGTCAGGCATCGTCACCTTTTGAAGCAATGAACTCCGCGTGCCTCTCGAGGTGTCAGCGCGATGTGAGGCATTCCGTCAAAATGAGGCAGGGACCTAGGGCTTTCTCTAAGGTCTCCACAGGGGATTCAGACATCCCTTCATGTTGTGAGATGAAAGACGAGCCTGTATTCAAGCCACTGCAAGGAAATCCGGCCTCCTTTCAAGTTAGGGCTTCTCGCTGTATATTCCCCTTGAGGCAGCAAACTCGGGGTCCCTCCCACATACCTATTGCTGAGAGAAGCCTCCTCCTGAGGTGCTTCTGGGAAGTTGGCATACGTCTTGAGCCTAAGCCAGGGAATCAGCTCTCATCTCCAGACGATTTGAGGTACACGGAGCATTCCTCGAGTTGCTGTGCTGAAGTTGGTGTTCCTCTAGACTTGGGACAGTGTTCTCGGGGCATCTCTGGAGTTGCCTGAAGGAAGTCGAGCCACCGGTCGTGTTGAATGGGGAACGGGGAATGGCTCTGGAGTCAATGCAGGGGAATCGGGCCTCATCTCGAGTTGATTTGGGGCACATGGAGCTGCTTTGCGTTGCTGGGGTGACCTCAGGGTCCGTCTAGACTGGTGACAGTGTTCTTGGGGACTGTCTCGAGATCCATTAAGCAAGTCGAAGCTCCTGACTTGTTTGAATGGGATCACGGAATAGCTCTGCATGCACTGCAGGGGAATGGGGCCTCATCTCGCCTCTAGGGGGAAGTCTCATGGTTTTTCTCGAGTTGCGGCGGGGACCTGGGGTATGTTCTCGACTTACGGCGGGGATGGCCCTTCAAAACACGAGTTTCTTAGGTGACGTCAGGACTCCTGTCTAGTAACGAGGGACACCTCAGGAATCTCTTCGAGGCTTGGCAGGGCAAAAGGGACGCTTCTCGAGGTGAGGCAGGGCACCCAAGGACCCTTTCCAGTAGCCACAGGGATTTTGGGATTCCTATCAGTATTCAAGAGGAGTCAGGCATCGTCACCTTTTGAAGCAATGAACTCCGCGTGCCTCTCGAGGTGTCAGCGGGATGTGAGGCATTCCGTCAAAATGAGGCAGGGACCTAGGGCTTTCTCTAAGGTCTCCACAGGGGATTCAGACATCCCTTCATGTTGTGAGATGAAAGACGAGCCTGTATTCAAGCCACTGCAAGGAAATCCGGCCTCCTTTCAAGTTAGGGCTTCTCGCTGTATATTCCCCTTGAGGCAGCAAACTCGGGGTCCCTCCCACATACCTATTGCTGAGAGAAGCCTCCTCCTGAGGTGCTTCTGGGAAGTTGGCATACGTCTTGAGCCTAAGCCAGGAAATCAGCTCTCATCTCGAGACGATTTGGGGTACACGGAGCATTCCTCGAGTTGCTGTGCTGAAGTTGGTGTTCCTCTAGACTTGGGACAGTGTTCTCGGGGCATCTCTGGAGTTGCCTGAAGGAAGTCGAGCCACCGGTCGTGTTGAATGGGGAACGGGGAATGGCTCTGGAGTCAATGCAGGGGAATCGGGCCTCATCTCGAGTTGATTTGGGGCACATGGAGCTTCTTTGCGTTGCTGGGGTGACCTCAGGGTCCGTCTAGACTGGTGACAGTGTTCTTGGGGACTGTCTCGAGATCCATTAAGCAAGTAGAAGCTCCTGACTTGTTTGAATGGGATCACGGAATAGCTCTGCATGCACTGCAGGGGAATGGGGCCTCATCTCGCCTCTAGGGGGAAGTCTCATGGTTTTTCTCGAGTTGCGGCGGGGACCTGGGGTATGTTCTCGACTTACGGCGGGGATGGCCCTTCAAAACACGAGTTTCTTCAGTGACGTCAGGACTCCTGTCTAGTAACGAGGGACACCTCAGGAATCTCTTCGAGGCTTGGCAGGGCAAAAGGGACGCTTCTCGAGGTGAGGCAGGGCACCCAAGGACCCTTTTCAGTAGCCACAGGGATTTTGGGATTCCTATCAGTATTCAAGAGGAGTCAGGCATCGTCACCTTTTGAAGCAATGAACTCCGCGTGCCTCTCGAGGTGTCAGCGGGATGTGAGGCATTCCGTCAAAATGAGGCAGGGACCTAGGGCTTTCTCTAAGGTCTCCACAGGGGATTCAGACATCCCTTCATGTTGTGAGATGAAAGACGAGCCTGTATTCAAGCCACTGCAAGGAAATCCGGCCTCCTTTCAAGTTAGGGCTTCTCGCTGTATATTGCCCTTGAGGCAGCAAACTCGGGGTCCCTCCCACATACCTATTGCTGAGAGAAGCCTCCTCCTGAGGTCCTTCTGGGAAGTTTGCATACGTCTTCAGCCTAAGCCAGGGAATCAGCTCTCATCTCGAGACGATTTGGGGTACACGGAGCATTCCTCGAGTTGCTGTACTGAAGTTGGTGTTCCTCTAGACTTGGGACAGTGTTCTCGGGGCATCTCTGGAGTTGCCTGAAGGAAGTCGAGCCACCGGTCGTGTTGAATGGGGAACGGGGAATGGCTCTGGAGTCAATGCAGGGGAATCGGGCCTCATCTCGAGTTGATTTGGGGCACATGGAGCTGCTTTGCGTTGCTGGGGTGACCTCAGGGTCCGTCTAGACTGGTGACAGTGTTCTTGGGGACTGTCTCGAGATCCATTAAGCAAGTCGAAGCTCCTGACTTGTTTGAATGGGATCACGGAATAGCTCTGCATGCACTGCAGGGGAATGGGGCCTCATCTCGCCTCTAGGGGGAAGTCTCATGGTTTTTCTCGAGTTGCGGCGGGGACCTGGGGTATGTTCTCGACTTATGGCGGGGATGGCCCTTCAAAACAAGAGTTTCTTCAGTGACGTCAGGACTCCTGTCTAGTAACGAGGGACACCTCAGGAATCTCTTCGAGGCTTGGCAGGGCAAAAGGGACGCTTCTCGAGGTGAGGCAGGGCACCCAAGGACCCTTTCCAGTAGCCACAGGGATTTTGGGATTCCTATCAGTATTCAAGAGGAGTCAGGCATCGTCACCTTTTGAAGCAATGAACTCCGCGTGCCTCTCGAGGTGTCAGCGGGATGTGAGGCATTCCGTCAAAATGAGGCAGGGACCTAGGGCTTTCTCTAAGGTCTCCACAGGGGATTCAGACATCCCTTCATGTTGTGAGATGAAAGACGAGCCTGTATTCAAGCCACTGCAAGGAAATCCGGCCTCCTTTCAAGTTAGGGCTTCTCGCTGTATATTCCCCTTGAGGCAGCAAACTCGGGGTCCCTCCCACATACCTATTGCTGAGAGAAGCCTCCTCCTGAGGTGCTTCTGGGAAGTTGGCATACGTCTTGAGCCTAAGCCAGGGAATCAGCTCTCATCTCGAGACGATTTGGGGTACACGGAGCATTCCTCGAGTTGCTGTGCTGAAGTTGGTGTTCCTCTAGACTTGGGACAGTGTTCTCGGGGCATCTCTGGAGTTGCCTGAAGGAAGTCGAGCCACCGGTCGTGTTGAATGGGGAACGGGGAATGGCTCTGGAGTCAATGCAGGGGAATCGGGCCTCATCTCGAGTTGATTTGGGGCACATGGAGCTGCTTTGCGTTGCTGGGGTGACCTCAGGGTCCGTCTAGACTGGTGACAGTGTTCTTGGGGACTGTCTCGAGATCCATTAAGCAAGTCGAAGCTCCTGACTTGTTTGAATGGGATCACGGAATAGCTCTGCATGCACTGCAGGGGAATGGGGCCTCATCTCGCCTCTAGGGGGAAGTCTCATGGTTTTTCTCGAGTTGCGGCGGGGACCTGGGGTATGTTCTCGACTTACGGCGGGGATGGCCCTTCAAAACACGAGTTTCTTCAGTGACGTCAGGACTCCTGTCTAGTAACGAGAGACACCTCAGGAATCTCTTCGAGGTTTGGCAGGGCAAAAAGGACGCTTCTCGAGGTGAGGCAGGGCACCCAAGGACCCTTTCCAGTAGCCACAGGGATTTTGGGATTCCTATCAGTATTCAAGAGGAGTCAGGCATCGTCACCTTTTGAAGCAATGAACTCCGCGTGCCTCTCGAGGTGTCAGCGCGATGTGAGGCATTCCGTCAAAATGAGGCAGGGACCTAGGTCTTTCTCTAAGGTCTCCACAGGGGATTCAGACATCCCTTCATGTTGTGAGATGAAAGACGAGCCTGTATTCAAGCCACTGCAAGGAAATCCGGCCTCCTTTCAAGTTAGGGCTTCTCGCTGTATATTCCCCTTGAGGCAGCAAACTCGGGGTCGCTTCCACATATCTATTGCTGAGAGAAGCCTCCTCCTGAGGTGCTTCTGGGAAGTTGGCATACGTCTTGAGCCTAAGCGAGGGAATCAGCTCGCACCTTGAGACGATTTGGGGTACACGGAGCATTCCTCGAGATGCTGTGCTGAAGTTTGTGTTCCTCTAGACTTGGGACAGTGTTCTCGGGGCATCTCTGGAGTTGCCTGAAGGAAGTCGAGCCACCGGTCGTGTTGAATGGGGAACGGGGAATGGCCCTGGAGTCAATGCAGGGGAATCGGGCCTCATCTCGAGTTGATTTGGGGCACATGGAGCTGCTTTGCGTTGCTGGGGTGACCTCAGGGTCCGTCTAGACTGGTGACAGTGTTCTTGGGGACTGTCTCGAGATCCATTAAGCAAGTCGAAGCTCCTGACTTGTTTGAATGGGATCACGGAATAGCTCTGCATGCACTGCAGGGGAATGGGGCCTCATCTCGCCTCTAGGGGGAAGTCTCATGGTTTTTCTCGAGTTGCGGCGGGGACCTGGGGTATGTTCTCGACTTACGGCGGGGATGGCCCTTCAAAACACGAGTTTCTTCAGTGACGTCAGGACTCCTGTCTAGTAACGAGGGACACCTCAGGAATCTCTTCGAGGCTTGGCAGGGCAAAAGGGACGCTTCTCGAGGTGAGGCAGGGCACCCAAGGACCCTTTCCAGTAGCCACAGGGATTTTGGGATTCCTATCAGTATTCAAGAGGAGTCAGGCATCGTCACCTTTTGAAGCAATGAACTCCGCGTGCCTCTCGAGGTGTCAGCGGGATGTGAGGCATTCCTTAAAAATGAGGCAGGGACCTAGGGCTTTCTCTAAGGTCCCCACAGGGGATTCAGACATCCCTTCATGTTGTGAGATGAAAGACGAGCCTGTATTCAAGCCACTGCAAGGAAATCCGGCCTCCTTTCAAGTTAGGGCTTCTCGCTGTATATTCCCCTTGAGGCAGCAAACTCGGGGTCCCTCCCACATACCTATTGCTGAGAGAAGCCTCCTCCTGAGGTGCTTCTGGGAAGTTGGCATACGTCTTGAGCCTAAGCCAGGAAATCAGCTCTCATCTCGAGACGATTTGGGGTACACGGAGCATTCCTCGAGTTGCTGTGCTGAAGTTGGTGTTCCTCTAGACTTGGGACAGTGTTCTCGGGGCATCTCTGGAGTTGCCTGAAGGAAGTCGAGCCACCGGTCGTGTTGAATGGGGAACGGGGAATGGCTCTGGAGTCAATGCAGGGGAATCGGGCCTCATCTCGAGTTGATTTGGGGCACATGGAGCTTCTTTGCGTTGCTGGGGTGACCTCAGGGTCCGTCTAGACTGGTGACAGTGTTCTTGGGGACTGTCTCGAGATCCATTAAGCAAGTAGAAGCTCCTGACTTGTTTGAATGGGATCACGGAATAGCTCTGCATGCACTGCAGGGGAATGGGGCCTCATCTCGCCTCTAGGGGGAAGTCTCATGGTTTTTCTCGAGTTGCGGCGGGGACCTGGGGTATGTTCTCGACTTACGGCGGGGATGGCCCTTCAAAACACGAGTTTCTTCAGTGACGTCAGGACTCCTGTCTAGTAACGAGGGACACTTCAGGAATCTCTTCGAGGCTTGGCAGGGCAAAAGGGACGCTTCTCGAGGTGAGACAGGGCACCCAAGGACCCTTTCCAGTAGCCACAGGGATTTTGGGATTCCTATCAGTATTCAAGAGGAGTCAGGCATCGTCACCTTTTGAAGCAATGAACTCCGCGTGCCTCTCGAGGTGTCAGCGCGATGTGAGGCATTCCGTCAAAATGAGGCAGGGACCTAGGGCTTTCTCTAAGGTCTCCACAGGGGATTCAGACATCCCTTCATGTTGTGAGATGAAAGACGAGCCTGTATTCAAGCCACTGCAAGGAAATCCGGCCTCCTTTCAAGTTAGGGCTTCTCGCTGTATATTCCCCTTGAGGCAGCAAACTCGGGGTCCCTCCCACATACCTATTGCTGAGAGAAGCCTCCTCCTGAGGTGCTTCTGGGAAGTTGGCATACGTCTTGAGCCTAAGCCAGGGAATCACCGCTCATCTCGAGACAATTTGGGGTACACGGAGCATTCCTCGAGTTGCTGTGCTGAAGTTGGTGTTCCTCTAGACTTGGACAGTGTTCTCGGGGCATCTCTGCAGTTGCCTGAAGGAAGTCGAGCCACCGATCGTGTTGAATGGGGAACGGGGAATGGCTCTGGAGTCAATGCAGGGGAATCGGGCCTCATCTCGAGTTGATTTGGGGCACATGGAGCTGCTTTGCGTTGCTGGGGTGACCTCAGGGTCCGTCTAGACTGGTGACAGTGTTCTTGGGGACTGTCTCGAGATCCATTAAGCAAGTCGAAGCTCCTGACTTGTTTGAATGGGATCACGGAATAGCTCTGCATGCACTGCAGGGGAATGGGGCCTCATCTCGCCTCTAGGGGGAAGTCTCATGGTTTTTCTCGAGTTGCGGCGGGGACCTGGGGTATGTTCTCGACTTACGGCGGGGATGGCCCTTCAAAACACGAGTTTCTTCAGTGACGTCAGGACTCCTGTCTAGTAACGAGGGACACTTCAGGAATCTCTTCGAGGCTTGGCAGGGCAAAAGGGACGCTTCTCGAGGTGAGACAGGGCACCCAAGGACCCTTTCCAGTAGCCACAGGGATTTTGGGATTCCTATCAGTATTCAAGAGGAGTCAGGCATCGTCACCTTTTGAAGCAATGAACTCCGCGTGCCTCTCGAGGTGTCAGCGCGATGTGAGGCATTCCGTCAAAATGAGGCAGGGACCTAGGGCTTTCTCTAAGGTCTCCACAGGGGATTCAGACATCCCTTCATGTTGTGAGATGAAAGACGAGCCTGTATTCAAGCCACTGCAAGGAAATCCGGCCTCCTTTCAAGTTAGGGCTTCTCGCTGTATATTCCCCTTGAGGCAGCAAACTCGGGGTCCCTCCCACATACCTATTGCTGAGAGAAGCCTCCTCCTGAGGTGCTTCTGGGAAGTTGGCATACGTCTTGAGCCTAAGCCAGGGAATCACCGCTCATCTCGAGACAATTTGGGGTACACGGAGCATTCCTCGAGTTGCTGTGCTGAAGTTGGTGTTCCTCTAGACTTGGACAGTGTTCTCGGGGCATCTCTGCAGTTGCCTGAAGGAAGTCGAGCCACCGATCGTGTTGAATGGGGAACGGGGAATGGCTCTGGAGTCAATGCAGGGGAATCGGGCCTCATCTCGAGTTGATTTGGGGCACATGGAGCTGCTTTGCGTTGCTGGGGTGACCTCAGGGTCCGTCTAGACTGGTGACAGTGTTCTTGGGGACTGTCTCGAGATCCATTAAGCAAGTCGAAGCTCCTGACTTGTTTGAATGGGATCACGGAATAGCTCTGCATGCACTGCAGGGGAATGGGGCCTCATCTCGCCTCTAGGGGGAAGTCTCATGGTTTTTCTCGAGTTGCGGCGGGGACCTGGGGTATGTTCTCGACTTACGGCGGGGATGGCCCTTCAAAACACGAGTTTCTTCAGTGACGTCAGGACTCCTGTCTAGTAACGAGGGACACCTCAGGAATCTCTTCGAGGCTTGGCAGGGCAAAAGGGACGCTTCTCGAGGTGAGGCAGGGCACCCAAGGACCCTTTCCAGTAGCCACAGGGATTTTGGGATTCCTATCAGTATTCAAGAGGAGTCAGGCATCGTCACCTTTTGAAGCAATGAACTCCGCGTGCCTCTCGAGGTGTCAGCGGGATGTGAGGCATTCCGTCAAAATGAGGCAGGGACCTAGGGCTTTCTCTAAGGTCTCCACAGGGGATTCAGACATCCCTTCATGTTGTGAGATGAAAGACGAGCCTGTATTCAAGCCACTGCAAGGAAATCCGGCCTCCTTTCAAGTTAGGGCTTCTCGCTGTATATTCCCCTTGAGGCAGCAAACTCGGGGTCCCTCCCACATACCTATTGCTGAGAGAAGCCTCCTCCTGAGGTGCTTCTGGGAAGTTGGCATACGTCTTGAGCCTAAGCCAGGGAATCACCGCTCATCTCGAGACAATTTGGGGTACACGGAGCATTCCTCGAGTTGCTGTGCTGAAGTTGGTGTTCCTCTAGACTTGGACAGTGTTCTCGGGGCATCTCTGCAGTTGCCTGAAGGAAGTCGAGCCACCGATCGTGTTGAATGGGGAACGGGGAATGGCTCTGGAGTCAATGCAGGCGAATCGGGCCTCATCTCGAGTTGATTTGGGGCACATGGAGCTGCTTTGCGTTGCTGGGGTGACCTCAGGGTCCGTCTAGACTGGTGACAGTGTTCTTGGGGACTGTCTCGAGATCCATTAAGCAAGTCGAAGCTCCTGACTTGTTTGAATGGGATCACGGAATAGCTCTGCATGCACTGCAGGGGAATGGGGCCTCATCTCGCCTCTAGGGGGAAGTCTCATGGTTTTTCTCGAGTTGCGGCGGGGACCTGGGGTATGTTCTCGACTTACGGCGGGGATGGCCCTTCAAAACACGAGTTTCTTCAGTGACGTCAGGACTCCTCTCTAGTAACGAGGGACACCTCAGGAATCTCTTCGAGGTTTGGCAGGGCAAAAGGAAGCTTCTCGAGGTGAGGCAGGGCACCCAAGGACCCTTTCCAGTAGCCACAGGGATTTTGGGATTCCTATCAGTATTCAAGAGGAGTCAGGCATCGTCACCTTTTGAAGCAATGAACTCCGCGTGCCTCTCGAGGTGTCAGCGCGATGTGAGGCATTCCGTCAAAATGAGGCAGGGACCTAGGGCTTTCTCTAAGGTCTCCACAGGGGATTCAGACATCCCTTCATGTTGTGAGATGAAAGACGAGCCTGTATTCAAGCCACTGCAAGGAAATCCGGCCTCCTTTCAAGTTAGGGCTTCTCGCTGTATATTTCCCTTGAGGCAGCAAACTCGGGGTCCCTCCCACATACCTATTGCTGAGAGAAGCCTCCTCCTGAGGTGCTTCTGGGAAGTTGGCATACGTCTTGAGCCTAAGCCAGGGAATCAGCTCTCATCTCGAGACGATTTGGGGTACACGGAGCATTCCTCGAGTTGCTGTACTGAAGTTGGTGTTCCTCTAGACTTGGGACAGTGTTCTCGGGCATCTCTGGAGTTGCCTGAAGGAAGTCGAGCCACCGGTCGTGTTGAATGGGGAACGGGGAATGGCTCTGGAGTCAATGCAGGGGAATCGGGCCTCATCTCGAGTTGATTTGGGGCACATGGAGCTGCTTTGCGTTGCTGGGGTGACCTCAGGGTCCGTCTAGACTGGTGACAGTGTTCTTGGGGACTGTCTCGAGATCCATTAAGCAAGTCGAAGCTCCTGACTTGTTTGAATGGGATCACGGAATAGCTCTGCATGCACTGCAGGGGAATGGGGCCTCATCTCGCCTCTAGGGGGAAGTCTCATGGTTTTTCTCGAGTTGCGGCGGGGACCTGGGGTATGTTCTCGACTTACGGCGGGGATGGCCCTTCAAAACACGAGTTTCTTCAGTGACGTCAGGACTCCTGTCTAGTAACGAGGGACACCTCAGGAATCTCTTCGAGGCTTGGCAGGGCAAAAGGGACGCTTCTCGAGGTGAGGCAGGGCACCCAAGGACCCTTTCCAGTAGCCACAGGGATTTTGGGATTCCTATCAGTATTCAAGAGGAGTCAGGCATCGTCACCTTTTGAAGCAATGAACTCCGCGTGCCTCTCGAGGTGTCAGCGGGATGTGAGGCATTCCTTAAAAATGAGGCAGGGACCTAGGGCTTTCTCTAAGGTCCCCACAGGGGATTCAGACATCCCTTCATGTTGTGAGATGAAAGACGAGCCTGTATTCAAGCCACTGCAAGGAAGTCCGGCCTCCTTTCAAGTTAGGGCTTCTCGCTGTATATTCCCCTTGAGGCAGCAAACTCGGGGTCCCTCCCACATACCTATTGCTGAGAGAAGCCTCCTCCTGAGGTGCTTCTGGGAAGTTGGCATACGTCTTGAGCCTAAGCCAGGAAATCAGCTCTCATCTCGAGACGATTTGGGGTACACGGAGCATTCCTCGAGTTGCTGTGCTGAAGTTGGTGTTCCTCTAGACTTGGGACAGTGTTCTCGGGGCATCTCTGGAGTTGCCTGAAGGAAGTCGAGCCACCGGTCGTGTTGAATGGGGAACGGGGAATGGCTCTGGAGTCAATGCAGGGGAATCGGGCCTCATCTCGAGTTGATTTGGGGCACATGGAGCTTCTTTGCGTTGCTGGGGTGACCTCAGGGTCCGTCTAGACTGGTGACAGTGTTCTTGGGGACTGTCTCGAGATCCATTAAGCAAGTCGAAGCTCCTGACTTGTTTGAATGGGATCACGGAATAGCTCTGCATGCACTGCAGGGGAATGGGGCCTCATCTCGCCTCTAGGGGGAAGTCTCATGGTTTTTCTCGAGTTGCGGCGGGGACCTGGGGTATGTTCTCGACTTACGGCGGGGATGGCCCTTCAAAACACGAGTTTCTTCAGTGACGTCAGGACTCCTGTCTAGTAACGAGGGACACCTCAGGAATCTCTTCGAGGCTTGGCAGGGCAAAAGGGACGCTTCTCGAGGTGAGGCAGGGCACCCAAGGACCCTTTCCAGTAGCCACAGGGATTTTGGGATTCCTATCAGTATTCAAGAGGAGTCAGGAATCGTCACCTTTTGAAGCAATGAACTCCGGGTGCCTCTCGAGGTGTCAGCGGGATGTGAGGCATTCCGTCAAAATGAGGCAGGGACCTAGGGCTTTCTCTAAGGTCTCCACAGGGGATTCAGACATCCCTTCATGTTGTGAGATGAAAGACGAGCCTGTATTCAAGCCACTGCAAGGAAATCCGGCCTCCTTTCAAGTTAGGGCTTCTCGCTGTATATTCCCCTTGAGGCAGCAAACTCGGGGTCCCTCCCACATACCTATTGCTGAGAGAAGCCTCCTCCTGAGGTGCTTCTGGGAAGTTGGCATACGTCTTGAGCCTAAGCCAGGGAATCACCGCTCATCTCGAGACAATTTGGGGTACACGGAGCATTCCTAGAGTTGCTGTGCTGAAGTTGGTGTTCCTCTAGACTTGGACAGTGTTCTCGGGGCATCTCTGCAGTTGCCTGAAGGAAGTCGAGCCACCGATCGTGTTGAATGGGGAACGGGGAATGGCTCTGGAGTCAATGCAGGGGAATCGGGCCTCATCTCGAGTTGATTTGGGGCACATGGAGCTGCTTTGCGTTGCTGGGGTGACCTCAGGATCCGTCTAGACTGGTGACAGTGTTCTTGGGGACTGTCTCGAGATCCATTAAGCAAGTCGAAGCTCCTGACTTGTTTGAATGGGATCACGGAATAGCTCTGCATGCACTGCAGGGGAATGGGGCCTCATCTCGCCTCTAGGGGGAAGTCTCATGGTTTTTCTCGAGTTGCGGCGGGGACCTGGGGTATGTTCTCGACTTACGGCGGGGATGGCCCTTCAAAACACGAGTTTCTTCAGTGATGTCAGGACTCCTCTCTAGTAACGAGGGACACCTCAGGAATCTCTTCGAGGTTTGGCAGGGCAAAAGGAAGCTTCTCGAGGTGAGGCAGGGCACCCAAGGACCCTTTCCAGTAGCCACAGGGATTTTGGGATTCCTATCAGTATTCAAGAGGAGTCAGGCATCGTCACCTTTTGAAGCAATGAACTCCGCGTGCCTCTCGAGGTGTCAGCGCGATGTGAGGCATTCCGTCAAAATGAGGCAGGGACCTAGGGCTTTCTCTAAGGTCTCCACAGGGGATTCAGACATCCCTTCATGTTGTGAGATGAAAGACGAGCCTGTATTCAAGCCACTGCAAGGAAATCCGGCCTCCTTTCAAGTTAGGGCTTCTCGCTGTATATTCCCCTTGAGGCAGCAAACTCGGGGTCCCTCCCACATACCTATTGCTGAGAGAAGCCTCCTCCTGAGGTGCTTCTGGGAAGTTGGCATACGTCTTGAGCCTAAGCCAGGGAATCAGCTCTCATCTCGAGACGATTTGGGGTACACGGAGCATTCCTCGAGTTGCTGTACTGAAGTTGGTGTTCCTCTAGACTTGGGACAGTGTTCTCGGGGCATCTCTGGAGTTGCCTGAAGGAAGTCGAGCCACCGGTCGTGTTGAATGGGGAACGGGGAATGGCTCTGGAGTCAATGCAGGGGAATCGGGCCTCATCTCGAGTTGATTTGGGGCACATGGAGCTGCTTTGCGTTGCTGGGGTGACCTCAGGGTCCGTCTAGACTGGTGACAGTGTTCTTGGGGACTGTCTCGAGATCCATTAAGCAAGTCGAAGCTCCTGACTTGTTTGAATGGGATCACGGAATAGCTCTGCATGCACTGCAGGGGAATGGGGCCTCATCTCGCCTCTAGGGGGAAGTCTCATGGTTTTTCTCGAGTTGCGGCGGGGACCTGGGGTATGTTCTCGACTTACGGCGGGGATGGCCCTTCAAAACACGAGTTTCTTCAGTGACGTCAGGACTCCTGTCTAGTAACGAGGGACACCTCAGGAATCTCTTCGAGGCTTGGCAGGGCAAAAGGGACGCTTCTCGAGGTGAGGCAGGGCACCCAAGGACCCTTTCCAGTAGCCACAGGGATTTTGGGATTCCTATCAGTATTCAAGAGGAGTCAGGCATCGTCACCTTTTGAAGCAATGAACTCCGCGTGCCTCTCGAGGTGTCAGCGGGATGTGAGGCATTCCGTCAAAATGAGGCAGGGACCTAGGGCTTTCTCTAAGGTCTCCACAGGGGATTCAGACATCCCTTCATGTTGTGAGATGAAAGACGAGCCTGTATTCAAGCCACTGCAAGGAAGTCCGGCCTCCTTTCAAGTTAGGGCTTCTCGCTGTATATTCCCCTTGAGGCAGCAAACTCGGGGTCCCTCCCACATACCTATTGCTGAGAGAAGCCTCCTCCTGAGGTGCTTCTGGGAAGTTGGCATACGTCTTGAGCCTAAGCCAGGAAATCAGCTCTCATCTCGAGATGATTTGGGGTACACGGAGCATTCCTCGTGTTGCTGTGCTGAAGTTGGTGTTCCTCTAGACTTGGGACAGTGTTCTCGGGGCATCTCTCGAGTTGCCTGAAGGAAGTCGAGCCACCGGTCGTGTTGAATGGGGAACGGGGAATGGCTCTGGAGTCAATGCAGTGGAATCGGGCCTCATCTCGAGTTGATTTGGGGCACATGGAGCTGCTTTGCGTTGCTGGGGTGACCTCAGGGTCCGTCTAGACTGGTGACAGTGTTATTGGGGACTGTCTCGAGACCAATTAAGCAAGTAGAAGCTCCTGACTTGTTTGAATGGGATCACGGAATAGCTCTGCATGCACTGCAGGGGAATGGGGCCTCATCTCGCCTCTAGGGGGAAGTCTCATGGTTTTTCTCGAGTTGCGGCGGGGACCTGGGGTATGTTCTCGACTTACGGCGGGGATGGCCCTTCAAAACACGAGTTTCTTCAGTGACGTCAGGACTCCTGTCTAGTAACGAGGGACACCTCAGGAATCTCTTCGAGGCTTGGCAGGGCAAAAGGGACGCTTCTCGAGGTGAGGCAGGGCACCCAAGGACCCTTTCCAGTAGCCACAGGGATTTTGGGATTCCTATCAGTATTCAAGAGGAGTCAGGCATCGTCACCTTTTGAAGCAATGAACTCCGCGTGCCTCTCGAGGTGTCAGCGCGATGTGAGGCATTCCGTCAAAATGAGGCAGGGACCTAGGGCTTTCTCTAAGGTCTCCACAGGGGATTCAGACATCCCTTCATGTTGTGAGATGAAAGACGAGCCTGTATTCAAGCCACTGCAAGGAAATCCGGCCTCCTTTCAAGTTAGGGCTTCTCGCTGTATATTCCCCTTGAGGCAGCAAACTCGGGGTCCCTCCCACATACCTATTGCTGAGAGAAGCCTCCTCCTGAGGTGCTTCTGGGAAGTTGGCATACGTCTTCAGCCTAAGCCAGGGAATCAGCTCTCATCTCGAGACGATTTGGGGTACACGGAGCATTCCTCGAGTTGCTGTGCTGAAGTTGGTGTTCCTCTAGACTTGGGACAGTGTTCTCGGGGCATCTCTCGAGTTGCCTGAAGGAAGTCGAGCCACCGGTCGTGTTGAATGGGGAACGGGGAATGGCTCTGGAGTCAATGCAGGGGAATCGGGCCTCATCTCGAGTTGATTTGGGGCACATGGAGCTGCTTTGCGTTGCTGGGGTGACCTCAGGGTCCGTCTAGACTGGTGACAGTGTTCTTGGGGACTGTCTCGAGATCCATTAAGCAAGTCGAAGCTCCTGACTTGTTTGAATGGGATCACGGAATAGCTCTGCATGCACTGCAGGGGAATGGGGCCTCATCTCGCCTCTAGGGGGAAGTCTCATGGTTTTTCTCGAGTTGCGGCGGGGACCTGGGGTATGTTCTCGACTTACGGCGGGGATGGCCCTTCAAAACACGAGTTTCTTCAGTGACGTCAGGACTCCTGTCTAGTAACGAGGGACACCTCAGGAATCTCTTCGAGGCTTGGCAGGGCAAAAGGGACGCTTCTCGAGGTGAGGCAGGGCACCCAAGGACCCTTTCCAGTAGCCACAGGGATTTTGGAATTCCTATCAGTATTCAAGAGGAGTCAGGCATCGTCACCTTTTGAAGCAATGAACTCCGCGTGCCTCTCGAGGTGTCAGCGCGATGTGAGGCATTCCGTCAAAATGAGGCAGGGACCTAGGGCTTTCTCTAAGGTCTCCACAGGGGATTCAGACATCCCTTCATGTTGTGAGATGAAAGACGAGCCTGTATTCAAGCCACTGCAAGGAAATCCGGCCTCCTTTCAAGTTAGGGCTTCTCGCTGTATATTCCCCTTGAGGCAGCAAACTCGGGGTCCCTCCCACATACCTATTGCTGAGAGAAGCCTCCTCCTGAGGTGCTTCTGGGAAGTTGGCATACGTCTTGAGCCTAAGCCAGGGAATCAGCTCTCATCTCGAGACGATTTGGGGTACACGGAGCATTCCTCGAGTTGCTGTGCTGAAGTTGGTGTTCCTCTAGACTTGGGACAGTGTTCTCGGGGCATCTCTGGAGTTGCCTGAAGGAAGTCGAGCCACCGGTCGTGTTGAATGGGGAACGGGGAATGGCTCTGGAGTCAATGCAGGGGAATCGGGCCTCATCTCGAGTTGATTTGGGGCACATGGAGCTGCTTTGCGTTGCTGGGGTGACCTCAGGGTCCGTCTAGACTGGTGACAGTGTTCTTGGGGACTGTCTCGAGATCCATTAAGCAAGTCGAAGCTCCTGACTTGTTTGAATGGGATCACGGAATAGCTCTGCATGCACTGCAGGGGAATGGGGCCTCATCTCGCCTCTAGGGGGAAGTCTCATGGTTTTTCTCGAGTTGCGGCGGGGACCTGGGGTATGTTCTCGACTTACGGCGGGGATGGCCCTTCAAAACACGAGTTTCTTCAGTGACGTCAGGACTCCTGTCTAGTAACGAGGGACACCTCAGGAATCTCTTCGAGGCTTGGCAGGGCAAAAGGGACGCTTCTCGAGGTGAGGCAGGGCATCCAAGGACCCTTTCCAGTAGCCACAGGGATTTTGGGATTCCTATCAGTATTCAAGAGGAGTCAGGCATCGTCACCTTTTGAAGCAATGAACTCCGCGTGCCTCTCGAGGTGTCAGCGCGATGTGAGGCATTCCGTCAAAATGAGGCAGGGACCTAGGGCTTTCTCTAAGGTCTCCACAGGGGATTCAGACATCCCTTCATGTTGTGAGATGAAAGACGAGCCTGTATTCAAGCCACTGCAAGGAAATCCGGCCTCCTTTCAAGTTAGGGCTTCTCGCTGTATATTCCCCTTGAGGCAGCAAACTCGGGGTCCCTCCCACATACCTATTGCTGAGAGAAGCCTCCTCCTGAGGTGCTTCTGGGAAGTTGGCATACGTCTTGAGCCTAAGCCAGGGAATCAGCTCTCATCTCGAGACGATTTGGGGTACACGGAGCATTCCTCGAGTTGCTGTGCTGAAGTTGGTGTTCCTCTAGACTTGGGACAGTGTTCTCGGGGCATCTCTGGAGTTGCCTGAAGGAAGTCGAGCCACCGGTCGTGTTGAATGGGGAACGGGGAATGGCTCTGGAGTCAATGCAGGGGAATCGGGCCTCATCTCGAGTTGATTTGGGGCACATGGAGCTGCTTTGCGTTGCTGGGGTGACCTCAGGGTCCGTCTAGACTGGTGACAGTGTTCTTGGGGACTGTCTCGAGATCCATTAAGCAAGTCGAAGCTCCTGACTTGTTTGAATGGGATCACGGAATAGCTCTGCATGCACTGCAGGGGAATGGGGCCTCATCTCGCCTCTAGGGGGAAGTCTCATGGTTTTTCTCGAGTTGCGGCGGGGACCTGGGGTATGTTCTCGACTTACGGCGGGGATGGCCCTTCAAAACACGAATTTCTTCAGTGACGTCAGGACTCCTGTCTATTAACGAGGGACACCTCAGGAATCTCTTCGAGGCTTGGCAGGGCAAAAGGGACGCTTCTCGAGGTGAGGCAGGGCACCCAAGGACCCTTTCCAGTAGCCACAGGGATTTTGGGATTCCTATCAGTATTCAAGAGGAGTCAGGCATCGTCACCTTTTGAAGCAATGAACTCCGCGTGCCTCTCGAGGTGTCAGCGGGATGTGAGGCATTCCGTCAAAATGAGGCAGGGACCTAGGGCTTTCTCTAAGGTCTCCACAGGGGATTCAGACATCCCTTCATGTTGTGAGATGAAAGACGAGCCTGTATTCAAGCCACTGCAAGGAAATCCGGCCTCCTTTCAAGTTAGGGCTTCTCGCTGTATATTCCCCTTGAGGCAGCAAACTCGGGGTCCCTCCCACATACCTATTGCTGAGAGAAGCCTCCTCCTGAGGTGCTTCTGGGAAGTTGGCATACGTCTTGAGCCTAAGCCAGGAAATCAGCTCGCATCTCGAGAAGATTTGTGGTACACGGAGCATTCCTCGAGTTGCTGTGCTGAAGTTGGTGTTCCTCTAGACTTGGGACAGTGTTCTCGGGGCATCTCTGGAGTTGCCTGAAGGAAGTCGAGCCACCGGTCGTGTTGAATGGGGAACGGGGAATGTCTCTGGAGTCAATGCAGGGGAATCGGGCCTCATCTCGAGTTGATTTGGGGCACATGGAGCTTCTTTGCTTTGCTGGGGTGACCTCAGGGTCCGTCTAGACTGGTGACATTGTTCCTGGGGACTGTCTCGAGATCCATTAAGCAAGTCGAAGCTCCTGACTTGTTTGAATGGGATCACGGAATAGCTCTGCATGCACTGCAGGGGAATGGGGCCGCATCTCGCCTCTAGGGGGAAGTCTCATGGTTTTTCTCGAGTTGCGGCGGGGACCTGGGGTATGTTCTCGACTTACGGCGAGGATGGCCCTTCAAGACACGAGTTTCCTCAGTGACGTCAGGACTCCTGTCTAGTAACGAGGGACACCTCAGGAATCTCTTCGAGGCTTGGCAGGGCAAAAGGGACGCTTCTCGAGGTGAGGTAGGGCACCCAAGGACCCTTTCCAGTAGCCACAGGGATTTTGGGATTCCTATCAGTATTCAAGAGGAGTCAGGCATCGTCACCTTTTGAAGCAATGAACTCCGCGTGCCTCTCGAGGTGTCAGCGGGATGTGAGGCATTCCGTGAAAATGAGGCAGGGACCTAGGGCTTTCTCTAAGGTCTCCACAGGGGATTCAGACATCCCTTCATGTTGTGAGATGAAAGACGAGCCTGTATTCAAGCCACTGCAAGGAAATCCGGCCTCCTTTCAAGTTAGGGCTTCTCGCTGTATATTCCCCTTGAGGCAGCAAACTCGGGGTCCCTCCCACATACCTATTGCTGAGAGAAGCCTCCTCCTGAGGTGCTTCTGGGAAGTTGGCATACGTCTTGAGCCTAAGCCAGGGAATCAGCTCTCATCTCGAGACGATTTGGGGTACACGGAGCATTCCTCGAGTTGCTGTGCTGAAGTTGGTGTTCCTCTAGACTTGGGACAGTGTTCTCGGGGCATCTCTGGAGTTGCCTGAAGGAAGTCGAGCCACCGGTCGTGTTGAATGGGGAACGGGGAATGGCTCTGGAGTCAATGCAGGGGAATCGGGCCTCATCTCGAGTTGATTTGGGGCACATGGAGCTGCTTTGCGTTGCTGGGGTGACCTCAAGGTCCGTCTAGACTGGTGACAGTGTTCTTGGGGACTGTCTCGAGATCCATTAAGCAAGTCGAAGCTCCTGACTTGTTTGAATGGGATCACGGAATAGCTCTGCATGCACTGCAGGGGAATGGGGCCTCATCTCGCCTCTAGGGGGAAGTCTCATGGTTTTTCTCGAGTTGCGGCGGGGACCTGGGGTATGTTCTCGACTTACGGCGGGGATGGCCCTTCAAAACACGAGTTTCTTCGGTGACGTCAGGACTCCTGTCTAGTAACGAGGGACACCTCAGGAATCTCTTCGAGGCTTGGCAGGGCAAAAGGGACGCTTCTCGAGGTGAGGCAGGGCACCCAAGGACCCTTTCCAGTAGCCACAGGGATTTTGGGATTCCTATCAGTATTCAAGAGGAGTCAGGCATCGTCACTTTTTGAAGCAATGAACTCCGCGTGCCTCTCGAGGTGTCAGCGGGATGTGAGGCATTCCTTAAAAATGAGGCATGGACCTAGGGCTTTCTCTAAGATCTCCACAGGGGATTCAGACATCCCTTCATGTTGTGAGATGAAAGACGAGCCTGTATTCAAGCCACTGCAAGGAAATCCGGCCTCCTTTCAAGTTAGGGCTTCTCGCTGTATATTCCCCTTGAGGCAGCAAACTCGGGGTCCCTCCCACATACCTATTGCTGAGAGAAGCCTCCTCCTGAGGTGCTTCTGGGAAGTTGGCATACGTCTTGAGCCTAAGCCAGGGAATCAGCTCTCATCTCGAGACGATTTGGGGTACACGGAGCATTCCTCGAGTTGCTGTGCTGAAGTTGGTGTTCCTCTAGACTTGGGACAGTGTTCTCGGGGCATCTCTGGAGTTGCCTGAAGGAAGTCGAGCCACCGGTCGTGTTGAATGGGGAACGGGGAATGGCTCTGGAGTCAATGCAGGGGAATCGGGCCTCATCTCGAGTTGATTTGGGGCACATGGAGCTGCTTTGCGTTGCTGGGGTGACCTCAGGGTCCGTCTAGACTGGTGACAGTGTTCTTGGGGACTGTCTCGAGATCCATTAAGCAAGTCGAAGCTCCTGACTTGTTTGAATGGGATCACGGAATAGCTCTGCATGCACTGCAGGGGAATGGGGCCTCATCTCGCCTCTAGGGGGAAGTCTCATGGTTTTTCTCGAGTTGCGGCGGGGACCTGGGGTATGTTCTCGACTTACGGCGGGGATGGCCCTTCAAAACACGAGTTTCTTCAGTGACGTCAGGACTCCTGTCTAGTAACGAGGGACACCTCAGGAATCTCTTCGAGGCTTGGCAGGGCAAAAGGGACGCTTCTCGAGGTGAGGCAGGGCACCCAAGGACCCTTTCCAGTAGCCACAGGGATTTTGGGATTCCTATCAGTATTCAAGAGGAGTCAGGCATCGTCACCTTTTGAAGCAATGAACTCCGCGTGCCTCTCGAGGTGTCAGCGCGATGTCAGGCATTCCTTAAAAATGAGGCATGGACCTAGGGCTTTCTCTAAGATCTCCACAGGGGATTCAGACATCCCTTCATGTTGTGAGATGAAAGACGAGCCTGTATTCAAGCCACTGCAAGGAAATCCGGCCTCCTTTCAAGTTAGGGCTTCTCGCTGTATATTCCCCTTGAGGCAGCAAACTCGGGGTCCCTCCCACATACCTATTGCTGAGAGAAGCCTCCTCCTGAGGTGCTTCTGGGAAGTTGGCATACGTCTTGAGCCTAAGCCAGGGAATCAGCTCTCATCTCGAGACGATTTGGGGTACACGGAGCATTCCTCGAGTTGCTGTGCTGAAGTTGGTGTTCCTCTAGACTTGGGACAGTGTTCTCGGGGCATCCCTGGAGTTGCCTGAAGGAAGTCGAGCCACCGGTCGTGTTGAATGGGGAACGGGGAATGGCTCTGGAGTCAATGCAGGGGAATCGGGCCTCATCTCGAGTTGATTTGGGGCACATGGAGCTGCTTTGCGTTGCTGGGGTGACCTCAGGGTCCGTCTAGACTGGTGACAGTGTTCTTGGGGACTGTCTCGAGATCCATTAAGCAAGTCGAAGCTCCTGACTTGTTTGAATGGGATCACGGAATAGCTCTGCATGCACTGCAGGGGAATGGGGCCTCATCTCGCCTCTAGGGGGAAGTCTCATGGTTTTTCTCGAGTTGCGGCGGTGACCTGGGGTATGTTCTCGACTTACGGCGGGGATGGCCCTTCAAAACACGAGTTTCTTCAGTGACGTCAGGACTCCTGTCTAGTAACGAGAGACACCTCAGGAATCTCTTCGAGGTTTGGCAGGGCAAAAAGGACGCTTCTCGAGGTGAGGCAGGGCACCCAAGGACCCTTTCCAGTAGCCACAGGGATTTTGGGATTCCTATCAGTATTCAAGAGGAGTCAGGCATCGTCACCTTTTGAAGCAATGAACTCCGCGTGCCTCTCGAGGTGTCAGCGCGATGTGAGGCATTCCGTCAAAATGAGGCAGGGACCTAGGTCTTTCTCTAAGGTCTCCACAGGGGATTCAGACATCCCTTCATGTTGTGAGATGAAAGACGAGCCTGTATTCAAGCCACTGCAAGGAAATCCGGCCTCCTTTCAAGTTAGGGCTTCTCGCTGTATATTCCCCTTGAGGCAGCAAACTCGGGGTCGCTTCCACATATCTATTGCTGAGAGAAGCCTCCTCCTGAGGTGCTTCTGGGAAGTTGGCATACGTCTTGAGCCTAAGCGAGGGAATCAGCTCGCACCTTGAGACGATTTGGGGTACACGGAGCATTCCTCGAGTTGCTGTGCTGAAGTTGGTGTTCCTCTAGACTTGGGACAGTGTTCTCGGGGCATCTCTGGAGTTGCCTGAAGGAAGTCGAGCCACCGGTCGTGTTGAATGGGGAACGGGGAATGGCTCTGGAGTCAATGCAGGGGAATCGGGCCTCATCTCGAGTTGATTTGGGGCACATGGAGCTGCTTTGCGTTGCTGGGGTGACCTCAGGGTCCGTCTAGACTGGTGACAGTGTTCTTGGGGACTGTCTCGAGATCCATTAAGCAAGTCGAAGCTCCTGACTTGTTTGAATGGGATCACGGAATAGCTCTGCATGCACTGCAGGGGAATGGGGCCTCATCTCGCCTCTAGGGGGAAGTCTCATGGTTTTTCTCGAGTTGCGGCGGGGACCTGGGGTATGTTCTCGACTTACGGCGGGGATGGCCCTTCAAAACACGAGTTTCTTCAGTGACGTCAGGACTCCTGTCTAGTAACGAGGGACACCTCAGGAATCTCTTCGAGGCTTGGCAGGGCAAAAGGGACGCTTCTCGAGGTGAGGCAGGGCACCCAAGGACCCTTTCCAGTAGCCACAGGGATTTTGGGATTCCTATCAGTATTCAAGAGGAGTCAGGCATCGTCACCTTTTGAAGCAATGAACTCCGCGTGCCTCTCGAGGTGTCAGCGGGATGTGAGGCATTCCTTAAAAATGAGGCAGGGACCTAGGGCTTTCTCTAAGGTCCCCACAGGGGATTCAGACATCCCTTCATGTTGTGAGATGAAAGACGAGCCTGTATTCAAGCCACTGCAAGGAAATCCGGCCTCCTTTCAAGTTAGGGCTTCTCGCTGTATATTCCCCTTGAGGCAGCAAACTCGGGGTCCCTCCCACATACCTATTGCTGAGAGAAGCCTCCTCCTGAGGTGCTTCTGGGAAGTTGGCATACGTCTTCAGCCTAAGCCAGGAAATCAGCTCTCATCTCGAGACGATTTGGGGTACACGGAGCATTCCTCGAGTTGCTGTGCTGAAGTTGGTGTTCCTCTAGACTTGGGACAGTGTTCTCGGGGCATCTCTGGAGTTGCCTGAAGGAAGTCGAGCCACCGGTCGTGTTGAATGGGGAACGGGGAATGGCTCTGGAGTCAATGCAGGGGAATCGGGCCTCATCTCGAGTTGATTTGGGGCACATGGAGCTTCTTTGCGTTGCTGGGGTGACCTCAGGGTCCGTCTAGACTGGTGACAGTGTTCTTGGGGACTGTCTCGAGATCCATTAAGCAAGTAGAAGCTCCTGACTTGTTTGAATGGGATCACGGAATAGCTCTGCATGCACTGCAGGGGAATGGGGCCTCATCTCGCCTCTAGGGGGAAGTCTCATGTTTTTTCTCGAGTTGCGGCGGGGACCTGGGGTATGTTCTCGACTTACGGCGGGGATGGCCCTTCAAAACACGAGTTTCTTCAGTGACGTCAGGACTCCTGTCTAGTAACGAGGGACACTTCAGGAATCTCTTCGAGGCTTGGCAGGGCAAAAGGGACGCTTCTCGAGGTGAGACAGGGCACCCAAGGACCCTTTCCAGTAGCCACAGGGATTTTGGGATTCCTATCAGTATTCAAGAGGAGTCAGGCATCGTCACCTTTTGAAGCAATGAACTCCGCGTGCCTCTCGAGGTGTCAGCGCGATGTGAGGCATTCCGTCAAAATGAGGCAGGGACCTAGGGCTTTCTCTAAGGTCTCCACAGGGGATTCAGACATCCCTTCATGTTGTGAGATGAAAGACGAGCCTGTATTCAAGCCACTGCAAGGAAATCCGGCCTCCTTTCAAGTTAGGGCTTCTCGCTGTATATTCCCCTTGAGGCAGCAAACTCGGGGTCCCTCCCACATACCTATTGCTGAGAGAAGCCTCCTCCTGAGGTGCTTCTGGGAAGTTGGCATACGTCTTGAGCCTAAGCCAGGGAATCACCGCTCATCTCGAGACAATTTGGGGTACACGGAGCATTCCTCGAGTTGCTGTGCTGAAGTTGGTGTTCCTCTAGACTTGGACAGTGTTCTCGGGGCATCTCTGCAGTTGCCTGAAGGAAGTCGAGCCACCGATCGTGTTGAATGGGGAACGGGGAATGGCTCTGGAGTCAATGCAGGGGAATCGGGCCTCATCTCGAGTTGATTTGGGGCACATGGAGCTGCTTTGCGTTGATGGGGTGACCTCAGGGTCCGTCTAGACTGGTGACAGTGTTCTTGGGGACTGTCTCGAGATCCATTAAGCAAGTCGAAGCTCCTGACTTGTTTGAATGGGATCACGGAATAGCTCTGCATGCACTGCAGGGGAATGGGGCCTCATCTCGCCTCTAGGGGGAAGTCTCATGGTTTTTCTCGAGTTGCGGCGGGGACCTGGGGTATGTTCTCGACTTACGGCGGGGATGGCCCTTCAAAACACGAGTTTCTTCAGTGACGTCAGGACTCCTGTCTAGTAACGAGGGACACCTCAGGAATCTCTTCGAGGCTTGGCAGGGCAAAAGGGACGCTTCTCGAGGTGAGGCAGGGCACCCAAGGACCCTTTCCAGTAGCCACAGGGATTTTGGGATTCCTATCAGTATTCAAGAGGAGTCAGGCATCGTCACCTTTTGAAGCAATGAACTCCGCGTGCCTCTCGAGGTGTCAGCGGGATGTGAGGCATTCCGTCAAAATGAGGCAGGGACCTAGGGCTTTCTCTAAGGTCTCCACAGGGGATTCAGACATCCCTTCATGTTGTGAGATGAAAGACGAGCCTGTATTCAAGCCACTGCAAGGAAATCCGGCCTCCTTTCAAGTTAGGGCTTCTCGCTGTATATTCCCCTTGAGGCAGCAAACTCGGGGTCCCTCCCACATACCTATTGCTGAGAGAAGCCTCCTCCTGAGGTGCTTCTGGGAAGTTGGCATACGTCTTGAGCCTAAGCCAGGGAATCACCGCTCATCTCGAGACAATTTGGGGTACACGGAGCATTCCTCGAGTTGCTGTGCTGAAGTTGGTGTTCCTCTAGACTTGGACAGTGTTCTCGGGGCATCTCTGCAGTTGCCTGAAGGAAGTCGAGCCACCGATCGTGTTGAATGGGGAACGGGGAATGGCTCTGGAGTCAATGCAGGGGAATCGGGCCTCATCTCGAGTTGATTTGGGGCACATGGAGCTGCTTTGCGTTGCTGGGGTGACCTCAGGGTCCGTCTAGACTGGTGACAGTGTTCTTGGGGACTGTCTCGAGATCCATTAAGCAAGTCGAAGCTCCTGACTTGTTTGAATGGGATCACGGAATAGCTCTGCATGCACTGCAGGGGAATGGGGCCTCATCTCGCCTCTAGGGGGAAGTCTCATGGTTTTTCTCGAGTTGCGGCGGGGACCTGGGGTATGTTCTCGACTTACGGCGGGGATGGCCCTTCAAAACACGAGTTTCTTCAGTGACGTCAGGACTCCTGTCTAGTAACGAGGGACACCTCAGGAATCTCTTCGAGGCTTGGCAGGGCAAAAGGGACGCTTCTCGAGGTGAGGCAGGGCACCCAAGGACCCTTTCCAGTAGCCACAGGGATTTTGGGATTCCTATCAGTATTCAAGAGGAGTCAGGCATCGTCACCTTTTGAAGCAATGAACTCCGCGTGCCTCTCGAGGTGTCAGCGGGATGTGAGGCATTCCGTCAAAATGAGGCAGGGACCTAGGGCTTTCTCTAAGGTCTCCACAGGGGATTCAGACATCCCTTCATGTTGTGAGATGAAAGACGAGCCTGTATTCAAGCCACTGCAAGGAAGTCCGGCCTCCTTTCAAGTTAGGGCTTCTCGCTGTATATTCCCCTTGAGGCAGCAAACTCGGGGTCCCTCCCACATACCTATTGCTGAGAGAAGCCTCCTCCTGAGGTGCTTCTGGGAAGTTGGCATACGTCTTGAGCCTAAGCCAGGAAATCAGCTCTCATCTCGAGACGATTAGGGGTACACGGAGCATTCCTCGAGTTGCTGTGCTGAAGTTGGTGTTCCTCTAGACTTGGGACAGTGTTCTCGGGGCATCTCTCGAGTTGCCTGAAGGAAGTCGAGCCACCGGTCGTGTTGAATGGGGAACGGGGAATGGCTCTGGAGTCAATGCAGTGGAATCGGGCCTCATCTCGAGTTGATTTGGGGCACATGGAGCTGCTTTGCGTTGCTGGGGTGACCTCAGGGTCCGTCTAGACTGGTGACAGTGTTCTTGGGGACTGTCTCGAGACCAATTAAGCAAGTAGAAGCTCCTGACTTGTTTGAATGGGATCACGGAATAGCTCTGCATGCACTGCAGGGGAATGGGGCCTCATCTCGCCTCTAGGGGGAAGTCTCATGGTTTTTCTCGAGTTGCGGCGGGGACCTGGGGTATGTTCTCGACTTACGGCGGGGATGGCCCTTCAAAACACGAGTTTCTTCAGTGACGTCAGGACTCCTGTCTAGTAACGAGGGACACCTCAGGAATCTCTTCGAGGCTTGGCAGGGCAAAAGGGACGCTTCTCGAGGTGAGGCAGGGCACCCAAGGACCCTTTCCAGTAGCCACAGGGATTTTGGGATTCCTATCAGTATTCAAGAGGAGTCAGGCATCGTCACCTTTTGAAGCAATGAACTCCGCGTGCCTCTCGAGGTGTCAGCGCGATGTGAGGCATTCCGTCAAAATGAGGCAGGGACCTAGGGCTTTCTCTAAGGTCTCCACAGGGGATTCAGACATCCCTTCATGTTGTGAGATGAAAGACGAGCCTGTATTCAAGCCACTGCAAGGAAATCCGGCCTCCTTTCAAGTTAGGGCTTCTCGCTGTATATTCCCCTTGAGGCAGCAAACTCGGGGTCCCTCCCACATACCTATTGCTGAGAGAAGCCTCCTCCTGAGGTGCTTCTGGGAAGTTGGCATACGTCTTCAGCCTAAGCCAGGGAATCAGCTCTCATCTCGAGACGATTTGGGGTACACGGAGCATTCCTCGAGTTGCTGTGCTGAAGTTGGTGTTCCTCTAGACTTGGGACAGTGTTCTCGGGGCATTTCTCGAGTTGCCTGAAGGAAGTCGAGCCACCGGTCGTGTTGAATGGGGAACGGGGAATGGCTCTGGAGTCAATGCAGGGGAATCGGGCCTCATCTCGAGTTGATTTGGGGCACATGGAGCTGCTTTGCGTTGCTGGGGTGACCTCAGGGTCCGTCTAGACTGGTGACAGTGTTCTTGGGGACTGTCTCGAGATCCATTAAGCAAGTCGAAGCTCCTGACTTGTTTGAATGGGATCACGGAATAGCTCTGCATGCACTGCAGGGGAATGGGGCCTCATCTCGCCTCTAGGGGGAAGTCTCATGGTTTTTCTCGAGTTGCGGCGGGGACCTGGGGTATGTTCTCGACTTACGGCGGGGATGGCCCTTCAAAACACGAGTTTCTTCAGTGACGTCAGGACTCCTGTCTAGTAACGAGGGACACCTCAGGAATCTCTTCGAGGCTTGGCAGGGCAAAAGGGACGCTTCTCGAGGTGAGGCAGGGCACCCAAGGACCCTTTCCAGTAGCCACAGGGATTTTGGGATTCCTATCAGTATTCAAGAGGAGTCAGGCATCGTCACCTTTTGAAGCAATGAACTCCGCGTGCCTCTCGAGGTGTCAGCGGGATGTGAGGCATTCCGTCAAAATGAGGCAGGGACCTAGGGCTTTCTCTAAGGTCTCCACAGGGGATTCAGACATCCCTTCATGTTGTGAGATGAAAGACGAGCCTGTATTCAAGCCACTGCAAGGAAGTCCGGCCTCCTTTCAAGTTAGGGCTTCTCGCTGTATATTCCCCTTGAGGCAGCAAACTCGGGGTCCCTCCCACATACCTATTGCTGAGAGAAGCCTCCTCCTGAGGTGCTTCTGGGAAGTTGGCATACGTCTTGAGCCTAAGCCAGGAAATCAGCTCTCATCTCGAGACGATTAGGGGTACACGGAGCATTCCTCGAGTTGCTGTGCTGAAGTTGGTGTTCCTCTAGACTTGGGACAGTGTTCTCGGGGCATCTCTCGAGTTGCCTGAAGGAAGTCGAGCCACCGGTCGTGTTGAATGGGGAACGGGGAATGGCTCTGGAGTCAATGCAGTGGAATCGGGCCTCATCTCGAGTTGATTTGGGGCACATGGAGCTGCTTTGCGTTGCTGGGGTGACCTCAGGGTCCGTCTAGACTGGTGACAGTGTTCTTGGGGACTGTCTCGAGACCAATTAAGCAAGTAGAAGCTCCTGACTTGTTTGAATGGGATCACGGAATAGCTCTGCATGCACTGCAGGGGAATGGGGCCTCATCTCGCCTCTAGGGGGAAGTCTCATGGTTTTTCTCGAGTTGCGGCGGGGACCTGGGGTATGTTCTCGACTTACGGCGGGGATGGCCCTTCAAAACACGAGTTTCTTCAGTGACGTCAGGACTCCTGTCTAGTAACGAGGGACACCTCAGGAATCTCTTCGAGGCTTGGCAGGGCAAAAGGGACGCTTCTCGAGGTGAGGCAGGGCACCCAAGGACCCTTTCCAGTAGCCACAGGGATTTTGGGATTCCTATCAGTATTCAAGAGGAGTCAGGCATCGTCACCTTTTGAAGCAATGAACTCCGCGTGCCTCTCGAGGTGTCAGCGCGATGTGAGGCATTCCGTCAAAATGAGGCAGGGACCTAGGGCTTTCTCTAAGGTCTCCACAGGGGATTCAGACATCCCTTCATGTTGTGAGATGAAAGACGAGCCTGTATTCAAGCCACTGCAAGGAAATCCGGCCTCCTTTCAAGTTAGGGCTTCTCGCTGTATATTCCCCTTGAGGCAGCAAACTCGGGGTCCCTCCCACATACCTATTGCTGAGAGAAGCCTCCTCCTGAGGTGCTTCTGGGAAGTTGGCATACGTCTTCAGCCTAAGCCAGGGAATCAGCTCTCATCTCGAGACGATTTGGGGTACACGGAGCATTCCTCGAGTTGCTGTGCTGAAGTTGGTGTTCCTCTAGACTTGGGACAGTGTTCTCGGGGCATTTCTCGAGTTGCCTGAAGGAAGTCGAGCCACCGGTCGTGTTGAATGGGGAACGGGGAATGGCTCTGGAGTCAATGCAGGGGAATCGGGCCTCATCTCGAGTTGATTTGGGGCACATGGAGCTGCTTTGCGTTGCTGGGGTGACCTCAGGGTCCGTCTAGACTGGTGACAGTGTTCTTGGGGACTGTCTCGAGATCCATTAAGCAAGTCGAAGCTCCTGACTTGTTTGAATGGGATCACGGAATAGCTCTGCATGCACTGCAGGGGAATGGGGCCTCATCTCGCCTCTAGGGGGAAGTCTCATGGTTTTTCTCGAGTTGCGGCGGGGACCTGGGGTATGTTCTCGACTTACGGCGGGGATGGCCCTTCAAAACACGAGTTTCTTCAGTGACGTCAGGACTCCTGTCTAGTAACGAGGGACACCTCAGGAATCTCTTCGAGGCTTGGCAGGGCAAAAGGGACGCTTCTCGAGGTGAGGCAGGGCACCCAAGGACCCTTTCCAGTAGCCACAGGGATTTTGGGATTCCTATCAGTATTCAAGAGGAGTCAGGCATCGTCACCTTTTGAAGCAATGAACTCCGCGTGCCTCTCGAGGTGTCAGCGCGATGTGAGGCATTCCGTCAAAATGAGGCAGGGACCTAGGGCTTTCTCTAAGGTCTCCACAGGGGATTCAGACATCCCTTCATGTTGTGAGATGAAAGACGAGCCTGTATTCAAGCCACTGCAAGGAAATCCGGCCTCCTTTCAAGTTAGGGCTTCTCGCTGTATATTCCCCTTGAGGCAGCAAACTCGGGGTCCCTCCCACATACCTATTGCTGAGAGAAGCCTCCTCCTGAGGTGCTTCTGGGAAGTTGGCATACGTCTTGAGCCTAAGCCAGGGAATCAGCTCTCATCTCGAGACGATTTGGGGTACACGGAGCATTCCTCGAGTTGCTGTACTGAAGTTGGTGTTCCTCTAGACTTGGGACAGTGTTCTCGGGGCATCTCTGGAGTTGCCTGAAGGAAGTCGAGCCACCGGTCGTGTTGAATGGGGAACGGGGAATGGCTCTGGAGTCAATGCAGGGGAATCGGGCCTCATCTCGAGTTGATTTGGGGCACATGGAGCTGCTCTGCGTTGATGGAGTGACCTCAGGGCCCGTCTAGACTGGTGACAGTGTTCTTGGGGACTGTCTCGAGATCCATTAAGCAAGTCGAAGCTCCTGACTTGTTTGAATGGGATCACGGAATAGCTCTGCATGCACTGCAGGGGAATGGGGCCTCATCTCGCCTCTAGGGGGAAGTCTCATGGTTTTTCTCGAGTTGCGGCTGGGACCTGGGGTATGTTCTCGACTTACGGCGGGGATGGCCCTTCAAAACACGAGTTTCTTCAGTGACGTCAGGACTCCTGTCTAGTAACGAGGGACACCTCAGGAATCTCTTCGAGGTTTGGCAGGGCAAAAGGGATGCTTCTCGAGGTGAGGCAGGGCACCCAAGGACCCTTTCCAGTAGCCACAGGGATTTTGGGATTCCTATCAGTATTCAAGAGGAGTCAGGCATCGTCACCTTTAGAAGCAATGAACTCCGCGTGCCTCTCGAGGTGTCAGCGGGATGTGAGGCATTCCGTCAAAATGAGGCAGGGACCTAGGGCTTTCTCTAAGGTCTCCACAGGGGATTCAGACATCCCTTCATGTTGTGAGATGAAAGACGAGCCTGTATTCAAGCCACTGCAAGGAAATCGGGCCTCCTTTCAAGTTAGGGCTTCTCGCTGTATATTCCCCTTGAGGCAGCAAACTCGGGGTCCCTCCCACATACCTATTGCTGAGAGAAGCCTCCTCCTGAGGTGCTTCTGGGAAGTTGGCATACGTCTTGAGCCTAAGCCAGGGAATCAGCTCTCATCTCGAGACGATTTGGGGTACACGGAGCATTCCTCGAGTTGCTGTGCTGAAGTTGGTGTTCCTCTAGACTTGGGACAGTGTTCTCGGGGCATCTCTGGAGTTGCCTGAAGGAAGTCGAGCCACCGGTCGTGTTGAATGGGGAACGGGGAATGGCTCTGGAGTCAATGCAGGGGAATCGGGCCTCATCTCGAGTTGATTTGGGGCACATGGAGCTGCTTTGCGTTGCTGGGGTGACCTCAGGGTCCGTCTAGACTGGTGACAGTGTTCTTGGGGACTGTCTCGAGATCCATTAAGCAAGTCGAAGCTCCTGACTTGTTTGAATGGGATCACGGAATAGCTCTGCATGCACTGCAGGGGAATGGGGCCTCATCTCGCCTCTAGGGGGAAGTCTCATGGTTTTTCTCGAGTTGCGGCGGGGACCTGGGGTATGTTCTCGACTTACGGCGGGGATGGCCCTTCAAAACACGAATTTCTTCAGTGACGTCAGGACTCCTGTCTATTAACGAGGGACACCTCAGGAATCTCTTCGAGGCTTGGCAGGGCAAAAGGGACGCTTCTCGAGGTGAGGCAGGGCACCCAAGGACCCTTTCCAGTAGCCACAGGGATTTTGGGATTCCTATCAGTATTCAAGAGGAGTCAGGCATCGTCACCTTTTGAAGCAATGAACTCCGCGTGCCTCTCGAGGTGTCAGCGGGATGTGAGGCATTCCGTCAAAATGAGGCAGGGACCTAGGGCTTTCTCTAAGGTCTCCACAGGGGATTCAGACATCCCTTCATGTTGTGAGATGAAAGACGAGCCTGTATTCAAGCCACTGCAAGGAAATCCGGCCTCCTTTCAAGTTAGGGCTTCTCGCTGTATATTCCCCTTGAGGCAGCAAACTCGGGGTCCCTCCCACATACCTATTGCTGAGAGAAGCCTCCTCCTGAGGTGCTTCTGGGAAGTTGGCATACGTCTTGAGCCTAAGCCAGGAAATCAGCTCGCATCTCGAGAAGATTTGGGGTACACGGAGCATTCCTCGAGTTGCTGTGCTGAAGTTGGTGTTCCTCTAGACTTGGGACAGTGTTCTCGGGGCATCTCTGGAGTTGCCTGAAGGAAGTCGAGCCACCGGTCGTGTTGAATGGGGAACGGGGAATGTCTCTGGAGTCAATGCAGGGGAATCGGGCCTCATCTCGAGTTGATTTGGGGCACATGGAGCTTCTTTGCTTTGCTGGGGTGACCTCAGGGTCCGTCTAGACTGGTGACATTGTTCCTGGGGACTGTCTCGAGATCCATTAAGCAAGTCGAAGCTCCTGACTTGTTTGAATGGGATCACGGAATAGCTCTGCATGCACTGCAGGGGAATGGGGCCGCATCTCGCCTCTAGGGGGAAGTCTCATGGTTTTTCTCGAGTTGCGGCGGGGACCTGGGGTATGTTCTCGACTTACGGCGAGGATGGCCCTTCAAGACACGAGTTTCTTCAGTGACGTCAGGACTCCTGTCTAGTAACGAGGGACACCTCAGGAATCTCTTCGAGGCTTGGCAGGGCAAAAGGGACGCTTCTCGAGGTGAGGTAGGGCACCCAAGGACCCTTTCCAGTAGCCACAGGGATTTTGGGATTCCTATCAGTATTCAAGAGGAGTCAGGCATCGTCACCTTTTGAAGCAATGAACTCCGCGTGCCTCTCGAGGTGTCAGCGGGATGTGAGGCATTCCGTGAAAATGAGGCAGGGACCTAGGGCTTTCTCTAAGGTCTCCACAGGGGATTCAGACATCCCTTCATGTTGTGAGATGAAAGACGAGCCTGTATTCAAGCCACTGCAAGGAAATCCGGCCTCCTTTCAAGTTAGGGCTTCTCGCTGTATATTCCCCTTGAGGCAGCAAACTCGGGGTCCCTCCCACATACCTATTGCTGAGAGAAGCCTCCTCCTGAGGTGCTTCTGGGAAGTTGGCATACGTCTTGAGCCTAAGCCAGGGAATCAGCTCTCATCTCGAGACGATTTGGGGTACACGGAGCATTCCTCGAGTTGCTGTGCTGAAGTTGGTGTTCCTCTAGACTTGGGACAGTGTTCTCGGGGCATCTCTGGAGTTGCCTGAAGGAAGTCGAGCCACCGGTCGTGTTGAATGGGGAACGGGTAATGGCTCTGGAGTCAATGCAGGGGAATCGGGCCTCATCTCGAGTTGATTTGGGGCACATGGAGCTGCTTTGCGTTGCTGGGGTGACCTCAAGGTCCGTCTAGACTGGTGACAGTGTTCTTGGGGACTGTCTCGAGATCCATTAAGCAAGTCGAAGCTCCTGACTTGTTTGAATGGGATCACGGAATAGCTCTGCATGCACTGCAGGGGAATGGGGCCTCATCTCGCCTCTAGGGGGAAGTCTCATGGTTTTTCTCGAGTTGCGGCGGGGACCTGGGGTATGTTCTCGACTTACGGCGGGGATGGCCCTTCAAAACACGAGTTTCTTCGGTGACGTCAGGACTCCTGTCTAGTAACGAGGGACACCTCAGGAATCTCTTCGAGGCTTGGCAGGGCAAAAGGGACGCTTCTCGAGGTGAGGCAGGGCACCCAAGGACCCTTTCCAGTAGCCACAGGGATTTTGGGATTCCTATCAGTATTCAAGAGGAGTCAGGCATCGTCACTTTTTGAAGCAATGAACTCCGCGTGCCTCTCGAGGTGTCAGCGGGATGTGAGGCATTCCGTCAAAATGAGGCAGGGACCTAGGGCTTTCTCTAAGGTCTCCACAGGGGATTCAGACATCCCTTCATGTTGTGAGATGAAAGACGAGCCTGTATTCAAGCCACTGCAAGGAAATCCGGCCTCCTTTCAAGTTAGGGCTTCTCGCTGTATATTCCCCTTGAGGCAGCAAACTCGGGGTCCCTCCCACATACCTATTGCTGAGAGAAGCCTCCTCCTGAGGTGCTTCTGGGAAGTTGGCATACGTCTTGAGCCTAAGCCAGGGAATCATCTCTCATCTCGAGACGATTTGGGGTACACGGAGCATTCCTCCAGTTGCTGTGCTGAAGTTGGTGTTCCTCTAGACTTGGGACAGTCTTCTCGGGGCATCCCTGGAGTTGCCTGAAGGAAGTCGAGCCACCGGTCGTGTTGAATGGGGAACGGGGAATGGCTCTGGAGTCAATGCAGGGGAATCGGGCCTCATCTCGAGTTGATTTGGGGCACATGGAGCTGCTTTGCGTTGCTGGGGTGACCTCAGGGTCCGTCTAGACTGGTGACAGTGTTCTTGGGGACTGTCTCGAGATCCATTAAGCAAGTCGAAGCTCCTGACTTGTTTGAATGGGATCACGGAATAGCTCTGCATGCACTGCAGGGGAATGGGGCCTCATCTCGCCTCTAGGGGGAAGTCTCATGGTTTTTCTCGAGTTGCGGCGGGGACCTGGGGTATGTTCTCGACTTACGGCGGGGATGGCCCTTCAAAACACGAGTTTCTTCAGTGACGTCAGGACTCCTGTCTAGTAACGAGGGACACCTTAGGAATCTCTTCGAGGCTTGGCAGGGCAAAAGGGACGCTTCTCGAGGTCAGGCAGGGCACCCAAGGACCCTTTCCAGTAGCCACAGGGATTTTGGGATTCCTATCAGTATTCAAGAGGAGTCAGGCATCGTCACCTTTTGAAGCAATGAACTCCGCGTGCCTCTCGAGGTGTCAGCGCGATGTCAGGCATTCCTTAAAAATGAGGCATGGACCTAGGGCTTTCTCTAAGATCTCCACAGGGGATTCAGACATCCCTTCATGTTGTGAGATGAAAGACGAGCCTGTATTCAAGCCACTGCAAGGAAATCCGGCCTCCTTTCAAGTTAGGGCTTCTCGCTGTATATTCCCCTTGAGGCAGCAAACTCGGGGTCCCTCCCACATACCTATTGCTGAGAGAAGCCTCCTCCTGAGGTGCTTCTGGGAAGTTGGCATACGTCTTGAGCCTAAGCCAGGGAATCAGCTCTCATCTCGAGACGATTTGGGGTACACGGAGCATTCCTCGAGTTGCTGTGCTGAAGTTGGTGTTCCTCTAGACTTGGGACAGTGTTCTCGGGGCATCCCTGGAGTTGCCTGAAGGAAGTCGAGCCACCGGTCGTGTTGAATGGGGAACGGGGAATGGCTCTGGAGTCAATGCAGGGGAATCGGGCCTCATCTCGAGTTGATTTGGGGCACATGGAGCTGCTTTGCGTTGCTGGGGTGACCTCAGGGTCCGTCTAGACTGGTGACAGTGTTCTTGGGGACTGTCTCGAGATCCATTAAGCAAGTCGAAGCTCCTGACTTGTTTGAATGGGATCACGGAATAGCTCTGCATGCACTGCAGGGGAATGGGGCCTCATCTCGCCTCTAGGGGGAAGTCTCATGGTTTTTCTCGAGTTGCGGCGGGGACCTGGGGTATGTTCTCGACTTACGGCGGGGATGGCCCTTCAAAACACGAGTTTCTTCAGTGACGTCAGGACTCCTGTCTAGTAACGAGGGACACCTCAGGAATCTCTTCGAGGCTTGGCAGGGCAAAAGGGACGCTTCTCGAGGTGAGGCAGGGCACCCAAGGACCCTTTCCAGTAGCCACAGGGATTTTGGGATTCCTATCAGTATTCAAGAGGAGTCAGGCATCGTCACCTTTTGAAGCAATGAACTCCGCATGCCTCTCGAGGTGTCAGCGGGATGTGAGGCATTCCGTCAAAATGAGGCAGGGACCTAGGGCTTTCTCTAAGGTCTCCACAGGGGATTCAGACATCCCTTCATGTTGTGAGATGAAAGACGAGCCTGTATTCAAGCCACTGCAAGGAAATCCGGCCTCCTTTCAAGTTAGGGCTTCTCGCTGTATATTCCCCTTGAGGCAGCAAACTCGGGGTCCCTCCCACATACCTATTGCTGAGAGAAGCCTCCTCCTGAGGTGCTTCTGGGAAGTTGGCATACGTCTTGAGCCTAAGCCAGGGAATCAGCTCTCATCTCGAGACGATTTGGGGTACACGGAGCATTCCTCGAGTTGCTGTGCTGAAGTTGGTGTTCCTCTAGACTTGGGACAGTGTTCTCGGGGCATCCCTGGAGTTGCCTGAAGGAAGTCGAGCCACCGGTCGTGTTGAATGAGGAACGGGGAATGGCTCTGGAGTCAATGCAGGGGAATCGGGCCTCATCTCGAATTGATTTGGGGCACATGGAGCTGCTTTGCGTTGCTGGGGTGACCTCAGGGTCCGTCTAGACTGGTGACAGTGTTCTTGGGGACTGTCTCGAGATCCATTAAGCAAGTCGAAGCTCCTGACTTGTTTGAATGGGATCACGGAATAGCTCTGCATGCACTGCAGGGGAATGGGGCCTCATCTCGCCTCTAGGGGGAAGTCTCATGGTTTTTCTCGAGTTGCGGCGGGGACCTGGGGTATGTTCTCGACTTACGGCGGAGATGGCCCTTCAAAACACGAGTTTCTTCAGTGACGTCAGGACTCCTGTCTAGTAACGAGGGACACCTCAGGAATCTCTTCGAGGCTTGGCAGGGCAAAAGGGACGCTTCTCGAGGTGAGGCAGGGCACCCAAGGACCCTTTCCAGTAGCCACAGGGATTTTGGGATTCCTATCAGTATTCAAGAGGAGTCAGGCATCGTCACCTTTTGAAGCAATGAACTCCGCGTGCCTCTCGAGGTGTCAGCGGGATGTGAGGCATTCCTTAAAAATGAGGCATGGACCTAGGGCTTTCTCTAAGATCTCCACAGGGGATTCAGACATCCCTTCATGTTGTGAGATGAAAGACGAGCCTGTATTCAAGCCACTGCAAGGAAATCCGGCCTCCTTTCAAGTTAGGGCTTCTCGCTGTATATTCCCCTTGAGGCAGCAAACTCGGGGTCCCTCCCACATACCTATTGCTGAGAGAAGCCTCCTCCTGAGGTGCTTCTGGGAAGTTGGCATACGTCTTGAGCCTAAGCCAGGGAATCAGCTCTCATCTCGAGACGATTTGGGGTACACGGAGCATTCCTCGAGTTGCTGTGCTGAAGTTGGTGTTCCTCTAGACTTGGGACAGTGTTCTCGGGGCATCTCTGGAGTTGCCTGAAGGAAGTCGAGCCACCGGTCGTGTTGAATGGGGAACGGGGAATGGCTCTGGAGTCAATGCAGGGGAATCGGGCCTCATCTCGAGTTGATTTGGGGCACATGGAGCTGCTTTGCGTTGCTGGGGTGACCTCAGGGTCCGTCTAGACTGGTGACAGTGTTCTTGGGGACTGTCTCGAGATCCATTAAGCAAGTCGAAGCTCCTGACTTGTTTGAATGGGATCACGGAATAGCTCTGCATGCACTGCAGGGGAATGGGGCCTCATCTCGCCTCTAGGGGGAAGTCTCATGGTTTTTCTCGAGTTGCGGCGGGGACCTGGGGTATGTTCTCGACTTACGGCGGGGATGGCCCTTCAAAACACGAGTTTCTTCAGTGACGTCAGGACTCCTGTCTAGTAACGAGGGACACCTCAGGAATCTCTTCGAGGCTTGGCAGGGCAAAAGGGACGCTTCTCGAGGTGAGGCAGGGCACCCAAGGACCCTTTCCAGTAGCCACAGGGATTTTGGGATTCCTATCAGTATTCAAGAGGAGTCAGGCATCGTCACCTTTTGAAGCAATGAACTCCGCGTGCCTCTCGAGGTGTCAGCGGGATGTGAGGCATTCCGTCAAAATGAGGCAGGGACCTAGGGCTTTCTCTAAGGTCTCCACAGGGGATTCAGACATCCCTTCATGTTGTGAGATGAAAGACGAGCCTGTATTCAAGCCACTGCAAGGAAATCCGGCCTCCTTTCAAGTTAGGGCTTCTCGCTGTATATTCCCCTTGAGGCAGCAAACTCGGGGTCCCTCCCACATACCTATTGCTGAGAGAAGCCTCCTCCTGAGGTGCTTCTGGGAAGTTGGCATACGTCTTGAGCCTAAGCCAGGGAATCAGCTCTCATCTCGAGACGATTTGGGGTACACGGAGCATTCCTCGAGTTGCTGTGCTGAAGTTGGTGTTCCTCTAGACTTGGGACAGTGTTCTCGGGGCATCTCTGGAGTTGCCTGAAGGAAGTCGAGCCACCGGTCGTGTTGAATGGGGAACGGGGAATGGCTCTGGAGTCAATGCAGGGGAATCGGGCCTCATCTCGAGTTGATTTGGGGCACATGGAACTGCTTTGCGTTGCTGGGGTGACCTCAGGGTCCGTCTAGACTGGTGACAGTGTTCTTGGGGACTGTCTCGAGATCCATTAAGCAAGTCGAAGCTCCTGACTTGTTTGAATGGGATCACGGAATAGCTCTGCATGCACTGCAGGGGAATGGGGCCTCATCTCGCCTCTAGGGGGAAGTCTCATGGTTTTTCTCGAGTTGCGGCGGGGACCTGGGGTATGTTCTCGACTTACGGCGGGGATGGCCCTTCAAAACACGAGTTTCTTCAGTGACGTCAGGACTCCTGTCTAGTAACGAGGGACACCTCAGGAATCTCTTCGAGGCTTGGCAGGGCAAAAGGGACGCTTCTCGAGGTGAGGCAGGGCACCCAAGGACCCTTTCCAGTAGCCACAGGGATTTTGGGATTCCTATCAGTATTCAAGAGGAGTCAGGCATCGTCACCTTTTGAAGCAATGAACTCCGCGTGCCTCTCGAGGTGTCAGCGGGATGTGAGGCATTCCGTCAAAATGAGGCAGGGACCTAGGGCTTTCTCTAAGGTCTCCACAGGGGATTCAGACATCCCTTCATGTTGTGAGATGAAAGACGAGCCTGTATTCAAGCCACTGCAAGGAAATCCGGCCTCCTTTCAAGTTAGGGCTTCTCGCTGTATATTCCCCTTGAGGCAGCAAACTCGGGGTCCCTCCCACATACCTATTGCTGAGAGAAGCCTCCTCCTGAGGTGCTTCTGGGAAGTTGGCATACGTCTTGAGCCTAAGCCAGGGAATCAGCTCTCATCTCGAGACGATTTGGGGTACACGGAGCATTCCTCGAGTTGCTGTGCTGAAGTTGGTGTTCCTCTAGACTTGGGACAGTGTTCTCGGGGCATCCCTGGAGTTGCCTGAAGAAGTCGAGCCACCGGTCGTGTTGAATGGTGAACGGGGAATGGCTCTGGAGTCAATGCAGGGGAATCGGGCCTCATCTCGAGTTGATTTGGGGCACATGGAGCTTCTTTGCGTTGCTGGGGTGACCTCAGGGTCCGTCTAGACTGGTGACAGTGTTCTTGGGGACTGTCTCGAGATCCATTAAGCAAGTCGAAGCTCCTGACTTGTTTGAATGGGATCACGGAATAGCTCTGCATGCACTGCAGGGGAATGGGGCCTCATCTCGCCTCTAGGGGGAAGTCTCATGGTTTTTCTCGAGTTGCGGCGGGGACCTGGGGTATGTTCTCGACTTACGGCGGGGATGGCCCTTCAAAACACGAGTTTCTTCAGTGACGTCAGGACTCCTGTCTAGTAACGAGGGACACCTCAGGAATCTCTTCGAGGCTTGGCAGGGCAAAAGGGACGCTTCTCGAGGTGAGGCAGGGCACCCAAGGGCCCTTTCCAGTAGCCACAGGGATTTTGGGATTCCTATCAGTATTCAAGAGGAGTCAGGCATCGTCACCTTTTGAAGCAATGAACTCCGCGTGCCTCTCGAGGTGTCAGCGGGATGTGAGGCATTCCTTAAAAATGAGGCATGGACCTAGGGCTTTCTCTAAGATCTCCACATGGGATTCAGACATCCCTTCATGTTGTGAGATGAAAACGAGCCTGTATTCAAGCCACTGCAAGGAAATCCGGCCTCCTTTCAAGTTAGGGCTTCTCGCTGTATATTCCCCTTGAGGCAGCAAACTCGGGGTCCCTCCCACATACCTATTGCTGAGAGAAGCCTCCTCCTGAGGTGCTTCTGGGAAGTTGGCATACGTCTTGAGCCTAAGCCAGGGAATCAGCTCTCATCTCGAGACGATTTGGGGTACACGGAGCATTCCTCGAGTTGCTGTGCTGAAGTTGGTGTTCCTCTAGACTTGGGACAGTGTTCTCGGGGCATCTCTGGAGTTGCCTGAAGGAAGTCGAGCCACCGGTCGTGTTGAATGGGGAACGGGGAATGGCTCTGGAGTCAATGCAGGGGAATCGGGCCTCATCTCGAGTTGATTTGGGGCACATGGAACTGCTTTGCGTTGCTGGGGTGACCTCAGGGTCCGTCTAGACTGGTGACAGTGTTCTTGGGGACTGTCTCGAGATCCATTAAGCAAGTCGAAGCTCCTGACTTGTTTGAATGGGATCACGGAATAGCTCTGCATGCACTGCAGGGGAATGGGGCCTCATCTCGCCTCTAGGGGGAAGTCTCATGGTTTTTCTCGAGTTGCGGCTGGGACCTGGGGTATGTTCTCGACTTACGGCGGGGATGGCCCTTCAAAACACGAGTTTCTTCAGTGACGTCAGGACTCCTGTCTAGTAACGAGGGACACCTCAGGAATCTCTTCGAGGCTTGGCAGGGCAAAAGGGACGCTTCTCGAGGTGAGGCAGGGCACCCAAGGACCCTTTCCAGTAGCCACAGGGATTTTGGGATTCCTATCAGTATTCAAGAGGAGTCAGGCATCGTCACCTTTTGAAGCAATGAACTCCGCGTGCCTCTCGAGGTGTCAGCGCGATGTGAGGCATTCCGTCAAAATGAGGCAGGGACCTAGGGCTTTCTCTAAGGTCTCCACAGGGGATTCAGACATCCCTTCATGTTGTGAGATGAAAGACGAGCCTGTATTCAAGCCACTGCAAGGAAATCCGGCCTCCTTTCAAGTTAGGGCTTCTCGCTGTATATTCCCCTTGAGGCAGCAAACTCGGGGTCCCTCCCACATACCTATTGCTGAGAGAAGCCTCCTCCTGAGGTGCTTCTGGGAAGTTGGCATACGTCTTGAGCCTAAGCCAGGGAATCAGCTCTCATCTCGAGACGATTTGGGGTACACGGAGCATTCCTCGAGTTGCTGTACTGAAGTTGGTGTTCCTCTAGACTTGGGACAGTGTTCTCGGGGCATCTCTGGAGTTGCCTGAAGGAAGTCGAGCCACCGGTCGTGTTGAATGGGGAACGGGGAATGGCTCTGGAGTCAATGCAGGGGAATCGGGCCTCATCTCGAGTTGATTTGGGGCACATGGAGCTGCTTTGCGTTGCTGGGGTGACCTCAGGGTCCGTCTAGACTGGTGACAGTGTTCTTGGGGACTGTCTCGAGATCCATTAAGCAAGTCGAAGCTCCTGACTTGTTTGAATGGGATCACGGAATAGCTCTGCATGCACTGCAGGGGAATGGGGCCTCATCTCGCCTCTAGGGGGAAGTCTCATGGTTTTTCTCGAGTTGCGGCGGGGACCTGGGGTATGTTCTCGACTTACGGCGGGGATGGCCCTTCAAAACACGAGTTTCTTCAGTGACGTCAGGACTCCTGTCTAGTAACGAGGGACACCTCAGGAATCTCTTCGAGGCTTGGCAGGGCAAAAGGGACGCTTCTCGAGGTGAGGCAGGGCACCCAAGGACCCTTTCCAGTAGCCACAGGGATTTTGGGATTCCTATCAGTATTCAAGAGGAGTCAGGCATCGTCACCTTTTGAAGCAATGAACTCCGCGTGCCTCTCGAGGTGTCAGCGGGATGTGAGGCATTCCGTCAAAATGAGGCAGGGACCTAGGGCTTTCTCTAAGGTCTCCACAGGGGATTCAGACATCCCTTCATGTTGTGAGATGAAAGACGAGCCTGTATTCAAGCCACTGCAAGGAAATCGGGCCTCCTTTCAAGTTAGGGCTTCTCGCTGTATATTCCCCTTGAGGCAGCAAACTCGGGGTCCCTCCCACATACCTATTGCTGAGAGAAGCCTCCTCCTGAGGTGCTTCTGAGAAGTTGGCATACGTCTTCAGCCTAAGCCAGGAAATCAGCTCTCATCTCGAGACGATTTGGGGTACACGGAGCATTCCTCGAGTTGCTGTGCTGAAGTTGGTGTTCCTCTAGACTTGGGACAGTGTTCTCGGGGCATCTCTGGAGTTGCCTGAAGGAAGTCGAGCCACCGGTCGTGTTGAATGGGGAACGGGGAATGGCTCTGGAGTCAATGCAGGGGAATCGGGCCTCATCTCGAGTTGATTTGGGGCACATGGAGCTGCTCTGCGTTGATGGAGTGACCTCAGGGTCCGTCTAGACTGGTGACAGTGTTCTTGGGGACTGTCTCGAGATCCATTAAGCAAGTCGAAGCTCCTGACTTGTTTGAATGGGATCACGGAATAGCTCTGCATGCACTGCAGGGGAATGGGGCCTCATCTCGCCTCTAGGGGGAAGTCTCATGGTTTTTCTCGAGTTGCGGCTGGGACCTGGGGTATGTTCTCGACTTACGGCGGGGATGGCCCTTCAAAACACGAGTTTCTTCAGTGACGTCAGGACTCCTGTCTAGTAACGAGGGACACCTCAGGAATCTCTTCGAGGTTTGGCAGGGCAAAAGGGACGCTTCTCGAGGTGAGGCAGGGCACCCAAGGACCCTTTCCAGTAGCCACAGGGATTTTGGGATTCCTATCAGTATTCAAGAGGAGTCAGGCATCGTCACCTTTAGAAGCAATGAACTCCGCGTGCCTCTCGAGGTGTCAGCGGGATGTGAGGCATTCCGTCAAAATGAGGCAGGGACCTAGGGCTTTCTCTAAGGTCTCCACAGGGGATTCAGACATCCCTTCATGTTGTGAGATGAAAGACGAGCCTGTATTCAAGCCACTGCAAGGAAATCGGGCCTCCTTTCAAGTTAGGGCTTCTCGCTGTATATTCCCCTTGAGGCAGCAAACTCGGGGTCCCTCCCACATACCTATTGCTGAGAGAAGCCTCCTCCTGAGGTGCTTCTGGGAAGTTGGCATACGTCTTGAGCCTAAGCCAGGGAATCAGCTCTCATCTCGAGACGATTTGGGGTACACGGAGCATTCCTCGAGTTGCTGTGCTGAAGTTGGTGTTCCTCTAGACTTGGGACAGTGTTCTCGGGGCATCTCTGGAGTTGCCTGAAGGAAGTCGAGCCACCGGTCGTGTTGAATGGGGAACGGGGAATGGCTCTGGAGTCAATGCAGGGGAATCGGGCCTCATCTCGAGTTGATTTGGGGCACATGGAGCTGCTTTGCGTTGCTGGGGTGACCTCAGGGTCCGTCTAGACTGGTGACAGTGTTCTTGGGGACTGTCTCGAGATCCATTAAGCAAGTCGAAGCTCCTGACTTGTTTGAATGGGATCACGGAATAGCTCTGCATGCACTGCAGGGGAATGGGGCCTCATCTCGCCTCTAGGGGGAAGTCTCATGGTTTTTCTCGAGTTGCGGCGGGGACCTGGGGTATGTTCTCGACTTACGGCGGGGATGGCCCTTCAAAACACGAATTTCTTCAGTGACGTCAGGACTCCTGTCTATTAACGAGGGACACCTCAGGAATCTCTTCGAGGCTTGGCAGGGCAAAAGGGACGCTTCTCGAGGTGAGGCAGGGCACCCAAGGACCCTTTCCAGTAGCCACAGGGATTTTGGGATTCCTATCAGTATTCAAGAGGAGTCAGGCATCGTCACCTTTTGAAGCAATGAACTCCGCGTGCCTCTCGAGGTGTCAGCGGGATGTGAGGCATTCCGTCAAAATGAGGCAGGGACCTAGGGCTTTCTCTAAGGTCTCCACAGGGGATTCAGACATCCCTTCATGTTGTGAGATGAAAGACGAGCCTGTATTCAAGCCACTGCAACGAAATCCGGCCTCCTTTCAAGTTAGGGCTTCTCGCTGTATATTCCCCTTGAGGCAGCAAACTCGGGGTCCCTCCCACATACCTATTGCTGAGACAAGCCTCCTCCTGAGGTGCTTCTGGGAAGTTGGCATACGTCTTGAGCCTAAGCCAGGAAATCAGCTCGCATCTCGAGAAGATTTGGGGTACACGGAGCATTCCTCGAGTTGCTGTGCTGAAGTTGGTGTTCCTCTAGACTTGGGACAGTGTTCTCGGGGCATCTCTGGAGTTGCCTGAAGGAAGTCGAGCCACCGGTCGTGTTGAATGGGGAACGGGGAATGTCTCTGGAGTCAATGCAGGGGAATCGGGCCTCATCTCGAGTTGATTTGGGGCACATGGAGCTTCTTTGCTTTGCTGGGGTGACCTCAGGGTACGTCTAGACTGGTGACATTGTTCCTGGGGACTGTCTCGAGATCCATTAAGCAAGTCGAAGCTCCTGACTTGTTTGAATGGGATCACGGAATAGCTCTGCATGCACTGCAGGGGAATGGGGCCGCATCTCGCCTCTAGGGGGAAGTCTCATGGTTTTTCTCGAGTTGCGGCGGGGACCTGGGGTATGTTCTCGACTTACGGCGGGGATGGCCCTTCAAAACACGAGTTTCTTCAGTGACGTCAGGACTCCTGTCTAGTAACGAGGGACACCTCAGGAATCTCTTCGAGGCTTGGCAGGGCAAAAGGGACGCTTCTCGAGGTGAGGCAGGGAACCCAAGGACCCTTTCCAGTAGCCACAGGGATTTGGGGATTCCTATCAGTATTCAAGAGGAGTCAGGCATCGTCACCTTTTGAAGCAATGAACTCCGCGTGCCTCTCGAGGTGTCAGCGGGATGTGAGGCATTCCGTCAAAATGAGGCAGGGACCTAGGGCTTTCTCTAAGGTCTCCACAGGGGATTCAGACATCCCTTCATGTTGTGAGATGAAAGACGAGCCTGTATTCAAGCCACTGCAAGGAAATCCGGCCTCCTTTCAAGTTAGGGCTTCTCGCTGTATATTCCCCTTGAGGCAGCAAACTCGGGGTCCCTCCCACATACCTATTGCTGAGAGAAGCCTCCTCCTGAGGTGCTTCTGGGAAGTTGGCATACGTCTTGAGCCTAAGCCAGGGAATCAGCTCTCATCTCGAGACGATTTGGGGTACACGGAGCATTCCTCGAGTTGCTGTGCTGAAGTTGGTGTTCCTCTAGACTTGGGACAGTGTTCTCGGGGCATCCCTGGAGTTGCCTGAAGGAAGTCGAGCCACCGGTCGTGTTGAATGAGGAACGGGGAATGGCTCTGGAGTCAATGCAGGGGAATCGGGCCTCATCTCGAGTTGATTTGGGGCACATGGAGCTGCTTTGCGTTGCTGGGGTGACCTCAGGGTCCGTCTAGACTGGTGACAGTGTTCTTGGGGACTGTCTCGAGATCCATTAAGCAAGTCGAAGCTCCTGACTTGTTTGAATGGGATCACGGAATAGCTCTGCATGCACTGCAGGGGAATGGGGCCTCATCTCGCCTCTAGGGGGAAGTCTCATGGTTTTTCTCGAGTTGCGGCGGGGACCTGGGGTATGTTCTCGACTTACGGCGGAGATGGCCCTTCAAAACACGAGTTTCTTCAGTGACGTCAGGACTCCTCTCTAGTAACGAGGGACACCTCAGGAATCTCTTCGAGGCTTGGCAGGGCAAAAGGGACGCTTCTCGAGGTGAGGCAGGGCACCCAAGGACCCTTTCCAGTAGCCACAGGGATTTTGGGATTCCTATCAGTATTCAAGAGGAGTCAGGCATCGTCACCTTTTGAAGCAATGAACTCCGCGTGCCTCTCGAGGTGTCAGCGGGATGTGAGGCATTCCTTAAAAATGAGGCATGGACCTAGGGCTTTCTCTAAGATCTCCACAGGGGATTCAGACATCCCTTCATGTTGTGAGATGAAAGACGAGCCTGTATTCAAGCCACTGCAAGGAAATCCGGCCTCCTTTCAAGTTAGGGCTTCTCGCTGTATATTCCCCTTGAGGCAGCAAACTCGGGGTCCCTCCCACATACCTATTGCTGAGAGAAGCCTCCTCCTGAGGTGCTTCTGGGAAGTTGGCATACGTCTTGAGCCTAAGCCAGGGAATCAGCTCTCATCTCGAGACGATTTGGGGTACACGGAGCATTCCTCGAGTTGCTGTGCTGAAGTTGGTGTTCCTCTAGACTTGGGACAGTGTTCTCGGGGCATCTCTGGAGTTGCCTGAAGGAAGTCGAGCCACCGGTCGTGTTGAATGGGGAACGGGGAATGGCTCTGGAGTCAATGCAGGGGAATCGGGCCTCATCTCGAGTTGATTTGGGGCACATGGAGCTGCTTTGCGTTGCTGGGGTGACCTCAGGGTCCGTCTAGACTGGTGACAGTGTTCTTGGGGACTGTCTCGAGATCCATTAAGCAAGTCGAAGCTCCTGACTTGTTTGAATGGGATCACGGAATAGCTCTGCATGCACTGCAGGGGAATGGGGCCTCATCTCGCCTCTAGGGGGAAGTCTCATGGTTTTTCTCGAGTTGCGGCGGGGACCTGGGGTATGTTCTCGACTTACGGCGGGGATGGCCCTTCAAAACACGAGTTTCTTCAGTGACGTCAGGACTCCTGTCTAGTAACGAGGGACACCTCAGGAATCTCTTCGAGGCTTGGCAGGGCAAAAGGGACGCTTCTCGAGGTGAGGCAGGGCACCCAAGGACCCTTTCCAGTAGCCACAGGGATTTTGGGATTCCTATCAGTATTCAAGAGGAGTCAGGCATCGTCACCTTTTGAAGCAATGAACTCCGCGTGCCTCTCGAGGTGTCAGCGGGATGTGAGGCATTCCGTCAAAATGAGGCAGGGACCTAGGGCTTTCTCTAAGGTCTCCACAGGGGATTCAGACATCCCTTCATGTTGTGAGATGAAAGACGAGCCTGTATTCAAGCCACTGCAAGGAAATCCGGCCTCCTTTCAAGTTAGGGCTTCTCGCTGTATATTCCCCTTGAGGCAGCAAACTCGGGGTCCCTCCCACATACCTATTGCTGAGAGAAGCCTCCTCCTGAGGTGCTTCTGGGAAGTTGGCATACGTCTTGAGCCTAAGCCAGGGAATCAGCTCTCATCTCGAGACGATTTGGGGTACACGGAGCATTCCTCGAGTTGCTGTGCTGAAGTTGGTGTTCCTCTAGACTTGGGACAGTGTTCTCGGGGCATCTCTGGAGTTGCCTGAAGGAAGTCGAGCCACCGGTCGTGTTGAATGGGGAACGGGGAATGGCTCTGGAGTCAATGCAGGGGAATCGGGCCTCATCTCGAGTTGATTTGGGGCACATGGAACTGCTTTGCGTTGCTGGGGTGACCTCAGGGTCCGTCTAGACGGGTGACAGTGTTCTTGGGGACTGTCTCGAGATCCATTAAGCAAGTCGAAGCTCCTGACTTGTTTGAATGGGATCACGGAATAGCTCTGCATGCACTGCAGGGGAATGGGGCCTCATCTCGCCTCTAGGGGGAAGTCTCATGGTTTTTCTCGAGTTGCGGCGGGGACCTGGGGTATGTTCTCGACTTACGGCGGGGATGGCCCTTCAAAACACGAGTTTCTTCAGTGACGTCAGGACTCCTGTCTAGTAACGAGGGACACCTCAGGAATCTCTTCGAGGCTTGGCAGGGCAAAAGGGACGCTTCTCGAGGTGAGGCAGGGCACCCAAGGACCCTTTCCAGTAGCCACAGGGATTTTGGGATTCCTATCAGTATTCAAGAGGAGTCAGGCATCGTCACCTTTTGAAGCAATGAACTCCGCGTGCCTCTCGAGGTGTCAGCGGGATGTGAGGCATTCCGTCAAAATGAGGCAGGGACCTAGGGCTTTCTCTAAGGTCTCCACAGGGGATTCAGACATCCCTTCATGTTGTGAGATGAAAGACGAGCCTGTATTCAAGCCACTGCAAGGAAATCCGGCCTCCTTTCAAGTTAGGGCTTCTCGCTGTATATTCCCCTTGAGGCAGCAAACTCGGGGTCCCTCCCACATACCTATTGCTGAGAGAAGCCTCCTCCTGAGGTGCTTCTGGGAAGTTGGCATACGTCTTGAGCCTAAGCCAGGGAATCAGCTCTCATCTCGAGACGATTTGGGGTACACGGAGCATTCCTCGAGTTGCTGTGCTGAAGTTGGTGTTCCTCTAGACTTGGGACAGTGTTCTCGGGGCATCCCTGGAGTTGCCTGAAGAAGTCGAGCCACCGGTCGTGTTGAATGGTGAACGGGGAATGGCTCTGGAGTCAATGCAGGGGAATCGGGCCTCATCTCGAGTTGATTTGGGGCACATGGAGCTTCTTTGCGTTGCTGGGGTGACCTCAGGGTCCGTCTAGACTGGTGACAGTGTTCTTGGGGACTGTCTCGAGATCCATTAAGCAAGTCGAAGCTCCTGACTTGTTTGAATGGGATCACGGAATAGCTCTGCATGCACTGCAGGGGAATGGGGCCTCATCTCGCCTCTAGGGGGAAGTCTCATGGTTTTTCTCGAGTTGCGGCGGGGACCTGGGGTATGTTCTCGACTTACGGCGGGGATGGCCCTTCAAAACACGAGTTTCTTCAGTGACGTCAGGACTCCTGTCTAGTAACGAGGGACACCTCAGGAATCTCTTCGAGGCTTGGCAGGGCAAAAGGGACGCTTCTTGAGGTGAGGCAGGGCACCCAAGGACCCTTTCCAGTAGCCACAGGGATTTTGGGATTCCTATCAGTATTCAAGAGGAGTCAGGCATCGTCACCTTTTGAAGCAATGAACTCCGCGTGCCTCTCGAGGTGTCAGCGGGATGTGAGGCATTCCTTAAAAATGAGGCATGGACCTAGGGCTTTCTCTAAGATCTCCACAGGGGATTCAGACATCCCTTCATGTTGTGAGATGAAAGACGAGCCTGTATTCAAGCCACTGCAAGGAAATCCGGCCTCCTTTCAAGTTAGGGCTTCTCGCTGTATATTCCCCTTGAGGCAGCAAACTCGGGGTCCCTCCCACATACCTATTGCTGAGAGAAGCCTCCTCCTGAGGTGCTTCTGGGAAGTTGGCATACGTCTTGAGCCTAAGCCAGGGAATCAGCTCTCATCTCGAGACGATTTGGGGTACACGGAGCATTCCTCGAGTTGCTGTGCTGAAGTTGGTGTTCCTCTAGACTTGGGACAGTGTTCTCGGGGCATCTCTGGAGTTGCCTGAAGGAAGTCGAGCCACCGGTCGTGTTGAATGGGGAACGGGGAATGGCTCTGGAGTCAATGCAGGGGAATCGGGCCTCATCTCGAGTTGATTTGGGGCACATGGAACTGCTTTGCGTTGCTGGGGTGACCTCAGGGTCCGTCTAGACTGGTGACAGTGTTCTTGGGGACTGTCTCGAGATCCATTAAGCAAGTCGAAGCTCCTGACTTGTTTGAATGGGATCACGGAATAGCTCTGCATGCACTGCAGGGGAATGGGGCCTCATCTCGCCTCTAGGGGGAAGTCTCATGGTTTTTCTCGAGTTGCGGCGGGGACCTGGGGTATGTTCTCGACTTACGGCGGGGATGGCCCTTCAAAACACGAGTTTCTTCAGTGACGTCAGGACTCCTGTCTAGTAACGAGGGACACTTCAGGAATCTCTTCGAGGCTTGGCAGGGCAAAAGGGACGCTTCTCGAGGTGAGACAGGGCACCCAAGGACCCTTTCCAGTAGCCACAGGGATTTTGGGATTCCTATCAGTATTCAAGAGGAGTCAGGCATCGTCACCTTTTGAAGCAATGAACTCCGCGTGCCTCTCGAGGTGTCAGCGCGATGTGAGGCATTCCGTCAAAATGAGGCAGGGACCTAGGGCTTTCTCTAAGGTCTCCACAGGGGATTCAGACATCCCTTCATGTTGTGAGATGAAAGACGAGCCTGTATTCAAGCCACTGCAAGGAAATCCGGCCTCCTTTCAAGTTAGGGCTTCTCGCTGTATATTCCCCTTGAGGCAGCAAACTCGGGGTCCCTCCCACATACCTATTGCTGAGAGAAGCCTCCTCCTGAGGTGCTTCTGGGAAGTTGGCATACGTCTTGAGCCTAAGCCAGGGAATCAGCTCTCATCTCGAGACGATTTGGGGTACACGGAGCATTCCTCGAGTTGCTGTACTGAAGTTGGTGTTCCTCTAGACTTGGGACAGTGTTCTCGGGGCATCTCTGGAGTTGCCTGAAGGAAGTCGAGCCACCGGTCGTGTTGAATGGGGAACGGGGAATGGCTCTGGAGTCAATGCAGGGGAATCGGGCCTCATCTCGAGTTGATTTGGGGCACATGGAGCTGCTTTGCGTTGCTGGGGTGACCTCAGGGTCCGTCTAGACTGGTGACAGTGTTCTTGGGGACTGTCTCGAGATCCATTAAGCAAGTCGAAGCTCCTGACTTGTTTGAATGGGATCACGGAATAGCTCTGCATGCACTGCAGGGGAATGGGGCCTCATCTCGCCTCTAGGGGGAAGTCTCATTGTTTTTCTCGAGTTGCGGCGGGGACCTGGGGTATGTTCTCGACTTACGGCGGGGATGGCCCTTCAAAACACGAGTTTCTTCAGTGACGTCAGGACTCCTGTCTAGTAACGAGGGACACCTCAGGAATCTCTTCGAGGCTTGGCAGGGCAAAAGGGACGCTTCTCGAGGTGAGGCAGGGCACCCAAGGACCCTTTCCAGTAGCCACAGGGATTTTGGGATTCCTATCAGTATTCAAGAGGAGTCAGGCATCGTCACCTTTTGAAGCAATGAACTCCGCGTGCCTCTCGAGGTGTCAGCGGGATGTGAGGCATTCCGTCAAAATGAGGCAGGGACCTAGGGCTTTCTCTAAGGTCTCCACAGGGGATTCAGACATCCCTTCATGTTGTGAGATGAAAGACGAGCCTGTATTCAAGCCACTGCAAGGAAGTCCGGCCTCCTTTCAAGTTAGGGCTTCTCGCTGTATATTCCCCTTGAGGCAGCAAACTCGGGGTCCCTCCCACATACCTATTGCTGAGAGAAGCCTCCTCCTGAGGTGCTTCTGGGAAGTTGGCATACGTCTTCAGCCTAAGCCAGGAAATCAGCTCTCATCTCGAGACGATTTGGGGTACACGGAGCATTCCTCGAGTTGCTGTGCTGAAGTTGGTGTTCCTCTAGACTTGGGACAGTGTTCTCGGGGCATCTCTCGAGTTGCCTGAAGGAAGTCGAGCCACCGGTCGTGTTGAATGGGGAACGGGGAATGGCTCTGGAGTCAATGCAGGGGAATCGGGCCTCATCTCGAGTTGATTTGGGGCACATGGAGCTTCTTTGCGTTGCTGGGGTGACCTCAGGGTCCGTCTAGACTGGTGACAGTGTTCTTGGGGACTGTCTCGAGATCCATTAAGCAAGTCGAAGCTCCTGACTTGTTTGAATGGGATCACGGAATAGCTCTGCATGCACTGCAGGGGAATGGGGCCTCATCTCGCCTCTAGGGGGAAGTCTCATGGTTTTTCTCGAGTTGCGGCGGGGACCTGGGGTATGTTCTCGACTTACGGCGGGGATGGCCCTTCAAAACACGAGTTTCTTCAGTGACGTCAGGACTCCTGTCTAGTAACGAGGGACACCTCAGGAATCTCTTCGAGGCTTGGCAGGGCAAAAGGGACGCTTCTCGAGGTGAGGCAGGGCACCCAAGGACCCTTTCCAGTAGCCACAGGGATTTTGGGATTCCTATCAGTATTCAAGAGGAGTCAGGCATCGTCACCTTTTGAAGCAATGAACTCCGCGTGCCTCTCGAGGTGTCAGCGCGATGTGAGGCATTCCTTAAAAATGAGGCAGGGACCTAGGGCTTTCTCTAAGGTCTCCACAGGGGATTCAGACATCCCTTCATGTTGTGAGATGAAAGACGAGCCTGTATTCAAGCCACTGCAAGGAAATCCGGCCTCCTTTCAAGTTAGGGCTTCTCGCTGTATATTCCCCTTGAGGCAGCAAACTCGGGGTCCCTCCCACATACCTATTGCTGAGAGAAGCCTCCTCCTGAGGTGCTTCTGGGAAGTTGGCATACGTCTTCAGCCTAAGCCAGGGAATCAGCTCTCATCTCGAGACGATTTGGGGTACACGGAGCATTCCTCGAGTTGCTGTACTGAAGTTGGTGTTCCTCTAGACTTGGGACAGTGTTCTCGGGGCATCTCTGGAGTTGCCTGAAGGAAGTCGAGCCACCGGTCGTGTTGAATGGGGAACGGGGAATGGCTCTGGAGTCAATGCAGGGGAATCGGGCCTCATCTCGAGTTGATTTGGGGCACATGGAGCTGCTCTGCGTTGATGGAGTGACCTCAGGGTCCGTCTAGACTGGTGACAGTGTTCTTGGGGACTGTCTCGAGATCCATTAAGCAAGTCGAAGCTCCTGACTTGTTTGAATGGGATCACGGAATAGCTCTGCATGCACTGCAGGGGAATGGGGCCTCATCTCGCCTCTAGGGGGAAGTCTCATGGTTTTTCTCGAGTTGCGGCGGGGACCTGGGGTATGTTCTCGACTTACGGCGGGGATGGCCCTTCAAAACACGAGTTTCTTCAGTGACGTCAGGACTCCTGTCTAGTAACGAGGGACACCTCAGGAATCTCTTCGAGGTTTGGCAGGGCAAAAGGGACGCTTCTCGAGGTGAGGCAGGGCACCCAAGGACCCTTTCCAGTAGCCACAGGGATTTTGGGATTCCTATCAGTATTCAAGAGGAGTCAGGCATCGTCACCTTTAGAAGCAATGAACTCCGCGTGCCTCTCGATGTGTCAGCGGGATGTGAGGCATTCCGTCAAAATGAGGCAGGGACCTAGGGCTTTCTCTAAGGTCTCCACAGGGGATTCAGACATCCCTTCATGTTGTGAGATGAAAGACGAGCCTGTATTCAAGCCACTGCAAGGAAATCGGGCCTCCTTTCAAGTTAGGGCTTCTCGCTGTATATTCCCCTTGAGGCAGCAAACTCGGGGTCCCTCCCACATACCTATTGCTGAGAGAAGCCTCCTCCTGAGGTGCTTCTGGGAAGTTGGCATACGTCTTGAGCCTAAGCCAGGGAATCAGCTCTCATCTCGAGACGATTTGGGGTACACGGAGCATTCCTCGAGTTGCTGTGCTGAAGTTGGTGTTCCTCTAGACTTGGGACAGTGTTCTCGGGGCATCTCTGGAGTTGCCTGAAGGAAGTCGAGCCACCGGTCGTGTTGAATGGGGAACGGGGAATGGCTCTGGAGTCAATGCAGGGGAATCGGGCCTCATCTCGAGTTGATTTGGGGCACATGGAGCTGCTTTGCGTTGCTGGGGTGACCTCAGGGTCCGTCTAGACTGGTGACAGTGTTCTTGGGGACTGTCTCGAGATCCATTAAGCAAGTCGAAGCTCCTGACTTGTTTGAATGGGATCACGGAATAGCTCTGCATGCACTGCAGGGGAATGGGGCCTCATCTCGCCTCTAGGGGGAAGTCTCATGGTTTTTCTCGAGTTGCGGCGGGGACCTGGGGTATGTTCTCGACTTACGGCGTGGATGGCCCTTCAAAACACGAATTTCTTCAGTGACGTCAGGACTCCTGTCTATTAACGAGGGACACCTCAGGAATCTCTTCGAGGCTTGGCAGGGCAAAAGGGACGCTTCTCGAGGTGAGGCAGGGCACCCAAGGACCCTTTCCAGTAGCCACAGGGATTTTGGGATTCCTATCAGTATTCAAGAGGAGTCAGGCATCGTCACCTTTTGAAGCAATGAACTCCGCGTGCCTCTCGAGGTGTCAGCGGGATGTGAGGCATTCCGTCAAAATGAGGCAGGGACCTAGGGCTTTCTCTAAGGTCTCCACAGGGGATTCAGACATCCCTTCATGTTGTGAGATGAAAGACGAGCCTGTATTCAAGCCACTGCAAGGAAATCCGGCCTCCTTTCAAGTTAGGGCTTCTCGCTGTATATTCCCCTTGAGGCAGCAAACTCGGGGTCCCTCCCACATACCTATTGCTGAGAGAAGCCTCCTCCTGAGGTGCTTCTGGGAAGTTGGCATACGTCTTGAGCCTAAGCCAGGAAATCAGCTCGCATCTCGAGAAGATTTGGGGTACACGGAGCATTCCTCGAGTTGCTGTGCTGAAGTTGGTGTTCCTCTAGACTTGGGACAGTGTTCTCGGGGCATCTCTGGAGTTGCCTGAAGGAAGTCGAACCACCGGTCGTGTTGAATGGGGAACGGGGAATGTCTCTGGAGTCAATGCAGGGGAATCGGGCCTCATCTCGAGTTGATTTGGGGCACATGGAGCTTCTTTGCTTTGCTGGGGTGACCTCAGGGTCCGTCTAGACTGGTGACATTGTTCCTGGGGACTGTCTCGAGATCCATTAAGCAAGTCGAAGCTCCTGACTTGTTTGAATGGGATCACGGAATAGCTCTGCATGCACTGCAGGGGAATGGGGCCGCATCTCGCCTCTAGGGGGAAGTCTCATGGTTTTTCTCGAGTTGCGGCGGGGACCTGGGGTATGTTCTCGACTTACGGCGAGGATGGCCCTTCAAGACACGAGTTTCTTCAGTGACGTCAGGACTCCTGTCTAGTAACGAGGGACACCTCAGGAATCTCTTCGAGGCTTGGCAGGGCAAAAGGGACGCTTCTCGAGGTGAGGTAGGGCACCCAAGGACCCTTTCCAGTAGCCACAGGGATTTTGGGATTCCTATCAGTATTCAAGAGGAGTCAGGCATCGTCACCTTTTGAAGCAATGAACTCCGCGTGCCTCTCGAGGTGTCAGCGGGATGTGAGGCATTCCGTGAAAATGAGGCAGGGACCTAGGGCTTTCTCTAAGGTCTCCACAGGGGATTCAGACATCCCTTCATGTTGTGAGATGAAAGACGAGCCTGTATTCAAGCCACTGCAAGGAAATCCGGCCTCCTTTCAAGTTAGGGCTTCTCGCTGTATATTCCCCTTGAGGCAGCAAACTCGGGGTCCCTCCCACATACCTATTGCTGAGAGAAGCCTCCTCCTGAGGTGCTTCTGGGAAGTTGGCATACGTCTTGAGCCTAAGCCAGGGAATCAGCTCTCATCTCGAGACGATTTGGGGTACACGGAGCATTCCTCGAGTTGCTGTGCTGAAGTTGGTGTTCCTCTAGACTTGGGACAGTGTTCTCGGGGCATCTCTGGAGTTGCCTGAAGGAAGTCGAGCCACCGGTCGTGTTGAATGGGGAACGGGTAATGGCTCTGGAGTCAATGCAGGGGAATCGGGCCTCATCTCGAGTTGATTTGGGGCACATGGAGCTGCTTTGCGTTGCTGGGGTGACCTCAGGGTCCGTCTAGACTGGTGACAGTGTTCTTGGGGACTGTCTCGAGATCCATTAAGCAAGTCGAAGCTCCTGACTTGTTTGAATGGGATCACGGAATAGCTCTGCATGCACTGCAGGGGAATGGGGCCTCATCTCGCCTCTAGGGGGAAGTCTCATGGTTTTTCTCGAGTTGCGGCGGGGACCTGGGGTATGTTCTCGACTTACGGCGGGGATGGCCCTTCAAAACACGAGTTTCTTCAGTGACGTCAGGACTCCTGTCTAGTAACGAGGGACACCTCAGGAATCTCTTCGAGGCTTGGCAGGGCAAAAGGGACGCTTCTCGAGGTGAGGCAGGGCACCCAAGGACCCTTTCCAGTAGCCACAGGGATTTTGGGATTCCTATCAGTATTCAAGAGGAGTCAGGCATCGTCACCTTTTGAAGCAATGAACTCCGCGTGCCTCTCGAGGTGTCAGCGGGATGTGAGGCATTCCGTCAAAATGAGGCAGGGACCTAGGGCTTTCTCTAAGGTCTCCACAGGGGATTCAGACATCCCTTCATGTTGTGAGATGAAAGACGAGCCTGTATTCAAGCCACTGCAAGGAAATCCGGCCTCCTTTCAAGTTAGGGCTTCTCGCTGTATATTCCCCTTGAGGCAGCAAACTCGGGGTCCCTCCCACATACCTATTGCTGAGAGAAGCCTCCTCCTGAGGTGCTTCTGGGAAGTTGGCATACGTCTTGAGCCTAAGCCAGGGAATCAGCTCTCATCTCGAGACGATTTGGGGTACACGGAGCATTCCTCGAGTTGCTGTGCTGAAGTTGGTGTTCCTCTAGACTTGGGACAGTGTTCTCGGGGCATCTCTGGAGTTGCCTGAAGGAAGTCGAGCCACCGGTCGTGTTGAATGGGGAACGGGGAATGGCTCTGGAGTCAATGCAGGGGAATCGGGCCTCATCTCGAGTTGATTTGGGGCACATGGAGCTGCTTTGCGTTGCTGGGGTGACCTCAGGGTCCGTCTAGACTGGTGACAGTGTTCTTGGGGACTGTCTCGAGATCCATTAAGCAAGTCGAAGCTCCTGACTTGTTTGAATGGGATCACGGAATAGCTCTGCATGCACTGCAGGGGAATGGGGCCTCATCTCGCCTCTAGGGGGAAGTCTCATGGTTTTTCTCGAGTTGCGGCGGGGACCTGGGGTATGTTCTCGACTTACGGCGGGGATGGCCCTTCAAAACACGAGTTTCTTCAGTGACGTCAGGACTCCTGTCTAGTAACGAGGGACACCTCAGGAATCTCTTCGAGGCTTGGCAGGGCAAAAGGGACGCTTCTCGAGGTGAGGCAGGGCACCCAAGGACCCTTTCCAGTAGCCACAGGGATTTTGGGATTCCTATCAGTATTCAAGAGGAGTCAGGCATCGTCACCTTTTGAAGCAATGAACTCCGCGTGCCTCTCGAGGTGTCAGCGGGATGTGAGGCATTCCGTCAAAATGAGGCAGGGACCTAGGGCTTTCTCTAAGGTCTCCACAGGGGATTCAGACATCCCTTCATGTTGTGAGATGAAAGACGAGCCTGTATTCAAGCCACTGCAAGGAAATCCGGCCTCCTTTCAAGTTAGGGCTTCTCGCTGTATATTCCCCTTGAGGCAGCAAACTCGGGGTCCCTCCCACATACCTATTGCTGAGAGAAGCCTCCTCCTGAGGTGCTTCTGGGAAGTTGGCATACGTCTTGAGCCTAAGCCAGGGAATCAGCTCTCATCTCGAGACGATTTGGGGTACACGGAGCATTCCTCGAGTTGCTGTGCTGAAGTTGGTGTTCCTCTAGACTTGGGACAGTGTTCTCGGGGCATCTCTGGAGTTGCCTGAAGGAAGTCGAGCCACCGGTCGTGTTGAATGGGGAACGGGGAATGGCTCTGGAGTCAATGCAGGGGAATCGGGCCTCATCTCGAGTTGATTTGGGGCACATGGAGCTGCTTTGCGTTGCTGGGGTGACCTCAGGGTCCGTCTAGACTGGTGACAGTGTTCTTGGGGGCTGTCTCGAGATCCATTAAGCAAGTCGAAGCTCCTGACTTGTTTGAATGGGATCACGGAATAGCTCTGCATGCACTGCAGGGGAATGGGGCCTCATCTCGCCTCTAGGGGGAAGTCTCATGGTTTTTCTCGAGTTGCGGCGGGGACCTGGGGTATGTTCTCGACTTACGGCGGGGATGGCCCTTCAAAACACGAGTTTCTTCAGTGACGTCAGGACTCCTGTCTAGTAACGAGGGACACCTCAGGAATCTCTTCGAGGCTTGGCAGGGCAAAAGGGACGCTTCTCGAGGTGAGGCAGGGCACCCAAGGACCCTTTCCAGTAGCCACAGGGATTTTGGGATTCCTATCAGTATTCAAGAGGAGTCAGGCATCGTCACCTTTTGAAGCAATGAACTCCGCGTGCCTCTCGAGGTGTCAGCGGGATGTGAGGCATTCCGTCAAAATGAGGCAGGGACCTAGGGCTTTCTCTAAGGTCTCCACAGGGGATTCAGACATCCCTTCATGTTGTGAGATGAAAGACGAGCCTGTATTCAAGCCACTGCAAGGAAATCCGGCCTCCTTTCAAGTTAGGGCTTCTCGCTGTATATTCCCCTTGAGGCAGCAAACTCGGGGTCCCTCCCACATACCTATTGCTGAGAGAAGCCTCCTCCTGAGGTGCTTCTGGGAAGTTGGCATACGTCTTGAGCCTAAGCCAGGGAATCAGCTCTCATCTCGAGACGATTTGGGGTACACGGAGCATTCCTCGAGTTGCTGTGCTGAAGTTGGTGTTCCTCTAGACTTGGGACAGTGTTCTCGGGGCATCTCTGGAGTTGCCTGAAGGAAGTCGAGCCACCGGTCGTGTTGAATGGGGAACGGGGAATGGCTCTGGAGTCAATGCAGGGGAATCGGGCCTCATCTCGAGTTGATTTGGGGCACATGGAACTGCTTTGCGTTGCTGGGGTGACCTCAGGGTCCGTCTAGACTGGTGACAGTGTTCTTGGGGACTGTCTCGAGATCCATTAAGCAAGTCGAAGCTCCTGACTTGTTTGAATGGGATCACGGAATAGCTCTGCATGCACTGCAGGGGAATGGGGCCTCATCTCGCCTCTAGGGGGAAGTCTCATGGTTTTTCTCGAGTTGCGGCGGGGACCTGGGGTATGTTCTCGACTTACGGCGGGGATGGCCCTTCAAAACACGAGTTTCTTCAGTGACGTCAGGACTCCTGTCTAGTAACGAGGGACACCTCAGGAATCTCTTCGAGGCTTGGCAGGGCAAAAGGGACGCTTCTCGAGGTGAGGCAGGGCACCCAAGGACCCTTTCCAGTAGCCACAGGGATTTTGGGATTCCTATCAGTATTCAAGAGGAGTCAGGCATCGTCACCTTTTGAAGCAATGAACTCCGCGTGCCTCTCGAGGTGTCAGCGCGATGTGAGGCATTCCGTCAAAATGAGGCAGGGACCTAGGGCTTTCTCTAAGGTCTCCACAGGGGATTCAGACATCCCTTCATGTTGTGAGATGAAAGACGAGCCTGTATTCAAGCCACTGCAAGGAAATCCGGCCTCCTTTCAAGTTAGGGCTTCTCGCTGTATATTCCCCTTGAGGCAGCAAACTCGGGGTCCCTCCCACATACCTATTGCTGAGAGAAGCCTCCTCCTGAGGTGCTTCTGGGAAGTTGGCATACGTCTTGAGCCTAAGCCAGGGAATCAGCTCTCATCTCGAGACGATTTGGGGTACACGGAGCATTCCTCGAGTTGCTGTGCTGAAGTTGGTGTTCCTCTAGACTTGGGACAGTGTTCTCGGGGCATCCCTGGAGTTGCCTGAAGAAGTCGAGCCACCGGTCGTGTTGAATGGTGAACGGGGAATGGCTCTGGAGTCAATGCAGGGGAATCGGGCCTCATCTCGAGTTGATTTGGGGCACATGGAGCTTCTTTGCGTTGCTGGGGTGACCTCAGGGTCCGTCTAGACTGGTGACAGTGTTCTTGGGGACTGTCTCGAGATCCATTAAGCAAGTCGAAGCTCCTGACTTGTTTGAATGGGATCACGGAATAGCTCTGCATGCACTGCAGGGGAATGGGGCCTCATCTCGCCTCTAGGGGGAAGTCTCATGGTTTTTCTCGAGTTGCGGCGGGGACCTGGGGTATGTTCTCGACTTACGGCGGGGATGGCCCTTCAATACACGAGTTTCTTCAGTGACGTCAGGACTCCTGTCTAGTAACGAGGGACACTTCAGGAATCTCTTCGAGGCTTGGCAGGGCAAAAGGGACGCTTCTCGAGGTGAGGCAGGGCACCCAAGGACCCTTTCCAGTAGCCACAGGGATTTTGGGATTCCTATCAGTATTCAAGAGGAGTCAGGCATCGTCACCTTTTGAAGCAATGAACTCCGCGTGCCTCTCGAGGTGTCAGCGGGATGTGAGGCATTCCTTAAAAATGAGGCATGGACCTAGGGCTTTCTCTAAGATCTCCACAGGGGATTCAGACATCCCTTCATGTTGTGAGATGAAAGACGAGCCTGTATTCAAGCCACTGCAAGGAAATCCGGCCTCCTTTCAAGTTAGGGCTTCTCGCTGTATATTCCCCTTGAGGCAGCAAACTCGGGGTCCCTCCCACATACCTATTGCTGAGAGAAGCCTCCTCCTGAGGTGCTTCTGGGAAGTTGGCATACGTCTTGAGCCTAAGCCAGGGAATCAGCTCTCATCTCGAGACGATTTGGGGTACACGGAGCATTCCTCGAGTTGCTGTGCTGAAGTTGGTGTTCCTCTAGACTTGGGACAGTGTTCTCGGGGCATCTCTGGAGTTGCCTGAAGGAAGTCGAGCCACCGGTCGTGTTGAATGGGGAACGGGGAATGGCTCTGGAGTCAATGCAGGGGAATCGGGCCTCATCTCGAGTTGATTTGGGGCACATGGAACTGCTTTGCGTTGCTGGGGTGACCTCAGGGTCCGTCTAGACTGGTGACAGTGTTCTTGGGGACTGTCTCGAGATCCATTAAGCAAGTCGAAGCTCCTGACTTGTTTGAATGGGATCACGGAATAGCTCTGCATGCACTGCAGGGGAATGGGGCCTCATCTCGCCTCTAGGGGGAAGTCTCATGGTTTTTCTCGAGTTGCGGCGGGGACCTGGGGTATGTTCTCGACTTACGGCGGGGATGGCCCTTCAAAACACGAGTTTCTTCAGTGACGTCAGGACTCCTGTCTAGTAACGAGGGACACCTCAGGAATCTCTTCGAGGCTTGGCAGGGCAAAAGGGACGCTTCTCGAGGTGAGGCAGGGCACCCAAGGACCCTTTCCAGTAGCCACAGGGATTTTGGGATTCCTATCAGTATTCAAGAGGACTCAGGCATCGTCACCTTTTGAAGCAATGAACTCCGCGTGCCTCTCGAGGTGTCAGCGGGATGTGAGGCATTCCGTCAAAATGAGGCAGGGACCTAGGGCTTTCTCTAAGGTCTCCACAGGGGATTCAGACATCCCTTCATGTTGTGAGATGAAAGACGAGCCTGTATTCAAGCCACTGCAAGGAAATCCGGCCTCCTTTCAAGTTAGGGCTTCTCGCTGTATATTCCCCTTGAGGCAGCAAACTCGGGGTCCCTCCCACATACCTATTGCTGAGAGAAGCCTCCTCCTGAGGTGCTTCTGGGAAGTTGGCATACGTCTTGAGCCTAAGCCAGGGAATCAGCTCTCATCTCGAGACGATTTGGGGTACACGGAGCATTCCTCGAGTTGCTGTGCTGAAGTTGGTGTTCCTCTAGACTTGGGACAGTGTTCTCGGGGCATCTCTGGAGTTGCCTGAAGGAAGTCGAGCCACCGGTCGTGTTGAATGGGGAACGGGGAATGGCTCTGGAGTCAATGCAGGGGAATCGGGCCTCATCTCGAGTTGATTTGGGGCACATGGAGCTGCTTTGCGTTGCTGGGGTGACCTCAGGGTCCGTCTAGACTGGTGACAGTGTTCTTGGGGACTGTCTCGAGATCCATTAAGCAAGTCGAAGCTCCTGACTTGTTTGAATGGGATCACGGAATAGCTCTGCATGCACTGCAGGGGAATGGGGCCTCATCTCGCCTCTAGGGGGAAGTCTCATGGTTTTTCTCGAGTTGCGGCGGGGACCTGGGGTATGTTCTCGACTTACGGCGGGGATGGCCCTTCAAAACACGAGTTTCTTCAGTGACGTCAGGACTCCTGTCTAGTAACGAGGGACACCTCAGGAATCTCTTCGAGGCTTGGCAGGGCAAAAGGGACGCTTCTCGAGGTGAGGCAGGGCACCCAAGGACCCTTTCCAGTAGCCACAGGGATTTTGGGATTCCTATCAGTATTCAAGAGGAGTCAGGCATCGTCACCTTTTGAAGCAATGAACTCCGCGTGCCTCTCGAGGTGTCAGCGGGATGTGAGGCATTCCGTCAAAATGAGGCAGGGACCTAGGGCTTTCTCTAAGGTCTCCACAGGGGATTCAGACATCCCTTCATGTTGTGAGATGAAAGAGGAGCCTGTATTCAAGCCACTGCAAGGAAATCCGGCCTCCTTTCAAGTTAGGGCTTCTCGCTGTATATTCCCCTTGAGGCAGCAAACTCGGGGTCCCTCCCACATACCTATTGCTGAGAGAAGCCTCCTCCTGAGGTGCTTCTGGGAAGTTGGCATACGTCTTGAGCCTAAGCCAGGGAATCAGCTCGCACCTCGAGACGATTTGGGGTACACGGAGCATTCCTCGAGTTGCTGTGCTGAAGTTGGTGTTCCTCTAGACTTGGGACAGTGTTCTCGGGGCATCTCTGGAGTTGCCTGAAGGAAGTCGAGCCACCGGTCGTGTTGAATGGGGAACGGGGAATGGCTCTGGAGTCAATGCAGGGGAATCGGGCCTCATCTCGAGTTGATTTGGGGCACATGGAACTGCTTTGCGTTGCTGGGGTGACCTCAGGGTCCGTCTAGACTGGTGACAGTGTTCTTGGGGACTGTCTCGAGATCCATTAAGCAAGTCGAAGCTCCTGACTTGTTTGAATGGGATCACGGAATAGCTCTGCATGCACTGCAGGGGAATGGGGCCTCATCTCGCCTCTAGGGGGAAGTCTCATGGTTTTTCTCGAGTTGCGGCGGGGACCTGGGGTATGTTCTCGACTTACGGCGGGGATGGCCCTTCAAAACACGAGTTTCTTCAGTGACGTCAGGACTCCTGTCTAGTAACGAGGGACACCTCAGGAATCTCTTCGAGGCTTGGCAGGGCAAAAGGGACGCTTCTCGAGGTGAGGCAGGGCACCCAAGGACCCTTTCCAGTAGCCACAGGGATTTTGGGATTCCTATCAGTATTCAAGAGGAGTCAGGCATCGTCACCTTTTGAAGCAATGAACTCCGCGTGCCTCTCGAGGTGTCAGCGGGATGTGAGGCATTCCGTCAAAATGAGGCAGGGACCTAGGGCTTTCTCTAAGGTCTCCACAGGGGATTCAGACATCCCTTCATGTTGTGAGATGAAAGACGAGCCTGTATTCAAGCCACTGCAAGGAAATCCGGCCTCCTTTCAAGTTAGGGCTTCTCGCTGTATATTCCCCTTGAGGCAGCAAACTCGGGGTCCCTCCCACATACCTATTGCTGAGAGAAGCCTCCTCCTGAGGTGCTTCTGGGAAGTTGGCATACGTCTTGAGCCTAAGCCAGGGAATCAGCTCTCATCTCGAGACGATTTGGGGTACACGGAGCATTCCTCGAGTTGCTGTGCTGAAGTTGGTGTTCCTCTAGACTTGGGACAGTGTTCTCGGGGCATCTCTGGAGTTGCCTGAAGGAAGTCGAGCCACCGGTCATGTTGAATGGGGAACGGGGAATGGCTCTGGAGTCAATGCAGGGGAATCGGGCCTCATCTCGAGTTGATTTGGGGCACATGGAACTGCTTTGCGTTGCTGGGGTGACCTCAGGGTCCGTCTAGACTGGTGACAGTGTTCTTGGGGACTGTCTCGAGATCCATTAAGCAAGTCGAAGCTCCTGACTTGTTTGAATGGGATCACGGAATAGCTCTGCATGCACTGCAGGGGAATGGGGCCTCATCTCGCCTCTAGGGGGAAGTCTCATGGTTTTTCTCGAGTTGCGGCGGGGACCTGGGGTATGTTCTCGACTTACGGCGGGGATGGCCCTTCAAAACACGAGTTTCTTCAGTGACGTCAGGACTCCTGTCTAGTAACGAGGGACACCTCAGGAATCTCTTCGAGGCTTGGCAGGGCAAAAGGGACGCTTCTCGAGGTGAGGCAGGGCACCCAAGGACCCTTTCCAGTAGCCACAGGGATTTTGGGATTCCTATCAGTATTCAAGAGGAGTCAGGCATCGTCACCTTTTGAAGCAATGAACTCCGCGTGCCTCTCGAGGTGTCAGCGGGATGTGAGGCATTCCGTCAAAATGAGGCAGGGACCTAGGGCTTTCTCTAAGGTCTCCACAGGGGATTCAGACATCCCTTCATGTTGTGAGATGAAAGACGAGCCTGTATTCAAGCCACTGCAAGGAAATCCGGCCTCCTTTCAAGTTAGGGCTTCTCGCTGTATATTCCCCTTGAGGCAGCAAACTCGGGGTCCCTCCCACATACCTATTGCTGAGAGAAGCCTCCTCCTGAGGTGCTTCTGGGAAGTTGGCATACGTCTTGAGCCTAAGCCAGGGAATCAGCTCGCACCTCGAGACGATTTGGGGTACACGGAGCATTCCTCGAGTTGCTGTGCTGAAGTTGGTGTTCCTCTAGACTTGGGACAGTGTTCTCGGGGCATCTCTGGAGTTGCCTGAAGGAAGTCGAGCCACCGGTCGTGTTGAATGGGGAACGGGGAATGGCTCTGGAGTCAATGCAGGGGAATCGGGCCTCATCTCGAGTTGATTTGGGGCACATGGAACTGCTTTGCGTTGCTGGGGTGACCTCAGGGTCCGTCTAGACTGGTGACAGTGTTCTTGGGGACTGTCTCGAGATCCATTAAGCAAGTCGAAGCTCCTGACTTGTTTGAATGGGATCACGGAATAGCTCTGCATGCACTGCAGGGGAATGGGGCCTCATCTCGCCTCTAGGGGGAAGTCTCATGGTTTTTCTCGAGTTGCGGCGGGGACCTGGGGTATGTTCTCGACTTACGGCGGGGATGGCCCTTCAAAACACGAGTTTCTTCAGTGACGTCAGGACTCCTGTCTAGTAACGAGGGACACCTCAGGAATCTCTTCGAGGCTTGGCAGGGCAAAAGGGACGCTTCTCGAGGTGAGGCAGGGCACCCAAGGACCCTTTCCAGTAGCCACAGGGATTTTGGGATTCCTATCAGTATTCAAGAGGAGTCAGGCATCGTCACCTTTTGAAGCAATGAACTCCGCGTGCCTCTCGAGGTGTCAGCGGGATGTGAGGCATTCCGTCAAAATGAGGCAGGGACCTAGGGCTTTCTCTAAGGTCTCCACAGGGGATTCAGACATCCCTTCATGTTGTGAGATGAAAGACGAGCCTGTATTCAAGCCACTGCAAGGAAATCCGGCCTCCTTTCAAGTTAGGGCTTCTCGCTGTATATTCCCCTTGAGGCAGCAAACTCGGGGTCCCTCCCACATACCTATTGCTGAGAGAAGCCTCCTCCTGAGGTGCTTCTGGGAAGTTGGCATACGTCTTGAGCCTAAGCCAGGGAATCAGCTCTCATCTCGAGACGATTTGGGGTACACGGAGCATTCCTCGAGTTGCTGTGCTGAAGTTGGTGTTCCTCTAGACTTGGGACAGTGTCTCGGGGCATCTCTAGAGTTGCCTGAAGGAAGTCGAGCCACCGGTCGTGTTGAATGGGGAACGGGGAATGGCTCTGGAGTCAATGCAGGGGAATCGGGCCTCATCTCGAGTTGATTTGGGGCACATGGAGCTGCTTTGCGTTGCTGGGGTGACCTCAGGGTCCGTCTAGACTGGTGACAGTGTTCTTGGGGACTGTCTCGAGATCCATTAAGCAAGTCGAAGCTCCTGACTTGTTTGAATGGGATCACGGAATAGCTCTGCATGCACTGCAGGGGAATGGGGCCTCATCTCGCCTCTAGGGGGAAGTCTCATGGTTTTTCTCGAGTTGCGGCGGGGACCTGGGGTATGTTCTCGACTTACGGCGGGGATGGCCCTTCAAAACACGAGTTTCTTCAGTGACGTCAGGACTCCTGTCTAGTAACGAGGGATACCTCAGGAATCTCTTCGAGGCTTGGCAGGGCAAAAGGGACGCTTCTCGAGGTGAGGCAGGGCACCCAAGGACCCTTTCCAGTAGCCACAGGGATTTTGGGATTCCTATCAGTATTCAAGAGGAGTCAGGCATCGTCACCTTTTGAAGCAATGAACTCCGCGTGCCTCTCGAGGTGTCAGCGCGATGTGAGGCATTCCGTCAAAATGAGGCAGGGACCTAGGGCTTTCTCTAAGGTCTCCACAGGGGATTCAGACATCCCTTCATGTTGTGAGATGAAAGACGAGCCTGTATTCAAGCCACTGCAAGGAAATCCGGCCTCCTTTCAAGTTAGGGCTTCTCGCTGTATATTCCCCTTGAGGCAGCAAACTCGGGGTCCCTCTCACATACCTATTGCTGAGAGAAGCCTCCTCCTGAGGTGCTTCTGGGAAGTTGGCATACGTCTTGAGCCTAAGCCAGGGAATCAGCTCTCATCTCGAGACGATTTGGGGTACACGGAGCATTCCTCGAGTTGCTGTGCTGAAGTTGGTGTTCCTCTAGACTTGGGACAGTGTTCTCGGGGCATCTCTGGAGTTGCCTGAAGGAAGTCGAGCCACCGGTCGTGTTGAATGGGGAACGGGGAATGGCTCTGGAGTCAATGCAGGGGAATCGGGCCTCATCTCGAGTTGATTTGGGGCACATGGAACTGCTTTGCATTGCTGGGGTGACCTCAGGGTCCGTCTAGACTGGTGACAGTGTTCTTGGGGACTGTCTCGAGATCCATTAAGCAAGTCGAAGCTCCTGACTTGTTTGAATGGGATCACGGAATAGCTCTGCATGCACTGCAGGGGAATGGGGCCTCATCTCGCCTCTAGGGGGAAGTCTCATGGTTTTTCTCGAGTTGCGGCGGGGACCTGGGGTATGTTCTCGACTTACGGCGGGGATGGCCCTTAAAAACACGAGTTTCTTCAGTGACGTCAGGACTCCTGTCTATTAACGAAGGACACCTCAGGAATCTCTTCGAGGCTTGGCAGGGCAAAAGGGACGCTTCTCGAGGTGAGGCAGGGCACCCAAGGACCCTTTCCAGTAGCCACAGGGATTTTGGGATTCCTATCAGTATTCAAGAGGAGTCAGGCATCGTCACCTTTTGAAGCAATGAACTCCGCGTGCCTCTCGAGGTGTCAGCGCGATGTGAGGCATTCCGTCAAAATGAGGCAGGGACCTAGGGCTTTCTCTAAGGTCTCCACAGGGGATTCAGACATCCCTTCATGTTGTGAGATAAAAGACGAGCCTGTATTCAAGCCACTGCAAGGAAATCCGGCCTCCTTTCAAGTTAGGGCTTCTCGCTGTATATTCCCCTTGAGGCAGCAAACTCGGGGTCCCTCCCACATACCTATTGCTGAGAGAAGCCTCCTCCTGAGGTGCTTCTGGGAAGTTGGCATACGTCTTGAGCCTAAGCCAGGGAATCAGCTCGCATCTCGAGACGATTTGGGGTACACGGAGCATTCCTCGAGTTGCTGTGCTGAAGTTGGTGTTCCTCTAGACTTGGGACAGTGTTCTCGGGGCATCTCTGGAGTTGCCTGAAGGAAGTCGAGCCACCGGTCGTGTTGAATGGGGAACGGGGAATGGCTCTGGAGTCAATGCAGGGGAATCGGGCCTCATCTCGAGTTGATTTGGGGCACATGGAGCTGCTTTGCGTTGCTGGGGTGACCTCAGGGTCCGTCTAGACTGGTGACAGTGTTCTTGGGGACTGTCTCGAGATCCATTAAGCAAGTCGAAGCTCCTGACTTGTTTGAATGGGATCACGGAATAGCTCTGCATGCACTGCAGGGGAATGGGGCCTCATCTCGCCTCTAGGGGGAAGTCTCATGGTTTTTCTCGAGTTGCGGCGGGGACCTGGGGTATGTTCTCGACTTACGGCGGGGATGGCCCTTCAAGACACGAGTTTCTTCAGTGACGTCAGGACTCCTGTCTAGTAACGAGGGACACCTCAGGAATCTCTTCGAGGCTTGGCAGGGCAAAAGGGACGCTTCTCGAGGTGAGGCAGGGCACCCAAGGACCCTTTCCAGTAGCCACAGGGATTTTGGGATTCCTATCAGTATTCAAGAGGAGTCAGGCATCGTCACCTTTTGAAGCAATGAACTCCGCGTGCCTCTCGAGGTGTCAGCGGGATGTGGGGCATTCCGTCAAAATGAGGCAGGGACCTAGGGCTTTCTCTAAGGTCTCCACAGGGGATTCAGACATCCCTTCATGTTGTGAGATGAAAGACGAGCCTGTATTCAAGCCACTGCAAGGAAATCCGGCCTCCTTTCAAGTTAGGGCTTCTCGCTGTATATTCCCCTTGAGGCAGCAAACTCGGGGTCCCTCCCACATACCTATTGCTGAGAGAAGCCTCCTCCTGAGGTGCTTCTGGGAAGTTGGCATACGTCTTGAGCCTAAGCCAGGGAATCAGCTCTCATCTCGAGACGATTTGGGGTACACGGAGCATTCCTCGAGTTGCTGTGCTGAAGTTGGTGTTCCTCTAGACTTGGGACAGTGTTCTCGGGGCATCTCTGGAGTTGCCTGAAGGAAGTCGAGCCACCGGTCGTGTTGAATGAGGAACGGGGAATGGCTCTGGAGTCAATGCAGGGGAATCGGGCCTCATCTCGAGTTGATTTGGGGCACATGGAGCTTCTTTGCGTTGCTGGGGTGACCTCAGGGTCCGTCTAGACTGGTGACAGTGTTCTTGGGGACTGTCTCGAGATCCATTAAGCAAGTCGACGCTCCTGACTTGTTTGAATGGGATCACGGAATAGCTCTGCATGCACTGCAGGGGAATGGGGCCTCATCTCGCCTCTAGGGGGAAGTCTCATGGTTTTTCTCGAGTTGCGGCGGGGACCTGGGGTATGTTCTCGACTTACGGCGGAGATGGCCCTTCAAAACACGAGTTTCTTCAGTGACGTCAGGACTCCTGTCTAGTAACGAGGGACACCTCAGGAATCTCTTCGAGGCTTGGCAGGGCAAAAAGGACGCTTCTCGAGGTGAGGCAGGGCACCCAAGGACCCTTTCCAGTAGCCACAGGGATTTTGGGATTCCTATCAGTATTCAAGAGGAGTCAGGCATCGTCACCTTTTGAAGCAATGAACTCCGCGTGCCTCTCGAGGTGTCAGCGGGATGTGAGGCATTCCTTAAAAATGAGGCATGGACCTAGGGCTTTCTCTAAGATCTCCACAGGGGATTCAGACATCCCTTCATGTTGTGAGATGAAAGACGAGCCTGTATTCAAGCCACTGCAAGGAAATCCGGCCTCCTTTCAAGTTAGGGCTTCTCGCTGTATATTCCCCTTGAGGCAGCAAACTCGGGGTCCCTCCCACATACCTATTGCTGAGAGAAGCCTCCTCCTGAGGTGCTTCTGGGAAGTTGGCATACGTCTTGAGCCTAAGCCAGGGAATCAGCTCTCATCTCGAGACGATTTGGGGTACACGGAGCATTCCTCGAGTTGCTGTGCTGAAGTTGGTGTTCCTCTAGACTTGGGACAGTGTTCTCGGGGCATCTCTGGAGTTGCCTGAAGGAAGTCGAGCCACCGGTCGTGTTGAATGGGGAACGGGGAATGGCTCTGGAGTCAATGCAGGGGAATCGGGCCTCATCTCGAGTTGATTTGGGGCACATGGAGCTGCTTTGCGTTGCTGGGGTGACCTCAGGGTCCGTCTAGACTGGTGACAGTGTTCTTGGGGACTGTCTCGAGATCCATTAAGCAAGTCGAAGCTCCTGACTTGTTTGAATGGGATCACGGAATAGCTCTGCATGCACTGCAGGGGAATGGGGCCTCATCTCGCCTCTAGGGGGAAGTCTCATGGTTTTTCTCGAGTTGCGGCGGGGACCTGGGGTATGTTCTCGACTTACGGCGGGGATGGCCCTTCAAAACACGAGTTTCTTCAGTGACGTCAGGACTCCTGTCTAGTAACGAGGGACACCTCAGGAATCTCTTCGAGGCTTGGCAGGGCAAAAGGGACGCTTCTCGAGGTGAGGCAGGGCACCCAAGGACCCTTTCCAGTAGCCACAGGGATTTTGGGATTCCTATCAGTATTCAAGAGGAGTCAGGCATCGTCACCTTTTGAAGCAATGAACTCCGCGTGCCTCTCGAGGTGTCAGCGGGATGTGAGGCATTCCGTCAAAATGAGGCAGGGACCTAGGGCTTTCTCTAAGGTCTCCACAGGGGATTCAGACATCCCTTCATGTTGTGAGATGAAAGACGAGCCTGTATTCAAGCCACTGCAAGGAAATCCGGCCTCCTTTCAAGTTAGGGCTTCTCGCTGTATATTCCCCTTGAGGCAGCAAACTCGGGGTCCCTCCCACATACCTATTGCTGAGAGAAGCCTCCTCCTGAGGTGCTTCTGGGAAGTTGGCATACGTCTTGAGCCTAAGCCAGGGAATCAGCTCTCATCTCGAGACGATTTGGGGTACACGGAGCATTCCTCGAGTTGCTGTGCTGAAGTTGGTGTTCCTCTAGACTTGGGACAGTGTTCTCGGGGCATCTCTGGAGTTGCCTGAAGGAAGTCGAGCCACCGGTCGTGTTGAATGGGGAACGGGGAATGGCTCTGGAGTCAATGCAGGGGAATCGGGCCTCATCTCGAGTTGATTTGGGGCACATGGAACTGCTTTGCATTGCTGGGGTGACCTCAGGGTCCGTCTAGACTGGTGACAGTGTTCTTGGGGACTGTCTCGAGATCCATTAAGCAAGTCGAAGCTCCTGACTTGTTTGAATGGGATCACGGAATAGCTCTGCATGCACTGCAGGGGAATGGGGCCTCATCTCGCCTCTAGGGGGAAGTCTCATGGTTTTTCTCGAGTTGCGGCAGGGACCTGGGGTATGTTCTCGACTTACGGCGGGGATGGCCCTTCAAAACACGAGTTTCTTCAGTGACGTCAGGACTCCTGTCTAGTAACGAGGGACACCTCAGGAATCTCTTCGAGGCTTGGCAGGGCAAAAGGGACGCTTCTCGAGGTGAGGCAGGGCACCCAAGGACCCTTTCCAGTAGCCACAGGGATTTTGGGATTCCTATCAGTATTCAAGAGGAGTCAGGAATCGTCACCTTTTGAAGCAATGAACTCCGCGTGCCTCTCGAGGTGTCAGCGCGATGTGAGGCATTCCGTCAAAATGAGGCAGGGACCTAGGGCTTTCTCTAAGGTCTCCACAGGGGATTCAGACATCCCTTCATGTTGTGAGATGAAAGACGAGCCTGTATTCAAGCCACTGCAAGGAAATCCGGCCTCCTTTCAAGTTAGGGCTTCTCGCTGTATATTCCCCTTGAGGCAGCAAACTCGGGGTCCCTCCCACATACCTATTGCTGAGAGAAGCCTCCTCCTGAGGTGCTTCTGGGAAGTTGGCATACGTCTTGAGCCTAAGCCAGGGAATCAGCTCTCATCTCGAGACGATTTGGGGTACACGGAGCATTCCTCGAGTTGCTGTGCTGAAGTTGGTGTTCCTCTAGACTTGGGACAGTGTTCTCGGGGCATCCCTGGAGTTGCCTGAAGAAGTCGAGCCACCGGTCGTGTTGAATGGTGAACGGGGAATGGCTCTGGAGTCAATGCAGGGGAATCGGGCCTCATCTCGAGTTGATTTGGGGCACATGGAGCTTCTTTGCGTTGCTGGGGTGACCTCAGGGTCCGTCTAGACTGGTGACAGTGTTCTTGGGGACTGTCTCGAGATCCATTAAGCAAGTCGAAGCTCCTGACTTGTTTGAATGGGATCACGGAATAGCTCTGCATGCACTGCAGGGGAATGGGGCCTCATCTCGCCTCTAGGGGGAAGTCTCATGGTTTTTCTCGAGTTGCGGCGGGGACCTGGGGTATGTTCTCGACTTACGGCGGGGATGGCCCTTCAATACACGAGTTTCTTCAGTGACGTCAGGACTCCTGTCTAGTAACGAGGGACACTTCAGGAATCTCTTCGAGGCTTGGCAGGGCAAAAGGGACGCTTCTCGAGGTGAGGCAGGGCACCCAAGGACCCTTTCCAGTAGCCACAGGGATTTTGGGATTCCTATCAGTATTCAAGAGGAGTCAGGCATCGTCACCTTTTGAAGCAATGAACTCCGCGTGCCTCTCGAGGTGTCAGCGGGATGTGAGGCATTCCTTAAAAATGAGGCATGGACCTAGGGCTTTCTCTAAGATCTCCACAGGGGATTCAGACATCCCTTCATGTTGTGAGATGAAAGACGAGCCTGTATTCAAGCCACTGCAAGGAAATCCGGCCTCCTTTCAAGTTAGGGCTTCTCGCTGTATATTCCCCTTGAGGCAGCAAACTCGGGGTCCCTCCCACATACCTATTGCTGAGAGAAGCCTCCTCCTGAGGTGCTTCTGGGAAGTTGGCATACGTCTTGAGCCTAAGCCAGGGAATCAGCTCTCATCTCGAGACGATTTGGGGTACACGGAGCATTCCTCGAGTTGCTGTGCTGAAGTTGGTGTTCCTCTAGACTTGGGACAGTGTTCTCGGGGCATCTCTGGAGTTGCCTGAAGGAAGTCGAGCCACCGGTCGTGTTGAATGGGGAACGGGGAATGGCTCTGGAGTCAATGCAGGGGAATCGGGCCTCATCTCGAGTTGATTTGGGGCACATGGAACTGCTTTGCGTTGCTGGGGTGACCTCAGGGTCCGTCTAGACTGGTGACAGTGTTCTTGGGGACTGTCTCGAGATCCATTAAGCAAGTCGAAGCTCCTGACTTGTTTGAATGGGATCACGGAATAGCTCTGCATGCACTGCAGGGGAATGGGGCCTCATCTCGCCTCTAGGGGGAAGTCTCATGGTTTTTCTCGAGTTGCGGCGGGGACCTGGGGTATGTTCTCGACTTACGGCGGGGATGGCCCTTCAAAACACGAGTTTCTTCAGTGACGTCAGGACTCCTGTCTAGTAACGAGGGACACCTCAGGAATCTCTTCGAGGCTTGGCAGGGCAAAAGGGACGCTTCTCGAGGTGAGGCAGGGCACCCAAGGACCCTTTCCAGTAGCCACAGGGATTTTGGGATTCCTATCAGTATTCAAGAGGAGTCAGGCATCGTCACCTTTTGAAGCAATGAACTCCGCGTGCCTCTCGAGGTGTCAGCGGGATGTGAGGCATTCCGTCAAAATGAGGCAGGGACCTAGGGCTTTCTCTAAGGTCTCCACAGGGGATTCAGAGATCCCTTCATGTTGTGAGATGAAAGACGAGCCTGTATTCAAGCCACTGCAAGGAAATCCGGCCTCCTTTCAAGTTAGGGCTTCTCGCTGTATATTCCCCTTGAGGCAGCAAACTCGGGGTCCCTCCCACATACCTATTGCTGAGAGAAGCCTCCTCCTGAGGTGCTTCTGGGAAGTTGGCATACGTCTTGAGCCTAAGCCAGGGAATCAGCTCTCATCTCGAGACGATTTGGGGTACACGGAGCATTCCTCGAGTTGCTGTGCTGAAGTTGGTGTTCCTCTAGACTTGGGACAGTGTTCTCGGGGCATCCCTGGAGTTGCCTGAAGAAGTCGAGCCACCGGTCGTGTTGAATGGTGAACGGGGAATGGCTCTGGAGTCAATGCAGGGGAATCGGGCCTCATCTCGAGTTGATTTGGGGCACATGGAGCTTCTTTGCGTTGCTGGGGTGACCTCAGGGTCCGTCTAGACTGGTGACAGTGTTCTTGGGGACTGTCTCGAGATCCATTAAGCAAGTCGAAGCTCCTGACTTGTTTGAATGGGATCACGGAATAGCTCTGCATTCACTGCAGGGGAATGGGGCCTCATCTCGCCTCTAGGGGGAAGTCTCATGGTTTTTCTCGAGTTGCGGCGGGGACCTGGGGTATGTTCTCGACTTACGGCGGGGATGGCCCTTCAATACACGAGTTTCTTCAGTGACGTCAGGACTCCTGTCTAGTAACGAGGGACACTTCAGGAATCTCTTCGAGGCTTGGCAGGGCAAAAGGGACGCTTCTCGAGGTGAGGCAGGGCACCCAAGGACCCTTTCCAGTAGCCACAGGGATTTTGGGATTCCTATCAGTATTCAAGAGGAGTCAGGCATCGTCACCTTTTGAAGCAATGAACTCCGCGTGCCTCTCGAGGTGTCAGCGGGATGTGAGGCATTCCTTAAAAATGAGGCATGGACCTAGGGCTTTCTCTAAGATCTCCACAGGGGATTCAGACATCCCTTCATGTTGTGAGATGAAAGACGAGCCTGTATTCAAGCCACTGCAAGGAAATCCGGCCTCCTTTCAAGTTAGGGCTTCTCGCTGTATATTCCCCTTGAGGCAGCAAACTCGGGGTCCCTCCCACATACCTATTGCTGAGAGAAGCCTCCTCCTGAGGTGCTTCTGGGAAGTTGGCATACGTCTTGAGTCTAAGCCAGGGAATCAGCTCTCATCTCGAGACGATTTGGGGTACACGGAGCATTCCTCGAGTTGCTGTGCTGAAGTTGGTGTTCCTCTAGACTTGGGACAGTGTTCTCGGGGCATCTCTGGAGTTGCCTGAAGGAAGTCGAGCCACCGGTCGTGTTGAATGGGGAACGGGGAATGGCTCTGGAGTCAATGCAGGGGAATCGGGCCTCATCTCGAGTTGATTTGGGGCACATGGAGCTGCTTTGCGTTGCTGGGGTGACCTCAGGGTCCGTCTAGACTGGTGACAGTGTTCTTGGGGACTGTCTCGAGATCCATTAAGCAAGTCGAAGCTCCTGACTTGTTTGAATGGGATCACGGAATAGCTCTGCATGCACTGCAGGGGAATGGGGCCTCATCTCGCCTCTAGGGGGAAGTCTCATGGTTTTTCTCGAGTTGCAGCGGGGACCTGGGGTATGTTCTCGACTTACGGCGGGGATGGCCCTTCAAAACACGAGTTTCTTCAGTGACGTCAGGACTCCTGTCTAGTAACGAGGGACACCTCAGGAATCTCTTCGAGGTTTGGCAGGGCAAAAAGGACGCTTCTCGAGGTGAGGCAGGGCACCCAAGGACCCTTTCCAGTAGCCACAGGGATTTTGGGATTCCTATCAGTATTCAAGAGGAGTCAGGCATCGTCACCTTTTGAAGCAATGAACTCCGCGTGCCTCTCGAGGTGTCAGCGCGATGTGAGGCATTCCGTCAAAATGAGGCAGGGACCTAGGTCTTTCTCTAAGGTCTCCACAGGGGATTCAGACATCCCTTCATGTTGTGAGATGAAAGACGAGCCTGTATTCAAGCCACTGCAAGGAAATCCGGCCTCCTTTCAAGTTAGGGCTTCTCGCTGTATATTCCCCTTGAGGCAGCAAACTCGGGGTCCCTTCCACATATCTATTGCTGAGAGAAGCCTCCTCCTGAGGTGCTTCTGGGAAGTTGGCATACGTCTTGAGCCTAAGCCAGGGAATCAGCTCGCACCTCGAGACGATTTGGGGTACACGGAGCATTCCTCGAGTTGCTGTGCTGAAGTTGGTGTTCCTCTAGACTTGGGACAGTGTTCTCGGGGCATCTCTGGAGTTGCCTGAAGGAAGTCGAGCCACCGGTCGTGTTGAATGGGGAACGGGGAATGGCTCTGGAGTCAATGCAGGGGAATCGGGCCTCATCTCGAGTTGATTTGGGGCACATGGAGCTGCTTTGCGTTGCTGGGGTGACCTCAGGGTCCGTCTAGACTGGTGACAGTGTTCTTGGGGACTGTCTCGAGATCCATTAAGCAAGTCGAAGCTCCTGACTTGTTTGAATGGGATCACGGAATAGCTCTGCATGCACTGCAGGGGAATGGGGCCTCATCTCGCCTCTAGGGGGAAGTCTCATGGTTTTTCTCGAGTTGCGGCGGGGACCTGGGGTATGTTCTCGACTTACGGCGGGGATGGCCCTTCAAAACACGAGTTTCTTCAGTGACGTCAGGACTCCTGTCTAGTAACGAGGGACACCTCAGGAATCTCTTCGAGGCTTGGCAGGGCAAAAGGGACGCTTCTCGAGGTGAGGCAGGGCACCCAAGGACCCTTTCCAGTAGCCACAGGGATTTTGGGATTCCTATCAGTATTCAAGAGGACTCAGGCATCGTCACCTTTTGAAGCAATGAACTCCGCGTGCCTCTCGAGGTGTCAGCGGGATGTGAGGCATTCCGTCAAAATGAGGCAGGGACCTAGGGCTTTCTCTAAGGTCTCCACAGGGGATTCAGACATCCCTTCATGTTGTGAGATGAAAGACGAGCCTGTATTCAAGCCACTGCAAGGAAATCCGGCCTCCTTTCAAGTTAGGGCTTCTCGCTGTATATTCCCCTTGAGGCAGCAAACTCGGGGTCCCTCCCACATACCTATTGCTGAGAGAAGCCTCCTCCTGAGGTGCTTCTGGGAAGTTGGCATACGTCTTGAGCCTAAGCCAGGGAATCAGCTCTCATCTCGAGACGATTTGGGGTACACGGAGCATTCCTCGAGTTGCTGTGCTGAAGTTGGTGTTCCTCTAGACTTGGGACAGTGTTCTCGGGGCATCTCTGGAGTTGCCTGAAGGAAGTCGAGCCACCGGTCGTGTTGAATGGGGAACGGGGAATGGCTCTGGAGTCAATGCAGGGGAATCGGGCCTCATCTCGAGTTGATTTGGGGCACATGGAGCTGCTTTGCGTTGCTGGGGTGACCTCAGGGTCCGTCTAGACTGGTGACAGTGTTCTTGGGGACTGTCTCGAGATCCATTAAGCAAGTCGAAGCTCCTGACTTGTTTGAATGGGATCACGGAATAGCTCTGCATGCACTGCAGGGGAATGGGGCCTCATCTCGCCTCTAGGGGGAAGTCTCATGGTTTTTCTCGAGTTGCGGCGGGGACCTGGGGTATGTTCTCGACTTACGGCGGGGATGGCCCTTCAAAACACGAGTTTCTTCAGTGACGTCAGGACTCCTGTCTAGTAACGAGGGACACCTCAGGAATCTCTTCGAGGCTTGGCAGGGCAAAAGGGACGCTTCTCGAGGTGAGGCAGGGCACCCAAGGACCCTTTCCAGTAGCCACAGGGATTTTGGGATTCCTATCAGTATTCAAGAGGAGTCAGGCATCGTCACCTTTTGAAGCAATGAACTCCGCGTGCCTCTCGAGGTGTCAGCGGGATGTGAGGCATTCCGTCAAAATGAGGCAGGGACCTATGGCTTTCTCTAAGGTCTCCACAGGGGATTCAGACATCCCTTCATGTTGTGAGATGAAAGAGGAGCCTGTATTCAAGCCACTGCAAGGAAATCCGGCCTCCTTTCAAGTTAGGGCTTCTCGCTGTATATTCCCCTTGAGGCAGCAAACTCGGGGTCCCTCCCACATACCTATTGCTGAGAGAAGCCTCCTCCTGAGGTGCTTCTGGGAAGTTGGCATACGTCTTGAGCCTAAGCCAGGGAATCAGCTCGCACCTCGAGACGATTTGGGGTACACGGAGCATTCCTCGAGTTGCTGTGCTGAAGTTGGTGTTCCTCTAGACTTGGGACAGTGTTCTCGGGGCATCTCTGGAGTTGCCTGAAGGAAGTCGAGCCACCGGTCGTGTTGAATGGGGAACAGGGAATGGCTCTGGAGTCAATGCAGGGGAATCGGGCCTCATCTCGAGTTGATTTGGGGCACATGGAACTGCTTTGCGTTGCTGGGGTGACCTCAGGGTCCGTCTAGACTGGTGACAGTGTTCTTGGGGACTGTCTCGAGATCCATTAAGCAAGTCGAAGCTCCTGACTTGTTTGAATGGGATCACGGAATAGCTCTGCATGCACTGCAGGGGAATGGGGCCTCATCTCGCCTCTAGGGGGAAGTCTCATGGTTTTTCTCGAGTTGCGGCGGGGACCTGGGGTATGTTCTCGACTTACGGCGGGGATGGCCCTTCAAAACACGAGTTTCTTCAGTGACGTCAGGACTCCTGTCTAGTAACGAGGGACACCTCAGGAATCTCTTCGAGGCTTGGCAGGGCAAAAGGGACGCTTCTCGATGTGAGGCAGGGCACCCAAGGACCCTTTCCAGTAGCCACAGGGATTTTGGGATTCCTATCAGTATTCAAGAGGAGTCAGGCATCGTCACCTTTTGAAGCAATGAACTCCGCGTGCCTCTCGAGGTGTCAGCGGGATGTGAGGCATTCCGTCAAAATGAGGCAGGGACCTAGGGCTTTCTCTAAGGTCTCCACAGGGGATTCAGACATCCCTTCATGTTGTGAGATGAAAGACGAGCCTGTATTCAAGCCACTGCAAGGAAATCCGGCCTCCTTTCAAGTTAGGGCTTCTCGCTGTATATTCCCCTTGAGGCAGCAAACTCGGGGTCCCTCCCACATACCTATTGCTGAGAGAAGCCTCCTCCTGAGGTGCTTCTGGGAAGTTGGCATACGTCTTGAGCCTAAGCCAGGGAATCAGCTCTCATCTCGAGACGATTTGGGGTACACGGAGCATTCCTCGAGTTGCTGTGCTGAAGTTGGTGTTCCTCTAGACTTGGGACAGTGTTCTCGGGGCATCTCTGGAGTTGCCTGAAGGAAGTCGAGCCACCGGTCGTGTTGAATGGGGAACGGGGAATGGCTCTGGAGTCAATGCAGGGGAATCGGGCCTCATCTCGAGTTGATTTGGGGCACATGGAGCTGCTTTGCGTTGCTGGGGTGACCTCAGGGTCCGTCTAGACTGGTGACAGTGTTCTTGGGGACTGTCTCGAGATCCATTAAGCAAGTCGAAGCTCCTGACTTGTTTGAATGGGATCACGGAATAGCTCTGCATGCACTGCAGGGGAATGGGGCCTCATCTCGCCTCTAGGGGGAAGTCTCATGGTTTTTCTCGAGTTGCGGCGGGGACCTGGGGTATGTTCTCCACTTACGGCGGGGATGGCCCTTTAAAACACGAGTTTCTTCAGTGACGTCAGGACTCCTGTCTAGTAACGAGGGACACCTCAGGAATCTCTTCGAGGCTTGGCAGGGCAAAAGGGACGCTTCTCGAGGTGAGGCAGGGCACCCAAGGACCCTTTCCAGTAGCCACAGGGATTTTGGGATTCCTATCAGTATTCAAGAGGAGTCAGGCATCGTCACCTTTTGAAGCAATGAACTCCGCGTGCCTCTCGAGGTGTCAGCGGGATGTGAGGCATTCCGTCAAAATGAGGCAGGGACCTAGGGCTTTCTCTAAGGTCTCCACAGGGGATTCAGACATCCCTTCATGTTGTGAGATGAAAGACGAGCCTGTATTCAAGCCACTGCAAGGAAATCCGGCCTCCTTTCAAGTTAGGGCTTCTCGCTGTATATTCCCCTTGAGGCAGCAAACTCGGGGTCCCTCCCACATACCTATTGCTGAGAGAAGCCTCCTCCTGAGGTGCTTCTGGGAAGTTGGCATACGTCTTGAGCCTAAGCCAGGGAATCAGCTCGCACCTCGAGACGATTTGGGGTACACGGAGCATTCCTCGAGTTGCTGTGCTGAAGTTGGTGTTCCTCTAGACTTGGGACAGTGTTCTCGGGGCATCTCTGGAGTTGCCTGAAGGAAGTCGAGCCACCGGTCGTGTTGAATGGGGAACGGGGAATGGCTCTGGAGTCAATGCAGGGGAATCGGGCCTCATCTCGAGTTGATTTGGGGCACATGGAACTGCTTTGCGTTGCTGGGGTGACCTCAGGGTCCGTCTAGACTGGTGACAGTGTTCTTGGGGACTGTCTCGAGATCCATTAAGCAAGTCGAAGCTCCTGACTTGTTTGAATGGGATCACGGAATAGCTCTGCATGCACTGCAGGGGAATGGGGCCTCATCTCGCCTCTAGGGGGAAGTCTCATGGTTTTTCTCGAGTTGCGGCGGGGACCTGGGGTATGTTCTCGACTTACGGCGGGGATGGCCCTTCAAAACACGAGTTTCTTCAGTGACGTCAGGACTCCTGTCTAGTAACGAGGGACACCTCAGGAATCTCTTCGAGGCTTGGCAGGGCAAAAGGGACGCTTCTCGAGGTGAGGCAGGGCACCCAAGGACCCTTTCCAGTAGCCACAGGGATTTTGGGATTCCTATCAGTATTCAAGAGGAGTCAGGCATCGTCACCTTTTGAAGCAATGAACTCCGCGTGCCTCTCGAGGTGTCAGCGGGATGTGAGGCATTCCGTCAAAATGAGGCAGGGACCTAGGGCTTTCTCTAAGGTCTCCACATGGGATTCAGACATCCCTTCATGTTGTGAGATGAAAGACGAGCCTGTATTCAAGCCACTGCAAGGAAATCCGGCCTCCTTTCAAGTTAGGGCTTCTCGCTGTATATTCCCCTTGAGGCAGCAAACTCGGGGTCCCTCCCACATACCTATTGCTGAGAGAAGCCTCCTCCTGAGGTGCTTCTGGGAAGTTGGCATACGTCTTGAGCCTAAGCCAGGGAATCAGCTCTCATCTCGAGACGATTTGGGGTACACGGAGCATTCCTCGAGTTGCTGTGCTGAAGTTGGTGTTCCTCTAGACTTGGGACAGTGTTCTCGGGTCATCTCTGGAGTTGCCTGAAGGAAGTCGAGCCACCGGTCGTGTTGAATGGGGAACGGGGAATGGCTCTGGAGTCAATGCAGGGGAATCGGGCCTCATCTCGAGTTGATTTGGGGCACATGGAGCTGCTTTGCGTTGCTGGGGTGACCTCAGGGTCCGTCTAGACTGGTGACAGTGTTCTTGGGGACTGTCTCGAGATCCATTAAGCAAGTCGAAGCTCCTGACTTGTTTGAATGGGATCACGGAATAGCTCTGCATGCACTGCAGGGGAATGGGGCCTCATCTCGCCTCTAGGGGGAAGTCTCATGGTTTTTCTCGAGTTGCGGCGGGGACCTGGGGTATGTTCTCGACTTACGGCGGGGATGGCCCTTCAAAACACGAGTTTCTTCAGTGACGTCAGGACTCCTGTCTAGTAACGAGGGACACCTCAGGAATCTCTTCGAGGCTTGGCAGGGCAAAAGGGACGCTTCTCGAGGTGAGGCAGGGCACCCAAGGACCCTTTCCAGTAGCCACAGGGATTTTGGGATTCCTATCAGTATTCAAGAGGAGTCAGGCATCGTCACCTTTTGAAGCAATGAACTCCGCGTGCCTCTCGAGGTGTCAGCGCGATGTGAGGCATTCCGTCAAAATGAGGCAGGGACCTAGGGCTTTCTCTAAGGTCTCCACAGGGGATTCAGACATCCCTTCATGTTGTGAGATGAAAGACGAGCCTGTATTCAAGCCACTGCAAGGAAATCCGGCCTCCTTTCAAGTTAGGGCTTCTCGCTGTATATTCCCCTTGAGGCAGCAAACTCGGGGTCCCTCTCACATACCTATTGCTGAGAGAAGCCTCCTCCTGAGGTGCTTCTGGGAAGTTGGCATACGTCTTGAGCCTAAGCCAGGGAATCAGCTCTCATCTCGAGACGATTTGGGGTACACGGAGCATTCCTCGAGTTGCTGTGCTGAAGTTGGTGTTCCTCTAGACTTGGGACAGTGTTCACGGGGCATCTCTGGAGTTGCCTGAAGGAAGTCGAGCCACCGGTCGTGTTGAATGGGGAACGGGGAATGGCTCTGGAGTCAATGCAGGGGAATCGGGCCTCATCTCGAGTTGATTTGGGGCACATGGAACTGCTTTGCGTTGCTGGGGTGACCTCAGGGTCCGTCTAGACTGGTGACAGTGTTCTTGGGGACTGTCTCGAGATCCATTAAGCAAGTCGAAGCTCCTGACTTGTTTGAATGGGATCACGGAATAGCTCTGCATGCACTGCAGGGGAATGGGGCCTCATCTCGCCTCTAGGGGGAAGTCTCATGGTTTTTCTCGAGTTGCGGCGGGGACCTGGGGTATGTTCTCGACTTACGGCGGGGATGGCCCTTAAAAACACGAGTTTCTTCAGTGACGTCAGGACTCCTGTCTATTAACGAAGGACACCTCAGGAATCTCTTCGAAGCTTGGCAGGGCAAAAGGGACGCTTCTCGAGGTGAGGCAGGGCACCCAAGGACCCTTTCCAGTAGCCACAGGGATTTTGGGATTCCTATCAGTATTCAAGAGGAGTCAGGCATCGTCACCTTTTGAAGCAATGAACTCCGCGTGCCTCTCGAGGTGTCAGCGCGATGTGAGGCATTCCGTCAAAATGAGGCAGGGACCTAGGGCTTTCTCTAAGGTCTCCACAGGGGATTCAGACATCCCTTCATGTTGTGAGATAAAAGACGAGCCTGTATTCAAGCCACTGCAAGGAAATCCGGCCTCCTTTCAAGTTAGGGCTTCTCGCTGTATATTCCCCTTGAGGCAGCAAACTCGGGGTCCCTCCCACATACCTATTGCTGAGAGAAGCCTCCTCCTGAGGTGCTTCTGGGAAGTTGGCATACGTCTTGAGCCTAAGCCAGGGAATCAGCTCGCATCTCGAGACGATTTGGGGTACACGGAGCATTCCTCGAGTTGCTGTGCTGAAGTTGGTGTTCCTCTAGACTTGGGACAGTGTTCTCGGGGCATCTCTGGAGTTGCCTGAAGGAAGTCGAGCCACCGGTCGTGTTGAATGGGGAACGGGGAATGGCTCTGGAGTCAATGCAGGGGAATCGGGCCTCATCTCGAGTTGATTTGGGGCACATGGAGCTGCTTTGCGTTGCTGGGGTGACCTCAGGGTCCGTCTAGACTGGTGACAGTGTTCTTGGGGACTGTCTCGAGATCCATTAAGCAAGTCGAAGCTCCTGACTTGTTTGAATGGGATAACGGAATAGCTCTGCATGCACTGCAGGGGAATGGGGCCTCATCTCGCCTCTAGGGGGAAGTCTCATGGTTTTTCTCGAGTTGCGGCGGGGACCTGGGGTATGTTCTCGACTTACGGCGGGGATGGCCCTTCAAGACACGAGTTTCTTCAGTGACGTCAGGACTCCTGTCTAGTAACGAGGGACACCTCAGGAATCTCTTCGAGGCTTGGCAGGGCAAAAGGGACGCTTCTCGAGGTGAGGCAGGGCACCCAAGGACCCTTTCCAGTAGCCACAGGGATTTTGGGATTCCTATCAGTATTCAAGAGGAGTCAGGCATCGTCACCTTTTGAAGCAATGAACTCCGCGTGCCTCTCGAGGTGTCAGCGGGATGTGGGGCATTCCGTCAAAATGAGGCAGGGACCTAGGGCTTTCTCTAAGGTCTCCACAGGGGATTCAGACATCCCTTCATGTTGTGAGATGAAAGACGAGCCTGTATTCAAGCCACTGCAAGGAAATCCGGCCTCCTTTCAAGTTAGGGCTTCTCGCTGTATATTCCCCTTGAGGCAGCAAACTCGGGGTCCCTCCCACATACCTATTGCTGAGAGAAGCCTCCTCCTGAGGTGCTTCTGGGAAGTTGGCATACGTCTTGAGCCTAAGCCAGGGAATCAGCTCTCATCTCGAGACGATTTGGGGTACACGGAGCATTCCTCGAGTTGCTGTGCTGAAGTTGGTGTTCCTCTAGACTTGGGACAGTGTTCTCGGGGCATCTCTGGAGTTGCCTGAAGGAAGTCGAGCAACCGGTCGTGTTGAATGGGGAACGGGGAATGGCTCTGGAGTCAATGCAGGGCAATCGGGCCTCATCTCGAGTTGATTTGGGGCACATGGAGCTGCTTTGCGTTGCTGGGGTGACCTCAGGGTCCGTCTAGACTGGTGACAGTGTTCTTGGGGACTGTCTCGAGATCCATTAAGCAAGTCGAAGCTCCTGACTTGTTTGAATGGGATCACGGAATAGCTCTGCATGCACTGCAGGGGAATGGGGCCTCATCTAGCCTCTAGGGGATAGTCTCATGGTTTTTCTCGAGTTGCGGCGGGGACCTGGGGTATGTTCTCGACTTACGGCGGGGATGGCCCTTCAAAACACGAGTTTCTTCAGTGACGTCAGGACTCCTGTCTAGTAACGAGGGACACCTCAGGAATCTCTTCGAGGCTTGGCAGGGCAAAAGGGACGCTTCTCGAGGTGAGGCAGGGCACCCAAGGACCCTTTCCAGTAGCCACAGGGATTTTGGGATTCCTATCAGTATTCAAGAGGAGTCAGGCATCGTCACCTTTTGAAGCAATGAACTCCGCGTGCCTCTCGAGGTGTCAGCGGGATGTGAGGCATTCCGTCAAAATGAGGCAGGGACCTAGGGCTTTCTCTAAGGTCTCCACAGGGGATTCAGACATCCCTTCATGTTGTGAGATGAAAGACGAGCCTGTATTCAAGCCACTGCAAGGAAATACGGCCTCCTTTCAAGTTAGGACTTCTCGCTGTATATTCCCCTTGAGGCAGCAAACTCGGGGTCCCTCCCACATACCTATTGCTGAGAGAAGCCTCCTCCTGAGGTGCTTCTGGGAAGTTGGCATACGTCTTGAGCATAAGCCAGGGAATCAGCTCTCATCTCGAGACGATTTGGGGTACACGGAGCATTCCTCGAGTTGCTGTGCTGAAGTTGGTGTTCCTCTAGACTTGGGACAGTGTTCTCGGGGCATCTCTGGAGTTGCCTGAAGCAAGTCGAGCCACCGGTCGTGTTGAATGGGGAACGGGGAATGGCTCTGGAGTCAATGCAGGGGAATCGGGCCTCATCTCGAGTTGATTTGGGGCACATGGAACTGCTTTGCGTTGCTGGGGTGACCTCAGGGTCCGTCTAGACTGGTGACAGTGTTCTTGGGGACTGTCTCGAGATCCATTAAGCAAGTCAAAGCTCCTGACTTGTTTGAATGGGATCACGGAATAGCTCTGCATGCACTGCAGGGGAATGGGGCCTCATCTCGCCTCTAGGGGGAAGTCTCATGGTTTTTCTCGAGTTGCGGCGGGGACCTGGGGTATGTTCTCGACTTACGGCGGGGATGGCCCTTCAAGACACGAGTTTCTTCAGTGACGTCAGGACTCCTGTCTAGTAACGAGGGACAACTCAGGAATCTCTTCGAGGCTTGGCAGGGCAAAAGGGACGCTTCTCGAGGTGAGGCAGGGCACCCAAGGACCCTTTCCAGTAGCCACAGGGATTTTGGGATTCCTATCAGTATTCAAGAGGAGTCAGGCATCGTCACCTTTTGAAGCAATGAACTCCGCGTGCCTCTCGAGGTGTCAGCGCGATGTGAGGCATTCCGTCAAAATGAGGCAGGGACCTAGGGCTTTCTCTAAGGTCTCCACAGGGGATTCAGACATCCCTTCATGTTGTGAGATGAAAGACGAGCCTGTATTCAAGCCACTGCAAGGAAATCCGGCCTCCTTTCAAGTTAGGGCTTCTCGCTGTATATTCCCCTTGAGGCAGCAAACTCGGGGTCCCTCCCACATACCTATTGCTGAGAGAAGCCTCCTCCTGAGGTGCTTCTGGGAAGTTGGCATACGTCTTGAGCTTAAGCCAGGGAATCAGCTCGCATCTCGAGACGATTTGGGGTACACGGAGCATTCCTCGAGTTGCTGTGCTGAAGTTGGTGTTCCTCTAGACTTGGGACAGTGTTCTCGGGGCATCTCTGGAGTTGCCTGAAGGAAGTCGAGCCACCGGTCGTGTTGAATGGGGAACGGGGAATGGCTCTGGAGTCAATGCAGGGGAATCGGGCCTCATCTCGAGTTGATTTGGGGCACATGGAGCTGCTTTGCGTTGCTGGGGTGACCTCAGGGTACGTCTAGACTGGTGACAGTGTTCTTGGGGACTGTCTCGAGATCCATTAAGCAAGTCGAAGCTCCTGACTTGTTTGAATGGGATCACGGAATAGCTCTGCATGCACTGCAGGGGAATGGGGCCTCATCTCGCCTCTAGGGGGAAGTCTCATGGTTTTTCTCGAGTTGCGGCGGGGACCTGGGGTATGTTCTCGACTTACGGCGGGGATGGCCCTTCAAGACACGAGTTTCTTCAGTGACGTCAGGACTCCTGTCTAGTAACGAGGGACACCTCAGGAATCTCTTCGAGGCTTGGCAGGGCAAAAGGGACGCTTCTCGAGGTGAGGCAGGGCACCCAAGGACCCTTTCCAGTAGCCACAGGGATTTTGGGATTCCTATCAGTATTCAAGAGGAGTCAGGCATCGTCACCTTTTGAAGCAATGAACTCCGCGTGCCTCTCGAGGTGTCAGCGGGATGTGAGGCATTCCGTCAAAATGAGGCAGGGACCTAGGGCTTTCTCTAAGGTCTCCACAGGGGATTCAGACATCCCTTCATGTTGTGAGATGAAAGACGAGCCTGTATTCAAGCCACTGCAAGGAAATCCGGCCTCCTTTCAAGTTAGGGCTTCTCGCTGTATATTCCCCTTGAGGCAGCAAACTCGGGGTCCCTCCCACATACCTATTGCTGAGAGAAGCCTCCTCCTGAGGTGCTTCTGGGAAGTTGGCATACGTCTTGAGCCTAAGCCAGGGAATCAGCTCTCATCTCGAGACGATTTGGGGTACACGGAGCATTCCTCGAGTTGCTGTGCTGAAGTTGGTGTTCCTCTAGACTTGGGACAGTGTTCTCGGGGCATCTCTGGAGTTGCCTGAAGGAAGTCGAGCCACCGGTCGTGTTGAATGGGGAATGGGGAATGGCTCTGGAGTCAATGCAGGGGAATCGGGTCTCATCTCGAGTTGATTTCGGGCACATGGAGCTTCTTTGCGTTGCTGGGGTGACCTCAGGGTCCGTCTAGACTGGTGACAGTGTTCTTGGGGACTGTCTCGTGATCCATTAAGCAAGTCGAAGCTCCTGACTTGTTTGAATGGGGTCACGGAATAGCTCTGCATGCACTGCAGGGGAATGGGGCCTCATCTCGCCTCTAGGGGGAAGTCTCATGGTTTTTCTCGAGTTGCGGCGGGGACCTGGGGTATGTTCTCGACTTACGGCGGGGATGGCCCTTCAAAACACGAGTTTTTCAGTGACGTCAGGACTCCTGTCTAGTAACGAGGGACACGTCAGGAATCTCTTCGAGGCTTGGCAGGGCAAAAGGGACGCTTCTCGAGGTGAGGCAGGGCACCCAAGGACCCTTTCCAGTAGCCACAGGGATTTTGGGATTCCTATCAGTATTCAAGAGGAGTCAGGCATCGTCACCTTTTGAAGCAATGAACTCCGCGTGCCTCTCGAGGTGTCAGCGGGATGTGAGGCATTCCGTCAAAATGAGGCAGGGACCTAGGGCTTTCTCTAAGGTCTCCACAGGGGATTCAGACATCCCTTCATGTTGTGAGATGAAAGACGAGCCTGTATTCAAGCCACTGCAAGGAAATCGGGCCTCCTTTCAAGTTAGGGCTTCTCGCTGTATATTCCCCTTGAGGCAGCAAACTCGGGGTCCCTCCCACATACCTATTGCTGAGAGAAGCCTCCTCCTGAGGTGCTTCTGGGAAGTTGGCATACGTCTTGAGCCTAAGCCAGGGAATCAGCTCTCATCTCGAGACGATTTGGGGTACACGGAGCATTCCTCGAGTTGCTGTGCTGAAGTTGGTGTTCCTCTAGACTTGGGACAGTGTTCTCGGGGCATCTCTGGAGTTGCCTGAAGGAAGTCGAGCCACCGGTCGTGTTGAATGGGGAACGGGGAATGGCTCTGGAGTCAATGCAGGGGAATCGGGCCTCATCTCGAGTTGATTTGGGGCACATGGAGCTGCTTTGCGTTGCTGGGGTGACCTCAGGGTCCGTCTAGACTGGTGACAGTGTTCTTGGGGACTGTCTCGAGATCCATTAAGCAAGTCGAAGCTCCTGACTTGTTTGAATGGGATCACGGAATAGCTCTGCATGCACTGCAGGGGAATGGGGCCTCATCTCGCCTCTAGGGGGAAGTCTCATGGTTTTTCTCGAGTTGCGGCGGGGACCTGGGGTATGTTCTCGACTTACGGCGGGGATGGCACTTCAAGACACGAGTTTCTTCAGTGACGTCAGGACTCCTGTCTAGTAACGAGGGACACCTCAGGAATCTCTTCGAGGCTTGGCAGGGCAAAAGGGACGCTTCTCGAGGTGAGGCAGGGCACCCAAGGACCCTTTCCAGTAGCCACAGGGATTTTGGGATTCCTATCAGTATTCAAGAGGAGTCAGGCATCGTCACCTTTTGAAGCAATGAACTCCGCGTGCCTCTCGAGGTGTCATCGGGATGTGAGGCATTCCGTCAAAATGAGGCAGGGACCTAGGGCTTTCTCTAAGGTCTCCACAGGGGATTCAGACATCCCTTCATGTTGTGAGATGAAAGACGAGCCTGTATTCAAGCCACTGCAAGGAAATCGGGCCTCCTTTCAAGTTAGGGCTTCTCGCTGTATATTCCCCTTGAGGCAGCAAACTCGGGGTCCCTCCCACATACCTATTGCTGAGAGAAGCCTCCTCCTGAGGTGCTTCTGGGAAGTTGGCATACGTCTTGAGCCTAAGCCAGGGAATCAGCTCTCATCTCGAGACGATTTGGGGTACACGGAGCATTCCTCGAGTTGCTGTGCTGAAGTTGGTGTTCCTCTAGACTTGGGACAGTGTTCTCGGGGCATCTCTGGAGTTGCCTGAAGGAAGTCGAGCCACCGGTCGTGTTGATTGGGGAACGGGGAATGGCTCTGGAGTCAATGCAGGGGAATCGGGCCTCATCTCGAGTTGATTTGGGGCACATGGAGCTGCTTTGCGTTGCTGGGGTGACCTCAGGGTCCGTCTAGACTGGTGACAGTGTTCTTGGGGACTGTCTCGAGATCCATTAAGCAAGTCGAAGCTCCTGACTTGTTTGAATGGGATCACGGAATAGCTCTGCATGCACTGCAGGGGAATGGGGCCTCATCTCGCCTCTAGGGGGAAGTCTCATGGTTTTTCTCGAGTTGCGGCGGGGACCTGGGGTATGTTCTCGACTTACGGCGGGGATGGCCCTTCAAGACACGAGTTTCTTCAGTGACGTCAGGACTCCTGTCTAGTAACGAGGGACACCTCAGGAATCTCTTCGAGGCTTGGCAGGGCAAAAGGGACGCTTCTCGAGGTGAGGCAGGGCACCCAAGGACCCTTTCCAGTAGCCACAGGGATTTTGGGATTCCTATCAGTATTCAAGAGGAGTCAGGCATCGTCACCTTTTGAAGCAATGAACTCCGCGTGCCTCTCGAGGTGTCAGCGGGATGTGAGGCATTCCGTCAAAATGAGGCAGGGACCTAGGGCTTTCTCTAAGGTCTCCACAGGGGATTCAGACATCCCTTCATGTTGTGAGATGAAAGACGAGCCTGTATTCAAGCCACTGCAAGGAAATACGGCCTCCTTTCAAGTTAGGGCTTCTCGCTGTATATTCCCCTTGAGGCAGCAAACTCGGGGTCCCTCCCACATACCTATTGCTGAGAGAAGCCTCCTCCTGAGGTGCTTCTGGGAAGTTGGCATACGTCTTGAGCCTAAGCCAGGGAATCAGCTCGCATCTCGAGACGATTTGTGGTACACGGAGCATTCCTCGAGTTGCTGTGCTGAAGTTGGTGTTCCTCTAGACTTGGGACAGTGTTCTCGGGGCATCTCTGGAGTTGCCTGAAGGAAGTCGAGCCACCGGTCGTGTTGAATGGGGAACGGGGAATGGCTCTGGAGTCAATGCAGGGGAATCGGGCCTCATCTCGAGTTGATTTGGGGCACATGGAGCTTCTTTGCGTTGCTGGGGTGACCTCAGGGTCCGTCTAGACTGGTGACAGTGTTCTTGGGGACTGTCTCGTGATCCATTAAGCAAGTCGAAGCTCCTGACTTGTTTGAATGGGATCACGGAATAGCTCTGCATGCACTGCAGGGGAATGGGGCCTCATCTCGCCTCTAGGGGGAAGTCTCATGGTTTTTCTCGAGTTGCGGCGGGGACCTGGGGTATGTTCTCGACTTACGGCGGGGATGGCCCTTCAAAACACGAGTTTTTCAGTGACGTCAGGACTCCTGTCTAGTAACGAGGGACACCTCAGGAATCTGTTCGAGGCTTGGCAGGGCAAAAGGGACGCTTCTCGAGGTGAGGCAGGGCACCCAAGGACCCTTTCCAGTAGCCACAGGGATTTTGGGATTCCTATCAGTATTCAAGAGGAGTCAGGCATCGTCACCTTTTGAAGCAATGAACTCCGCGTGCCTCTCGAGGTGTCAGCGGGATGTGAGGCATTCCGTCAAAATGAGGCAGGGACCTAGGGCTTTCTCTAAGGTCTCCACAGGGGATTCAGACATCCCTTCATGTTGTGAGATGAAAGATGAGCCTGTATTCAAGCCACTGCAAGGAAATCCGGCCTCCTTTCAAGTTAGGGCTTCTCGCTGTATATTCCCCTTGAGGCAGCAAACTCGGGGTCCCTCCCACATACCTATTGCTGAGAGAAGCCTCCTCCTGAGGTGCTTCTGGGAAGTTGGCATACGTCTTGAGCCTAAGCCAGGGAATCAGCTCGCATCTCGAGACGATTTGGGGTACACGGAGCATTCCTCGAGTTGCTGTGCTGAAGTTGGTGTTCCTCTAGACTTGGGACAGTGTTCTCGGGGCATCTCTGGAGTTGCCTGAAGGAAGTCGAGCCACCGGTCGTGTTGAATGGGGAACGGGGAATGGCTCTGGAGTCAATGCAGGGGAATCGGGCCTCATCTCGAGTTGATTTGGGGCACATGGAGCTGCTTTGCGTTGCTGGGGTGACCTCAGGGTCCGTCTAGACTGGTGACAGTGTTCTTGGGGACTGTCTCGAGATCCATTAAGCAAGTCGAAGCTCCTGACTTGTTTGAATGGGATCACGGAATAGCTCTGCATGCACTGCAGGGGAATGGGGCCTCATCTCGCCTCTAGGGGGAAGTCTCATGGTTTTTCTCGAGTTGCGGCGGGGACCTGGGGTATGTTCTCGACTTACGGCGGGGATGGCCCTTCAAGACACGAGTTTCTTCAGTGACGTCAGGACTCCTGTCTAGTAACGAGGGACACCTCAGGAATCTCTTCGAGGCTTGGCAGGGCAAAAGGGACGCTTCTCGAGGTGAGGCAGGGCACCCAAGGACCCTTTCCAGTAGCCACAGGGATTTTGGGATTCCTATCAGTATTCAAGAGGAGTCAGGCATCGTCACCTTTTGAAGCAATGAACTCCGCGTGCCTCTCGAGGTGTCAGCGGGATGTGAGGCATTCCGTCAAAAAGAGGCAGGGACCTAGGGCTTTCTCTAAGGTCTCCACAGGGGATTCAGACATCCCTTCATGTTGTGAGATGAAAGATGAGCCTGTATTCAAGCCACTGCAAGGAAATCCGGCCTCCTTTCAAGTTAGGGCTTCTCGCTGTATATTCCCCTTGAGGCAGCAAACTCGGGGTCCCTCCCACATACCTATTGCTGAGAGAAGCCTCCTCCTGAGGTGCTTCTGGGAAGTTGGCATACGTCTTGAGCCTAAGCCAGGGAATCAGCTCGCATCTCGAGACGTTTTGGGGTACACGGAGCATTCCTCGAGTTGCTGTGCTGAAGTTGGTGTTCCTCTAGACTTGGGACAGTGTTCTCGGGGCATCTCTGGAGTTGCCTGAAGGAAGTCGAGCCACCGGTCGTGTTGAATGGGGAACGGGGAATGGCTCTGGAGTCAATGCAGGGGAATCGGGCCTCATCTCGAGTTGATTTGGGGCACATGGAGCTGCTTTGCGTTGCTGGGGTGACCTCAGGGTCCGTCTAGACTGGTGACAGTGTTCTTGGGGACTGTCTCGAGATCCATTAAGCAAGTCGAAGCTCCTGACTTGTTTGAATGGGATCACGGAATAGCTCTGCATGCACTGCAGGGGAATGGGGCCTCATCTCGCCTCTAGGGGGAAGTCTCATGGTTTTTCTCGAGTTGCGGCGGGGACCTGGGGTATGTTCTCGACTTACGGCGGGGATGGCCCTTCAAAACACGAGTTTTTCAGTGACGTCAGGACTCCTGTCTAGTAACGAGGGACACCTCAGGAATCTCTTCGAGGCTTGGCAGGGCAAAAGGGACGCTTCTCGAGGTGAGGCAGGGCACCCAAGGACCCTTTCCAGTAGCCACAGGGATTTTGGGATTCCTATCAGTGTTCAAGAGGAGTCAGGCATCGTCACCTTTTGAAGCAATGAACTCCGCGTGCCTCTCGAGGTGTCAGCGGGATGTGAGGCATTCCGTCAAAATGAGGCAGGGACCTAGGGCTTTCTCTAAGGTCTCCACAGGGGATTCAGACATCCCTTCATGTTGTGAGATGAAAGACGAGCCTGTATTCAAGCCACTGCAAGGAAATCCGGCCTCCTTTCAAGTTAGGGCTTCTCGCTGTATATTCCCCTTGAGGCAGCAAACTCGGGGTCCCTCCCACATACCTATTGCTGAGAGAAGCCTCCTCCTGAGGTGCTTCTGGGAAGTTGGCATACGTCTTGAGCCTAAGCCAGGGAATCAGCTCGCATCTCGAGACGATTTGGGGTACACGGAGCATTCCTCGAGTTGCTGTGCTGAAGTTGGTGTTCCTCTAGACTTGGGACAGTGTTCTCGGGGCATCTCTGGAGTTGCCTGAAGGAAGTCGAGCCACCGGTCGTGTTGAATGGGGAACGGGGAATGGCTCTGGAGTCAATGCAGGGGAATCGGGCCTCATCTCGAGTTGATTTGGGGCACATGGAGCTTCTTTGCGTTGCTGGGGTGACCTCAGGGTCCGTCAAGACTGGTGACAGTGTTCTTGGGGACTGTCTCGTGATCCATTAATCAAGTCGAAGCTCCTGACTTGTTTGAATGGGATCACGGAATAGCTCTGCATGCACTGCAGGGGAATGGGGCCTCATCTCGCCTCTAGGGGGAAGTCTCATGGTTTTTCTCGAGTTGCGGCGGGGACCTGGGGTATGTTCTCGACTTACGGCGGGGATGGCCCTTCAAAACACGAGTTTTTCAGTGACGTCAGGACTCCTGTCTAGTAACGAGGGACACCTCAGGAATCTCTTCGAGGCTTGGCAGGGCAAAAGGGACGCTTCTCGAGGTGAGGCAGGGCACCCAAGGACCCTTTCCAGTAGCCACAGGGATTTTGGGATTCCTATCAGTATTCAAGAGGAGTCAGGCATCGTCACCTTTTGAAGCAATGAACTCCGCGTGCCTCTCGAGGTGTCAGCGGGATGTGAGGCATTCCGTCAAAATGAGGCAGGGACCTAGGGCTTTCTCTAAGGTCTCCACAGGGGATTCAGACATCCCTTCATGTTGTGAGATGAAAGATGAGCCTGTATTCAAGCCACTGCAAGGAAATCCGGCCTCCTTTCAAGTTAGGGCTTCTCGCTGTATATTCCCCTTGAGGCAGCAAACTCGGGGTCCCTCCCACATACCTATTGCTGAGAGAAGCCTCCTCCTGAGGTGCTTCTGGGAAGTTGGCATACGTCTTGAGCCTAAGCCAGGGAATCAGCTCGCATCTCGAGACGATTTGGGGTACACGGAGCATTCCTCGAGTTGCTGTGCTGAAGTTGGTGTTCCTCTAGACTTGGGACAGTGTTCTCGGGGCATCTCTGGAGTTGCCTGAAGGAAGTCGAGCCACCGGTCGTGTTGAATGGGGAACGGGGAATGGCTCTGGAGTCAATGCAGGGGAATCGGGCCTCATCTCGAGTTGATTTGGGGCACATGGAGCTGCTTTGCGTTGCTGGGGTGACCTCAGGGTCCGTCTAGACTGGTGACAGTGTTCTTGGGGACTGTCTCGAGATCCATTAAGCAAGTCGAAGCTCCTGACTTGTTTGAATGGGATCACGGAATAGCTCTGCATGCACTGCAGGGGAATGGGGCCTCATCTCGCCTCTAGGGGGAAGTCTCATGGTTTTTCTCGAGTTGCGGCGGGGACCTGGGGTATGTTCTCGACTTACGGCGGGGATGGCCCTTCAAAACACGAGTTTTTCAGTGACGTCAGGACTCCTGTCTAGTAACGAGGGACACGTCAGGAATCTCTTCGAGGCTTGGCAGGGCAAAAGGGACGCTTCTCGAGGTGAGGCAGGGCACCCAAGGACCCTTTCCAGTAGCCACAGGGATTTTGGGATTCCTATCAGTATTCAAGAGGAGTCAGGCATCGTCACCTTTTGAAGCAATGAACTCCGCGTGCCTCTCGAGGTGTCAGCGGGATGTGAGGCATTCCGTCAAAATGAGGCAGGGACCTAGGGCTTTGTCTAAGGTCTCCACAGGGGATTCAGACATCCCTTCATGTTGTGAGATGAAAGACGAGCCTGTATTCAAGCCACTGCAAGGAAATCGGGCCTCCTTTCAAGTTAGGGCTTCTCGCTGTATATTCCCCTTGAGGCAGCAAACTCGGGGTCCCTCCCACATACCTATTGCTGAGAGAAGCCTCCTCCTGAGGTGCTTCTGGGAAGTTGGCATACGTCTTGAGCCTAAGCCAGGGAATCAGCTCTCATCTCGAGACGATTTGGGGTGCACGGAGCATTCCTCGAGTTGCTGTGCTGAAGTTGGTGTTCCTCTAGACTTGGGACAGTGTTCTCGGGGCATCTCTGGAGTTGCCTGAAGGAAGTCGAGCCACCGGTCGTGTTGAATGGGGAACGGGGAATGGCTCTGGAGTCAATGCAGGGGAATCGGGCCTCATCTCGAGTTGATTTGGGGCACATGGAGCTGCTTTGCGTTGCTGGGGTGACCTCAGGGTCCGTCTAGACTGGTGACAGTGTTCTTGGGGACTGTCTCGAGATCCATTAAGCAAGTCGAAGCTCCTGACTTGTTTGAATGGGATCACGGAATAGCTCTGCATGCACTGCAGGGGAATGGGGCCTCATCTCGCCTCTAGGGGGAAGTCTCATGGTTTTTCTCGAGTTGCGGCGGGGACCTGGGGTATGTTCTCGACTTACGGCGGGGATGGCCCTTCAAGACACGAGTTTCTTCAGTGACGTCAGGACTCCTGTCTAGTAACGAGGGACACCTCAGGAATCTCTTCGAGGCTTGGCAGGGCAAAAGGGACGCTTCTCGAGGTGAGGCAGGGCACCCAAGGACCCTTTCCAGTAGCCACAGGGATTTTGGGATTCCTATCAGTATTCAAGAGGAGTCAGGCATCGTCACCTTTTGAAGCAATGAACTCCGCGTGCCTCTCGAGGTGTCAGCGGGATGTGAGGCATTCCGTCAAAATGAGGCAGGGACCTAGGGCTTTCTCTAAGGTCTCCACAGGGGATTCAGACATCCCTTCATGTTGTGAGATGAAAGACGAGCCTGTATTCAAGCCACTGCAAGGAAATCGGGCCTCCTTTCAAGTTAGGGCTTCTCGCTGTATATTCCCCTTGAGGCAGCAAACTCGGGGTCCCTCCCACATACCTATTGCTGAGAGAAGCCTCCTCCTGAGGTGCTTCTGGGAAGTTGGCATACGTCTTGAGCCTAAGCCAGGGAATCAGCTCTCATCTCGAGACGATTTGGGGTACACGGAGCATTCCTCGAGTTGCTGTGCTGAAGTTGGTGTTCCTCTAGACTTGGGACAGTGTTCTCGGGGCATCTCTGGAGTTGCCTGAAGGAAGTCGAGCCACCGGTCGTGTTGAATGGGGAACGGGGAATGGCTCTGGAGTCAATGCAGGGGAATCGGGCCTCATCTCGAGTTGATTTGGGGCACATGGAGCTGCTTTGCGTTGCTGGGGTGACCTCAGGGTCCGTCTAGACTGGTGACAGTGTTCTTGGGGACTGTCTCGAGATCCATTAAGCAAGTCGAAGCTCCTGACTTGTTTGAATGGGATCACGGAATAGCTCTGCATGCACTGCAGGGGAATGGGGCCTCATCTCACCTCTAGGGGGAAGTCTCATGGTTTTTCTCGAGTTGCGGCGGGGACCTGGGGTATGTTCTCGACTTACGGCGGGGATGGCCCTTCAAGACACGAGTTTCTTCAGTGACGTCAGGACTCCTGTCTAGTAACGAGGGACACCTCAGGAATCTCTTCGAGGCTTGGCAGGGCAAAAGGGACGCTTCTCGAGGTGAGGCAGGGCACCCAAGGACCCTTTCCAGTAGCCACAGGGATTTTGGGATTCCTATCAGTATTCAAGAGGAGTCAGGCATCGTCACCTTTTGAAGCAATGAACTCCGCGTGCCTCTCGAGGTGTCAGCGGGATGTGAGGCATTCCGTCAAAATGAGGCAGGGACCTAGGGCTTTCTCTAAGGTCTCCACAGGGGATTCAGACATCCCTTCATGTTGTGAGATGAAAGACGAGCCTGTATTCAAGCCACTGCAAGGAAATACGGCCTCCTTTCAAGTTAGGGCTTCTCGCTGTATATTCCCCTTGAGGCAGCAAACTCGGGGTCCCTCCCACATACCTATTGCTGAGAGAAGCCTCCTCCTGAGGTGCTTCTGGGAAGTTGGCATACGTCTTGAGCCTAAGCCAGGGAATCAGCTCGCATCTCGAGACGATTTGGGGTACACGGAGCATTCCTCGAGTTGCTGTGCTGAAGTTGGTGTTCCTCTAGACTTGGGACAGTGTTCTCGGGGCATCTCTGGAGTTGCCTGAAGGAAGTCGAGCCACCGGTCGTGTTGAATGGGGAACGGGGAATGGCTCTGGAGTCAATGCAGGGGAATCGGGCCTCATCTCGAGTTGATTTGGGGCACATGGAGCTTCTTTGCGTTGCTGGGGTGACCTCAGGGTCCGTCTAGACTGGTGACAGTGTTCTTGGGGACTGTCTCGTGATCCATTAAGCAAGTCGAAGCTCCTGACTTGTTTGAATGGGATCACGGAATAGCTCTGCATGCACTGCAGGGGAATGGGGCCTCATCTCGCCTCTAGGGGGAAGTCTCATGGTTTTTCTCGAGTTGCGGCGGGGACCTGGGGTATGTTCTCGACTTACGGCGGGGATGGCCCTTCAAAACACGAGTTTCTTCAGTGACGTCAGGACTCCTGTCTAGTAACGAGGGACACCTCAGGAATCTCTTCGAGGCTTGGCAGGGCAAAAGGGACGCTTCTCGAGGTGAGGCAGGGCACCCAAGGACCCTTTCCAGTAGCCACAGGGATTTTGGGATTCCTATCAGTATTCAAGAGGAGTCAGGCATCGTCACCTTTTGAAGCAATGAACTCCGCGTGCCTCTCGAGGTGTCAGCGGGATGTGAGGCATTCCGTCAAAATGAGGCAGGGACCTAGGGCTTTCTCTAAGGTCTCCACAGGGGATTCAGACATCCCTTCATGTTGTGAGATGAAAGATGAGCCTGTATTCAAGCCACTGCAAGGAAATCCGGCCTCCTTTCAAGTTAGGGCTTCTCGCTGTATATTCCCCTTGAGGCAGCAAACTCGGGGTCCCTCCCACATACCTATTGCTGAGAGAAGCCTCCTCCTGAGGTGCTTCTGGGAAGTTGGCATACGTCTTGAGCCTAAGCCAGGGAATCAGCTCGCATCTCGAGACGATTTGGGGTACACGGAGCATTCCTCGAGTTGCTGTGCTGAAGTTGGTGTTCCTCTAGACTTGGGACAGTGTTCTCGGGGCATCTCTGGAGTTGCCTGAAGGAAGTCGAGCCACCGGTCGTGTTGAATGGGGAACGGGGAATGGCTCTGGAGTCAATGCAGGGGAATCGGGCCTCATCTCGAGTTGATTTGGGGCACATGGAGCTGCTTTGCGTTGCTGGGGTGACCTCAGGGTCCGTCTAGACTGGTGACAGTGTTCTTGGGGACTGTCTCGAGATCCATTAAGCAAGTCGAAGCTCCTGACTTGTTTGAATGGGATCACGGAATAGCTCTGCATGCACTGCAGGGGAATGGGGCCTCATCTCGCCTCTAGGGGGAAGTCTCATGGTTTTTCTCGAGTTGCGGCGGGGACCTGGGGTATGTTCTCGACTTACGGCGGGGATGGCCCTTCAAGACACGAGTTTCTTCAGTGACGTCAGGACTCCTGTCTAGTAACGAGGGACACCTCAGGAATCTCTTCGAGGCTTGGCAGGGCAAAAGGGACGCTTCTCGAGGTGAGGCAGGGCACCCAAGGACCCTTTCCAGTAGCCACAGGGATTTTGGGATTCCTATCAGTATTCAAGAGGAGTCAGGCATCGTCACCTTTTGAAGCAATGAACTCCGCGTGCCTCTCGAGGTGTCAGCGGGATGTGAGGCATTCCGTCAAAATGAGGCAGGGACCTAGGGCTTTCTCTAAGGTCTCCACAGGGGATTCAGACATCCCTTCATGTTGTGAGATGAAAGACGAGCCTGTATTCAAGCCACTGCAAGGAAATCCGGCCTCCTTTCAAGTTAGGGCTTCTCGCTGTATATTCCCCTTGAGGCAGCAAACTCGGGGTCCCTCCCACATACCTATTGCTGAGAGAAGCCTCCTCCTGAGGTGCTTCTGGGAAGTTGGCATACGTCTTGAGCCTAAGCCAGGGAATCAGCTCGCATCTCGAGACGATTTGGGGTACACGGAGCATTCCTCGAGTTGCTGTGCTGAAGTTGGTGTTCCTCTAGACTTGGGACAGTGTTCTCGGGGCATCTCTGGAGTTGCCTGAAGGAAGTCGAGCCACCGGTCGTGTTGAATGGGGAACGGGGAATGGCTCTGGAGTCAATGCAGGGGAATCGGGCCTCATCTCGAGTTGATTTGGGGCACATGGAGCTTCTTTGCGTTGCTGGGGTGACCTCAGGGTCCGTCTAGACTGGTGACAGTGTTCTTGGGGACTGTCTCGTGATCCATTAATCAAGTCGAAGCTCCTGACTTGTTTGAATGGGATCACGGAATAGCTCTGCATGCACTGCAGGGGAATGGGGCCTCATCTCGCCTCTAGGGGGAAGTCTCATGGTTTTTCTCGAGTTGCGGCGGGGACCTGGGGTATGTTCTCGACTTACGGCGGGGATGGCCCTTCAAAACACGAGTTTTTCAGTGACGTCAGGACTCCTGTCTAGTAACGAGGGACACCTCAGGAATCTCTTCGAGGCTTGGCAGGGCAAAAGGGACGCTTCTCGAGGTGAGGCAGGGCACCCAAGGACCCTTTCCAGTAGCCACAGGGATTTTGGGATTCCTATCAGTATTCAAGAGGAGTCAGGCATCGTCACCTTTTGAAGCAATGAACTCCGCGTGCCTCTCGAGGTGTCAGCGGGATGTGAGGCATTCCGTCAAAATGAGGCAGGGACCTAGGGCTTTCTCTAAGGTCTCCACAGGGGATTCAGACATCCCTTCATGTTGTGAGATGAAAGATGAGCCTGTATTCAAGCCACTGCAAGGAAATCCGGCCTCCTTTCAAGTTAGGGCTTCTCGCTGTATATTCCCCTTGAGGCAGCAAACTCGGGGTCCCTCCCACATACCTATTGCTGAGAGAAGCCTCCTCCTGAGGTGCTTCTGGGAAGTTGGCATACGTCTTGAGCCTAAGCCAGGGAATCAGCTCGCATCTCGAGACGATTTGGGGTACACGGAGCATTCCTCGAGTTGCTGTGCTGAAGTTGGTGTTCCTCTAGACTTGGGACAGTGTTCTCGGGGCATCTCTGGAGTTGCCTGAAGGAAGTCGAGCCACCGGTCGTGTTGAATGGGGAACGGGGAATGGCTCTGGAGTCAATGCAGGGGAATCGGGCCTCATCTCGAGTTGATTTGGGGCACATGGAGCTGCTTTGCGTTGCTGGGGTGACCTCAGGGTCCGTCTAGACTGGTGACAGTGTTCTTGGGGACTGTCTCGAGATCCATTAAGCAAGTCGAAGCTCCTGACTTGTTTGAATGGGATCACGGAATAGCTCTGCATGCACTGCAGGGGAATGGGGCCTCATCTCGCCTCTAGGGGGAAGTCTCATGGTTTTTCTCGAGTTGCGGCGGGGACCTGGGGTATGTTCTCGACTTACGGCGGGGATGGCCCTTCAAAACACGAGTTTTTCAGTGACGTCAGGGCTCCTGTCTAGTAACGAGGGACACCTCAGGAATCTCTTCGAGGCTTGGCAGGGCAAAAGGGACGCTTCTCGAGGTGAGGCAGGGCACCCAAGGACCCTTTCCAGTAGCCACAGGGATTTTGGGATTCCTATCAGTATTCAAGAGGAGTCAGGCATCGTCACCTTTTGAAGCAATGAACTCCGCGTGCCTCTCGAGGTGTCAGCGGGATGTGAGGCATTCCGTCAAAATGAGGCAGGGACCTAGGGCTTTCTCTAAGGTCTCCACAGGGGATTCAGACATCCCTTCATGTTGTGAGATGAAAGATGAGCCTGTATTCAAGCCACTGCAAGGAAATCCGGCCTCCTTTCAAGTTAGGGCTTCTCGCTGTATATTCCCCTTGAGGCAGCAAACTCGGGGTCCCTCCCACATACCTATTGCTGAGAGAAGCCTCCTCCTGAGGTGCTTCTGGGAAGTTGGCATACGTCTTGAGCCTAAGCCAGGGAATCAGCTCGCATCTCGAGACGATTTGGGGTACACGGAGCATTCCTCGAGTTGCTGTGCTGAAGTTGGTGTTCCTCTAGACTTGGGACAGTGTTCTCGGGGCATCTCTGGAGTTGCCTGAAGGAAGTCGAGCCACCGGTCGTGTTGAATGGGGAACGGGGAATGGCTCTGGAGTCAATGCAGGGGAATCGGGCCTCATCTCGAGTTGATTTGGGGCACATGGAGCTGCTTTGCGTTGCTGGGGTGACCTCAGGGTCCGTCTAGACTGGTGACAGTGTTCTTGGGGACTGTCTCGAGATCCATTAAGCAAGTCGAAGCTCCTGACTTGTTTGAATGGGATCACGGAATAGCTCTGCATGCACTGCAGGGGAATGGGGCCTCATCTCGCCTCTAGGGGGAAGTCTCATGGTTTTTCTCGAGTTGCGGCGGGGACCTGGGGTATGTTCTCGACTTACGGCGGGGATGGCCCTTCAAAACACGAGTTTCTTCAGTGACGTCAGGACTCCTGTCTAGTAACGAGGGACACCTCAGGAATCTCTTCGAGGCTTGGCAGGGCAAAAGGGACGCTTCTCGAGGTGAGGCAGGGCACCCAAGGACCCTTTCCAGTAGCCACAGGGATTTTGGGATTCCTATCAGTATTCAAGAGGAGTCAGGCATCATCACCTTTTGAAGCAATGAACTCCGCGTGCCTCTCGAGGTGTCAGCGGGATGTGAGGCATTCCGTCAAAATGAGGCAGGGACCTAGGGCTTTCTCTAAGGGCTCCACAGGGGATTCAGACATCCCTTCATGTTGTGAGATGAAAGACGAGCCTGTATTCAATCCACTGCAAGGAAATCCGGCCTCCTTTCAAGTTAGGGCTCCTCGCTGTATATTCCCCTTGAGGCAGCAAACTCGGGGTCCCTCCCACATACCTATTGCTGAGAGAAGCCTCCTCCTGAGGTGCTTCTCGGAAGTTGGCATACGTCTTGAGCCTAAGCCAGGGAATCAGCTCGCATCTCGAGACGATTTGGGGTACACGGAGCATTCCTCGAGTTGCTGTGCTAAGGTTGGTGTTCCTCTAGACTTGGGACAGTGTTCTCGGGGCATCTCTGGAGTTGCCTGAAGGAAGTCGAGCCACCGGTCGTGTTGAATGGGGAACGGGGAATGGCTCTGGAGTCAATGCAGGGGAATCGGGTCTCATCTCGCGTTGATTTGGGGCACATTGAGCTTCTTTTCGTTGCTGGGGTGACCTCAGGGTCCGTCTAGACTGGTGACAGTGTTCTTGGGGACTGTCTCGTGATCCATTAAGCAAGTCGAAGCTCCTGACTTGTTTGAATGGGGTCACGGAATAGCTCTGCATGCACTGCAGGGGAATGGGGCCACATCTCGCCTCTAGGGGGAAGTCTCATGGTTTTTCTCGAGTTGCGGCGGGGACCTGGGTTATGTTCTCGACTTACGGCGGGGATGGCCCTTCAAAACACGAGTTTTTCAGTGACGTCAGGACTCCTGTCTAGTAACGAGGGACACCTCAGGAATCTCTTCGAGGCTTGGCAGGGCAAAAGGGACGCTTCTCGAGGTGAGGCAGGGCACCCAAGGACCCTTTCCAGTAGCCACAGAGATTTTGGGATTCCTATCAGTATTCAAGAGGAGTCAGGCATCGTCACCTTTTGAAGCAATGAACTCCGCGTGCCTCTCGAGGTGTCAGCGGGATGTGAGGCATTCCGTCAAAATGAGGCAGGGACCTACGGCTTTCTCTAAGGTCTCCACAGGGGATTCAGACATCCCTTCATGTTGTGAGATGAAAGACGAGCCTGTATTCAAGCCACTGCAAGGAAATCCGGCCTCCTTTCAAGTTAGGGCTTCTCGCTGTATATTCCCCTTGAGGCAGCAAACTCGGGGTCCCTCCCACATACCTATTGCTGAGAGAAGCCTCCTCCTGAGGTGCTTCTGGGAAGTTGGCATACGTCTTGAGCCTAAGCCAGGGAATCAGCTCTCATCTCGAGACGATTTGGGGTACACGGAGCATTCCTCGAGTTGCTGTGCTGAAGTTGGTGTTCCTCTAGACTTGGGACAGTGTTCTCGGGGCATCTCTGGAGTTGCCTGAAGGAAGTCGAGCCACCGGTCGTGTTGAATGGGGAACGGGGAATGGCTCTGGAGTCAATGCAGGGGAATCGGGCCTCATCTCGAGTTGATTTGGGGCACATGGAGCTGCTTTGCGTTGCTGGGGTGACCTCAGGGTCCGTCTAGACTGGTGACAGTGTTCTTGGGGACTGTCTCGAGATCCATTAAGCAAGTCGAAGCTCCTGACTTGTTTGAATGGGATCACGGAATAGCTCTGCATGCACTGCAGGGGAATGGGGCCGCATCTCGCCTCTAGGGGGAAGTCTCATGGTTTTTCTCGAGTTGCGGCGGGGACCTGGGGTATGTTCTCGACTTACGGCGGGGATGGCCCTTCAAAACACGAGTTTCTTCAGTGACGTCAGGACTCCTGTCTAGTAACGAGGGACACCTCAGGAATCTCTTCGAGGCTTGGCAGGGCAAAAGGGACGCTTCTCGAGGTGAGGCAGGGCACCCAAGGACCCTTTCCAGTAGCCATAGGGATTTTGGGATTCCTATCAGTATTCAAGAGGAGTCAGGCATCGTCACCTTTTGAAGCAATGAACTCCGCGTGCCTCTCGAGGTGTCAGCGGGATGTGAGGCATTCCGTCAAAATGAGGCAGGGACCTAGGGCTTTCTCTAAGGTCTCCACAGGGGATTCAGACATCCCTTCATGTTGTGAGATGAAAGATGAGCCTGTATTCAAGCCACTGCAAGGAAATCCGGCCTCCTTTCAAGTTAGGGCTTCTCGCTGTATATTCTCCTTGAGGCAGCAAACTCGGGGTCCCTCCCACATACCTATTGCTGAGAGAAGCCTCCTCCTGAGGTGCTTCTGGGAAGTTGGCATACGTCTTGAGCCTAAGCCAGGGAATCAGCTCGCATCTCGAGACGATTTGGGGTACACGGAGCATTCCTCGAGTTGCTGTGCTGAAGTTGGTGTTCCTCTAGACTTGGGACAGTGTTCTCGGGGCATCTCTGGAGTTGCCTGAAGGAAGTCGAGCCACCGGTCGTGTTGAATGGGGAACGGGGAATGGCTCTGGAGTCAATGCAGGGGAATCGGGCCTCATCTCGAGTTGATTTGGGGCACATGGAGCTGCTTTGCGTTGCTGGGGTGACCTCAGGGTCCGTCTAGACTGGTGACAGTGTTCTTGGGGACTGTCTCGAGATCCATTAAGCAAGTCGAAGCTCCTGACTTGTTTGAATGGGATCACGGAATAGCTCTGCATGCACTGCAGGGGAATGGGGCCTCATCTCGCCTCTAGGGGGAAGTCTCATGGTTTTTCTCGAGTTGCGGCGGGGACCTGGGGTATGTTCTCGACTTACGGCGGGGATGGCCCTTCAAAACACGAGTTTCTTCAGTGACGTCAGGACTCCTGTCTAGTAACGAGGGACACCTCAGGAATCTCTTCGAGGCTTGGCAGGGCAAAAGGGACGCTTCTCGAGGTGAGGCAGGGCACCCAAGGACCCTTTCCAGTAGCCACAGGGATTTTGGGATTCCTATCAGTATTCAAGAGGAGTCAGGCATCATCACCTTTTGAAGCAATGAACTCCGCGTGCCTCTCGAGGTGTCAGCGGGATGTGAGGCATTCCTTAAAAATGAGGCAGGGACCTAGGGCTTTCTCTAAGGGCTCCACAGGGGATTCAGACATCCCTTCATGTTGTGAGATGAAAGACGAGCCTGTATTCAATCCACTGCAAGGAAATCCGGCCTCCTTTCAAGTTAGGGCTTCTCGCTGTATATTCCCCTTGAGGCAGCAAACTCGGGGTCCCTCCCACATACCTATTGCTGAGAGAAGCCTCCTCCTGAGGTGCTTCTGGGAAGTTGGCATACGTCTTGAGCCTAAGCCAGGGAATCAGCTCGCATCTCGAGACGATTTGGGGTACACGGAGCATTCCTCGAGTTGCTGTGCTGAAGTTGGTGTTCCTCTAGACTTGGGACAGTGTTCTCGGGGCATCTCTGGAGTTGCCTGAAGGAAGTCGAGCCACCGGTCGTGTTGAATGGGGAACGGGGAATGGCTCTGGAGTCAATGCAGGGGAATCGGGTCTCATCTCGCGTTGATTTGGGGCACATTGAGCTTCTTTTCGTTGCTGGGGTGACCTCAGGGTCCGTCTAGACTGGTGACAGTGTTCTTGGGGACTGTCTCGTGATCCATTAAGCAAGTCGAAGCTCCTGACTTGTTTGAATGGGGTCACGGAATAGCTCTGCATGCACTGCAGGGGAATGGGGCCACATCTCGCCTCTAGGGGGAAGTCTCATGGTTTTTCTCGAGTTGCGGCGGGGACCTGGGTTATGTTCTCGACTTACGGCGGGGATGGCCCTTCAAAACACGAGTTTTTCAGTGACGTCAGGACTCCTGTCTAGTAACGAGGGACACCTCAGGAATCTCTTCGAGGCTTGGCAGGGCAAAAGGGACGCTTCTCGAGGTGAGGCAGGGCACCCAAGGACCCTTTCCAGTAGCCACAGAGATTTTGGGATTCCTATCAGTATTCAAGAGGAGTCAGGCATCGTCACCTTTTGAAGCAATGAACTCCGCGTGCCTCTCGAGGTGTCAGCGGGATGTGAGGCATTCCGTCAAAATGAGGCAGGGACCTAGGGCTTTCTCTAAGGTCTCCACAGGGGATTCAGACATCCCTTCATGTTGTGAGATGAAAGATGAGCCTGTATTCAAGCCACTGCAAGGAAATCCGGCCTCCTTTCAAGTTAGGGCTTCTCGCTGTATATTCCCCTTGAGGCAGCAAACTCGGGGTCCCTCCCACATACCTATTGCTGAGAGAAGCCTCCTCCTGAGGTGCTTCTGGGAAGTTGGCATACGTCTTGAACCTAAGCCAGGGAATCAGCTCTCATCTCGAGACGATTTGGGGTACACGGAGCATTCCTCGAGTTGCTGTGCTGAAGTTGGTGTTCCTCTAGACTTGGGACAGTGTTCTCGGGGCATCTCTGGAGTTGCCTGAAGGAAGTCGAGCCACCGGTCGTGTTGAATGGGGAACGGGGAATGGCTCTGGAGTCAATGCAGGGGAATCGGGCCTCATCTCGAGTTGATTTGGGGCACATGGAGCTGCTTTGCGTTGCTGGGGTGACCTCAGGGTCCGTCTAGACTGGTGACAGTGTTCTTGGGGACTGTCTCGAGATCCATTAAGCAAGTCGAAGCTCCTGACTTGTTTGAATGGGATCACGGAATAGCTCTCCATGCACTGCAAGGGAATGGGGCCGCATCTCGCCTCTAGGGGGAAGTCTCATGGTTTTTCTCGAGTTGCGGCGGGGACCTGGGGTATGTTCTCGACTTACGGCGGGGATGGCCCTTCAAAACACGAGTTTCTTCAGTGACGTCAGGACTCCTGTCTAGTAACGAGGGACACCTCAGGAATCTCTTCGAGGCTTGGCAGGGCAAAAGGGACGCTTCTCGAGGTGAGGCAGGGCACCCAAGGACCCTTTCCAGTAGCCATAGGGATTTTGGGATTCCTATCAGTATTCAAGAGGAGTCAGGCATCGTCACCTTTTGAAGCAATGAACTCCGCGTGCCTCTCGAGGTGTCAGCGGGATGTGAGGCATTCCGTCAAAATGAGGCAGGGACCTAGGGCTTTCTCTAAGGTCTTCACAGGGGATTCAGACATCCCTTCATGTTGTGAGATGAAAGACGAGCCTGTATTCAAGCCACTGCAAGGAAATCCGGCCTCCTTTCAAGTTAGGGCTTCTCGCTGTATATTCCCCTTGAGGCAGCAAACTCGGGGTCCCTCCCACATACCTATTGCTGAGAGAAGCATCCTCCTGAGGTGCTTCTGGGAAGTTGGCATACGTCTTGAGCCTAAGCCAGGGAATCAGCTCTCATCTCGAGACGATTTGGGGTACACGGAGCATTCCTCGAGTTGCTGTGCTAAAGTTGGTGTTCCTCTAGACTTGGGACAGTGTTCTCGGGGCATCTCTGGAGTTGCCTGAAGGAAGTCGAGCCACCGGTCGTGTTGAATGGGGAACGGGGAATGGCTCTGGAGTCAATGCAGGGGAATCGGGCCTCATCTCGAGTTGATTTGGGGCACATGGAGCTTCTTTGCGTTGCTGGGGTGACCTCAGGGTCCGTCTAGACTGGTGACAGTGTTCTTGGGGACTGTCTCGAGATCCATTAAGCAAGTCGAAGCTCCTGACTTGTTTGAATGGGATCACGGAATAGCTCTGCATGCACTGCAGGGGAATGGGGCCTCATCTCGCCTCTAGGGGGAAGTTTCATGGTTTTTCTCGAGTTGCGGCGGGGACCTGGGGTATGTTCTCGACTTACGGCGGGGATGGCCCTTCAAAACACGAGTTTCTTCAGGGACGTCAGGACTCCTGTCTAGTAACGAGGGACACCTCAGGAATCTCTTCGAGGCTTGGCAGGGCAAAAGGGACGCTTCTCGAGGTGAGGCAGGGCACCCAAGGACCCTTTCCAGTAGCCACAGGGATTTTGGGATTCCTATCAGTATTCAAGAGGAGTCAGGCATCATCACCTTTTGAAGCAATGAACTCCGCGTGCCTCTCGAGGTGTCAGCGGGATGTGAGGCATTCCGTCAAAATGAGGCAGGGACCTAGGGCTTTCTCTAAGGTCTCCACAGGGGATTCAGACATCCCTTCATGTTGTGAGATGAAAGACGAGCCTGTATTCAAGCCACTGCAAGGAAATCCGGCCTCCTTTCAAGTTAGGGCTTCTCGCTGTATATTCCCCTTGAGGCAGCAAACTCGGGGTCCCTCCCACATACCTATTGCTGAGAGAAGCCTCCTCCTGAGGTGCTTCTGGGAAGTTGGCATACGTCTTGAGCCTAAGCCAGGGAATCAGCTCTCATCTCGAGACGATTTGGGGTACACGGAGCATTCCTCGAGTTGCTGTGCTGAAGTTGGTGTTCCTCTAGACTTGGGACAGTGTTCTCGGGGCATCTCTGGAGTTGCCTGAAGGAAGTCGAGCCACCGGTCGTGTTGAATGGGGAACGGGGAATGGCTCTGGAGTCAATGCAGGGGAATCGGGCCTCATCTCGAGTTGATTTGGGGCACATGGAGCTGCTTTGCGTTGCTGGGGTGACCTCAGGGTCCGTCTAGACTGGTGACAGTGTTCTTGGGGACTGTCTCGAGATCCATTAAGCAAGTCGAAGCTCCTGACTTGTTTAAATGGGATCACGGAATAGCTCTGCATGCACTGCAGGGGAATGGGGCCTCATCTCGCCTCTAGGGGGAAGTCTCATGGTTTTTCTCGAGTTGCGGCGGGGACCAGGGGTATGTTCTCGACTTACGGCGAGGATGGCCCTTCAAGACACGAGTTGCTTCAGTGACGTCAGGACTCCTGTCTAGTAACGAGGGACACCTCAGGAATCTCTTCGAGGCTTGGCAGGGCAAAAGGGACGCTTCTCGAGGTGAGGCAGGGCACCCAAGGACCCTTTCCAGTAGCCACAGGGATTTTGGGATTCCTATCAGTATTCAAGAGGAGTCAGGCATCGTCACCTTTTGAAGCAATGAACTCCGCGTGCCTCTCGAGGTGTCAGCGCGATGTCAGGCATTCCTTAAAAATGAGGCAGGGACCTAGGGCTTTCTCTAAGGTCTCCACAGGGGATTCAGACATCCCTTCATGTTGTGAGATGAAAGACGAGCCTGTATTCAAGCCACTGCAAGGAAATCCGGCCTCCTTTCAAGTTAGGGCTTCTCGCTGTATATTCCCCTTGAGGCAGCAAACTCGGGGTCCCTCCCACATACCTATTGCTGAGAGAAGCCTCCTCCTGAGGTGCTTCTGGGAAGTTGGCATACGTCTTGAGCCTAAGCCAGGGAATCAGCTCTCATCTCGAGACGATTTGGGGTACACGGAGCATTCCTCCAGTTGCTGTGCTGAAGTTGGTGTTCCTCTAGACTTGGGACAGTGTTCTCGGGGCATCCCTGGAGTTGCATGAAGGAAGTCGAAGCACCGGTCGTGTTGAATGGGGAACGGGGAATGGCTCTGGAGTCAATGCAGGGGAATCGGGCCTCATCTCGAGTTGATTTGGGGCACATGGAGCTTCTTTGCGTTGCTGGGGTGACCTAAGGGTCCGTCTAGACTGGTGACAGTGTTCTTGGGGACTGTCTCGAGATCCATTAAGCAAGTCGAAGCTCCTGACTTGTTTGAATGGGATCACGGAATAGCTCTGCATGCACTGCAGGGGAATGGGGCCTCATCTCGCCTCTAGGGGGAAGTCTCATGGTTTTTCTCGAGTTGCGGCGGGGACCTGGGGTATGTTCTCGACTTACAGCGGGGATGGCCCTTCAAAACACGAGTTTCTTCAGTGACGTCAGGACTCCTGTCTAGTAACGAGGGACACCTCAGGAATCTCTTCGAGGCTTGGCAGGGCAAAAGGGACGCTTCTCGAGGTGAGGCAGGGCACCCAAGGACCCTTTCCAGTAGCCACAGGGATTTTGGGATTCCTATCAGTATTCAAGAGGAGTCAGGCATCGTCACCTTTTGAAGCAATGAACTCCGCGTGCCTCTCGAGGTGTCAGCGGGATGTGAGGCATTCCGTCAAAATGAGGCAGGGAACTAGGGCTTTCTCTAAGGTCTCCACAGGGGATTCAGACATCCCTTCATGTTGTGAGATGAAAGACGAGCCTGTATTCAAGCCACTGCAAGGAAATCCGGCCTCCTTTCAAGTTAGGGCTTCTCGCTGTATATTCCCCTTGAGGCAGCAAATACGGGGTCCCTCCTACATACCTATTGCTGAGAGAAGCCTCCTCCTGAGGTGCTTCTAGGAAGTTGGCATACGTCTTCAGCCTAAGCCAGGGAATCAGCTCTCATCTCGAGACGATTTGGGGTGCACGGAGCATTCCTCGAGTTGCTGTGCTGAAGTTGGTGTTCCTCTAGACTTGGGACAGTGTTCTCGGGGCATCTCTGGAGTTGCCTGAAGGAAGTCGAGCCACCGGTCGTGTTGAATGGGGAACGGGGAATGGCTCTGGAGTCAATGCAGGGGAATTGGGCCTCATCTCGAGTTGATTTGGGGCACATGGAGCTGCTTTGCGTTGCTGGGGTGACCTCAGGGTCCGTCTAGACTGGTGACAGTGTTCTTGGGAACTGTCTCAAGATCCATTAAGCAAGTCGAAGCTCCTGACTTGTTTGAATGGGATCACGGAATAGCTCTGCATGCACTGCAGGGGAATGGGGCCTCATCTCGCCTCTAGGGGGAAGTCTCATGGTTTTTCTCGAGTTGCGGCGGGGACCTGGGGTATGTTCTCGACTTACGGCGGGGATGGCCCTTCAAGACACGAGTTTCTTCAGTGACGTCAGGACTCCTGTCTAGTAACGAGGGACACCTCAGGAATCTCTTCGAGGCTTGGCAGGGCAAAAGGGACGCTTCTCGAGGTGAGGCAGGGCACCCAAGGACCCTTTCCAGTAGCCACAGGGATTTTGGGATTCCTATCAGTATTCAAGAGGAGTCAGGCATCGTCACCTTTTGAAGCAATGAACTCCGCGTGCCTCTCGAGGTGTCAGCGGGATGAGAGGCATTCCGTCAAAATGAGGCAAGGACCTAGGGCTTTCTCTAAGGTCTCCACAGGGGATTCAGACATCCCTTCATGTTGTGAGATGAAAGACGAGCCTGTATTCAAGCCACTGCAAGGAAATCCGGCCTCCTTTCAAGTTAGGGCTTCTCGCTGTATATTCCCCTTGAGGCAGCAAACTCGGGGTCCCTCCCACATACCTATTGCTGAGAGAAGCCTCCTCCTGAGGTGCTTCTGGGAAGTTGGCATACGTCTTGAGCCTAAGCCAGGGAATCAGCTCTCATCTCGAGACGATTTGGGGTACACGGAGCATTCCTCGAGTTGCTGTGCTGAAGTTGGTGTTCCTCTAGACTTGGGACAGTGTTCTCGGGGCATCTCTGGAGTTGCCTGAAGGAAGTCGAGCCACCGGTCGTGTTGAATGGGGAACGGGGAATGGCTCTGGAGTCAATGCAGGGGAATCGGGCCTCATCTCGAGTTGATTTGGGGCACATGGAGCTGCTTTGCGTTGCTGGGGTGACCTCAGGGTCCGTCTAGACTGGTGACAGTGTTCTTGGGGACTGTCTCGAGATCCATTAAGCAAGTCGAAGCTCCTGACTTGTTTGAATGGGATCACGGAATAGCTCTGCATGCACTGCAGGGGAATGGGGCCTCATCTCGCCTCTAGGGGGAAGTCTCATGGTTTTTCTCGAGTTGCGGCGGGGACCTGGGGTATGTTCTCGACTTACGGCGGGGATGGCCCTTCAAGACAAGAGTTTCTTCAGTGACGTCAGGACTCCTGTCTAGTAACGAGGGACACCTCAGGAATCTCTTCGAGGCTTGGCAGGGCAAAAGGGACGCTTCTCGAGGTGAGGCAGGGCACCCAAGGACCCTTTCCAGTAGCCACAGGGATTTTGGGATTCCTATCAGTATTCAAGAGGAGTCAGGCATCGTCACCTTTTGAAGCAATGAACTCCGCGTGCCTCTCGAGGTGTCAGCGCGATGTGAGGCATTCCGTCAAAATGAGGCAGGGACCTAGGGCTTTCTCTAAGGTCTCCACAGGGGATTCAGACATCCCTTCATGTTGTGAGATGAAAGACGAGCCTGTATTCAAGCCACTGCAAGGAAATCCGGCCTCCTTTCAAGTTAGGGCTTCTCGCTGTATATTCCCCTTGAGGCAGCAAACTCGGGGTCCCTCCCACATACCTATTGCTGAGAGAAGCCTCCTCCTGAGGTGCTTCTGGGAAGTTGGCATACGTCTTGAGCCTAAGCCAGGGAATCAGCTCTCATCTCGAGACGATTTGGGGTACACGGAGCATTCCTCGAGTTGCTGTGCTGAAGTTGGTGTTCCTCTAGACTTGGGACAGTGTTCTCGGGGCATCTCTGGAGTTGCCTGAAGGAAGTCGAGCCACCGGTCGTGTTGAATGGGGAACGGGGAATGGCTCTGGAGTCAATGCAGGGGAATCGGGCCTCATCTCGAGTTGATTTGGGGCACATGGAGCTGCTTTGCGTTGCTGGGGTGACCTCAGGGTCCGTCTAGACTGGTGACAGTGTTCTTGGGGACTGTCTCGAGATCCATTAAGCAAGTCGAAGCTCCTGACTTGTTTAAATGGGATCACGGAATAGCTCTGCATGCACTGCAGGGGAATGGGGCCTCATCTCGCCTCTAGGGGGAAGTCTCATGGTTTTTCTCGAGTTGCGGCGGGGACCAGGGGTATGTTCTCGACTTACGGCGAGGATGGCCCTTCAAGACACGAGTTGCTTCAGTGACGTCAGGACTCCTGTCTAGTAACGAGGGACACCTCAGGAATCTCTTCGAGGCTTGGCAGGGCAAAAGGGACGCTTCTCGAGGTGAGGCAGGGCACCCAAGGACCCTTTCCAGTAGCCACAGGGATTTTGGGATTCCTATCAGTATTCAAGAGGAGTCAGGCATCGTCACCTTTTGAAGCAATGAACTCCGCGTGCCTCTCGAGGTGTCAGCGCGATGTCAGGCATTCCTTAAAAATGAGGCAGGGACCTAGGGCTTTCTCTAAGGTCTCCACAGGGGATTCAGACATCCCTTCATGTTGTGAGATGAAAGACGAGCCTGTATTCAAGCCACTGCAAGGAAATCCGGCCTCCTTTCAAGTTAGGGCTTCTCGCTGTATATTCCCCTTGAGGCAGCAAACTCGGGGTCCCTCCCACATACCTATTGCTGAGAGAAGCCTCCTCCTGAGGTGCTTCTGGGAAGTTGGCATACGTCTTGAGCCTAAGCCAGGGAATCAGCTCTCATCTCGAGACGATTTGGGGTACACGGAGCATTCCTCCAGTTGCTGTGCTGAAGTTGGTGTTCCTCTAGACTTGGGACAGTGTTCTCGGGGCATCCCTGGAGTTGCATGAAGGAAGTCGAAGCACCGGTCGTGTTGAATGGGGAACGGGGAATGGCTCTGGAGTCAATGCAGGGGAATCGGGCCTCATCTCGAGTTGATTTGGGGCACATGGAGCTTCTTTGCGTTGCTGGGGTGACCTAAGGGTCCGTCTAGACTGGTGACAGTGTTCTTGGGGACTGTCTCGAGATCCATTAAGCAAGTCGAAGCTCCTGACTTGTTTGAATGGGATCACGGAATAGCTCTGCATGCACTGCAGGGGAATGGGGCCTCATCTCGCCTCTAGGGGGAAGTCTCATGGTTTTTCTCGAGTTGCGGCGGGGACCTGGGGTATGTTCTCGACTTACAGCGGGGATGGCCCTTCAAAACACGAGTTTCTTCAGTGACGTCAGGACTCCTGTCTAGTAACGAGGGACACCTCAGGAATCTCTTCGAGGCTTGGCAGGGCAAAAGGGACGCTTCTCGAGGTGAGGCAGGGCACCCAAGGACCCTTTCCAGTAGCCACAGGGATTTTGGGATTCCTATCAGTATTCAAGAGGAGTCAGGCATCGTCACCTTTTGAAGCAATGAACTCCGCGTGCCTCTCGAGGTGTCAGCGGGATGTGAGGCATTCCGTCAAAATGAGGCAGGGAACTAGGGCTTTCTCTAAGGTCTCCACAGGGGATTCAGACATCCCTTCATGTTGTGAGATGAAAGACGAGCCTGTATTCAAGCCACTGCAAGGAAATCCGGCCTCCTTTCAAGTTAGGGCTTCTCGCTGTATATTCCCCTTGAGGCAGCAAATACGGGGTCCCTCCTACATACCTATTGCTGAGAGAAGCCTCCTCCTGAGGTGCTTCTAGGAAGTTGGCATACGTCTTCAGCCTAAGCCAGGGAATCAGCTCTCATCTCGAGACGATTTGGGGTGCACGGAGCATTCCTCGAGTTGCTGTGCTGAAGTTGGTGTTCCTCTAGACTTGGGACAGTGTTCTCGGGGCATCTCTGGAGTTGCCTGAAGGAAGTCGAGCCACCGGTCGTGTTGAATGGGGAACGGGGAATGGCTCTGGAGTCAATGCAGGGGAATTGGGCCTCATCTCGAGTTGATTTGGGGCACATGGAGCTGCTTTGCGTTGCTGGGGTGACCTCAGGGTCCGTCTAGACTGGTGACAGTGTTCTTGGGAACTGTCTCAAGATCCATTAAGCAAGTCGAAGCTCCTGACATGTTTGAATGGGATCACGGAATAGCTCTGCATGCACTGCAGGGGAATGGGGCCTCATCTCGCCTCTAGGGGGAAGTCTCATGGTTTTTCTCGAGTTGCGGCGGGGACCTGGGGTATGTTCTCGACTTACGGCGGGGATGGCCCTTCAAGACACGAGTTTCTTCAGTGACGTCAGGACTCCTGTCTAGTAACGAGGGACACCTCAGGAATCTCTTCGAGGCTTGGCAGGGCAAAAGGGACGCTTCTCGAGGTGAGGCAGGGCACCCAAGGACCCTTTCCAGTAGCCACAGGGATTTTGGGATTCCTATCAGTATTCAAGAGGAGTCAGGCATCGTCACCTTTTGAAGCAATGAACTCCGCGTGCCTCTCGAGGTGTCAGCGGGATGAGAGGCATTCCGTCAAAATGAGGCAAGGACCTAGGGCTTTCTCTAAGGTCTCCACAGGGGATTCAGACATCCCTTCATGTTGTGAGATGAAAGACGAGCCTGTATTCAAGCCACTGCAAGGAAATCCGGCCTCCTTTCAAGTTAGGGCTTCTCGCTGTATATTCCCCTTGAGGCAGCAAACTCGGGGTCCCTCCCACATACCTATTGCTGAGAGAAGCCTCCTCCTGAGGTGCTTCTGGGAAGTTGGCATACGTCTTGAGCCTAAGCCAGGGAATCAGCTCTCATCTCGAGACGATTTGGGGTACACGGAGCATTCCTCGAGTTGCTGTGCTGAAGTTGGTGTTCCTCTAGACTTGGGACAGTGTTCTCGGGGCATCTCTGGAGTTGCCTGAAGGAAGTCGAGCCACCGGTCGTGTTGAATGGGGAACGGGGAATGGCTCTGGAGTCAATGCAGGGGAATCGGGCCTCATCTCGAGTTGATTTGGGGCACATGGAGCTGCTTTGCGTTGCTGGGGTGACCTCAGGGTCCGTCTAGACTGGTGACAGTGTTCTTGGGGACTGTCTCGAGATCCATTAAGCAAGTCGAAGCTCCTGACTTGTTTGAATGGGATCACGGAATAGCTCTGCATGCACTGCAGGGGAATGGGGCCTCATCTCGCCTCTAGGGGGAAGTCTCATGGTTTTTCTCGAGTTGCGGCGGGGACCTGGGGTATGTTCTCGACTTACGGCGGGGATGGCCCTTCAAGACAAGAGTTTCTTCAGTGACGTCAGGACTCCTGTCTAGTAACGAGGGACACCTCAGGAATCTCTTCGAGGCTTGGCAGGGCAAAAGGGACGCTTCTCGAGGTGAGGCAGGGCACCCAAGGACCCTTTCCAGTAGCCACAGGGATTTTGGGATTCCTATCAGTATTCAAGAGGAGTCAGGCATCGTCACCTTTTGAAGCAATGAACTCCGCGTGCCTCTCGAGGTGTCAGCGCGATGTGAGGCATTCCGTCAAAATGAGGCAGGGACCTAGGGCTTTCTCTAAGGTCTCCACAGGGGATTCAGACATCCCTTCATGTTGTGAGATGAAAGACGAGCCTGTATTCAAGCCACTGCAAGGAAATCCGGCCTCCTTTCAAGTTAGGGCTTCTCGCTGTATATTCCCCTTGAGGCAGCAAACTCGGGGTCCCTCCCACATACCTATTGCTGAGAGAAGCCTCCTCCTGAGGTGCTTCTGGGAAGTTGGCATACGTCTTGAGCCTAAGCCAGGGAATCAGCTCGCATCTCGAGACGATTTGGGGTACACGGAGCATTCCTCGAGTTGCTGTACTGAAGTTGGTGTTCCTCTAGACTTGGGACAGTGTTCTCGGGGCATCTCTGGAGTTGCCTGAAGGAAGTCGAGCCACCGGTCGTGTTGAATGTGGAACGGGGAATGGCTCTGGAGTCAATGCAGGGGAATCGGGCCTCATCTCGAGTTGATTTGGGGCACATGGAGCTGCTTTGCGTTGCTGGGGTGACCTCAGGGTCCGTCTAGACTGGTGACAGTGTTCTTGGGGACTGTCTCAAGATCCATTAAGCAAGTCGAACCTCCTGACTTGTTTGAATGGGATCACGGAATAGCTCTGCATGCACTGCAGGGGAATGGGGCCTCATCTCGCCTCTAGGGGGAAGTCTCATGGTTTTTCTCGAGTTGCGGCGGGGACCTGGGGTATGTTCTCGACTTACGGCGGGGATGGCCCTTCAAGACACGAGTTTCTTCAGTGACGTCAGGACTCCTGTCTGGTAACGAGGGACACCTCAGGAATCTCTTCGAGGCTTGGCAGGGCAAAAGGGACGCTTCTCGAGGTGAGGCAGGGCACCCAAGGACCCTTTCCAGTAGCCACAGGGATTTTGGGATTCCTATCAGTATTCAAGAGGAGTCAGGCATCGTCACCTTTTGAAGCAATGAACTCCGCGTGCCTCTCGAGGTGTCAGCGGGATGTGAGGCATTTCGTCAAAATGAGGCAAGGACCTAGGGCTTTCTCTAAGGTCTCCACAGGGGATTCAGACATCCCTTCATGTTGTGAGATGAAAGACGAGCCTGTATTCAAGCCACTGCAAGGAAATCCGGCCTCCTTTCAAGTTAGGGCTTCTCGCTGTATATTCCCCTTGAGGCAGCAAACTCGGGGTCCCTCCCACATACCTATTGCTGAGAGAAGCCTCCTCCTGAGGTGCTTCTGGGAAGTTGGCATACGTCTTGAGCCTAAGCCAGGGAATCAGCTCTCATCTCGAGACGATTTGGGGTACACGGAGCATTCCTCGAGTTGCTGTGCTGAAGTTGGTGTTCCTCTAGACTTTGGACAGTGTTCTCGGGGCATCTCTGGAGTTGCCTGAAGGAAGTCGAGCCACCGGTCGTGTTGAATGGGGAACGGGGAATGGCTCTGGAGTCAATGCAGGGGAATCGGGCCTCATCTCGAGTTGATTTGGGGCACATGGAGCTGCTTTGCGTTGCTGGGGTGACCTCAGGGTCCGTCTAGACTGGTGACAGTGTTCTTAGGGACTGTCTCGAGATCCATTAAGCAAGTCGAAGCTCCTGACTTGTTTGAATGGGATCACGGAATAGCTCTGCATGCACTGCAGGGGAATGGGGCCTCATCTCGCCTCTAGGGGGAAGTCTCATGGTTTTTCTCGAGTTGCGGCGGGCACCTGGGGTATGTTCTCGACTTACGGCGGGGATGGCCCTTCAAAACACGAGTTTCTTCAGTGACGTCAGGACTCCTGTCTAGTAACGAGGGACACCTCAGGAATCTCTTCGAGGCTTGGCAGGGCAAAAGGGACGCTTCTCGAGATGAGGCAGGGCACCCAAGGACCCTTTCCAGTAGCCACAGGGATTTTGGGATTCCTATCAGTATTCAAGAGGAGTCAGGCATCGTCACCTTTTGAAGCAATGAACTCCGCGTGCCTCTCAAGGTGTCAGCGCGATGTGAGGCATTACGTCAAAATGAGGCAGGGACCTAGGGCTTTCTCTAAGGTCTCCACAGGGGATTCAGACATCCCTTCATATTGTGAGATGAAAGACGAGCCTGTGTTCAAGCCACTGCAAGGAAATCCGGCCTCCTTTCAAGTTAGGGCTTCTCGCTGTATATTCCCCTTGAGGCAGCAAACTCGGGGTCCCTCGCACATACCTATTGCTGAGAGAAGCCTCCTCCTGAGGTGCTTCTGGGAAGTTGGCATACGTCTTGAGCCTAAGCCAGGGAATCAGCTCGCATCTCGAGAAGATTTCGGGTACACGGAGCATTCCTCGAGTTGCTGTGCTGAAGTTGGTGTTCCTCTAGACTTGGGACAGTGTTCTCGGGGCATCTCTGCAGTTGCCTGAAGGAAGTCGAGCCACCGGTCGTGTTGAATGGGGAACGGGGAATGGCTCTGGAGTCAATGCAGGGGAATCGGGCCTCATCTCGAGTTGATTTGGGGCACATGGAGCTGCTTTGCGTTGCTGGGGTGACCTCAGGGTCCGTCTAGACTGGTGACAGTGTTCTTGGGGACTGTCTCGAGGTCCATTAAGCAAGTCGAAGCTCCTGACTTGTTTGAATGGGATCACAGAATAGCTCTGCATGCACTGCAGGGGAATGGGGCCTCATCTCGCCTCTAGGGGGAAGTCTCATGGTTTTTCTCGAGTTGCGGCGGGGACCTGGGGTATGTTCTCGACTTACGGCGGGGATGGCCCTTCAAAACACGAGTTTCTTCAGTGACGTCAGGACTCCTGTCTAGTAACGAGGGACACCTCAGGAATCTCTTCGAGGCTTGGCAGGGCAAAAGGGACGCTTCTCGAGGTGAGGCAGGGCACCCAAGGACCCTTTCCAGTAGCCACAGGGATTTTGGGATTCCTATCAGTATTCAAGAGGAGTCAGGCATCGTCACCTTTTGAAGCAATGAACTCCGCGTGCCTCTCGAGGTGTCAGCGCGATGTGAGGCATTCCGTCAAAATGAGGCAGGGACCTAGGGCTTTCTCTAAGGTCTCCACAGGGGATTCAGACATCCCTTCATGTTGTGAGATGAAAGACGAGCCTGTATTCAAGCCACTGCAAGGAAATCCGGCCTCCTTTCAAGTTAGGGCTTCTCGCTGTATATTCCCCTTGAGGCAGCAAACTCGGGGTCCCTCCCACATACCTATTGCTGAGAGAAGCCTCCTCCTGAGGTGCTTCTGGGAAGTTGGCATACGTCTTGAGCCTAAGCCAGGGAATCAGCTCGCATCTCGAGACGATTTGGGGTACACGGAGCATTCCTCGAGTTGCTGTGCTGAAGTTGGTGTTCCTCTAGACTTGGGACAGTGTTCTCGGGGCATCTCTGGAGTTGCCTGAAGGAAGTCGAGCCACCGGTCGTGTTGAATGGGGAACGGGGAATGGCTCTGGAGTCAATGCAGGGGAATCGGGCCTCATCTCGAGTTGATTTGGGGCACATGGAGCTGCTTTGCGTTGCTGGGGTGACCTCAGGGTCCGTCTAGACTGGTGACAGTGTTCTTGGGGACTGTCTCGAGATCCATTAAGCAAGTCGAAGCTCCTGACTTGTTTGAATGGGATCACGGAATAGCTCTGCATGCACTGCAGGGGAATGGGGCCTCATCTCGCCTCTAGGGGGAAGTCTCATGGTTTTTCTCGAGTTGCGGCGGGGACCTGGGGTATGTTCTCGACTTACGGCGGGGATGGCCCTTCAAAACACGAGTTTCTTCAGTGACGTCAGGACTCCTGTCTAGTAACGAGGGACACCTCAGGAATCTCTTCGAGGCTTGGCAGGGCAAAAGGGACGCTTCTCGAGGTGAGGCAGGGCACCCAAGGACCCTTTCCAGTAGCCACAGGGATTTTGGGATTCCTATCAGTATTCAAGAGGAGTCAGGCATCGTCACCTTTTGAAGCAATGAACTCCGCGTGCCTCTCGAGGTGTCAGCGCGATGTGAGGCATTCCGTCAAAATGAGGCAGGGACCTAGGGCTTTCTCTAAGGTCTCCACAGGGGATTCAGACATCCCTTCATATTGTGAGATGAAAGACGAGCCTGTATTCAAGCCACTGCAAGGAAATCCGGCCTCCTTTCAAGTTAGGGCTTCTCGCTGTATATTCCCCTTGAGGCAGCAAACTCGGGGTCCCTCCCACATACCTATTGCTGAGAGAAGCCTCCTCCTGAGGTGCTTCTGGGAAGTTGGCATACGTCTTGAGCCTAAGCCAGGGAATCAGCTCTCATCTCGAGAAGATTTCGGGTACACGGAGCATTCCTCGAGTTGCTGTGCTGAAGTTGGTGTTCCTCTAGACTTGGGACAGTGTTCTCGGGGCATCTCTGGAGTTGCCTGAAGGAAGTCGAGCCACCGGTCGTGTTGAATGGGGAACGGGGAATGGCTCTGGAGTCAATGCAGGGGAATCGGGCCTCATCTCGAGTTGATTTGGGGCACATGGAGCTGCTTTGCGTTGCTGGGGTGACCTCAGGGTCCGTCTAGACTGGTGACAGTGTTCTTGGGGACTGTCTCGAGATCCATTAAGCAAGTCGAAGCTCCTGACTTGTTTGAATGGGATCACAGAATAGCTCTGCATGCACTGCAGGGGAATGGGGCCTCATCTCGCCTCTAGGGGGAAGTCTCATGGTTTTTCTCGAGTTGCGGCGGGGACCTGGGGTATGTTCTCGACTTACGGCGGGGATGGCCCTTCAAGACACGAGTTTCTTCAGTGACGTCAGGACTCCTGTCTAGTAACGAGGGACACCTCAGGAATCTCTTCGAGGCTTGGCAGGGCAAAAGGGACGCTTCTCGAGGTGAGGCAGGGCACCCAAAGACCCTTTCCAGTAGCCACAGGGATTTTGGGATTCCTATCAGTATTCAAGAGGAGTCAGGCATCGTCACCTTTTGAAGCAATGAACTCCGCGTGCCTCTCGAGGTGTCAGCGCGATGTGAGGCATTCCGTCAAAATGAGGCAGGGACCTAGGGCTTTCTCTAAGGTCTCCACAGGGGATTCAGACATCCCTTCATGTTGTGAGATGAAAGACGAGCCTGTATTCAAGCCACTGCAAGGAAATCCGGCCTCCTTTCAAGTTAGGGCTTCTCGCTGTATATTCCCCTTGAGGCAGCAAACTCGGGGTCCCTCCCACATACCTATTGCTGAGAGAAGCCTCCTCCTGAGGTGCTTCTGGGAAGTTGGCATACGTCTTGAGCCTAAGCCAGGGAATCAGCTCGCATCTCGAGACGATTTGGGGTACACGGAGCATTCCTCGAGTTGCTGTGCTGAAGTTGGTGTTCCTCTAGACTTGGGACAGTGTTCTCGGGGCATCTCTGGAGTTGCCTGAAGGAAGTCGAGCCACCGGTCGTGTTGAATGGTGAACGGGGAATGGCTCTGGAGTCAATGCAGGGGAATCGGGCCTCATCTCGAGTTGATTTGGGGCACATGGAGCTGCTTTGCGTTGCTGGGGTGACCTCAGGGTCCGTCTAGACTGGTGACAGTGTTCTTGGGGACTGTCTCGAGATCCATTAAGCAAGTCGAAGCTCCTGACTTGTTTGAATGGGATCACGGAATAGCTCTGCATGCACTGCAGGGGAATGGCGCCTCATCTCGCCTCTAGGGGGAAGTCTCATGGTTTTTCTCGAGTTGCGGCGGGGACCTGGGGTATGTTCTCGACTTACGGCGGGGATGGCCCTTCAAAACACGAGTTTCTTCAGTGACGTCAGGACTCCTGTCTAGTAACGAGGGACACCTCAGGAATCTGTTCGAGGCTTGGCAGGGCAAAAGGGACGCTTCTCGAGGTGAGGCAGGGCACCCAAGGACCCTTTCCAGTAGCCACAGGGATTTTGGGATTCCTATCAGTATTCAAGAGGAGTCAGGCATCGTCACCTTTTGAAGCAATGAACTCCGCGTGCCTCTCGAGGTGTCAGCGCGATGTGAGGCATTCCGTCAAAATGAGGCAGGGACCTAGGGCTTTCTCTAAGGTCTCCACAGGGGATTCAGACATCCCTTCATGTTGTGAGATGAAAGACGAGCCTGTATTCAAGCCACTGCAAGGAAATCCGGCCTCCTTTCAAGTTAGGGCTTCTCGCTGTATATTCCCCTTGAGGCAGCAAACTCGGGGTCCCTCCCACATACCTATTGCTGAGAGAAGCCTCCTCCTGAGGTGCTTCTGGGAAGTTGGCATACGTCTTGAGCCTAAGCCAGGGAATCAGCTCTCATCTCGAGACGATTTGGGGTACACGGAGCATTCCTCGAGTTGCTGTGCTGAAGTTGGTGTTCCTCTAGACTTGGGACAGTGTTCTCGGGGCATCTCTGGAGTTGCCTGAAGGAAGTCGAGCCACCGGTCGTGTTGAATGGGGAACGGGGAATGGCTCTGGAGTCAATGCAGGGGAATCGGGCCTCATCTCGAGTTGATTTGGGGCACATGGAGCTGCTTTGCGTTGCTGGGGTGACCTCAGGGTCCGTCTAGACTGGTGACAGTGTTCTTAGGGACTGTCTCGAGATCCATTAAGCAAGTCGAAGCTCCTGACTTGTTTGAATGGGATCACGGAATAGCTCTGCATGCACTGCAGGGGAATGGGGCCTCATCTCGCCTCTAGGGGGAAGTCTCATGGTTTTTCTCGAGTTGCGGCGGGCACCTGGGGTATGTTCTCGACTTACGGCGGGGATGGCCCTTCAAAACACGAGTTTCTTCAGTGACGTCAGGACTCCTGTCTAGTAACGAGGGACACCTCAGGAATCTCTTCGAGGCTTGGCAGGGCAAAAGGGACGCTTCTCGAGATGAGGCAGGGCACCCAAGGACCCTTTCCAGTAGCCACAGGGATTTTGGGATTCCTATCAGTATTCAAGAGGAGTCAGGCATCGTCACCTTTTGAAGCAATGAACTCCGCGTGCCTCTCAAGGTGTCAGCGCGATGTGAGGCATTACGTCAAAATGAGGCAGGGACCTAGGGCTTTCTCTAAGGTCTCCACAGGGGATTCAGACATCCCTTCATATTGTGAGATGAAAGACGAGCCTGTGTTCAAGCCACTGCAAGGAAATCCGGCCTCCTTTCAAGTTAGGGCTTCTCGCTGTATATTCCCCTTGAGGCAGCAAACTCGGGGTCCCTCGCACATACCTATTGCTGAGAGAAGCCTCCTCCTGAGGTGCTTCTGGGAAGTTGGCATACGTCTTGAGCCTAAGCCAGGGAATCAGCTCGCATCTCGAGAAGATTTCGGGTACACGGAGCATTCCTCGAGTTGCTGTGCTGAAGTTGGTGTTCCTCTAGACTTGGGACAGTGTTCTCGGGGCATCTCTGCAGTTGCCTGAAGGAAGTCGAGCCACCGGTCGTGTTGAATGGGGAACGGGGAATGGCTCTGGAGTCAATGCAGGGGAATCGGGCCTCATCTCGAGTTGATTTGGGGCACATGGAGCTGCTTTGCGTTGCTGGGGTGACCTCAGGGTCCGTCTAGACTGGTGACAGTGTTCTTGGGGACTGTCTCGAGGTCCATTAAGCAAGTCGAAGCTCCTGACTTGTTTGAATGGGATCACAGAATAGCTCTGCATGCACTGCAGGGGAATGGGGCCTCATCTCGCCTCTAGGGGGAAGTCTCATGGTTTTTCTCGAGTTGCGGCGGGGACCTGGGGTATGTTCTCGACTTACGGCGGGGATGGCCCTTCAAAACACGAGTTTCTTCAGTGACGTCAGGACTCCTGTCTAGTAACGAGGGACACCTCAGGAATCTCTTCGAGGCTTGGCAGGGCAAAAGGGACGCTTCTCGAGGTGAGGCAGGGCACCCAAGGACCCTTTCCAGTAGCCACAGGGATTTTGGGATTCCTATCAGTATTCAAGAGGAGTCAGGCATCGTCACCTTTTGAAGCAATGAACTCCGCGTGCCTCTCGAGGTGTCAGCGCGATGTGAGGCATTCCGTCAAAATGAGGCAGGGACCTAGGGCTTTCTCTAAGGTCTCCACAGGGGATTCAGACATCCCTTCATGTTGTGAGATGAAAGACGAGCCTGTATTCAAGCCACTGCAAGGAAATCCGGCCTCCTTTCAAGTTAGGGCTTCTCGCTGTATATTCCCCTTGAGGCAGCAAACTCGGGGTCCCTCCCACATACCTATTGCTGAGAGAAGCCTCCTCCTGAGGTGCTTCTGGGAAGTTGGCATACGTCTTGAGCCTAAGCCAGGGAATCAGCTCGCATCTCGAGACGATTTGGGGTACACGGAGCATTCCTCGAGTTGCTGTGCTGAAGTTGGTGTTCCTCTAGACTTGGGACAGTGTTCTCGGGGCATCTCTGGAGTTGCCTGAAGGAAGTCGAGCCACCGGTCGTGTTGAATGGGGAACGGGGAATGGCTCTGGAGTCAATGCAGGGGAATCGGGCCTCATCTCGAGTTGATTTGGGGCACATGGAGCTGCTTTGCGTTGCTGGGGTGACCTCAGGGTCCGTCTAGACTGGTGACAGTGTTCTTGGGGACTGTCTCGAGATCCATTAAGCAAGTCGAAGCTCCTGACTTGTTTGAATGGGATCACGGAATAGCTCTGCATGCACTGCAGGGGAATGGGGCCTCATCTCGCCTCTAGGGGGAAGTCTCATGGTTTTTCTCGAGTTGCGGCGGGGACCTGGGGTATGTTCTCGACTTACGGCGGGGATGGCCCTTCAAAACACGAGTTTCTTCAGTGACGTCAGGACTCCTGTCTAGTAACGAGGGACACCTCAGGAATCTCTTCGAGGCTTGGCAGGGCAAAAGGGACGCTTCTCGAGGTGAGGCAGGGCACCCAAGGACCCTTTCCAGTAGCCACAGGGATTTTGGGATTCCTATCAGTATTCAAGAGGAGTCAGGCATCGTCACCTTTTGAAGCAATGAACTCCGCGTGCCTCTCGAGGTGTCAGCGCGATGTGAGGCATTCCGTCAAAATGAGGCAGGGACCTAGGGCTTTCTCTAAGGTCTCCACAGGGGATTCAGACATCCCTTCATATTGTGAGATGAAAGACGAGCCTGTATTCAAGCCACTGCAAGGAAATCCGGCCTCCTTTCAAGTTAGGGCTTCTCGCTGTATATTCCCCTTGAGGCAGCAAACTCGGGGTCCCTCCCACATACCTATTGCTGAGAGAAGCCTCCTCCTGAGGTGCTTCTGGGAAGTTGGCATACGTCTTGAGCCTAAGCCAGGGAATCAGCTCTCATCTCGAGAAGATTTCGGGTACACGGAGCATTCCTCGAGTTGCTGTGCTGAAGTTGGTGTTCCTCTAGACTTGGGACAGTGTTCTCGGGGCATCTCTGGAGTTGCCTGAAGGAAGTCGAGCCACCGGTCGTGTTGAATGGGGAACGGGGAATGGCTCTGGAGTCAATGCAGGGGAATCGGGCCTCATCTCGAGTTGATTTGGGGCACATGGAGCTGCTTTGCGTTGCTGGGGTGACCTCAGGGTCCGTCTAGACTGGTGACAGTGTTCTTGGGGACTGTCTCGAGATCCATTAAGCAAGTCGAAGCTCCTGACTTGTTTGAATGGGATCACAGAATAGCTCTGCATGCACTGCAGGGGAATGGGGCCTCATCTCGCCTCTAGGGGGAAGTCTCATGGTTTTTCTCGAGTTGCGGCGGGGACCTGGGGTATGTTCTCGACTTACGGCGGGGATGGCCCTTCAAGACACGAGTTTCTTCAGTGACGTCAGGACTCCTGTCTAGTAACGAGGGACACCTCAGGAATCTCTTCGAGGCTTGGCAGGGCAAAAGGGACGCTTCTCGAGGTGAGGCAGGGCACCCAAAGACCCTTTCCAGTAGCCACAGGGATTTTGGGATTCCTATCAGTATTCAAGAGGAGTCAGGCATCGTCACCTTTTGAAGCAATGAACTCCGCGTGCCTCTCGAGGTGTCAGCGCGATGTGAGGCATTCCGTCAAAATGAGGCAGGGACCTAGGGCTTTCTCTAAGGTCTCCACAGGGGATTCAGACATCCCTTCATGTTGTGAGATGAAAGACGAGCCTGTATTCAAGCCACTGCAAGGAAATCCGGCCTCCTTTCAAGTTAGGGCTTCTCGCTGTATATTCCCCTTGAGGCAGCAAACTCGGGGTCCCTCCCACATACCTATTGCTGAGAGAAGCCTCCTCCTGAGGTGCTTCTGGGAAGTTGGCATACGTCTTGAGCCTAAGCCAGGGAATCAGCTCGCATCTCGAGACGATTTGGGGTACACGGAGCATTCCTCGAGTTGCTGTGCTGAAGTTGGTGTTCCTCTAGACTTGGGACAGTGTTCTCGGGGCATCTCTGGAGTTGCCTGAAGGAAGTCGAGCCACCGGTCGTGTTGAATGGTGAACGGGGAATGGCTCTGGAGTCAATGCAGGGGAATCGGGCCTCATCTCGAGTTGATTTGGGGCACATGGAGCTGCTTTGCGTTGCTGGGGTGACCTCAGGGTCCGTCTAGACTGGTGACAGTGTTCTTGGGGACTGTCTCGAGATCCATTAAGCAAGTCGAAGCTCCTGACTTGTTTGAATGGGATCACGGAATAGCTCTGCATGCACTGCAGGGGAATGGCGCCTCATCTCGCCTCTAGGGGGAAGTCTCATGGTTTTTCTCGAGTTGCGGCGGGGACCTGGGGTATGTTCTCGACTTACGGCGGGGATGGCCCTTCAAAACACGAGTTTCTTCAGTGACGTCAGGACTCCTGTCTAGTAACGAGGGACACCTCAGGAATCTGTTCGAGGCTTGGCAGGGCAAAAGGGACGCTTCTCGAGGTGAGGCAGGGCACCCAAGGACCCTTTCCAGTAGCCACAGGGATTTTGGGATTCCTATCAGTATTCAAGAGGAGTCAGGCATCGTCACCTTTTGAAGCAATGAACTCCGCGTGCCTCTCGAGGTGTCAGCGCGATGTGAGGCATTCCGTCAAAATGAGGCAGGGACCTAGGGCTTTCTCTAAGGTCTCCACAGGGGATTCAGACATCCCTTCATGTTGTGAGATGAAAGACGAGCCTGTATTCAAGCCACTGCAAGGAAATCCGGCCTCCTTTCAAGTTAGGGCTTCTCGCTGTATATTCCCCTTGAGGCAGCAAACTCGGGGTCCCTCCCACATACCTATTGCTGAGAGAAGCCTCCTCCTGAGGTGCTTCTGGGAAGTTGGCATACGTCTTGAGCCTAAGCCAGGGAATCAGCTCTCATCTCGAGACGATTTGGGGTACACGGAGCATTCCTCGAGTTGCTGTGCTGAAGTTGGTGTTCCTCTAGACTTGGGACAGTGTTCTCGGGGCATCTCTGGAGTTGCCTGAAGGAAGTCGAGCCACCGGTCGTGTTGAATGGGGAACGGGGAATGGCTCTGGAGTCAATGCAGGGGAATCGGGCCTCATCTCGAGTTGATTTGGGGCACATGGAGCTGCTTTGCGTTGCTGGGGTGACCTCAGGGTCCGTCTAGACTGGTGACAGTGTTCTTAGGGACTGTCTCGAGATCCATTAAGCAAGTCGAAGCTCCTGACTTGTTTGAATGGGATCACGGAATAGCTCTGCATGCACTGCAGGGGAATGGGGCCTCATCTCGCCTCTAGGGGGAAGTCTCATGGTTTTTCTCGAGTTGCGGCGGGCACCTGGGGTATGTTCTCGACTTACGGCGGGGATGGCCCTTCAAAACACGAGTTTCTTCAGTGACGTCAGGACTCCTGTCTAGTAACGAGGGACACCTCAGGAATCTCTTCGAGGCTTGGCAGGGCAAAAGGGACGCTTCTCGAGATGAGGCAGGGCACCCAAGGACCCTTTCCAGTAGCCACAGGGATTTTGGGATTCCTATCAGTATTCAAGAGGAGTCAGGCATCGTCACCTTTTGAAGCAATGAACTCCGCGTGCCTCTCAAGGTGTCAGCGCGATGTGAGGCATTACGTCAAAATGAGGCAGGGACCTAGGGCTTTCTCTAAGGTCTCCACAGGGGATTCAGACATCCCTTCATATTGTGAGATGAAAGACGAGCCTGTGTTCAAGCCACTGCAAGGAAATCCGGCCTCCTTTCAAGTTAGGGCTTCTCGCTGTATATTCCCCTTGAGGCAGCAAACTCGGGGTCCCTCGCACATACCTATTGCTGAGAGAAGCCTCCTCCTGAGGTGCTTCTGGGAAGTTGGCATACGTCTTGAGCCTAAGCCAGGGAATCAGCTCGCATCTCGAGAAGATTTCGGGTACACGGAGCATTCCTCGAGTTGCTGTGCTGAAGTTGGTGTTCCTCTAGACTTGGGACAGTGTTCTCGGGGCATCTCTGCAGTTGCCTGAAGGAAGTCGAGCCACCGGTCGTGTTGAATGGGGAACGGGGAATGGCTCTGGAGTCAATGCAGGGGAATCGGGCCTCATCTCGAGTTGATTTGGGGCACATGGAGCTGCTTTGCGTTGCTGGGGTGACCTCAGGGTCCGTCTAGACTGGTGACAGTGTTCTTGGGGACTGTCTCGAGGTCCATTAAGCAAGTCGAAGCTCCTGACTTGTTTGAATGGGATCACAGAATAGCTCTGCATGCACTGCAGGGGAATGGGGCCTCATCTCGCCTCTAGGGGGAAGTCTCATGGTTTTTCTCGAGTTGCGGCGGGGACCTGGGGTATGTTCTCGACTTACGGCGGGGATGGCCCTTCAAAACACGAGTTTCTTCAGTGACGTCAGGACTCCTGTCTAGTAACGAGGGACACCTCAGGAATCTCTTCGAGGCTTGGCAGGGCAAAAGGGACGCTTCTCGAGGTGAGGCAGGGCACCCAAGGACCCTTTCCAGTAGCCACAGGGATTTTGGGATTCCTATCAGTATTCAAGAGGAGTCAGGCATCGTCACCTTTTGAAGCAATGAACTCCGCGTGCCTCTCGAGGTGTCAGCGCGATGTGAGGCATTCCGTCAAAATGAGGCAGGGACCTAGGGCTTTCTCTAAGGTCTCCACAGGGGATTCAGACATCCCTTCATGTTGTGAGATGAAAGACGAGCCTGTATTCAAGCCACTGCAAGGAAATCCGGCCTCCTTTCAAGTTAGGGCTTCTCGCTGTATATTCCCCTTGAGGCAGCAAACTCGGGGTCCCTCCCACATACCTATTGCTGAGAGAAGCCTCCTCCTGAGGTGCTTCTGGGAAGTTGGCATACGTCTTGAGCCTAAGCCAGGGAATCAGCTCGCATCTCGAGACGATTTGGGGTACACGGAGCATTCCTCGAGTTGCTGTGCTGAAGTTGGTGTTCCTCTAGACTTGGGACAGTGTTCTCGGGGCATCTCTGGAGTTGCCTGAAGGAAGTCGAGCCACCGGTCGTGTTGAATGGGGAACGGGGAATGGCTCTGGAGTCAATGCAGGGGAATCGGGCCTCATCTCGAGTTGATTTGGGGCACATGGAGCTGCTTTGCGTTGCTGGGGTGACCTCAGGGTCCGTCTAGACTGGTGACAGTGTTCTTGGGGACTGTCTCGAGATCCATTAAGCAAGTCGAAGCTCCTGACTTGTTTGAATGGGATCACGGAATAGCTCTGCATGCACTGCAGGGGAATGGGGCCTCATCTCGCCTCTAGGGGGAAGTCTCATGGTTTTTCTCGAGTTGCGGCGGGGACCTGGGGTATGTTCTCGACTTACGGCGGGGATGGCCCTTCAAAACACGAGTTTCTTCAGTGACGTCAGGACTCCTGTCTAGTAACGAGGGACACCTCAGGAATCTCTTCGAGGCTTGGCAGGGCAAAAGGGACGCTTCTCGAGGTGAGGCAGGGCACCCAAGGACCCTTTCCAGTAGCCACAGGGATTTTGGGATTCCTATCAGTATTCAAGAGGAGTCAGGCATCGTCACCTTTTGAAGCAATGAACTCCGCGTGCCTCTCGAGGTGTCAGCGCGATGTGAGGCATTCCGTCAAAATGAGGCAGGGACCTAGGGCTTTCTCTAAGGTCTCCACAGGGGATTCAGACATCCCTTCATATTGTGAGATGAAAGACGAGCCTGTATTCAAGCCACTGCAAGGAAATCCGGCCTCCTTTCAAGTTAGGGCTTCTCGCTGTATATTCCCCTTGAGGCAGCAAACTCGGGGTCCCTCCCACATACCTATTGCTGAGAGAAGCCTCCTCCTGAGGTGCTTCTGGGAAGTTGGCATACGTCTTGAGCCTAAGCCAGGGAATCAGCTCTCATCTCGAGAAGATTTCGGGTACACGGAGCATTCCTCGAGTTGCTGTGCTGAAGTTGGTGTTCCTCTAGACTTGGGACAGTGTTCTCGGGGCATCTCTGGAGTTGCCTGAAGGAAGTCGAGCCACCGGTCGTGTTGAATGGGGAACGGGGAATGGCTCTGGAGTCAATGCAGGGGAATCGGGCCTCATCTCGAGTTGATTTGGGGCACATGGAGCTGCTTTGCGTTGCTGGGGTGACCTCAGGGTCCGTCTAGACTGGTGACAGTGTTCTTGGGGACTGTCTCGAGATCCATTAAGCAAGTCGAAGCTCCTGACTTGTTTGAATGGGATCACAGAATAGCTCTGCATGCACTGCAGGGGAATGGGGCCTCATCTCGCCTCTAGGGGGAAGTCTCATGGTTTTTCTCGAGTTGCGGCGGGGACCTGGGGTATGTTCTCGACTTACGGCGGGGATGGCCCTTCAAGACACGAGTTTCTTCAGTGACGTCAGGACTCCTGTCTAGTAACGAGGGACACCTCAGGAATCTCTTCGAGGCTTGGCAGGGCAAAAGGGACGCTTCTCGAGGTGAGGCAGGGCACCCAAAGACCCTTTCCAGTAGCCACAGGGATTTTGGGATTCCTATCAGTATTCAAGAGGAGTCAGGCATCGTCACCTTTTGAAGCAATGAACTCCGCGTGCCTCTCGAGGTGTCAGCGCGATGTGAGGCATTCCGTCAAAATGAGGCAGGGACCTAGGGCTTTCTCTAAGGTCTCCACAGGGGATTCAGACATCCCTTCATGTTGTGAGATGAAAGACGAGCCTGTATTCAAGCCACTGCAAGGAAATCCGGCCTCCTTTCAAGTTAGGGCTTCTCGCTGTATATTCCCCTTGAGGCAGCAAACTCGGGGTCCCTCCCACATACCTATTGCTGAGAGAAGCCTCCTCCTGAGGTGCTTCTGGGAAGTTGGCATACGTCTTGAGCCTAAGCCAGGGAATCAGCTCGCATCTCGAGACGATTTGGGGTACACGGAGCATTCCTCGAGTTGCTGTGCTGAAGTTGGTGTTCCTCTAGACTTGGGACAGTGTTCTCGGGGCATCTCTGGAGTTGCCTGAAGGAAGTCGAGCCACCGGTCGTGTTGAATGGGGAACGGGGAATGGCTCTGGAGTCAATGCAGGGGAATCGGGCCTCATCTCGAGTTGATTTGGGGCACATGGAGCTGCTTTGCGTTGCTGGGGTGACCTCAGGGTCCGTCTAGACTGGTGACAGTGTTCTTGGGGACTGTCTCGAGATCCATTAAGCAAGTCGAAGCTCCTGACTTGTTTGAATGGGATCACGGAATAGCTCTGCATGCACTGCAGGGGAATGGGGCCTCATCTCGCCTCTAGGGGGAAGTCTCATGGTTTTTCTCGAGTTGCGGCGGGGACCTGGGGTATGTTCTCGACTTACGGCGGGGATGGCCCTTCAAAACACGAGTTTCTTCAGTGACGTCAGGACTCCTGTCTAGTAACGAGGGACACCTCAGGAATCTGTTCGAGGCTTGGCAGGGCAAAAGGGACGCTTCTCGAGGTGAGGCAGGGCACCCAAGGACCCTTTCCAGTAGCCACAGGGATTTTGGGATTCCTATCAGTATTCAAGAGGAGTCAGGCATCGTCACCTTTTGAAGCAATGAACTCCGCGTGCCTCTCGAGGTGTCAGCGCGATGTGAGGCATTCCGTCAAAATGAGGCAGGGACCTAGGGCTTTCTCTAAGGTCTCCACAGGGGATTCAGACATCCCTTCATGTTGTGAGATGAAAGACGAGCCTGTATTCAAGCCACTGCAAGGAAATCCGGCCTCCTTTCAAGTTAGGGCTTCTCGCTGTATATTCCCCTTGAGGCAGCAAACTCGGGGTCCCTCCCACATACCTATTGCTGAGAGAAGCCTCCTCCTGAGGTGCTTCTGGGAAGTTGGCATACGTCTTGAGCCTAAGCCAGGGAATCAGCTCTCATCTCGAGACGATTTGGGGTACACGGAGCATTCCTCGAGTTGCTGTGCTGAAGTTGGTGTTCCTCTAGACTTGGGACAGTGTTCTCGGGGCATCTCTGGAGTTGCCTGAAGGAAGTCGAGCCACCGGTCGTGTTGAATGGGGAACGGGGAATGGCTCTGGAGTCAATGCAGGGGAATCGGGCCTCATCTCGAGTTGATTTGGGGCACATGGAGCTGCTTTGCGTTGCTGGGGTGACCTCAGGGTCCGTCTAGACTGGTGACAGTGTTCTTGGGGACTGTCTCGAGATCCATTAAGCAAGTCGAAGCTCCTGACTTGTTTGAATGGGATCACGGAATAGCTCTGCATGCACTGCAGGGGAATGGGGCCTCATCTCGCCTCTAGGGGGAAGTCTCATGGTTTTTCTCGAGTTGCGGCGGGGACCTGGGGTATGTTCTCGACTTACGGCGGGGTCCACAATCCCAGGCCAGGGCAGAACCACATGCACACGTCTCTTCCTGCCCCCTGCCCCTTCAGAGAGCTCGGCTGAGCCGCAGTCTCTCAGGCAGTTCCCTGGCAGCCCCGGCAGCACTGCCTGTGCGGGAAGGGGGAGAGCCGACCTAGGGGCACTGTGGGCCTCTTGCTCTCCCTGCTGCCCTGAGGCTGCTGGGCCAAAGAGGGCTTGGCTACCTACCCCCTTTCTCCCCTCTTCCCTCTGCCAGAAGGCTCTGCCCCCGTGGCTGTTGCAGTGTGGAGATAGCCCCTGCCAGCACCTCCACTCCCAGTAGGCCTCAGCAGAGGCCTAGGCCCAGGGAACAGCCCAGGCAGGGCTGTGTTGAGGGAGGCGCAAGGGCATGTCTGGACACACTCCCCACAGCCTGTTCCTTCATGGGGCAGTTACCCTGGAGGCCAGGAAGGCCTGGGCAGGGCTGGCCAAGAGCAGCGGCATTGCTGGGTTCTGCCTCTGGCCTGTGGGGCCTCTGAGCAGGACCTGCCCTCTCCCTCTGGAAGACCTCCCCGCCTGCGTGCAAATCCCCGTTTGCAAGCACTCTGGCCGGGTGTTCCCGCAAGGCTCGCACTCTGGTCTCAAAGCCGGGAGAAAAGCGCTTTGGGGTGGGCCTCTCTCAGGGCCCATGGCCCTGAGCCTGGGGACCAGCTAGGGGGTCCACACTCCCAGGCCAGGGCAGAACCACATGCACACGTCTGTTCCTGCCCCCTGCCCCTTCAGAGAGCTCGGCTGAGCCGCAGTCTCTCAGGCAGTTCCCTGGCAGCCCCGGCAGCACTGCCTGTGTGGGAAGGGAGAGAGCCGACCTAGGGGCACTGTGGGCCTCTTGCTCTCCCTGCTGCCCTGAGGCTGCTGGGCCAAAGAGGGCTTGGCTACCTACCCCCTTTCTCCCCCTTTCCCTCTGCCGAAATGCTCTGCCCCCGGGGCTGTTGCAGTGTGGAGACAGCCCCTGCCAGCACCTCCACTCCCAGTAGGCCTCAGCAGAGACCTAGGCCCAGGGAACGGCCCAGGCAGGGCTGCGTTGAGGGAGGCGCAAGGGCATGTCTGGACACACTCCCCACAGCCTGTTCCTTCATGGGGCAGTTACACTGGAGGCCAGGAAGGCCTGGGCAGGGCTGGCCAAGAGCAGGGGCATTGCTGGGTTCTGCCTCTGGCCTGTGGGGCCTCTGAGCAGGACCTGCCCTCTCCCTCTGGAAGACCTCCCCGCCTGCGTGCAAATCCCCGTTTGCAAGCACTCTGGCCGGGTGTTCCCGCAAGGCTCGCACTCTGGTCTCAAAGCCGGGAGAAAAGCGCTTTGGGGTGGGCCTCTCTCAGGGCCCATGGCCCTGAGCCTGGGGACCAGCTAGGGGGTCCACACTCCCAGGCCAGGGCAGAACCACATGCACACGTCTGTTCCTGCCCCCTGCCCCTTCAGAGAGCTCGGCTGAGCCGCAGTCTCTCAGGCAGTTCCCTGGCAGCACCGGCAGCACTGCCTGTGCGGGAAGGGGGAGAGCCGACCTAGGGGCACTGTGGGCCTCTTGCTCTCCCTGCTGCCCTGAGGCTGCTGGGCCAAAGAGGGCTTGGCTACCTACCCCCTTTCTCCCCTCTTCCCTCTGCCAGAAGGCTCTGCCCCCGGGGCTGTTGCAGTGTGGAGACAGCCCCTGCCAGCACCTCCACTCCCAGTAGGCCTCAGCAGAGGCCTAGGCCCAGGGAACGGCCCAGGCAGGGCTGCGTTGAGGGAGGCGCAAGGGCATGTCTGGACACACTCCCCACAGCCTGTTCCTTCATGGGGCAGTTACACTGGAGGCCAGGAAGGCCTGGGCAGGGCTGGCCAAGAGCAGGGGCATTGCTGGGTTCTGCCTCTGGCCTGTGGGGCCTCTGAGCAGGACCTGCCCTCTCCCTCTGGAAGACCTCCCCGCCTGCGTGCAAATCCCCGTTTGCAAGCACTCTGGCCGGGTGTTCCCGCAAGGCTCGCACTCTGGTCTCAAAGCCGGGAGAAAAGCGCTTTGGGGTGGGCCTCTCTCAGGGCCCATGGCCCTGAGCCTGGGGACCAGCTAGGGGGTCCACACTCCCAGGCCAGGGCAGAACCACATGCACACGTCTGTTCCTGCCCCCTGCCCCTTCAGAGAGCTCGGCTGAGCCGCAGTCTCTCAGGCAGTTCCCTGGCAGCCCCGGCAGCACTGCCTGTGCGGGAAGGGGGAGAGCCGACCTAGGGGCACTGTGGGCCTCTTGCTCTCCCTGCTGCCCTGAGGCTGCTGGGCCAAAGAGGGCTTGACTACCTACCCCCTTTCTCCCCTCTTGCCTCTGCCAGAAGGCTCTGCCCCCGGGGCTGTTGCAGTGTGGAGACAGCCCCTGCCAGCACCTCCACTCCCAGTAGGCCTCAGCAGAGGCCTAGGCCCAGGGAACGGCCCAGGCAGGGCTGCGTTGAGGGAGGCGCAAGGGCATGTCTGGACACACTCCCCACAGCCTGTTCCTTCATGGGGCAGTTACACTGGAGGCCAGGAAGGCCTGGGCAGGGCTGGCCAAGAGCAGGGGCATTGCTGGGTTCTGCCTCTGGCCTGTGGGGCCTCTGAGCAGGACCTGCCCTCTCCCTCTGGAAGACCTCCCCGCCTGCGTGCAAATCCCCGTTTGCAAGCACTCTGGCCGGGTGTTCCCGCAAGGCTCGCACTCTGGTCTCAAAGCCGGGAGAAAAGCGCTTTGGGGTGGGCCTCTCTCAGGGCCCATGGCCCTGAGCCTGGGGACCAGCTAGGGGGTCCACACTCCCAGGCCAGGGCAGAACCACATGCACACGTCTGTTCCTGCCCCCTGCCCCTTCAGAGAGCTCGGCTGAGCCGCAGTCTCTCAGGCAGTTCCCTGGCAGCCCCGGCAGCACTGCCTGTGCGGGAAGGGGGAGAGCCGACCTAGGTGCACTGTGGGCCTCTTGCTCTCCCTGCTGCCCTGAGGCTGCTGGGCCAAAGAGGGCTTGGCTACCTACCCCCTTTCTCCCCTCTTCCCTCTGCCAGAAGGCTCTGCCCCCGGGGCTGTTGCAGTGTGGAGACAGCCCCTGCCAGCACCTCCACTCCCAGTAGGCCTCAGCAGAGGCCTAGGCCCAGGGAACGGCCCAGGCAGGGCTGCGTTGAGGGAGGCGCAAGGGCATGTCTGGACACACTCCCCACAGCCTGTTCCTTCATGGGGCAGTTACACTGGAGGCCAGGAAGGCCTGGGCAGGGCTGGCCAAGAGCAGGGGCATTGCTGGGTTCTGCCTCTGGCCTGTGGGGCCTCTGAGCAGGACCTGCCCTCTCCCTCTGGAAGACCTCCCCGCCTGCGTGCAAATCCCCGTTTGCAAGCACTCTGGCCGGGTGTTCCCGCAAGGCTCGCACTCTGGTCTCAAAGCCGGGAGAAAAGCGCTTTGGGGTGGGCCTCTCTCAGGGCCCATGGCCCTGAGCCTGGGGACCAGCTAGGGGGTCCACACTCCCAGGCCAGGGCAGAACCACATGCACACGTCTGTTCCTGCCCCCTGCCCCTTCAGAGAGCTCGGCTGAGCCGCAGTCTCTCAGGCAGTTCCCTGGCAGCCCCGGCAGCACTGCCTGTGCGGGAAGGGGGAGAGCCGACCTAGGGGCACTGTGGGCCTCTTGCTCTCCCTGCTGCCCTGAGGCTGCTGGGCCAAAGAGGGCTTGGCTACCTACCCCCTTTCTCCCCCCTTCCCTCTGCCAGAAGGCTCTGCCCCCGGGGCTGTTGCAGTGTGGAGACAGCCCCTGCCAGCACCTCCACTCCCAGTAGGCCTCAGCAGAGGCCTAGGCCCAGGGAACGGCCCAGGCAGGGCTGCGTTGAGGGAGGCGCAAGGGCATGTCTGGACACACTCCCCACAGCCTGTTCCTTCATGGGGCAGTTACACTGGAGGCCAGGAAGGCCTGGGCAGGGCTGGCCAAGAGCAGGGGCATTGCTGGGTTCTGCCTCTGGCCTGTGGGGCCTCTGAGCAGGACCTGCCCTCTCCCTCTGGAAGACCTCCCCGCCTGCGTGCAAATCCCCGTTTGCAAGCACTCTGGCCGGGTGTTCCCGCAAGGCTCGCACTCTGGTCTCAAGGCCGGGAGAAAAGCGCTTTGGGGTGGGCCTCTCTCAGGGCCCATGGCCCTGAGCCTGGGGACCAGCTAGGGGGTCCACACTCCCAGGCCAGGGCAGAACCACATGCACACGTCTGTTCCTGCCCCCTGCCCCTTCAGAGAGCTCGGCTGAGCCGCAGTCTCTCAGGCAGTTCCCTGGCAGCCCCGGCAGCACTGCCTGTGCGGGAAGGGGGAGAGCCGACCTAGGGGCACTGTGGGCCTCTTGCTCTCCCTGCTGCCCTGAGGCTGCTGGGCCAAAGAGGGCTTGGCTACCTACCCCCTTTCTCCCCTCTTCCCTCTGCCAGAAGGCTCTGCCCCCGGGGCTGTTGCAGTGTGGAGACAGCCCCTGCCAGCACCTCCACTCCCAGTAGGCCTCAGCAGAGGCCTAGGCCCAGGGAACGGCCCAGGCAGGGCTGCGTTGAGGGAGGCGCAAGGGCA